CAAAAGAGAGCTTTCACTGATTCAGAAGTTAATTGACCACGGCGGATCTCTTCAAGGAAGGCCAATAGTTGCCGCCGCAATAAAGACACGTTATAATGCCGCGCTAGAACTAGTCCTCAAGGCGGGGGCTGATCCAAATGCTTGTTATAAGATGCACCGATCGCAGCATAAGGGCAAGCCGGAGACTCCACTCAAGGACGCCTCTGCCGAAAGTGACGAGCTTATGCACATCCTACTTGCCCATGGCGCTGATCCGCACCAGCCCCTAAATGATGAGACATCTTCGACCCTGCATGAAATCTGTTCGCTGAATGGGCGAGTAAACCCCATCATTGGTGCCGGCTACGACATTGAAAAAAGAGACGCCCAAGGTCGAGCACCTCTTCTCCGAGCGTGCCATTTGAACCAGTTTTGTTACAGGGTCACCAGGGACCCGCGGGGCACGGGAACCTCCGCGATGGAGCTGATTAGAGGCGATGCCAACGTTAACGTCGCTGATGATTCAGGCTCCACTGCTCTCCATTATGCGGTGTATTCTGGTCTGGGCGTTATAGTTCACGAGCTACTCCGACACGGCGCATCCCCAGTCCCGCGCAATAAATATGGCCTAACGCCGCTCCATTGTGAACTAATTCGCTCAATCGATCGCTGCGAATACGATCCTGATGGCTATTCCATACCCTCCCCGTCGAACATTCGCTTGCTTCTTGCAGCAGGCGCAGATGCCCTCGATCCTCTCCCGGACGGCAGAACAGCGCTACACTGCCTAACTCCAGGGCTCATGCAATGCACCGTAGAAGGAAGACAGGAGCGTGAGTCTCGGGGCGAGCAGGACGAGAACGATCAATTGTTTCACGACTATACGGATCTCTACCAAGCCTTCATCGACGCCGGATGCAGCCGCGAAGCTCGTGACAATAGAGGCAACACGCCCCTCTTCCCCTACGTCAGCGCAGTGCGATTTTATCATACCGATATGGAACGGCGGACTGACCCTGATCTGAATGACATGCGACGTTTGTTCGCGGAACATGATATTTTTGCTGTGAATGATAACGGAGACACTTTGCTCCATGCGGTTGCCTCTCGAGGAGAAGATGTTGAGGATATGCAGGACCATGATGTGATGATTTTCGAACTGCTCGTGGAATTAGGCCTGGATCCGGCGGCGGAAAATAAAGAGGGAGCTACGGCGTTGGATGTAGCTGCTGCTTGGGATAAGGATGAGATTTTGGCTTTGTTTGCGAGGGATGAATGAGCCTCGCCTGCTATGCCGGTTGATTGCTGGGTTAATGTTGTTGGTACTGTTGTGAATAAGGCATGACCATCAATCAATTACTTGGTCCCAGTTCTGTTAACCTAGTAAGATGTACTTCTTGTCACAACCTCATGAATAGAGATGAATGATCTTACGGTAATTTATAAGCTGGATGAGAATGCTGAGCCAAGAAAACTAGATAAATAGCTGTTATTTCACATACAAGAAACATTCTCATTACAAGATAGATATTTCTTGTTGTCATTCCCTGACATCACTCAGCGTTTGCATCCACCCTGTCCAGTCATTGTTCGGGTTGTTCAAAGCCCACGGGAGGGGGGTTCGTATGGCAGTTTATCCGGCCCACCTGCAGCATGAAGTCCCATTGGAAATGGGGTGGTCGGAGACCAGATCTGCCTGCTAGCCACCTGGGCTGGCCATTATTCGCAGAGGAGCCGAGCGGGTGAGGGATTCTTGATAGCCGCCATCGCTGTTGTCGTGGGAGCGGGGGGCATCATCCCTAGAACTGGCTCCCAGAACGCCAGAATGGAGTCCAGGTCCGACTCCGGGGGCCACTGGAGGTTGGTCTCGATCAAGGGATGCAAAGGAAGATCGAGCGGAGTTCGGGGGAACAGGAATGGATCGGTAGCCGTCTGCAGGGGCCATTGCTCCTCCCGCGGGAAAGTTGCGGTACCAAGGCCGGTGGATGTGATGGGCGATGGGGCCCCGTCACTGCCGAAGATGTCGACGGACAAAGTCATGTCTGGTGCGCTGGGAGCCCTTTCCGTAGACTCGGAGTCTTTTCTCGACCCCGCGGACGTTGATCTCGCCAACCGAGACTGGGCCGAGTTGGATTCCTTCGCTAACTAGGGTTCCGCGGACAGCACCTGGAGACGACCCAGAATCTCATGGATCAGAGGATGTTCTTGACTACGAGGGTAGAGTCTAGACGGGGAGCCAGGCCATTCTTCCATGGTATGTTGATATAATTTTTGCAGCCCGTTGATCAGGTGTTGGCGGTTTTTTTTCTAGTATTTCCACGTAGCTTGAGATATTGGCAGTGAAAATCCTTTTGCAAAGGGGCTGATCGACTCATGGTCACAATATTAATCCAACACGAACACCTGGTGGATGTAGATATCTGCACACAAATGCATGAAGTTCATCCCATGTCCTGAGTAGCCACGTCGGAATATTATCCCTTCTCGATAAATATATGAAACGTCTTTATCTCGGCAGCCACAGTAAGAAACGTTATAGGATCTTTGGCTTAGACGAACCACGAAGCAGTCACGATATCTTGTGGGCATGCTTCGACCTTCAAATGGCGGCCACCGAAAAGCAATACGACGGACACTCAATCCTGAATTAATCTTGAATCAATGAGCCGTTTTGTGTATTAATCTGGCAGATAATATACGCATCAAGAAATGGTGAGATTGTGGCCAGTGAAAAGAAATATGATGGGCGTAAATAATTCTGGATCAGCTAGTTGACAGAAGTCGAGCGGATGATGTATATTGATGGCATAAATGCCGCCTATATCTTTGAGGTTTATTGGCTAGCTATGGTAAAAAGATGGTTTCATTCGGCGCGGGCTCGGTGAGGGTTTCAGCTATGATTCAATTGCTCGATAAATCATTGAAAATATCCAAGTACATATTATAAAGGTAATCTACAATGTACATACGCACCACATAAATAGGAGCAAGGGCTGTAAGAAAGGGGCCTATGCCACATTAAAACAAACACCATACTGATTATATTATAAAAAGATTAGGCTACATTGGCAAAACAAAACCTTCAGACCCACCAGTATTTCCTATTACTGGTAAACAGTGCCCAATCGCGCTTGAATATTACCCTACCCGCTTCTAGGAAAGCATCCCTCACAGCGGCAAATTACTGTGGATCTTATTCCTAGCTCCCAGTATAATAAAATAAATAAATGAAGTACTAGTATACAAAACAAAACTTGATTTGCCTGCATTTTGCAAGGAACTAGCTAACACTAAAAACACAAGTTTGCCGAAAGAGGTGGCGGCAGGGATGAGGTCCCTTGCAGCTTCTGGGGTCAGACATGCGGATGCAGTTTCTGATGCCCAGTACCAAATTCACCATCACCTTCGCATATGGTTCGGTGCGGTTCCAATTTAATTATTCTCCCTTCTACGTTTTATTGTAGAATAGTTCAGTCCGATTAGTCATATCAGCATGCATCATGCCTAGCGCAAGAGATCAAATGAGATATTTATTGATCCTCACAAGGGATATTTTCATGTAGGGTATTATGAGACAACGATTGGATGCTGCCTAGCAGTCGCAGGTAATGCTGGCCGAATGGTTTTGTGTTGCTAAAGGTCCCACGTTCCTTGCTTTACAACTGGCATTCTGGGTGGGGTGAGAGAATAGGAGCTCTTTGGAGAGGTTTAATCGCTATTTAATTGTCACATCATGACTGAGTAAACAGAAGTTATAAAAGGCGCTGTCCTGTCGCGCTTCTTCCACTTATGTTGTTTTTCACTAATATCATAGAGAAATGTGACTTACAATACTATGGTACACTAGCATAATGGCAACGAAGTCCACTGCGGTGACCCACCCTTCTGGCCACACAGTTGCTGGGCGGTAAGAAAACAGAACCCAATTAAAGATCCTACTTTCAGTATGCAAATCTCGCTAACACAACGGTGATTTAGAGATATCAAACCTTTTAGGTCCGTCTGAAAACTCAGCATCAAAGGCATTTAGAGCATGGGTATATCAAGTTTCGGTTCTCATTGATTCACAATCACTCCATTCAACATGGAAATTGGGCGTGGACGTTGATATGGTGTTGGAGCCTCGCTATCTCCATTCGCTCGTCGAGGTCCCGCTTAATATGGCATTTAGTATCATTATCAACCGTCCAAAGCATCGTAACAAAAGCGTGCTTCAGCATCTTGCTCAGATGGGTGATAACCTTCAACAATTCATTCATTTAATCATCCGTTGTTCATTATGATGTTATATCGTAAACTTTTCTCTGGTAAAACGAAGTATTTATAGGCTACAGCGGTGAGCACCTCGAGTTCAGGCACCGCATGTTCTAGGATGTGGGGTAATCCACCAACAATTTAACGATTTCCACTGTCTGAAGGAACTAAGGAGCACCACGTAGGGCAACCGGACAGGTCGAGCCACGGCGCCGGTTTAGAGGCACCCACCCGCCTATTAACTACCAGCGATTCCCGCACCTTTACAACTATCTGCGACCTGGGGTACCTTTCCTTTTTAGGCGCCCTGATGTTAAAAATATATTATTTTAATTCCTGGAACTATTCTTTTTAACCTTTGCTATTTCCTGAAGCCCTTTCACTACATTTTAATATATTATAGACTAATAGATCCTGTTGTTACTCCTGTTTATCCACTGGCGGACCTAAATTCTACTTTTACAAGATCTTAAGATCTGGCTTTTCTTTATTAATCCTTACTATTTTACCAAAAGAGTTAAGGCCCGCAAGACTATATACCTCCCCTAGCTGTAAAAGATAATAGTAATATAACTTCTGTGTTCATGGCCATTGAGCCCCAGCTTAATAAGAGTGAATATCGCGCCCGTGTCTGCCGCGAAGCCCTCGGGTCCCTCGCGGCCACCATGGATAAATTCCTCGCTTCCAAAGAGCTCGACATGATCCGCCGGTAAGGAACCCGGTGTAGACTTCGGCAGAACCCATGGGTACCCATATAAAACCCACGTCTACAGTCCTTCCTCTTTTCCTTCCACGTAACACTTAAAGTCATTATTGAACCGTCGGAACCCATCCAACATCCTGTCCCGTGCGACAGCCTCCAATACACCTCCTAGAAGACCACCGAGCTCCTCGCATTGCACGAACCGGGTCTGATTGCCATGTTTCTCGAATTTGAAGCTATGCAACCCGTTGAAGATCCAATTCCAGATAAGGTACCCGCGCCATGTAAACTCCCGGGGGGAGTTGACTTCAACGATGGCGGGGTAGGGGATGCTGTCGATAGTACAGATCAATTTGTCGCCGGGTCTAGCGGGCGCTTGGTCCGGTAGCGTTATGGACTGGTAATAGCTACTATGGTAGAGTGAAAGAGCAGAGAAGTTGAGGAACTTTCACCCTTCTAGTTAATAACCCCGATGGCTAAGAATTACTCAATGTTCGGAATTGGCGGTACTCACGGCATCGCGCGTCACCGATGGGACTGCATCAATGATGATATCGGTATAGAACATTGCGTTTTTTAACTCGACTGAGTCTGGCCTTATGGGATGAGCGTAGAGGGCGGATTTGTCCGGGTGTTCATAAATGGGTTCGGGGGTGAACGCTAGGTTAACAGGGAACCGAACCGCCGATGTGGAATGGGACGGCGCTTTATAGACCCGGCCCCCAGCTTTGGAAATTGAAAGAAAAAAAAAAATTAAAAAATGCCACAAAGACCGAGGACGGTTGAGATAAGCAAAGGAATGTTGTGCTGTATAAGCAAATGGCATAGCCAACCCGTTCGCGCCTCAAAAGTACATTCGAGGTCCGAGGCATACTTGGCCTGTTCTGTCTAATGAATTCACAAAGTCCTTTCGCAATCAACATCCAAATAAAAAGATCGCCATCAATTCTCACGGTCATACTCCTAGGCGATCCGTGGTGTTCGTTAAGGAATACACAGCTATGGTACTAGACGTATCCAACCACCAGTCCACTTACTCCTGCACAAAAAGAGGCATAACATAGATAGTAGAGATCCAGCAGTTCCAGAGGCGAAATGTCATTCGATCGCTTTGTCCGCCACGCACCAACAAAACTCTCAATGCCACGGTATACGCAAGTCCAATACTGAGAGAGAGGAGTCCACCCGCCAGGCCCCAGAATCGAGGGCATATAACTCCCCACACAAGCATGGGTATTGCGATTGTCCATCGTGTAGGCCCGTCTCCAATCACCAGAGGTATAGTACGCCGGTCACGCGCTGCATCGCCCACCTGATCATAGAGGTCTTGGAGGTGCACTGTAGTGAAAATGATTCCCGCGATCACAAGGAGCCACTGAATCAGATGGTTTTCGGCACCAGAATAGCTGGAAACTGCTTCCAAGGTAAATCTGAGTTGCTTGCCCAGCGCTATTTCTAGTGCTCCGGTTGTAAAACAGAGGTACCCAAGGGCATTAATCAGATTTCGCAGGATAGGGCTATTATCCCCGCCGCCAATATTATTGTACCATATATCAAGAGCACGGAGGAATAAGGACTGACGAAAGCCAATTCCATTGCAGACGTAGCCGTGTATAGGGACGAGGGCAGCGAGGAAATACATAATGCATTTGGCTTGGAAGGGGGAAAGGCGATTCTGAGGAAGCGGCCGCCATGGCTTATTAATTTTGTCCTCCGCAATCGCGGAGGGGTTGCGTTGGTTATTAATCGCGAATGGAATAAAAACAAGACAGACCCAGAAGAGAGATTGAGTGAGGCGGCTGAGGAGTAAAGAAAATGTGATAGGGGAACTATCATCGAGTCCATAAGCTCTCGTGGCGAGAGAGTTTATCACGCCAAAGAGAGTGCTAGGAACTACAATTGTTTTGAAGTCGCTCCGAGCAAAGAGGTAGATGGTATAGAGGTGGTAGACCATAAGGTGTAAGATATGTAGCACTGTTTCAAATGCCGTGCGCTTCTTGCGTGGGATATTCTTCCCCTTAGATATAATCAACCCTGACCCTTCGACGCCAACAGAACAATTTTTCACTCACCTTCATTCCACAGACGTGCATCATGTTTAAGCCGTATAAACTTGCTTTCCCAAGTCGAGATATGATTAACAGTAGGGACAAGAGAGGGTTATTATATGGTCAAATATATGCCATGGCTGAGCCTCAACACCCCCTCAACAACCTATTACCCCCACCGTAAGCCGTACTTTAATTAGTACACATTGAGAACTGGAAGAAATGACACAGGGAAGTATATTACAACTAGATTAACCGTACGGTATCTTTTGCTGCGCCCCTCTCTAGGCAAACGTTGTGTTGGCTGATGCATCTGCGAGACTCTTTATTGGAAAGACGACTCATACTACCTCATCCCCGCTAATCATTCATCCTTTCATGCACGAACCTGGCTCATAGTTGCAGTGGGCTCCTTAAAAGCCGACGACGTGGCACCCTGCTTGGCCGTCTTCTGCCAGGAGTCAAATTGTCCTAATCACCAATCTACCCCCGCTCGTAGGAGGTCTAACCTTGCACTACAACACCAACATCTGTCGAATCTTCAAGCATTATGGCTACTGGAGAGGTACTTGCCATTTCCTGCGGCCTTTTGGCTCATTGCCTTGTTTTTCTCCACGGCGAGTGGCATCTCCGGGTTGGTACTCTGGTTGTAACGCATCTCGCATTTCTCGGGGGTCTTTACACTCTCAATGCGGGCACTGGGAATGTTCTTAACCATTTCGTGCTACATCCGGCCGCGCCGTTCGGTTTATACCTGTTATCGCTGTTCAGTAGTATCATCGTGTACCGCCTCTTCTTCCATCGACTCCGCAAGTTCCCAGGGCCTCGATTGGCCGCCGCTTCGAAATTGTGGCATGTCTGGCGCTGTCGAACCTCTCATGGCCACCACGTTCTTGAAGAATGGCATCGCAAGTATGGCACGTTTGTTCGCACAGGTACGCTAGAGCTCATGAGGACCGTCCTTGCGGTCTTATATCCCTGATATCTCCTGACGTCGACGACAGGTCCTTCAGAAATCACGGTCTTTCACCCGGCCGCTCACGAAGCCATGGATGGTCCTCGAAACCAGAACACGCGGTCCGACTGGTATGACCTGTTATATCCCAGGATATCTTCAATCTTTACTCGTGATCGTGCCCTGCATCTTAAGAGACGGCAAATCTGGACCCATGCATTGAGCAGCTCAGGTAAGTGCGTATCATAATGAGTTTCTCATTTTTTTTTTTTCTGTTTTTCTTTTTCTTTTTAATTTTCTCGTTGGGTGTTTCTACAGAAGGAAACTGACAACGGATGCCAGCGATCCGGGAATATCATCCTCGCATCCTTGCCAAAGTCCAGACGCTCGTCGAGCTCATCAAGGAGCGAGCCACTGGGCCTATTCTTATTAACGAGGTCATGTACTGGTTCGCATTTGACTCTATGGGTGACTTCGCCTTCAGCGAAGACTTTGGCATGATGAAGAATAATGAGTGGCATCGAGTTATTTTCACCTTCCGTGCTGCGCTAGCTCTACTAGGCCCTTTTAGCCCTGCAATCTGGATCCCCCGCCTTGCCTTCGCCTTTATCCCCGGCCTGTGGTGGGCTCGTTGGTGGTTTCAGATGCTGGAGTTTTGTGATAAATGCATGGAGCGACGGATGAAGGTATTGAATGCACGAGTTCTGGATACGTTGCTCCGCTGATAGCACATGGGCAGAGAACACTACCCGACAAGGATATTGCCTCCTTCTTCATTCAAGACCATACGACAAATGCTGACGAAAGCCGTGGACTGTGGTTAAGCGGCGACACCGCAACGCTTGTCGTGGCTGGAAGGTTTGTATTCTTGTTGGTGTCTTACTCGTATCCACTTGCTAATATGCGGTCCCAAAGTGATACCAACGCTCCAACCTTGACTCATCTATTCTACTTCCTCGCTCGCTATCCCGAGCATGCAGAAAAGGTCCACCAAGAGCTTACCGGGATTACCTCCCTCGAAGACACCGTCGGACTTGCGAAGCTACCCCACCTGAATGGGATGATTAACGAAACCATGCGGCTTCTTCCTGCGGTACTCACGTTTGGCACCCGCGTAACGCCACCAGAGGGGATTACGATTGAGGGCACATTCATCCCCGGTGGCACGAAACTCTGCGCGCCGAGGTATACGATTGGACGATGTGTGTTTCTTCCGCCCCCTACCCATTGTCTCTCCACTACGTGCTCCAGCCTTTGGTCTTGTTCCAAGAGCGACTGACAAGGGTTTTTTCAACCATGTAGTGGAGTCCGCCTACGCTCAACCGGACGAGTTCATCCCCGAGCGATGGTATAGCCAACCTGAACTGATCCGGGATCGACGGGCCTTTGCGCCTTTCGGGGTTGGTACGTTTCCGTCAGGCCCCAAACCCAGGGGGTCTTCGATATTCCCCTTGCATATCCTGAGCAGAATGACTGACAAGCCCTAGGCAACACAAGCTGTGTGGGTAAGAACTTGGCCCTGACACAGATCCGACTGGTTACTGCGGCGCTCGTCAGCCGATACCACATCGAATTCGCGCCAGGGACCAAGAATGGCGAGCGAGTGGAGAAAGATATGAAGGACCAACTGACTGCGCAGCCTGGCGAGTGTCGATTGGTGTTCGTGGGACGAGAATGAATGGATGACGGGCTGGCCGTATACTATCGGCATTCTTAGCTAGCAGATGCAGTGTAACGATGGGGCAAGCACGGCGATATCACATTAATCTAAAACGCACCACTGGACCTATTACACGCATCAGAGGTCGATAGAGCGCTAATCCGGGTCTACGCACGCAGCGTCTCGGCCCCATCAGGCCGAAATCCCCAGGCAACGTGAATATCGAACCGGACGTAGCATCCCGACTCAATGTCCTTGTACGCCTGTTTGCCCAGTCTTTCCACCTCATCCACGGTCAGCAAGCGGCCATCATCCTCTGCTCTCAACTGTCCCAGCCCCGCTCTGACCCTGGCCCAGTCCAGGATGACTTGCATTCCATTCCTGGTCAAAGCCTTTCGCGTCCCAGGAACACGATCCGAGCTCACCATCTCGGACCCGACCTGCACCAAGCCCGCGCCTTTCATCGCCTCCTCCAAAAGATCCCAGCCGTGCTTGAAATAGTCGATAAGCCCTGTCCTGAACATCCTTCCCAAGGTCCGTGCCGCGTCAACCGAAGTCGCGCCGCCCTCCCCGCCCCTCAGATGCACGACATTACTAAAATCGCACTCCTCCCACTGCATGGCGCCGCCAGGCTTCAGCAGCTTGGCAACGTTGGTGATTACCGGCACCCAATCGGCGGGCGTCAGGCCAGCCGCAATCTGGCGGACATGCACGAAGTCGTACATCCCGTGAAGCGCGGTAGGGACCGGAGCCCGTACATCCAGCAGGGACAGGCGGATACTCGAGGGGAGCGAGTCCGACGGCGGGAAAAGCGCGGTGGATAGATCACTACCGTGGAGGATTGCGCCCTGGAGACGGGGCTCTTCGCTCTGGGCGACGCGTTTGAGGAAGCACGCTGTGCCCGTAGCTAAATCGGCTATCTGAAGCGGCGGGCTAAGGGGAGGGAGGCGTGCCAGAATCAGCGGGTGGATCAGGTAGCCGATGTTTCTGGAGATGTCCGGGGTTAGTGTGCACTCCGTCTTAGTCTCCGGACAAGGATCGGGGTCTGGCCAAATTCAGGCCATTGGTTAGCATTGGTAAAACATACTCTGTCAAGAGGTCGAATTGTTCCTCGAGTCTGCATTTTCCTTGCCTTGGTTAGATGGCGGTGGCTTGCTGGGGGAGGGGGGTCGGCGTGTACCTTTGGGACTCGCTTGCATCGCGCTGCAGGTTGTCGGCATAGACGTCGGACATGGTTTTCCCTCGATGGATGATACAGTCTGTCTCGGATTGTTGTTTGATTGGGCTGTGAGCAAGGTCCTCGCTTTACCACGTCGTAGGGTTGGGTAATGTCGTGAGATTTTACGGTGCCTTTAAAGAGCGCTCCGTACGCATGGCTGACCTGCCATCCATCATACCGACCATATCTTCCCCCATGGCAAGCGAGGTGGCCAATTGCATGCCTGGAATGACTCCGAGACAAAAGGACCCTGATCCCTGCCAACCCGATGCTATCCACGTATCGGCGTCCCGCTATCAACCGGGATGTCAACCCTAGTCCCTTCGCCCCTCGCCTCTAGCAAACTCGACGCCGGGAAGACCAAACTCGGTTGGCGCTGCACCCATGAGGCTGACGAGACTTGCAAAATTCACGCTAGTGGATCGAGTCCCTCGAACTCCCAGGGTTCCCCTCAGCTACCGGAGGGCATTACTCCGGAACCGTTGCTGGTGCCTATGGCTACCGTACCATACGATTACTTCGAGGGCTATGGGCATATCGCAAGGAGGCGCGATAGTCAGTGGGCCGGTTACAATTGTCATTATAGTATAGTACAGTTCATTGACCCACATTCATCTCCCCTTCAGACCGTTCGCGAGACGGCGATAGTGACCAATGTATGCCTCAAAATGGGTAAGGCTGTACAGTCCCCTGCTGCCGTCCCATCGGCGCAGTCTTCTCCGACACTGATGTCTCGTTGACCACCATGATACCAGTCGAATACTTGTCAGTCCTGGGAGGGTCACCCTTCCCGAAATGGCACGAAGTTGGAGATGTAATCTGGACACCCGTCGCAGCCTGACTCTCAGAAAGCTCATATTCATCGTCATCATGTGAGTTCAGCAGCGTAGTCGATTGGGGCCTTCGTTGCCCCCAGGTCCGCCGCCCGGATGATCCAATCGTGCGCACTTTCCGGCTGCTTCGTTCGATGTATGCTCGCGTGCGGTTGCGGAATAGCACGGGGCCCAGGGTAGGAACGCAGGAAACGAGTATACCCGACGAGATCTCGGCGGCAATCAAGATTGACGCATCTAGTGCACAGTATGTCGTGTTGCCGTGGTCGCATAGTTTGGTCTGTATGATTCGGCCGATGTTGATCCCCGCCGTGCTGTGCGATGGTCTATGTCAATGAAGGCAATCGCGGAGGGCAACAGGAGGGCTTACATCAAGCCCAGTAAAAAGGCGGCTGTAACACCGAATTTCTTCTTTTCGGTCATCTGTAGCTTCCAGACTATGGGCATTGGCAACGTTACTACCAGTAGGTCAACCGCTAGGTTGAATCCAGCCGATGCGTACTCGGTCTTTGCCACATTTCCACACGTGCGTTCTATGGTGGGATTCCAGTTGGAGTTGATCGGGCGGCAGAGAAGGGTGATTGTCAGGATGGACGCCAGCCAGTAGAGAACCACTAGTACAATCGTGGTAATCGCACACCGGTAGAACCATGCGACTTGAAAGAGCTCGAGATACAGGCATATGATGGCGAGTCGGAAAGCCGCGACGGCCGTGACGAAGAACCACTCGGACGCAAAGAACACCTACTCCCATTGTTGTGAATCATGCTCATCCTGCACACGATGAGGAGGTCGAAACGAACCTTCAACGAAATGACCAACTTATTCATCGAGATAGTGTCAATATCCGCGCCATAGGCCCCCGCAATGGCACCTGGATGGTCGACTGTCGTCAACAAGCCTCATCATCGAGCGGCATCCGAGTGAATAACACGCACTTACCCACAGTGACGTCCGCGGCATACCCCGTGAAGCAGAGCTGTAGGTTGTCAGATTCCGCATTGCTCATACCTGTGGAGTATTCGCCCTTACAAAAAGGGCGCAGTATGGACGGAGAGAGGACCTACTAGTGCCAGAGCCGTGAGGTAGTCATGGGACTTCCAGGATCGCTTGCGCATCTGAATGGATACGGCTCGAAGGATGAAAGAGGTTGCACTGATAGCCCAAAGGACCATTACCGAAACTATCAGCTTGGCAGCGTGTTTACTCTCGACCGCCATTATGGTATGAGGGGCAGATAGACAAAGAGGTAGTAGTAGAATATGCTCCCGTAAATCCCTCGTACTCCTTTCAACTGCCTGCAAATAAATACAGATATATATACACGAGTGTCTACCTTCCCCCTTGGGGGTCATCTGTTGACATGCATATTTCAGTCAGAGAATCAACCCTCTAACTAGGACGATATTAACAGAGTCCTCCATATGTGGCCTCTGGGGCCGAACCACAGACAGTGGCGGGGAAATGCACAGCCCTAAGCCGAGTTCAGAGTTCTTTGTTGATCCTGTCAGCCGAAGTAAGCACTAACGAAACAGGTCGGATGCAGCCGGACTTTCTCCTGATCTGCCTAGAGCAGTACCTTATATATACCCCTGGAGGCGCTTTCAAAAAGGCCCGCTTGCCTTCCCAAGGCCCAATCTCCTGTCTCACCCGGGAAAAACAATCTCACTCCGTTGCAACGTCCCCCCTCCCCCTCGTCCGCCATGGCGACATCCAAACCTGCAGTCATCATCTGCCATGGCTCTTACCACAGTCCCGCCCCCTACGAGCCCCTGATGGAGCACCTTCGCTCGGAAGGGTTCGAGGCATATTGTCCCCACCGTCCGACATGCAACCTCAAGGAGCTAAATGTGGGCGACGTCGACAACCCTGACTTCAACCGAGGCCCACCTCCCGAGGGGTTTCCTAGTGACACCAAGGACGTAGATGTGGTAGTCCAGCTACTAAGGGAACTTATCGGAAATGGGAAGTACGTCCTTCTCATGGCGCATTCATCGGGTGGCTGGGTCGCAACCCAAGCGGCTATCCCTGAACTTCAGAGCAAAAATCGCCGAGCAAAAGGTCAAGCGGGCGGCATCATCGGTCTGTTCTATTTGGGGGCCTTTGTGATCCCGGTAGGCGAATCGGTCCACAGTTTCTTCCAACCAAAGGATGGTCCTCCGGTGACTCCGCCATTCATGCGATTCTACGTAGGTGTTCGCCCATGCCCGCATGAAAGCTCGTTATTGACTTCTCCCATCCTAGGAACCCGGAGTCTCCGGAGTCGGAACTATTGTGAACGCAAGGGAATACTTGTTCAATGACTTGGATGCCGAATCCGCTGACCGGTGGGCGGCCACGCTGACAGCCTCGCCCGTCATGACCGGCGTGTTGACGAATGACGCCTACTCCGTCTTACCATGCGCATATCTGGTCCTGGATAATGATCGTACGCTGCCAAAGGACTACCAGGAGGCAATGATCGCCCTCCAGACCCAGAGTGGGAATGTCTTTACTGTTTACCATGCACCCTCAGGCCATTCCCCTCATCTGAGCTGGACGGAGCATCTGGTCGAAAAGGTCAAGGAATTTACAGAAGCAATCACCGGTATTTCTGTTTCCGCGATTGCGAAGGATTAGATTAAACCCTGCGCGACGGAAATTAGACATTTGAGGTACATGGACAAGTAGTGCATGAATCAGAATGCCCAAACCCACTGTTGGTTCTTTACATGGATCATCCACGCTACTGTGGCCTGGCGCAGACTAAAAGATACTACGCAGCGAATGTAGTCTCCGCTAATCCCGAATAAGTACGGCTGTGTGCGAATCAGACCATTCATTAGTGCTCTACAACCATCCGGGGGTACTAATAGTTGGCGAAGTGAGGGGTTTGTAGTGCGATCCCCGGTTAGTCTAGGTGTGGATTAATCCATAGACTACTCTTTCCTTCCAAATAGAAATACGTGGAATAGATATTCAACTTCGTCAAGCCCCTTCGCCATCCATCATTCCCAACATTCTTTCATTTCGTTGACTCTACCTTACCCAGTCCTCCGTCATGGCTTCTCCTCAATATGTGATGGGCACTCAGGGGTTCGCCAGTGCCTGGACAGAGGAAAATGTGCATGAATTGATTACCACGCTTGGCGAGGCTGGTATCAATCATTATGATGCCGCCCGGTTGTATCCTGCCACCAATCCCGGGGCGGCTGAAAAGCTTTTGGGAAGTGTTCGGCGGTCTGATTTTGTCATCGATACAAAGATCCTGTACCGACCCAGTGCTCTGAGCAATCAGAATATGGAACAGTCCATCCACCAGAGTCTGGAAAGCCTCGGAGTAAAAAAGGTACGTATTAGACGGACAGTATCCCTATTACTATCACCATCAGAGTTGCTCACAACGCTCGGTGCTCTACAGATCGACACGCTCTACGCTCATGCCCCGGACAAAGACACCCCTATTGCCGAGCAGGCGGCTAATTTCGATCATTTCTATCGTGCTGGCTTATTCGCCGAGCTTGGACTCTGCAATTACTCCCCCGCACAGTTGAGCGAGTGGATCGAGCTTGCTACGGAACGGAACTATGTGCGGCCTACCGTCTACCAAGGCCAGTATAACATGTTCTGTCGCCATTACGAAAAAGAGCTCTTCCCACTTCTGCAGAAGCACCAAGTCAAGTTTGTGGCGAATTCGCCCTTAGCCGGGGGGTTCTTGACAGGCAAGCTTACCTTTGCCGAAGAGGCGGCGCAGCTGCGTGGAACGCGATTCGAGCAGGCAGAGGGAAACATGGTTGGCTATCTTTTTCGGGCATGGTACGATAAGCCTGACTTTCACCAAGCGATTCGGGAGCTGGCCACTTGGGTGGATCGGGGTGTTGCTGGCAGCTTGTCCCAGGCGGCCTTGCGCTGGCTGCTGTTCCATTCTGGCCTTAGGAGTACAGATAGTGTTGCTCTCGGACCGAGTAACGTTTCTCAGCTAAAAGAGTATCTTGACGCCCGCAATGCTGGCCCACTGCCAGAGGAGGTGGTGAAGGCGATCGATCAACTCTATGAGCCCTTGCAAGAGGAAGCCGCACCGGTCGTGGAAATTGGGTGGTGGTCTATGTAGTAATACCAGGTAGATTCCAGACATACTTCGCCGCCAGTGAAGACCCTGTCCTTGAAACGTAATCAGCTCTTTTCTTTTTCTTTTTCTTTTTCTTTTTCTTTTTTTTTTTTTTTTTTTTTTTTTTCCTTCGACGATTTACCTATTGTATTTAGGCTGCCTGTGGGGGCCTGTCTCACCCATGCGCCGATAGATGATCTATATAAAGCCGGGATGGAAGCCCAATACTGCTAGGAACCATTTTATTTTCTTTTCTTCTGCACCTGTAGTACCCCTTCTGAGATATCATCGAATCATGTTCGCCTCTATTACGTTCCAGGTTCCATGTTTCCTCTTTATCATCCTTTCGTTGTCCATCAGCACTTTCACCCACCCTACTCAAGCCCGAAACAACAACACTGACTGCTACTGTTTCCCCGGTGAGGAATGCTGGCCCACCGCATCCCAGTGGGATGCTTTCAACCGCACGGTGGGCGGTCGACTCATCGCGACGATCCCAATTGCCAGTCCCTGCCACGAAAACAACCCTTTCGCCCCCTACGATAAATCCGCCTGCCAGGCCGTTCGGGAAACCTGGCTCCTTCCTCAAACACACTATGAAAGCTCTTCGTCCATAATGGCGGGCTTCTACGCTAACCAGAGCTGCGACCCGTTTCTACCCCCAAGCGCTCACTGCATTACTGGCACATATGTTCAATATTCGGTGCAGGCGCAGTCCGCGACTGATATTCAAAAGACTATTTCCTTTTTAAGCGCACACCGCATCCGTCTTGTCGTCCGTAACACCGGACACGACTACCTGGGAAAGTCAACCGGTGCGGGCGCTGTTGCCATCTGGACGCATCATCTCAAGGAAATCAACTTCTTCGATTATCAGTCCCCGGGATACTCGGGTAAGGCGGTCAAAGTTGGCGCGGGTGTGCAGATCTTCGAAGCAAATGCTGCGGCAAGCGAACAAAACTTGGTGGTAGTCGGGGGTAACTGTAGGACTGTCGGGCTGGCTGGGGGCTATACTCAGGGAGGTGGCCACGGTCAGCTTGTCTCGCAGTTCGGGTTAGCGGCCGATCAGGTATTAGAGTGGGAGGTTATCAGCGGGACAGGCCAATTGATTACGGCGTCGCCGCACAATGAATATGCGGATCTATACTGGGCGCTTTCAGGGGGTGGAGGTGGCACATATGGCGTGGTGGTCTCGATGGTGAGCAAGGCATACCCGGAGCTGAGGACGGCGACGGCCAATCTATCCTTCACCAGTCTCGGCGCTGCTCAGGGAGACTTTGATGGTGTCGTGGATACCTTTTTCAGTCACAGCCTTGGGCCTCTCCTTGAGGCTCGGGGGGCCAGCGTCTGGTTCCTAACCAGTGCGTCTTTCACGATGGCGCCGACAACGATCCCCGGCGGATCGAGAGAGCAGCTGCAGAAGATATTGGACCCAGTCCTTATCGCGCTGAGAAAAACCAACATCACATACTGTACGTGGTCTTTGTTTGCCTTTTAGACCCGAAGGAAAACTCCCTTCAAACCAGGGCCCCCCTCAGCTAACAATCTCTGCCCACCTTGCAGCATATCATATCGAAGAATTTCCCACCTTCTACTCCAGCTTTGAATCCATGAGCCCAGATGTCAACGTGACTGAATTCAACCTTGGAGGCAGATTCATCCCACAGTCCATTCTTGACTCGGAGCCGATCACCCTCACTGATAAATTCCGCGTTATTACGGGATATGGAGCAACGGTATCTGGTATATCCGTCAATGCCTCTCGACCAAGTCACCATGATCCAAAGAATTCTGTGAATCCTGCTTGGCGCACGGCGGCAATAAGTCTCGTCGTTGGAACGTATGTGGTCCTTATTCCATAGTGCTGTTAGGCATCCGAGTCTCTAACCTGGTGCGCACATAGACCTTTCAGCTCCACCAATCATTCTCTCAATATTGTCAACCAGCAGCTGATCACCGATACTTTGATTCCCGAATTAGTGGATCTCGTACCCGGCAGCGGTGCATACCTGAATGAGGGAGATGCTCATCAGCCTGAATGGCAGACCACGTTCTATGGCAGGAACTATAACCAGTTGCTGAAGGTGAAAAAAAGGTATGACCCTCTGGATATTTTCTATGCTCTGACAGGGGTTGGAAGTGAGGCCTGGGCGGAGAGTATAGATGGTAGACTATGTCGGATCCAGGTATAGAGAAGTGTAGGAATCGCGTGCAATGTTGTGTGTGTCACATAGCGAGCAAGTCGCAACTGGGTGATGATAGCAGTGTTTGTTAAACCTTAGTAGGTTTCTTCCTATTTAACTGGCCTTTATACACTTTGTGGAATATCTACTAGTATTGTTTAAGGATGTAGCATGTTCCTGATATTACTACTGCGCTAAAAGCCTCAGCTGGGCTAATAGGCAGTCTTTGTAATATCGTATATACCAACACAGGAAACTACATGCTATCTAACGAGAATCACTACTAGGAAGGAAGAGAATGAAGAGAAAAGGAATGGAGTGGATCATTAACTCTAGCTACACGAGAAGGGCTATAGCTTCTATAATCATAGTCACATAGTTAACCTCACCTTGGTTAGCAAAATCAAGATAGATACACTATCAATCAACTCATGTATATTCCACCACCATAGTCCTTGTAGCATATGTCAACATTACTTTCTGAGCGCCAAACGACGGGGCGATAATATGGTTCTGGGACAAGGCATGAACTGATACCAAATTCTATAACGTTCAATAATATGTAAAGATGTAAACGAGTGTGGCTTCCTTTTTTTCACATAACTACATCAACTCTCATACAGAATTGCAACTGGGTTTCTCGCGCTCCTGTATGCAGGTAATGACTCCTTGGACCCGGTATGGACCGAATTTGAGCGGGAGGCATCGACAGGCAGGAGGCGTGCCATCGAGGTAAACTCGCCACTCAAAGGCAATACAAACCGTAAGAGAGGTCCACCGTCTGGATGAAAGTATCTGACCATCATATCTCACTGAGTGGCTTTTTCCTGAGTCTAATCTTCCCGTTTTGCGGCGGAATCTTCATATCCGTAATCCACATAGCCGGCGGTCGTTTGCCGTCATACTCTGCTGGCAACTCGACCTCATAATGCCTGAACAGATACGCAAGCAGCATTTTCAACTCTACAGCCACAAGAAAGCGACCCGGGCAGCCATACTGCGCGTGTCCAAAAGCCAAGAACTCCGACGATGTGACCCCTAGCCTCTTCCCGTCCGGCCCGGCGAATCGAAACGGCACAAATTTCTCGGGCTCGGGGTAGATGTCAGGATCTTTCTGGACTGTTCTCGCTAGAAGAGCGACGGTCGAGCCCTTGGGTAGGGTATAACCGTCTGGTGTCTGGAGACCGGAGACCATGACTTTGCGCGACATGCTGTTGCTCAATAGGGGGTTGAGGCGTAGAGACTCGCGGAGGATGCTGTCCAGCTTAATTAGCTTGGATGCGTCGTTTCTGGTCCATCGAGGCTCATTTTTCTTGGCTGGGCCGAAGTTCTCGTTCAGCTCTTCCTGGACCTGCGACATGGTTCCGTATTCGTGGTCCGATGCGAGCATGTCGAATATAATGTGTGGAGTCAACATATAGAGCTGTACGCTGGCAGCCATCAGGAAGATCACGATGTGAGTGGTGACAAAATGGAGGTTTAGATCGGGGCTTTTGGCCTCGTAGAGCTGCCGCATCAAGTGTTGGAGAAAGTCCTTTGGTCCATCTTCTGGTTTTTGGCCATTCTTAAGTCCATTGAGCCGTTCATCGTACGTGGACTGCAGTAGGCCCTTTAATTTGCCGATGACCATGCTCCGCGGAATAGCCAGAACTCGACCGATTATCTGAACGAATATCTGGGGCATAGGCCGCAGGATCTCTCCAACTGGAGTAATCACCTCCATGAATATTAAGGTCCATTTAATAAATTTATCGTCGCCGCCTTCCGATGCGTTAGCGTGATGTACAAGACAAACTCGGAAAGTATGAAGAACTTACAGAGCGGTGACCCGACGATATATCGAGAAGTTGATCGGATAAGGATAAGCTTCACAGCCTTCGCCAGGTTGACTTCCTTCCAATTAGTCTCATCTTTGCCCAGAATACTGGACAAGCTAAGTTCCAGCTCCTCTTGGAAATTGGGGATCTCCGTCTCCATGAAAGAGCGGGTCGAACGCCTGAGAAGTCCTGGATGCCACTCATCCGTGAAGTACCTTTCATGACCGACTGTCCACCGAGCCTGAACGATGTCTACAATCGCTTCGCGAGTATCGAGAGCGCTTTGCGGCTGCGACAGCATCCACCTCATGTGGCAGTTTGGCAATACGATCATCGTTCCGAAGCTCTTGTCCGGAATTCTGCATATTCGACCATGCTTCAAGTACTGCAATACGTGAGCTACCATGTATCCGTGGATTGTAGGCAAGGGTCACCCACGGTGTCATAGGCCTCTCGCAGCACGTCGTCTGCGTGGAAGAAGTAGGCAATAAAGGTGGACAGCTGAAATCGCTTTTTACCTGTATCCCTCACCAATGGAATACCAATATCCTGCTCTAAGGCGATATATAGGACAGGAACGAGAGCGAGAACCAGGGTCGCACATCCTATCAGTGGAAGCAATTGGCCATCCACACGGATCTGCACATCTTGAAGGAGGGCTTGGACTTTTAACATGTTCAGTCGGCGATGGAGTAGCCCATCGTACGGCAGTCTAATCAGCTGGTATGGCAGGAAACTCGTCTTAAAGCAATTTCAGAAGAAGGAGGGTAGGGTTTGGTGGAATCGAGCACTACTGATATATTCCTAGGCTATTGCAGGACGGAACAGGCGGGGCAAGTCACCAACACCGGTCCAGATTCTCGCTGAACATCCTACAGATCGGATTCTCAGGCTCAGACCGACGGTGTCTAGCAGTGGAGACTGATCACTTTTGCCAAGTGGACGCAGGCTGGAGGCGACGATCTTCCTGGTTTCGATCGTGAATACTGATTGCTAATCGAAAAGACACTTTCAACCCCAGCCGAGTCATGCAAGGTCCAATAACAGGTTCATATTAATCTCTTTTTCCGCCGAAAGTATTGCTTTGACACCCAATAAACCCACATTCACGATGGAAATGCGGTGTGGTGAGATGAACTGAGGACAAGGCCACAAATCTGGAGTCAGACCAAGCCCCAAGACTTAATCCATACTGTATCGGGGCTCCCTCTGGTTCAGAGCTTAGCTCCATTGCAAATCTACCAATGAGGCATTGAATGCCGTCACAGCAGGCCGCATTGTGTAACTCCAAGGCTGAGTAAAGCGCTAGTCGCTTGATCTCGGTAGTGCTGATGATCGACATCTGGTTAGTGATCTCCGAATCTGTCCAGTGGTCAATATTTCTGCATTTGTTCGGGACTGGACAGTTCACCAGAAGAGTAATGATCATCTTGACGAAATCACACTATTCCACAGGAAGCAATGACGATCCGCATTCGGCATATGACAGGGGATAGAATGTACGCCACATCCTTGACTCAATATGGTTATGTTGGTGACTTGCGCTAGTCCCTGTCTGAAAGTCAAACCAATATATCACAGCTCAGGGATTGGTCCTAGACCTAATTGCGACAGACTGTATTTCGAATTGGGCTGAGAAGACTGTCGCAGAATCCCGAACGAGTCATATTTCAGTTGCCCTTTCTGCATGCGCAGAATAACAAAGTCCTTAGTGGCATACCCGGACACCAGGAACCCTCGTGCATGCCCGATGACACGTCACTTCTGAGGAATCCCACACATATTGGAACCTAGTGGGGAGTCAGTGCAGGTCGAAGCATGACGCGAGGAGTCCGAACCATCCCGCACTCAGCTGCACGGCTTGTGCAGTCTCAAATCACATCCCACTGCACTCAACCTCCACTGGATCCGGAAAAAAGTAATTTACGGTCCATCATGAGCCAGGCATTAGGGGGAAGACCATTGAAGAGACCCACAGAGCTAAACCCGAGCAGACAGACCATAAGAGCCAATGTCTGTCTGCACCTGTGGTGTACTTAAGTTCCCCATCTTTCCGCAGAAGCCAAAGCATACACTAAAGCGACATTCACTTTCTCGCATCGCAGCAATGCGCAGCCCATATTCTCTTAAGATCACTGGCCAAGTGAGCCCCGAACCGGAGACTAGCCAGACCCCCGGGTACCCCTTGTCGGCGCGCAGCACGACCTTGGACGGATGGCGTCTCACAGTGGAAGAGGGTTTGGGACGACTAAAGTGGAAGTATTTGGCCACGGAGGCAGAGCGAAATGCGCAACCGCAAGATAAGACATCTCGATTCTTTCTTGACCTTCCCATAGTGTGTCTCCAAAATATGCTCCTCGGATTCAAAATGAACATGACTGACATACGTAGACCGAAGCGCCTGAGCACAAACCTGCTCAGAGGCCCTCTGAAGCCGCCACCAATGGAGCGTTATTCCATAGCCAGCTTCAAGTCAAAGAACTTGGTTGCTGGGCTGCTGACCTCAGCTGCATCTTCTTCGTAACACCCATGCTTATCATTGCCTGGTACATTACGCAAGCAACTATCGATGAGGCACAGGCCATCGAGCTCATCAATTTCATCTTCGGCGCGCAGAACCCGGACGGTGGATGGGCTACGTACGTCGGAGAAGATACAACCGTCATGGGGACAATTTTGGTCTATGTGGCACTGCGCTTGATGGGCCTGTCCGCTGAGCACCAGCAACTGATCAAAGCGAGGCGGTGCCTGCTTGATATGGGTGGTGCGGTTTATCTTCCGGGGTGGGCGAAGTTCTGGCTCGCTCTTCTCGGTCTATATAAATGGGAGGGCACTGATCCGTATCCAGTGGAGATGTGGTATGCAATGCTTCAACGCCCGATAGTGGCTCCATTATATTAACTGCCATAGGCTTCTGCCGGAATGGCTTCCCATAAGTCCATGGAAGTGGTTCTTGATTCCTCGCCAGGTGTACGTTGCTATGAGCTATCTAGCTGCGAAGAAGTTTACGATTCCGACGAATCCGCTGCTCGAGGAAATCCGAACCGAGATCTTTGTCCAGCCATATCACTCCATCGATTTCATCGCATTCCGGGGTGTGACCATTCTACGCTCCCGTGAGGTGCGGAAGAGCTGGGTACTCAATTTGGTTAATTGGCTCCTAGATAATATCTGGTATCCTTGGTTTCGCCCGGAAGGTCTGGCTGCGACGGGAGAAGAAACGGCCTGGCATATAATTGAGCAGTCGAATAAGGCGACAAACTCGCTCGGAGCCATAAGTGTCGATGGCTTCTTGAACATGATCGCCGTATATTGTCGAGAAGGCCCTGATTCCAAAACGCTCCATCAAATTCACAACGCCAGCCAGGAATACCTCTGGTTAGGACCGAAAGGGATGCAGGTTATGAGTGTTTCGGGTGGACACGTCTGGGAAACCTCCTTTGCCCTACTAGCATACGCAGAGTCAGGTCTTGCCAATCTTCCTGACTTTAGGCCGACCGTCGAGCGTGCGTACAAGTTCCTTGTGGACAATCAGCACGTCGAGGACTGGAAAGACACCTCTTCTTGTCACTTCTTCAGTCGACTGGGAGGCTGGCCATTCACAACTCGATACAATGGCATTACCTGTTCGGATTGTACTGGAGAGGCGCTTAAAGCTATTTTAATGCTTGAGAGAAACTCTGAAATCCCCCGTCTCACAAATGAACATACTCGTCGGCTGGCAGTGGATGATCTACTAATAATTCAGAACCCGAGTGGTGGGTACAGTAGCTTTGAACCCATTCGGGGGAGCGAGCTGCTCGAACACATGAACGGCACGGAAATCTTCCAGGATGTAATGGTCGAGTACGACTATGTGGAGTGTACTTCGTCTTGTATCACTGCCCTGGCACTGTTCCAATCCCGCTACCCGACCTATCGTGCGATCGAGATCAATCGTGCGATTCACAAAGGTAACAAGTTCATTCTGAGCCGTCAGCAATGTGACGGGGGCTGGCTCTCGGCCTGGGGCATTGCATTCACATACGGGACGTTCTTTGCGCTGGAAGCACTAGCATGTGGTGGGATGACATATGGGAATCATGAAGCCGTCAAACGAGGTTGCGAATTCATATTGGGGAAGCAGCAGGCGGATGGGGGTTGGGGTGAGAAAATTGATGTGGGCTTTTCTTCCTATCCCCATATCCTGCGTTTCTTCAATTCTCACACTAACTGTCTACCAGTCTATACTGTGCGGATCTTACGTACAAGCAGAGCAGTCTCATACCGTGCAAACCGCATGGGTTTGCATGGCTCTGATGCATGCTGAATACCGAGATCCAGAGCCTATTCGGCGAGGCATTCGGCTTATTATGAGTCGACAAAATGCTAAGGGTGAATGGAAACAGGAAAGGGCTGTAGGAAGTGGCATAGTTACATGGTATGTGCAATTCTACTCACTCCCCTGGATCTAGTCTACTGCCGTTTGTATGGGCATTGTGGGATTGGGACTGACCTGCCGTTTAGTGAACTTCTATACCACAATTATATGTATTCCTTCCCTATAAGGGCCCTTACAATGTACAAGGAACGCTTTGGCGATGAGATTCTTTTTTAACGGTGCAATGGTCATGCATGAAAAATACCATAATTGAATAATCCAACTAATTTTTGTCTTTGTGGTATCATCTCCCGGGACCGTCTGCTAATGAAGTAGCCACATAAGTACCAACAAACCCTTAGCATGGGCATTTCCGTGACTATATTCCACCTGTCCCCGGTACATTTCCCTTCTTGGGCGAACGTCCCCGTGCGATATCTGCATACAAAGTCCCACGCCCACCTGTGCCCAAGTACACGCGGCCATAAACTCTAGGGTCACCTTGGATCAGATTGAACCCGCCATACCGATGAGACTCATCATCGACGCGATCCCATGTAGCACCACCGTCATCTGAGCGATAGATTCCATGCTCAGTCTTGCGCGCGTTCCCTGGCCGACCACGGATAAACAACGCCGGCTGCTTCTTCTTTGCTCCCGCGCCAACAGTGATCAGCTCAGCCACCGTGCCCCGACTTGACACGCGTTTCCAGCGACGACCGAAATTCGTCGTGTGATAGACACCCTCTCGTCCCAGGGCAAGCCAAATTTCCCCGGCCCGAGCATAGTTCACTACTGGGACTGCACCGTCGTGGACGGGAAGACCGACATCCTTGGCCTTCCGGGCTTTGTATGATACTCCTCCGTCTGTGCTGACATACCATACGCTGTCGGTAAAAGCATAGAACGTCTTGGGCTGGACGCGGTCGGCGCTGAGATAAGGCGTCTGGACTGTTAGACCACGAGGTGACTTCCAGGTCTTGCCCCAGTCAAGCGACGCATACGGACCCGAGTCGGTAGCTGGCACATTAGGAGACTGCAAAGTCGGAGAGACGACGCTCATCGCTGACGTCCAGACCACATACTTCCCGGAGGCGTCGATGGCCATAACACCCGGGTTGGTACTGCTGGTGTTCACGCCCGGAATACAAGTCGCAAATTTCACCCAGTCGGTACCTTCGTTCTTGGAATACGCCGCTTGTCCACAGCCATCCTCATATTGGTGTCCACACGGTCCACCACGGACAATCACTTCTGGTTTCTTCCCGGCCCAGTCGAGAGTGTTCAGGTTCGAAAACACAGGGAGGCTGAGCATGGACTGGGGGGTATCGAGATCGTCGTGGCGGATTCCGTTGATGTCACCGAGCCCAGTGATCAGGTTTGCTGGGCCGGACGGGGGACTAATCATAGCTAAAGTCACTGTCTCTTCGATCCCCTGCGCCTGGATGTACCATGCCGGTGCGGCGTCTTTATCTGCTTGCGAAATGTTGTCGGTCGACCAGATCGTGGCGCCGGTGGCATACATGACATGGTCTGGATCACTTGGATCAATGAGGACTGCTGTCATCCACCATCCAAACTTAGTCAAGCCCTTGACAGGAGACGGAGCTCCATAGCCTCCCCAATGAGGTCCCCAGTTGAAGCTGAGCCAGTCAACTGTGGTGCCATTTTTCAGTGCGGCCTCCTCGATCGGATGTCCCCAGTACCCACCGCTACCGGATGGTGTGGAGAGCTGCGAGACGTCTTTCCATGAACGGCCACCATCGCGCGAGAGATACATGCTGTCAAGAGCTGGACCTGGGTCTCTGTCGAGCGAAACGACTACCACCGTGTCGGGATCGTCCGCTGCAACGCTCAATCCGCAGTATCCACCTGCAGGGAAAGCCTGGGGCGTATACGGGGCCGGCGACGTGTTCTTCCCAGTCGGGGTAATGTCCGACCATTTCGAAGAGGTAGTGTTATAGACATGCACAGCTCCGTACGCCACTCCCCACGGCCCAGGAGCATCCGCATAAGTCACATAGAGTGCGCCATTGGACGCCAGGACCGCTTTCATCGGCTGCGGTGCGGTGCTCTGTGGCTGCGTCTCATTAGGGTAGATGAGCAGCGACTCGTCCCATTCCTTTGGCTGTCCAGGCAAGGGATCCCAGCTCTTTCCCGAGTCTTTTGACACATACAATCCCCCGGGAACACAAGCACCAACATAAATAGTCCCTTCATTGTCCGGGTCAAAGATCACAAAGGTAATCCCGATCCCATTCGCTGCGGCATCGGGGAAGCTTGTCACATTTGTCCACGTTTTTGCGCGATCACCACTTTTCATCAACCCTGCATTGCGTGTGCCGAACCAGATTTCATTCGTCTTAAACGGATTCACAGCCAATCGCTCGCCGTTATTCCGACCCAGCTCGTTCGCGCCCATCGGGAATGGCGCCTCATGTCGCTTAAAACTAGCTCCTCGATCATCCGAGACGAAAAACGCGGTCTGGTTCGAGTTCAGATACCGGCCCTGTGCTAGGTACAGGCGATCAGGGTTGGTCGGATCCATGGCAACGCTCTCCGTACCCATGAGGTTCTCGTCCTCGGGTCCCAGGAAATCGGTCAGCGGGATCCATTTGTTGGCTTCTTGGTTCCAGCGATACGTGCTGCCAATATCTGTGCGCGCGTAGAGGAGGTTTTTCTCCGTCGGGTGGCCAACTATCCCTGTGATGTAGCCACCTCCAGTCACGGCTACCGAGTTGAATTGGTACGCATGGTTCGCGGTGGCGGCGATCGCGCCAGTGGTGACATATAAGGCCACTGTGAGCCGCTGAAGCCAGTCTTTCATGATGAAGCTGGTGGTTCTCATGAGGAGATCCCCGGGGGCACTGCGATCTTTTTATTTTGCACCAAAGACCAAGCCACAATATCTCGAATCATGCAATTACCCCGGATTGCGGACCGTCGCAACCGACCATTGGCTTTATTCCCCGTGAAACGGAAATTTTTGGCGGAGGTATACACCCCCGCGCACACTAGGAATGTTAGCTCGAGGGAAAGGGTGATTCTATATCAGCCCATTGGTGGTAAAAATACTCCTGCGAGTGTTCTCGGCTAAATGCGTCGATTCTGGGGTCTCTAAATTGCGGGCTCCTTGGTCTTTAGGTCTTGGGTGCGGAGTTCAACGTCTTCACTAGGCAGATCTTCTTTCCAGCGATAAACTCTTTCGACTAAACCGGTCGGATGTCATACGTGCCTTCGGATACAAAGTAAAAGCGAAGGATTTTATTATAGCGCTGGCGAAAATGAAAAAGTTCGAGGCCAAGGTACAATCTTGGAATCTCAGTATGCCAAAAGCATATCGCACCATTCCCTGGGTTTGGAGATGACCTCGAGTGAATAATAGGAATTTGCCGAATATTTTACTGCCAATTCTATTTCATCACGATTCTATATATCATGTTCTCTAGCGCTTTCGCGTTTCCTTTTGTCGGATGAACTTAACATAAAGTTCGTTTCACCTGCCAGCACAAATTAAACCTCTATACGGTGATTCTAATATACTTGACCCTCTTAAATAATTGCAATATACGACAGGCCTTTTGGTCTTTTCTGGTATTTTCTATTGCCCATACGCATGTCGGTCCGAGTATTCCTCCGCCGAAGAGAAGCCAAGCCAAACCCCCTTGCTTGTTTGGCCGCTTCACGTCATTTCAGCAACACAACATGGGAAAGACGAGTCTATTCCACCACCTAACAAAGCGACCTCAGGGATTGCTTCCTACCCCTCGATCTTTTTACCATGTTTACAGTAATTTTGTCATCTCGCGTACTGGCTCAAGCAAGCGTGGCGTCACTACTAATTCTGGCCTTCCCTCTGGACCACGCGTCTTTCCTAGTTCGGGGTAGGATGAACTCGACACGTCTTTATTAGTTGAGGAAGAGTCAATCCCCACATACAAACCGGAATTGTTCTATCCAGCTCACATCGGTGATGTCTTTAATCACCGATATCAAGTGGTTGGCAAGTTGGGCTACGGATCCAGCTCGACAGTGTGGTTATGCCGAGACTTACGGTATGCATCACTAATTCCTCTTCATGGTAGATCTAACTTAACAGGGAGCGTCGGTACATAACCTTGAAAATTTACACAGCGTCCAAAACAGTGACTCGTGAGATCGAAGCTTACAACCATATAAAAACCATTCAGTCCGATCACGCGGGTCAGTCATGCCTGCGATCGCTCATTGACACTTTCCAGGCTCGAAGTCCAAATGGAAATGGCGTCCACACTTGTCTGGTGCATCCACCCCTTGGTATCAGTCTCGATCAACTTACGAAGCTCCTCCCCAAGGGTGTTATGACCAGTGCGATGGTGAGAACGACTATCCGGAATGTTCTTGCAGCCTTGGACTTCCTCCACACCGAGGCCCGGGTTATTCATACCGGTTGGTATTTCTATGATCACCTCTAGGCTATTTTATAATAACCTATGCATTATATATTCAGGCAAATAACATTCTCCTCGGAATCAAAGATGACTCCATTCTGTCCAAATTTGAACAGGCAGAATTTCACTCGCCTATACCGCGAAAGGTTCTTGGAGATCGTACCATTTACCTTTCACGACCGCTTCCCATCTCTTTAGGGACGCCTGTTCTCTGTGATCTAGGCGAGGCTCGACTAGGAACCGATCAGCAACAGGGCGATATCATGCCGGACCTCTATCGTGCCCCGGAGGTTATCGTGGAGATGAATTGGGACTATAAAGTTGACATTTGGAATGTCGGCATGGTGGTATGTTGATTAACCATATAGCCACACCTCTTTCACCCAACAAAGCTGACAATTGCCGAGATCTGGGATCTCTTTGAACACCGACATCTTTTCCGGGCCCGAAATCCCGATCATAAATTGGACGATCGATATCATCTTGCAGAGATGCAGGCAGTTCTAGGAAGCCCTCCTCTTGAGTTCCTCGCTCGGAGCGAAAGAAGCCGCGACTTTTGGGATGAAAAAGGTTCGCTTCTGTCCCTGCCTTTACAATTCAATGCATGTGGACACGATTCGATTGACGATTTTCAAATCTACCTCAGGTCAATGGAAAGGCGCAGCTCTTGTCCCAGATTATAATCTCGAGGCACTAGAAGAAAGACTGGGCGGTGATGAAAAGGACGAATTCTTACGATTCCTCCGACGAATGCTATGTTGGCTGCCAGAGGAGAGAGCCACGGCAAAGGAGCTATTATTTGATCCGTGGCTAATGCAAGGGCTCTTCAAGTGAGGCAACCGTTGTGAATCCTAGAATAGTAGCTGTGGAATTGCCCGTTGATAGAGTGCCCAGGAAAATTGAAAGCTGGACAGTCTTTAGATAGTTTAGATGCGGAGGAGGAACATCACCACTTGCTGACCCAGAGACAAAGGGTGATTTAACGGCAGAACTACCATGTAATTATTCATGACTGATCTCAACTACAAGACAGCAAAGTACCTGAACAAACAAAATATCTTTTTTTCCTTCTTCGCTGATAGACAGTCACGTGCCAGGCAGCACGCGGGGTTCTCGCACTAACAACGCGTATGCGGAGCCACCTCTTGGGAATCCAACCTGAGCAGGAGATAATCATCAACAGGTAGATTTCTGCACAAAAGAGCACGCATGGCGAGTAAAATCCAGCGAACCCGCAACAGGGCTCCAAAGTCTCGAGGGGGCTGTTCTCGGTGCAAAAGTAGACGGGTAAGGCACCTTGAGCCATGTCCTGTGCGAGTGTCTAATTGCAATAGATTAGATGTGATGAGAATCGCCCTGATTGTCAGAACTGTGAAAAGCTCGGCTATCAGTGCCCCGGGTTTCAACTACAGTTGCGGTGGTCTACGAAACATGAGCGCCTCCAGGAGGCATTCTCGACCGAGTCATCTCGCGATAAGGCAAATGGCGTTAACCATGTTTCACCAGAAGCTCAAGGAACTGACGCTGGGCGATATGAGAACACAAGCCATGCAATCGATATCTCCAGCTGCTTCGACATACTAGGAAACGAAATCGACCCCTTGGCTCTAGACACTGCCTTAGACATGCCACCCGCCCTTCCGATAACTTCGCCCCCCATTTGTCCTGATCCCGCTTGGTGGCTCAATGATCATGAGAATCGGGCCACACAAGGTTTCCACGAAAATGATGCAATACCTGGATCGCAGGATAATGTGGCTACTGCACATAATCCGAGAATCCCACAGTCTCCAGTTCACCTACCGACCATGCTGGTCGAACATTGGTTTCGGCACGTTTGCCCAATGTGGTCCACATTTGACTCCGAGGTGAACTATAACCGCCAATTAGCCTGGAATTCGTGGGGCACATCCAAGGCAGTTTTCTATACAGTTCAAGCTATGTCGGCTGCCCGACTTTCCGTCAGCACGCCACATTATAGGGACATCATGTTATCGCTGAGAGCCCAGGCCGTGGCAGTCATTGATGAGGAGATTCACTCGATGCGCATGTTGCAGAGTCCAGATTTCAAATCCGACCTGTTATATTCAGTTTTCGCCTTGGGAAACTCATCACACTCCACTGCGTCGACTGACTCGGGGTATCCATGGTTCGATGTTGCTCGTGAATTACTTTCAACCAGGAAAGTGGAGTCCGCGTCCTCGAATGTACCGCTGCATACGTACTTCTGTCAAGCCTTGAGCTACTGGGAGATGCTTCTTGCTGCCGGAGGGTATGGTTCAATTCCTGGAAAAATGAAGAGAAAGCGACGGCATTATAACAGGAGAATTCGTCAAGCGATTGGTCTACCAGACTGCTGTACCCATGAAGTCCCCGTCGAAACCCCTCCATATGATCCAAAGCTACGACTTCTAGGAACCCGCCCAAACTCATGGTCGGGCGCGTCGAATGAGATTGTCGATCTTTTCGGTGAGGTATTAGCCTTGTGTCACAATGCCTATCTCTATGAAAAGAGTCAAAATGGCCTGAGTGCCACGCTCGCTAGCGATGTTCTTTGCGACTTATCGTTGGCCCACGAGTTACAAAGACAGCTTATTGATATAGACTTCGAAAGTCTTCTTCAGATGGAGAAACTTGAAGGATTTGACCTTCAAACAGGAGACAACAGTACGCCCATGGCTCACCTGTTGCAAACCGCCGAAGCATATCGCCAGAGTGCCTTGCTGCAGCTACACTTGACGTTCAATGATCTTCAAATGATCGAACCAGAGACCTCTCAAAATCTATCAGAGACATCGCACAGTGGAATTATGGGCAGTGCCTCCCCCGGCAGCCGCTCCAGAACAGAGTACCTTATTTCCTTAACCTTAGGTCTCGTTGCTATACTTGAGCGGATCCCCGCCGAATCAGGCTCGAGGTCTATCCATCTCATGCCATATTTATGTGCAGTCACCGGCCTCAGATTCGACTCTTTCCTCGAACCAGGCCGTATCCTTTCCGCAAATGATGAGTGTGATGCCGTCCACCTACCATCTGACGCCATCTGGGATTCCCTTGGTTTAGTGATGGATCCGTTGTCGCCTGAATTCACGTCCTTGGACTTGCCAGAAACAACCCACGATCACACACTCGGTTTGGCAAGCATCACAGACACGGTCATCTCACACTCAGCGTTGCAAATAACAAAAGCGCGAGATCTTGTCTTCACTCGACTTAGCAACTTTCAACAGACATTACCACATAGAAAGGTGGACGAGACGCTAAAGTTTGTCAGGGCTGTATGGAAGGAGTACGATGATCAGAAGTCCGATCATCTCAGCATCGTCCACTGGCTTGATACCATGGCTCAAAGTGGTCTGTCTATATCACTTTGGTGATTGTCCTGTTCTTTTGTCTCTTGGCTATCTTCCTTTCTTACGTTCTTCCAAACTGTTTATCGAATCCACATCCCCCCGGGTTGTTATTTCGAGCTCGTTGAGCGGTCACGATGAACCAGCTTTCCTAGCTCCAGACGACAACATTAATCCGTCCTTATAGAGTATTATTTTCTTCAAAAATAAAAAAAAGAAAGAAGCAAAATGAAGCCGAGGAAAGGTCCATATAAAGGCTCTCTCTGGCATAGAGCCACAGCATGCCCACTTCGCTACACGTTTCCACAAGACTAACTGTTATCATTCCACAACCACCCCTGCCCTACCCAAACCTATTCTGCAGCACCCGCAGCCTACTCAAATACGGATCCTTATCAACATACGTCCCCCTCAGCCATCGTGGCTTTCCCACATCAGCCATATCAAACGCTCGTCGGGAGTGCAAGGTCCGCGTATTGTCGAACAGCACACACTCGCCTGGCTTCATCTTGCGCTCATACAGATACTCCGGCCGCTGCAGCAAGGCATTAAATTTCACAGCGGCCGAATGCCACCGATCGACCTTCTCGTTCAGCGTCGAAAGAACGGCGCCATTCCCACGCCCCAGTTCAACCGGATCCTCGTGGTTCGAAAAGGGCGCGAGAAACGGCGGCCCCCAGTTTATTTTCTGCAAGGAGTCGACGAGCGTGGTGGTCTTCCATTCGGGATCTGGGGATACGTGGCCTAGGCGCTCTAACTCGTCGAGGTAGTCTTGTATACGGGGATAGACTTTGTCGCCAATAGAAAGGGGCTTGAGATCGATTACCGGCTTTGTGGTGTGGTAGACATTTGAGTCCGGATGGTTATAGTGGTAGTTCACTGGGATGGAGGCCAGAGCGTCGAAGGCGTCCATATCGGTGTGAAACAGGTCTACTGCCGCCTTGTACCCGTCGGCAAATACACTGGCTCCTCCTGACGAGGCGGACTGGATGCAATGCAGGAGCTGTACGTGGGGCGGACACTGGAAATATAGCAGGTCTGTGTGGAAGCCTAGATCGTGCGAGGTATACGCGGCGTTGATGGCGGCCGGGACGGTGCGTACTACAATTTGATACACTTGTTAGCGGAGCACGGAGATGCAAAGCAGAGAACGGAGACGCACCGTCCCATGTATGGCCGTAAAACGTATCCTTCACGGGTCCGATCCGCGTTGCGATAGTCGCCAGGGACTCCTCGCGGCCAGGGACGTTCGTGACGAATGCGAGCCCCTCCGTGCTCAACTGGTTGATGAGCTGGTACAGTGCATGGTCGTCCTTCATGTAAGTGCCATAGTCGTAATCTGGTAGGTTAAGTGGCTCCTGGGTCCACAGGATCGGGACCGGGAGAGAATCTTTATGCAAGCCAGGCGCGCGTCCCGATTGCGTTAAATTGCGCAGGGCTCCCATACTCAATGTAGTCTGGTGGTCTGAGCCGTACCCCGGGGCGTCGTTCTCCCACTTGATGTAAACCGAATTCGATGTGGTGTCAATCGTGATCTCTCGCGCGTGGACATTGGCAGGGATGTCGGCTGTCGAAAATAGCCTTTGCTTGGTTGACTCATGGACGCAATATGGACAGGAACACGAGTCTCGCAGAAGTACAGCTGATAACTCTGCCATATTTCCATCTATAGGCATGCGTACTCTTGACGGCGGTTCTTCCGCTTGAGGACCGTGTTTGATCGGTACGTTGGCGTTGCGTGACATGGAGTATGAATGGCGAAAATGGATGGATTTTCCAATGGCACTAAAAGGTGGCTGTTTTCCAATCTGTCAGCGACATTCTCCATTAGTTAGAATGGAATCATTAGGCACACTTACGCGTGCTACTCTGGGCCTTGGATTTCGGGCCTTCGGGGGCTGGAAAGACGACTGGTGCCGCAATGTGGACAGCGATAGACGGCATAACGGCACTCTACCTCCGCGTCGGATAGCCGTAGATACAGGAAGGCTCCCAGTAACATGCATCTTAACAGGCGTACATAGAGACATTGAAGAATGAAAGTATACAGATGTGCTCGTGCTGAACTTTAGTAACAGGAACTTTGGAGGTCATATAAGTCGGGTGGAATTCATCAATCGCCCCGCAGGTCTCCCCAGGAAGAGACTACTATAGAATGTTACCAAGTTAGTGAATTCTATACGAGTTTGTCTAGGCAATGAGGTCATTAGCATGGCAATGTCTGCATAATGGGAGTCAGATGGAGACTCTTCGTACAGACCTTCCTAATAAGGCTAGTTAGGCAGCGATGATAGACTAAGCCCTAATAGGCAAGGGAATACGCTGCAGGCTCCACTTTGATGCTGATTAAATTCCAGTATATGGTCTATTTCACGTCCAATTTCCAAATTCTCAAATCGTCCATCGCGTTCTTTCTTGTCCCCAAAATGGCTACCACGAAAGCTATTCCAGCAGCGGTTTCTGACAAGACGTCCGATACTGCTCAACAAGCTGCTAAAACGCCGTTGCAGTTGATATCCCAAGGAGCCTGCCTCCCAGGAATCCCAAGACATCCGAGCTTTACTGCGCAAAGACAATGGATCCTGGAACAGATGGCGCTTGCTTTCCGCGTGTTCGCTCGAAAGGACTACACGGATGGTATGGCTGGGCATATTTCCGTGCGCGACCCAGAGAACCCGCACACATTCTGGACAGTAAGGACAATCCTATCCTAGATGTTGATGAGAAGTCACCTGATCGTGTCTAGAATCCATTGGCAGTGCACTTTGGAATCTTAAAGGCTAGTGACATGATTCTGGTCAACTACGAGGGCATGCCGATTGGGGGTAAGAGCTTGATCTCTCTCTAGTCCAAGCAAAAGCCATACTGAAGACATATTTCTAGGGAATATGAGCCGTCCCGCGAACGCTGCCGGGTTCCTCATTCACAGTGCTGTACATAAGGCTCGGCCGGATGTTGAGGCTGCCTGCCATACCCATAGCCCCCATGGTATGGCATGGAGCGCTTTCGGACGGCCGCTGGAGATGTTGACGCAGGACGCTGCTTACTTGTATGGGGACGCGCAGGCAGTTTATCAGGTATCCTCCCTTTTTTCCACTTTTGTCTGGACTCATGGGTTAACCTATTGTAGGAATTTGGTGGTGTTGTGCTGACCGAGGAAGAAGGCAACCGTATTGGTGCTGCGCTAGGGCCAACAGGCAAGGGTATGATATTGCAGAATCATGGCCTTCTCACTGTGGGATCGACGGTCTCAGAGGCATGCTTCCTAATGACCCTTATGGAGCGTGCTTGTCAGTGCCAATTACTTGCGGAGGCTGCAGCGGCAAATGGCCTGGAAAAGATCTATATCCCAGATGAAAGTGCTAGATATACCTTCGAGAACTCAAGTGAGCCTGAAACGCTGTATTGGGAAGGCCAGCCAGATTTACAGTTTGAGGAATACATGAGCAAGGGCGAACATCAGAAGTAATAGAAATATGTGAAGAGGACTAATTCATAACGTTTCTGGATTATTGGGTGGAATCTGTGCATCCTGAGCTCGTCCTTCACTCGTTTAGCGGAGTAAATGAATCTAGGACTTGGTTGGTCTCGCTACCAGGGTCACTGTCTGATAGCCGATGACATGGGGGCTATCTCTGAAATGCAGCTCCAGTTCAGGAATAAGCGCCTGCTGCATCTTCTCGTAGCCAGGATCATCGATAAACCACAACCCAGCAAGGATCTTCGCCGCCTCGGAACAGCGCGCGGAAAGGTCTTTTTCCGGGAAATTGCAAACTTCCTCCACCCTGCGAACGGTAATATTCCCAAAACCGTGCTCCGCGAAGATCTCCGATGCTCTGTGGAGAATCTTTCCGTGGTGGTCAAAGTTTGCATCCTGGCTGAGTGGGACGGCGACTTTATTAATCAAATTCATCACCTTACTGTCAGGGCCTGGTTGGGTGACGATGATGAACGATTCTGGATTCGAAGAGTCGACTACTCGTGCCATTTCATGTAGTGACTTATCGAGGTCAGTGACGTACTGGAGACTCGAATTTGCCATTACAGTGTCGAATTGGTTGTCTGGGTAAGGGAGACTCTCTGCGGCGGGGCCCTGGTCAGCATCAGAGTCGGCAGTAGACTCCTTCTGCCTTTTGGCGAATTCCGCGGCCGATGATGCTATCGCTCAATATCAGCTAAAATCTATTAATGTGGAGTGGAAGACTCACCCCTGCACGGTTCATTCATATCCAGGAGCTTCTTGGAATTTTTCAGAAGCTCCTCAATACGTGAAGTCTCATTACCACCCATTCGCTGAGCGAGGGCCAATACACCAGCTGCATTGAACTTTCGAGGGCCTCCATAACTAGGCGGAAGAGGATAGGGGCCAAACAACGGTTCCTTTTGTGTCTTGCGGAGAACTAACAGGTAAAGCTCCTCCTCCCCATGCTGATCGGTCGCAGGCCAGGGAGCATAAACCTCAGTCTCGAACGTCAATCCCGCCTTCTCGAACATCTCTATCCAGCCCGTGCGTGTAAATAGCGTGATGTCGTACGTGTTGCCCATCCACGGGTGCGGGTAGTGGCGCACGCATTCCCCCGAGTCATCAAACAGTTTCGGATCTTTGACGAGATAATCAGCCAGAACCGTGTTCATCACACACAGGCCGCCCGGCTTCAGCCATTCTGCAAACCGGAAGATCATCGAGTACGTTTCATCGCGCGTGATGTGGAACAGGGAAAAGCTACCGAGCACAACGTCGAAGGTAGTCTGGGCTTTGTACTCAGTCATGTTACATCTCTCGAAATGGCCCTTGACTTGGCTTCTTGCGATGTCGATCATGGTCTGCGAGCTATCGATTCCGTGAACTTCATGGCCGGCCTGTGCGAAGCCCTCGGCCATGGGTTTCCCGGTGCCGCATCCGACATCGAGGATTTTGCTTTTCGGGGGTATTTTCTGTAAGACGATGTCGAGGATCTTGGCTTGACCGGGATTGTCGCCGTAGCTCTTCTCGTACGACTCTCCCAGCTGGTTGTAGAGGTCCTCGCTGTTTGACGGCATGGTGGTGATATTTTGGGTGATCGTCGGAGTCAAACAAGGCAATTTTGAATGTCTAGCGATTCTAGAAACTCAAAGCTTATATGCGCGATATTGTTCAAAAGTAAGAGAGATAGAGAGGGAGTTCACTTCTAGGACCTGCTGGCCTGATATAACTCGGTCCCCGCAGCTCAGACAACACCTGCATGCAGATGCATCCAGACAAGGGATCTACACTGTATGCTACTAAACTGGATTAGGGTAACCCCTCTGCTATCCCTTTTACATGATGTTTCTAGCATTCTTTCGCCGGCCTAGACCTGTCATTGGAAGCAAAAGTGCCTCCAGGCAGACGAAGAACTTGCAGCCAATAGCGAAGCACCACGCGACTGCGATAATGTACCCTGGTTATGTGGGTGCTTCCTCTATGACGAGCTCATGTTCGGAGTGAGTCTATGACGTATCCAATGCAACCAACCCCTCCAGAGTCAATTAAACCGAAGGGGTTTCACGAGCTCCGCCCGTACTGCTGCTATCCCTTGGTAGGAATTCTTAATAAGTCGTGCAACCCCTCGGCACGGCCATTTCTCGTCTAACTTGAAAGATGTCTTTTGGCCCCGAGTCACATATGTATAGTGGCGTTGCCACTGCTCAGTTTGTGGTTTTTATTCTTAAGCAAAGTTCCTCGATTCCGTTGTCCCGGAACAATGCAGTCGACTCTTGGACTTACGTCGTAGAACAATGACTCATTCAACATCACTTATGCGGTTTGATAAATGATTACATCCCTTGCGATGGAATATCAAATTAAAGCAGCTACAGGGGATGAAACTTACTGTTGGCCAAGGATTTATTAGCGGATCACGGGACCTCTGTACAAGGCTGACAAGTAAGCAGAAACGCACACATAAAACAGCATCACCGCTTCCTTGATGTTTTTTATCTTCTGTAATTCACTATGGACTTAACTGATTGCTCTATTCACCCATCTGGCGAGGTCTACGGGCTTGGGGCCCGCCTTGGGCTCTATTTGAATTGCCTCACGCTGCTCCTTCTAAGTCTTTCCAACTGTGGATCATGGGCGCTACGATCGACTGTTCAAGCCAGCAATGCGTTGATTTCCTGCACCATGCTTACACAATTTGTCATAAATGCCGTGCAATCTAAATTGGTCGCGCCCGATTTCCTGATAATGTTTTATCTGATTGTGATGCTCTTTTTTCGTGATTCTTACAATGCCCGAAGGAAGTTCAACATGACGAAGGGTGGTTTTATATACGTCTTGGAACCGGACGATGTTCTTCTTCTACAGAATACGGTGTGCCTTGCAGCGAGTACCATCGGGGTGTGGTTCTGGATAGCTGGGCTGGACCAAGTCTCACCAACGGCCTGCACCACCAAGGCTGCCGTGGTCGGGGTATTTGATATGAATCAGACTCGCTGGCGCAGATTTGCTATCACCTTTTCGATCTTCAGTGCCCTGGTTTATTGTTTCCTGCTTTACATTCATGGGAAAAACCATCGGTGGTGGACCACCTCATGGCTCCTCCGCCGGCCCGTTTCGTCGGAACCACAGATCAAATTTAGCCAAAAATGCTCGTTATATATTTTCCCTCTCCCAACAAGCGACGATCTCAGAGCAGTGTTCGCAATAGACGCCAGTGTCGTGTTATACGTCATACGTGATCTATTCGATACCAAAATGTCCACGCTCCGCGTATTGGGAGCGATCCTCCTCCTCTTTTGGTGGATTATCCTGAATATCGCCGCCCCCATAATTGCAGTTGTCTCAGTGGAGAGGATGATACTAGTCAACTCCATAAGAACCAGTCCTATCTCAGAGTCGGCAGGACAAATCCTCATCCTCCTTATTGGTACATTCAATCTTCTCTCTGCATCTCGCGAGATCGTGTCGATTCTCTGGGTAAACTACTGTGGGTCGCAGCCTCCTCCCGTACAGAGCCTGCTTGACATCTATGCCTATCATTTTCCAACGCCAGTGGATAAGAGAGATCTTCGCGAAATCTTGCAAGAGACTATCTGGGCCCATCACCGCTTTGGCCCAGACATTAGCTTGCGGTTCGAGATGGATTCCCAGGCGTCTCTTCTCTCGACATTGCGAATGGCATTGGTATGCGAGCTAGGCGACGAAATGGACACTAATGCCAAAAACGGAGGAAAGTCATCCCTAGAGCAATTTCGCACCTTGAGAGTCCTGGAGGACCTTTTTCCTGAGCTTCCGGAATTTCGCTCTTGTCGAGGTGCGGCATTGTTCACGGCAACGAATCAGGGTAGACTGGATGTGCTCAAGCTCCTTTTGGGCGTTGATGATGACAACGCTGAAGGCACAGTCGACAATGAAGATGATAAGATGCGACCGTCTACTTCTTCCATGGTATATCCACCCGAGGCGCGGCGCGCTCTAGTATCCCAAGCCGGCTTTGTGGCAAGGAGGCAGAGGTGGAACGAAGAATTGGACGATTTTCTCCACGAATATAGAAGATCAACGGCGGGGTAAACTGCCTGTGGAATGAAGGGGGGTTCAACTTGGGTTCAACTCGGTTCAGGGGTTCAACCCAGCCCGCAGAATCCGCTTGCAATCCGCATGAGTTGAACCTCTTCCATCACTAGATTGCTATCTAGTTCAACAATGTCAAAAATGTAAAACCTCTTTATATCACTTTTCTTTCACTTCAGTTATTTAATAAAACTACAATGTATAGTATAGATCCTTCAGAGACTCCTTTTCTCGTTGTACCATGTTTAAACAACTCTGTACTCCCGAAGTATGCCACCCGACTAGCAATATATATAAGTCCTGAACAGCAATTGGGAACTCTCTTCCAGGTAACATTGCAACAACAGAAAGAATATATTCCAAAGAACAATTGAAGACTCCTACTATAGATGACTCTAGAATGAAACTTTTACTTTAAGTAGCAAATGCTGAAAATAAGTTGTCGCAAATGTGCCAGTACGAGGATATTGCCATGAAAGCCCCGACCCGATAACAATAACAATGTGATCTTCTGACTAATGCCTTGAATTATGTGGAGGAAGTAAATTCATAGAATAAAATGCAGCGGCTTGATTGTAGTCTCCTAAAAAAATGATCTGAATAACAAAGAGTCCCAAACTCTCCCGAAGATTCACGATACTCTTGTAGCCCGACTGCCGTAGATTGACTATACTCAAGCGGCGGAGGGGAAGAAAGCAATTTAGACCTTCGGATATGTACAGAGACATAATCTAAAAAATGGTACAGAATCTATCCTCGAAGACCCCTCACTTCAACCTGTCCCCGAATTACCTCACGAAAGGTCTTGGTGTTCGGTTGGACAGTAAAGGGGACAGCGCCATCTATAATCCGAAGCCATTATATGTAGATATTGGAATCAGAACATATTGCCCAGACCCCAGACATCACCGAGAGAAAAGCGGGTAGGCCGCAAACACAAGAAGATACGATCCAGTCCATTGCCCTGACAAAGAGACATACTCCTGAGTGGTGTTCAAGGCTGATTTGCCTTGCCAGTATTTGAATTATGCCTCGGTGAAGAGAGCCCATACGGCGTAGTCCTTAGTATCGGAGTGTGGAGGATCTCAAGATGAAGGGGCTGATTCTCTTGTCCCTCCAAAGAAATTTAGTGATACCTAGTACTCCGTACCAACTCCGAACTTCTCATTCGAGTCGATGGGAGCTCAACAAAACTTGCTAGCCATTCAAATCAAAGAATGTTTGTTACCAAACCGATAATATGCCATAGGCGCTTCAAAAGGACATCTTTAGTTTCATGAAGCGTGGACAGAAATGAGTGATAATCACTCATATCGACTGATTAAGTTAAGTGGATGGTAATTTGGAATGACTAGAGTTAAACGAGGGATTGGCATCTTAGTAAGACCGTTCAGGGAAATGCTTGGAAGGGAGAACTGCTTTTATTTTGCTCCGTCTCACTGCAGGGTGGCTGGGGGCTCGTCCATGATCCCTGCCTGGGGTCCAAGGCCACGCGGCCGTCAACCTGCGATCCAACTACGGGCATCCCGCTTGTTGGATAGGATTGGCGTTGTCAAAAGAAATATCTATGAGGTTGCATTTGATGTGTTCATGTGTTCATGGTTTAATTCTGATCGCTGCGATCTCTTGCGCAGCGAGTGGTTTCCGATAGGAGTCCAGGCGCAGTTTTCCGGGAGGCGGCTCAAGAGAACAGAATTTCAGATCGACCGAATAGTGTCGCTACCGGGTAGCTAGTGTCATGAACGTGGTCGAACTAGCTAAGCGTTCATTGCAGATACTCCATGCTTGCTGACAGCGTGGAACGTCTAGGGAGGCAGTGTTTGCGCGTGGTGCGACGGTGAGCCGCACGGGCAGAAGGATTTAAAAACAAAGGGGCCATAATATGGGGAAATGGCATGATAGTGAATACTGCGTAGTTGCCCGGTGTTCGATCTCAGTCCTGGCCAATAGGAAAAGAAACTAGATGCTCTCAACCCCTGCAGAGTTACATTGGTGGAAGAGTGGACTCCACTTCGCTGCAGATTTGAAGGCCGTGTTTGGGGCCGGGGCCAAATTAGGGCTCAGCAACCCCAAATAGGCATGTGCACGAGCGCTAGACCACGCTTCCGCCCGGCCCCAGAATCTGTCAGCCAAGACGTCTGTAAGTCTGTTAAAGATCTCAGCGGATCGAATGCCTTTGTCTGGGATGGGACGCCTTGCATTGCCCTGGTCAGGGCTTTTTCATTAGAGAAGTAGTTGCTTGCGATACATGGAACCCGGGATATGTCTATAGCGAGGGAAAAGGAAACGTCGGCAAATAATATGAACACGTATGGTTTTTGTTTGTTTTAACCCAGTCTCAAGATGAATACTCAAAGGAGAACAATCAGAGAAAAGGACTGAGACCTCCGTACTGCCCTTGTCGTCCAACAACATTGTTTGGCGGGATTGGCTTGCTCGCATACCCCTGCAGCCTGAAGCATGGGGTCCATGTTGCCGTGCAGGGATCTGTAGAGGAGGCTTATTGCATTCTCCGGGGCTCGCCCTGGGGCCGTTTTTAGATCGATTTACGTTGTCTATCTGACATGCGTGGAAGACTAGACTCAACCAAGCAGGACTGGAGCTTGTTTCTAGAAGCACCATCTCTCAACATTCACATTCTGGGGCCGTTCTAGAGCGAAAATCGAGCTAGCGTGTTACACTGTCCATCCATTCAAACTAATGAGCGCATTTTTTCAAGCACAGCCCTTTGTTTTGGCCCCGGGTCGACGGCAACGATGTTACAGAAGCATTGTTTGACTGGGCTAGACTAGTCGAGCCATGCATCAGATCATACAGACTAACAGAATCGAGAGTCAAGACTGACCATGGAAGGGGAAGAATGGAGGCTCGAAAAACACATAAATAGGCCCTTGATTCCCGCCTCAAATCAGAATATCATCACTCACAATCACTCTCATCAACAGCCTCCAGCTTCTCTATCCACTCTTTCACTACATTCTTTGATCGGAATTCCCAGGCGGAAAACCCCAAACAGTCAATCATTCAAAATGCAGTTCTCTACCATCTTCTCTGTTGTTGCCCTCATCACCGGCGTCATCGCCTCTCCCACCCTCCAGACTCGCGACGAGAACACCGTCCTCGGATACAAGGACGAGTGCGCCTCCGACGGATCCCTCGGCTACTGTGACGAAGGCTACTACTGCAAGGTTTGTCTACTCCCCTTTCTCGGGATAGGCCGCCGAATGGTGCCTGTGAAAACATGATACTAACGACTACTATAGGTGGATGTCTCCGAGGACACCGGAAAGTGCTGCGAGGAGGGCTCCGGCTGGGCTATGTGCTAAGCAGCTCGCCCGACACCTTGTCGACACTTCGATTCTTGGTCACCGGACCTTAATTCAGCAACAATAGGCGGACGATGTTCAGAGAGGCGGAGGAGTTGCTTGAAAGTGTACAGTGGAGGATCGTGTACCTAGTTGTTGCTTTGTGATTTGAATATTATAGAAGAGTTTTTCTTCACAACCTCTCGTCTTTGCAGTATCGTAGAAATTTGTCTTGATGGAAAATATCTCTTGCGAGTAACACGGCACTATAAGTTAAGTTGGGTAAAACAATACAAATTCTGCTAACTAACAGCAGAGTTCCAATCGTCTTGCGGATCATTCTGGTCAGTATTTTCCCTCATCATCTACTTCCCCATATGAACCGGGAAATATATAGACATCTGCTAACTCATGGTTGAGCTCCAGGTAGAGACCCGAAGACAAAAAAGAAGACCGAGGTTTCAAGGGCGGATCGCAAAACATGCCTATTCAACCGCCATGGTATTATACACACAATCCGACCGTGACATGTATGTTGGCACAAAGAGGTCTCATCATCGAGCGGGAAAGGTGGTTAGGCTTTATCGACAGCAAAACCACCCTCGACCAGTATCAACATTGAGCGAAACAAACTTGAAAGGCTTGTTATCCATTTGATACACCTTCGTGGGATCTTGCCGGATCCCGACAAAAAGTTCAAAGACATCTGTCTGCTGTATGTGATGCAAGGGCCCGAGCACTTCGTGGATCTCATGATAAAGCAGTGAACCACCAAGGTGCATGTATAGCTCTCGAAGACCAGCCATATTCGCGAGTATCCGGCAGGTTTCCTCCCATGTAGCAGCGTCATACGGCGGGACGGCATTTTCACTCTTGTCTTCTCCGTACATAAGTACAGGGAAAGCGTACGCCAGGTGAACGGTCCGGATGAGATTGAGCCGTGATGGGAGAATAGTCTGCGATAGGCTGAGAATAGTATCGATGTGGTTGAAGCGGAAAGTGTTCTCATGATAAAGCATCGGGATGGCCTCTGAATATCTGCCTTCGATGTTAGCAACCCGGAGCAACCTTGTGTCGTTGGTTGATGACAGAATGAAATAGGACTGAACTTACATCATGCGACAAGTTTGAAGCAACGGAATTGGGTCAGGGAACAAGGGACAGCCATTTGTGTCTAGCAAATAGCCCGGACAAATGCCATGGTATCCCGGAAAGGCTCTTGAAGGCTGACCCCAGCACAGATGTGCACAGGGTGGCCACCGGGATTCCTCCTCTTCCCCGAGACACTGGATAGCCACGAGCTTCTTTGCCTCTCGTACTAGATGTAAGTCCATATTTCCAACGCAAAACGACCAGATCTTTCGACGTATCTCCAGTGGGAGTAAAGTGAGGAAGTTTGATTGCTGCTGAGAGCACATGTATTGTTTCCTTGTTGATCCCTTTTGTTCTTCCAGCTGAATCTCCACGAAGGAAACCTTGTCGATGTCGCTCGAAATGCTCAAAGCTCGCTTGCGCCCCAAGGGAAGAGGCTTCGGGGCATTTGCCTTTCGTTTCTTTCTTATGGCTCTTGGAACGTTGGCGTCCGGCACGAAGAAGAATGCCAATTTAAAGACAATTTCCATGAGGTGCATTTTGTCGAGGTTTCTCTGATAAGTCTAGCAGAGGTGATTATGAGAAGATGATCCCCGCTTTTTTGTGCCCTTCGAAGAGAGGCTGCTTTTATATGACAAGCTTACGATGATAGTGGGATAGTGGGATAAGTGCACAACGCGAATTCAAATTTCAAAAGCATCAACGAGGGTAGACGGAGACGCAACGAGACTTGAGGGAAAAGAATAAAAAATTTAAAAAAGACAACTCAAGACAAAAAGGCAAGAGTAAAAACAAATCTAAACGCCGATAAAGAGTGCCATGAGGTCATAAAGGTCTGATGGTTGCGTATCGAGTGGAGAAAATAGAGCGGGCGCTTGGAGAATCGATCAGGTCGAATCAACAGCTTGTGTCCAGATAGCCGTGGATAAACAAGTGTATAGAGTCGAACCCGACGAATGGCTAGAAAAGAACCTCCAGTTTCAGATTTTTGCGCACCGGCCAATCTAAGTAATGGCCAGACCCCTTATCGAGTGACTATGAATATCCATGGCTTGGGAATTGACTCGCTAACAAAGAAAATCGCCTATGCGGGCGCTTAGGTTACGGGGTAGTTGGAGACGATTTGATAAACCTGGCCACGAAAGGATAGCGCCAGCCTGTCGCCTAGTGTTCCGAACCGCAGGGACCTATGAAATCAACTGAACAATCTATTTGCCCAGAGTGCGGTAATTTGGTCCAGCTAGTCTACTCGTTACACGTTGCAGCGGTACCGACAGAATGGCGCTACTAGAGAGGCTTAGTACAGAGATAGCTGTCAGCCTCCAACGGCGCTAATATCTAGAATCTGAATCGTTACCGAGATGCTTTCAAGCTGCATAGGCCCTTGGGCTTTGACATAGTGTCAGGAATACAGCAGAGAAGAAAGATAATCAAGCTTAAGAGAACACATAATAAATAGCTAGTGCTTTTGGAGAAATTCTTCGATCAAGGGATAATTCTTTCTATTCAAAGTATTTGGTTTATTGAAAAGCTCATATCAAACATGAACCTCACTTCCAAGCAAATCTTAACCCTCCTGATCTCTAATTTCATTGTTCTGCAACATGCCAGTGCCTGGGTGTTGGATAAACGCTGCGACGACCTAGGTCTGCCTTTAACTGGCTTGAAGTCTTAGGAAAAATGCTGACAAGTTCTATTAGGGTATGGAGATCTTGTACGACGAGGCATGGCCAAGGCCCTTGACATGGCACAAGCGGCCCAAGACACATTACAGGCCCTTAAAGATGGTACTCATAACGAGGCCCAAATGGATCTTTTCGAGTACATGTTTTCGTTTGCCGTTGAGGGCAACGGTAATAACCGACGCCTTAAAATGGACGAGTGGGAAAGGATCGTGAATACGTACACTGAGGTTTTGAAATTTGCACCAGTTCGACAACCAGATGAAGACATACCGACGACCGAGGTCGTTATTTATTGTGACTATTCGCGCTATATTGAAGGCCAAAGCTGCAGCGGCAAGAAGAAGAGAAACCTTGCCTGCGACAAAGACACCAGTCTCACCAACAAAATTAACTTTGTTTGGAGACAGTGCAAGAGCACCGTGGCCATGGTTCCTGCGATGGTATGGAGTCATCCTGCATATTCGGACTGTTTTGCTAAGACAAACTTTTATAAAACCAGGCTCTAACATCGTCGAATGGAAGTCGCAGGTTTGCTCAGATGGACTTGTGTGGTTGGTACCTGAGGTTTGTTTCGACATCGAAGAAACAATTCTGGGTTTGTATTTCCTTCGACCCGATCAGGAGCATATCTGACGAGAACAGAGTGACATCAGCGCCAAGTCAATCCTGGCAAAACCGCTACATGAAGTTTTCAATGCTAGATATCTCCGCAGCGAAATGGATGCAAGTGCTCTGCTTGATCATACAATTCTACATGAATTGACACATGCGTTATCTCAAGACGATACGGACGACGTCGGCGGCATGCGAAGCTATGGTAAATTTCTAGCTTATAAGTGCAAGATTCAAGCAAGTGTGCTAACATTCGTAGGTTGGAGACGCTCTGTAGAGATAGGAAAGACTTCCAAGTTTTGGAGAAATGCCGACAACTATGCCTACTTTGGTCTAGGTAGGAGCAAGTCATTCATTACAGAGAACTATCTGCTAATTGGCAATGCAGCCGCCAGAATGATTAGTCCCCGTGATGGAACTTCTGCAGCTCGCCCAAATAAAGATGGTTCAACATCCGCTCTTACCGTGGCAAGTGAGCAGCTGCTATAGCCTAGTCAAAATGGCAATGTTAAAAATAGATATACAAGTAAGTCAGGCGATGGGTCGATCTCGAGAAGGTGAAATGGACATGACGAAATGGGTCGTAAAACAATCTCTTAATCAGATATGCAATAGATTCTGGAGGTACTAGGCCAACCGCTATCCCTAGTTTTCTGATATCCAACAAAGCAGACTAGCTTCGGTTCAGTTGATGTTAAAATATTAGCCCTGTGCTTATTCCCCAGGTAGTTGATTAAGCAAAACAATCGACAAAAGGTAGCCCGGTCTTCTCCTTGATGTCCGTCAACGCCTGCACGACCTTCTCATCCTCGAACTTCTTTCCAACAAGCTGCAATGAAACCGGTGCATTGATTTGCTTCCGAGCGTCATAATGCTCATGGCACCAACTATCATGTTCATTTCTAGGGGTATAAGTTGTGTCTTTTTCGTCCTTTCCGGGGTCAACCCGCGTCACAGGGAACACAATGGCGGGATAATCAAGCAAGTTCCAAATAGATGTGTACCCCCAATATCGTGATGTATCAATAACTGGTGCTGGGGAGGGATGGGCAGGACACAGAATAACGTCCATTTCGGGGGCGATCGAGTTCCATGCTGTCTTGGGTCAATGCGTCTGTCCATGGGGATTAATATGAGGGGGAAAAAGATACCTTGCAGATATTTATAGCGAAATACCTCTCGCTTCAGAGTCCAGCCCCAAACACCATGGAGATCGAGCTCTTCAATACCTGGAGTGTCACGAAGCGTCCACTCGAGAAGGGGGAGGTAAGGCTCTCCAGAAAGGGCCAGGTTTTGAGCAAAGGCCTTACCCCCATCTGGGGCGTAGAGTCTCGTCTATCATTTTCGACATTAGTTTGTCCTCAGAAATTAGTATGGAGAAGCTAAGTCCTACCAAGATCTCTAGTGCTTCTGTTTGCTGATATGGTTTCCATTCGATCACTTCAATGCCAGGAATTGACTTCAACCTATCCACTGTCTCCTGCAGTGCTCTCGTTACAGGAGGCGTTGGCTTCACAACACCATCCTCCCACATTACTCCGACGGTCAATTTTCTCTTCTTGTTTTGGTAAATCAAAGGCTCTTGCCCCCGCCATGGGATTTGATGCAGTGTTGGGTCGCTTAGCCAGGGCTTGGCATCAAGAACCGTCTTCATGAAAAGACTGATTCCTTCCAGAGTAGGAGATAGCGGTCCAATAGTCCCGAGTATAGTCTCGCATCCTATCACATAGGCTGACACGCCGATAATGGGTAGTCGGCCTGCGGTAGGCTTCAGACCATACAACCCGCAGTTAGCAGCTGGTGAGCGGATGCTGCCCCCTGCGCCCTGTTAGCCCGACGAACTGACAGGTAGAAAGTGGACGGAAGCCATACCAATATCCGATCCAATTCCCAACGGACTTCCATGTAAAGCCTGCAATGCTGACTCTCCTCCCGATGAGCCACCCGCGGATAGAGCTGTGTTGTGCGGGTTGACCGTGTTTCCTGTGATGTTGCTGCACGTTTCCAGAGCCATCTATAAGGAAATGTGTTAAGATCAGAGTCGGTCGCAATTGACCACTTGGAAGATTCTTACAAGACCCTGGGGCTCAGTCGTTCTGGCGTAAATAACAGCACCCGCCTTCAAGAGAATCTTCAGGACATTGGCATCGTCAGGACTCTTCCGTCCCACCCAACCAACAAATCCAGCGGTATTGTCTCGTCCAGCAATGCCAACATGCCCTTTCACACTGATTGGCAGACCGTGAAGGGACCCAGACGGTTTACCATGCTTTGCGAAGTACTCATCCAGTTCTTTCGCTCGAGCCAGAGCTCGTTCGGGGAGCAGTTCGTAGATACAATTGGTCTGCGTCATGGATATCAAATGTCAGCATGTTGTAAAGCACGCTCGTCTATTGGCGCTCTATCTTACCAACTTCTGAGCAATTGCAGCACGCCGAAGAAAGGCCTGAGTTACTGCGGTTGCTGTTATTTTGCCCTCGGCCAATGAGGTTACCAACCCCTCGGCAGAAGTTTCTGTGATTTCCACTTCGGATGGTGACAGAAGTTGTCGAGGTATGTCAATCACCCTGCTTGAGAGTTGCTGTGGTAATTCAGGAACGGCAGGCTGAACTTGCGCAATGGAATCATCTCGCACAGCCTGCACTCCTTTTGCGGTCTCCTGCCACGACGTATTCCGATTTTTGATCGTCATTCTTTCAGGGGTCTTTGTATTGCCGATCTTGGTCCGAATGTTTGAGTCACAGTGTGCACAACAGTTTGGTCGCAGCTAATCCTGACCTGTTTGCAGGATTGGACCAGCAGCACTGGCCACTATATATGTACTGGACTTATAGTTCATACCAGTGTCTCATGATATATTGAGGGGGAACGCGATGTGCAAATTGCCTTGACTAAAGGTGACATTGCTGTGGCCCGCGGAGTGGACCCGGGGCCGACATCAGCAATCTTCTACTCGGTCCGATGCCCAAACAGTCGTTATATCCAGACATCGTGCATGAAAAGGATCATGATCCATGTCCTTTACTGGGGATCTTCTTCAATAATGAACCTTAAAGGCGCCATTGGGTGGAGTTCATCCACTCGGGTGTCTCGGGAAAACTCCACACCTGTTCCTTCCCCCCACAGAGACGCGATCGTGGCTGGATTTAGCAAGTCTGACGACCTGGTTAAGAGGCTTTTTCGATCAGTTTGAGTACGGAGTACGGAGAAGGAAGAGTCGCAGATAGTGGATCGATTGACTGGAGGATCTGGTTCGATAGACGTTTTTCTAGGCTAGCCAACGTGTACCCGACCTATCGCGCAGTTTATATGATAGACTTTTTTCCCGAAGCATGCCTCACGAACTTCCGACCGTTGAAGGTATGAGCGTATTGGTAGGGTAGACTGATTAAGTCTGCCTGGTCGATACCTCAACACTCGACGTGTACATGACATCCCACAATGCCGCGCTTCATGAAGACTGGGGTATGACCCTATGGATCGTGAATAGTGTCTTTATTGCGCTAGCTACCATGGCTGTCATCGCAAGATTCTACGCGAGAAAGCTACGAAAGTTATCTCTGGGCGTGGATGACTGGGCAATCCTTTTCGCTTTGGTAAAATTACTTCCCTGTCTGCTTGTGTATAAGCTAACAATCCCAGCTTCTCGACTGGGCCTTATACGGCCTATTTGTTGGATGTAGGTACACCCGTTCTCGTTGAGATACTTTTTATCGGGCTAATCCGTGCTTGTCATGAGATAGGCCGAAATTATGGTCTCGGAAGACATCGCGGTATCATCTCCGACGCAGACGTGCTACGAATGCTGAAACTCCTGTATTACTTCCAAATTTTCTATATCCTCGCGCCACCAACTGTCAAGCTATCGCTTCTATTCCTATACAAACGAATCTTCGTTTCGTCGCGCTTCCTCATCATAGTCTACATCGTGGGCGCCATTATTTCGATTTGGGCAATTATCATGGTGTTCCTCGGCATCTTCAACTGCAAGCCGATCAGCGCTTTCTGGACGGGAGAAGGGAAATGCATTCCCTTGCGAGAATTTGCAATCGGATACGCCGTTGTAAATATCGCTACTGACGTGGCCGTTTGGTTGATGCCGATCCCAAATATGTGGAGATTACAACTACCACTCGCGCAGAAGGTTGCCTTGACCTTCATTTTTGCGTTGGGAATTTTGTACGCCTCCCTTTCAGTATTCTCCTCGCCTCTTACCAAGCCCAATGGAGCTGGCACTGATCCATTGACACCCGATTTAGTGACTTCATCGCTGCTATCATCCGCCTAATTGCCTCTATGCTAGTCCTCGGCAACTGGGACGTAACATACGACTACGCGCGCGGCTTCATGTGGTCGATTATTGAAGTATCGGTTGGGATCATATGTACCTGTCTGCCTACAATGCGGATTATCTTGCGATCGGCATTCAACGGCAAGCTAGGTCGAATGCTTGGGTTTTCGAGCTTGACGCCTCATCGACAGAGTACAGGTCGACGACCATGGATTCGATCAATGAACTACGACGAGATTCAGGGCCCGTGGATGATTCGTGATGGAGGGTGCCATCAGCATAATAGTGATGTTACAGCTACTAGTGGGACCATGACTAGGACCGTGAGCTCGGAGAGAGAGGCAGGAGAGAGTGGAATTCGAGTTCTGGAGGAGGTGAAGGTCGAGTTACAGGACATTAAGCCTGTTGTGGGTACCGCGAGGAATAGGTTCTACTGATTTAGCAAATATTGAAGTTGCATATCTTTTCCCTGGTCAAGAACAGTAGTTACAAGCTGTCCTGCTTAGAGTGAATGCACCTAGTGCCAAAGCCTAACAGATCGGAAAGGAAAACCGAGGTATATTCATGCAATTCAAATAATTTATTAGACTTAGTGATCGGCGCTCAGCCCTCGTCCGCGTCTCAGCTAGTTTCACTCTCTCCACTTCACTTGCAAGCCCCTCTTCCTCTGAAGAACTCCAGACATGTGAAATGGCACCATACTGGATGCCAATGGAGATCTTCTATCGGCTGTAACTAGCGTTCCGTAGCCGAGTTCGGGACGAGCTTTCTGATAGTAAGAGTCCATGCTCCGGGAAACCTCTGATCCCCAGCACGTTCATTCTGGAGCTAGAATAAGAGACCCACAATATGGCCCAATCACGACCAGGTAATCGGTGGCCCATAGTGCCAAACGCAAAGAAAAATAAGCATAGATTAATCCTCGCGCAAATCTCGGCGAAATGCGAAAGTTTTTTATAGTGACAGAATGCTCGCTTCCTTGGGAAACTAACAATCCTTGGTTTCCCCTTTGCTACTTGGCGACGAATCCTTCGTGACTTCTCGCCCTTTAATCTAATGGACTAGTTGCTACTACTTAGTATTTCGCTGCCTTGGAATAATGCGGGTTGTTTCTACCGGACGAGAGTTTTGGTCATTGACTAGTTCGACTATCTTTTTATCTAACGGGTAAACTTCTGATTTCAGCAGCACAATAATCTGAGGATTATTGGAGAAGCTGGTGGGCACTGTTTTTGATCAAAGAATTCGGTGTCTCACTTTGTCTAGTAAGGAATAACTGACATTGTACTATCGATGTTTTATAGGTGGATAGTTACAATGATTGCGATAGAATAACATGTCGTACTTCTTTAAGACAAGAATCAATTTGGTAGGAGTCAAGCAGTCCCGGTCACAGGAAGTCCAGAATAAGCTACTTGATCATGTGTCTCAAATGGCTCCAAGGCATCAGATAGAACCCGAAATATGATTGAAGAGAAAAAAGACGAAATGACAGAGAGCAAGTACAAAGGTTTGAGGTTGGTGCTAGTAATAAGGTTTCAAGACCCCTTACAAATCACAAGTCAGTTAGTAAATATCCAAAGGGACAAACAAACCTACATAGGTCACACTAGGACCAAATTACGATTATTTAACTCTAGCACCTGTCGAGACGAAGAACTGAGTATCGCGAGACGTATCGCTCTTGAATGATCAATAATATAAACTATTTAATTACACATTTCCACTGCCAAGCTTCCAAACAGCAATATCAGCTGGCTGAATCTCCAAGTCCTTTCCACCGATTAACAATTCAGCACCTTCGATATCAGGAAGCTTCACGGCTTCCAATCCGTAGTTGAACCCCCAGAGCAAGGAACCCCTTCTGGCAAACCGCAAGGAATCCCCGAGGTCATTCTTGTTGCTGGCTTTCCTCCCCGCAAAATCAGTAATATTCGCTTCCTTGGCGACATCACCCAGGTACGAAATCAGGAGGTCCACGGAGGGATTGAAGCCAAGATAGTGCAATCCGTTTCTGGAGCAGGCGGCTGGTTTCCCTGGGCGATGTGGCGAGCTATACTTCAGTGTCGCGGTACTTGTGCGGTTCTCTCGCTCGCAGAACACCCACTCCTCCCAGCCTGAGATATTGAACGTTTTTCCGCCGTAAACAACGCCGCTACCCGCGTAATCCGGCGGTGTCTCTACGCGAGTGACTCTCATCGGCAAGCGGCGACGGAGCGGACCTTCCGAGGGGTTCAGACCGGGAGTGTAGCTGAATTCAGGCGTTCTTGAACCAGTGTTTGGTCCGAAAACGACGGGTCCACGGTAGCTAGCCAGTGCCTTGTTGAAAGCGTCAGGAATGATAGGTAAGCTGGGCACAACGACGAGTTTGTAGCCGTCAATCGCCTGATCAGGACCAATCACATCAACCGAAAGGCCAAGACGACGGAGAGAGGAATAGAAGTTGTAAACAAGATCCATGTACTGGACGGCTGGGTCCGAGTAGCTCGAGTCCTTGGGGCTCCAGGTTCCGCTGTATGGCTCGATGGCCCACACTCGGGAGGAAACGTAGTCGAATACAAGCGCCACGTCTGCTTGTTGCTCCTGGTCTTTATCGCTGCGCAGTGCGTCTTCCAGCTTTGGTAGGTCTTCGTCTACCACGGCCTGAAGTTCCAGGAATCCTTCATCAGCGGAATCGTCTGAAGTAAACAGGCCGGAAAGAGTCTGCTCCTGTCCAAACGGAACCTGACGCCAGCGGAAATATGAGACCAGGTCGCCTAGATCAGCGAAGGTCTCGTGCGTCCAGAGTCGCACCATGCCTTTGAGCGGAGACACCCGATAGGGGCTCCAGTTCAGAACCCCAGTTTGCATCTCCATGACGCCGAACGGACCGGCTGTTTTGTTGTATGCGGAGCCTGCGACGCCACGGTAGAGAGCGTGGTGGAGGGCCTGCCAATCCGGGAGCCCCGTCCGCAGATATCTCGCCTGCTCGGCTTCAGAGAGCCATGAGAACGAGTCAGGGCCAGCAAGAGCATATTGGTCGAATGTTGAAAGGTCAAGTCCCACCTCACGTGAGAACTTGTAGTGGTCGAAGTCGGTGAAGCCCATCATGAAATTATGGGTGATGAAATGTTTCGGCGCGAGCTGTCTCAGAATTTCTGACTGTCCTCGCGCAAATTCGATCGTCATATCCGAGCTGAATAGATACCAGTCAAGAACGTGGATTGGCTGTGGGGTGTAGACTTCCAGGAACGGCGGTTGGATCACATCAAAGCTGACGTATTGATTCGACCAAAAGACGCGCCCCTGAGCAGCGTTGAGATTTTCGATCGTTCCGTACTTGTTCTTCAGCCATGATCGAAATCGTCTGATTGCATTTTGGTCGTAGCTCTGCACGGTACCATGACATCCGAATTCATTGTCCAGCTGCCATCCCGCTACGGCAGAGTGGTTGCCGTACCGTTCTGCCAGCTTTCGCGTAATCTTTTGGCTCAGTCGACGATAGTCAGTCGAGGACGTGCTGTACCCACGACGCGACCCGAAGATCAAGGTGGTGTTGGACTTGTCCACGAAGTCGATGTCGTACTTCTCACTAAGCCAATTGGGTGGAGTAGCCGTTGGCGTTCCAATGATTGCCTTCAGGTTGTATCGACTAAGCAGCTCCAGAGTCTTATCGAGAACGGTGAAGTCGTATTGCCCCTCAACGGGTTCTAATATGGACCAGTCGAACTCATTTATCCGTACATAGGATAGATTGGCAGCTCGCATTTGAGCAATGTCCGACTCCCACATTTCCTCCGGCCAGTGTGACGGGTAGTAGTCGACGGCGAAGTGAGTCCCGGATGACCACCGATCAAGGGAGGGCGCAACCGACTGCCCTTGATCTGATGACCCAGACGCTCGAGGGTGCGGTGAAGCATTGGCAAATTCACCGACAAAAAGTGTGGCGCAAGCCACTAATCTGCGCAGAAGCATCGTTGCAGAAGAGAATGGGAAATTCGAACGTTGACCTCGTCCTCAGTATCGGGGATGCCACCAGGATTAAATAGTGCCGTATAACCCCATATCAAGCAAATCCCGGTACTCAAGTCAAACATTCCTAGCACTGCGTAATGACGTGCTGTTTGCCTTTTCGGCCTGAAAGCGTACTGTACTCCGCAGAATCCTGTGGAATTCTAGGCGGTGCTGCGGGGCGACGTTATAGAAGGCCGCATGAAATAGTCATTTTCCGCCTAGAACAGACGTCATACCACCATGTCGATTCATTTAGCCGGCCAGTATAGATCACTTCCGTTTGCTATTTACTCGGTTATATAGGTCTACGGCTAATATAGCCGAATACTTTCGGGAGTCGGCCGGCTTGATCGGCAGTTACCCCGCCCTCCGCATCCCGCTTCCCCCACATTCTCGTCCTATGACTTCAAGGACTGAGAGAGGTCGACTGTTTTGCTTGAAGATCATCCGATTCAACAGGTCTGTTAAATAAAGCAGGTAATCACAATGTTCATAAACTAAAAATTAATACTGGCTTTCCAAAAATTATATATGTGCTGGCGCAGAGGCCCGGCTACGGGCAGAGCAAATAATGGTGGTTTGTGAAAATCTCATAACGGCTGGGGGAATCCACTAGTCCAGATCATACGATCTAACAGCCTAGCCCATGAATCCTTCGGAAGCACTCCGAACAATGTTGCCTCATAGAATGATCACTCTAGATCAGCCAAGTCGGGATCGGTCTTTTCAGAGTCCAACAACAATTCGATTATGGCTCCTTGTCCGTTCTCGGTCGCCCATGATAAAGGAGTTCTTCCCCTTCTATCCTTGATGTTGGGATCGACTTCAGGTGACTGCAGCAAGAATTTGACGACAAGGACCTCGTCTTGGAGAACGGCCCAGAAAAGTGGAGTCTTCCCATTCCGATCCGTCGTGTTCGTATCCACATTCTCGGAAGTCAAGAGAAATTGCACGACATCAACATAGCCCCTCATGGCAGCCCATGACAAGGCAGACCGGCCGCTTTCATCTCTCGCGTTAAGGTCAACACCGCGTGTGTTCAGCAATTGAGTCGCGACTCCTGCTTTTTCCTTCTTGAGTGCGAGTATAAGGGGTGTCTGTCGATGCGCAGCTCTCACATTCACTCGGACCCTCCCAGATTCAAGCAGAATTCGAACGATGTCCTCATAACCTTCTTGTGCAGCATACGCCAACGGTGTGCACTCCCCAAAGTGCTTCGCTTCGAAGTCTACGTCTTTCCTTTTGGCAAGACATTTAACAACGTTACCCAATTGGAGGCACACGGCTGTCCATAATGCATTCTTATTGCAAATTGGGGTCAGATCTCCCATCAAGGCCGGCCAGCGTGCATGAACATTGGAGTTTGGATCGCAGATGTTCAACACGGAAGACATGAACTCTCCTTGAGGTTCCTTCTGGGACTCGCGTAGATGATGAATCCAGTTGCGCGTCGCGTACTGAGAGAATTCGCGATTCTTCAGCGCCGCGTCGGAATCAAGGTAGAAGATACAACTCTCTGCGAGATCAAGATGGGCCCGTTGCAAGCTCAGAGTGCCATTCCAATAAGAGCGACCGGACTTCAATGGCTCCGGCTGTTTCTTCAGAAGAAAGTCTCGCGCCGTTTGGTGGATAAAGTAGACTTTGTCGTCGCAAATAGAAATGAAGAGCCCGCACATGTCCCTCAGCGAAGCTTTGAAGTCTTTGTCATCTTCGAGATCGAGCTCATCCATCGACTTTGTTGAAGCATTCATACCCATCGCAACATTCATTTCGGTCAGACTAAGTGGGTTGACGGCTGCCAGGACCAAGTTCAGGGCTTTGACAACGAAGACATCGTCGCCGCGGTCAGACTTGCTGAGGATACTCTCATATGCTTCATATACGCTCATTGGAAGGTTATTGAGAGCATTAGAGACTCCGTCCTTGGTGTTCCGAATCCGTCGAGTTCTGATGAATTCGATCACCAGACTGACCCAGAGGTACGTCCGGTTTTCGACGGCAAGTAATCTCTCTTTGAGATATTGTTTATTCTTCGTGCTTAGCTTTGTCAACTGTTCAACCTTGTGGCCTATAGCACGATTTACCTCCTCACTGATCATCGATGACTGACTTTCTCCCGGTATGTGAATGTGGGGGAACTTGTCTAGGAGTCCGTCAAATCTGGAGATTATCTCAGAATATGGGCGCGTAGTTAAAAGAAATTTCGACTTCCCAGGAGACTGAGAATTGTTGCTGAAAGTGCGGTTCAGGCTTTCAATCAGGTCGGCTCTCTCCTCGTCATTGCACTCGTCCAAGGCGTCGAGAACAAATACCAGTGAACCTGCGTCGGGGTCGTTTGTTGCGTTCCATAGAATATCCCATAGAGCTGACGTTACATTCACAAGCTGGCTGCCATTCCGGCGATATTCTGGCATTGCATGTCGGATGAGCTCAGGCTTTTGCGAAAAGAGCTGGTGCAGTAATGCGCATAACGCCTGCTTTTCTGTGTTCTGCAGCTGTTCTTTGAAGAAGAAATAACAGACTGTCGATGACCCAGGTAGCCTTTTGTCGATGAGGTATTTAGAAAGAACAGACTTTCCGCATCCAGGGTCGGCAGAAACTATCAAAAGTCCCGTCTGTTGCTGCTCCCAGGACTGAAACTCTTCCCTTGTCAAGAACCAATTGCACGTCCCGTCTATTGGATTTTCGACCATTTTCTTGTACCACTCGTATGAGTTATCCTTATCATCACGGGATAGTCGGAATAGCTGGTGGCATTTCGATTCCTGGTCAGATTCGTCCCTCTTCTCCCTCCGCTCATGCAATGCGAGTTGCTGCTTGTTGACTTCCAGTTGTTGCTCAGATACGCTTTCCAGATTCGTCATGAGGGTAACGTATTTGCTCATGGAGCCCTCCATATTCTCAAGCATCTTTCTAGATGTGTACTGGTTGAGCTGCTTGGAATCCCTGTGAATGCTGTCTTCAAGCTTCTTGATTTCACCTATCATCCCGTTCCAACCATCCCATTGCACCAGGTCGCGAACAAAGGTCAAACTCCGTCTTCCATAGCACCGTAGGACGGTTCTTATTTGGAAATTGAGAATAAGCTTATAAAGATTGACGATGGTTTTCTCGAGCTCAGTTCGAACCTGCTCTACTCCTGCTGCATCGTCCTTACGGTTATCCGGCCATAGTAACTTCTCCAAAGCGACGTAGTACTTCATTCGAGATGTGACGTATGTGAAACCTTCTTGATTTGCTTGCTTTGCCTCGCTGGGGTTAGTGAATATCGGCAGGATGATGCAAACACCAGTCCAGGCCAGTGATGCCTCAGGAGACGCTCTGACTGCTTCACTGATGAAGCTTTTCATGCCCTGCACCAGCTGGACTGTCTGGGCCACCTGGTCTTCCAGGCTATATTCGCGACCGCCGATGTGGTATTTCAAGCCTTTTTCGTCAAGTCGTTCGAGGCAGATGTCGGTCACCTTTGCCATCTGATCATGGCGGCTTTTGGTGTTCTGAGAGTCGATTTTATTCTCAACACTGTCGAAATCTATATCCGCATCCAATGTAGCACCTTTTCAGGTCAGCATTTTTGACATTTGGTGTCACCAGCTTTATATGAGTTACTCACTGGGGGTCTGCAGCCTCGCGGAAAGCAGTTTCTCATATTTTTCAACCAGGGCCGGATCCAGGGAATCATAGGCCCGGTCCCACAGGGACTTAGCTACCTCTGGTTCATGGTCTCTGTGATCCTTATCCACCCTGACATTATCCGATAGAGGCACTTGCGATACATGCGCGTCCAGACATTTGCTCCCATCTATAACTCTCGAGTCCGTCGAAGGCGGCTTTCGACTTAGCTCGGTCGGCATAGGCGGAGTCAAATCTTTCTCAACCGGATTGACCGACTCATTTGAGCCGCAACACTTCAACCATGTTAGAATACCCATGGCTCATATGCGCTTCCCATAAGCTGGGGGTAACAACTTCAGTCGTGCTTTTTTGTGGGACGTGAACTGCAAGTCGAGGCAGCTGAGACTCGGTGAATAATCGCAGCCCCGCAGCGAGAGCATATTTCTTTTTCCGGGCTCGTTCGTCGGGGTCCAAGCACTGGTTCGGGATCTATGGACGACCACGTCGAGTGGCCCCGCAATCTTGCATGAGCGAGCGCGTAGCCGTCAGCCGTACTTTTTCTCCTGTCTCTGGAGAGTGAAGAGTTACGTAGCGGAAGCATGATTGGTAGATCGAAGCGAATACGCTAGTACCGATAAGTGTGAAAGTATTGATGATTAGATCGCTTGACTTCGACTAGTTGAGATGATGAAGATCGAAGGTCAGATCTTCGGAGCTGAAAGAAAGGGGTCAGTAAGCGGCTTGGCATGCTGCCTAAGGCATCTAACATCGCCAATCAGGACGAACTGTGACAAGCAATTTCCTCGGAAATATATGAATTACTGTCTTCGGATAGTCTTTCTCGCACTTGGATGTACGCATAGACCTCGTTCGAGCTTCGGAAAGTGGGCAGTTGTAACACAATCCCACCTTAACAGTCCTCCGTATACCTCGAACCTCAGCTCCGATCTGTGGCGTGTGGGTATGAAGCTTGAACGATGTTGTGGATCCTGGTTAAACTAGTTTGTTTACACAACATACTCCGGAGTAGAAGCGGCAAGAGAAGGCTTTTTCTCCCGGGCTTGAAGAGTTTCGATTGGCCGTAAATAAAGGACAAAATAAAGCATTCCCGGTCGGGAGTCAGTTCCGTGCAGCCTGGGGCCTTAGGCTCCCATCTGAATCTGGGGATATCGAGTACCACCGTAGGGGTCAAAAGAGCTGCGTAAACCGATTGCGTGTGGTATTCCATGTTTATACAACTGATTCTATCGAGTAGCTGCCTTTCTTCGAAGGACTAGCAAAAGGAAAAGGAAAACAGATACTGGTGCCTGATATCTCAGGCAGCGAGAGTGACGAACATATTGCGACCGTTGCTAGGTAGTATTTCAGTATCCCTAAACTACTGCGTAGATGGACACCTCCTTGGAACTTTAAGCCTGACGGAAAATTTGCTATCCATATGATTCTCGACCATTGCTAACGGTGATCTTTATCCAATGTGCACTATTGGTAAGAAAATATATAGATCGCAGCAGATAATGCAGTGAACATGATACAGGGAGGTTAGACAAGCTCCAGCCCATACTATTAATGGAGATCCTGGGCATATGACGCAGGGATTACTCCATGAACCATCCAGAACCTAAGAAGCATGTCTCATCTGTTGTGCATCATCCACATGGTTCGGATCACGTGCCTCCGGGATATCTTCCTGAAGCAGGCAGGAGTTGATTTGCACCCATTTTTGACCAGCCGTGGTTACATTCACTAATGCTGGAGATTGCGGCGATTACCATTAGCACTGCTACATGATTCAGTTCTTTGTCTGTGGCGCGACCGAAAAATGCCGCAAAATCTCACGTTGTCAGGCACTAACAGGAACGAGCTTCCCAATCGCGTTAGCGTGTTACCCTGTTGAGAAGAGTGCCTGCATTCCACGCGTCTGGAAAGTCCCTCGACTTCTTCCATCCTTCTTCCGTCGTTCTTCCTTCCTTCTGGTCAGTGGGGGTGAGGCTTTTCTTCGCTGCTTGGCTCAAATACCGGGTCTCCACTGCTGAGGGGACGGTGTAGAGAGCACTCCTCAGCTTCCACCATTCCCGATCCTATCCGATCGTTGCTCAAGTCCGTTTCTTTCATATTGTCTTCTCTGCTCTTCGTGTCCAAGGCTTTTGATCTACGACATAGACAGCTTTCACTTTCAAAATCTCTTGTTGATGTGATCCTCTACAAAGAGGGCGATCTCCACGGTCGGCCTTCACCTCGGCGGCCAGATCGCTTGTTCGCTTTACTTCAACTCACAACTCACATTCACACCTATATCCAGTGTATGACAAGCATTGGCCGCAGACATGGGGGGAACTGGAATTGACCCGCTTTTGACGGGGATCTGCGAAGGACTGAAATCAAAGAACAAGACAGTCCAAGGAGAAGCGTGCAAGCAATTGCGTGATCAAGTAACTCTGGTTATTAGAGGTAAGGCCCTGGCAGAAAGCACGGGGAAGCAAGATCTGGCACTGGTACTAATCCAAACCACGCAGATAAACCGACAGAACAGCTTAGAGAATTTTGTGACACCGTGTGCAGGTCTATTGGGCAGCTGATCCTGCATGGTGACCCGAATGAAACTCTTGCTGGGCTCCTGGCACTAGATAGCCTGACAGATGTCATCCCAGGCAACGCAGCCCAAGTTGTCCCCCGATTTGCCAGCTTTCTTAACAGGGCCTTACAAAATGACGATCCCCGGATTCTAATTTCGGCCTCAAAATCATTAGGGCGCCTCGTTCCCCAAAGCGAATTCCTGGCGAAGGAGCTGGTGAGAAGTGAGGTACGGTCGGCTTTGGAGTGGTTGCAGTCCGAAGGAAAGACCAGCAACCGGCTGCTGGCTGCATTCCTTATTATCAAGGCGCTGGCGGACAATGCCCCTGGCTTGATGCTCACCCATGCTGTTGAAGTATTCGAATTTGTATGGATTGGACTTCGCGATTCTGACCCGCTCGTACGGGTGACAGCTAGTGAGGCCACCGGGGAGTGTCTGAGTTTAGCCAGCGCGCGAGACAAATGCCTCGGTCGGCAATGGTACAACCGTTTTCACGAAGACATACTCCTCGGGCTCCAATCGAGCGATGTTCAATGGATCATTGGATCGCTGTTGCTCTGGAAGAAATTATCCATCCACCGTGGTATACTCACCAACGAGCGATACAAGATTACCTGTCACCTCATACTGCTGCTTAGCAGCCACCGAAACTCCCAGATTCAGGAGCAGTTGATCAAGACTCTACCCGCCCTCGCCATTCAATATCCAGCCGTATTTGCGCATAATTACCTACAACCGTCCATGGCTGTCCTAAAGGCGCAATTGAAGAGCAGTAAGGAACGGGACGCCGTCTTCTATACAATTGGAGAGATGGTGATTGCTCTGGGTGATGCGATGACCCCATATTTGAGTGATATCTCTAATTACCTTCGAGAAGGACTTCGGGTGAAGGGAAAACATCACACACATGCCAATGACACATCAATCCTGAGCTGCATCCGCAGTTCATCTCTAGCGCTAGGTCCTACCTTCTCAATCTACGCCCAGGGACTTATTGGGCCAATGTTGACTCGCCCTTTAACCCAGGAGCTTCGAGATTCCCTAGAAACAACAGCAGAGCACATTCCTTCCCTAAAGCCTTCCATCCAGGAAGATACCCTTGCCCTTCTGGATAAGATACTTCTCGCCCGCGACAACGGCCCACGGAGTGACTCGAAGACAAATTGGCCCGGGAAAGCTGGAACCAAGGACAACTGCACCCTGACTCACCAGTCGGAGGAAACGATCGTTTTTGCTCTCAAAGTGTTAGGAGACTTTGACTTTGGGTGTCTTTCAACCCATGATCTTGTCTGTAGGGCCATGTTCATGTACGTGGAGCACGACAACTCGGAGGTTCGGAAAACTGCCGCATTGACTTGCTGTCGATATCTCTTGAGCGAGCTCTTGCTCAAGCGTCCACACATTCATCGCATTCCTTCCGACGTTATCAGGAGACTCATCTCACTCGCTATGGGAGACCCCGATCCAAACATTCGAGAAGCCGTGCTATTGGCATTTTCCAGCGATTTTGACAGATGGCTTGCACAACCGGAACACATCCGCTCCCTTTTTCTGGGGATCAATGACGAGTCTTTCCCTGTGAGAACCGCAGCGATGTGTATACTTGGGCGCTTATCGAGCATTAATCCTGCCTATGTCCTGCCGTCTCTCCGAAAGGTTCTTCTTAATTTACTCACGGGTCTGATGTTGACCAAGTCTGTTTCCCAGAGGCTAGAGATACTTAAGATGATCAATGCTTTTGCCGCCAATAGCACATCGCTGTTAGAGGCATACGTCCCTCCAATTTTGGATGTCCTACTACCTAGGGCCATAGATGATAGCGAGGCTGTCGCAACTGCAACCTTGGAGGCCATTGGGAACCTTTTCAAAGTTGCGGGACCATCGATGCGCGAGTACGGGTCAAGATTGATGCCCAATGTGTTGTGTTCTCTCGCAAGTCTGACCTCCAATACTCGACGTGAAGCGGCCCTGGAAGCTATTAGTCAAATTGTGCAAAGTTCGGGTTCCACTATCCACCCTTACGTCGAGTATCCCGAGCTCCTGCCTGCTCTCACCAAGATGGTTAAGGTCGAAGAAGTAGAGTCTATTCGATTGTCCACAATAAGGCTCCTTGGGACTCTGGGCGCTCTAGACCCAGTCAAATGTTTTGAATCCAATGAGTCCACGCTAGAAATGCATCGCGTCAACCAGGCTCCCAAAAAGCCAAACAGTGATTACACCATGCGCCCACTCGACCTGAACGACACAGAACATTATCGAATAGACGTCTTTGATGCCCTTTTGAACAATGTCTTGGCTCAAACCTCCTTGAAACGGTTTCACCCATCTGCCATAGACGCCATGGTCATGGTTTGCAAAGTCACGGGAATGGCATGCGTATCCTTCCTCGATAGAGTCATACCATGCTTCATCTCTGTGATCCAAGCGTCCTCTCACGAAACGTTGGGATATTACTTCAGCCGGCTAAGTGCTCTCGTGGATGTGATCGGGGCCCATATTCGTCCTTACCTATCTGATGTTATCAAAACGATTCAGAGCTTCTGGGACAAGATGAATCAAGCGCCTCTTGCCTCATTGATAGAAACCTTATCAATACATATGGGGAATGAAATGAAGGGGCACCTCAGCGCGCTGCTCCCTTTGATGATTGCTACTCTTGAAATAGGGGCATCGTCTGCAGCGCAGCGCGTCCTCCATTTAATTGCTTCACTTGGTGGTACGGTGGAGGAATATATGCATTGCATTATCCCTGCCTTGCTACAGCTTATTTCCAGCTCAAGCCACTCGACAGAACTCCGCAAGTCAGCTATCGATTGCGTCACGGATCTGTCAGATGAAGTCGATTTCTCCGACCATGCGTCATCTATAATTCACACTCTGACTGGTGTTCTTGCGGGTAAAGACCATGTTTTAGTGCATGCCAGTATGGAATGTCTCTGCGCCCTTGTGCATATTATGGGACCTGACTTTATATGCTATACTCGCGCTATCAACAGAACACTCACACGTCACAATATCGTTCACGACGGGTACTCAACGCTGGTACCGAAGCTTCAGAATGGAGAAAGCCTACCTTCACGCTCAGGCTCGCGGAGCCTGTTCGAACGCAGCGAAGCTGGCTGTGCACGGCCTCACACTCGGCAAAAAGAATTGAATATCAACCTAAAGCGTCTCAAAAATGCTTGGGATACTTCGCGCGTCTCCACCACTCGAGACTGGCAGCAGTGGATGCAGGAGTTGACAATGCATCTACTGGAGGAATCTTCCTGTCCGACTGTCCGGGCTTGTGCGAATCTTGCGGAGTTGTACTACCCTTTGGGGAAGAGTCTATTTAACACAGCCTTTGCCTCGTGCTGGACCGCCCTTCCCCAGGAATACCAACAAAGCCTTTCTGAAGCTCTGAATAATGCCTTCATATCACCTACTGCACCCCACGAGATTGTTTCCACGCTTCTGAATTTAGCGGAGTTTATGGATAGAACTGACAAGGTTCTTCCCATCAGAACGCAGGAACTGTCATATCACGCAATGAAGTCCCACGCATACGCCAAGGCTCTCCGGTACGAGGAATTGCACTTTGACGAGGAGCAAAACATGCAAACGCTCGAGACACTGATGGCAATTAACAACAATCTTCAACAACCCGATTCCGCCCATGGTATTCTTCGCACTTCCCACGAACTTGGGAACAGTGGCACTCAGGAAAACTGGCTCGAGAACTTGCATTACTGGAAAACCGCATTGACTTCATATGAGCAACGGGAGAAAGCTCGACCGAGTACTGAAGACGAGGAAGACTGGTCCATCACTCTTGGAAAGATTCGTTGCTTGCATGCGCTTCAGGATTGGCAGGCTCTCTCCGGCATTTCGGAAGAGAAATGGAGCCACGCATCTCTTGAGCACCAGCGAGCCATTGCACCCTTGGCTGTTACTGCGGCATGGCGACTCAAGAATTGGGACCTCATACAGACTCTGCTGCATGGCATCAAACCTGGGACTGCAGATCGGAGTTTTTTCGGTGCTGTGCTCGCAGTACATCATGATGAATTTGATATCGCTGCTGTGCACATCTCGGAAGCGCAAAAGAGGTTGGACCCCGAGCTTACGGTTATGCTTGATGAATCGTATGGTCGCTCGTATGATGTCTTGGTACGCCTGCAAATGCTAGCTGAACTGGATGAAATCATCATCTACAAGAAGTCTCGCGACTCGGAGAAGCGACGGCAGATCCATGAGATGTGGAACCAGCGCCTCCTGGGGTGCCAACGAAGTGTGGAAGTCTGGCAGCGTATTTTGAACTTGCGGGCTCTTTCTGGGTGCTCGGTTCTTGAGGACCTTGCGGTTTGGATCAAGTTTGCCAACATGTGTCGGAAGGAAAATCATCTGAAATTGGCCGAAAGTACGATACGATCCATTGAGGAGGCCACATCCGATGCTCCGCGGTTATCGCGACCTGAGATCAAGCTTGCTCGTCTCAAGATTGACTGGCAGCTTGGGTGTCAACGGGAAGCACTTGATGGATTGAAATTGCTCACAAAAGAATTAGAACAGCAGCTCTCTCATGCCAAAGGTTCGATGTCTCCAGCCAAAGAGTCGGGCTGTGTGAATAGCTTCGCAAACCCCAGGAAAGTTGTTTCGAAGTGTTATCGCACTCTCGCAATCTGGCAGACAGCTTTGAACCAGGGAGACTGGACTGAAAAAAAGATCGACGCAATCCTGGGCGCTTACCACGCATCAATGACAAACGATCGCAATTCCTACAAGGCATGCCATGTTTGGGCCCTGGCCGCCTACAAGACAGCACGATTGACTGCCAGAGACGCCTCCCCAAGCCAACAAATCCCTGAGAGTACACTTCGTGGCTTCATTATTACGGCCATAGAGGCACTTTATAAGTCCATTTCCTTGTCCTCCACCTCACCTTTGCAGGATGTTCTCAGAATCCTGAATCTTTGGTTTAAGCATGGCAACGACCGAGAGGTGATCAACGCAATCATTGAAGGTTTCTCACTTATCGGTCTAGATGCCTGGCTTGGAGTTAGTCCTCAGTTGGTCGCTCGTATCACCAGCCCTACTCAACTTGTGAGAGCCAGTGTGCAGCGATTGCTCACGGAGGTGGCCAAGTCCCATCCGCAGGCCTTAATATATCCATTGACGGTCGCGATGAAGTCTCGGGTTGCTCGGCGTTCAGGATCTGCTTGCGATATTATTGGAAGCATGCGGCGACATAGCCCAACGCTCGTTCTGCAGGCTGACGTAGTCAGCCACGAGCTAATTCGCGTTGCCGCGTTGTGGTATGAACTCTGGTTCGAGGGGCTTGAGGATGCTTCCAGGATGTATTTCAGCCATAAGAATATCCACGGGATGTTCCGAATACTTCAGCCTTTGCATGCAATGATGGAGGCAGGCCCAGTGACGCTAAACGAAGTCGCCTTCGTTCACTCCTTTGGCCGCAGTCTCACAGAGGCGAATCACTACTGCCTGGCGTATTTGGAAACCGACGAAATCGGGCACCTCAACCACGCATGGAGCCTGTACAGTTCTGTCTATCGCCGCATTCGCGATCAACGGCCTTTGATGCTTCAGCTTGATCTGGGAACAATCTCGCCGAAGCTTAAAACCTGTGAGAATCTTGATATTGTAGTTCCCGGCACCTATCGCAACCAGCCCAGCTCGGTAGTCAAGGTTGTGCGCTTCGATCCCAATTTACAGGTTTTCCAGAGCAAAAAGCGGCCACGCAAGCTAAAGATTGTTGGCGATGATGGAAACGTTTATTTGTACCTTCTGAAGGGCCAAGAGGATATCCGCCAGGACGAGCGTGTCATGCAACTCTTCGGTCTTGTCAACACCCTCTTCGCAGGTGATTCGGACAGTGTTCAGCGGCAGCTAGTGGTCCAACCTTTCCCAGCTATTCCGCTATCTCAAAGCTCGGGTCTTCTAGGGTGGGTTTCAAATAGCGATACCTTCCACGGCCTGGTCAAAGAGTATCGCGAAACCCGCCAGATACCCGTGAACCTCGAGTACCAGCTCATGCTGCGGATGAGTTCCGACTACGATAAGCTACCCCTACTCGCCAAAGTTGAGGTTTTCCAAAATGCTCTGGCCAACACAAAAGGCAAAGACCTCTACCAAGTACTGTGGTTGAGAAACACCAGTTCAGAAGCCTGGCTGAGCCATCGAACTCACTACACACGCTCCTTGGCCGTGATGTCCATCGTCGGGTATATCCTGGGCCTGGGCGATCGACATCCGTCGAACTTGCTCTTGCATCGCCACACCGGGAACATCGTGCATGTTGATTTTGGCGACTGCTTTGATGTCGCGTCGCAGCGTGATAACTATCCTGAAAGGGTTCCTTTCCGTCTTACGCGCATGCTGGTTGTCGCCATGGGGGTTGGGAATCTGGAAGGAAACTTTCGCGCAGCGTGTGAAATTGTCATGCGAGTTCTGAGAACGCATAAGGATTCAATTATGACCATTCTTGCAGCGGTATGTTTGCCTTCCCCGGCATAGTCTTTTATTTCTGGCATCTAGTACGAATGACTTGCTAATATTTTATCTTCACAGTTCCTCCACGACCCGCTTTTGAATTGGCAAATGGGATCACACTACCCTACGCAACAACCCGGCGAGGTCGATCATTTGGCAGATCTTGCCCAATCCACACCAGTGCCCTCCTCTCATATGTCGTCTGTCATCGGCGCCGGCGTTCTTGATCCGCAGCCGCAACAAGGAGTGAACAACAATACTGCAGCCGGCGAAGGGGGCCTCAATGCTTACGCCATTGAAGTCCTCACGAGGGTTCGGGACAAGCTGACCGGGCGGGATTTCAGAAAAGGCCAATTGGAAGTTGAAGACCAGGTCAGGAAGCTGATTGAGGAGGCCACTAATCTCGAGAATCTCTGTCAGCACTACATCGGATGGTGTTCGCATTGGTGATGGCGTCTGGTCGGTTTACCGGAGTATTGGTATTTGCTTGGGTGGATATTGTCGTTGGATTGGCGTTTCATACCCTGGTTTCTCCGGATTTGAGTGATTGTCTCGGTGTTATGTATATGATGCGATTCAAATCTTTGTGCTTGGTTCTGGGGTCATGTATTTGCTTGGGCGTGATGTTTAGGTACATTTTCAGGACGTATTTGTGGTCCACTAGCTTTTGTTGAATGGAATGGTCTTCGACGCCTTCTTGCCTTAGTATATGCCTGATGTATTATTCCGTATTATCCCAATTATATCCCCTATATGTACGTTTATCAATCTAAACACCATACCCCCGTGTAAGTATAGTATAGTTATACCCCCAAGTGGGTCCCAATCAATGCAACCCCCTCAACCCATCGCTCACATCTGCATGATCATCCCCATGCATCCCGTTCTTTCTATATTTATATTTCTTCACCCCATTCCCATTCCCATTCTGCGTCGCGTTGCCATTCTCATTCTCACCCTCCCTCTCCATCTCCTTCTCGGCCTTCACTAACTCCTCCCACCGCCGTATCACCATCGCCCGCTCCTCCGTCGACGCAAGACACATGTCCTCCATGCCCTGCGCGATCCGCGACTTCAGGATCTCTTTCGTTTTGGACTTCGAAAGCGATTTTCGTAGGCTCTTGTGCATGCCGTCGAGTGGGTAGCCGGCAAGGCCCCAGAATCCTGTCTTGCGTTAGCCTTGTCATGTCTTTTCGGTGAAGGCAAGGAGGCTCAGGGAGGGGAGGTTCCAGGTTAAGAGGGAGGAAAACGCACCAGCAACAGGCTTGAATACCACCCCGCCCATTCCTTTTCCAATTCCTTTGATGAATCCACGTGGCCCGGTCTTTTTGGCCCCGTTGATGGGCTGCGTCAGGAGCCCTGTTACCCCGTTGTAGAGGCCTTGTGTGAATTCCTACACCGGATGTCCTATTAGCTACTTCCACGGTACGACAGTTGATGAAAGGAAAATAGGAACATACCGTCCCCGCAGCCCTAAACCCGCTCCTCACGCCCATCACCCTCGGCGTCTCGGTCACCGTACGATCATGGTACAGCTTCGGGGCGTTATGGAACCCCTTGGACAGCGACAGGGTCAGATCGTGCGGAAGGAGAATGGCGAAGTCGAGCGCGTGTTTGGCTACTTTCGTCATGTGGTAGCTTGTTTCGAGGAGCATTTCGTGCGTCGAGGATCGGTTTTCTTGCGTGGTTTGGTGCCGGGTGAGGGTCTTTTCGAGGTCGAGTTCGGAGCCGAGGGTTATTGTGTCGGAGTCGGAGTCGGTGTTGGAGTCTTCTTGTTCTTGGTCTTGGTCTTCGGGGGTGGTGTTGGGGGTTTCTGATGTGTTGTTTGTGTTTGTGGTTGTTGTTGTGTTATTGCGGGTTGAAGGAGACGGTGGCTCCGGTGTCGATTGACTTGTTCGCGTGGTTTCTTCGTTCGAGTTCGATTCGTCGGCGGTGTTGTATTCCGTGGAGGCAGGGGAATTAGATGTAGATGAAGACCTCGAGTCAGAGCGTGAGTGTGAGTGTGAGTGGGTAGGCGATTGCGTCTTTGATGCAGTCTGAGAATGTCGTTCTGGCGCCGATTGCGCTCGCGACCGACCTCGAGAATGCCCTTTCGAACGAGTCCCAGACCGACTATCGCTCTGGGTGCTTTTCCGAGCGGACTTCCCACACGCCTTACAGTCTGACCGGAACTCGTCGTGGTGGTCGTGCGGCTCGTGGCTGAACATCTCGGCCATGTTCGCTGGCAGTCCGGCAACGCCTGCGATCAGGTCGGTGACGATGCCGTAAAGAACCTCGGCGCCGGCTGTCAATGGGCCTCGAGGGTCGCGGTTTGTGTCGTATTCTTTGGAGCGGTATCTGTGCGTGGTAGGTATTAGTAGTGATGTCTTACATGAACCAGAAGAGGGGGGAGGTCGTACAGAACTACATCACTCGTCTTCACCAGCCCCGTCTCGACCAAGACGGCCGCAGCAAACGGACTCAACTTGATATTGGAATGTCGAATGAACCACACAGCCACGCGGTCCGGACAAATCGAGCACCTTAGACTCTCCACGTCGAGATGACTATGGAAACTCGCCACCGCGTCCCGCACGCCATCTTCCTTGCGCATATCACCCCCGATCTCCTCCGCCTTCTCCCGCGTCTCAGGCTTCAGCGCGACCTGAATGGCCTCGGCCAGCTTCTCCACCGTTAGCTGTTTATACGGCACAGGTGCCGGCCCAGCACCCGCGCGCGACACAATCGATCCCCAGAATGGCTGGTCGCCGAAGAAGGGCACGATGACGGTGGGCCGGCCGAGGAGAAGGCCCGTGGCCGTAGTGCCTGCGCCACCGTGATGCACGACGGCCGAGACGTGCTTGAAGAGCCAATCGTGGGGACATTTTCCTAGCAGGAGCACGTTGTCGGGTGGATTGTCGCCGCCGATGTTGCCCCATCCCTTGGAGATGAGGGCGCGTTGGCCGGTCTGGCGCACCGCGTCGAAGACGATCTCCGTGAGCTTGCTGGGGTTGTCGACGACGATCGAGCCGAAGCCGATGTAGATCGGGGGAGGGCCTGCTTTGAGAAAGTTGGCCAGGTCGTCCGGTGGCTGGTAGGTCGATTCGTGAGGGAGGGTGCTGAAGCCGACGACGTCGGTGGTGTCGGGCCAGTCGGAAGGTTTGGGCAGGAGGGACGGAGACCTTTCACATTAGCTTGATGACTAGATGAATAGAGGGGAGTAAGAGCGGAGAGATACCAAAGATAGGTATACGGGATCCTTAGCCTCGACGCGATACTCGGCGCACGAAGCGCATCCAACGGATCCAATCCCAACTCCCTCTTTCTGAACCGATTAATCAAATCCCCCAGCCCTTCCCACAGCATAACCTCGACGATGGCGTACGATGCAAAATTCGCCGCCGAGGGCTTCGTCGACTGGGTCCGTACGTTCGCCAGCGGATGCGGAAACGCCTGGGTCGCACTCCACGGCATCGTGAACATCATATTAAGCGGCACGCCCAACTTCTCCGCGCAGCTCATGTGCGCAAAACTCGGCGGATTCGCAATGATCGCGTCCGCGACGAACGGCCGATTCTCAGCATCCACGGTCCCGCTCCACGGATCGTCCGGGACATGGTGCAGGCCTGTTCCGTCGCCGGTCTCGTAGCAGGAGCGCCAGCAGCCGGAGAAGATGGCTTTCATTTCGCGACGTCGCTGCTGGATCGCGCCGCTGCGGATGGTCCGCATGTCGGGCATCAGACCCGGGTTCTTGACCATGAACGCCATCAGCTCGGCCGGGTCGCCGCCGATGTCGAAGAACTCGAGCCCCTGGGCGAGGATGTCATCGCGGAAGGCGAGGTGCGTGGCGAGGCGGACGCGGTGACCGCATGAGTGTAGTCGTTTGCCCAGCGCCAGGAAGGGTTGTATATCGCCTCGGGAGCCAACGACTTGAATGACGATGTTCAATCGCAGAGGGAAGGGCGCGTCGGTGGTTGATACGACGGAGGGCTGTCGCAGCGGCTCTTTCGGGCGGCGGTGTTCGATGTGATGCAGGAGTTTGGCGAGCCAGGGTTTGTGCGACCGGAATTTGATGTCGAGGCGACCGTCGTCTGTTCATTCCATGCAAATATTAGCTACCAATTCGGCTTCAATTGGGATGTGAGTGATATACCCATCACCCTGACTCCGGTGTTCAACCCCCGTTCGCGCACGGTGTGGCCGTGTTGGCCACGGTCGCCATGTTCGTGAGCCGACTGGCTGTGGGCGACATTCTCTGGCCAGTCGTCGGACTGGATGCCCTGCGCCGACATCCTGGGGTATAGCAAATCTTTAATTTACAAGCAACGGGTGATCAGCAAAGTGGAGGATGTGATGGTGATTTTCTTCTGGTCGGATCTGCGATGATGTCATGATCCGAACCGGGCAGACCAGGAACCAACGAACCATGGGATCATCAGTTAATCAACTATTTAACTGCTTCCAATTGACTAATCGCATGGTCGGGATAGTCGGCTGATGGCTGGCCGAGAACTGGGAATATGCCATCGGATTTTTGACCGATCTCCCTGCCGAATATAAGCATCCATTCGTCCAATTCTACAGCCACTTCCTTGAATAGCAAATCAGTGCCTGGGAAATGAGGCATTAAGGCTGTGCTGACACATCGCAATCACTTCACGTGACAAGACTCGCCCAGTGTGGAAGGCGGTATGTTCTATGACAGCAGTATTCGGGGAAGTTGACTTGCTTACCGCCTTCAAAAGAATGTATACTTTGCAAAACACAAAAATGCTTGAGAAATCGAGGAGAATCGAGAGGAAAAGAATATTACCGAAGAAGCGGTCATCAAGGACTCCAAGTCCTCCCATAATGTCGAAGAAAACCCGAATCATTCTCGAGATCTGACCACTTTAGCACTACGCGCTTTGGGTCACGTGGGACATGTCAGGATGCGTTGATCAACTTCCTCTAAGAATTCGCTATTCTGATACACCACACCATGTTTACCGATCTACGAACACCGTCGCTGGCTGGTGGGAAATAATCCATACAATAATCGCCTCCATCTGACCTCGAAATGCTGGCCCAAAGATCAAATCTGCAGTTCTATTTCCACAGCAGCGACATTTGAACTCATCACTTGCCAGTCATGTCGACAACAATCGCCAAGCGCAAGCGTGCCATGAAGGCATGCATCCCCTGCCATCAGCGCAAGCGAAAATGCGACACCGTCTATCCTTGTGGCATGTGCACCACCTACGGCTACAACTGCAGATACACCGACGAAAACAAGCGCGTCAGCCTCGACGGTGAAAGTCGTCTGACGAGCCGAGCTACCACAGACCACAATCCGAGCAGCCGGCCCCATGCGGAGCAAGACCGCCGCGAAGGCGAAGGCTCGTCGAATAATAGTCCCGTCGTGGCGGCCAGCGCGTCCCCGGGCATCTTCGACGCGCAGAAGCTCAGATACTCCGGGGCCTCGGCGGCCATGGCATTCCCGCACATCCTGGGCGTGGCTCTCGGTTCCGACAGCCCTCCAAAGATGCGCTCGTTCGCGTACAACTTCGGCATTCGCCCCGAGGAGGCATCCCATGCGCACTGCTTTCTGGGCACTTTCATCTCGGAGGAAGACCTCGGGGAATTCTCGGCCGCCTTTTTCTCGGTATTCGGTCCCATCGGCGACATGATAGACCCGAGAATCTACGCCCAGCGATGCCGCGATTATTACCAGAACTCGGGCAGCAATTCCGTCGCCTTTGCCGCTGTGGCTGCGGGCGTCGCTGCTGTCGGATCGTTCCTCTCTCCCAGCAGACATCCACGGGAGTCGGACCTCGTGCAGTACGCCAAGGCCATCCTCGATGATCCGGCCTCCATGCGCTGGCATGGAATTGACCACATCGTCGCATGGGGTTTGCGGGTGTTTTATCTCCGGGCAACGACTCGACCCAGCAATGCTTGGATCGCCTCGTGCACGCAAATGCACCTCTGCGAAGCAATCGGGCTGCATGAGGAAGAGAACGTCAAGAAGATGGCGTCCCTCGCCGGCGCCGCTGCCCTCGGACATGATGCAGACCGACTGCGGAGGATCTTCTGGATCTCGTGGGCCGCGCATAATATGCTGTCGTATGAGTACGATCGTTCGCCCGTCGCATTCCGGACCGTCACCTGTCAGCCTATCATCTCGATCCCAGGGTCCGTCGCCGACCAGTTCGTCCAACTGATCCAGATCATTCCATCGCCCAATTCTCCCTTCCAGATCGAGTTGCCGCATGTAACTCCGAGTGAGAAGCTCTTGGCACATCTCAAGGCGCTCGATGAGTTCCAAGTTAGCCATCCGTTTTTCGTGGTGACCAAGGCGGAGATTGCGTTTTGCTTCTACCGACGTCTTTACCAGCTCAAAGTCCGCATACCGGACGATGCCGTTACTCTGGTAATTGCTAACGGTAACTCCGCGATAGAGGCAGCCCAGCAGCAAGCCAGCGAGGGTCGTCTGTTCTGGAACGTCATCGGCAGCGTCTTCCAGTATACGTGCATCCTGTTGGCCATTGACGCGCCGCCGGCCTCCGCCCACATTGGTGCCGCATTTAAGGGCCTGGAGAACCTTGTCAAGGCTGCCGATACGGTGCTAACACGGGAGGCGTTGTCCATGGCGCGACACCTCCTCAGCCTTAATGTGGCGAAAAAGCGAAGAGAACTTGCCCAGCTAGAAGCTGTCGAGGCGGGTTATGAATTCTTCCAGACACCGCCGGTTTCTGAAGCTAATGCTGCTGCGTCAGACATGGATTGGGCGGTGGACTGGGATCAATTCTTCATCGAGCCGTTTTCGTTCATGCTCGGTCCTGATGTCCAGTTCTAGTGCGTGTATCGGTGGAAGTTGATTCACTCCTGATTATTCAACTCTGGTGTAATTTTCTAAAGGTCGGAGACGTAATCGGAGCTCCATCTGTCTGTCGGCATCGTCAATGCCATCTTGTGCGGTTTTATCTGCGGCCATTGCGGACTTGATCCTTTCCAACCGCACCAGTCAATCAGACAGCGTGAATGGACCCACCCTGCGGTTGCTGCGGCGGAGAAGCGCGGGCTTATCAACCTCCGGCGATCGTACTATCTCCGATCGAATCACGTTTCAGGCTTCAACCAACCCAACTCGGATAGCCTCTACAATGTGGATATACTTTGTCCGAGATTGACGACTACAACCAGGTATGACGAGGCTGAGACCGAGAGGATCTCGGAGAACCACAGCGCTTGAGACAGGGCCTGAAATGCATAAATAGACAGGTGTACCCTGCTTCAGAAGGATAGCCAAACACTCATCACCCTCACCAGCTTCAACACCTCAACCATAATACCAAACACCAATTTACACCCCCACCAACTAACCACCTACAATGCCTCAATACGCCCAAACCCAGCCCTCTGGCTTCAGAAACACCATCGAACGCGTCGCCATCGTCGGCGTAAGCACCCCCCCTCCCAAACCACCTACCCAACTAACCCACCCAGGCCGGCGGCACCATCGGCTCGCACATCACCCACGCCCTCCTCCAAACCGGCAAACACACCATAACGGCGCTCTCCCGGGCCAACAGCACCAACAAACTGCCCCCCGGCATCCGCATCGCCCCCGTCGACTACTCCGACCCCTCGACCCTGACCGCCGCGCTCACCGGCCAACAAATCCTCATCATCACCATGTCCCCCACCGCGCCCCGCGACACCCACAGCAAGCTCGTGCAAGCGGCCGCCCGCGCCGGCGTCCCCTACATCATGCCGAACAGCTACGGCAGCGACATCGAGGACGTCGCGCTCGGCGAGGACACGCTGCTGGGCCCCGTGGCAAAGGCCAGCCGCGACGAGATCCAGAGTCTGGGCATGCAGTGGGTCAGCGTCTGCTGTGGCTTCTGGTACGAGTATAGTCTTGCGGGCGGGGCTGCGCGGTTTGGATTCGATTTCGATAACCGTGCCCTGACTTTTTATGATGATGGGAATACCATGACTTCGACTTCAACGTTGGTGCAGGTCGGGCGGGCTGTGGCCACGGTTCTCAGTTTGCCTGAGTTTCCTGATGACGAAAATGATACCAGCTTGACGCTGTCGAACTTCCTGAACAACGCCGTGTACGTCAAGAGCTTCGCCCTCAGCCAGAGAGATATGTTCGAGAGCGTCAAGCGCGTGACCGGCACCGTGGACGCCGATTGGACCATTACGCAGCAGGACACGAAGGCGCGGTACGAGGAGGGTCTTGCGCAGGTGAAGACCGGGAATATGGCGGGTTTCAGCAAGTTGTTGTACGCGAGGGTGTTTTATCCGGGTGGGTCTGGTGGGTTGGAGGCGAAGGCGCAGAATGAGCTGCTGGGGTTGCCGAGGGAGAGTCTGGACGAGGCGACTCGGGCGGGGATTGAGTTGGTGAAAGAGTTGTCGCTTCGGACTGAGCGGATGGCGTCTTAGGATGTCTGTGTATGGGATTTGATGTTCGCGTTGCTATTTTGGGAATCTGGTTTGGATTCTGGACCGAGGTTCAGCTGCACCGCTCAATGGGGTGGGCGCAATCTACTTTTTCGTCATAATTCTTATTCAATAATTATCGATGTGAGCTTCAAGTGTACTTAGATATTTAATTCAGGAAAAAAAATGGGAAGTTAATAACGAAACAGAAAACGCAAGTAGCTGGAGTGACTAAAAATCGTGTTCGCATTATATGCTAAGTTGAACCTATGTCAGGATATATAGTTGCGAGCAGCACCACCACAGCCACCAGTATGATAATAAATATAGATAGTAGTACCCTAACAAGTCACTGGTACACAAAAGTTGGAAGAAGAAAAAAAAAAAAAAAAGAGAATACACTTCTGGTTGATGTTACTGCAGGGACCGGACATGGAGGACATGATAAGTGGTAAGAAATATCGCGGAGGGTCATGTTTACGAATGAGGGAATCACGGGTTGAGTAGTCTAACGAGGGTGGGGGAAAGGCGTGTTAAAAAGTTTGATGTATCGGAATCCATGTCAATTCATGGGCATGCTACAGCACTACGCTGAAAGACCAGAGGGAATGTAGAAGATTACTAATAAATTAATCAATACATAGTAGAAGGATACATATATGGACAGCAAAAAGATGAATATATAGGCTCTCAACTAGTGAAAAGCCGGACGAAATCTAAACTACAACCGCTAGAAACGGTTTCTAGTCTATGTTCTCCCCCTCACCCTTCAAAACACCAGGTCAGACATTTAAGCCTGAACGCACTGGTGGTAGTAGGGGTTCCACTTCTTGCAGACCAGGCCGCTCTCGCAGCCGGTGGCGCCGGTGAAGTTGATGCCACCGCAGCGCTGGTAGATCTTGTTGGAGCCGGAGCCGGCGACGCCGGAGCTGACGGGGGCAGCGGAGGAGGTAGCGGCGCGGACGGAGGTGGTGAAGCTGCTGGGAGCAGGGGCAGGGGCCTCAGACTCGACGGGGGCGGGGGCAGCAGTCACAACGGCCTCCTGGGTAGTAGGGGCAGCGGTGACGACGGGGGCAGCGGAGGAGACGGCGGCCTCAGTGGTGGCAGCAGCCTCGGAGGTGGCAGGGGCAGCAGCCTCGGAGGTCGAGACAGCAGCGGCGGTGGTGGAGGGAGCGGCGGCAGCGGACGAGGAGCCCGAGCCGGAGGAGCCGGAGGAGGCACCGTCCCAGACGGCGGGGCCGGGGATGGGGTAGGAGTCGAAGTCGCCGTACATGTCGAACAGGATACCCTTGTCGTCGGCCTTGTACTCGCCGGGGATGGAGACACCGGCGGGGAGGGTCTTGGAGCCGTCGGAGGTGACCTTGACTTGGACACACTCCATGTAGAACTGAGCACCGCCCTCGCGGCTACCCTCGTGCAGGGCGATGATCTCAGGGCGCAGCAGGTAGTTGCCGGCCTCGACGTCGGGGATGGTGACGGAGTGCTTGCCCTTGTTGGCGATCAGGTCGTCGACGGCCCACTTGTCGCTGGACTTGTCGTAGCCCTGCTCGGCGAGCTTGACCCAGCCCTTGCCGGAGGAGCCCTTCTCGGTGGGGGCCATGTAGGTCATGACGGGACCCTCGTGGGACGAGGCGATGATGTCGTCGCCGGCGTCACGGCTGTCGTGGTGCCACTCGAAGGTGACCTTGTCGCCGGCCTTGACGGAGAGGGTCTTAGCGGCGGCCTTGTCGCCGTTGACGTTGCAGGTCATGTCGGTCGAGGTGACGTCGGTGACGGGCGAGTTGCTGGGGGGAGAACGGATGTAGCCAGAGTCGGTGTTACCCAGGCCCTGATCCTCGCCGTTGATCCAGACGGCGAAGACGGTGGCGTGGGCGTTGGCCATCTTAGCAGCCGCTGCCAGAGCGAGCAATCCAGCGGTGGTCTTCATTTTGATAGTAAAGAATGGAAGTGTCCGTAGGACGGTAAAAGAAAGTAAGGGTTAAAAAAAGAAAGAGAGAGAATGAACACAAAGAATGCAGCTGTCCAGGCTTGAGAAACAAGAAGAAAGTCAGACTGAGGCCGGGCAGTCAGCGGGGGTTTTTATACAACGAACATCCAGACGTCCAACGACTCCCCAGTGGAGTCTCGTAAGATAGCGAAGCCCTGCCAAGCCTCGTGCCAAGAAAGACGTTTCATCTAAATAATTTAGCTTCATTTCGACGTCTTGGCTTTTTCCACCGGCGGGGACGTCGAGGGCCAGACCTGCCCGCACGGAGAGGGCTGGACAAGGGGATTAGACCTGATTGTCCGCCAGCTGCTCCGAGAGTTCCTGTGATGGTGTTGCGCCGGCGTGCTTGGCGAGGGACCGTGTTTCAGCTTCATTTCGCCGCGACTCGCCCGTTGTGGCCTGGCAAAAAGGCGCCGATCAGATCGCGTGGGTCGATCTGCCGTCACAGATTTTCTCGGCCGCCTGTTTGGTGGGAAAACTCCGATTTCAGACTGGCGGTTCCTCTTTTCATTTGCCTCCTGCGCCGTTCAGGGTCGGCCAGGGACTGCCGTCTCAGGCTTGATTCAGGGTTTGAGGGTTTCGCATCCGACGAACTGGAGTCGGATTGCGAATGCTTGACTCCGACTGCTGGCCGCTGGAGTGGATTCGGCCCCAGTCCGAGTAAGACAGGAGCACGGATGCTCCGTCGAGGGCCTACTCCGTACTCGTACGCTGCTCCGGTGCAATCCATATGATTCAGTTCTATTAGCCGACTGATAAATGACGCCTCCACTTGCTCGCCGCCCACTCGTTGGTGGTCGTCGTCGGCGGCAAACAATAGTCGGCCCGCCGGCGGTTCGTATATTAAAAGAGATGAAGGCATTGATTATACTCAATCAATGATATTGACCGGGGGCGCGTTGGTGCCCGTCGATCACTGGCCAGAAATTATCCAGGGTTGGCCCCTCGGACGATCAGAGCTCCTGGACTGCCTACTCTGTCGAGTGTAGACGCCGTCTTCGCGGGACTTTTGGCCATAAGCGGCATGTTATTGCACCGGTCCATGGCTGATGCCAAGGCAATATACAGGCTGAAAGTAATATCGGATGGTCTGATGGGCTGACCGGTCTGACCATTGGCGATATTACGGCGCCTCCCAAGGGTCCTCTATAATCCCCTGGGAACCCCTATTCCTGGCGGACTCCCCGGATGGAAGACGATGGAAGGGACTTTCGGTCGCTCTTCGATCCACCGTCTCGAAAGGCAGATGGATTTCTCTTCCATTCCCTTCCGGTCCTGCTCTACTCGGGAGTAGGCTCGCTTCCCTTAGTTTTCCGACTATTGCCCATGGACTGACTGACCGCCGCTTTTCTTAAAATAGGTCGATTGATTCTAGACTCAGACATGGCGCCAGATTGACTTGACTCGTCCGAATCTCTGCGTTGTGCTCCGTCAACACAAACAGCCGACAGGGTGCGGTGATGGTTGAATCTCGACGTCGCTGCAGTGCATCACGTCGATCGACAATATATTGAAGTCACGGTCCGGAAGAGGGAAGACGGACGCAGACCCGCCACGCGGTCGCACGGTCGGACATGACTTGCATGGGCAAATACAGACCGTCAGCCGTGGCTGTCGCTGAAGTCTGCAGCGCAGTCAATAGCTCCAAGTGTCTGGTCGCGATCGCAGCGCATGTCTGGGTCTGATATTCGCCGACACGACGGCCAACAAAGGCAGGTTACACGGATGACTGGGACAAGCGCGGCAACTCGTGTTTGACGCAGCGCAATTGGAAATCAGAAAGATGAGTCCGATCCATGGTCCTGCATCGGTACCATCCGATCGGTGAGTTCCCTCGTGAGCGAGAGCCGTGTGACCGGACGAGTTCGTCGCGGTGGACGGTGCGACATGGCCTTTGTCTGGAATGCGCCCCCTGGAGTCTATTGGCCCTTGACTCAGTCTGCAACGCGGCCATGTGAGCGGTTCACATTCCTCGAGCCACATTCCTGGAGTGTTTGTCCCTGTGCCTGTGCCTGTCTGGATTACCAGACCCAAAACACCGGCTGTCCCCGGGACGTTGAACGGTCGCTGCCAGCGCCAATGTGAACCGATGCTGCTAAACCAAGCCCATGTTCAGCCAATGCCGGATCTCAGCGATCATGCAAGGGAGAGCGACGAGTCGATGCGACCGGGCCAGTTCTGCCAGGCGCAAGGACAAACCCCTTGCCATGTGCGTCAGCCGTGGATAAGCCGTGGCCAGTCACGGGCAGCCAAGAAGCCCTAATGCACGGCGACTCGCGCTGCCCCTCTGGCGGTCAACAGTCGATTTTCCGCGGCTTCAGTCGAGCCATTCGATTCTCGCAGTCGTCTCTGTATATTCGAGCTCTTTTGGGATGTGGCATGCGGCTTTCCGGCGTCGAGGACTGGCCTGATCGCTGGCGCCTGGGCTGTTCTATGGGCGGGTCAATCCGCCGGTCGGTATGGAGGCGATCCAAATGCGACGTGTCGATCGGTGGACTCGATCCAGGACCGAAGGCCATACACCGTCGAGCTGCGATTGAGTTGCGAATTGGCTCCGGGCCCTGCAGAACCACTAGATAGTGTGTATCGTTAGTCAATGCCTGTGGAATTTACTGCCTTACTTATCGCACGATGGATTGCCGGGTCATCCTGGCCGCGTAACCTTATAAACCCTGGACCCCAGACCGTCAGCTCGGCTTCTTTTTCTCTATCATGTTGTCCGTCATCGTCTTCGTCCTTATCCTAATTCTCCTCCTGTACATTTATCTCCCATCCACCATGGGTGAACCGACCGCCGTCTCTCTGTGTCGCGATCCGGCCTCCCACGCGGGCTCCGGTTACACGGCGTCAGTGCTGGCCGCCTGCCAACGATTGCGCGACCTTAAGGCCACCGAGGGCTTCTTGCTGGATGGCAGCTCGTTGGACCTCAGCTCGGTCTACGCCGTGGCTCGGTATGTGGCTTTTCCTTGTCGTCATCGTGATCGGGACGAGTGATCGTCCAGACCCAACTGGACCCGCCTCTGAACCGGTTCATGCGACTGCAGAAACCTGGAAAGTGAACGCGAACTAACGAGACCCATTTCTAGCCACGATGTACCTGCCACCATCACGGGCAACCAGCGCGTGCTGGACGTGATGACCCGCAGCGTGAATCTGCTCAGCCAGAAACTGTCCGCCGGGGAAATCATCTACGGCGTCAACACCGGCTTTGGCGGCAGCGCCGACACTCGCACCAACGACTATCCGGCGCTGCAGAAGGCGCTGATCCAGCATCACAATGCCGCCGTCGTGCTGCCCAGCGATCGCGGTGGCAAGCCCATCCCGGGACTCAAGAGCCACAGCATGCCCGTCCCCGTCGTCAAGGCCGCCATGCTGACCCGCTGCAACTCGCTGCTGCGCGGCCACTCCGCCGTGCGACCTGAAGTTGTCCAGCATATCCTGGCTCTACTGGCCAACGGCATGACCCCCGTCGTGCCTCTGCGCGGCAGCATCTCCGCCTCGGGCGACCTGACGCCGCTGGCCTACATCGCCGGCGCCCTGGAAGGTAACCCGGATATCGCCATCTACAAGGACGCCACGGGCGAGACCCTCCCCTCGAACCTCGCCCTCAAGGAACTCGGCCTGTCCCCGCTGGAGTTCGGACCCAAAGAAGGCCTGGGCCTGCTGAACGGCACCGCATTCAGCGCTGGTGCCGCCAGTCTCGTCCTCTTCGAAGCCAACCAACTCGTGCTCCTCTCCCAAGTCCTCACAGCCATGGGCACCGAAGCCCTCCTGGGCACACGCTTCAACTACCACCCCTTCATCGCCGAGGCCCGTCCCCACGAAGGCCAGCGTGAAGCCGCCGCCAACATCTTCGGCTTCCTCACCGACTCCAAGCTCGCCACCACCGCCCACCCCGGCGACGAAGGCGGCAACGAAGGCCTCGCGCAGGACCGCTACGCCCTGCGCACCTCCAGCCAATGGATCGGCCCTCAGATCGAAAACATGGCCCTCTCGCTCAAGCAAGTCGAAGTCGAGCTGAACTCCACCACCGACAACCCCCTCCTGGACCCGGTGGAGGCGCGCATCCATCACGGCGGCAACTTCCAAGCGGCCTCCGTCACCACCGCCATGGAAAAGACCTCCAGCGCCATGCAAATGCTAGGCAAGATGTTCTTCGCACAATGTTCCGAGATCATCAACCCGATGCTCTCGAACGGCCTCCCTCCCAACCTCGCCATCGACGACCCCTCCCTCTCCTTCGCCTTCAAGGGCGTCGACATCAACATGGCCTCGTACATCTCCGAGCTGGGCTTCCTCAACCACCCGGTCTCCAACCACGTCCAGTCCGCCGAGATGCACAACCAGGCCCTCAACTCCCTCGCCTTCATCGCCGCCCGCTACGCCTCCGACTCCGTCGAAATCCTCTCCCTCATGGCCGCCACCTACCTCTACGTGCTGTGTCAAGCGCTGGACCTCCGCGCCCTGCACGTCGAGTTCGTCAAGTCCGCGAAGCCCAAGGTCGCCGCTATCTCGGACGCCGTCGGCGCCACCGACACGTCCGTCCAGGACTCCATCTGGGAAATGCTCATGCAGCACTGGTCGCGCAACTCGACGCACGACCTGACCGACCGCGCCCGCGTCGCAACCACCTACACCCTCGGCAGCCTCGTGCACCTCACCAACTCCTCTACCTCCTGCACGCTGCAGGCGCAGGCCGTCCCCGAATGGCAGAACCAGGTGTCCGAGGCGCTGGTTGTCAGCTATGCGCAGGCTAGAGAACAGTTCTTGACGGCCCCCACGACCAAGGAGTACCTGTGCCACGCGAGCCTGAAGTTCTATTCGTTTGTGCGGGAGACCCTGGGAGTGCCGCTTTTCCGGGGCATTGTGGACCATCCGACATATGAGACGGGGGAGGCGGATAAGAAGACGATTGGGTCGCGGATTGGAGAGGTTTATGCGGCGTTGAGGAGGGGGGATGTCCAGGATGTGTTGGTGGGGTGTTGGTGAGATCTTGTTCCGGGGAGGGAATTTAGACGGTGCTATTAATGGGTGGGATAAATGGGATTGATGTTGACGTTGATAAAAAGCCGGAGGAGGGGAGAAAGAAGATGAATGGTTATGACAGAATCGCGAGTAATCTTTAATCTAGTTACTTTTCTGAGCATAGAGCTGCTGCTTTCACGATATGGTTACGTTAATTGAGTACAGCTAAGATCGAGCGTGGTTTTAAAGAGGAAATGAATGAAGATTTACATTGGTATTGACAGGAACTGACTTGTTTTGGACTAAACCTCTGGGTGAAATAGAAATCAAATAGCCTCACCAGTAAAACGTAGTCTAAACAATGAAGAAAAAGAAAACAAGATAAATCCAATCCGTTAATCATCGTTGCTGAAATTCTTTGGTATATAAGAAATTGACATGCTAGGAGCTGGGTCCGGGATGGTCGTATACCGACATAGATTGTTCGTGATACCTGGTACAAAGAGGGTCGTTGACGATGAAGATGTTGTTTTCGGACAGTAGCAGAGCCATTGCGGGTCGCGCCATATGTTGAATCTGAAATATTATTAGCCATTCATTACCTTTATCTCAAAAGACCAGGGTAGGAAACATACGATGGTGTACAGGGATACTTCCTCAATGTAATCAGCGTTGTAGGAAGAGTGATCACCGTGATGATTGGTGCCGGATCAGTTGTTGTGACCGTTGGAACGGTCGTTGTTGGTGGTGCTTGAGTCAGTCTTACGGGTTCTTGAGATGTCGTGGGCATGGACGGGACGGCTGTTATCGTGGCAGGGACAGATGTTGTGCTCTCGCTCGTGGTGGTTGTTGTTGTTGACGGTGAGACGGTCTCCAGCCCTTCGAGAATCGACTGCTGCACTTCGAGCCAGTTGTGTTGGCCGTCCCAGTCCCAGTAGTGCTCGATTGGAGATGCGGTGGCGTCGGTGGCCGAGGGGGTGATGGTTGTTACTGTGGTTGTGACGGTGAGAGAGCACGCGTCAACCGGTGAGAGGGACTCGCAGGTCTAATGAGCTATTAGTTGAGTCGAGCTGGCTATGGAATGCTGGGTATTACCTTGATTGTCTTCGTCTCAGGAGTCGGTATGTCTGTCCCCGTCCGCGTAGGCGTAAAGATACTGACAGTCATAGTGCAGGTTGACGATGTTGCCGTCTGCGTACAGGACGCTTCACTCGTTGAAGTTGGATCCGCAGAGCTCGTTTGTGCATCTGAGGACGTTCGCTCAGAGGTAGTTGCACTTGACTCGGTCGTAGACAGCGAAGTAGATTGCTGAGCAGTAGAAGCTGTGTGCGTATTCTTCTCATCACGGTCGCTCTCCCTATCATCTTTATTATCATTCGAATCGTTCGAATTGCCTCCACTCCCACCCCCACCACCAGACGAACCACCCGCAGGTGGCCCAGGTGGCCCAGGAGGAGCAGGAGGGCCGATTATAGGCGGCACAGGAGGGCCTCCAGGAAGTAGACTCCCGCCACCAGGTAGGGGAAGCGGGATGAAGCCACAGCATAGACCCCAGGAAGGACCGAGATCCGGCTCGTCGGCACAGAAGGCGGGAATGATACAGCTTTTGCTGCTGGTGGTATCGCAAAGGTCGCCCTGGCATTTCCAGACATCGGTTGGCTGATTGTTGGAGTCGACGGTGCTGGTTGCTATGTATGTTATGCTGGTGGATGTGTCTTATTTGCTGATGGGGAAGATCTGCTTTGTTAGACTGGGTTTGGCGGGAAGAAGGAGATGGGAGACATACTGTGATAGGTGTAGAGAGATCGGTGGTGAAGTTTGATTGGCTCGAGGTTATGGGAGATGGCAAGTTGGACTTAGAGGTCTGTATTGGGGAAAGTATTGGCGAAGTCACATTCGGAGCTGACAAGCTGGTAGGGTGCGTCTGATTCGAAGAGCCAATTGAAGTTAAAGAAGACTGGGTATCAGGTATGGAGGTCGGCCGAACAGACCCTGGAGCAGGTTCCTGTGTGCCATTGTCCTGTGTACCATTGTGGTTTGTAGGAATAGGACCTAGGCTATTTGATGTAAACTGAACGTTCGAGCTTTTAGTCGACGAAGGAATCATTTGATTAGAACCAGACTCTGAAGTCATGAGGATTCTATTAGTCGGTTCTGCCGATTTATTAGACGACGTCGGAGGCAGATGTTCAGATGTCTTTTTCAAAGTGTTGTGGACTGAATTTCTGGTTCGAGCCTCGGGTGGAAGGAGTTCAGCAGTGACCGAGTCTGTTTGCTGTGAGGGCAATGAATTAGAAACCCTCGTTTGGTTCGAGGGCAGGTGGTGGGTCGGTCGACTGAATGAAGATTGTGGTGCATTGCTTCTGTCGAAGCTAGATACATTCGACTCTAGTATAGACCCATTCATCGCAGGATCAATATACCGAGCCTTAATATGCTGAATCTGCTGGCTATTTTGGTGCGTGAATGGAAGGGGAGAGATGGAGCCATCTTTGTTCGGGCGAGCCGGATCTCTACCGCCATTCGGGCTAATCATTCTTGCCTCTAATCTCGTTAATAGTTTCTGCGAAATACTCATAGGGGTTTACCTACCCAGAGCAAAGTATGCATAGGTATCTCCGTTTCGAAGTCCCCTTTCTTCTCTCTGTCCCATTTTAACGCACCGCTTCCAGCCTATGCCATGTGTTAGTATGTATAATTTCAAGCTTGAATAGGTGATAGTATACCATAGCTGAAATAACCCGATGTATCGGAGGTCGGAAAGACAGCAATGGCGTGCGTAAGCTCATGTAGTATGGTATGATCGAGCAAAGCTAACGCATCTATTTTCGCTCGCAAGGAAGTCATGTTGAATGTCTTGTGCACTGGCCATGCTAGGAGGGTTTTGGGCCCAAGGTCAGTCTGTAAATATTAGCTGTGTCTGTGGTATTTATTCAGCTGGCACAGGCTTACCCAGTACTTCTTGTGTGATGTAGACATGAACTTCAAATACCATGCACACAAGTCAACTTGTGCGAAGTTCGAAATCCCGTTGGAAGATGTGAGAGCCTGTGTTTCAAAGTAAAGTTAAACCATGTATCCGCAAAGTGACCTTGGCCTCTTACCATGTTTGGGACGTAACCAGATAAAGACCTGCAGAATCGCCAGCCCATATCCATTGAAGCATCCAAGCTGGTGTCTTTATCGCAGGCAGTGAACCAGCCCCTGGAGCCGTCACAGTGCTTGCCCTCGATGTATCGAGAGTAGTCACAATATATGACTACATCATGAGTGGTAAGATAGTTCTTCTCTTTTTCGGTTGAAAACGCTTCTACTCTCTCGAAGATGCGGTTGATTTGTCCCCAGAATTCCTCGTCCACATGACGTTGGCCATTAGCTTTCTTGACAGCAAACCCGTACATGTACTCGAACAAATCCATTTGGGCTTCAGAATGCGTGTTCTCTCTAAATGCCCGCATGGTATCGAGTGCAGCCTGGTTAAGGTCGAAAGCTCGTGCCATCCCCTCTCGAACCATGTCTCCATAGCCTGTTCGTTCTTCACATTAGTCATTGCGTACTTCGATGAATGGTTCTTAGGGAGTCGAACCTAATCTTTCGCAAGCCTGATCTAAATGCCAAGCACATGGTGAATAGCAAAAACAAATGAAGAGTAGCAGCAACCGGACACTCATATCGGTTTGGAAAAAGAAAAAGAAAAAGAAAGAAGAAAAATAAAAAGAATAGAGAAGCTAAAGAAAGAGAGAAAGGGAAAGAGATGTACTCTAGAGAAGACTCATCGATTGAGTCGATGATTGCTTTCCCCAATCTTCGCAGAATGAACGAGGTTTTATACACCTCATTGTAGGACGGGACCGCATACTGCCCAAATGTACGAGGCTGATAGCACAGTCTGTCTCCAGCCTCATGCAGCTAGTAGAAGAATTGGTACCCTTCGACAGCTCTTGATTAACCGCTGTTAGAACCAGAGGTCTTATCTATTCTCCCGGTTCCATTGTGTCGGTACGTTGACAACGTGGAGTCCCAGGAGAGGCGGTCGAGAGCACCGCTTCAGGTACAAACGGCTTAAGGCGATGTATATCAAGAGCGAATCATAACGAGGGATGGTTTAGAGACGTATGGTGTGGGGCTAGGTAGCCTTTTTTGGTAAATGTAAGGGTTTTAGTTTACTAATTGATGGGACTCTAGACATACTGTAAAGTGGGCTACAGGATTTCTAAAACGGCATACCAATTGATTCCTTCGAGTACAGAAGCTTTGGTACAGTTACGACTTGAAAAAAAAAGATAAAAGCTATGTCCCTTTCGTAAAAAACAACATGCGAGTAATTTCTCGAATGCTGGTTGAATGCCCTGGCCTAGACTTTCATAACTCCCGTGTTCTTCCATTCTCGTTTATTAAAGTTTAATCATTATTTAGATCAGCCAAGGGACGTAATATTCGATAGACCAATTATCAGATCAAACGCGCTGCACGAACCTGGGATGATCGAATAGTGGGGATGTTCCCAAGCTATTAAGCGCCGGCATGAGGGGACCGACTGCGGTCGGACTCTCCAGGGTCCGGGAGCACAATAATAGAATATGAGGCTGATAGCTCTGTGCTTCGAAGATTGGAAGGGTGGGTCCTGGATCTTTAGACAAAGAACTCTGTTTCAGTTGTCGTACCATCATTTGTCCTTGCCATTCATTGGATGTCGTTGTGCGTGTAAGCGCCGTCGCTCAGACCTTCGCGTGCCCGACATTCAACTCAGCCGGGGATAGGTTTAGGCGCTGATTAGCTTGACAACCATCTTTATTTGTTATTTGCAATTTAACTGTCGGGTTTTGGTGGTTTCTCTCACGACAAAGTGCGGGTCTTTCTTTCTCGAGATTCCACTACACATTCATCTTTCCAGCGCCTTAACCCCAGAGGATGGACTCCATCGCCGAAGCCTTAGGGAAACTGTGTGTCAGGATAGTCTATGGACCTGATGCCAATATTCCAAAATCCATAACTCGCCGCCGAAAAGAAAATGCGCCCAAGTCGCTTCCCCACAAACGAGCCCGCAGTTTGAGCATATCAGATGACAATAAGCAAGGACCATTGCTCATCAAGATTCAGACTCAAGACAAAAAGATCTTCAAAAAGCAGCAATATTTCTCTCTTCAGACACAATCTGGCCTGCTTGCGTTCCTCCCACCCGAAATCCGTGTCCAAATTTGGCGCTATGTCATTGCTTCTTTCGACTTACATATTGTTCGGGCAGCAAAGACGTTGTGGGCCATTGAATGCGCCGGGGAAGGCATGGCCCAACGTCCATTATGCTTCCACGATTGCTGGGGTGTATCTGACAGGCCCTTTGCCGGATATCACGGCACTACCCCGGGCTACTGCTATAGTACTCGTGGATATGCTAAGTTTCGCGATGGAATTTCCTTGCTGCAGACATGTCGCTTAGTGTATGAGAACTATTCTGTGAATATAGATTTTCAATGTACTGACGTGTGAAACACCATTTACTCGGAAACAGCCAACATTCTGTACCAAGAAAATACATTTCTCTTCAATCATGCGAATACATGGAACGAGACCTGCCAATTGCTGGCGAGCATTTCGGGCCTAAAAGAGCAGTACATCCACCTCGGAGGATGGAGCCTGGTACATGAAATTCATAACGTCCTCGAGCCCCTTCACCAAATCCGGCAGACAGATGTTTTCAATGTACGGGTCAGCATGACGCCAGACCCCGAGGGAAAGTATCAAGTTAAAGACAAACCGTTCCATTTTGTTCCTGATAGATATGAAGGGCTTGAAGACGGAATTTGCTGTTAATCCTTCGGCTTTATAAGGCGTATCTGGCTGGTATTGTGTACGACCGAAGGTTAAGGTGTCTAGTGAAGGGCGGGCCCTTTAGATAGTCACTTGGTTGGGGTTTCATGAACTATGTTTGTACTGGTCTTTCTGTCTTCATTCTTTAGACTTTTTCAATCCCATAAACTCTTGTTGGGTTTTAATGACACTCGGAGTCTTGAAAATATAGTTTCCTTCATTCGTTAGGCTTATGTCGTCTGTTTGCTTTGTTACATGGCAGGTTCAGGGAGGTATTTTATCAAGTGTTTCTAAAGGTACCAAATTTGTGTTCATCCTAAGGACTCATTATGAGAGACTTTTTGGCCTCATTAAAAGATGCATTTTCTCCCAGAGCAGAGCTGTTAGCTGTGCGCCCAAAATACCGAGCTCGAAGCGAGTGGGATTGCTGACTGCGCCACAGATCAGGGGGGAGAAGAGAAACAGAACCATCCCGGTTAGGTCGTTGAGGTGGTTTGTTGTCGGTTGGACTGATCATTCTCGCTCCTTTGTTTCAATTAGCGAATTTGCGGAATTCCAAGGTTTTACCACACATACCAAGAGCGAAATACGCGTAATTGTCGGCGTTGTTGATGCCGGAATCACGACTTTTTCCAAGAGTGACACACCTTTTCCAGCCTACCAATAACACGTTAAAAAAGGCCATCGCAGTTGAAATCTCAGAGGACGTACCGTAGCTTAAGAAGCAAGATGTGTCTGTAGTAGCAAGCAGGGGAATTGCATGCGTAAGCTCATGCAAGATGGTGCGATCCAGCAAAGCAGCGGCATCCATGTTGGTTCTGAGGAGGGTGACATTATAGATCTTATGGATGGGCCATGCCAGAAGTGATTTTGACCCGAGATCAGCCTAGGCCGTTGTTAGCTATACATCCTCGGAAGGTGATGGGTTAACTCGCCCAATACTGCTTCTTTGAGTTTGTCAGGAACTTCAAGTACCAAGCACACAAGTCCATCTGGGCAAAGTTAGAGAGACCATTCGAGGACGTCAGGCCCTTGAACATATGGTCAGCAGAAAGCCCTGTTTGAAAGATTGTCAATCCTACCATTACTGGAAAATAGCCGGACTTCGACTTGCACCACTTAAAGACAGAATTGATTTCCACATCACCGCTGATGTCTTTGTCGCACGCCATTTTCTTGTTTTTATTACCGTTGCATTCAGTACCTTCGATGTAACGAGAGTGGTCGCAATAAATAACAACATCTTCTGCCATCTTCTCCTCTTTGAAAGACTTGAGCTTCAACACCTTATCGAATATACGATTGATCCAATCCCAATCCGATGGGCCAATTTGCCGTCTACCGTCAACGGTCTTGACAGCAAATGAAAACATGTATTCAAAAAGATCCATCTGGGCTTCTGTGTGGGTTTGATCTTTCAGGGCCTGCATTGTATCCACACCGGCTTGAGCAAGATCAATTGCACTGGCCATACCATCGCGAACCGTGGAGCCATAGCCTATTGTGGATATCAGGACTGTCAGGCTCAAATCGGCAAGGGGTACGAGAGGAGCGGACCTAGTTTATCGCAGCTCTGGTCTAGATGCCAAGCAGTGACATAGGGAAACGATAAAATTGCGAATGTCAGGATCTTCAGGAGAAGGGGTGTCATCTTTAAGAATTTCAGGCAATGTCAACAAAATAACAAAGGGAAGTTCCAATTCTATGGATTCTATCTAAAGCTATGGATAGAGAGCGAATACTCTTTATATCGACCCAGATCAACAACGCGGGATGTCCGATCTACCGAAGTAGTGGTATAGGATCGATGCATAGACACATATATCACTTACCACCGCACCGGTACCGTTTCACAGCGATGCAATAAACGCTGTTGGAAGCCCACTGATATAGTGGGCTCGTATAGCTCGGTTCCATAGTGTCGGTACCGCTGTGACGTGGAAATAGACGAGAAAATTTTCCGCTAAGGCTGTTAGAATGGTCGATGAAAAATCAATTTGTCTCTGCCTGGGCTGCACTTGTGTGAAGGTTCGACAAGGAAGAGTTGTATGCTGGTGAATAATTCATAACACATGACAGACAGCATACCAAAAAGCTAAAAACGTGTCTCGTCCCCGCCGGAGAACCTGTACTGTACTATCTGAAAGTAGATATTCGATAGGGTCCGTGCTATCAGGCATCTTAAGTTCAGCGGCTGATTGGTTTAGCGTGTGGTGCTGTGAAACAATGTGTTGTCCGGTCCATGTTCTGGCCCCTCGGACTATACCGTGTTTTTGACCGCGGCGTAGGAATTTAAGGTTCGAAACGGCACCTAATAATAATTTACGGAGCCTCGACTGACAAGTCTGGTCGCGACCTATGCCAGACGTAGCCATGTTATTGAATCGCGGTTTAACCCTGTTGATTTAAGCGCCGCGCTGGGGGGTTTCTTGCGGTCAGACTCATCTTGGGCCCGTGTTCCATTGTCATGGGAATTGCGGCTGACTCCAGGGGCAAGGCTGCGAGCTAGAAGATGGATCGCTAGCTGAGTGATTGGGCTTCTTTGTTGTTATGTGTTCTCCAATGATAGTCCATGCCGCGATGCAGGTTTAAGCGCCCACCAACTACCCCTCTACCACTTCTGATGTTCTGAACGAGCTGTACAATGTCTCTCCAGTTTTCTTTTTTTCTTTCTTTTTTCTATTTGCACCCGTAATCCCTTCCTTCAAAGTGCCAACGGCTTGCCATTTCGTTGTATATCTGTTAATCCCACCTCGAAAGACGTCGAAGGTAATGACAGTCTTTTAAGTTGAAGAAAACCACAAACCGGGCTCTAGGTTGGTTCTGCTGCCCTGGAATAATGGATATTTGCATATCTTTATTAGCCAAGATTCTCGAAAGAGGGGCTTTCGGCAAAGATGCCAACGTCCCTAAGTCCATCACCGCAAAGAGGAAAAGATACACCCCGAAACCTTTGCCCGAAGTTCGTCCTCGCTCCCTTAGCTTTGCGCCCGATAAAGACAACAGTAAGACTCTTGTTCACATTCACAATGAAAGTGACCGAGGGTCAAACGACAAACAATATTTCTGTGACCAGCATCAATCCCGGCTACTCGCGACTCTTCCAGTTGAAATTCGCATCCAAATATGGAGATATGTGCTTGTACCTGCCGATCGCCACATTGTGAGAGGCGAGAGCAGAATTCTGACTATCAAGTGCTTGGGGGACGAAGCGAAACATCTGTATCCCCTTGTCAGCACAAATGTTGGGGTAGTGCTATGAAGCCCTTCGTTTGGTATCGTGGAGTCTCTCCGGGGTACTGCGTCGGATCCCGAGGGTGTGAATGGTATACTGGCGCAATTCCTCTTCTCCAGACATGTCGATTGATGTAAGTTCTCTGCCCTGCATCCTCATTAATACATCTTGCAGACTAATCAAAACTAGATACACCGAAGCAGTCTCCATTCTATACTGTGACAACATATTCCGGTTCAACCACGTCGACACCGTGATAAGTCTATCTCACACTACTCTCCCCAGCCGATTCAATCTCATCCGTGTTCTTCACCTGGCGCATTCATTCCCTTTCTCCATGTATGGTCGCAAATCTCGAAAGGTGGTCGCGCCATACGACGCAAAAACATGGGAGGAAGTATGCCAAGTTTTGGCTAAGATGTCTGGCCTCGAAGAACTGTATATGCATCTTGGGGAGTTCGATACGACCGAGATCCATGAGGTGCTAGCTCCGCTACATCAAATTCGACAAACGAAAATATTCGAGCTGTTTATTGGACTCCGCAGTGATCCTGAGAAGCTTTGCACAGTGAAAGACAGACCTTTCCGATTAGTTGGTCAGCAGGAATGGGGGATGGCTGACCAATGGGAGGAGTGGATGTGCTGTTGAAACTTGGGTGCCTGGCTTGGGATTTTTCAGGTCAGATGAAGCTTTCATTTTTGGCTGCGTATTATTGGTTTCATTTCTGCTTTCTCGTTGAACGAATATTATATGTATTTTCATGTATCTACTTGTTGCTGGGCAAGGTTTCAATATGAATCTTAGTGTTAATAGTATTAAGCTAATTTGGCTTTCGTTTTATCTCTTGATCTTCCCTTGATTGTTGTTTTTCTTGATTACATTCTATCCTCACTCCAGGTATAACCATGTGTCTGTTAATCGTTCAATTAAATGAGCCACGTTGGGAGCTTGTCTAGAAAGGACCATCGTCAAAGTGAATTCACAACTCAGAACAAAGGGTCCCATCATGGCATAGTCGAAAACTCCTGGGCCCGGTAAGAGGCTTGCTATGACCTCCTGAACTGCCCCTGAAAGTTGGTTTACGCAAACTTGCAAACGATATTAATTCGTGAAAACAATAAACTATTTGTCATTGTGGGCTCGCAGCTAACGAAAGTATAAGCAGCATACTTCGTGCGATCCTTTGTGTTCAGACTTATTTTTAGACACTCATTGTCGCACGAGGTCCTTCTTTGCTATGCCCAAAAGTTTCACGTTTTGCCTTTGGTTTTAAGGATTCATTTTGCCAGCCTTCTCAACGCCGAAGAAAGACATATTTAGCCCCACCTCGGCGCGGTGGGTTATACGCCCAGCGTACCGAGCTCGAAGTGATTGAGACTGTTGACTGGAAAGGCGAGAAACAGACCCATCTCTGTTAGGCCGTTGAGGCGGCTTGTTGTCGGTTGGGCTGATCATTCTCGCTCCTGAAATTGTGAATATCCTGATCTTTTGATGAAGGTCGCTTATCAATGGGAAATAAATATGGAAACCGTTGAAGACTTACCAAGCGCAAAGTATGCATAGTTATCAGCGTTGAATCGACCCAATTCACGTTTCTTTTCGAATTCTACACAGCGCTTCCAACCTAACCAGGCAGTCAGAATACGCTTAATTCAATTAAATCGAACTTTTGCTCTAGCAATTGCCATAACTTCTTTTACCACTAATGTCGTCTGTCGGACGAACCGATATGGCATGTGTCAGCTCATGGATGAGCGTATGGTCCAACAATGCATAACCATCCATCCGAGTCCGTTGATAGAGAGCATTGTAGCCGGCGTGTATGGGCCACGCCAAGAGCATTTTAGCACCAAGATGCCACTATGTTGTTAAATTAGCAACCCCCTCTTTAACCTCATGTTTGAAAAGCGTACCCAGTATTTAATCTTGGACTTTGAGCGAAATTCCAAATACCAACCACAAATATCAACTTGACCAAAGTTGGATAAGCCATTTGACCCGGTGAGCGCCTGATGCCGTTCAGAAACCTGACTATAAACATGGACTTGTTGTTATAACTTACCATAAGTGGGATGTACCCGGACTTTGATTTGCACGACTTATATGAGAAGTCCATGTCAACCTTTCTGCTTGTATCCTTGTCACACGCCACCGAGCTGTTCTCAACTCCATTGCAATCCATGCCCTCTATGTAGCGGGAGTAGTCACAGTATATGACAACGTCGTTGGATCTTTCATCGCCTGTTAAGACTGCAAACTTAAGAACATTGTTATAGATACCCTTTATATAGTTAACTTCCTCTGGGATGACTTCTCTATGCCCATTCGTGGTTTTGACTGCAAATCCGAAGATGTATTGAAACAGGTCCAACTGAGCTGCGTTATTCGTGTGGCTGCTGAGAGCATCAAGAGTGTCTACCGCTGCTGCTGCAAGGTCGAGTGCCCCAGTCATACCGTTCTTGACTACACTTTCGTAGCCTTTTGGTCAGGTTAATATGATGGTCGTGGCTTGAAGACGGAAGACGGCGTACCTAACTCCACACAACGCCTGTCTAGGTTCCAGGCTTTGACAGGGGACAGCAGAAAGATTATCGGTATGATAAATGAGATATATAGCATATTGACTTGGAGTAAAAGTGAAAACCAACAACAGCAAGCCTTGTAAAGCTTTTGTTGCTCTGCGAAATGGCTCACCATGGTGGTACTTTTATACTTCCTCGAACAATAACTAAGGGATTCTATCCTATCCATTCATTGGATTAATAGACCCATTTAAATTGTGCTATGCAGCTAAGGGTGCCTTTGGTAGCCTTTCATTAGAGAGCTGTAACCGCTCTTAATTGCTGATACGCTTGAGATTATATGGGGCTATCGGTTCCAAACTGTCGGTGCCACGAGGAGGTGACAACGCAGAGGCGGTTGATAGTGTCATTAATAGAGGGGTCAATGCGATGCGTAAATACTATTGTATTCTTTCGAAAAAAAATAAAGGGGGGGACTAAGGCCTTCTAGATCGACCATATTCTCGCTTTGAGTTGAGAGGAAAGCGCATCGCAGCTAACGAATCAATACAAAATGAGCAAATGGTATCGAGCGTTGCCCAAGCGATCGCGAAAGGTTTGACGTAGAGATATTTCAATGCTGACAAGTCCCTTATCATGAGAAGTTTCAGTGTAGCCATGAGGCTGAAGCAATGTGTTGTTCAATAAATCCGCCTCATGGCCTGGACCTCGATGGCACCATATACCATATACCTGAGAATTGCATTTAAACTTTAACTAAATCTGCTTAAATATCCTGAGTAACCAACCATACCAGTAAACGCGCTCATGGTGGTCGGGTTTGTCGAATAGTAGAAGCTCTTTCACTTCAAGCGGAGGCTAATGGGCTGCTAAGCGCCGAGTTGAGATGATCAAGTTGTGGTCAGACTCACCACTCCCCCGCACGGATTTGCCAGGTTATTAATAGCCTTCTGAGGCTGATTTACGATCGCAGTCTAGAAAGTGCAATTTTGGATGCGGGAACGAAGTGATTAGTCCGGTTGGGCTTTGTTGTCGAGTCGTTTAGTGCGATTCTCAGTTGATTCGACGCCGTTGACTTTCTAAGCGCCTCTTCTGGTCAGCCCGTTAGCCCTGGTGTGTGTCTGTGTTTCGCTCTTGTTTTATTTGTCCTGCTTTATGATCTAGGTGGTGTAGGCTCTTCCCATCCATAACTTTCATCCATAATTTGGAGGTTTGGTATGTTAATCCATCTGCTCATACTGAATTCATCCTTCAAACAATGGCCTTCATAAAGCATATTGTGTCCCGATTTACCCAGAAATTGTATTTTGGGCCAAAGTCAGACATTTCAAAAGATGTCCCCAAGGAGCGAGAGAAGAATTCACCCAAGCCTCTGCCTAGTCTGCGGCCGCGAACATTGACCCCTCCAGCTGGGGGAGATGGGAAACTATCCGCCTCGTTCGTCCAGATCACGACCGAGAATGAGAAAGAAGGCTCGAAAGAACAACAATACGTCTGCGACCAGAGCCAAAGCAATCTCTTACAGAAGCTCCCGGTCGAGGTGCGGTTACAAATCTGGAGGTACTGTGTGGCATTATTTGACATACATATTGTGCGAGGCAGGAATAAACTTGTCGCCATTCCCTGCATTGGCAGGAAAGAGCAGGCTCGACTTCCACCTTGCCAACATAAATGTTGGGGCAGCTCAACCAAAGCACTGTGGGGATACTATGGAGTATGTCCGGGCTACTATATTGGCTCGAACGGTTGCTTTCACTTACCAGATCCCATTCCGCTGCTTCAAAGTTGCCGTATGATGTGAGTCTGTGTATTCCCTCCTGTTACAACTTTTACACTTACAAAATAATAGATATTCCGAGGCTATCAATCTGCTCTACAGAGAAAATTCATTCCGCGTCAACCATATCGACACAATTATCAGCCTGTCGCACACCTTTTTACCTTCAAGGCTCAACCTTATTCGTACTCTTCACCTCGCACATTCATTTCCATTGGCCATGTATGCAGACCGTGACCAAGGGATTTTACCCTACGATGCAAATACATGGGAAAGGGTCTGTGAGATCATTGGAAACATGACAGGGCTGAGAGAATTACATATTCACCTTGGGGGCCACCACTTAAGCTTTGAGCTTCATGAAATCCTCCAGTCACTCCATCGCATAAGACAGGTCGACAGATTTGAGGTTTTCGTCGGTATTGGCCGTGATCCGGAAACCGTTTATACGGTCGACAGACCGTTTCGATTTGTGTCACAACATTATGATTTGCTTCCAGATTGGGAATGTTGTTGATGATTATACTACTGTTCTTGCCGGTCGAGAGCCTAATGAAATATCTTATGTTTCTCTTGCTTTTACTCTTATTACTGGGGGTACCTTTTATTGCTATTTCTCGCAGTTCCCTTGTCCCTTTTCTTCTGGTTTTCGGTTATGTCCTTTCTCTTCTTCGGTATCCTTAAACTGCTATCACCTATTGTCGATCGGGGATAAGTGCCCGAAGTGTCTAGGCCTCACACTTGGAATTAGCCCCCAGCTTACCAACGATTCCAGCCGGTATGATGCGCCACGAAACCATCGACATCCGCACCGCAACCAAGTCCATCAACAAGCTCAAACTCAACACTACATGCCCCCGTGAGCGCAATCCCCACCCCAAAGAACTCCGTGTCACCATTCCCATCCCCCTTCCCTACACTCTCCCCATCAGGCCCAATAACCTCACAGCTCTGCGGGATCCCAATCTGACTCGCCACCCATCGGAACGAGTACCATGCACCGCCAAGACATCCCTTCTCGAGCTGGAACTCCTTGCCCGCGAACGTACACGGGATGTGCCCGTCTGGCGTGCCATCGTTGTAGATGCCGTCGCGGTCGGAGTTTAGCAGCGTAAAGCCACTGCCGAAGTTATTTGTTCCGGTTTTCCCAACTGTGCTGAAGGTGGATCCGCTCCAGACTGCTGCGACTTTTTGACCGGCGAGCGCGGGGGTTGCGCTTAGTGCTGCGGTGAGGAGGAGGGTTGGTGGGAGGTGAAAGCGCATTGTTGCAGTATGGTTTCTGATGGTTACCCTTGCTCAACTTTGAGCCAATCCAAAGAGATAGGACGAGTTGCGATGATTCTCAAGGTTCAGGTTGCCAGGACCAGAAAACATATTTATACCCTGGCTTTGAAGGTGGCTCCATAGTAGAGGAGGTTCTACTTAGGGTAGCTTCTGTGGAGGATTGGCCCCCACTGTGGCAGGTGGAGATCTGACGAAATTGCGTGGTATCCTCGGACAGACCCCAACGCATAATATAAGGGACAATCCTGATTGTAGAGGGAATATACCTTGTGCAAGCTATTCGGTAGGCCGATTACCTATTAACTAGTTAACCCACCAGCGGCGCTGCCCCCAAACCGATACCTGTTTTTCCCCCTTGCTTTGGGGGTCATACAGCCAAGTACAGATGATTCGATAGTCTTAAGAAGGTCGAACCGTTGAATAGTAGTGTCATCCTGACTGCGGAGATAAAGGTCTTATTCGAATATAGTATTAGGGGAACCTCCTAGGTTTTAACACTTACAGAACGCGGGTAAGTCTGCCCGGGTGGTGCATCGTCATCTTCACGTACCCGGTCGTCTACGCTATAGTGATGAACTTCTGATCGTACAGCGACTGGGCTATTCGATGGTGAAGACGAATATGTGGACAGTTGCGCCGAAACTTGTAGGAGCAGTCATCGGTTGAGCTTCAAGTTATGTAAGTCAAATTAACGCACTCGCATCGCAATCCTGTTGCCTGGATTGCCAAAAGACGGGCCAATCGTATTTCCTTCTATCAGAGTCAAAGAGGCCGGGTCCTACGGCTAGTGCACCTAGGAGTAGCCAGGCTGCATGCCGTTCCCCAACATTCTATTCCGGATATTGCACCGTTTTGATGCAGCCAGTTTGGTTTGTTGATATCGGTTCAGTTTCCTCTTGTAGGTGGTCCCTGTTGCCAGTGTATCATTCGGGTTAGATTATTCATCAATCTTAGTTTATCATGTCATTCCCAGTGGTCTTTCTTGTCATCTATTACACCCCAAGGTACTATCGCGCATCAAAGCAAGAGTTACAGCCGTTTGAGATCGTCTCACGATCTACCGCTACAACAAAGACCACTGGATGCATGGCCGGCCGCCAGACAATCCGAAATTTTGACTCCCTGGATCGTTTCCAAAGTCGACTCGATGTCGCAGTTGATGAAGCTAGTAACTTCACATACTGAATGTCAGCTAGCCAACAGTCACTGAGTCTCCCACTGGACACCTTGGGCAGTATCCTAGTATCATTTGTCGGAACCTTGGTTACTTTTAACGGTGACTCTATTCCAGTCAGTATGGCTAGCATATTAATAACATACGCCCTGGCTGTCGTGTAGACTATTCCTGGTGCTGTCCCTCAACCCGCCGAGATTGAAAGCTCGCTCATCACAGTCGAGAGAATGGCACGGGGGCAAAGGCTTGGGCAAAGAAATAAAAACAAACAGTTTGAACTTAAAACTAAATCTCCCACTAGGAATTGAAACGATTCGATTCTTATTCCTTGTACGTTAATCAGTCAGTCGAATTCTCGGAAAATCTGGGCACGCATTACCTTCCCCTAAGACATGACAGTCTGCGATAAGATCAAACCGAATCAACTACAAACGAACCACTAAAGTCATTCAACTCTCATGCATCCAACATAGCCCAAGCTGTCTTTGCACGATCCATCCCATGCCCAACGCCAGTCAAGCTTCAAAACGACCTCAAATCCAACCCCAGCAAGACAACTTACACACGAGAACTCTCCCCCGTCTCACCACTTCGCAATCCCACTTTTGATGAATTTAGTTTTCGCACACCGTATAAGGTTGATCCACTCAAGCTCAGCAGAGTCTGCCAGTCCTTTTTCAACAGACTCATTATGAGCTGTCGGATCGCGGGCAGAGACGTGCCAATCAATGCGACGGAGGGTTCGACCTGCGAGGGAATCCAGAAGGTGGTACCGTACTCGTCGAATTGGGGTGGAATGCGCAGGCTCATTTCATATTGCATCCCTAGTTTTATTTAGTTCGCTGATTGATGTAAAGTAGATGGGAACAAGACTTCATGGTTGGATAAACCATTACGTGAGACTTACACCGCGGGTCAATTTTAGTATAGCGAGTCATTTGCTGCACAAATATTGCCAGTTTATACGTCGCTGCTATTCCGGCTCTAGCTCTTTCTGTCAGTAAAGGGGAACGCGAAGCCCACTGAACTAGAAGGAAAACGTACGATGCCCCCAGAATGAAGATTACACTAACTCCCAGTCTCTTTCTCAAACTCATCTGCGCCTTGGCAATCGGGTAGAGCGGCAGAACGAGGAGAATATAGTCGAACGCCATACTAGTGCTATACAGCGCCACCTGCGTATAGTAATAGTACCAATCATTCACATATTTCTGGCGTTCGAGCGGGTTCCACGCCTTATACAACGGGCGAGAGATGAAGGCCGGTAGGATAGAGAAGACTATCAAATAGACGACCTGCAGGACGAGCAGTGCCCATATGAAGTATCGTAGTCTGGGCATGGCTTTGCTAAACATACGGTTGTAGAGTAAGAGGATAGAGGTTCGAATGGACATGCTCATCGCGGGATATAACCACCCTGATCCGATGATTCCCTTGAACCAGACGGAGAACTCGCCCAGTGTGTTCTCCCACAGAGGCTTGCCGACTCCGGCGTGGAGGTTGACATAGGCGGCCATCGCGGTCCAGCCGATGTAGAAAAGCTAGGTAGTGCGATTGATTGATTAGACTTGCAGATGAAGGAATTGGACTACTCGGGTGGTCTGTCACAGCTCACCAGGCCAGGAATAATGGCGCAATCATCCGATCCGAACGCATGCGCATGGATCCGCTGCCCTAGCCTCACCAACACGCAAAGGCTAGAGACGACTCCGAGGACGATACATGCCACAGCAATCGAGTAGACTTTGTGTGCATCATTTATAGTTTCAGGAGGTGGAATCAGAGGTACCGATGAATTGGTGGACGCCATATTGCTATGCAGCAATTGATCTCGAAGCTTGGGCACTTAGATTCATACAAGACGAAAGCTCAGGAAAGTTGTCCCTTCCAAGAGCCAGTTCAACCTACGTCCGGATCTTTCCATTTTTCTACCTCCTCAACTCTGGTGGATGGTGGTACCAGCGAGAGATCAACTGCAGAGTGTTGATATACATTGGTTCTGGACCGGGACAATCACCAGTTCACTTGCTAGGATTGATAGCCACCGTAAGCACTAGCTAGAGAGAACGGCCTGGAAAAGCACGTAGAAATCAGAGGTCAGCTGTGATCACTTCTTTGTTGCCACTAGGTAATGGGGGTGTTAAGCAACCATGTTCTTTGTTGTCGAAAACCGTCGATTTGGTATAGCGTCTTCTTGGCTTCCCTTTCTGGACGTCCTTACCCCGGATCCATCGAGGGGTAATTGAAACTAACGTCCAACAATAATACTTGCACATTGATTGTAGACTTCTGAATAGCCAGAAAAAGTTTAATGTGCTGGAATGCGGGTTTATACTTTCTATGATCGCTCTGCTATGTCCTGCATGGTCGTGTAGCTGCACTCTAGCCTCATTCGTAGACTACAAGCGCAAGTATAGCATCATAGAAGAGTTCAAGATTATGGCAGGCCTCGCGGAACTCTACGTCATAGTCTTATTAGGTTCAATCCCAATATGTTCGTCTGAACACTCAAGAATAGCTTTAAAATCAACGTCGACGACTCCTACACGATAATTCCAGCTTTGCCTTTTCTTTCTATTTTCTGAAAAGCAGTTAAAATTAATGTGTAACGGAGGTGATGCTACGCAACCATTTCAAATATTTTATTTTTGGCCAGAACGTTGTTTCTCCTATGTTCTCACAACAAAGAGCAGAGGGCAGTGTAATGTAACTGTGATCCTTCTGCTTAGTAGACTGGGACCAAATCACTAAGGTTGCGCCACATCACATTCTCTATTCCCTCCAATAATATCAAACTATAACTCCCTCATGTCAACTCCAGAGATCACCTCCACGAGTGCCATCAGTATTCTTTCTGCACCACATCCCATAACAAGCAAAATCCGGTTTAAACTATACGCAATAATTTCAACTGCACATATGAAGCCATGACTGCGGAGGCACTGCGACCAATCTCGTCGAATTTTCCCATGTCCGGCATGCAGGGAGGATTCAGCTTTCACGGTCGCAACGATCCCTGCATTAACATCATAGGATATAATAAAGAGAGAGAGATTCGGGGGGACGGATGGATTCCCAATGGCCCCGAGGAAGCAGATGATGTTCTTTATTTGCTTCCATACCAAAACCTAGGGTTGCAGTAGCCCTCGTGACCTCAGGGTGCGCTGGCATTCTCCAACGAAATGCTCGGCACTTACGATCTTATTTAATTTCATGGCACTCCCCCTTGCTTACGCGGTCAACTATCCAACACCAACCATGGCTGAAAGCATTACCGCATTTGTGGACAGTCTAAACCTCACTTCTTCGGTGGCCCAGGAGCTACAGATATGGCTAGGAGGGGAAACCGCTGTGACTACAGTTCTCTTTAGTCCCAAAACCGCCCGGTCGGCAGTGATTGAAATCGCCTTTCTCGTCTTATCGGGGTTCTTTGGGATCCTGCTGGTTGGCGATCCGGCTGAAATACCTGCGTTGGATGCACATTGGTATGCTTTTCTTCTGATTCCGACATCCTCGCCAAGTAGACTAATCACCATTTACAGGTCTGCAGCGGCTTCTAAGTTGCCATCTTTTATTGCTCTCCCGAAATGTGCAAATGAGGTTTCTATTATTCTCAGGGTTATAAAGGTCCTTGGAATTACATTTTCTGTTCGCAGCGGCGGTCACTCTCCCAATCCAGGCTGGTCAAGTACAGCCAAACCGGGTATCGTAATTGATCTGCATAGCTTTAATCAGATTACTGTCAATCAGGACAAGAGCTTTGTATCCGTCGGACCTGGCGCAACATGGGGTGATGTATATACAGCCTTAGACCCTCACGGTGTCAGCGTCATTGGTGGTCGGATTCCGTCCGTCGGAGTCGGAGGCCTGATGCTCGGAGGTATGTCGCATCCCAACCACATTCCACACTAATGTCCTCTAATCCTTGTGCGTCAGGTGGGTTCCATCACTTCTCCGGTCAATTTGGACTTGCTGCGGACAATGTGAAAAACTTCGAGGTAGGATATTTCTCTCCTAATCACGCTCTCTATATTGACAAACCTACAGATCGTCCTCGCAGGCGGCACCGTGACCATCGCCAATGTTCAGGAGAAATCCGATCTTTTCTGGGCCCTGAAAGGAGGAGGCGCTAATTTTGGTAAGATCGCCGGTTCTATTAAAATCATGTCCAACTCTAAAACAATCAACATCCAGGTATCGTTACCAAATTTGACCTTTACACCATTCCAGTAAACAACATTTGGTACCAGATTGGCGTCTACTCCACTGACCAAGTCCCTGCCATTTTCGATGCCCTGGCCGACTGGCAAAAGGAGTCCTCTGACGTTAAAGCTATCGTCGCTGTGATCGTTACCTTGGATATTGTCACGCTGGGCTTCATCTACTCCGAGCCTAGTGCTGAAGTCCCGACCTCCTTTGCTCCATTCAATGACATCCCTGCCATTGCCTATGCGGTGCCACCTACTAATGGCACCGTTCTTCAATTGACGCAGATTCTAGGCGCTTCTAGCGCCAGGACTCCTGCCAGGTGAGATTACCTTAACTACTCTCTCATTTCATATCGTTACTAAAGTTTGGGCTCGTTCAAAGTGCCAACCGCCATGACTATCGCGCCGCTAGCTCGAAGGTCGACGCGCCGCTTTACAAAGACGCATATGCTTTCTGGAAAGAGGAAGCCACTGCTGTGCATGAGTCTACTGGTGCGAACCAGACCTTCGTGATACAGCCTATTTCCGCTGCCATGGTTGAGTACGGAAATACTAAGGGCGGGAATCCTCTGGGCCTGGCACAGGAAAGCAGACAATGTATGTATAATCCTTCTTACATACCCCAGTTTTCCCAGACTAGGAACTAAGAAAGATGTCTCATAGGGTGGACAACCCTCGTCGACTGGGAGAATGCTTCCGATGACGACGTCGTTCGATCGGCTTCCATCGCGACCACGGACAAGTGGAAGGAATTGGCCACAGCGCGAGGCCTACACGACCCGTTCATTTATATGAATGATGCATCCAGGGACCAGTATCCCCTATCGTCATATGGCGCACAGAACCTGGCGAAGTTGAAGGCCATCGCAGCCAAGTATGATCCCTCGGAGGTGTTTCAGGAGTTGCAGAACGATGGGTTTTTGCTTTCCAAGGTTTAAATTTGGCCTTGAAATCTTGTCGTGTCCCTAGCCGTGGTCTTTTCGTTAGAAAGGTTCACGATCACCTTTGCGTTCAAGACTCTCTAGATTGATTACATGCTGTATGACTGTTCCGGGTTTAGGTATCTATCATTGTTTTAGACTACTTAATAGAGCCCATCTACAACCACTTAGTCTATTAATATTCAGAATATATTTCCCAAGCCCCTCAGATCTACACCAGGATATTAGATTAGGGTAGCTATCGAATAGAATAGGCCCGAAACTGCAAAATCCGGGGATCAGCGGTAAGAAGGTTAACAGTAATCTACCCCTTGCGTCTCACAGATCAGAGCTACCGGTCTTTCTGCCAACTTGCTGAAACTTAGGCTTCCACTCTTTCCCCAAATTCTTGTGGCCTTTGTATTCAACCATGCCTTCTTTCTTTCCATCCCGTCAACCTTCCCAGGTAAGGTGCTCTGTAGATCTCACTGAGGACCGGATCAAGCTGACTTTATCAGACTATCAAGCTGGACGATCATGAGATTACTGCAACTGAGGTCGAGCTCTTAGATCAACGTCGAACGGTTTACCGTTTCAAACTTTCAGCAGACTCATATCGGCACACAATTCCAAAAACAGACGCCTCCGTTATTGTCAAACAACAGAAAGAGGAATGGGAGGAAGAGTTCGATGATGAGGAGACGGCCTACAACAAATTGAAGGACCTTCAAGGAAAAGTAATTCCAAACTTTTACGGTCGGGGCTATTTCGATGGGCAGCCTGCACTCATCTTATCAAAGATCGATGGGATTCCTCTAAATGCTGTAGCGCGCAGCAGCGACTGCAAGATTCCAGAGGATTCCTTGAAAGCCTATCTGGAGGAGGTTTTCACTGAGCTTTCGAAGCATGGGGCCTTATATCATGACCAGAAACTGGATAACTTTTTGTTGTGCCATGATGAACAACGTGGGCATATTAAGGTGATGGTTGTTGATCTCGAGCAAGTCGAGTTCCCTGATAAGCTTCGCCCTTGGGAGCATCTTATTAACCAGGAGGGTGCGAGATCGTTGATGGAAGATTTCAGATACACGCGAAACCCCAGACGCGAACCATCTCCACTTCAGTTCTGGATGTCTGGGAACAATGAGAGTATCGCTCAGTGAGCTAGAGATTATTTCGCCACCAGTACGTCAAGAAAACAATTGAATGAATGGAGGCATCGACAAGCCCGCTATACTGTTGCTTGGCTAGAAAGGGAAAAGTGAAATCTGTTACTGCACTCATATTTCATAGCATGGTCTCTATAATGGTGGGAGTGAACTGAAAAGAACAGTGTCACGTCTCCGGGGACCAAGAAACCGTCTCTTTTGTTAAAGTTAGATAGCAGGAATGAGTCTTAGGATTGATCCATGAGATTTGAGAGAAAGCTCAGGGGTACTTTCAGTAGAAATTTCGACTACCAGCAGATATTTTGACGCCAGTTAATTGGCGTCTTTCTATCTGACATGTGGTTTCTCGATACTCCTACTTTCATTTTACACCTATTCAGTATGTCCCTATAGCAGCAGCTACACTTGCTCTAAGACACAGCACTCGTCTTCAAATAGCTCCAAAGGTTATCAATCCCAAGAGTAAACGAGATCGTCAATTCTGGCAGAACACGGGTGTGTAAATTAATAGTTTCAATCAAAATTCTGTACTTGCCAAATTAGCTCTGGGACCAGCGCATGATACCACACAAGTTCATAACAACCTGCTCTCTGCCGCTTTTAGAGCTGAGGTCAAACCATGGTGTTGAGTTAACATGCAGAAGGCAAGTTGGGGAATCTGACTCAAAATCATGCAGATATTCCGCGCTAATCTCAAAATCAAGGAAGCATATATAGTGCTGTGTAGCATTTATAAGCAGTACTCTGTTATACGTTATGTATCAGCATATCTATCAGGATGACGGCAAAATTGGGGGTATTTTTGAATGCAGTGAAAAGAAAAATGTGAAAACTCATAGCAGTACCTTTCGAATTGCAGCTCTTTAAACGGATCAGCTAATCTCGCCACCAGAGCCTCGCATGTCATTTGCGCGAAGCAGCTGTCCGAAATGATCGGCTGGCCATTTTCTAGGCACTGGAATTGTCTTTTGGCTTCTTAAAATAGCCACCCGGCTTTTTAGGGCTTTAAATATACCTCTCGACTCTTGGCGTAGATATAAGCCCCCATCGTCGATAGCTATAACCTTCCGTTTCAGCTTAGGAGTACGAGCAGAAAGTCTTATTTTTGCATCTCGGAATTCGACGACGGCGTTCATATTTGCAGAATCTTGAGGGGATGCAAAATATAAAACATGCCGAATAACACAAGATAGAAGTCGTAAGGTCTCATCCTCCTGGGACGCTAGAATTCTATGCGATTCGGCATCAATAAATTCCACCGAAGATGTCCCCTGGGAGCCATCAGCAGCTGGGCTACTAGATCCAATCTGTATTTCCCTTGAGTCGACATAACCTCTTTGCGCGATGCGTTCGGTGCGTATTCGGGGACGCTTGGGGGATGGTTCGGCTTCATTGTCACTTTCCTGTGGGGAATCTCCAGGAGAATCTTCGAGGTGATTCTTTCCACGGCGCTCCTCGCTGCCTTTGAACATTGCCAATGCCCCCCACACTTGGCCGAGAGAGATGCCGCAAGTAGGATCCCGCACAAGGCGGTGTTCACTCAGGCTCATCTGACCACGGTCTGGGCCATTCAGGAATTTCACGATCTCGGGGGATGATTGAAGGTCCGAGGGATATTGATAGGGTACTAGAATTGGGAGAATACTGTGCTGGGTATCCCGCCGGATAACACGACAAGCAAACAAGTGATCACGTCCCCAGTCACTGGCCCCAGCATCATGAAGTTGGGAGAAGGTTGTCCTGTCTTCGGCATCAAAGCGAGCCCTGAAGGATGATTTTGAAGTGACAGAGTTGAAGTAGGGACTATTCGCCATGCTGTGAGCCAAAGGAGGGCTGCCCGTCTACTCCGCACAACGCCGTCTTTTATGGGTCGGGCCTGCGGGGCAGCCGGATGACTCACCCCGCATGGATCCTGCGGTCAGGTGACCCCGACTGCCGGGATCCCGGGCGGTCAACTCCGATTGCTCCATCTCCATCCTCCTCCATTCTCCATCTTTCGCGCTGCAAAATGCAGCCAGGTTTGAAGCCCCAACCACTTGCCTATCTCATGCGCTACCACCGTGATCTGTTTGTGGACCCGTTGTTCTGGACTTTCCGTCATTTGAATCTGGTAGGATGTCACTTCACCCCGCTTGAATCAAGGGAGATCCCTCAAGACATTGAGGATGCGCGTGAAGCTCAAAACAACGACGAGCCGCGAGACCGTGTACCACCGCCGCCTCCATCGGCCCCTGAGCGACTTGCGAAGAGTTGCGCCCCCCTTGTGAAGCTGTCCGCCCTATACCACATTCTGGAGTATGAGGGAAGCGCTTTTGAAGAGCGATGGTAGTCAATGTCTCCCGTAACTAGCTCAACTCGAATATGGCTATTGATATTCGTGAACAGCAGCAGAGGGCCTAAATTCTACTTTGCGGGCAAAGCGATTCATCGACCAAAATACGTCGTGTTCGGTCGTCGCAAACAAGCCAACGAACCTCTTGACGATACTTTGATCGGCTACTTTGACTACACCTTCGCCACGTACGGCCGCAAAGATAAATTCCAGGCGAAAAGTCATCCTGGCAATGGTAACAACGCGCCGGTCGGGCGTCTCCATACAAAACAGCTGGCACGAATAACCCCAGCTAATTGGGAGGAGGACCCATACTTCGTTTGTCTTTTGCTGGCCATTGCTCAACTGCAGCAGCGTTCCCTCCCAACTCAAAAGCAAACAACGCATACGGTACGTCTCATGCTTCATATTGAAATCTTACAGCCTAACATATATCATAGTCGCGTCTTCTCGTGGCGAAGTGGCCAGACTGTGAGTTCATCTATCTCTACGAGGCTCAATTCACCTCCGAGCTTCTGAAAGCGATTGAAAATCCAAAAGCTGCTACGACCTATACGACCTGGCCAACAATCACACGTAAAATAATCCCTTACAAGCCCTATGACACTTTTCGGTCACGCCTTGTGGCCGAGTTATTACTCACGAAAAATCAAAACTGCTACGCTACCTCGGGTAACAAAGATTGTGCTGATTTTGTTGTGAGATGCACAACGAAACGACCGCACCAACAAGATGACGAGACACGCACAGTAAAACGCAAGGTAGACATGGCCTATGGGAAGTGAACTTACCATTATTGTGGAATGCCCCAACATGACACTGTTGTTTCTACTTTTTCCCCAGGTCAAACGTGCCAGATGAAGTAACCAGTCATGAATCGCATTAGGGTTCCTACCCTAGGTGACTGAGATACAAAACATTTATTCCTTGCGCTGTCTCACCCCTGGCATGTTAAACCCTGGCCTGTTTATGGTACGGCCACCTTGGCTTAGGTGAGGGTCCACCGAGACGGGCTGTGATCAATGACCAAGGTTGCTGTGTTAATACTTCTTTCTTCTTCCTTTGCCAAGACGAAGCAAGCCCTCGAACCGTTTGCTCTCTGGCTTTTGTTTCGTATCCCCAAAGAACAGGCAGACTCTGACCGAAAAGACGTGTCAAGCGTTCGAGGGCATGAAGTTTGACCATCAACACAGATTTACCGCGACACTGCACAAAATTTTGTCACGTGGCCGAGGGAGGAAACTGTAGCAAGTTGCGACTCACGTGAAATTTCAAGAGGCCTGGGGCTTTATCCCGGCTCTGAAGATCAACCGCGACGAGCTCATTGATGACTAGGACAAGGCTCAAACTTTTTGGGTACTTTCTTCCCCGAGCCGGCGTGTTCGATCTGAAAGGACTCCAGAATCTCCTACCAACTGAGCTCAACTCACGACCCCGGAAAAGCCAGTAATTAGATCGTGATTCATGGTCGTGGGCCAAGACTTTATGAATTGAGCAGACGCCCGATTTGTCCTAATTCGAGGTCTCCCATACCGAAGTTCAAGAATTATTTTTGAAGCCCCCTCTCCTTGTTACTCAGTGATAAGGAAGCTAGCAAGACACAACACAAGGGTGCCATTACGACAAACCTTGAAATACTTGAACCAATTCTTAGATCATGAAGACTCCCCTACAGATTCTACAAAACCAGCCGTCTAGCTAGATAGGAACCATGCTCTGACAACTAGAAATATCAAACCCGTCGCATTCTTGACAAACATCTAGAGTTTAATGTTAGCTGTGTCAGGCTCGCCAAGATTCATCATGTGGATTCAAAGCTTCTCGTGAGTGATGAAACACGGCGGGAATGCCGAAACTAACAGTCTAACCATTTGATTTCTCTAGATAATGCACTTATGGGATAAATTTGCATTACCTATGTGACACTAACAGATGATGCATCCTGCAAGACTATCCCAAACAATAATAACAGGAGATCTCAGCTCATTTCTTGTCCGAAAAAAGCAAAAACAAAACCAACCGGAGTTTGGGGAACTGGGCAAGGATTACACTGCAACCAGCATACGTGGACAAAATGAGAGAGAGATCTTTCCAATTTGTCCTGCACCCCTCCCGATCTTCCTTCTTTCCGACAACCAACACCTGATTTGAATCGAAAGTTTTGACACGCCTGCCAAAAGCAAGACATCTGAGAACTTCTGCCTGAATATGGCATGTGGTATTTTCAAACGCGTTGTAAGACGCTTTCGAAGAAAGCCCTCGTCTAGCGGGAAAGCTGCTGCACCCCAGAGATCCACAAGGTCTCTAGAGCCTCCTCCGCGAAAGCCGTCAAACGCGACGGGTTTTGTTACCGAAAGCCCCGAGCGATCTGATTCCACCCAGAAAGCGAATAATGTGACCGCAGCTCAACTTGAAAGCCAAAAATCTCCTTCTGTCAATCAAACGGTTTGTGATCGCCTAACGCGTTTCCTATTGGAAGGAGAGAGAGCTTCAACTAAAAAGCCTCGCACAGAATCAACCGAGCTCTGTAGACCAGGCCATTAATCTTGACGTGCTTCCGCCCGCGGACGATGCGAAACAGGATCCGTCTTCAAAGTTCACTTCTGCGCTGTGGAAGCAGGCCCTTGAGGAGCTGCGTAACAACGCGAAGACAGAGAAACTTCTCATCGAATTCCGGCGGGCTTTATTAGGTAGGTAGCTCGATTCTCACAAACATAAGGCACCTTTGCCCTTGTGGGCTACTAACCTCAATCTGTACAGCAGATGGCACAGAAGAGTCCGCGGAAGGGGACAAAGAAGTGCAATCATCCGACAGTTCCCTAAGTGAAGACGAAATTACGCGACAGCTTCAGAACACCATCAAAAGAAAGTTAGAGCAGATTTCCAATGATAGCGAAGCATCCAAGGGAGAGTATCATCTCAATATCAAGGACAAGATCATAAAATGTGTTTCTTTGATTCAGGCAACAGAAAATCTTATCACAGCCGCTGTTTCTGCCGATCCACATGCATCGTTGGCATGGGCTGGCGTATTGGTGATTTTGCCTGTGAGTGTCCATATTTCGGCCGCCTTATCTAGTGATTGTGAAGCGTGCTAACTGCTCGCTAGATAATCACTAGAACCATCACAGAAAAGCTAGACGCAATTGATGGATTCAGCCGCGTCTTGCAAATTCTGGTTAGATGCCGAGTGATTGAGGAGGCCCACTTTGCCAAAGAAGTAGGACCTAGAGAGCACAAAAGGTATTATTCTGCCACACAAAGTCCTTCGGGAGAAAGAGTGACAGAGTCATGTTGCTAATTTTATTATTCTTGTTGAGTATTACAGCATTGCAGAGTTTGACCTCTCAACCAGAAAAAACATCGCTCAACTTTATGCACGTATATTGGAATACGAAATCCGACTGGCTTTGTATCTGGGGAAGAAATCGTTTATGCGCTTCTTCAGAGACCTAGCTGCATCAGATGACTGGAATCAGATCTTGAAGGATATCGACGCCAAACGAGATGTCATGGAAAGTGATCTTGCGGTAATAGACAGCGATGAAACCATGGCAGGAAACTGCGGACTCTCTACGGGCTGAGATGAGAGTTGAGATGAAAGTGGGTGTCTGCGATATATATACTCAATGGGCTAAAGATGCTAACACGTGCTATTAGAAAAATGAAAAAGAACGGAAGCTCGCCGCCCACCATCGTCTTCGTGAAATATTTAATTCGTTACCATTCGCAGAAGGCGCGGCTTTCGACTCGAAAGAGAACCAGCATTCAACATGCCTCGAAAATACCAGAACGGACCTGTTGGAGCAAATCCTGAGTTGGGCTCACAACAACGACAACAATGAGATATTTTGGCTCAAGGGCGCCGCTGGCACCGGAAAATCAACTATTGCGCGAACCGTCGCTGAAAGGCTTCACAAAAGAGGTCACTTAGTTAGAAGCTTTTACTTTGCCAGGGGTCGAGGAGATCGCGGGACTGGAAAGCTTTTGTTCACTTCAATTGCTAAACAGTTAGCGGAACAGGACCCACAAGCGCTTCAGTCGATATGCGATGTATATCAGCGAGGACTCACTGACAAGGCATCCAGCTTCCAATGGAGCGAGTTAATTCAAAAGCCAATCAGGAAAGCAGGCGAAAGCATCAAGCGTGTAATTTTAATCATCGATGCTCTGGATGAATGTGCTGAATCTGAAATTACGAAAATCATCAGTATCTTCACACAGGAGCGAAAAAGCACGCCTGGCCAAACATATCGCATTTTCATCACCAGCAGGCCAAAAACTGCAATTCGCATGAGCTTTCGACAAGCCAAGAGCGCCATATTTTTTGATTTGGCGCTTGATCAAGTCCCTGACGCAGTGATCAAGCGTGATATTTTTCTCTATGTTGACTATTCCATGGATCAGATTCGGGCTTCAAGTGAGTTGGGGAATCATTGGCCAACCCGGGATCAAGTCTCCGAGCTCTCGCAAAGAGCAGGCCGACTTTTCATCTATGCCGCAACAGTTTGTCGATATCTTCAACTAGCCGCCGATCCTGAAGAGAGCTTGGAACGCATACTTGACACCACCGTCTCAGACTCGTCCACAAAATATCTAGACGAGATATATACGCAGATTCTAATGCATTATCTGTCCGATGGTAATGGGGATGAGATAGGTGGCCGAATACAGCTTTTTCAGATAATCGTTGGCGCAATCATCACTCTTTCCGAGCCGTTGTCGCCTCGTGCATTGGCAGCTATCCTTGGCGTTCCCAAACATAAAGTGAACTCAACCTTGAGCCCACTTTATTCAGTACTCGATGTTCCTGGCGACATGGAATCTTCCATAAAAATCTTTCACGAGTCCTTTCGTGACTTCCTGATTGACCAGAGCAGGTGCCGTATCACGCATGAACGTGTGACATCTGCAACCCTACTTTGTGTGGACCAGCAGGCCAAGCACCAGCTGCTGCTATCAAGATGTCTTGAGACAATGAGTCAAAATCTCAGACGAAATATTTGTGACCTCCCATCCGACGGAACACTGAGATCTGAGATTGTCCACGACACAATCCAAGCTTGTATTCCTTCAGAGCTCCGATACGCATGCCGATACTGGGCTCATCACCTACAGCAAAGCTAAAAGATACTTGCGAATGGTGAAGAAGTACATATATTTCTTGAAAGCCATCTTTTGCATTGGTTAGAGGCTATGGGTGTTCTGGGGTTGATATCGGAGGCTGTGAGATCTATTTCGAGACTTTCGTCGTCAGTTAAGGTGAGCATTTCTTTTTTTCAAGTAGGTGGAGTGTTCTTTTTTTTTAACTAACTCTTCTCGTCTAGGCCAAGGATAGTGCGATTTCCAAGTTTCTCTACGATGCATACCGTTTTGTACTGAACAATAGCGAGATTGCCGATACTGCACCTCTCCAGCTTTACTCTTCGTCGCTAATATTTGCCCCGGAAGCATCCAACGTGCGGAGGATGTTCAAGGACCAAATCCCCGCATATTTAAAGCAATTACCGAATGTAGAGGAGAGCTGGAGTGCCATGCTACGAACGATTGAGGGTCATACTAAAACCATCAATGCCATAGAATTCTCGCTTGACGGCCAACAATTAGCTTCAGCGTCAGATGACGGTACAGTCAAACTTTGGGATACCGAAACGGGAGCACTACTGCAGACCATTGCAATTCTTGATGAGGATAGAGATCTGTACTTTCGTTCCGATTGCAAGATTCCGCGGGTTTCATGCGCCTCATTTTCGTCGGACGGTCATATGCTGGCATTCGGCGCACATGATGTGAAGATCAGACTCTACGATACAACCACAGGCACCATGTTGCGGAGGCTCGAGGGTCACACCGGATTTGTGGAAAGTGTCGCTTTCTCACAAGACAACAAATTTATACTCTCTACTGGAAGTTCCGAAATCAAATGCTGGGTTACAGCTACAGGAGAACTGTCGAACACATATGAAAGCAACTATACGCCTATGTGTGTTGCTTTCAGTGCCGATCAAGAGCAACCATCTTCGATTATAGAAGCAGCCTTTTCACGCGACGACCTTCAAACGATTAAAGTCTTCGATAAATGCACAGACAAACCACCACTGAGGCTTCATGGGCATACTGACTGTGTCTTTCTGGCTATCTTCTCACAAGACCACCAGAAGCTGGCTTCTGGTGGACCTGGCACAATAAAGGTCTGGGACGCAGTAACAGGGGAATTGCTACATACCCTTACAGGACATGCGAATGATATCTGTAGTCTTGCGTTCTCACAAGATGGCCGGTGGTTGTGCTCTGGCTCAGTGGATAAAACCACAGTGGTCTGGGACGTTACGACGGGTCAGCAAGTCAGAAAGTTCACAGATGGGTTGGGGGTCTCTAGCGTTGCAATCTCCCCGGATAGTACGCGACTAGCAGGTTCCATATCTAATGTCATCAGACTCTGGGACTTGGCTGGTGATATGCGGACAACAACGTTAGAACATCACATTCAGTCTACTGTAAGTACTATCGAGATTATACCAAACACCCGAAAATTATTTTCAGTGGGGTGGGGTGATCTCATGATTTGGGACATGACCACTGGCGCACTGGTGGAAAGGCTTGGCCCATTCTCGAATGAAAGTCTGAAAGTCGCTGCTTCCCCAGATGGCAGGTGGTTAGCAGTTAATCTATGGAATGAGGGTTTCAAAGTCCGCGATATGTCGCAAGACGTATTCGTGCAGATACCAGAGGACATAGACTCGGTTGACAGTTTTGCCTTTTCGCATGATAGTCGACAGCTAGCTCTCAGCTCCGATGGATTGATCATTCTTTGGGACATTGAGTCCATGGAGACACTAACCTATAATCGGTTCTTTGATGTCAATCACATTGCTTTTTCAATGGACGGGCAGTGGCTAGCCTTCTGTTCGGAGAAGGGGGTGGTTTCTTTGTGGGATAGAGCTACGCAGAAGGTCAAGCGAGATTTTCTCATTCCGGATGACTGGGAAGTATGGTACGGCTTCTACCGGAAAGTAGATTTGGTGTTCTCCCCAGATAATCAGCAGTTGCTATGGTGCGCAAGGGGTGGCTTTTCTAGGATTCTTGACCTAACTACAGGAGATATGTACCGTATTCGAGCGGATGGTGGGAAGGTGTCACCAAACCTTTTATTTGGTGGCAGATGTCTGAGGTCTGGCCACGGGTTGTTTATGATTTCCGCGAAAAGCGAGGATGGTGCTGGCCGCGCTCACAGAGCCCCGGGTCAAATTGCAGTGCAAAATCCATGGGTTGTCTATGACCAGGAGAGGCTTCTTTGGCTGCCGTCTGACTACCGACCATGGGAATGGATTATCGACGGCGATCTCTTGGCCATCGGAACTAAGTCTGGTCACATTTACATGATGAGATTCGATATCAGCAAGCTTCGAGAAAGGAACATTTCAGATTGATTCGGTTCGAGCCACGAGAATCGGCAACTTCGGTTGAAAATAGAAATGCATACTATTCAACTATAGATCCATCCTCTGAAATCCGGGAATAGTCAAAGGTTTATCATTCTCATACAAAGAGTCATTGTTCTATATTCTGTACCAAACACTACCCCTAACAACAATTGCACGATGTAGATCTACGGAGTATCAATCCCCACCATGCCCAAACAGGCAAAGTCCACGGGCGCTGAGTCAGCCGACCAAATGTGGCTGGGCACCCCACCGCCCCACCAGACCCATGACGACGGCACCGCCACAGCCCCTCCTTCACACCTGAGGCACGCATCCACCTGAGCTGCAGCTCTCTTGGCTGAGGTTGTTTGCTCTTAAATATCTCTTCCTCTTCTGACTGACTTCTCCTTCCTTTTCCTCCTTCCTCATCTCCCTCCTATCTACCTTCTCCCATATCATCAACGAAACCCCATCGAGAAACCCAACCACCAAAATGTCCTTCTCCGACCTCATCCAAAACACCATCAACAAGCACACCGGCGGCGGCGACAACAACTCCTCCTCCTCCCCCTCCTACGGCAACGAAGGCCCCTACTCCGCCGGCGGCAGCAGCCACTACAACACGCCCAACGCGGCAAACCCGAACCCTCACTACGGCGGATCCGGCGGCTACGGCTCCGACGACGACTTCAACCCCGCAGTCTCGCACGCGCAGGCCGAGCACGGCGAAGACAGCTCGCTCTTCAACACCGCCCTGTCGTTCATCAAGGACCGGAAGAGCCAGTACGCGCAGAAGGATAACTACGACATCGACGAGTCGCATATGGTGCAGTCGCATCAGGCGTTGTACGGCGGCGGCGGCGACGAGCGCGCTCATGACTCGAACTCCCTGGGTGCGGGGGCCGCCATGCAGGCGTTGAAGATGTTCACGTCTGGTGGCGGGTCGAGCTCCGAGAGCAGTGGTGGGGGTATGGATAAGAACAAGTTGATTGGGATTGCGATGGCGCAGGCGGGCAAGCTGTGGGAGGAGAAGAACTCGAATGGTGGTGCTGTAAGTTCCTCCTTTTCCCTTTTTTTTTTCCTGCCCTTTTGTTTCGTGATTTTGAGTGGTTTCGTATGGGTGATGCTAATATTGTTTGTGCAGTCCGAGGACAAGCAGTCGGCTGTGAACAAGGCCGCTGAGATGGCGCTGAAGATGTACATGAAGGGCCAGGGCAGTGGATCTAGCGGCACTGGAGGCCCCGGCGGCTTGATGAGCTTGGCCAGCAAGTTCCTGAAATAAGCGCATCTAGATTGGACTTGAGATAGTTCATTGATTTATACATGTTTGTATCCTCGCATGCGGGCCATGTCTTACAACAGCCAACAGCTCAAGCATATCGTATAGTATATCAAACTCTATTTATACCAAACATCTCTACCTACAAATTCAACAATGTTAACATCCACCGAGGGTATGCCAGCGCCAAGCAATGTAGGTCCACTTTTTGGGGGTTGGTATCAGGTAGACCGGAAACACTCAATAAACGGAAGACACTCTAAGCTGAGCAAACATAAAGCCAATGGAATGAGTAAAGTCAAGGGAAATGTGCTAAATCAGAAAGGAAGAAAAGGAGAAAAGAAAAGAGAAGAGAAAGAGTAAAAAAGGCAATCACCAGTCATCATCATCATCTTGCTGGTGCTTCCCTTGCATCGCGTTCTGTCTTGCCCTCAGTGCCTCGGCAAGACCACCGGCCAGACTGGCGTTGGACGCGCTGTTAGGTGTGGCACGTCCACTGCCACCGGACGAGTCCTGGGATTGCATGCTCACGGCACTGTCGCGAGGTGCCGGTGGCGGAGCAGGCGCCGTCCTCTTGCCCGCCATGTTGGGCCGCTTGGCAGGAGGTGCTGGAGGCGCCGGCTTAGCCTTGGCAGCGGCAACAGCTCCGTTGGTCGAGGGGACGGGGCTAGCTCGAGGTGCCACAGGTGGGGGAGGTGGAGGAGTAGGCTTGGGTGCCGGAGCAGCTTGCTCTTCCAGGTAGGCTTCAGGAGTCCAGCCCTGCACGGATGTCGCCGTGTTCATACACAGCCACCAACCTAAATACCTATTAGCGTGACTAGGATACAGGAATGTAACTGTAACAGCAAAACTTACCATTGCCCTCCTTAGACACAATCTGCACGATCTCACCAGCCTTGATAGAGAGCTCGTTGGTCTGGGCGCTGCTAAAGTCATACAGAACCTTGGCAGTCGGTTTCCTTTGCGCCGGAGGACTCGAAGGCGGAGGTGGGGGTGGAGCTCTCATGGATCCAGAAGACGCGTTTCGTGTATGAGAAGCGGCAACGGATGCGACAGGCTGCGGAACAGGTCTAGGCGCTGGTGGGGGCGCAGGTTGAGCGGCAGCCGGTTGGGGAGCCGGTGGCGGTGGTTGCACAGCGGCCGGCTGTGGGCTGGCTTGAGGCAGGGGCTGACGCGGAGGTACAGGTCGAGAAGCCAACTTCGAAGGACCCCCACCAGGACCTCCTGGACGAAGCAATTTGCCGGTAGTGACGGGTCGCGCGGCAACTTGCTTAGCTCGGGGAGTCGGTTTGGAAACTGAGCTGGCAGGTTCTCCAGCACTGGTGTGAATCGTGCTGCTCTTGTAGCTGTCCACATTCGAAGCAGCCGGGTCCTTGACAACCTTCACAGTGGCCAGCTTTCCGGGTTTCTTGTTGTACTCGATGCTATTGCGTTGTTAGATCAGTTCGCATTTCTGATATAGCCAAACTTACTGGTCGGCGATCTTCAAGTTCAATTGTCCACGCAGAGCGGTGGAAAGATGGGTGAAGAACTCTGTCTTGAAGACACAATTCACGAGAGGGTCGGGCTCCTGGGCACCAATGACAAGAGAGAACCAATCGTCCTTCAGGTTTGATGTGCTGACGGATTTGATGGCCCCAATTGGTACCGTTCGTTCGGACGAGATGGTCAACTGATTGTTGACAATAGTTTGCGCTACAATATATACATGTCGACTCGTCTGTAGACGTTAGAGCATAATCCTCTTGTGGCTAGGAATTCGACTCACCAAAATCAAGATTCGCGGAGAGGGCTTGCTCGAGCGGCCGAACTTGGACACCAGAACTTCACCACGGCAAGAGAAGAGCACGTTTTCACCTCCTACATTCCCGCCGAATCAGTAGGAGAAGCATATTGAATCGGGATAAAAACTTACCGCTAATGCCTGCACCGTCGCGGATCATCTCACCAGGGCCACCCTTGCTGTCCACCCCCAGGTAATCGCCGAGGAATCGTCGGGATCCGAGCAAACTCATCCGCCGACGTTCCTTCTGGCCCTGGAGAATCTGGTGACCCTTATCACGCACCTTGATCAACTCAAGACCACCAGTAGTGCGGCGCCAGAAACGTTGGATACGGATCGCACACTCAATGCGGTAGCGGAGGTAGTTGCGCCAAGCGCGTTGAATTCTGATAGCCATGTTGTGCCAGTACCGATCACGCATGGCCTCCAGCGCGAACAGCGTCTCCGGGGTTTTGACGAAGACCTTCGTGAGACCCATCTGGAATTCTTCGGCCGGAATACTGGTATCCTTCAAGATCTGGCGCGCACCGGATTCGGAGTCGCCCGTCCATGTGTAGTCACCAGCATATGACGTCTTGGGCGAGAGCAGATAGAAACGTTCCACAAATTTGTCGAAAGTTTGACGGTAGGCGAAACCAGCACGTCGGATACGCACGTTCTCCTGAAGACCGAGGTACTTGATTTGGTGCAGCACGTTACCCACATTGTACTCCCTGGGGGCCTTGTTATCGTTGGGTTTGATGGTTCGAATATAGGACGGCTGGGCCTTCATCAACGTCGCCACCAAGTCGTTGGCGGAAGCCTTGATCTTGTCGCTTGCGGTGGGAGGGCGTCTCTTGTCATCCTGGTTTACCTGGTTGGGGAAAAGAGTATGAACGAAGTTGTTGGTCGAGTGGCCAACGAGGTTCAGCAGATCCTTGAGCAGCTGGTCTTTGTTTTTATCCGTCATTCCCTCGACCGCGTAGCTGACATCACCGGCGTAGTGCTTCACGATAAACTGGCCCTGGCGGCTTTCGAAGTTGGGGTTCTGGCCAAGGAAGTTCAGTCTGCCGACGAAGGTGTTGTCCGCAGCACCAGAATCGGCATGCGCCGTTGCGCAAGCGTCGTTCAGGGCGGCAAAGACACCGGGCGGGCGCTTGTCCTCGATCAGCGAACACACCACCTTATTGTCGAAATATTTGATCGGAGTCCACTGGATTTGCTCGCGAGCATACTCATCCTGCTCCGCCTTCAACGTCAACTGAATGAAAATCTGCTGGAGCTTCTCGTTGACGTAGTTGATACACAGCTGCTCGAAAGAGTTCTTCTCGAAGATCTCGAATCCGTAAATATCCAGAATACCGATGGAGTTCGTCACAGGATCCCGCGCAGTCAAAGAAGCATTGACACGCTCCACAATCCAGTCGAAAAGGTTGAAATAGATCGCCTTCGACAGGGCATCACGCACAGCCAAGGCCTGGGTGGTGTTCAGAGGAACCTCGTAAACAGAGCCCCTGCGACCTCCTCGAGCGGTCTCCATGATGCGGATGGTCATCGCCTTGTTCACCTCGGCCGCATCCACCTCCAAAAGATACGCGACGAAGTTGACAACCGATTGGTCCGCGATGGCGGCGTTGCCTGAGTCATCCTCCGTAAATTGGAGGTTTCCAATCCACAGAATCACTGCCAACATCCGGAAGACATCATCCTGCTCGGCCTCGCTCATACCAATAACTCCCATTGCGTTGAGCGTATCGCGGAACTCGGCATTGTCGTCGACACCGGGCACATCGAAACATTTGGATCGGCTAGTGTAGACGTAGGACTGGGGTTGTTGCACACCGAACATGTCTAGATCGCAAGGTTAGCTGTGAACGTCACCAAAAGAACGAATCGATCCGTACCTCGATACTTCTGCGGCGCAGCTTTCGTGAACTGATAGAAGATGTGGAAGTTACGCTCGTTCGTAATCTGCCCCACAACTCGCGACTTCTCCAGCAGATAGTTGGTGATGTTGGCACCGACCGGCTCTCCATTGGCGTTGAATTCCAACTCCAAGTATTTTCCGAAACGGGACGAGTTGTTGTTACGTAGCGTCTTCGCGTTACCGAACGATTCCAGCAGCGGGTTCGTTGCGAGAACCATGTCCTTCGTTTGTTGAATGGACGAATCGGTGCCCCCGGATACACTCGCGATATACTGCATGATCCGCTTCGCAGCCTCGGTCTTTCCGGCACCGGACTCTCCGGAAATAATCACACACTGGTTGTCTTTATAGGATTTCATGTTATAGTAAGAGGATTCGGCGACCGCGAAGACATGGGGCGGGGTTTCCAGTCGGTTCTTCCCCCGGTAAGATTCGAGGACGCTGTCAGTGTAGATGCCCACTAGGGGTCAAGAAAAGGAGTCAGCCAAACCATCCTCGGACACCCGACATCCCCTATCGCCACAAGCGCACTTACAGTCTCGAAAAGGGTTGACGGACACCAGCACATGTCCAATATACGTCTAGAGCAACCCCGGTTAGCCGTCATTTTTCCGCCATCGACCGCGCGATCCGAGCTTACGTAGATTTCGTCATGTTCAAAACGTAGTTTCAAGTTATCGTTGATGGCTTCGTTCGAGATCTTGCTCAGCAATGTCAAATCGGAAACACCAATCTCCTTCTTTTTCGAGGTCTCGAACACGGCCTTTTGGACCTGGGGCTTGCCCCCCGCTTGGCGCCCATCGCCGACATCAGCGACCTTGGAGCGACCGAAACCTCGACTCTTCTTCTCCCCGCCGGCAGGACGTCGTGAGTGTCCCTGAGTTGGAAGATAGGTTAGTATATTTTCTTTCGGGTGTTTCTAAAGATTGCATGTCTCTCAATCCAGAAAAGCCGCTGGATGAGTCGACTCACCATGGTTGTTGCTACCGATCGCCCCCGGATCTGGCGCAGGCGTCAAGATATCCGACGTATCAGTTGCGGGATAGTCGATCAGCGATTACAGGGTAAGGAGGGGAATGAGCGTAAAAGACCGGGTGCTCATTCCAGGGCAGTCGTCGTGAGTTGTCAAGAGGAACTCCGATTCCAGGAGCACAGGGAACGAATGGAGGGGGAAGTGGCAGAGGGGGAAGAGGGAGAGGGAGAGAGAGGAGAGAGAGGGACCAGAATGACGACGGTTGCTTGTGGAGGACAGCCGGCCTAAGGACGGGATTCCTGCCTAAGGCCGCCGCGCCCCTTCTGCGCCACACCGCCGGCGCACGTGTGGCCGCGCCCGAGTCAGCGGCAACGCGCAATCACCGCCGTTCTTTGGCTCCGATTACGATGCAATTTCGCCGCCGGGGTTGGGCGGCAAATCGCCCTTGGGTTCTCGTCCCTGTTCCACCGGCCCAGCCTGAATGGTTTTCCTGGTGCCTGACGATGCTCTCGGAGCACGTGCCACATCTTTGTTTGACAATGCCTTGCTTACAACATGTCTATGAATAGTTACTCGATCTTATTATTTAATACGCTCTCCTCGTCACTTTTTCATGTTCATTTTCATGTGCATTTCCTCCTGCAACTCATACTCATATCTTTCTCCACAGAGAGCCCTTCCCCAAGTTGTGCATGACTTGTTAATACATTCTCTCATCCTCCACAACCGCAGGAAGACGATGAAGTCGCAAGATATCAATTCAATTCAATGAAATTAGCGGAAATCTGTCTTAGGTATTCTCCAGGGGATTGTTGAAGTATTCCAGTAATCGCGACATCGTCCAGAGTGTAAATATTCAGGTCGCTGAGAGCCCCGACAATGGCATCCATGATATCCAAAAGGTCTGGCGTGTCTTAGAATTTATATTCCGCAGATTGGTTGCTCCACACTCCGTAGTGTTGAGTCGTATTCGTATGACTCCGGCCCCTGAATGGCCTGGGACAGGAACTTCTTATGACGTCACACTGCCTGTTTACTTTGAACAGGCGCCAAGTAGGCGACGAAAGAAGTACAGAGAAACAATATTCGGCTTTATTATTGATTAAATTTAATTGTCATTGATAGCAGTAAAGTATTTCAGGGATCAACTAGCGTAAAAATGTTGGGTATCAGATAAGTTTGTCTGGCGCAGTCTCGGATATATATGTCAAGACCTGATGCCGAAATAAATATAGAAATATCACTTGATGCGCATATTTGGGTTCAAACCACTTAAAACATGCAAGTTCACTCAAACACCCTATCTTCTCCCCAGAAATCTATTAACCCCCTCGCATTACCTTCTTCAAGATAATCACACAGGATATCTTGCCCATTTTGCGTCCGAAGAGCCCGACTCATAACCCCTAGAGATGGGAACAAATCGCTTAGGACATTAGTCTCGTGCTCCGACAACACACCGGCAGCACCGGAGTTAGCATGAGATAGTAGATTAATTGAATCCGCCGTCGAAGGATCCTGCGCCGGAATGTCCACAAGGCCGCCCATGTACTCTTTTATAATCTCAAGGAAGCAAGATGAGTCAGGAATGGGCAGAATGGGCATAGGTATGGAGAGAGCTTCCATAGTTCTATGACTGTTAATGGAGGGCAAGGAACCAATGGTGAATGCGTACAGTTTTTGAAGAGTCAATAGCCCGTCCAAGCTATATTTTCCAGTTGCGCTGTTGAATGGGTTTTCGGAGAGGAGGAAAGCGATGATACATCTTTCAAGAGATGATACGGATGTTGAGAACTGGATCAGTCGAGAGATTGTTTGCTCCTTGTTATCAGAGTCCAGGGAGGATGGGGTCAGAAAAAGGACGCGTAGATGCTGCGAGTCATTCCTCGAGTAGAAGTTGAAGTCATATCCAGGCAACTGGGATTCTATTAAGACGTTGATGAGAACCTGTCTGAGAATGAGAGCAAAGATCACTACCGTGGAGAGTAGATGTCTGAGTCGCGAGGACTGGCCCCATGACTTTCCATATGGGGCGCTTTCGAAGGGACGAGGAAAATTGTCCACGAATGGGGTCAGAATCAGTTTGATTGCTCATGGATTATGATATTCTTGATGCTCTATAATGTGCGGCCGTAGAGAGGAGAAGAAAAATATGTACAGTGGAAAGAGGAGATTGTGCACCCCGCTCAACGTCATCCGGTAACAGAGAAGGGTATCCCAAACAGAAGAACAGGTATAACATCACCTGTGTCCAAACAACCTCTATGACGAAACAAAATTATATACGAAGCGAGATGTCAATCACCGATTAAACGCCTGTCGATTTTGACGAGTCCTGATTTGTTGGTTTTGTCGGGGCCGGATTCTTGCCATGCAAATTATTGGCCTGATCGTCGTTGACAACAGCTTCAGCTGATTGTTCTGGGCTTTGGCCAAATGTGAAATAAGACGTCACTCGCGACCACCAGCTGGGCTCTTCAGCCTCCACTTCCTCTTGCTTTTCCACCTCCCACACTTCGCGCGGGAGAATCCTAGGCGACGACTTTGGCAGCACCCCTTGCTTGGCCTTTTGTTGCAGAAGCTCCTTCTCCAAAGCCACTAAGGCCTGTCGGGCAGCTTTCTCCGACTGTTCCAGCTCAGCCAACCGCGACTCGACGTCCTCTCTGCGCGTGGTCTCCTTCCTCCGCGACCGCCACGACTCAAAGACGATCAATCCACCCGCCACCAGAAACAAGAACGATTCGCTGATGAATGTCGCCCCAGATTCGATGGCTTTGGACTCCGACAGTGGTCGTATGTGGGGTTTGCGAGGGTTCGCGGCCTCTTCGGCAGCGGCTTTGGCCTTCGCGGCGGCTTCTTCTTCGGCTCTGGCCTCGGCGTGAGTTTTCGCCGTCGGAGAGACAGGTTTGTGTTTTCGCAATTCGGCTTCGGCCATGGCTTGTTTTTGAGAGGCGGCGTTGTCACGGAGTGTACCTAGACGAAGGCGCATGTCAAGTCGGTGAAGAGATTGCGCGACTCCGACGCAGACTCGTCGGAAGCGTTCATGCTCGCGAGCTTGCGCTTTGATTTGGTTCTTCCAGTGGTCAGCATGATTTGGCCGGGTTTGACACCAGAATCGAGTGGGTTGAGCATACGGCGATCGGCTTCGAGAGGGTGCGGATGGCCAAGGAGGAGAGCTTGAGAGTGAGGGACATGGCGAATTAACGGAGAGGGGAGGGAGGGGAAGAATTAAAAGTAATGTTCGTTGATAATGATGAAGGAATAATCATGGAAGGCCAGAGAATGGCTTCATAGTCCTGTCCTGCGACGGGTTTATTGGATGTGGAGGAAGTATTGAGGATCGACTCATGAAGGTCTTTGGAGGGACTCGAGGCTGAGCCAAGTGATAGTGATGACTGAATTGTCAGGCACCGCTCTGCGTCATCCATGTATGCACAGCGGGACTAATGCAGGCTGAGTCAGCAATACACGGTTGTTACGGCATTCGGCGCGGTGTTTATCGATTGCCCGATCGGGTAAACCGTTGGGGGGAGCCCCGTGATCTCTGCGTTGCCGGGGCCATCCCTTTTGCGTTGCCGTACGGAGTATTGTGTTTGACTTCACTTTGACTCCTCTTCCCTTGCTCCCCACCTGCTGGCTATTTCCGGGACACAAGACTGCTTGACAGTCTGGTTGGCGTTGGATGCATGTCATTGTTTTTGAGCGTCATTGTTATATCTGTTTTGATTTCTTCTGGTGAGTCTTCCTACATCCGAGTTTTCGCCCCTCCGTGGTCCTCGTGGTGTTCATGCCGCACTGATGTTGCATCTTATGCTTCATTTGCCACACCACCTCGAGTCGGTCATATCTCGTTACATGTCTTGTGCATAGCCAGCATATGCCTTCCCCTCCATTGACGCGCTGACCTCCTATTCTAGGCTAGCACAGGCTCATCCATTATACCCCGTCTTCACCGTCTAGTATTTTCAGATTGTATATTGCGAAAACTCATGATTGTTACGACCGCCTTAATTTACCCAAAAACTGTCAGCTTGCGCATCCGGTCCGCCAGCGACAATTAATACTCGTGTATAGCGAAAGCACCGAAGGATTTCAACGCAGGAGGAATCGCCAAGATGGAGGCACTGTCACCGCGGTCAACAAATCAAATGATTAAACCCAAGGTTCCTATGGAACGGAAGGTGCTCGATCGGAACGCTGCAGCTGCACAGAAATCTGCATCTTCGAAGAACCATGCGCCACCACCGCCGGCTCTCGTCACAGAACCCACGGAATATGGAGAGCGGTACTCAACCGGCGCGTTCCTGGGAAAAGGAGGATTTGCTATCTGCTACGAAGGAACATTGGCGCGCAATGGTCGGGTCTTCGCGATGAAGGTTGTGAGGTCGGAAATGTCACAAAAGAAGATGCAGGAGAAGGTATTTTGCGCTGCGAATCCTAGGTTTCTGGAGCAAGCGCAAACAGGCTACTAATGGTGCTCGTGTCTTAGTTTCGCACCGAACTTCAAATCCACTCGAAAATGCGGCACCCTCATATCGTCGGCTTCCATCGCGCGTTCGCCTTCGACCTGAGCACATACGTGATCCTCGAACTTTGCCCCAATGGGTCGGTTATGGACATGGTTAGGAAAAGGAAGTGTCTGAGTTTGCCGGAGGTCCGACGATTGATGATTCAACTTTGCGGTGCGGTGAAATATTTGCACAAGCGAAATGTGGCGCATCGTGATCTGAAAATGGGCAACCTATTCCTGGATCAGAACATGGACATCAAAGTGGGGGATTTCGGATTAGCGGCCATGATTGTGTCAGAGCGAGACGAGAAACGGAGACGGACGCTATGCGGAACGCCCAATTATATCGCACCGGAGGTTCTGGATAAAACAAAGGGTGGACATACGCAGAAAGTCGACATCTGGTCCCTCGGTGTTATATGGTGAGAATGGCATTGGACACTGGCTCCCCTACACGACTGACGATGCTCTTTAGTTTCGCGATGCTCACGGGCTACCCTCCGTTCCAATCGAAAACACAGGAAGAAATATACAAGAAAGTCAGAAACCTCACATACGTGTGGCCGAAAGGCCCAGATTGTGCCAACGACATCCCGGAGGAGGCGAAATCGCTAGTCAGTTCTTGTTTGAACTTGGCGGAGGAGGACCGACCCGACCCCGACGATATTGTTGAGCATCCATTCTTCAGCATGTACGACGGATGCATCCCCCGGAGACTGGAGCCCGAGTGCCGTCTTGCCAAACCTTTCTGGCTTACATCGGATGAGCCTCGCGGCGACAATATGGTGATCGGCCACAGCCTGGAGTACGATGACAAACTGTCGGGTTATATAGATACCATCGATGACCCCAGCCAGCGATACCACATTTGCAAAGCCGCATTTTACACGTTCTGCGGTGTTGGGAGGAAGCCGGATGGGACTGCTCGCAAAGCCGCTGGCAAGCATGGCTCTAAGTCGGCCTTTGCTGAATGCTTGGCTGAAGAGGAGAAGGGTCTTCAACCAATTATTCCCTTGCCGGAGGATATTGTTTACAGCTACCCCCATGATCCCGATGGAGATTGGAGTGTGCCAGAGCTAATGCTAACCAAACGTAGAGACTGCTCCTCGCTAGAGAGTACCGTCTTATCCTCGAAGAGTACCGCATCGGCGCGCAGCACCACAGTGTCACAATCACGGACGCAAGCAGCATTAGCTGCGGCCCAGCAACGTCGACAAGAGTCGCAGAGCCATGCGGCTACTCTCCGACAGCAGGCGACAGGTCGAGGATCTGTCAGGAAAGTGCCAACTCTCAGCGACGCGCCGGGCCCAGTACCACGAGCTTTGGAACATTTGCGTGTGGATGATGATGCGCTGTCGGTGCCGGGTGTGCCAACGGGTGGCCTCGCGGACCGTCCAATTCGCACGCGCCGGGGCGTGGCTGCGTCCTACTCGGGTTCAACCCGGGGCTCGGAAAGAAACCTGGTACCACAGGTATCCCGAATTGCCAGTGATGCTGCGATGCTGACGGTTGGAAAGACTCGTTCGCAGTCTCGACGGCTAGAAGCTGCGACCAAGGACGGTCCCGAGCTTCCCTTGCCCAAAGACCGAACCACAACCACAACCACAACGTTAGATAGTGTTCCCATACGACCACGACCTGCGTCAATTCGTCTTGCCCCCAAGGTGGAGAAGCCGGAGACCGTGAAGCCGGAGATCGTGAAACCGGTCGAGACATATAAGCCCGAACCGCGACCTGTCCCAGCTGAAGAGAGCCACCGTCCACGGCCGGAGCCACAACCTCAAGGTTTACCTCGAACCGGTAGTAAGACGTCAGTGTCTTCCGGTAGTAAACCTCGGTCATCCCTCGGAACGAACCCCCTTTTCCATCGCGATGATCCGTGTGAATCCCTCCCGGGGACGTCGATCGCGGATATCAATGCGGACCTACGACACATGCTTTCAAACCTAGTGCCGAATTCATCCTCCCGACGCCGCGCAGTCGCCAGGAGGGAACCGCACGCATACGTCATCAAATGGGTCGATTACACCAACCGATATGGCATTGGCTATGTCCTGGACGACGGGAGTGTAGGGTGCGTTTTTAGAGCCGGAAACGGCAATCCAGCTACCGGCGTTGTGGTGCGTGAAGGGGAGAAGCACATCCGTCGCAAGGCGCGCAGCCACGAGAAACGCGAGGGAGACACATTCTCCTATGCCGAGGCGGACCAGCTCGTGCCTCGTTACGGGAGACCGGTCGAGTTTTACGAGAACTGTGATAACGATGCATCCGGCTTCCACGGGGGTGTACGACGCGCAGCAGTCTCCCCTTCGCTATTTGAAGTCAAGCCATCGTCCAATGGCTCCTCCAGTTCGGGTGTAAAGGTCCGCACCAATTCTGGGATTGAGTGTGCACGAGCCGACGCCGAGAAAATCAAGCGAGTCAAATTGGTTGATCAGTTTGGAAAGTACATGATCGGATCTCTGGGCCGCCATGGCGACGAGGCATTCCTTGAAGATCAGGCGCCAACCCGGGACCAAGGGCAGTTCATCAAGTACTACCAGCGCCTGGGTAACGTAGGTGTGTGGGGATTTGGGGATGGTGCTCTGCAGGTTCGTTTCACCACTCAGGTTTCATTATAGCATGCTAATTTGTTTGTGATAGTTTAACTTCCCTGACCACACGAAACTTGTTATCTCACCGGGTCGCACCAGGAGCTCTTCCCCCTGGATCGACTTCTACCACCTGTCGCCTTCGGCAGCTCGCTACTTGAGCGCCAAAGGAAAGATGCATCCGGCTGGATTCGACACGCGGGCGGTAGCGTCGGACGAGATAGGAACCTTCTTAAGCATTGCGTACGGCGCGACAGCGAGCCCGATGGATGAGCGCATTCGAGACATTCTAGACGCCAACTCTTTCCTTCAAAAGATCGGTTTCTTAAAAGATGTCCTCAAAGGATGGATTAAACACGGGCGAATCGGCGGCCGCCCGTTCGACAAATCTCTAGGAGCGGAAGGAGGGCTCCGATCGCTTGACATGTTCTGGGAGGGAGCCCAAGAGAGGGCACACGGGTGTAAATTTGTCTGGGTCACAGTGGGGGCGCCTGGGGGAGACGGCGAGTACCGATCCATCACGCTCAGGGAGAAGGACAAGAAGGTCGAGGCAACCCACGAGCAGGAGATGGGGATGCTGAAGGAGCGGTTGCGAATGCTGGGGCCACCGTCTTAGTCGACGGTCTCCGGGTCTTTTACGATGTTATGATCTTACTGTTTCGATTCATTGCAATGGTCGTTTTGGTGTGATTCTTGTGCATATCCCCTTGCATTTTCTGCGTTTGATTTATTGCATGATCAGTTGCATGTTTACTCTGTTTTCAGAGTCCAGTGTTCAGTGCTACTGCGCGTTACCAACCCCAATAATGAATTGACTTTCTACCAACCTTTTCTCTCGTTCGACGAGTCATCAGCGCCCTCTCCAAGATCCATGGCATGGTCCTGAGCGCCTCTATCACTCTATTCCCTCCCCGTCCCCTCTCGTATTCCCCGCCCAACCACCTCGCAGCGACTCATTAGGCAAAGGCTAATCAGGGGTGCAGGTCTATATTCAGGACCAAGACGGGATGTTAGCCGCATCGTACGCTATCCTGACGCCGCGAGTGGTCCACGACGAGTCTTGGCCTGCACGTATGGCTGGAGGCACTTCGTATTCCGGAAATTAGCCCCAATCGCCTCCAGGCACTACAGGATCAATATGCGGAGACCAATCATGTCGATCCTTGGGGCTCTGGGCGGGCGAGGCGACTTGGGGTATAAATATGGCTGCTATCAGATGGGTGAGTCTTCCCTCTTTGCGCTAATTGCTCAAGTCCGGTGAAAAGATAGACAGTCACTCGTTTACTGTTTGCTCCCTATACATTCGCTATCTATCGTGATCGACACTCGCTCTAGTCACTATGCTGTCCAAACTCGTCCTCCTCACTCCCCTCCTCGCCGGCCATGGTCTCGCCGCCCACTACGGCTCCCACCTCGTCGGCATGGACATCTTCAAGCGTCAGAGCGAGGCCTTCGTCCCTGGCACCACCCCCGGCTGTCCCGACGACTGGCCCATGTGCGGGACAAGCGGTATCTGCTACAATCCGAAGCAAGGACAGACGTGCTGTCCGGGTGGGAAGTGTATGTGTCTCTGGACTTGCTTTTCTCCCGAGAAGCATGATTGCTAATGCTTGATTTGTAGATGCCTGCCCGTCCAACTCCTTCTGCCTGCAGGACCCGTACTGCTGTCCTGATGTATGTTTCTGCGCTCTTTGGTGCATAAGTTCAAGCTGATAAACGATCAGGGCCTCGACCCCGAAACCTGCGCCCAAAGATACGGCATCACCTTGTCCCCCAGCTCAACCGAGGAGCCTGTCCCTGAGCCCACGAAGACCACCGAGCCAGTAGAGCCTACTGAGACCGTCGAGCCTACTGTCTCCAAGCCGACGGACCCTGAGCCCACGGAGACGGCCCCTCAACCTACAGATACTGTTGTCCCTGAGCCAACTGAGTCTGTTCCCCCAACGACGACCTCGAACCCGGTGATTCCTAAGCCGCCGACCTCGACGGTGCCGTCCGTGCCGTCGAGTACTGCGCACCCGACGATCCCGACTGCGTCGCCGTCCAATCCACTATTCACGGGTGGCGCCAATGCTAGGGAAGTGGTTGGTGGAGCGGCGATTGTTCTTGGGGGACTGGGATTGCTGGGGAATTTGATTTAGGGAGGCATGGGGGAAGGTTTGATGTGAGAGGGTAGGGTTTATGTTAATGTTAATCTGATGGGAAATGAGTTTCGGTATAGTTGATGACTTAGTAATATGAGGTTTATTTCTTCATCCATACTCAGTAAGTCCTAGAGTATCATGTACTGACTCCAATGATATACCATAATAAAAGTGCGGAGAATATCTCGGAGAATCTCCCGAATGCGCGGGGTAGAGACAAAAAGACCCCATTTCATTTCTGAACAATCCCTCCATCTTCAACCCCCATTCCCTCCCTCCTAACCCAACCCTCTCCAACCAAAATGTCCACCTCTCTATCTGCCATGCAAAACCCCTCCTGCCTCCTCTACGGCGCCGGCGACTGCCGCTACGAAGACCGCCCTATCCCCAGCATCCAAGACTCCCACGACGTGATAATCCGCATCGCATACACAGGCGTCTGCGGTAGCGATGTACTCCCTCCCCTCTCCTCCCCTCTAAAACAATCTAACGCGCAAGCCAAAAGGTCGCATTCTGGACAAAAGGCGGCTTCAAACGTCTTATCACGACCTCCAACCCCGTGGTAATGGGCCACGAGGCATCCGGGACCGTCCACGCTGTCGGGTCTGCAATCACACACCTACGTATCGGAGATCCTGTGGCCATCGAGCCCGGATATGCGTGTCGACGCTGCGAACTGTGTAAAGCGGGACGGTACAATCTTTGTCCGCGGATGAAGTTCGCTGCGGTCCCGAGAAGTGCTGATGGGACGCTGGCGAGATTCTTTAAGATCCCGGGGGACTATTGTCATTCATTGGTAGGTGAAGGGGGTGGGACAGTGCTGGGTCTCGACGAGGCCGTGCTCATGGAGCCATTGGCTGTTGCGATTCACTCTGTTCGCTCGGTGGGTGTGAAGCCCGGCGATCGGGTGGTGGTGTTTGGGTCTGGGACGGTGGGGTTGCTGTGTGCGAGTGTGGCGAGGGAGTTTGCGGCGAAGCAGGTCGTCATGGTTGATGTGAATGCGTCGAAGTTGGAGTTTGCGCAGTCGGTGGTGCCAAATGTGTCTGTCTCGTTTGGCACGTATATCCCGTCTTCGACGCTCTCGGCGGAGGAAAATGCCAGCAAGATCCTCGAGCAGTTTGATACACCTTCTCATGTTGCTGGGGACGCGATTCCTGGATTCGATATCGCCATTGAAGCTACTGGCGCAGAACCCTGCGTTCAAATGGGTATTCATGTCTTGCGGCCCGGGGGCGCGTATATCCAAACTGGGAATGGAAAGGGGAGTGTTGAGTTTCCGATTTCGACGGTGGGAGAGAAGGAGATTGTCGTGCGAGGGTGCTTTCGATATGGGCCGGGGGACTTTCAGCTGGGGGTGAGGATGGCGAGCAAGGGGAAGATTCCGGTCAAGAAGTTTATTACAAAGGTGGTGCCGTTTGATAAAGCTGTAGAGGCATGGGAGACGACAATGAGGGGGGAGGGGATTAAGACTTTGATCAGGGGGGTCGAAAATTAGTATGTTTGTTATTGGATGAGGTGTTTAGTGGGAGGGATAAATAGTAATAAAACTGCTATTTTACTCAGGCTATAGACCTCAACCTTTCTTTTACGCTACAAGGCAGTGGCATTGTGACGTGCACTATAAGGAAGCCTGTTCAGTTTAGCACATAAAAAGGTTGTTGGCTGGCCATCTCACGGTTTTCTCCTGTAAGGCTATTTCTCGGCCACAGTCTGTTTACCATCTACTGCGTACTAGCATATCTCGTTAATTCGGCCTTCGTCAGGCGCCCGAGAGCTTGTAGGCCTCCATAACTTGACCCTGGAATGTTCATCTTCACACACGGATGTCCCCGACAAGGGGGCAAGGCAAGTGATTAAAAACCACAATAAATCGGTCGCTTTGGGCGGTGAGAAGAATCCCTGCCAAAACAAAATAAAATCCCCTTTCGTTCTTCCCTTCAAAGGGGGCACCTCAGCAGTATTGACTCGATGGAGACCTCATCTTCACCCCGATCTAAGCGCAAGGCTTCGGTTTCCGAGGCACTGCTTCAGAAGAGGTCTCGACCGTCTCGTTGCTACGTACCCGAATGTGAATCGGCTGCACATTCACGGCCTGCAGCTGGGAGGTTACCGGAAGAAGGTTCAATCCGTTCAATTATTTGCAACAACCCCCGAAAGCGCCTCTATGTGGCACCCATAGCGTGGACGTCGGAGCATCTGCAACTTCTTGCAAACGACCGAGGAAAGAGAGCGTCTGCCCGGCCGGACTCCAGCTATCCGAACATGCAACCCTTTTCACGAATCGGCTCGCACAGGTGAGCACATTGGAGGCGAAGAAGAACGTGGTCAAGGGAATACTAGATGCCTACAATATACGTCCCCAACAGTAAGCACCCTCTACCCGCGCTCTTAGTTCGGCTTCTGACGCAAGCGCAGATGTGGATCCCTGCCTTTTGATTATGAGCGCCGGGCTGCAGCAAAGCTCCCGACAGATGGTGTTTTCTCGTCCTATGTCACTCCGTCAAGCCTGGCTTACATTACCTTTGATACAATCAAGTCGCTTCGTGAGAAATACACCCGGGTTTTCAAAGCGAAATCCGTAGCCACTGTTCACATAAGGCGCCATAGTCTACGGGTTCTCGAGCCCCCCAATCCAGTCGAAGATCCATATATCGTTGCTTTACTCATTGCGCTTGTCCAAGATCAAAGACGGCAGCAACAACGGGGAAGACAGCATGCAAAGACAACGACAGATCCTGTTTCATCAGGTACAGAATCGCCCCGTGAAAGTATGGAACAGACGGTTCCAAGTGCATCACAGACTCTCAAGGTACGTCCATTCCCCATAACGCTCGGTGCTCCGTCGTTTTTTCAGCCTGCAACAAGGTCAACATTCTCGCTATTACTGGATTCGTGACAACGTCTGTCTACGTCTACACTGCTATCATTCCCGTGGAGTTTCTCGATAAATTCGACAATCCAACGCACTCCTCCCCAAGTAGCCCAATTACGGTAACCTGTGGAGGTCTCCCGGTGAAAGGAGCAAAATCTTTCGAGACGCTACATCGACTTCTTTGCTCTGGCTTTTGTAAAACCGATGCGCCACAAAGGTCTAATCCAAGTGATTGAGACAATGTTGAGAGCTGGTTCTCGAATGTTAGACCAACTAAGGCATTATTATCCGAGGAACCGGTGATCTGCCCTGACCTGCCTGTCAGAATTTGGGATGTGGGCCTGCTCACGATGAAATGCCCGGTTGATTGGGCTCTTGCGCTATTGTCAGCTTTGAACAGGAGGCCGAGACGGCTCGGGAGTACGGCGGGTGAACTGGTCATTTCAGAGCTAGCCTGGGCATTTTGAGCAGAGTGAAGAACCTTGTCTCCTGAGTATCTCTTCTGTTCGGGGAATACGCTCTCTACTGTGACGCTCGATTTGACCTCGTTCAAGGATAGACGAATGAGGGTGTTTAGACTTGCTAAGCCGTCACATTGCGCGAGAAATTCCGATAGCGCAGCTACGGTGGATGGTTGGACTGATTTACTGGAGGATTGAGGAAATGCCATGGCTCGCCAGGTGATATGGTAGATCCAAAAACATGACACATTGGGATTGAAATCGCGGAGGAATGATTGAGCATGACCAGTCGCACATAGCTAGCTCATCGGGGTTCTTTTGGCCTTATGAGGTCCATAGATCCGTATTAGTGTTCAGTAAATACTGATGGCTTCTTCGGATTATCTTTAAATGTCACTAATTAGGTGCCTCTGTGGAATAACCAGTGGTCGACTGGTTACACCACGAGCATGTCACGGGCAGAACAAACCCTACCCTAATGCCCTAAGTCGATTCAATCTCATAAACCATCTTGAACTTCACTGCGTCATTGAGGTCGAATCGCCCGATGAAATCGGTGGCCAGTGACGTTAAACTCAACATGAAGCGACCGGCTCTAGTTGTCAGTTGGTATGTACCACTTTGCGAGATCGAAGCTTGACTTATATTGATGATACACCAACCGGCTAGACCATCACAATCTGAGCTCCTTGCTTCAGTCATTGAATCTCACATTGTGAGTTCGGTGGCCTTTGAGGGTTCTAGACAGAAAGGATGGCCTCGATGCCCTTGCTTATCGGGTCACAAGGGATAACCAGTAGAAACTTAACCTAAGATAGTGTATCACCCATAATCAGTGAGACTGCTGCCTAAAACAGTTCATTGTCCGATCAATCAGCCCCTGATTATTTGTGAGTGAAGGCAATCACGAGGTTTTTGCCTTGCAAGTGTTATATGCTGCGGGTGATCCAAGTTAATATAAGCATCTGAGGGACAATGGCTGGAGAAATGTCCGATAATTAATACTAATTTACATAAATGCAGATAAATATTGCCCAAGTGCAGACGGAAATTCGGCACGATAATCCTCCTCCGGGCTGAACTTGGGGCCGCCCTGCTTATCATAATGGTGAATATGATAATATGATAATATGATAATATTCGGGGCACCTTCCTTTCATCGGGCAACAATGACAATTAAGATGCAAATCAATGCTCTTCAAAATCTCCGACTCGGCTGCAAAGGTCCACCGTGAGAATTAAGGAGACATTTCGATTAACCAAGCCCAACAATGAGAGCAACAAAAGCCAAAAAGCGAGCTGAGCTCCATCTTCATACAGCAGCGTGCATTAGCTCGGTTCACAGACGCCAATGAAGTGTCCGACACAACGCACTAAATACAACGGGACTCCCGCACTGACAGACCGGCGAACCATGGGTCGCAAGCGCGAGGATGGACCTCGGACATTTAGTCTTCTTTAGCGTTGGGTTCAGCCCGCCCTCACCAGTCTAGGGGCGCTGATCCCAAGACACAAGATCGAGGGTTCCGCTTGGGGTCCGGAGAACACCCGCAAAGTTTGATTCTGGGTTCAGGCTGTGTGAGGTGAGACCTCGTGGACCTACAAGTTTATCCCATGTCAGACGACATATGGGTGTGTCACACAACAATCCATATTGTTTAGCGACTTACGACAAGAAAATCAAGGAAGAGAAACAGACCCAAGCATCGCTTAAAATTCCCAACTTTTAGAGCCACCGGTCTCCACCAGCTAATCATGACTCGAGGCCGGAGCCACTTTTCTGCACGATGCCCAAGCCGACTTCCCTGTCACTTGCAGCCCGGCAGGCTGGCCCGACCCAACTCATCGCTACTCCTATCTGCTCTGCTATCAACCCTGAATTGAGCTTAGTCTTGGGGTTCGGCACCCAAGGATTTCAAATCACCTGGCTGCTCTGAGGAGGCTGTGTCTGTGTCTGAACTGGCTGTTTGTTTTGATGATTGGTTCTGCAAGGAGTCATGATAGCCCCGTGGGGTGGAGCCTGCGCTATGAGCGATCACACCTGGAGAGCCAAATCAGGGTTTCTCCTTCCGGCTTGGGTTTGGGCTGGTTCTCCTCGATTTCTCTCTTTCCTTGATGGTTTGCTCTGAAGATGAGGATCGACAGCCGATGTATCGTGAAGGTTCATCCAAGGATCCAATCATTCATGGACATCTTCGATTGACGTGCCGATGTCTGTGCCTTTCAGAGACCTTTAGCGCGGGCTCATCCGAGTTAAGCAGGATAAAAACGTGCACGTAAATAAGCCCAAATTCGATGGAACAGGAATAGTCGCTGCCGTCAGACGACGCCACTTCAATACTAAAGCAGAGCTGTCGCCCTTCTTGCTTCTCTTCTGTTATCTCACATCCAGATCAAGTCTCCATTCTATACTTGCGTTGGCTTTGCCATATTCGCAAGCCCCTCCATCATGGCCGGCCAACAGCCCAGCAAGATAGGTGGCCTTCTTCGCCGTTTCGTTCTCTCTGCGTTTGATCGTGAAGAGCAAGGCTTCCCTCCAATGCACGGGCAGGGCTTTCCACCCAACCACACGATGGGAGAAGGCCAACAACATCCAGTGCCAGGGCCCATGAGCCCCGGCATGCCCGGAACTGGACCAGGTCCCGGCTTCCCACCGAAACGACTCACCCTGACGACCACTGAAGCGGGCTCCCTGATTCCTCCATACGATAAACTGCTCATCTTCCGCGCTCTAACCGGCATCGACAGCGTCCCCGCTCTAACCGCACTCAACCAATTCGTCCGCCCAGCTCCCAACGTCGGCATCTACATACGAGTCATCCGCGCCGAACAAGCCTCCGCGCAACGCTATCGTTTCTTCAGCATCCTCATAAACACCTGTCTAAGCATCCAGATCGTCGTCGCTGCCGCTCTGACCGCTATCGGTGCCGCCTCGGGCCCCCACTCCGCCGTCACTGCCTTCGGCGCAATCAACACCATCATGGCCGGTATCCTGACCTACCTCAAGGGTTCCGGGCTCCCGGACCGTTTGAAGCATTACCAGAACGAGTGGCGCAATATTCGCGAGTATATCGAGCAGCGTGAGCGCGAGCTGTGTCTTGATGGATGCCAACTTGATATTCAGGAGGAGATCCAGATCATCGAGTATATGTACGAAGGCGTCAAGCGGGAGCTGGAGGCCACGAAAAGTGGCGGCGAGAATCGCTCCGCGCAGCAGCCCGGCCATAGGAGGTCGTTTTTACCGGGTCGTCCGTTCCCACAACCACAACAGCAGCAGCATCAACAGCCGTCGCCGTATCCGATGCAGATGCCCCCGCAGCAGATGCCACCGCACCCACAGGGTCAACCCCAAGGTCACCCAAGGCCGCCGATGCCGCCGATGCGTGAGCCCTCGGGGGCAAGCTCGGTGTCTATGCCGGAGCCGAGTTTCTCGATGGAGAAACATTGATTCCTGGGTTCGGCTTTGGTTCAACTTGCATATATTCGGCTCTTATTTGAAATTCCGTGCATGGGGGTGTTGTACATGCTTTCTCTGTCTTACTCGATACCATCTTGTGCGTTTTACTGTGAGATGTTTTAGGATATTTCCTACTTAATGCCGTTAATTTCACGTGTTCTTGATTTACGACCAATGAATTACCCTTCTCATGAAACATGTGAAGGCACTCCATTCTCATATTCTCATGTATATCTTCCTCTCCATTCTTGCGTACCATGAATAGGAAAGTTATGAAAACACAACATCTTCGATTTGATAGGCGCAGAATTCTCACGTTCACTCTACAAGCGAGAATAAGATCACCCATTGGCAAACATACTTCGCTCTCTGAGTCGGTGGCCTAAAAAAAAAAAAAAGGAACTCCCGGCATAAAGTCCGGCAGTAATTCCCCCCGGAAAATACACCCCCTTGCCCACCGCAAGATTATCGAAAAGGGGCCGTGCGAAAAGCACAGCGCCCGCCATCGCTGATTGAACGTAATCATTCCCAGCAAACAAATTGGCTAGTTGAAATATGCAAAAATCCTCATCTTGAGTCAGCTGGTTCCTAAGCTTCCTATTGCTGAGATAATTCTTTCATAATGTTGCAAAAAATCAGAAGTATCGGACTGGTGACTAAGCAGATCCACCCCCACCCCCACCCCCTCAGTCGCCTTCTCATTTCGTCACTTCATTCTTCTCTCTTTGGGGGTGTTCAATCCAATGGAAAGGCTACAGGAAGTCCAGTATAATGTTGACGGGGCAACCCCAATCAATGCAGTGTCCAGTCTGCTCTCGCACATTTTCACGCGCTGAGCATCTCCACCGGCACGCGCGGACTCGTACGACTCATCCCTACTCCATGCCCCCCTTCGCGTCAAATAGCGAAAGAACTCTTCGTTACTGAAACTGATTGTCGAAAGATACTGGCGAAAGACCCTTCAAGTGCGGATGCGGTCATTCGTTCACCAGACGTGATCTCCTCACGCGTCACCAGCGTCTCAGGCATACCAACAGGTAAGATACCCCGTGCTGCGAAATCATCGACTTTGATCTAATGCACGATGAGTGGGTAGCAGATCTCCAAATGCAGAACCATCTTCGCGCCAAACTCGTAGTGGGAATATGTCGGGTGCAGGGCAGGATATTCCAACCCTTCAAGGGACCGAGCCAATGCCCACTCCGTCAAGCTCGTTACCCAGCACCACCAGAGATGGTGATTCCTTCGCAGACCAAATGACTGAGCATACACTCCTAGATCCAGTCCAGGATTTCACGGATTTCGTAGATACAATGGGTCTCAGTTCAGACTGGAGCATGTTTGCAATACCGCAACTTGAGAACGATCAACAGCTGACACCGTTGACGATGGAGGAATTGTCCATGCCTTCTGTGGAAGCGATTAATTCAGAAATCCTACACTCAAATCAACAATTACTTAGAGCACCCCATCAGTCGTTAGCCACGTCCCATCCTCAGGATGACGAGGCTCTTGGAGCTGCAGAAGAGGAACCCAGTATGTCTGCCTTTATTCTAGGCTACATCGACTGATGAGGCCGGTGCTAATTTCTCGAAGCTGCTTACAGTGGCATGGGGGATTTCCTCCCACATTGTAACATCACGCAGTCTCAATATGCACTACTTCTCAATAACATCGAACAATTTCATGCGGTGATACCAGACTTCGTGCTACCCTCCCGTCATGCGCTCACAAGATTCATCTTGGGCTATTTTGATGGTTTTCACAATCACCTTCCATTTATACATCTGCCTACTTTCAGCCCCGTTGAGTGCGCTCCCGAATTCTTCCTGGCGGTTGCCGCAGTTGGGGCTCAGTATAGGTTTGAGAGCCATGTAGGTTTGTTTCTGTTTGATGCTGCGAAGGCCATATCCATGGAGCAAGCACGTCGCCGAACCCGCAATTACTCCGAGGTAGTGGTTGGCTCGAGAGTGACAAACCCCACGCACCCAAGACCCTCATACAACATCAGCGAAAAGGGGAAATGGGACCGTTTGCAGACATGTCAGGCCCTTTTGCTCCTGATCGTCTTCGCCACCTGGGATGACGACCCCGAGTTGCTACGCGAAGCCATCGGGTTCCAGACAATTCTTGCTGGGTGTCTCCGTGTAGGCACATTCAGTGAGGATGACACCATCGATACTGCTGGAAACTGGCACGACTGGGTGAAGGTAGAAGGAGCCCGACGGGTCACACTTGTGGTGTTCTGCTATATGACTCTGCAGGCGATCGTCTTCAACATTCCACCCACCATTCTTAACGATGAAATTCACCTGCGCCTCCCCTGCTCTTCTGTTCAGTGGAATGCTAAATCCGCAAGCGAGTGGTCGCGAACCAGACGCTCAACCGAAGACTGCCAGCCGCTTTTCCAAGACGCCTTGACATCTTTGTTAATGAACCCATCTCCATCTCCGGACTCCCAAACGTACTTCGCGTCGCCACTGGGCAACTTCGTCCTCATCCACGCGCTTCTGCAGCGGTTGTTCACGATTCAACAGATAGCTGGAGCGGCGCCTTCGACCTGCATCGATAGCCTACGAGGCCAGCTAGAGTAAGTTATCCCATCTCTGAAAGTCTCCAGTACTAATATTCAACACCTCCGATAGATCTGCTCTTCATCGGTGGAAGCTTGGCTGGCAGCGCGCTCCAGAATCTAGCCTCGACCCCCACAACCCGAGTGGTCCTATTCCCTTCACGTCGACGGGATTCCTGGCGTTAGCGTACGTCCGCTTGGTCTGTGATCTTGGTCCTCACCGAGCGCTTAGCTCTCGTGATCCGACTCGCATTGCGATGGCGCTTGCTCAACTTCCCCCCGTGGATCGCAATCCCCGCGTCATCCCGGCACTACTTCATTCAGCCCATGCTCTCAGTATCCCGGTCAAGCTGGGCGTGGACTTTGTCGCAAAGAGTCAGCATTTCTTCTGGAGTGTTCAGCAATCTGTTTGCAGTTTGGAATGCGCTGTGTTCCTCAGTCGATGGCTCCATCAGATCGGGCAGTCTAAGGACCGTCATCCTTTAAGCGGTGCGTTAACTTCCCGTAGCCCATACATGCTTCGCTCAGCCCCGTTTTTGCTAATCATCATCGACCTGCTAGAAAGTGAACAGCGCCTCTTGTTGTGGACTAGTCGCATTGTGGCCGAGGCGCCGGTACACCCAATTCAAGCTCGAACAGCAAGGGGCTCCTCCGGTTCAGGGGAAGAACTCGAGCCCTTCCGCTTAGGACTATGCGTTATTCAAATCTGGGCGAAGATTTTCAAAGGTAATACGAGCTGGAGGTTGGTAAATATCCTGGGAGAGAGTCTGGAGTTGCTGGCGTCGATGATGCAGAACGGCTCCATATGGACCGAAGTGTCGGGTACTGTCTCTGGAGGCTCCACTGCCGGACAGCTCGATTCAGGATGGGACAGATTTCGTCGACGTTGATTTTACAGTGGTCTCTATAGCCAGAACCGAGTTGGGGGTGGGGGTGGATATAGGCAAGTAAGCCAATGATATGATGGATCACAGTGGGGGTGGGTCAGGTCAATTTGTGAGTATCTCCAACCCCAGGATCTATAAAGACGAGAAATGCAAAGGATTCGAGATCTTTAACTGAGACTTAAAACCCGGACACTTCTCTGCCTACCCTAAGGTGTCTTCCTGCTTCTACTTTATTTCCCCTCTTTTTATCTACATTTCTCCGTTCTTCTTCACTGTTACCAACCCACGATGTCCAGCGTCCCAAACACCACATTTTCCTCCCTCGTCGAAGCCCGATATCGAGACGGCCAATCGATCCAACGCCCTCTTCCAAACGACTTCCCTCCCACCCTCCAGACCATTCTAAACCACGCCTCATGCCGCTCATTTCTACCCACCCCACTACCCACCGGCACCCTGGAGGCTCTTATGGCAGCCGCACAGAGCGGTTCAACATCCTCCATGCTCCAAACCTGGGACGTGATCGCCATCCAAGACCCCTCGCACAAGAGCGCGGTCGCCACTCTCGCCGGAGACCAGGAGTTCATCCGTCAGGCGCCGCTCTTCCTCGTCTTCTGCGCGAACTTGCATCGTCTCGCGAATATCTCGCGCAGATACGACCAGCCCGGACGGGCTCTTGCGAACACCGATATGTTCCTGATGGCATCTCTTGACGCTGCGATTGCAGGCCAAAACACCGCCATCGCGGCGGAGTCGCTGGGTCTGAAGATCTGCTATGTGGGCGCTGTGAGGAACAATGCGCAACAGATGTGCGAGTTGCTGGGTCTTCCGCACAACGTGGTTGGGGTGTTTGGTATGGCGGTGGGGTATGGCGAGGAGGAGCCTACAGGGGGGATTAAGCCTCGACTGCCGATGAGAGAGGTCTGTCATCGGGAGGTTTGGAGTGAGGAGGATCAGGAGGAGAATATTCAGGTGTTTGATGAGGCACTGGGGGCTTTTTATGCCGGGGTGATGAAGCTGGGGCGTGACGGTTGGAGCAAGTTTGTGGCGGGGAATATGGCGTCTGTTGAGCAGGATGGGCGGGAGAATTTGAAAGAGACGTTGTATAAACAGGGGTTTAAGCTTAATTAGATAGATATAGTAGAGATAGCAGGAGTGTACGTCAAACTACAAACTGGCTTACTGCTACATGCAATTGGATAGCTAGCGCCGGCTGGTTTACTGAAATTTCGATGTTATTTGGTCCTCAATCCGGAATTAGTTCAAATGAACATTTCAACGGCACAGGGAAGTCCAAGATGATGATTGATCATTCTCATAATCATGTATGAACAATTGACTTGAGGAATTAGGGTTCGCGCTGCTCGTGACATGCTTGTGATGTCCCGGAGCCGACCATTAGCTATCGCACTGGACCCAACTAATTAATGGTTAGAAATACCCGCAAAATTATATAAGTAATTCCAAGAATGTTCAGTATTTTAGAGACTTCATAAGGGCAAAGTATCATCCCACTGGGGCAGGGTGGTATGCGACAGGGCGTGTTCATCGCTTCCCAACGGAGTCACCCCCGATGAGTCACGTCTTGACATCCACCATTTAAACCGGTACTGTTCAAAGGGTAGTAAGGATCCTATATCAATTAATTGACCTTGAAATTTCACTACTCCCAACAAATTAATCCATCTATACATTCACAATGCCGTCCGACTTTCTCGCACAATGTCCCAGCCTAATCGGTCTAAACGCTTTCACCCGTCCTCTATCCCCAAACGACGTCCAATCGTGCGCGACAGTAGAAAGTGCATTCCCCAAGCACGAGCGATGCTCCGAAGCCAAGGTAAAGTTCTTTACGGCGACAAAATTCCGTTCCGTTCCGCAACAAGATCTAACATCAACAGTTCACCTACCGTCTGAGCCAAACCCCTGAACTCTGCCTCGGCCTCTTCATCCAGCCCCCCAACACCGCTAGAGAGCAGCTAATCGGGCACATAATCGCCAACAGAACCCGAGCGTCCCTTGTAACACACGAATCAATGCTAATGCCTGATTCCTGGGCATCCCTGCCCCCGAATACCGCCGCTACGGTCAACGGGGAAATCATCGGCAATGATCCCCAAGGTACCAATATCGCCATCCACTCGGTCGCGATGGTCCCTGAATATCAGGGCGGGGGAGTTGGACGGGCGCTAGTGAAGGAGTACATCGAGTACATTCGAAGATCTAAGGAGAGTATACAGGCGGAGCGCATCATTTTGCTCGCGCATGATTATTTGATTCGGTTTTATGAAAGTGTGGGGTTTGTGGAGTCTGGGCCAAGTGCGTGTCAGTTTGCAGGTGGGGGGTGGTTTGATCTGGCGGTTGAGATTTAATGGGTTCTTCTATGGGCTTGGGTTTGTTGGGGATTGGAGGTTTATACGGCCTGGATGGGGAATGATAGACCGGGGTGTGGAGGTTGAAGGCGCAGCTCGGGCGATGTAAATAAATAATTCATTATCTGGTTTGCGCTCCTAGTAAGAAGCAGGATATTTCAACCGTATTTTCAATGAAGTAGGTATATATCATGGAGCGCAAAAATTGATTAGAGCAAGAGATAAATTTAAACGACCGGTGTTGACTGCAATCTCCAGGTATGAGATTTGTTCCTCGAGTGGAATTAGTGATTCTTTACTAGTTGCGTAGCTATTTTTGGATTAATAACCACAGCTGCCGTGTCATTCGAACGCCACAACTCCTGACACAGATGAAGCAACAAATCAGACCCAGTGGAACCGCTCAGGTGGCAGGCTGAGATCCCGAAGAGCCGGTTTGATAGTTGATCAGCCGTGGGGAGAGCTGTCTGAATCCGGGAATCGACGTCACCCGGGGTTACATAATTCTGACATCAACACCAGCCCTAGCCATCTATAAAACATTCCTCTCTACCACCTCACTCAATCGCCCAGATACTGGACTCCCGTCCTATCCGCGACCATGGCGACATTCAACCCCCCTCCATTAGTCGACATAGACCGCTATGTCGGGCAGAAGCAAAGCCGCGCGCTCAACGCCGGCGACGTCGGCATTTTCAAATCGACCATCCTCCCCTCCTTCACAATCCATTCCGGCCTCTCCATTGCGTCCTTCATCGCCGCTAAATCCACCGACCGCGGCGAGATCAAAGACTGGTGCTGGCCGTCCAGCCAGGTCCTGAACGCCTGGTGGAGCGCCATCGGTCGACCCATGGCGCTTGACGATATCTCCTTCTCCGCCGCCTGGCGCATGCTTCCCTGGACCGAGAAAGTGCTGCTCAGCTCCGTGACACTCTGGGGGACAAGGCTATTCTATCGGATTGCGACAAGGACGATTACCCGCGGCAAGGACGATCCGCGATACGACGAGCTGAAGGCTAAGGACCCTGGATTCTGGAAGTCCGCATTCCTGAAGATGTTCTTGCCTGAGGCGGTGTTTTTGACTTTCATCTCGTTGCCGTTCACGTTGCCGTTCCGACTGAGTGAGACTTCGTTGGATATCACGCCCCAGACGGCTGGGGTGCTGAGGACTGTTGGCGTGGCGCTGTTCTCGGCGGGTTTTGCCCTCGAGGCCATGGCTGATAAGCAGTTGGAGTCGCATCGTCAGGAACGGACGGATTTGTGTCGTCAGGGTGTGTGGAGTATTGTGAGACATCCGAAGTGAGTCCTCTCCCTTTCTTGTTTTGGTGTTATGAGTTGCGCAGGTATTGGATTGCAGTTGATTAATTCATGTGTAGCTACCTCGGCGACGCCCTCGTACACTTCTCTTTCGTTGTCCTGAACGCTGCTAGTTCATTCAATCCTCTGGTTCTGCTGGGCCCTGTGGCGAACTACGCCTACCTGCGATTCGTCGGCGGCGACAAGCAGAACGAAGAAAGCCAGGAAGCTCGGTACAAGGATCAGGACCCGCATAAGTACGTGCAGCTGCAGGCTTGGCGCCAGGAAAAGAACAGCTTCTGGCCGAGTCTGAGCGAGTTGGTGAACCCGTGGACCTGGGCTGTTGTGGGCAGTGCAGTGGTCGGTGTTGCTGTCGAAGAGGGTGTTAGGGGATGGGTGTTGCAGTAAGACTTCCTGATGGACATGTTGATGTCTGCTGTGTTATGATATACGTAATTAGCCTGAGGATATGGATTTAATGGAATAATATAGCCACCTTTCTAACTGATAGTATGTACTTTCAACCGAATCTTACATTCGCCTGTCTATGTTCAAACACCACCAAAAATCACCTCAATACCCCTTCCCCCTCTTATACTCATTCACCAAATCCTCTCCCCTCTCCAACCGACCCACATTCTCCCTCAACACATCAAATGACCTCGGGAAATACTCTACCCCCAGAGAGCTCACATGCGGACTGATCTGCACATTCGGCGTGTCCCACAACGAATGGTTCTCCGGCAAAGGCTCCGGATCCGTCACGTCCAGCGCAGCACCACCCAACTCACCCGCCTTCAGCGCATTGATCAACGCATCCTGGTCAATGACCTTGCCGCGCGAGATGTTCGTCAGGTAGGGCTTCGGATGGCCCTGTGTGGCGCGCGCACTGAGCAGCGCGAACTCCTCGGCGCCGAGGAAGTGCGTGGTTTGCGGGGTGAGAGGGAGCGAGATGACGAGGTGGTCGAGGCCGAGAGAGAGGAAGTCGTGCAGAGACGCCTTGTCCGTCCCGTGGTGCCATGAGACAGGGATCGTGCCGTCCTTGTCGCCCGTGCCGGGGACGATGAAGCCGTTGTCGATCCGCGAGGACGGCGTGGGGCGCGGAGACGCGGTGTAGGCATATACGCTGGCGCCGAGGGCAGAGGCGACTCGTCCGACTTTTCACGAAGCATTTTCATTAGTATTTCATAGGAGAATGGGAAGATAGAGGGAAGAATTTGCAAGGTAGATACGGTGAATACGTACTCTGTCGCCCAATACTCCCATACCCCAGAATCCCGACTTTCTTGCCGACATGATCATGAATATCCTGCACGTACTCGCTGATGCCACTCCAGTGATGCTTCTTTTGATTCTCATAGCTGTATGCGTATTTGCGCGAGGCGACGAGCCAATTCATGACGGTCCATTCGGCGATCGGGGGTCCGTGGACGCCGGAGCTGGTGGTTACCGGAATGGCGGTTTCTCGGAGGATTGGATGGTGCAGGGAGTGGTCTAGGCCGGCGGAGAGGAAGTGGATGACTTTGATACTGGATGAATTTGTTGATTAGCGCAATTGCTTGGGAAAATATGGGGGGGTGAGGGGTGGTTTACTTTTGCGCATCCTCGGGGTTCGGGAGATTGGTGAAGGTCACTAGCAATGTGGCTTTTCGCGCATGTTCTGGATATTGGGGTTAGGATGACCACGGATCAAGTGGATCATGATACTGAGCCAACACTTACCACTAGGAATCGTCTCTCCTCGAGGCAATGACAGCGTCGAGACCTCAGCCTCCGGAAACTTGGACTGGATAGTCTCGAGCAATTGCGGGGAGATGGGCTGGAAGAAGACCACGAGCAGATGCTCCTTGTGTACGAGTGCGTCGCCCATGATGTATAGCTTGAGTCAAAGGTGATCGGGGAGAAGAGGAGCAGCGATTGTGGGATTATCAATCCATATATGAGAGGAAATGTCGCAATAAAGAGCGAGTCTGGCGCAGGGCGCAAAGTGGGGTTTGTCCTTATCGCTATCTCCGTCTGAGTAATCGGAATCCACCATGGCCGAGGTCCGTCAATGATGACGATCCTGTTCAGGGGCGCAGGAAGGAAGACCCGGAATCGCGTTCAAAAGATGTGGAATGTGCGTCCATGGTTCGGGCCGGACGGAATGTGGAACTGGAACAAACAAGTCGCGTTTTTCGTTCCTCAACTGGGGACACGAATCCTCTTTCAAAACATCTCTATTTTTGCGGTAATAATCGGCGACCGCAAGATAAAGAATGTCGAGAGGAAGGAGGAATAGAGGGGCGTGAGAAGCAATGAGCAATGCTAGGGACAGGAGAGAACAAGTTGGTCAAGCATTGAAGATAGTCTTTGTGACCTAAGGGACTAGGTAACTCTAAGTATATGCTCCTACGGGAAACTCTATAGCGAGATTTAAATGACATTTGTATGTCCTCATCCTGATATCATGCTGAAAGCCTAACCAGCTCGAAGCAGGCTATAAAAGCCCTTGTAATGCTGAGACGAAGACTTCACGGGACACAAAACCCATACAGAATTTTCCAATATGCCGAAAAGAAAAGGAGAGGGCAGCTCTTCACAAAATCCACGATTCCGTAGCAGGATATTGTGTTTTTTGTGCTATCACGACATCAGGACAGATGGGTATTCTAGCACTATCGGCGACCTTATACAAGACCGAGCAGAAATTATCCGTCGCTCAAAGTACAAATCCATGATCCTTGACGCCCAGACAGTGGAAAAAATGGATATGAGTTCTGTAGATCTTACCGACATGGGCACATTGATCCGTGCAGGTTCGTTGCCCTGCTTTTTCTTTGGAAATGGGGGGCTGTTTCTGCACACTATGGCTATCTAATTGACACCTATTCGTCTACACTTAACGCATCCAGTCCTCGACGATCCTAATACCAGTCGTCCGCGTATCTCAGGCATCACACAGCTCTTTTACTCGGCACGTGGGCCATGTGCGCTCCCAAACGACCCCCAAAAAGTCAAGATAGGCTATTATGTTAGCGACCGTGGTCCGTGTCAAGGTCTGTGTCAAGAATACTCCCTGGAGGACTTCGATAATTTTCCCAAAAGCCGAGAGGAGGAGAAACGCATCGTTGGATACCCAGTCCATATGCATTGCTGGATTATTTTAACATGGATCATTGGAAAGGAGCTCCTTGAAAGCAACCTCAACATCCTCTTGAAGTCTGCACAGAAGCTCGACAGAGACCAGCGCGGTATGGTAGATGAAACCCTCGCTCTTGGATTTGATATTCTCTACGCCCGAGGCGAAGACGGAAAGCGACGGTGCCTCAACCAGTCTTATCAAAGCCCAGCATTTGTCCCAAGAATTCAATGCGTGATTGATGAGGCCCGAGAAATGCGGCCTCGAACCGATGCCATAAGGAAACGGTGGAAGCAGCCTTTGGTCCAGATTCCCGCTGACCTGATTTTGATCATAATTGAAAAGCTTCGGGTTTGGCCATGGATAATTGATAGCGGATTCAAAGACATAATCAACGCCATGTGCACCTTTCAATGGATATTGTGTGACACCTATTGGCAAGGTTACTGCGCCAGAACGCTTGTATTCGAGTACGAGGGTCTTATCGAATCCAAACAGTTGATTGACTGGCAATTTCTCAGCTTGAGGGTGCGACATCTTTTTGATGGTCACCAAACCTTTCATCTAAGTTATAGAACCCAGTTAATTTGGCGGGCCCAGAAAATTGAGAAAGACTTTCTGAAGAGCCTGAAGGCGAATCAATATCTTACTCCAACTTAAACTGTCAGCAGGGAGCAAGATCTGGGTTTCACCATTGGCCTATCTTCCCGGGAGTGGAGAATTGAAAATTATGGCAGAGGTCAAAATGATATCAAATGTCAGAAGCCGGCTTAATGTAACTGCTTAAACTGGAACTAATTGTCCCCCAAATCAACCCCAGACAAGAACGTGTTCACACAAGCTAAGATAGTTGCCTCTGTGAGAAAAGGGAAATTGAAAATCATATGTTGAATCATTTACATATCTATGGAGAATAACATAAGATAGCATATATCAGACGCTCTTAGGAACACCGCAGGGAATCGTATACTATGCGTGCCCTCAAACCAAAGGCTAAAGCCACTATGCTTTTTTAATAGAATCATAAAGGGGTTTTTTCTCGAGCCATGACTTAAGATTTCACACTCCCAGTCTTGCTCCTCGTCCCTAAAGTCCTGACTGTCATACTCCTGCCCAGCCCAGGGGTTCCAGGGCGATCATCCACCGACATTTCCATCTTGAGCAGGATCTCGACCGCTGCCTGATCCTCCACAACCTTTGGATGTCGGCGAGCAAAGTATCGAGCGTATTTGTATAAAGACCAGTAACAGCTTGTGATGTTGATCAGCGTAATTATGAGTTTGTAGGGCATCTGGTAACATTCATTGGCTGTGTTAGGGTCAATTGTGGCTGCTGGATGGAAAGTTCACATACGTAGTAAAATAATAGAACTGTCCATTTTATGCGCTCCTTCTTTAGTCGGAGATGTATCTCGTTGAAAATGAGGACGTGGATGAGATACAAGCCTACTGTGCCTCCTAACAAGGTGACGCAGAAGGCGGGACGGACAAGAAGAGACACAGGAAGGACGAAGGGTGCGAGGACGTAGATGATTGTTTCGTAGACCTATTGATGCGTGAGCAAAAATAATATGGAGGCCCGACATCGACGGTGATCCATACCTCTTGGAAAACAAACACTTTCGCACCGATCTCCCACCAACCCAGTTTCCAAGACCCAAAGATATATGCGAGGTTGTGGTATAATCCATTCGCGAAGAAGAAGTTCCATCGCAAAAACCGCTGCTTGAAGACTGTCGTTTCCCCGAACCCACTGCGTCCACGTCCACGTTCTCCACCGACATAGAAGACAGCCGATGGCGTGGCAGTCTCCACGAACACGGAGCTACACATCTTGATGCGGCCACCCATGCGACGACAGCTATTCCCGAGAAACCAGTCCTCGCTGATCGAAAAACCCGGATGGTCCTGAAAGCATTCTTTCAGGAACTCTCGATCCCATAACGATATCGCACCGTGGGAGAATGTAGAGCTGCCGATTTTCCCGGCAAAAGCACGCTGTAGACCGGACATTTTGTACTCCATATCCTGAGCCTGCTGGCAGAAGGTGGTTTCTGGCGAGTCACAGCCGGCCGATTTAATCGTGTACCCGATACATCGGACTCGCTTGGTGAGTCGAGAGGCTACGACGGGAAAGTTCGAAGGGAGCGTGCAGTCGTCATCAATGCAAAGAACGTTCTTGAATGCTTTTGCAGCGTAGCAACCAATGAATAAGGCTATGACTTTCGAGCCGATTGGAGACCAGATGTGGTTAACCCCGTATGATCGACAGACCTCCTCGGTGTTGTCGACAGGAACTGGTGAATCTCCGTTCGCGATGACGAACACATCACCCGCCGGGAAGAGCTTAAGTGCGGCCTCAAGTGTGGTCGCGATCACTGAGGCGGATTTGAAGCAGGGGATAAGAAGTGCGGTGTCTGATGAACTGCGACCAATCCGGCGCTGTTGGTAGTATTCATTGTCGGGGGCATCTCTCTCAAAAAGGGAAAATAAAGGAACAAAAGTGTAGCTGAGGGAGTACGCATGTCAGCATAAATTAACTCAGTCAATTATCTCTCCTGGTAAGATTAAGCAGCAGGAAAGAAAGCTTACATGACCATAAACCCGATGGCGATTGACCATCCACCCTGGAAGACAAATTTGTTCTTCATTGCCCAGTACAGCCAGTATACTGAGCCTTTCCAGAGCGGTACTCCGATGAGTACGAAGTAAACAAACGAGACGAACAATGCGTATACGCCATATTCGAAGAGAAACTGAACCCAAGTTGTCCGCTGGAGATTTAGACTAGCAATCTTTGCCCGGTCGTAAAGCTCCCACAGACTACCGACCCGAGGTCTCTCGGGAAAAGTAGAGCTGGATGGTCGCGGTAAATCGAAGGGAACTCGAGATATCCTGCTATTCGTCGCTTTTCTTTCAAGCCCCGGACGACTAGGGGAGACTGGTCGATGGAATGAAATTCGTTGACCTTCTGGGGCTTCGCTGATCACGGGATCCTCGACGACTGTCGGTAAAGGCCAGCTTCCGCCAGACTCAAGCGCCGACGTATGGCTCCAGTTCCTCCTTTCGATCCCTGGCTGTTGTTCATGGACTTGTCTGCCTGTGATCGGTTGTCGTTTCTTCTGTACATGGATCTCCCTGGTCGGCTCCTCGGAATAATAGCGCGGATAGTCTGAACTCCGTTGAGGGATTGTTGACGCCGCAGGCAAGAGAGACTCTGGGATGACTATATCCTCGACGATGGGTAGTAATTTATGCATTTGCTGTAGGCTGAGATTCCCCGTACTCGCGAAGCTGGGGAGGTCCGCGAGAATTGGGGTATCCTTGTCTTGCGGGAAGCGTGAACTCGGATAAATATCGCAAAAAGCAGTAGTTGTTTTGTTCCATGAAAATCATCCTCGTCGAACCTAGACACGAACGAAATCGACGATAGCTGTTCAGTCTGGGACTACAAGTACTTGATCGGACAGTGGCGACTAGAGCGCGGGCCGTCCCATACCTCCAGAGCCAGGAATTCTTGGCCCATTCGAGATGCGGAAAAAGACCCCGGTTACATTCCTCGCAAATCAAAACCCCTTGTTCTCTCGGGACGAAATTCACCCCCATTTCCCTTCGAATTGATAAAACAGTCTCACATCTCGTTCTCGGAGTTGGTCCACCGGTTTAATTGCCGTTCCGTGCCTTCGGAGCGGGTACTATTTACGGACCCAATCGGAGAATTTACATTAAATGTGAATCAAACAAATAAAAGGGTCAACCATCTAGGAGTAAACGAACGTTTTGCTTGAAGCCCATGGGGGAATCTACTATATATAACAGCTGCCCAACTTGGGCGACAAAGATGAAGCATGCTCTATGTAACGAAATCAATCTACGGGGCTGTTATCGAGTCAGATACAGACTTTTCTGGGAAAGTAAATCCCGAGAAATGAAGCAAACGTTCAAAAATGCAATTTTATTTATAATACAACTCAACTTATAAGCCTTTAGTGTGCTGATCACTAAACCTTCCTGCCTCAAGCCAGAGCACTTGCACATTGAACAACATCACGCCATGAGTCAGAAGGTCATATCCCATGTAACCTCGGGGTCTCCCACTTATTGCTGTCCAATCTGAGCGTCAATCACTGAGCATTTAGGGACAAAAGGGTTAAAATGGCATTTTATTAGCACATAGAAGGTTTCATAGCTTAGAAAAAGGCGCATTGCGTAGAGCGCGATGCAGCCAATAGGTTGAGGCGACTTTATGGAATGTTACACAAGCTCCTTGCAGGGGGCCGCTTGGATCAGAAACATTAATCAAAAGCAACACTTTCAGATCAGCAATAAGGCTTGGCACAGATTTTGGCCCACCAAAGCTTCTGATTTATCGTGGGTGTTTGCCAATAAAGGGGGCTATGAATTCCGGGATCACCTAATTGGCTTCCATTCTTTGTCCTTGCGGACTCCATGAATGACTGTCGCAATTTTCTCATGAATGTATTGAGCAATTCTACTTTTCATTCGGCTGGTAGTTCTGGCTTTTTTTGCCATAACATTGTCTTTGGTTCGCTCTTATCACTTGTGCAACCCTTCTTCTTTATCTTAGAGTCTGGTATTTCATAGGCCCTTTATTGCTAATCATCATAAATCAGAATATTGATGCGTACAGCGATATAGCGATCATAGAATTTATGAATTACTTGGGCTCTCTGCTGTGTGTTGTGACAAGAAAAATGCTGGAATTGTTAGCTGAAATCGAGCCGAGTGTTCTGGGGATCATGGCTCGGCCCTCAGCCACAGCCCACATTCCACGGTTCCTAATATCACAAATAACTTGAAATCCCTCCGAGTTACATCATCTGTGTTCTCGAAGATTGGCCTTCCTAGAACTATACCCGCATTTATTGCAGTAATCACTCGCTTCGGCGCAGTCCCTTAGTCTTGTCAATGTCTAATTGAAGGGAATTGCGGAAAGATAGAATGCTAATAAATGTGCAATGGGAGTCACGACATGACTCGAGTTGTTGTCTACTTTTGGGATACTGCTATGATGATCCCAAATTCCTAAGCATCCCAGTAAACCTGACTAGATTTGTGCTTCTGCAGAAATCAGAGCTTAGCACACCAAAGCCCCAAACAAAGGCGGATGATAATCCGTCGCATTAACTACCTCCGTCAGCATACCAATCCAAACTCAAAGACCAAGCAACTCACCAATAGAAATCATAATAAACCCAAACTCGTCCGTCTCCTCCAGCCACTTCTCCGCCCTCGCCTCCATCACAATCCCCCGCTTGATCTTATCAAACTCTCCCTGCAGATACCCCTGACCACCCCATCTCGCCAGCCACCGAATATACCGCGTGTTCCACGCGTGCTCATCGTGCGCCTCCCAGAGGATCTTCGCCGCAGGGGCGGGCATAAACCCCAGCTCTTTGCAATCGAACGACGAAGTGCCGTGGAAGACCGAATATGCCCATTGTAGTAGGTAGAGAGAAAGCACGGCCCGGCGTTTAGACGTGACATGTAGCCAGGCGTAGAAGGACGGTTGTTTTTGTTCTCGCTCTTCTTGTAGAAATAGCCCTGTGCTGACAACGTGATAAACAAGACGCTGTGTTTGGAAGAAGATGGTGCTGTCTTCAGGGAGTTTCCAGAGGGCGTCTTTGGACGGGAACAGGAGGATGATGGTGTATATTACTACAGCTTGAAGCGCTGCGAGGAGGGTTTCCTCGTCGTAGTCGCGAAACTGTGGATATTTAGACACGAGATAAAGTTCAAGGAGAAGCTGAATTTACATCATCTAGCAGATTGGTGAGTTCTCGGAGAATGGTGCTGTAAACCATTTGCTCTGCTCCCTTGCATTGCCCGTGCCACATCTTCGATAACGTGATGCAATGCGCCAAGGGCTGGGCCGTTTTATTAGGCGACACTTGAGTGGGATGCACAAGTGGAGGAAGTTGGAATTCTTCGGCCAGCATCTTGGGCCATGTGCGGACAACGCGGAAGATGATCTCCATGCTGTGGTTAACTAGTGCCTCGGACGCAGTTTCCGGCGTCTGAGCTGCTTCTAGCCCCGGGGTTAGCGGGGCAGATATGAGCTCAGGCGTTGCCAGGTTCTGGTTCATTTGATCGTCGCTGATTACTATGCCGGTTCCAGCATCCTCAACTCGACGCAATGACCATGGGAGACTCCCTAAGTTGTTAAAGTCAATGTCATCTAGGTTGGAGAAAATGGAGTCCGACAAAGGCTCCACCTCCCCCACCTGCGCCAATGGAGCATGCGATAACATATGCAAGCCATCAAAGTGGCCATCCAATACCGGAGCCTGCGGGATCTCATTACTGGCCGGCGCGGCGTCGGAACTCGGGGTTGGATATTGACAGGCCAGTCCACGCGATGTGCATCGCGAGCAATTGGGCCGTTGCAGGCTGCATCGTGTCTTGTCTGACGCACATTGACTACATGATTTGCGCCGAATCGTGTTCGCTTGTGGCTCGTTACAGTTTCTTCTCAGATGGCGAACGAGAGAGGACCCTGTTTTGTTAACTAATCATGCTCTCGTACGTTGAGTTGAGGCGTCAGAAGCTTACGATGCCCAAACTTTGTACCGCAGCGCGGACACTCAGACCTTTGTGCTGCTGAAGAATTCATTGAGTCTGTCTGAAGCGGCTATCTGTAGGACAACAAATTTTGAACTACTGGTTATCCCACATGAACATATGGATCAGGTCGAATGAGTAGGTGAATGATAGATGTTGATCGATATCGCATTATTAATCGAAACTCGGAATTCCGAGTTGGCCCCGGAATCGATCCGACCAATCAGAATGCGGATCATGGTCCGGCGCTATACGCAGTAAATACTGTGTCTAATTTTTGTCATTGACCAGCAGGCCATGGCAATTAATGACAACAATACAAATTACACCATAGCTTAATAGTAGTCTGTCCATTCAAGAAAGTCCCTTCTGTCATTTTTCCTCTCGCAGCTGCAAATACTGCCCAATCAACCCTTTCATCGTCTCCTCGAAACTAGTAAACTCCCATCCAAAATCCTCTTTAGTCTTACTAGCATCCAATCGCCACTTAATGCTGCTCAAAGATCCCTGCAACGGTAGACTTCCGCTCTCAATCTCAGTGGGAAAGTATTTCCGAGCAATATCCCGAACATGACGATCCCACACAACCCCCTCCGGCGTGTCCGAAGAAAGAATATACTCAGTGTTGCCCGGTATCCGGTCAATGTCCACCGCGTCAACATGAGCGCGCGCTACATCAGCCACATGGACTGGAGCTCCGACATAGGGAAAAGGCGAATTGAGGGAAGAGGAGAGTGCAGGCGCCAGGACAGCCGCCCGAGTACCCTGGAGCAAAGAATCGATTGAATGGGTATCTTTGCTGAGGCGATCATCTGGTCCAAGGACGACAGAGGGCAGGAGATTCACGAAATCAAAATGAGGCTTATTTAGAGCCATGAACTGTTTGGTTTCGATCCGTGCGAGAGCCTTGGATGCCCAGTAGGCTTCCATTGCGCTGGAGAATGGGCCTGTGACTTTGCTGTTTATGTCGATTTCTAGAGAGTTGTTAGGTAGAATTATGTGGTATTTGGGGGCGGTCTTTTTTCACCTGTGTAGAGTCTCTCGCTATCGGGGGTCATGTTCCATTCAAATGGTATCAGGGTCACGCCTTTGAAATGAGTCAGTCTCATTTTTTATGTATAAAGAGTTGTCCGTACATGACGAGGTCAACACAACTCGACGAATCGTAGGCACACGAGTAGCTGCCTCCAGCACAGTAGTAACCATTTTAATGGCTGGTTTTATGATATCAGAGTCGTAGTCATTGCTCTACAATGCGTATTTGTTAGCCTTACCAATAATATAAATTCAATAAAACAGACTCACCTCGATTGCCAGCGGGGAAGCAATATGAATTATCTCCGTTACCCCGGCAAGAACATTCAAGACAGCATCTTCTTTGAGAAAGTCGGATACGATCACAAACTCCAACTTGCCTAGTTTGACGCTTTTGCTAAGTAAATAATTTTTGTGCTGTAATTCGGAGATGCTCTTCTCGCTGCGGACTACCGCGCGCACTTCATATCCTCGATCAAGAGCAGTAGTGAGGGTTTTGAATCCAATATACCCTGTTACCCCGGTGATCTGCAATCGATTAGATATCTTTGTTCCATGTATATCAGAGGGCCCGTCATACCAGGAGCCTTTTGGATTTGACATTTCCCTTGTTGTCTGTCATCTTGTGGGTGAGCAAAGTCGGTGTCAAACTAAATTTCCAGGTTTGAGGATCCGGGTATCACAAGATAAAACAATAATTTGTTTGACTTAAATGGCAATTGTAAAGGCCAAAGTCTAATTATTCTTTTCACCGATCACGTTGCTCTAATAAATACATCTGCTTTATGCTAGCCTCCGCAGCGCAGCCTAGGCCATTCCTTACTGGAACCCGCAGTTCCGAGTTAGATCTATCTAGCCAACCTAGCCCTCCGAGCGAGGGGCGCACTAAAATCCCAGTGTGGACCATATCAAGATATGCCAGACCAATAAGAGACTGGAGAGATAGCTTCTCACCGATCCAACAAACCTACATTGACCTCAATGCCTGCATCCCTCACTCTCTCAACAAACTTCATCCCCAACGCAGACGGAGTAACAACACCCTTCAACCTATCGTTCTTCTCCTCAGACTTTCCACTCTTAGAATGTTTTTCCAGTAAAACACCCGCTCCAACGCAGCTCATCAGCGCCGCAAACTCGTACAACGCACCCTTGCGCGTAAACGATGCCCAGGCGCGAAAGTCCGAAGAATCCTGAACTTTGCCGACGGCGTGGAATTCGACGCTTTCTTTGCTGCGTAGTTGGGTAATATCGGGATTGAGATCCATTTTCCCAGCAATCAGGGCTTTGATGAGAGCACGGATAGGGCTGATTGACAAGAAGACAACAAGTAGTTTCGTTAGGAAATGGATAAGAATGGCACCGAATACTCCAGGAGCTGGCAAATACTCCTTGAATTGAAAACTTGCCCCATAGAGATTAGGATTTTGGCTGGCGCTGCGATAGACGATGGCTTCGTTTCCAGAGCCGTTGAATGAAGTCGTCAAATGGCCAAGCTCCGGTGAATGGCGATACCCGAACAGACGAGTGACCAGTGGTTCCTTTGGAATAGTTCTCGGGGAAACCTGAGGTTTTGGAGACAAAATTGAAGGAGAGGGGCAGAGGAACCAGCTGGTTCCGTAAGTTGAAAAGACATCTAGAACAGTCGTGAGAGAACCGCCCGTCATGGCTTTGATGCTGTAGAAGGTTTAGTATGAAAACAACCCTTGGCCAGGCAGATGAATAACTTACTCCAGTTTACCCGAGCAGACGATCTCGGATACATTCTGACCAAAAGTCTCTCGGATTTTCTTCACAAGTAGCCATGCAAGAATATCTGAGACACCAGACGGAGATATGCCGGGGATTATCTGATTCGCATTAGACGACGTCCATGTCCAACAATGAGACGCACATACTATAGCTCCACTGTCCTGTGCTAATTTGTGATATTTTTCAATCATGTCTCTGATCCATAGTGTCTCCGTGGTGCTGTCTTTTTCAGTATCAATTCTTATATATTCCGAAACAAGACACTTACAAATCAACATAGTGCGTCCCTACCCGGGCACACACGTCCACAACTGGCGTCGACAACTTATGGTAAGGCCCTATACCATTGATGATCACTTTAGCGCTTTTGACAAGCGGCTCAAGGCTGGTTGTGTTGATCTCAACAGTCTCAATTGCTAGTTATATGACATCTTAGCTTTTTCCACTAAATGGCCGCGAGGAATGAAAACTTACCAGGCTGTAGTCTGTCGGGGCTCTGAGCCGTTAGGTCCTTGACTAGCTTCTCCAGACGAGTAGCTGATCTACCAGCGATACACCATTTCAAGGTGGATGGGAAGTTTTCCACGATGAATGTGGCGCAAAGGGAGCCGGTATAGCCCGTTGCTCCGAGGAGGACGATGTCGTACATAGTAGTTGGTTAGAACGATCTGAGATGAGTGATTGAATTCTGCCGGCAACAAGGGGCTATTTAACAAACATATTGAGAGGTTGAGCTACATGCAAAGCAGTAAGGTGTAGATTAAAACTCGGAAGAGGTTGCCATCAATCGGAGTTCCGAGTTGAAGTAGTCATTGAGCAAAGCGATTTATTGTTCTTGTTCTAAATTAATTTGGCTAGAAACAGGGGTAAGTTAGTAAAGTTTACATTAAGTTGCGATAGCCCGCCCGGCTTTTCAACAATCCGGCAATTTGGCCGAGTGGTTAAGGCGTAAGACTCGAATTGAGAGGTTTCCAACCTCCTCAAATATTGATATCTTATCCCTTCGGGGTCGCAGGTTCGAATCCTGCAGTTGTCGATTCTTTTTTTTTCTCGGCCCCCATTGTCCAATCTTTTCCTTGGCCAATCGCCGGAAGGCATTGATTTGACGGTGGGTCTCGTCCTTATTTTTATTGGTGGATGGATGGAATGCGCCCCTTGAACACGGAAACTCCACACCTACCTAGGTCCCCCCTCTTCCCTTCTACGAAGAAAAACATCGTCTTTTTATAATTTACCTCGATTCTAAGACTTTCTCTACATTATATAGCTAGGAAAATAAGCTACCTAGTAAAGGTCCAGCCCAAGTAAATGGTTCTCATATTCGTCTCACCTTATAGCCTCTTGGAAAAACTCGTGCCGGTTGCTTAATTATCTGCTGCGTTCTCACAAAACTATATATATGTGCTCCGTGTCTATTCAACATGAATAACTCCGCCATCGAAATTAATATTCGCAGCCCAAACCCCTCTCCCCTCATCCAAATTCTCCCCGTTATTAAAAGCATGGAACAAAATCGCCTTCCCATCCTCCCGGAAATCAGCACCACCCGGACCACCCAAGCCCCCAACATCGCTAGGATCCCCAGACACCAGCAACGGGGCATCCGGCGCCTGCGCCTTGGTATACGGCCCGCCGACCGCATCAGCAGTTGCATAACTAACATCATACTTCTTGGTGTTATACATGTTCGACGAGAACGACAAAAAGTACTTATCGCCGGACTTGACCAGCGAGGGGGCCTCGACAAGCGGGCCGTCGTTGTCGTCACGGTCGAGAATCTGCACCGCGTCGCCATCGGGAGTCACTGCGTCCGCTTGCAGCTTTTGCAGCATGATCGGCGTGGGATGGGTCGTCCCGTCGCCGTTCAAACTGTTGCCGTCGATCTTGTACACGACGTAGAACGTGCCGTCTGAGTCTTTGAACCCGGCGGCGTCGATGGCACCGCCTTGATCAAGAGGACACGCGAGAGAGTCGGATGAGGGCTCGTAGGGTCCCGTGATCGAGTCGGATGTGGCGGCGCCCAGACAGTGCTTGCTGTCGTCTTCGCGGGCGGCCGCGGAGTAGTACATCACGAATGTTCCGTCGTCCTGAGTATGTTTAGTTTATATGATGTGGTTCTTGGGGAGAGAGAACGACATACCCGCTGGATAACATCCGGGGCCCAAATCCCTGGATGCGCATCATCCTTCACCCAGTCGGGGAATGGACCGGGGAGGGCATCTGTGTCCAGTTTCTCCCAGGTGTTGAAGTCAGATGAGTGCGCGATCTGCGCGTTGATGCCACCGCTTGTCGTTCCGAAGGCGTAGTATCCATCATCCGTCTGGATCACGTTGGGGTCGGGAAAGTCGCTATCGATGACTTGCCACGAGTCGGCCCAGGCGTAGCTGGACAGGAGGGAGAAAGCGAGAGCAGCTCGGATAGGCATTTTCTGTATCTTAATGGTGCATGATACCATCAAAACAACAAGTGCTATGGGCGGAAACAGGCGCTTTTATACGCGAGTAGATCCGTAATGTTTTTCCCTAATCGGGCTCGCAGTGGCTTACTCAAACCAGATAATCGTGAGGACTACTGGGAAGGGGGATCGGCATGCTGGATGCTCCACCGGGCGGTGATGGGGCCAATTATAATTTGCTGAACAGGGTCTGCACAATGTTTCGGGTCTGGGGTTTAATAAGGAAGAACATCTTGAACCCGGTGTTATGGTACAGTCACTGGATCGGGGAAATCCTTTGTATACCTACGGTTTATGGTGACCCTTGGCATATATCCTAGTCGATATTTGAGGTTATGTTGAACGAGGTGAGCGACGCTTTCTTCAAATTCTCTATTCAACTGCCGATGAGGAGACGGCTATGATATCCACTCTCGTTCCGTGATTGGCCACGTCCTCGTATTCTGCAGCGAGTAGCTAAAAAGTCGGCCCCAGCACCATAGCCTCCTGTCAGCCGGGCGGTGCATCCTGTAATTCAGGGAATGTCGCCTATCAGACCATATTATGGCAAGCTTCTGACCCCTGAGAATATCAAAGCTAAGCTTCGAATATATGATGTAACGACCGGTGGATCTAGCGTTCCAAAAAAGGAAAGGACGGGTTTGACATGTCCAAAGAAGTGCTTGAGTAAATACCTATTAAGTATTTGGTTACTACGAAGTAGCAGGGTCTGTAAAAGGTCACGAGTGATCATGCAAGTAACTGAGATCCGACTAATGATTGAATGCAGAAAGGCAACGACTTGGTTTCCAAATGATAGTCAACTGTACATTTTAGAAGATAGGTCATTATGGTTTTAGGCAAATGGATACAGAGGATAAGTGTGTCTTGTCTGTAGTTCCGAAAAGGGGTCTGTTTATTTTCATCTTTCTAACTAATACATTAATCATCCTGAACTCCTCGGATAAGATTTTTGATACCCTGCCCATTCTTCGTCATCTCCCAAGCCTCCGGCGCCTTTTCGAAGGGAACAATGGTGCTAATCAAGGCCTTCACCGAGATCCTGCCAGAGCTGAGTAAAGAAAGAGCGATCTCATAATCTCCCGGAGCATATCGCCACGCCGTTTTAAAAACCGTCTCTTTCTCACACATGTGCAAAATCGGAAGAGTCAGATCTGGCTTCCCAAGTCCAATCTGAACAACCACGCCATCCGGTCCGGATGCATAGATACCCGTCTGGACCGATGATTCAACTCCTGTGCACTCTAGAACGACATCCACTCCCTCTCCAAGACCCAACTCCTCCTTCATCCTCGCAGCTTCCCGGTCAGGCGTAGACTTGAGATCCGGCATGAATGTCTTACAACCAACGAAACCCCTCGCAAAATCAAGCTTGACCTGGTTAATGTCCGACAGAAAAACCTCCTTCGCACCGAATGCCTTCGCCGTCGCAGCGGCAAGAAGGCCAATGGTCCCCGATCCCTGCACAAGTACAGTCTGCCCAGCGGAAAGACCAGCAAGCCGAGCACCGTGGACCGCAACACTCAACGGTTCCACGAGAACACCCTCTTCCAGGGACACGGAGTCTGGGATCTTGTACACAAAGTCTTCAGGGGTGCGGAACACGCGAGCCAGCGTGCCGTGGTTATCGGGAGGATCGGCTGCAAACTTCATGTCTGCGCAGAGGTTATACTTCCCCACTTTGCACTGCTTACACCTTCGGCAGGAAAAGCCGGGTTCGATGGTGACTCGATCCCCGGGGACGACGCTTGTTACTGCTGGTCCGATGGAGTGGACGATTCCAGACGCTTCGTGGCCCATGACGAGTGGTTTTTCGTCAGATACCATGCGCATCACACCGCCATGGGTCCAGAAATGAGCCTTTGAATACGATTAAAATGGTTTCAGAGAATCGAGTAAGTGGGATAGGACTGACATCGCTGCCGCAAACACCCACGTATGCAATGCGAACGAGAATGTCGTGGGGATCATCGAGCGGAGGAACCTCACGGTTCTCAAATCGTGCCTTCCCAGGCCCGTAGAGAAGACAGCAGAGGTTTTTCTGTTGCGTGGTCAGTCCTGGAGATGCCTGGGATGTCGCTAAGATGAGGGACGTACGATTTCAGTCATTTTGAATTGCCAAACCCCCTAGTATCCAACAATCAACTTTCCGTACCGAGATCTGTTGGATCTTGGAAGTTTAATATTGATCCAACATCGAAGATGTGATAGATTAATTGCGGATTAGAACCATACATGACTGGCATTTACACGATTACTTGCTCTCCAGGATCTCGGCGTGATGTTGGCCGATGCACAGCTTCGAGCGAATGAAACCGCTGCCCACCTCGGAGCACTCTTCGCCGCCAGGACAGCCCACCTTTTGTGTTACTACGCCCCAGAAATGAGTGTCCAACTAGGGCAGTCTGCAGCTTACAGCTAGCGTATTATGCTGCGGGGCAGACCCGCCCTCCAGCAATGTTTTTCTTGGAGATATGAGCCTTGCTTTTCGGTGCGCTATCAACCGCGGCGAGTCACGTCCGTCGACTGCGCAACGACAAGCCAAGAATGGATTCCTTGTATCTTCGACCTGTACGTCTTTGAAAGAGGATTCTATGGACAGGATTTGAAGCATTGCTTAGACGCTGATACGCGCTGTGATCTACTTCAAACTAAGACTCAGGCAAAACCAAAAATAATATAGCTAGCTGAGCCATTCATCATGCAGAATTAAATATCCACGGTGCATTCGAATGGCAAGAATTGAGATTGAAAAAAACAGCACCGAGAAAATGATCCGTCTACCACCTAAGAACACAATCTACGCCTCCTGTGTTTCACGCCTCCAGATTTTCAACGGCATTTTCGCCGGCCACAAATTAAATGCTTCTTCCCAATCCAAGTTCCAGTCATTAGACGGAAGCGCAAAGTCATATCGATGGACCAATGTCGCAACGAGAATCTGCTGTTCCATCATCGTAATATTTCGTCCAAGACATGCTCGTGCCCCGGTGGTGAATGGGATGAAGGCGGCCCTCATATCCTTCGTAGCCTCCGACTCGTCCAACCATCGTTCGGGCATGTATGAGTCCGGCTTGGGAAACAAAATCGGGTCACGATGAGCGACATAGGCCGGGACTGAAACAGTGACACCGCCTGTGATTTGCTCCCCTATAATCTCCATGCCTTGCGGGGGCGTCTTTCGCTCGAGTCCTCGAGGAAGGGGAGGAGAGATTCGTAGTGATTCGTCGAGGCAGGCTCTCAGGTACGGAAGACTTTTTACTTTTGCATATGGGGCAATCTCTTCTCCAGTTAGTATGACGTCCACTTCCTCCCGGAGCTTGCGAAGGGCATTCGGGTGCTTGATCAAATAGTAAAGGACATTAGTCAAAGCGATCGCAGTGGTATCAGATCCCGCATCCACTGTGCAAGGCAATAGATATTAGCTTCGAACTTTGTTATTGAATAAAATTCCTTACACAGAATGCTTGTTTCAGCTTTTATCTCGGCACGGTCGAGACCCCGGTTCTTCCCCGTCCGGTCCTCAATAAGGCAACCCAGGAAGTCACTCAGCTTTTCGCCCTTTTGATGTTTCTCCAATCTCGCATCGGTCAGCATATTGACTATATGCCCAAAGTCGTCTGAGTGCGCTCGGAAATGCGGGGAAAATATCTTAGCCAGGCCTTTCAGAAGGTGAAACCAATCAGCGGCTCCGACAAATCGAGAGACTACGCGGCCTCCACAATGCAAGCTCTCAATCAGGCTCAAACTCTGCACACCATTTCCCACATTGCATTTGACCAGGTCAGTCCCGGACTCAATCAAGCCCAGGCGCTCAGTCATAGCAATATCAGCGATCGCATCAAACGTGAAAAGATTCGACCACCGCCGAAAATCAATTGTCAATTCATCCGGGCAGACTTCCGAGCCGACGAGCGGATTGGTGCATCGTTTATCAAATTGCGTGACCATTTTCTCGACCTTGTCCGTGATTTTGAATTCCCATTGCTCGAGATTTCGAGTCGCGAATGCATTGGACAGCATGCGGCGTTTGCGAGCATGGTCGTCTTTGTCCACGACGTTGAGGATATGAGGATGGTCTCCGGTGATCAGTTTATACACGTCGTCTTTGAGACAAGGAGACCCGTGCCCATAGATATCTTTGATTGCGCTCACGCTGCCAAAGGATAAGACACTGGGGCCAGTTCGAAGGATGGGGTGTCTTTCGTGCTGGATACGGAGGTCTCGCGTTCGGAAAGACTTGCGTCGCTCGTAGACGTATGCCAGACTTGTAAGCCCTGATAAGAAGTTCTGGTTGGGATACTTTCGTAAGCGTTTGGGATCGTATAGGTAAGTTGCAAAGGGTGTAATGAAGAGCCAGGCTAGGATGAAGGACACAAGAAGTAGTGCCATTTTCGGTGTTTTTGATATTTTTTAATGAACAGAGTGAGATTTAGAATGGAAAATGAAACTGCTGGCGAAGCCAGTGTTCTCCTGCGCCCTTATATACCCTCCACGACCATCCCGCATACCTATAAGACTCTCTCAACGTCATATTTATCTGGTGACAACGAATACTGGACGACGCATATCTGGCGGTGGGATATCGTTGCCGTCGGTTGGCATTCCGTTTTGGGAGGGCGCGCTTAACTATCCGCTTTAGGAAAGCTAAGAGCACCCCTAGCAGTGTCCACAGGAGATGCATGTCGATGTATACTCGGTTTTAAGATCGGGTTGTCTTGCAGAGGCTACTTCCGACCGAATCCCAGCAACCCAGCTTTTGACAGAGTGAGCCCTGCCGTCTGCCGTACCCCACATACCATTCGAACTGGGGCTTTTGTTCTCCGCACTTCGGCTGTTCAAAACTCCACACACTACCCCATTGATTCCTCATATATGTCATTTCTGAGCTGCAGACTCGCTCTTTACGTCGTATGGGCTTTTGCGCTGTTTTTAGGGGCTACAAATATCATTGGGAAGCCGGATTGGGGCGTTTGAGTGGAACAGCTCCAATCCTATCCCCACAGTCATGCCAACTGGGAAACCTCGTCGAGCGCACAAACGTCGCAGAATAGGTTCATATTCCCCACCTGGTCCGTGGTAGCGTACTAATCGAGACGGAATCTAGGCTGGTGAGACGAATCTGAGATCCCGTGTGATCATTCGTACTGACCGCGCAGTAAAAACTGCCGCAACAGACGTATCAAGTGCGACGAACAAACACCATGCGGTTATTGTATTCGCAAGCATCTCGATTGCAACCCGTCTGAATTCATCGTTCAGGCGCGATTGCCGAGTCCTCCCAACCCAACAACAACTGATGAAAACCCAAGTCCCCAATTCCCAACGCCAGCTATTACAAGGCCCCCGCAACAGACATCACAGGATGCTCATATTCCAGAATCAACGTATGAGATCTTCCAACAAGTATTCAGCGTCAATAGCCTCTCAGCCCCGTCTTATTCTCACCCAGCTATCGACTCAGTTAGCATCTTGACCGAGGAGACAGGTGCACTTTTGAGACTCTACCAAAATGGAATCGGGGCTTGGATGGACATCTTCGATTGCTCCCATACGTACCAGAACGAGGTTGTGATGTATTCGCTGTCTTCTCCGCTTCTCATGCACGCAGTCTGTGCCCTCTCCGCCAGACAAATGAGTCTGATCGACAACAAGTTTCTCTGGGAACCCGTGTCATCTCGTTTCTACGGCGAGAGCCTCAGTCTACTCATCAAGGAGCTTACTGAGCAGAGCACCGATAGCGAGCTTGTACTAGCTGGTACTATCTTGCTGGGTAGCTACGAGCTACTAACGCAACCCGGAATCGACTACCAAAGGCATCTTTACGGCGCACATACTCTGATATTATCTCGGAATATCGGGGAAGAAGGAACCCCCTTTGAACAGGCCAGTTTCTGGATCTACGCGCGACAAGACGTCGCCCTGGCGCTGGTCAATGAGCGTCCAACGCTGACGCCGCCGGCCAAGTGGCCAGCCATTCCAGCGAACGCAGTTCCCGTGGAAGACTGGTTCGGGAAAAAGATTCTCTGGCTGCTGGCAAGGGTGATCGAAGCTAAGTTCACAGTCAAAATTGAACACTGGTCGAGTGTCGAGTTGCGAGACTTTGAAGGTCTTGTATCCGATATCGATTTGCTATGGACTTCTCTGCCTTCTCACGTTCGCGGAATTCACATGAAGCATGCGCTATTCGAGGACGAGAGGCTGTTCAGAGTTTGGTTCCATGTCCCAGCGGCCTGTAAGCTCGACAATCTCATTGAGATCCCCACTGGCTAACAATGATAGCCGCTTTGTGCCTATACTACCATATGGCTAAGATTCTAGCCTATGAATGCCTTTTGGAGAAGTCTAGCGCAGGCTCGCCACCGACAGGGCAGACCGACGTGATGGGGTCGATTCGTCACCATGCTCGTGCCATCGCGTCCATTTGTCTCTCTTCCGATCTTGCAGATAGTGCATTAGTGGTGGCGGTGAACCCTATATTCTACTGTGCGTGACTGACTTCCTATCCAAACACGAGCCGAACTAACCTCTCGTAGCGGCGAAATATCTCTCTTCACTGGCGTTGAAAACTAGGCTGTGGGGTGTTCTTGATCATATAGAAACTCGCATGGGGTTTTATACGCGGGATAGGCAGACTCAGCTTCAGCTTGGGCTGAGTAAATGAACATTGATTTGATCTGGTGTACATTATGTGCTTCGGAGATTCATCTTTAGGACATGAGTGAGCGCCGGCTGGGTTAACGTCCCTATTGTTGTTGTTATTGTTGTTGTTGTCACTCCTTATTCATTGTGTAAAATAATTCAGTCTTAAGCAAGTTTCCCTTTACTATGAGCGATCCCATCTAGGTTTGAAATATGTCAAATACATACGCAAGATAGAAATGCATTTACTAAAAACTAGAGACAATATGTTTATGAGACCAGCAAATGGTCTGTACTTGAGTATTTATTATTATCCCCAAAAGAAATCGCGCGCTGATAGTCCTCTCGGAGCAGGATGCCCGAGGGCACACTTGTTGAAACACAGTTCTCAACGCCTTATCAGGAGCAACAAAGAGCAGCGAAATCCCAGAGACTTTTGCAACCAAGCCCTATGCAGCACCCAGCCCCGCCTTCAAGCTAATCATAGTTCTGAAGAAAGCGTTTATGTGAATAGTGTAGTCGAGAATACAATCCTAGCTATCTTCGAAAACACGAGAAAAATCATCATCTAGTGAAGGAATGAAAGGCTGGCAGAGGGAAAACCTCTGCTTGACGAGTACCTGAACTAGATAACTCGACCTGGAATATCCTGAGTCGTGGAACATACGCACATTAACGTATTTCACACCCGAGTGGGCACCCACGACCGAGCGGGCACCTCTGAATACTTTATGCAACACGGTAGCGGTCTTCCTCTTGAACATTATAGCTGCAGTCAAGACGCTTTGGGGAGATATTATGGGCTTGTTGCTTTGGTTTCGCTCTGTGATGTTTTGTTAAATTGCCAAATGTATTTTCTGTAGGCTTCCAGGTGACCAGGTCGCATTGAATTGTGATCTCCGAGTGGGTAGAAGCGGATAGCAGTCTACCTACTAAATAATCTTTCCCTAGGTGATTTGATACAATAACTCATACTAGTGCGTACGTCAAGTTCAGTACCTAGATGATGTCACGAATCCCTGCATGGCACAGCGGTTCCACCGCAGCATATCCCGGTCTCCCGCCCGTGGCCGTCCCGCCTCATTAGTTTATTAGCTAGGGCGCATTGGGCCAGGGCGAAGTCTACATAAGAAATGACCTCGATCACCAGGAATTATCAATCAATAATCCCTCCGAGACCGTCCGTTCCCTCTCCAATTTTGTCCATTATACTCTGGTCTATCATTCCTCGTCGCCTCAGGCACCCGCAGTTATGCAGCTTTATCGCCCCATTTTCCTATTTTTCGGCACCACTGTAATTGCAGAAGTAATGAAGCTGGTGAGTATCGAACTGGAAGCGATTTGGCAGGTGTTGACATTGGAGGTACCTTCAACTAGGATCCATCCCCGAAGCTTCATCAACGCTGCACTGGTATCCGCCAGTCGCAGAAATTCTCGGGGCTCCTCCAACCTAGCATCATCGTTCAAATGGAACCAGTATCATCGATCTCAGGCATTGAAAGTTCTAGTATTGTCAGTCTTGTCATTTTTGAGTTGGGGGACGAGCATCTGGGTGGACATAAACCAGCGGGAAGCGAAACGGTCAGTATCCGACAAACCAACCTATACCTGTGTTCCAGACAGCTCTAAACGCTCTCATTAATTTTCAAGAGCTTGATCTAACTCAACATTTGGTTATCATAGAAAGAAATTATATGCACGCCCCAAAATGTGAAGAATGGCATTTGCCCTGCCGAACAGCTTGGCTCATTCATTGTTACCCCGGAAGCATTTGAAAATGCGAATCGCCCGATCATTACTCGAGCCGTCAATCTGAGCGAACATGAGACCATAATCTATCCCGTGCAGAACCAGGGTTTCTACTGCGCCGCAACGTACGGCTATTCGACCCGCCGATACTCTGGATTGATGACAGTCCGAGACGTCGACGGACTACTGCCCGCGTTCCAACGTCCGTGTCTCTACCTGTATAAATACCTCTCGGTCGCAGTCGCTGGTTGGAGCATGCTATATGTCGCGATTTGGGCATTTCATATAAAGCAGAGAGGCATGGCAAGCGTATTCCTGCACTCTCTGGTTTTCCTCTCATTCGCGAATGTGGCCGTACGCTGGGCAAGTTATGCGTCTCGAACGCTGCCGGATACCACGAATATCCTAGGCTGGGTGAGCACTGCTTTCGACTCCTTTCAGATTGTGACTTTAGGGTATCTTTTATTTGTCCTGCCACGATCGGGGACGGATCCATATTCATGGGCCATTGCTTCGACGCCTGCCACACCCTGGGTAGTAACAGGAGCTCTAGCAGTCCTTACGACATGTTATGGGGTAAATGAGCTTCAGAGAACGGCCGAAAGCCTCCCAATCTTGACAGTCGTTCTCGGCGGTTCAATGGCTGCTGGTCTCTCCTGGACATCGCTACGTACCTCCAGGGAAGCGTGGCCTGCGCTGAAACAAGATGGCGACTCGGCGGAAGGTTCGATTCATTCATCCATGTTGTGGATCTCAGTCACGGGCGCAATACTAGGCCTAATGGTGACAGTTGAAGCGGCGGTAGCTGTACTCTCCGCAGAGAACGGCTCAGCGTTTGCTGCGAGGTACTGGACTACAAGGTGGCTTCAGTTTGATGAGGTGCTTCGTCTGCTCATTCTGCTGTGCACTATATCTACTATAGTCAGCTATACACTTTACTTTGTTCGACGAGAAAGAGCCCATGCTATGGTATGTCAAACCGAGTCTTGAATGGTCATGGATTTTTCTGACAACTATGTAGAGTGATAGAGATTATGACCAAGAGATGAATACGATTCAGGCCTGAAGTGAGAGTCTCGCTCTACGAGCAAATCGATGTTGACCATATTGGAGATTGAAGCCATAGGAAGTGTCAAATATAATCTTGGTATACATATAAGCATTCACGATAGTTGCATGGTATGGCTTTTAGAGCGTGGTGAGATCTCTCGTTCCATCTTCCCCCTAGGCTGGAATTGAATTCTGCCTCATCCATTCTTGCAATTTCGTGAAATTGCGACATTTATGCTTCGTGTTGAAGTCCGGCAGCTCTCCCAAAGGCCTTGAAGGCGAGGATATCGTCAGAAACGGTGTCACATCTCCGACACACATGAGATTCAACCGGATGGTTTCAATGCAGTGATCAACATGTGCGCGCACTAGATGTGGCTCAGCGTCGAAGGCAGGGGTCTTGCTGTAGTCCCATTCGTCGCGGTAGGTATATTGGCGGATGACATCCTATGAAGAAATTTGGTTAACAGTTGGTTACATACCTTCCGGCCGGAGAGCTTGTAGAGTAGTAAAGATGTGGGGAGGATAGTAGGGACCAAAAACTGACCAGGCAGTGGATCTGGTGAAATGTCTCGATCAACGCATAGACGCCCCCTCCATGCTCAGGGGCGACTCGCTTCCACTCTCCATCGGTAGATTTATTCAGAAGGGGAAGCTTGTTCAGTGGAATATTGACATCTCCAACTGCAAGGTAAATGTTGAGCCAGATGGAGATGATGAGGGTTAACATTCATATTGAGTAGACAATGATATACGCACAGTTCCATAGATCCAGCCAAGCTTGCTCTCTTTCCATGTTTGGCGATCCGCGATATATAGACGGCTGGTGGAAGGCATTCTGAAACTGCACGTCAACATACTCAACTGCGTCAAGCATTGGCGCTTTGAAACGAAGACAGAGTCAGTGCAGGAAATACTCTCGGAGGGAAGGGTTGACTGCAACATACACCATGTTGACAGATGCCTTGCACAACGGGCATCAGTAGTGCCGTTTGTCCATGCTGCAATGCTGAACAGTATGGTAAAAACCCATATCGAAGCAAGAGAAAGCCACGCCAGAAAAGACCATTCCCTCCATATACTTCGTGGTCGAGTAATATGGAGTTCATTGGCAGACAGGTCTTTTCCGTCAATGTCCGTGGGGAGAAAAGCATAAGAGCTCGCCATCATCGGATCAATTAGTCTGATGATAGAAGGCTAAAACGAAAGGTTGTTTTCTTAGAAGAGAGGGATTTGGGGAGACAGGCTCATATGGTGAGCTTTAGTTAACTAGCCACCAACGGTTGACAAATTTAATTGCTATTATTAGGGCACCACACTCCTTAATGGGTTGCGCTGTGGGCGACAAAAATCTAAGCAAACATCTGACTAGACCAAAATACGTATTCTTGCGCAGGGAACGTGGAATTAGGAAGAGAAAAGTCTTCAAAAATCTCTTACGAAAGGTCCTAGAGCTTGCATACAGTGAGTACAGCCCAAAAAATTATTCAGGGACATAATACAGGATTCTCAAAAGTGTAATGATACAAATTGCAAAGACTGAAAATTACTGTCTCATAACTGTCGGTAAAAGATACAACATACATACAGATACACCCTAAAACAGTACATGGTAATATTGTGTAATCCTGCATGTCTCACCAACCTGGATCTACAGGGATTAGATCTCGGGCAACCTGGAAAGTAGGATCCGGGACATGACGTGCTCTATGCTAGCAGTCAGGCTTCAATGAGTGTACGTATGTATTTCTGTATGCCTCACGATATATCTCTCTCCACCGGCTACCTTGCTCCCTAAATCTCCTAAGTACCTCTCCTACTTCTCCTACCTCTCCTAACTCTCCTACCTCTCCTGCCTTTCCTGCAACACCTGCATCGCCTACCTCTCCTACCTTGCATACATTGCCTAATTCTCCTGCATCTCCTGCATCGCCTAGCTCTCCTACCTCTCCTACCTCTCCTACCTCTCCTAGCTCTCCTATCTCTCCTATCTCTCCTATCTCTTCAATCATTGGCTCGTTGTTTTTTTCTTACATACTCCTTACGTTCATTGGCCCTCTAGTGCCCATTTGCGTATGCAGCGACCGCATGGCATCCGCAATCTGGTCGCGAATTTACAGCACAAAGCAAGAACTCAACAAACGCCAGACAATACCAGGAAGATATCTTACCACTCTCGAAGAGCGCTTAGCAATTGCCTGTAAGCCACTAGATCGTTTGCAGCGTGGCAAAGAGAGGCGAACAATGCAGGAATCTAGGCTCATGTCCACCCTACGACGGGCTAAAAAGACATATGTCGACATTCTGCATGAAGATCCTGACATCTTCATACCTTTCATTCTCAATGTTTCAGAGTATGCCTGCAGATCCTTCGATGTAACGGAATTTTGTCAACAACACAAGCAAGGGAGCCGTATTAGCCTCAACATGGATGCTAAAGAGATTCTGGCAAGCATAGCCACCAGACATAACATTTACATGGAGCCAAACTACAAAAAACTGGAGAATTACCTTTTCCCGCAACCGAGACCTGTCACGCTAGCAGACAGCCATAGCCATTGGGGATATCTGGCAGCTAGCTGGAAAGCCACCTATAAGTTTCTCGGCGACCAGATATGTCACGCCATTGAGCTCTCTCCAGCAAGACTCAGCGAGCGGGTCCCTTCAACCACAGACTGTGTGAGAATGAGGTTTCCGCGGGAAAACTTCCAAGATGCCTACCTGATGTTAAATGTTGGATTACATTACGACATTATCAATACCTTGTTCCCACATGCAGGACGAAAACTAGTTTCCAGTCTCCAAGCAGACCCGCCAGTAAGCCATGACTGGTCTAATACGCATGCATTTACGCAGCCAGAATGGTTCGGTGAGTGAACCCCCGCTTCAAAACGGATTACAATCGATTAACACACACAGACAATGCACATTTCACAATCATTGGAGCTTCTGTTAAAGGTATATCCTTGATTTTCTGCTCTGACATCTGCGCTGCGATTGAAAAGAGCAATCTACGAGCATGGGAAAAGGAAAACCTCCTCTCTGACACAACGGACTGCGTTACAATGGAGGTATATCGTGGCAAGCCACACTACGGGATAATCCGCCTTAGACTTGCGTTTGTGGAGTCGTTTGACATTATGAAAACCCTATTTGTGCCTGAGGTCGCAGAGTCCATTCTTCCTGGACCTTGTTACGTATATACTTAGAAGCTTTGCCCCGACGCCCGGATGATACAATACATGACAAGATAAAACCAACTGCAAAAAGCAATTAGCGGTAAATCTAGCGCTTGAAACGTCAATGTGGAGACGTAGGCTATCTTGGCAAGTTTTTGCTAGCGCCTTGGGGCGGGCGCGATTTCGGAGTAGGTGGGATTATTCTTTCCCATATCCCATAGAAAGCATAGAAAATGTGACGCGTAGCCGTAGTCGTAACTTGTTGAGCTGAATAATTATGAACTCGCCATATATAGAGTAGGTAGTCTAAACTCTGTATCTCCGTCAAGACCTTAGCCATTATATTGTCTCCCTGGATTGTCCAATAACAAGCCCCTGGCAATCTCGCTATTGACCGTGCCTGAGAGATACGGAGTTCCCTCCAACACCTCGCGCCAGGAATTTCTTGTTCCCATATGATGGCAAGGCAGGCTGTGGGACAGGACGATGGTCTAACTCTGAACCATAAATCCCGGAACCATGAAAGGCTGAGAACAATCGGTGTTGATATTCTCTCATCATTCCTGTTCGTAGCGGGCTTCGTGCTTTTTTACCATTCAGAAACAATGCAACCAACTGAGCGTGATTGCACAGTCCGAATGTCAGCATGGTGTGGGTGCCCCTCTTCTCCTCCTGATTTACATATGGCTTCGAATCCCCTGAAGCCCTGCTGACATCTGTAGCACCGGCTTTGACGGCCATACAATATAACTGGCTCACGTATCAGAATGATTTTTCAACTAAATCAGAGTATCGTGGAACGCCAACCCCGGAACTGGAGAGTATGTGGGAAAGTCTTTACCAATGTGAGTCTTCTTTAAGTGACATGAAGGAAGTATACCTTAATAACAAGTAAATGAATAATAGTCGACTATTTTACTGTCCCAGACTCTCATTTAGTCGATCTAAAGCAGCCGGCGGATAGAGAGTGGGCTAGGTCGCCCGATGATTCTACCCGGATCATTGCGAACTTGGAAGTGTATCATCAGTTGGAGTGTCTGGTAATAATATTGATTGCGAGCCTGTTCATGGAATAATCCTAGCTAATATCCAATGTTAACAGAATACCCTAAGGCAGCACACGTACCGACAAACCTACAACTATACGGGATTTCCAGCATTTGCAGGCACTGAGGCCCAGATCATGACAAGACTTGACCAGTGCATCGAAGTACTGCGCACGACATTGATGTGTGCTGCGGACGCAACCCCATACCTTATCAAAATGGCCCCTGATCGTCCTCTTGGTGAAGGACCAGATTTCAACACGCTGCACCAGTGTCGAGACTTTTCGAAAGTGACAGAGTGGAGTAGGAAGAATGGCTTGAAGTCGCTGATAAGGGGTGACACAATGGTCTATTGAGATGATTCCTGGGACCCTCTTGATAATAGTGGGAATTTCTGTTAATATGTACAAGTTGCTAATTGGTTATCCGAGCTAGAAGTATCTAGGTGCCGGCTAATAGAAGAGGCGGCAGTATTATGAAAATATATACTGAGGGGTTCATTTAGTACAAATTGATATCGTGACATGAGTTGTACAATGAATTCTCCAGATCAGATCTTCATCATTCTCTTGTTGCTCTCCTAAGAATAGCGTGATAGAACATTCATTTTCCAGCTGTCATGAAAACTGTATTGTCTTTGACCCAGTCGACCATGGCTCCGTATTTGCGACACTTCCTGACAATATTATGATTTCCCCTCAATTGACCTGGTGTGCGCGGATCCTGTTCCATCAGAAAAGGTGTCACGTCACTTAGACACATGATGTTCATTCGAATGGTTTCAATGCAATGGTCGACATGGTGTCTCACGGTCTTGTTCCCACCCGAAAATGAAGCAACCTTCGAATAATCCCAGTCATGACGATAGATGTACTGTCGAACAAGATTCTGTTCCTCGATATTAGCATGGTCCCAATAGAGGGAAATGGCCTCTTGTGAAGAGCACTTACTACGCAATGAATTTGGTGAAACGCCTCAAGCAGTGCAGCAACTCCTGATCCATCCACTGTACGGAATTGTCCATCCAGGGATGATTTGTTGAGCGATGTGAGGGCTTCAATCGGTACAGTGAAAGCGCCGTCTATAGATGTTAGGGATGTCATGAGTTCTTGTTTATCGTACTATATTGCGACAGAATTCGCGAATTACGCCAGAAGCTGGACAGGTGCCCAGGGAGATCACTCACAATTCCAAAGTACATCCCATTCTCTTTCAAGCTCTGCGGTTGGTTTCCCAGTGTACAACTCTGGATTCAAATTGTGTTCGCTGTGCGTCCATTCATACTCAATGACATTCGATAAGGGTGCTGTGACAACCAGAAATGGTGAGGATCCCATTGAATAAATATACTGCAACTGACAGACGAAGACCAAGGTATGAGGTGAGGTTTCACTCACTGTAGGCATGCATTAAATTCGTACATTGGTGGTCGGAGCCCAGTAGGTGAATTCTTGAGATATAGAATACCCCACCGATCGCAAAAAAGAAAGCTGATACTGCAAAGCATAAGGACCTGATGCTTATATGGGATAATTTCCGCTCGGGTTTCGATGCCTCACTGTTTCCCGAGAGAAACGGAGTGAGAACTTCAGAAGTTGCTCCCTCTTCCAGGCCATCAGTAATCTTGTTGGCTGCTGTGCGGTAAAATGTGGACAGAAACTTCACGCCCTCCCACATCCTTGGAACGTCTTGGATGCCAATTGTTGTCAGGAACAATCACTCTCAACGGTCGCCGGTTTGGGATTCAGACAGGCTTAACTATCGAACAAATAGTATCATCTTCGATCCTTTCCTCTAAGCAGGGCGTTTATACCTAGCCATGCTCGTCATTTAATTCGAGCGGTAAGACGTAAGAGACCGCCAATACCTTTCCCTAAAGAGTCCTTTTCTCATGCGTAAGGGCCCACGACAAAGACTGGCAGTTGAAGGGACCGGTATTTCCGCGCATTCAATTGTACAGCAAATTACTGAACTATCCCTGGGCGGTGCGAACTAAGCAGATTAGGAAGTGCACGCAATATTCGGCTAGTATTAGGAAAAGGAAACCTAGCGCTGATAGCTTGACCGAAGCCAATAATAGGCCCGATCCACAAGCCTCGCGGGCTGAATGCAACCTCATCCTTGGATGAGTCGTCATACAGCTGCGTAGTTTTGTTAACCCAAGTAAACGAGAATTATTAGTTCCGTATTATAGAGATCGCCACCCATTATGCCCTTCCCCCCTTGGTGGACGGTTCCTACTTCAAATCAATCAATCCTTCCAACCCGTCAACCCACACCGATACATGCGGCCGAATTAGCGCCAAAATGATGTTTTCCCGCACCCCAACCGGACAGGGACTCAGCCATGCCCATATTGTCCACGAAGACCGCGTCGGACTGCTTAGTCGATTGACATTTCAGTGGATCTTTCCATTACTATCTGTATGTCTTGCTCTAGGAGAAACCCCTTGCCATTATATTCTTGCTCAGGTAGTAGTAAAAATTGACTTTAATGTTGATTCATAGATTGGATACCTCAGACCGTTAACTGCAGACGATACCCGGAACCTGAATCCAAATCGCGCCGTAAACGTGCATCAGAATGCCATTTCCCGAGCATTTCGAGGGTCTCTGGATAGTCAGAGACAATTCCCTCTTCTCCGAGCTCTACAAAAAACGTTCAGATATGAGTTTTTCCTCGCGGGATTTGCGATGCTGCTCGCAAATGTTCTCCAAGTGACAGCCCCTTTGATACTGAGATGCCTTCTAATTAGCCTATCGGACGAGTCGTCATCCAAAAGAACATCCCTTATGTATGTATCATGGCTCTTTATCACGCAGATGGGGATGAGCTTTGCTCTTGTGCACTACCATTATCTAGGACAGGTAGTTGGTAGTGAAGTGAAAGCTGTTCTCACGGCATTGATCTTTGAAAAGACATTGAGACTCTCTACTACAGAAAGTAGCGAATGGGTCGATGGAAAAATATCAAACCTGATCACTGTCGATTCGCAACGTATTGAGAGCGCCATACTCTATGCGAACATGATATGGAGTGAACCAGTTGCTGTGATTATGGCCTTGGTGATACTGTTCTATAACCTGACATGGAGTGCATTGGGTGGTCTCATCCTGCTTGTGACAGGCGCAAAAGGACTTGACCTCAGCATGGGCTGGTTGATATCTGGACGTGTTGCAGTCAATGCTGAACTAGACAAGAGAACAACTAGTCTTCGCGAGGCATTGCAAAACATGAAATTCGTCAAGCTTCATGCCTGGGAGTCATACTTTCTCTCTCGGATTTCCGATTCCAGGGCGAACGAGGTTCACCACCAACACACGCTATTGAATATCAGGAGCATGATCATGAGCCTGTCCATGTCACTTCCTTCGTATGCGGCAATGTCGTCCTTCATCATTTTTATGACAGTTCATGGCAATCTGACCGCTGCACAAGCATTTTCTTCGCTAGCGCTTTTCAATTGTCTTCGCAAGCCTCTCAACATTTTGCCCATGGTGCTTAGCCAGCTAATCGATGCTTGGATATCCGTAAAGCGGATTGAAACCTTTCTAAGCCTCAATGACCAAGAAGAGACAATCATCTGGGACTTAGATGCCGTTGATGCCGTCGAAATAACAGACGGTTGTTTCTCTTGGGATTCTGCCGCCAGGAATGAGGTTTCAGAAGACTGTTCCTTTCCTATAACTGAGGAGGAGGACAATATGGAGAGCGACAACTTACTCTGCGTGGGCACAGAGCCTAACACGCCTAGCAACAGCGATACTCCTTTCACCTTATCGGAAATTAACCTGCACATTAAGCCCGGAGAGTTGGTCGCAGTCGCAGGACCTGTAGGCGCTGGGAAGAGTGCTCTTCTTTCTGCAATTGCGGACCAAATAACCCAGATCCGAGGCCGTTTAGTGCTCAGTTCAAGACCATCATTTTGTTCCCAGATACCGTGGATTGAAAGTGGGACAGTCCGGGAGAACATCATTTTTGGCAAAGATTTCCGTCAACAGTGGTATGAACAAGTGATTGAAGCATGCGCCTTGAAACCGGATCTTGAAACATGGAAGCAGGGCGACGTGACTTCTATTGGGGAGAAGGGGATCACGTTGTCGGGTGGACAGAAACAGCGAATAAGTCTGGCGCGGACCATTTATGCAGACACGGATCTAATACTCTTGGATGATCCTTTATCAGCTGTGGACGGAGACGTTGGTCAACAGATCTTCAAAAAGGCGATTCGTGGTCTGTTGCGAGGGAAAACGTGTATTCTGGTGACGCACAGCGAACGCGTACTCGGCCAATGTGATCGTGTTCTGTGGCTGGAAAAAGGCCACATCATCTCTTCCAAGAGTTCATATCATTCTCGGCCAAACAGTGACCTGGTCCTGCGGACAGTTCACATGCCTGAGAGTTACGCACCAAATAGCTCGGACGCAGCAACCGGTTTCAGACACACCAGCAGCCCCCAGGAAACGTTGAAGAATGCCGAGGATCAAAGTAAGAAATGTTCTTCCTCCAAATTCGCGTGAGTACTAATAGAGCTTGCTTGAAGACCAGGTAATAGACACCGAGTCTCAAAGAACGGGTAGTGTGCAGAGGTCTGTTTATAGAACATACCTATCCGCCTCCGGATCGATATTGCACTGGCCGATCTTGTTTTGCCTCTTGATCATCTCACAAGTGGCAGGGATCTTCACTGGCGTTTGGTTATCATGGTGGGTGGATGGCATCTTTCGGCTTAGCCATCTCAGCTATGCAGGAATCTATGTTCTCCTTGGGTTCATTCAGAGCACGCTTCTGTGGGCATACCTAAGTCAGGCTGCAGTAGTCGGCTTACGGGCCAGTGGCAACCTTTTTCAGTCCGTTCTTCGCCGTGTCCTTTATGCATCGATGTCATTTCATACTGCCAACCCATCCGGACGCTTGATGAACTTGTTCTCTCATGATGTTAGCCAGCTGGATAACGGTGTCAGCGACACAATTCGGGCCTTTATCATGCTGGTTGGCACTGCATTCTCAACATTCTTACTGATCTCGGTCCATTTCCCAGCTGTAAGTGGAAATTGATTAATATTCCTGTTTCCTGCGACATGAACTGATTGCTTTCTTGTTCAGTTTGTTACCTCGTTTCCGGCGATTGCTCTAGTTTTATACTACACATCTCGCTACTATTGTGCTTCCAGGCAGGAGCTAAAACGCCAAGAGACTGTCTCGCGCTCTAATATTGCAGCAAAGGTTACCGAATGTATTGCTGGGCGACACACAATCCGAAGCTTTGGCGTCCAAGAGGTGTTCCAGAGGAGATTAAACGTTGCTATTGACAAGGCGAATAACGCTTCATACCTGATGTCAGCCAGCCAACAATGGTTGAATTTACGGCTGGATACACTAGGCAATATCCTGATTGTTATTGTCGGGATCTTGATTGTTATTTCTAGCAGCCCTATTTCACCTAGTGTGTCTGGGTTGATAATGACCTACGCCCTGGCTGTAGTCCAAATAATTCCTGCCGTGGTATCACAGGGCGCCGAATTGGAAAGTTCTCTAGTCACGGTCGAAAGAATGATTTTCTATGGCACAGAGACTCCAGTCGAGACATCCGAGTCAGCTGTCATGCCATCATCAACTTGGCCAGCAACGGGAAGTATAACCATGAGAAACGTTTGCCTACGATATCGCAGTGGCCTACCTCAGGCATTGCGTAATGTGAGTCTCAAAATACATGGCGGAGAGAAGATTGGAATCATCGGTCGCACAGGGGCAGGCAAGTCGTCGATTATATCTGTCCTGTTCCGACTTTTCCCCCTGGAACACGGATCTGTCTTTATTGACGATATGGATGTCGCAGAGGTGGACCTTCATTGCTTGAGGTCGAGACTTTCCATCATCCCCCAGGATCCTACCCTTCTCCGAGGCACGGTGCGATCAAACCTAGACCCGGCCGGAGAATACGAGGACCATGTGCTGTACGAGGCACTTCGCAAAGCATCCTTATACCCACAGTTAGCTCTTGACCGAGAGATACACTCAGATGGTAGTAATTTCTCTCTAGGGGAAAGGCAGCTGCTCGCGTTGGCACGGTCTCTCGTGCGAAACCCTGCCATTCTCATCTGTGACGAAGCTACATCTTCTATCGACCAAGACACCGACCGAAAAGTGCAGCAGTCGCTTCTAGAAGCCTTTCGCAAGCGAACAGTGATCTGCATTGCGCATAGGCTTCGAACAGTCATACGTTATGACCGAATTTGTATTATAGACCAGGGCAGCATTGTTGATTTCCGGAGTCCGCTTGATTTGTTCGACACGAATGCTGGATTTCGCGAGATGTGCGGGCTTAATCAAATCACCCGGGCAGACATTGTTTAGTATTGCCAGCAGTGTATAATCTAGCTTCAATATTTTCGGTCTATTTAGTATCTTAGCGTAAAACTCGGATTCGTTGTCTAGAGCCGATAGAAATGGAAGATACACTAATGAAATTGTGCGTAATAAATGAGTAAATTCGGACTAGAAGCGTCAGGCGCGGGGCCATTCGGACCGAAATATAAAAGAGACAACCTGGGAGTCGCTTTCACTGTCGTCTTGTTTCTTCTCTTCATTCAAGCACCCACCACTCCGTTAATTTCCACTTTATCAACTCGTTTGCTGTCTCATACAATGGAATCCCAAAGCCTCTTGCGGGAGATAGAAAGCTTCCCTCTTGAATATCACAATACTCAGAGACGTCCCCTCGACGAGACTATCCCTGGCTTGAAGCACCGCGTGGTTCGACGAACTTGCAAGTTTTGTGAGAAAGTTTGGTTAGGACTTATTCCCAGCTTCCTATCCCGCACGACCAAAGTCGGAGACCGAAGCAGCAACAATACAGCCTTCTTGGACGGGCTTCGCGGCCTCTTCGCCATTGCAGTAGTGAACCAACATATCTTCGGTTCATTCGAGAAGTCGACCTATTATGGATTTGGGCTTTCCGCACATGAATCAGCACAATGTTCTTACCGGCACGAGGAGATTCCATTCTCCCATGGGTTTTTTCAACTGCCAATTATTCGCCTTACACATGCCGGGGACGCAGGTGTCTGTGTTTTCTTTGTTCTCTCTGGGTTCGTGCTCTCATTTCGCGCATTGGGCGAGGCGCATCGCCAAAATTGGCAGAAGATGTTGAGTACCCTAAGCTCATCCACTTTCCGCAGAGGGCTCCGGCTCTTCCTGCCTTTGCTGGCTTCAACGGCGTTTACCATGATTACTTTACAACTTGGCCTTTGGGAATCTTCTCATTCAATCGTTTATAATCGCGCGATCATGACAGGGGTGCCAGAACGCCAACCTGACAGAATGAGTTCGTTTGGTGCTCAACTGAAACACTGGCTGCTCTCGTGGTCGCATCTGACGAATATATGGTCCTGGGAGGAATACATCTCACCGTACGATGTCCATCTGTGGACCATTCCTTCTGAATTCCGGGCTTCGATGCTACTTTATCTCGTTTTATTATCAACGGGTCGCCTCTTGCCTGTAGTCCGAGATCTTCTGCTTGCATCATTTGTCATTTATGCCTATTGCTGGGGTCGATGGGATGTTTGCCTGTTCTTAAGCGGTGCGCTTCTAGCAGACACGGTACATACCAGAAATACGGAGAGTATCCCAGAACGGCAGTCCGAAGCAATCAAAAAACCCTGGAAAGAGAGATCAAAACTCGCCCTCCAGCTGGCCTTGATTACGTGTTCGCTGTTCCTGCTGTCCAGTCCCACATTTTGTTTCGATTACACTCCGGGCTACCGATTGCTGGCCCAGCTTATCCCATCGTTCGACCGCCAGCCGTATCGGTTCTTTCCGGGTCTGGGAGCTATTTTTCTAGTTGGGGTGTTGGTGCACACAAAGATTGAGCTTCCGTTCAGGCTCCGTCTTCTCACGACTCCTTTCGTGCAATACTTGGGTCGCATCAGCTACAGTATCTATATATTGCACGGTCCTCTATTACACCTAGTTGGCTACCCACTATTCCCAGCTTTGTGGGAGATTACAGGAAAAGACGAAATGTGGAGGTATGTCTTAGGTTTTATCGCGGGATGGATGATGTTTTTCCTTCTGCTAGTTTGGGTTTCTGATTTCTTCTGTCGATGGATTGACGAGGAGAGTGTGCGATTCTCAAAATGGGTTGAATCCAAACTGCTGGCGTAATAATAAAACCTCCATAGCATTCAACTGTACACATCAGATAATATGTATTTCAAGCTTCCGCCGCATGATAGAAGCAATCAATGTCAAATTCGAGCCTTTGTCTTCTAAGCCTCAAGACAGATGCACCCAGGACAAACCTAAGATAAAAGCAAAATTTGAAATCTACCGAGAATCATGTCGCAAAACACTCCGACGCGTCCCCATGATCAGAATGCGTTGTTCGTTGTATTGTGAATTGCCCGTCCTCAGATGGCACTACATGCCGATGCGAATGGTATTCACCAATATCGCGATCGAAAGCCCAGTCTTTAATCTTGTCAAAACTTCGGCATGTGTGCAGATTGTCGACTCGAGGTCTAGATGCATTGGATTGTTTGCTCCACTCGAAAAACACCACGCTTGTGTCTGCGGCACACATGAGTGCTTGGCGAATTTGGTCCAGGCAATGGTCTGTGTAGCAATATTAACACAAGCCGAAGGTTCCTATTCCCGACCATATTCTCCAGAAAGTTGAGCTTACCGTAATGTAGCCATTGACAATAGTCCAACGTACCGTTGGGGTGATACATTCCTCGACCGTATCTTTTCGGATACCATGATTGACGGATGACATCCTTTGGTTTCTATTAGCTTCACATTCTAAATGATCCAAGACAGGTGGATAGCATTGTAAAGAGCTCTACTATACCAGACAGTGGAGTTGATGAAATACATCGAGCACGACCATAAACTCGTTTTCTCGCCCGGGAACAGGAACCCTTAGCGTTTTCTCTGGAAGAAGACTGGCCTCCTCCGCAGTTACATAGGTGTTCAATCCACCTAATGATGCCAGGCGTAACATCAGACACCCGAAGCGGTTACCATAGAGGTTACATGGAGACTTACGGACATAGCTATTTTTCCATAGCTGGTCAATCTCATCCGAAGGCCATCCCTGATACGGGGATTTGTCGTCACCACGGCTGCGATAAAAGCGCCTTGTCTCGAATTCGATTTCACGCTCAACCGGTGCTAATGGGGGTCAAGTCTCAGTCATGAACAGTCACTTTGAGTAGTGAGTTACAATCACACAGACGCACTCACAGTATAATCGTTGCATCGGATCTTTGCTCGTCGTGCGAATCGTCAGGTCCCAAATCAGGACCACAAGCAAGACCGCACTTATCGCCCATGGAAGTACCAACCATATCAAGCTTCGGATACGATGACCGAAGCTCCTACCGTACGGTGCGCGTTGGTCCTTTGTAGCACGTTCATCATCAGCAAATGTCTGGCTTTTTGCAATTAGGCCTGCCTCCTCAGTAATCCTTTCCTGCTCAAGGGAGTGCATGGTAGAGAGCCGTGCACTATGAATGGGGACTGGACGGAAGGACGCAAGGTAATGCAAGAGATGTAATGTAGAGTCAATCACGTAATTTTGTTCTGGCAACTGTTAACGCCACTGGGTACACATGTCAAATCTACTGCCCGTGGCATACACAAGCATTCAACTGTCTAGACCCACACTTGATGCGAACTTGGATATGTTACATGACATTACGCAAGGATGCACGGAACTGAAAAACGATCTAATACAGCCCGGATACCGACGGTAATACCGGGACCAACCTGGAATTTGGCATTACGGAACCCCCGTTGGATCCAACGACGGGAACACTCACCGGAAGGCGCCGCGGGAGATAAGCACTAACTATGGTGGATCCGCCAAGGGGAATTCCAAGATAAGCACGGTTCCACTAGCCATGCAATCATAGATGAGGCTACAATGCGGCCGGGGCAGAATGGCCCCAAATGACGCGATTTATAGCAAGCCCGACATAATATGATATGATCCCTGTCGTGCTTGATTGGTTTTGGCTGTCGATCTCCCCGCAGAGACCCTGCGGGGGCTAAAACGCATAGCCGGAGTCCGGAGCGCGGGCCAAGCAGACAAGCGTCGGTTCTGGGGTGGATTGAGCGATTCGGCCGGAGGAAGGATGCGATAGTACGTGTGCAATATCAGATGGGGGAGTTGTCCTCCGTAGCGTGCTTGAATTGATGAATGTCTCAAAGACTGCTGACTAGCTGTGTCTACTGTTGATCTCATTTGCAGACTAACTAGAGCAGGTAGGTGAGGCTATAGAGGCAGGTCCAACATACAACATCACTGTGTGATAACCACCATACCTATGTCCACGATTACTACGGTGTGTGAAACGTATGTGATAGCCCACCATGGCTAGTTAGCCAGTTCACATAGGTATCATTACTGTCGTGCATCTTCCGGTTGCTGTTTATTTGACTTCTTCATGACTCTATGAATATGAATATGTGTCCAAAGCAAGATTTCTTTCAATTCAACATACTGCAACCTAGAGTAACTAGATTTAACCTAATGAGTGGATGAGCGGGCCATCCGGTTGCTCGTGTACATCGTGGATCAGAAAGCAACAAAAGCAACAAAAGTTAAACGACCATCTCTCTCAACCCTCCAAAAACAACTCGTTGTGGAAGTCTAGTCCTCGACTAAATTTGACAGACCTTCCTACTCGAAGATTAGAACAGAAGGTAACTCCCAGGGGTATTCTGGTTGTATCACCTACCGCTGAAAGTTCGGATAAGTCCGTGTTGACCAGATAGATCTAGTTCTCGCTGTCGTCGCGCTTCTCGACGTCATCATATTCGCCGTAGTTCTGAGTCCAGGGAATAGCACAACGGGCTGCGATCTTCGCAGCATCCTCGGTCCCGGCTTGATCGGGGGAGAGGGCCAGACCACAACGGGCTTTGAGATCGTCGGATCGTTTGTAGTCGCCGGTCTTAACGGCCTCGTCGACCACGGCAACTCCGGATTGATCGGGAGTGGGTAGGGCCAGAGCAGAACTGGTGAGGACGAGCAAAGACAAGACAGAGAAGGACTTCATGTTTGCGGGTGCGTTTCGTCGTAGTTGATGAATAGAGATGAGAGAGGAGATGAATGAGGATTTTGACTTTGGTCGAGTGAGAAACTTTGGAGGATGTTCTGGCTTTATATATACAGGTCTGGCAGTCCGGCCTTCATCCACAGCGGCCAGGATGCTGGCTCTACGTATGCTCTGATTTGTAAGGAGCTATTGAGGCCAATCTAGAATACAAGGAAGACACGATACGTCTGCTAGGTGCATATTGGTCTAACTAGCCATGTAATTTACAGAAGGTAGTAGATGCAATACCTCTCTGACTGTGAACTGGTGATATCAAACTCCGGGGCCATCTTTGCTTCGAGAGCCCGTGACAGGATAGGATTTGAAACTTTCACCAGAGTAATTGAATCGTCATTTTTTAGATGATATGTATTAAAATACCATTCTCATAGAGCCATTTTGATTCATATATTATTCATTTCTAATTCGCGCATAAACCTGCCGTGTTGCAGGTAACAGACCCACGCTGTCTACGCCTTATGATTCATTGTTAAGATAGACAGAAATGCCTCAGTTTCAGTCAATAAGCACTAGATATTCCTTTATTCAATCCTGCGAGCTAATTGCAGGTTATCTTGAACTAGGTCTTGACGTAACATGCTAGCGGATGGTCTGTTCGGGATGAACCGCCTGCGCTTTGCGATATGAGGCGCAGTTTTCCGAAGGATTCTGTTAAAAAGCTCAGGTGCAAAGAGTCAAAAAATCTAGGCCTGGCACGTCATCTCAATAGACCCATTCCTGTTGATACATACGGTGTTGATACGGCCATGCAATGTTAATATTTTCGGTCTGGTGGAACACGGCAGCGGAATATAGTCTGCTCTTTCTCATTCAGTCAAGGTGGGGTCTAATCATTAGAAATCCAACGGGGTGGCCGATTTTCCTTCCATTACAGAGCTCAAGGCTTCCTCATCTGATCTTTGCTCTGTCGTTTCTTGGAGCAATTTCGACAAGTCCTCTATCCTAATTCTGTGTAAGCATGGTGGAAAGTCGTCGGGGATTTACTCAGGTCCCAAGTGATGCTCCGTCAGAAGGCTCGGAGGCAGCCTATGATCATGAGGGTCCAGACGTTGGAAGACCGGTCTTCAAACAGCGTGTCTGGCCTTGGATAATATCAACGTGTCTCTTTGCACTTCTGTTCTGCGCTTCTGTTTTGTATCAAGCAATGACCCCGGCCTCTGATACATATGAGACGGGCTTTGAAACTGAACTCGGTATGTCATTTATTTTGCCTTTATAGGGGTCTTTGCTAATGGAAACGCAGAACCCTCTCGAAAAGCAATGAGTTTGAAAAGGATACAGTTCTACGGAGGTATACTCGTTAATGAGTCAGGAGAATTTGATCTTAACCTGAACCTCAACGGTCCCCGGTATACTGGCCATCCAACTAGAGAGTTGGACGCTGCATGGGACGAACTTGTAGGTGAGTATGATTCCTAAGGCTTCTAATACATCTGATATTTAAACTCGGATAATAGGGAACTACGTTACCTTGAATGATCAGGAAGCTGCCCGGATCAACGGTGAAATTTCGAAAGAAAATGGCCACTTTTTCGTTGTGTATGTAAATGATGGACCCCCGAATGATAGGGTCGAGGTACTGATTCTTCCCAGTCCTCATGTCCAACACAGCCTTCATTGCGTGGTTAGTTTCCTGACATCAGATCTATGTCTTATCCAGCATCGCACATAGATCACTAATCAATAGAAACAGAACTATTTGAGAAAAGCCCTATATCCCAAATTCTACCCGACTATCCACGAAGTTAAGGAAACAGTTCCGAATTACTGGACTCATATCGGTATGTCTTATCCTCCCTCCCAGCACCCTTGTATTTGCCTTTACTTCTTCAAATAAATTCTCACTAATAACTGGCTAGACCACTGCATTGAGACCCTGAGAGAGACAATTCAATGTAATATGGACATGACGCCTGTGCCACACGTCTGGTTTGAAAAGAAGAATATGTACATCGCGAACACACAACTGGTGCATACCTGTAGAGACTTTGAAGCGCTGCAGAGATGGGAGAAGGACTGGGAGGAACAAGTGAAACAGCGAAATAATGCTTGAGAGCAAGTGTCTAGTTTTTAGTGTGCCCTGCAATAAGATAGGTCTTCGTAAGGCTCTATATATATATATATAAATTGGTTACCAATCCAAGTCACCAGACACAAGAAAACAACATGTATTCACCGAGCAGAACCAGGCATCGGAAGAGGCACTATTACAATAATTGTGCGACTGCCAGCGTTTAACCCATCATGATATATACCCTACAGGAGACTGAGCAATGTGTCCTGTTAAGAAGCTGATCAAAGCTTAGGTGCATTAAAAGTATTGTAGTCAAATGTCTTACAAGTGGCTTCACTCAAATTAAATCTCGATAACTTGATGGTTATGGATATTCTTGTAACCCCACTATCTCCGTAGGTTTCTCAAAGTCTAGAGTAGATGCAAAAGAATGTTCCTCAGCCCAGCCCATAACTTCCTTGAAGTCATGGCACTGATGATGACTATTAAAATTAGCCACTGGCGATCGCACACGCTGAACCCAGTTGTATGTGACAAGGTTTGAGTCTGCATCGCTGCATACATTTGAATATTAGCATATGCCTGACAGATACATTTTATCATTCGGACTTGACTTACCACATGATTTTCTGGCGAAGGATGTCAATGCAATGGTCTGTCGACCCTTAGGATATGGATCTAAGTGGCAGGGGAAGAGACTTCACATACCGACGCGTTCCTGTTCGTGCGCAAGGTTATGCTCACGACTCTTTTGAAGGTCCTCAAAATGATTCAAATAGTTCAGCTTTACCAGATTATACTAGAACATCATTAGCACTAGGCAAGACAAGGCAAGACAAGGCAAGACAATTAATTATTGTCATGACCTCTAGTCATAGAATGGGACAGGTATAGTTCTGACTTACAAGACAATTCAGCTGATGGGTAACCTCTAGCGTTGCCATATATTTACTTTCAGATCTATCTCCTATCACGCTTGGAATCTGGACACTAGAATCAGGGTACTGGGGCTTGGAGCGCTCCCATGTATCCTTCTCCACGGCAAGGACCCCAGCTACAAACAATCATCAGCTTTTCTGTTATTACGGGATGTTCCGATCATAAATAGAACTGGCGAAAAAAGGGATAGATGTTATACTAACGTCGCAAGATGCCCCCCCAGGCGGCAGCTGTCTCTAAGTTCGGGGGCCCCTTGAATGAATTGTTAACATTGAAGGTCCCAGTAAATCGCACATCTAGTAGTCGACGACTGGGCCCGATGGGGCCTTTACCATGGAGACCTAGTCAGTATCAAAATATTCTAAACATATAATAGACATCTATATCGTACCTTCCTGTGCATTGATGGAAGAATCAGTGAGCCCGTAACGGGGCAGAAGCAAGGCAACCAGAACTCCCGTGGCCACTGAAATGCCAAACAAAAGCGCGTGCAGAATCCACGGAAAAGTAGGTTTTGTGGTCGGTGAAGATGATCGCGGGCTTGAGGCACCAGTTTCTGTATCCTCAAAGTGAAGACGCCGGTATGTACCGACGACCATGGTTGTGACAAAAAGCAAAAAGCTGTATACTGGATTCAGCGAGTCAGAGACAGAAGCAGAAGGTAATCAGAACATGCTATTCAGACAAGGCCTCTAACACGTATGACATACCTGTTGGTTGACGTAGAAAGTTCGTATTTTTATTCAAAGATTTAGCAGCATCAACAGACAGGGACAAGTTTAGAACAGATTAGCTAATTACTACCGAGGAGATACTCCCCTTCTACCTGTTAGTATGATAGCTGTGTGGGCCTTGGAGTGCTCCTATCTACTCTGACGCGCTACTCAACACTTTCTTAGCACGGTATTTTGAAGACCTGAATCATCATAACAACACATTCCACCTTTGATAACTCAATGTAGTTATGCATAACCTACAAGCACGAAAGATAAGTAGGAGAAATTGGAGAACTAGGAGAAGTAAGAGATGTATGAAACAGTCGGCACCGCCCGCCAAGACAGCCCATCTGGCCACCAAAACGGGCAGGTATTTTCGAAAACTGCCCAAGAAATTAAGTGCAGGAATATATACATCCTTTACCACTAAATATGTAATACATTATACGATATACTGATACATTACCTGTAATAAATATCTTGGCGGCTGCCAGGCGGGTGTATCCGCCAGCGTAACCACTATATTCTTACACTATGAGGAGTAGCGGGGACTAGAGAAACTGGGAGAAGTAGGAGAAACTAAAGTGTCCCGGGAGAATGCACGAAGCTACTAATCGGTGGAGGCAAAACCTGGCAGCTTGGCCCCCAAAACAGTACAAGGAGTGGTCAAACAAGGGTTTGATTCCATGTCGGCGGCACTTGGTGGGGATCGGCACTTCCTTCGTGGCCGTCCCTCATATACAATTACACCACAGATCTACGCAGTAATGTACATTAGCTTGGGACCTTGCCGAAATCAAAAGCCATTTCGGTGTATACGAGACTAGTAATTTTAACTGCGTATTTTATGATACGGCGAAATGAAATTGGAATCTTCCCTCCATGTGGTGACATGTTGAAAATAACATGTGTGTTTTCGTATGTACGTACCTTATAAATAAATTACTTCAATGGGCGGAGCGGAACCCAACTACTAGTATTGAGCCGATTTCATTTGGTGCGTGACAAGATATTAACACTTCGCCAGGGATTCTCAACAAACCGGACTGTGCCAGAAGGCAGCACATGGAAATCTGACGCGCCTCAATTGATATAAAGCAGATTAAGCAAAGCACCAGTCCATGTTCCGGAAAGGGAACTTCGAATAATGTTGTCCTGATGATGAGTAGTAGGACTAGATGCATTGTTGTAAATTTGGATAGCTTGTAGATGGTAACTCCTGATTTTCTGATTTATTCATAGAGTTGAGTAGCTAGGGTGAACTGCCTCGTCCTTATCTCATGGACAATTTGTCTCAAGAACCTCAACATCCTATCCTGATTTGGATAGCCCGTAGTATGTGATGAACAGATGAACAAATTTTGAATGATAACGCATCAAAAAGCATTTATTATAACAGTTCTAGGTCAGGATTTGTTGTTTGCGGTTTCATACACCAGTATTAATGAAAAGGTGTCATAGAAGATTCAAGTTTGCTTCCTAATCGAGCCACAAAGGGCAACTTAACTTGATTTATCTGAGCTTTCTTTGTGAATTTGAAAAGACATGCTTTAGTTATATAGGCGCGCATTGAGGAATTGCTGGGCTTGATTGTTTTAAGAAAATCGTTGCCAGGCATACCATGCGCTGTTTACGCGGCGCAAGCTGGAGGATATAATAGAGTTAAGAGTGAATGACTGGATATATATCCACGCCAATTCCGTCGCACGAATCATGGTTATCCTCTAGTCGTAACGACAGCATCCCAGCGGACACTTAAAGCCTGTACATGATGGCAACTCTGAAGTATGGGAGCATACACGTCTCTTTCTATCATCTCCAGCCAAAGAATAATTGTAAAATGTGACATTAAACCAAAAAAATTGATATGGGCAGAAAGTCACCGTAATGTTTAAAATGGACTAACAACTGTAGTTTGACGGTGAGTAGAAACGAAATAGATTGAAACCACAGTAGATGACACTTTGACATGCAAGAACCATCAATACTCGTCTACAACATTCCCAATCATATCGATGTGATTGATGCGGAACGAGTTCTTGCTGTATAGTAGATTAATTGCCTTAGAGTATCTGTCCTCTGAAAGTAATCTGGTTCATGAGGGTAATGGGTCCTCGCAAATTATATGACAGCTTTGAAGCAAGGGTATGGGACAAATCCAAAATATGGTAATTGCAAGTATAAGATAAAGAGCCATGAAAATTCGTATCTTTCATTGTATCTTAATTACTATGCAATGCCCAATGCCACATCTCAAGGCAAAACATAACCCCCATCAATGAGAACATCACTACCAGTCATATAGCTAGAAGCATCGCTAGAAAGATAAAGGTACAAGCCCTTGATCTCTTTAACATGTCCCTGCCGTCCCATAGGCGACATGCGATATGCCTCATTAATGCAAAGCGGACTAGCGCCCATCTTGGTGTCGAAGAAACCTGGCGAGACGATATTGACGCGCGCAAACTCACGCCATTCCCGAGCTAGTGACTTGCCGAAGTGGGTTACGTAGGCTTTCGAGCCATTGTAGACGGGCTGGTCGACGGGAACGTTGACGATGTGGCCGCTTATGCTGGAGGTGATGATGAGGTTGCCGAAGCCCTGGCGCTTGAATAACTCCCCGGCATACTTGGCGCAATAGACGATACCGTTTACTGTGGGGTTTAGTTTGGGTGTTAGATTGGAAGAAAAGATAGGGATGCGTACCGTTCACGGACATCTGCTGCTCATACTCGGGTAGAGTTTGCTCCAAGATGGGCTTGGAAATGGCCATGCCTTTGCTAGTATTAGCACATCTCATTTTAGCTTGGAGTCAAGTTTCTCTCACCTGCATTCGCAACGAAGACATCGATTCTGCCAAAGTCTTGCACGACCTTCTTGACTGTCTCTTCAACCTGCACTGACTCGGAAACTGTAGCATCAATGAGAACGGTTACCACCACTCGAGCCATAGAAGCATGGAAACATACCATCAACCTGGTAAGCTTGAGTCTTAACATTGTGTTTCTTCGCCAGCTCTTGCGACCTCTCAATGGCAGCCTTGTTTCTGTAACGAGAACATGTCAATTATGCTCCCTTCACTATCGTTGATTTTGCATCCACCTACGAGTTATACAAAAGGGCAACATTTCCACCTGCCTCAGAAATGGCCTCAACGACAGCGAGACCGATACCATCAGCAGCTCCAGTGATCGCGACGACCTTACCGGTCATGCTAAGCTGCTCGAAAACATTCGTAGCGGTGTTGGTGAAGGGGCGCGGGAATCCTTCGCGGACCTGTCCAGCATCTTGGATTGTCATCGACATATTGAATGTGCTGGTGGTCAAAGTGGCAAAAGCAAAATGAATTGTATTGGGTGATAAGTATGCTTTCACAGTATACGCATAATGGGCTCTTTATAGTGAACCCGACGTCGGAGCAGCATCGAGTGACCCGCTCAGTGTCGGTATTCTGTCACCCGAGGATATGCACGCCACTTTTGGATTAGATCCAGAGTATTAGGACTTCAGTTCGCGGGGTATGCCTTGGCTCATTCATAACCACAGAATAAAGCTTGGATACCGCGGGGTAATTTCCTCACCCGCTTTATCGGCGCTTTGTGCTCCATTGAGGCCATGCGTCGTACTCGGCCTAACCTCTCCGCTATCTGATGTCCAGAATCATTGACCTAACGCATGGAATAGCTGCTTAGACCCTTTGTTCTGCATCGTGAATAACGATACCTCATTTAAGAAGAACCATAGTGTTTATCGAGATATCTAAGATACTCTTAGTCGGAAGACAGAAGACCGACTCCTCAATTAAATATCATATCGAATCATCATATACCGCCGTTATCTGTGTCATTTTTTTTTTCGATCTTTCCCTCTTCATCATTATCCAGTAGCAATATGGGATCTGTTGACGACGTCTGCGGACGCGATGCCCTTACCTCTCGCGCCGTGCCCTCCATGATTCTCAGCGACGGCAGTGCCTCGTCCATGACCCCAGCCCCGTCTTCAACCATTCAGTCCGACGCCACTATCGGAGCCCAGAAGCGTTTCAACGTGCAAGGAAACGCCGTCATCACCGGCGGCACCGGAACACTGGGTCTCCACGCCTGCGATGCTCTGCTCGAGCACGGCCTCAACGGCCTCATGATCTTCGACATTAATCTCGACAACTGCCAAAAAGACATCGCGCAGATGCAAGCCAAATTCCCCAACGCCAAGGTCCACGCCCAAAAAGTCGACGTCACCGACGAGGTTGCCGTGCAAAAGGCAATGGAAGAGACGGTCCAGATCCTGGGCTCGATCGACTGCCTGGTCTGCTTCGTCGGAGTCGTTGGCTGCGTGGAAACACTGCAGATGCCTGTCTCTCAGTGGCGCAAGATCCTGGACATCAATACGACGGGGTCCTTCATCTGCGCGCAGGCGGCGGCTCGGGAAATGGTGAAGCAGGGAAATGCCGGGTCTATTACGTTCGTGGCGTCGATTTCGGCCCACCGTGTCAACTATCCGCAGCCGCAGGTGGCGTATAATGTTAGCAAGTCTGCGCTTCTGATGCTGAAGAGCTGCCTGGCGGCTGAGTGGGCTCGTTACGGTATTCGCACTAATAGTGTGAGCCCGGGATACATGGATACTATTCTCAACGAGGGCGATGGAATCGCAGAGCATCGCAGAATTTGGGCAGAGCGAAACCCCAGTGGGAGAATGGGGAGTCCGTCGGAGTTGACGGGCGCAATTGTACTGCTGGCAAGTACTGCAGGCACCTATATCAATGGTTCAGACATTGTGGTTGATGGCGGTGCCATCGTGTTCTAGAGGATCTACTATGTTGAGCTCATCGCTACGGGCGGACTACAAATAGACAGGTCCCAATGTGATATGATGTTTGATCCTTTTGCCTGTAACATCAAGAGTCTAGATAATTTCTCAACATCTTGTGAGACACACCTCTACGGGCGCAACGGAACCAGTCCTCCGACGCATCGGACGTCTGCGGTCCGATGAAGTCATCCCCGCGAATCGGTGGAGACCGGATCGTTGAACCGGATTTTGGCAAATCACTCGCTGCGTTGAGGTCTGATAAAACTCCTGTATAATCGGTTCACTTCGCTCCTGTCGGAGCACAGCTGATCTGACTTGTGAGCATCAAAATGCCTAAAGTGGGCCGGCCAAGCAAAGGCCCTCATGAGATCCGTGCGGTATTTAATGCTCCGATCCTGTTGTTTTGGCGCATTCACTGACAAGTATTAGTGCACGGAATGCAGGGTATGCGAGATTCCCAAGGAATGCATACTTGACCACTGACATAGTCGGCTTTATAGAAACGCAAGAGCAAGGTAAGACCAGCTGATCGATTGCTATAATATAGGGTCACTGACGTCCGACATAGTGCTCGGGGTCCTCTCCATGCAGTTACTGCTCTCGTACCCGCAAGATTTGTCAATATGGTTTGCCTCCATCGAGAACACCCCTGACGAGAAAGTAAGTGGTCGTCTGAACTATCGCTGCACTGTACTGACAGCTCGTAGGAATCTGGACGCCTCGGAGGCTCGCTGCTCAGCCTTGATTTCGCTCATCTCCAGCATTAAACCCGACATTGACATTGCAGCTGCACTAAACGGCCTCACAGGCAATTCAGAAAGACATTCTACCACATCCCTCGAGACCTCCAATGTCTTGGACTCAGACGTCGAGAACACGGCCTTATCGGATAGATATGAATGGCGGGAAACATCATTGACTACGCCACTCGAAGTCCAGAACCAGAAAAGTCCACTGGATGGAATGGCATCATTACCAACAGGAGATATGGAATCAGGCTATCTGGGTGAGTCCCTGGAATTAATACAGAAATGCATCGATTGACCTATTACAGGGGACAGCTCAGGCGTAACTCTTCTTCGGACGATCTCCGACTTGATCCCAGAAAACACAGGCTCGCGAGATACCCGGCAGGAAACCACGTCGCCAGCAAACAACCAAACGGGGAGTCCTGTCACATCAAGCTGTCTTGCAAATACAGCTACGTTAGAGAGCCTAGTCGATGGATACTTCATGTGGTATAATCCCTCATATCCTGTGCTGCACGAGAAGACATTCAGGGAAAAGTACCAACTGCGCCATCAAATCCCTCCTCGGTCAAGCTGGCATACGATATTCTTTCTCGTGCTCGCAATCGGCGATTGGATCTTGACAGATGGTTCGGAGGCAGAGCGATCCGGACACTACACTGCCGCTCGATCGCGTATGTCCATGCGCATGTTGGAGTCGGGCACGCTGTTGAATGTTCAGGCGTTTTTACTGATGGTAACTCATTTTGTCGGATGGCTATCTTCTACAATAGGCTGACATACCCAGGGAAACTATCTCCAGAAACGAGATCGACCAAACACGGGATACAACTTTATTGGAATTGCATATAGGATGGCAATTGGCCTGGGCCTTCATCGTGAACCGCCCAGAGGAGCGACACGAGATACTTTGTACAACGAACGACGAAGGGTTATATGGTGGATTGTATATTGCTTCGATAGTGGCTTCAGCCTGACGACGGGGAGACCATTAAGCATCTCTGACTCATTTATTGAGACACGTCTGCCACGAAATATCGACGATTCTGTATGCCAGATGACCTACCCACACGATCGCATCGCTAACATCATGCAGGCCTACACCTTGGCGTCGAATCTCCCTCCCCCGATAGAACAGCCTACGATATACTCAGCCATTATCGCGCAAGCACGACTAGCGTCGATCGGAAATGCTGTGTTTAGCAAATTGATCTCCTCAACCGACAAAAGCTCCTGGGACCTCAAAACCTCCCGAACTATCGACTACCAGTTCAAAGCCTGGAAGCTATCCCTTCCCGCATACTTCACAGCATCCGATGTCCCCAACTGGTTTCGTGGACCCCGAGCAATGGTCCTATGGAAAGAGCAGAACCTACGAATGATGCTATGGTGGGGAAGCCAACGCAAATGCACTAATTTGGACAGAGAAGAAGCGCAAAACATGTGCCACTTCACGGCGGTCGAAACGATCCAAGAAATCACCGGCTTCATCTCCAGCCATACCCAGACTACCCACACCGGTCTCAGCTGGTACGCGACATACTTTCTCTTCCAGGCAACGGTAGTTCTCAGCATCTACCATCTTCGACCCACGCAGCCGCTGGATACTGGTTTGGTGGAAGTCACGCAAGAGCTGTGGCTTTCATCCATCTCGAGATCTCGCGACTGTTTGGCTTCGTTGAGCACTCGTAACAAAGCTGCAATGCGGTGTCTGCAGGTCCTGGATAGGATAAGGGATAGATCACTGTCGTCGCAGACGATCTCCCCGTCTCAACCGAATTATCAAAGCGATTCTGTGCAAATGGAACCCATGTCTCATAACCCAGAGGAGCATGCCGTGCCGCTGGCAGTTGATCCTACGCTGCAGATATTCTTTGAAGATTCGACGTGGGATAATGATATATTTGAAGGGCTGAATGGATTTCCTAGCACCGGAGAGATTGGCGCGTTTGATTATATGACGATCAACAATGATGCTAGAACGGACATATAAATTTTTCGAGCGGACAAAGATTTTGCCTCCTTTCTTTGAATATAATTGAAAACGGGAATAACCTTCCAGATAAAGGGTCTTGTTATTATCCTGTTACCTATTGGCTTAAATCAAAGCGAAACATCCACGAGTAGCCAAAACACCACCAGCCCTAAACCTCCGACCTGTTCCATATTGATTGCACAGAAATAACCACCGAATAAAGCCATTGCCTAACGGGAAAGACCTTCCGCGGGGAAGCATAATTGCGCCGATTCAGTTGAGCATGTTGACTTCTAAATTAACACCACTCATGACTTCACCCCTGTCGCAGTAGTGGATACCAGACCGCTAAGATCCCAATCGGATGCCGTGACAATTAACACCCGAGGCCGGATGCCGGATGTCGTCGCATTGATCAACTTTCGCGCGCCTGTCCTGGTCTTCAGGATCCACCTGCCGATCTGCAATCGAGGTCCAGGCTCTCCATGTACTCACTCATTCCCCGCTGTGCAACTATTCAAGGTCATGTTGTGGGTTTCGGCCGAAATCAGACATTGTGACGAATGCTACTTTAGATGGCCTTGGCTAGCATGCGGAATACCTCTCCTGCCGAGATTTCAAGGGGAAAGCAAGAATATTCCCAGTTGTTGACGTTACCCCGCTGTGTTAGAGCGATGGATGCAAGAAACTTGGGGATAGGCGTTCATAAATCCCCCAGGCCTTGTAGATCGTCGTTCATATTGTACTAATGCTTCCCTTATGCGTGATTAATCTGTATAAAGGGACGAATACGGTGCTGCCGTGTGGAAAATCGTGTTTTGAAGTGAAGGAATATGGCATGTTGTGTAAACAATAATTTTCTAGGGAGGATTGCAGGATATGCTTATGTCTGGATGAGACAAACGTGCAGTTCACTGATGATATACTGAATACCATCTTGATCTGACAGGACTCTAAGTTTGGCCACTGATGTTGAGTGTCGATGAAGCCACTGCACAATAACCAATTCATTGTGGCAGGATACCGGATCGATATACATTGCGATTGCCAACAGAACGGCTCACGTCTGCCCCCTCTCTACCCCTGCTTCGTACCTTAGGATACTAGACTAATAGGCAATTCATCTACGTCAATTGGGCTGTATCTGGTGAGTAACCCCGCTTTGTGTTTGACCATATGGTGGGGGTTCTATACCAGTCTGAACAGAGGGCTATATATTCCCCCATTCCACCGTTGAAGAACACACAAACACAGCATTCAACTCTAAAGCCTTTCGCCATGCTATACCTGATCCCCCTTTCCATTCTCGTCTACGTCCTCTACAGGGCATCTGTGACATTCTCAGATCTCTATCTCCACCCCCTCCGCCATATCCCCGGCCCCAAACTATGGATCGCCTTCCCCATCCTCCGCCACATTTCCCACATCACAGGGAACCTCGAAATCGACACACGAGCCTTCCACACTAAATACGGAGAGGCCGTCCGCATCGGCCCAGACGAAGTATCATTCATCACCGCCCAGGCCTGGAAAGACATATACGGTCACGGGCAACCCCAGATGCGCAAAGTTAGGTCCTCAGCCAGTAACCCCCTGGACATAATCAGCGCCAACGGGCCCGATCACACACGGCACCGCCGATCCCTGGCGCACGCGTTCTCCGCCAGAGGCCTGCAGGCCCAGGAGCCTATCCTCATCGAATACGTAGACAAGCTCATCGCCCGTCTCCACGGGATCGCCGAGTCTCAGCTCCCCGCGAACATGGTCAAGTGGTATAATCTCACCACGTTCGACTTGATTGGAGACCTGGCGTACGGTGAGTCCTTCGGGGGTCTCGAGTCTTCGGAGTATCATCATTGGGTGGCGGCGATCTTTGACTCGGTGCGTGTGCTGGCCGTGATCGCGCTGAAAGATGCGTATCCGTTGATTTCTAAATTGTTCACGCTATTCGTGCCGGGTCGATTGGCCGAGGCGAGAAAGAAGCATCTCGATCACAGCAGAGAATTGGTGGAGAAGAGACTGAAAAGCAACACGGATCGAGGCCATGCCGATTTCATGCAATCGATGCTGCGGCATCGGGGTGAAAAAGAAGGTCTCACGGATCAGGAGCTCGAGGCGAATGCCAATATTCTGATCATAGCGGGCAGTGAGACCACTGCGACGCTGCTTTCTGGCGTGACGTTTTGGTTACTGCGGACTCCGAAGGCTATGGAGAAGGTGGTCCACGAGGTCCGGTCACTCATGAAGACCGAAAAGGATATCACGTTTAATAATGTCACGGCCAACTTGCCCTACATGCTGGCTTGCATCAACGAAGGGCTTCGCATGTATCCGCCTGTTCCTAGTGGATTGCGACGCATCTCGCCGCCAACTCCTGTTGAGGTTTCTGGCTACAAGATCTCTCCTAATGTCAGTATCTCCACTCATCCACTCCTTGAATGATCCGATCGTGTCTAACATCCAAAAGACCAAACTCTCAGTGCACCAGATCTCAGCCTACACATCTCCACTTAACTTCCACGACCTAGACCGATTCGTTCCCGAGCGCTGGCTTCCTGAAGAAATGAACAACCCGTCGTCGCCTTTCTACAACGATAAAAGAGACGTGTTGCAGCCATTCTCGTTCGGTCCACGGAACTGCATTGGCAAGAACCTGGCGTATAATGAGATGCGCCTGATCCTGGCGCGGATTCTCTGGAACTTCGATTTGGAGCTTTGCCAGGAGAGTTGGCGCTGGAATGAACAGAAGTCGTACGCGTTGTGGGATAAACCTGCCTTGATGTGTAAGCTGAAGTCTCGTTTGCATTGATGGTAGATGGGGGCTTAGTGGATGGATCTTTCTGGCATTTCCGAAGTTGAATGCTCAGGGGTGAGTCACAGCACGGACGGGGCCTTTTTCTTTTTCTTTTTCTTTGTTTCAATTGCGGGCTAAATTGCTTGATATACTTGGCAGAGCTTGGGTCTAAACTGATTGTTTCCATTGATTGGGCAGTAGCTCAGGTTCACTAACTTGCTAAAGATAGAGGTAAAATAGTAACAATTGCCTCTAAATATGCGATGCCACTCCGAAATTCTACGTCGAAATCCGCTATATTTGTAGCCTGACTGATTTAGTTCGAACGACGCTAATTTAGTTAGTTAGTTCGCTACTGAAAATTTCCGTAGGAGTCATGCTAATATTATCGGGAGCCATCCACGATCGCTTTGTCGATCTGCCGTTTTTCGAGATCCGTGCTTTATTAGGAGCTCTTTCGGGACTACTCTGGAATAATATATCTTCGACGTCAAAAAAGCCATGATCTGGGAGTGCACAGCAATCCAAACGCTCTGTGATTTTCGCTTATCTTCGCAAGTGAGACAATGTGGTCTTGGCGAAGAGTTTTTTTTCGAATTTGACGCTAAGAAATTGTACTAAAGATCTTGTTGAGACTAGTCAGGGCCGTCGGCGCATAGAAGACAACGCCCCTAGGCTACAGGGACCATCTACATGCATTAAATAAGCCACTAAAGCCCTTTGCGCTCTCGAGACCGATCTTTTTGACCGATCTTTCCCCCTCCCTTCTCAGTCAAACACAATGCCATCTATTACTAGTTTTCTTATACCAAGAGGCACTGAGTTGATTTCCCGAGGGCTTTCCGGGGAAGCGGCCCAGGGACTTGGGCTCCTACTTTTCCTAGCCGTGGTCTTTGTTCCAGTCATTGTATTTGGATTGGCGATATTTTGGGTGGGTACACATCATCATCAGGAGTTACATTTATACTCATCGAGGATAGGTTGACTATGTCTGCGCCCAAGTTATTGCGACTCTCGCGGCGGTTGAAGACTGCAATCCGCCTAGCTATGTTAGCCTTCACGGCGAAGAGTGTAACGAGTTCAATGAGCCCAATGATCCGGAGGTCGCAGGTACCTCAGACGCCAGACCGATCACTCGGGGGTTAGGTTCGGCCATCAAGCACCTTCGGGCTCGTGGCGGTGGTAGCCTTCGGTCATGTCTACGTGGATTCGACATGTACTTCGCGTATACAGTGATCACCACCGGCATAGGAATAGGAATTTCAACCCTCATTGGTTTCGTGACCAAGTCACACTTCGGTGTCCTTTTGGGACACTTCATCGCTAGCATGCTCCTACCCACTTGGCTCATGGCTTGGGTTCACCATATGATCGCGAATAAGCCCCCGAGGAGAAATCTCCGCCAAATGCCTGGCCTTCGGAATTGGTCTAAAATTGCCCCCGCGGCAACGCTGTACAATGGCCTCCTCTGTGCCTTCCTCGCTGTGCCTGGCACTTTCTCAAGTCCCGCTAAATTTATCGTTGGCAACAGTATTGTGGTCTTAGTCAACGCGGGACATGGAGTGTCTTTCGGTGACCTACTCATCGGCATTCTCTCGTTACTGGTCTTCCCATTGGTTACTTTCCCCGCGAGAGCGATCTTCATTCGTGTGGCGGCCTCTATGCTGCCCGAGGAAGATGAGCCGATCGTGCCTTTCGGCCGCCGTTTTGGTGGCAAAAGCCTAGCTGGCGGTGGCCAGCTCAGCATTCGAGACGCCTGGACGAGCTTTGAATGGGCGGCTCGTGTTCGCTTCGTTAAGACCATCCTTAAGGCTGTTGCTATTGAGGCGGCACTTTTTGTGGCTATGATCTTGCTGATACTTGGCGGGCTGGGAATCATGAGCTTTGCTAGCAGCATTCAGGCTTCTCATTCCTAGGCCATGGTTGAATTCATGATTACATCTCATTCACGAGAAATTATTCACGGGTTTATTTGGAGCCTTGTTTAGCAGCACCGGGATATGCTAACCTGCCCTTGTTGATCATGGCATTCCCTAGCCAAGGCGTTCATATCAACCCATATCCGATAAGCTCTCGGACAGTTAACACTAGAGTCATGTCTTTCCCGGACTGTTACAACAGCGTCTTTATATCTGTTTCGGAGAAAGACTGACAGAAATACCGAAAGTCACAATACGGGGGCTATTTGGTCCGGCCACTACATAAACTGCACGTTCATGAATTGCCCAAAAGGTCTATTTCTCTAAAGGAAGACATTGCCAAAGTACTGGCGACGGGATTAAGATTGACCACGCGAGAGAGTGAGCTGCTCTTTGAAAGAAAAGCACCGGCAAAAAGCCACGGAACTACCCAAATTTATACCGCAATGCCCTGATCAGCATCCTATCCGCTAGCTAACTTAGGAAGGGAGGAGACACTGTAATTCATTAAGATCTAGCTTCACAATTGTTATAGTGTGATTTTCCCAACTCGGCAATCTCTGCTACTGTATTTCTCGGCCTGAAAGGGAGTACTGTAGTATTAATACAGTTCGCTGGGAGACTGTCTGATCGGTTTGAGGAGATTTCACACAGTATATACTAGAAACGTACCTAACCACAGAAGCAAAACTATACTCTGAATCTCGACCGAGGCACAATGAAGCCCAGACTAGGTCAATACCCGAGAGATTCAATGATCCACTATGGCTTCATAGCGTGGCTAATTTCCGCCGGTTAAAGTCTTACCCGGCAGCAAATTGCATGTTGGGTGCGATTTTACTGAACCCTTTTCAGTGCTAATTTCGAACAGAAGTTCTTTCACATACATGTAAGACACTTCACAGGAAGAGATGCTGCATTGATTAGCAGGTTCCAACAACGTACGCTCTATAGTCCAGTCCTAACGCCACCTATGGCCAGAAACAAGCCAACACGCCAAGATGAGTGGTTTATTTACCTTCCGAACGTAGAAAAAGGGTCAGCACACTAAACGTGAGGTCCCTCCCCATGGGCAGACTGTTAGTTTAGTTCAGTTGCAACCAGTCATAGCAGGAACCGAGTGGCCTCGGAAAATCCGGGAGCTCTCTCCACACCCCCGACCTCGGCCTAAAACCCCCCGAACGACTGCCCCGCGAGCCAATAAATGTCAACACCATCCAGCGCGCTCTCAGAGCGCAGTGAAACCAAGAAACCGCATACCAAAATGCAAATCACCCGCTGTGGCATCCACGGCTTCCACGAAGCCCTCGGCATCGACGCCGAAGAGCTACGCTTCTACTGGTCCATCACCAGCGAGACTCCCAACGCCCAAACTGCATACCAACTCACTCTCTCCACCGACGCCGCATATCTCACGCAGCACCCCCCAGCACCAGACTCTAACCCTCCCTTCTGGACAACCGGCAAGATCACCAGCTCTGCCCAGCGCAACATCCTCTGCAACCCGCCAAATGGCTTCGCCGCCACAACCAGCTACTACTGGCGCGTCACCGTCTGGGACGCCGCCGGACACACCCACCACAGCAGCACCAACCACTTCTTCACCTCCTACCCTCGCTCTCGCCTCCTCCCCCCCTACAGCATGAACCAGACCTACATGCCACACAGCAGCCTCATCTTCCGCACGTGGTTCGAAAACCCCCAGGACAAATGGAAAGCCGTATGGATCGGCGACGGCGGCGACAAGCCGATCTACCTGCGCAAGGGGTTCAGGCTCCCCGCGCGCCCCGTCCGCGCCGTGCTCTTCGCCTCCGGCCTCGGCCACTTCAATATGGCTGTGAACGGGGCCCCCGCGTCCACGCATGTCCTGGACCCCGGCTGGACGAACTATCATCGGCGGGTGCAGTTCACAGCCTACGATGTCACTGCGCTGCTGGGGGAGGGTGAGAACGTGCTCGCCGCGCATGTCGGGAACGGGTTCTATGCGGGAGACCAGGGGGATCGGTTCTTTTGGCCGATGTATGAGGATAACACGTACGTGCGGTATGGGAACGAGTTGTGCTTTTTTGGGGAGTTGCATACCTTCTACGAGGATGGGAGACATGAGGTCTTGGTCTCGGATCCGAGCTGGAAGGTGAGGAAGAGTGCGACTTCGTTGGCGAATATCTATGCGTCTGAGACGCATGATAGACGGGATTATCCGGTGGGATGGGATGGCGTGGGCTTTGAGGATGGGGAATGGGCGCCTGCGAAGCCCTTAACCGGGCCCAGAGGCTTCTTGTACTATCAATCGCAGCCGCCGGTGGTGCTGCATGAGACGTTCCAGCCGGTGAAGGTGTATTCGCCAAGGAAGGGCACGGTGTGTTATGACCTGGGGCAGAACGCGTCGACGATGGTGAAGATCGAGGTGAGCGGGGCGGCGGGGGCGGAGGTGAGGATTCGGTACGCGGAGACGGTCAGGGACGATGGGACCGTCTTGATGCCGGATCCGCTGTTCAAGCAGTTCGAGACGGACGTGTACTCGAAGTTCTACCTGGGCGGGTCTGGCGTCGAGACCTGGGAGCCGGACTTCAGTTTCACGAGTGCGCGGTACATCCAGGTCGAAGGGGTGTCGCTTTCCGAGGGCGACGGGCTCCCTGTGATACACTCTGCTGTGGGCCGACATGTGTCCTCGGCAGCGAGGAACCTGGGGACCATGAAGACGGACAAAGAGGACGCCAACGCGCTGCTGAACGCGCTGTATTGGACCTTCAGCAGCAACCTCTTCAGCTACCACACCGACTGTCCGCAGATCGAGAAGTTCGGATGGCTGGAAGTCACGCACCTGCTTGCCCCGGCGACGCAGTACGTTCGAGACATGGAATCCCTCTACACCAAGATCCTCGACGATATCCTCGACGCCCAGGAACCAAGCGGTCTGGTGCCCACGATGGCGCCGGAGATCCGCTACATGTGCGGCCCCCTCCACGACACCATCACCTGGGGGTGCGCGGTATGTCTACTCCCCGATATCCTGCGCCGGTACTACGGGTCCACCCACGTTATTCCTCGCGTCTACCCCGCCGCAGCACGCTACATGGAGTACATGCGCACAAAAGAGCGCAAGGGCGGGCTCATCGAGCACGGGCTCGGCGACTGGGGCCGCGACATTGCGTTCGGGAACCACCAGGCGAACATCGAGACAGCGGTATACTACCGGTGTCTGCGGTGCACGGAGGCCATGGCACGAGAACTCGGACTCGCCGACGACGCGGAGAAATACGCGCGCTGGGCGGACCGAATCCACGCCGTGTATAATCAGCACCTCCTGGTCACGGATACCTCGGAATACGGCTACGCGCACTACACCTCGCTGGACAGCTATCCGGCGCGAGACCGCACGGCAGTCACGCAGGGCGTGGCTCGCCAGTTCGGGCTTGTGCCGGATGAGTACCGCGACGACATCATGAAGGCGTTCCTGGCAGACACGAGCGATGGACGGATGCGGGCGGGTGAAATCGGCCTTCCGTTCTTGTTCAGTACCCTGGCGGACGCTAAACGCCCGGATCTCGTCCTGCAGATGGCAAGACAAGAGGAGCACCCGTCGTATATGCGGTTCCTGCGCCGCGGGGAGACAACCCTGCTGGAGTTCTGGCAGGACGAGTGCCGCAGCAAGTGTCATGACATGCTGGGGACTATTTACGAGTGGTTCTATCGTGCCGCGCTGGGGTTGAGGCCCTTGGAGGACGCGTATCGGCGGTTCGAGATTGACCCGCCGTATGAGGCGGAGTTCGGACATGTCAAGGGGAGTGTGGATTGTCCGTATGGGTTGATTGCGGTGGAGTTTACGAGGGGAGAGGGCGAGGTGAAGTTGGATGTTGAAGTGCCGTTTGGCACGGTGGGTGTGGTTCGGGTTCCTGGGGGAAGGAAGGCAAAAGTTGTCAGGAGGGGCGAATCTGGAGGCGAGGTCTTTGACCAGGACGTGGATTTGTTGCATGGGGTGTATTCGATTATCGTGCGGGAGTGAGGCTAGATAGAACATAGACACAATCAATTGTATTCCATGGTTCAATAGATGAAAGTGACATAATTTACGACATCTCATTGAATACGACTTGACTATGCCTTAAATAGACAAGCTTCTCGTTGGTTGCCACCACTGCTGGCTCCTCCGTAATTGAAATATCTTCCGATAGTCGGAATGTGGCCGGGCTGACCTCGGGATATCCGATGTGGGGGAGTCCGGGGTATCGAGCTGAATTAGACCGAGATGAAGGCCCCTGACATGTCATCTGATGCGCGGAAACAGTTCGAGGGATTATTTCCATTAGCTAACCATAAGCCATGTGGAATTGTGGGTTGGATAGGGACCATTTCTCGGTTGCAATCGGGGACAGGTCGTTAGTCCAGGTTGAGACCCACAACCACCGTGACTCTTTTTTTGCACTCTGGCCATTGAACCCTTCTGACAGGAGGTTCTCCGTAGAAATCTATTGCTAGTTAAAGAAGAATGCCAATATCTATCAAGTCATCACGCTATACACAGATGCCATTTGAATAAAGCCAGTAGTTAAATCACGCCAACTGTTAAGCGACCCCGTCTCACTAGTCGACGCCACAGAGCCAAGTCCAGATGCCGCATGGACTGCCGATTGATGGCTCTTCTTCGGCCATTTCGGTCTTCGGTGTATCTCACTCCCTGGCGGAGATGCCACCCCGTTGTGGTTTCTAGCCCTAGCGTGGATGAATCCGGGGTAGCGGGATTCCGGGGTCGGGACAGAGCCTATATATTCCTGCTGAGGCCGTGTGATCGGCCTGAGTGAGCTCTATCTGGGGATCACTCTACATTCCTGCTCCATAATTTCAGTTCAGCAAGTCACCGCAGGGACGGGACAGCCAAAATGGCCAAATACAAGACGTTTCTGTCCGCCATCTTCCTGGCCACGGGAGGTAAGCTTGCTATTCCTCGTCTCACTCTAGTCGTTTTCTGACCAAATAGGTTTCCTCTTCGGCTATGACAGCGGTATTATCACCTCTACGATCTCCCAGACGCATTTCGTCGACTACTTCTCCAACCCCAGCAACACCGTGACAGGCGGCGTGGTCTCCTCCTTCCAAGGCGGTGCCATCCTCGGTACAATAATCAACATGATGCTTGGCGACTGGCTGGGTCGGAAACGCTCCATATTCCTGGGCTCGGTGGTGTCTACGTTCGGATGTGCCCTGCAAGCTGGTGCCGTGTCGATGACCATGCTGATCATCGGTCGCTTCATTGCCGGCACCGCCGTGGGAATCATGACCTCCATTATCCCCATGTACGCCGGTGAACTAGCAGAAACCAAATACCGCGGCATGCTTTCAGGACTGCTGCAGTGGATGTTAAGTTGGGGATACCTCGTCGCCCAATGGCTCGGATACGGATCGTCGTTCGTGAACGGAGCCTTCCAATGTACGTGCCTCACCCCATCCCACCCATCCCAACGCATACTAACCACCCCTAGGGCGCTTCCCTCTCGCCTTCCAATGCGTCCCCGGCCTCGTCCTCATGTTCGGCATCTGGCTCCTCCACGAATCCCCCCGCTGGCTCATGGAAAAAGACCGGCACGACGAAGCGCTCGAAACCCTACGCAAGCTCCGCAGCGGCGCCCCCAACACCGAAGACCTCGTAGCCGTCGAGTTCGCCGAAATCAAAGACGCGATCGACGCCGAGCGCGCCACCCACAAAGTAACCTGGTCATCCATCCTGACCACCCCCTCCTGGCGCCGTCGTCTCGCTCTCGGCTGCGGCGTGCAAGCCTTCGGCCCTCTCTCCGGTATCAACGTCATCAACTACTACGGCCCCATGATCTACGAGTCCCTAGGCATCCCTAACCAGACATCCCTCATGATCATCGGCATCTCGGGGGCTCTCTCCATCGTTTACGCAACCATCTGCCTCGGCGTCCTCGACCGCATCGGCCGCGTAAAACCCCTCATCGTCTCCGCGGCAGGCTGCGGCCTCGCACTGGTCGTCAACGCAGCCCTCTCGCAGCACTGGGACGCATCCAACGCGAACCTCCTCCGCGCCATGGTCGCCATGAACTTCGTCTTTAGCCTCTTCTACACCCCCCTCGGCGTCATCTCCTGGGTGTACCCGGCGGAGATCTTCCCCGTGGATATCCGCAACCAGGGTAACTCGATCACCACGTTCACGAACTGGACGTTTAATCTGGTCTTTGCGCAGTTCTCGCCCCAGGCGCTGGATGATATCGGGTTTAAGTACTTCTATGTGTTTTTTATCTTTAACCTCATTGCGTGTCTGTGTTATATTTTCTTCTTTCCCGAGACGAAGGGGAAGACGCTCGAGGAGATGGATCTGGTGTTTATGGATCCCAGTGCGGCGGTGGTGGGGAAGGCCGGGGAGGTGGATCATGGGAAAAATGATACAGAGCAGGTCCGGATTGAGATGGTTCAGTAGATCTTGAGTTGAGGGGGTTGTAATGTTAGTGAATGAGTGCATGGTTAGCAAGTCTAATGCGGATTGACTGTGGGTTCCATTTCCGGCGTGATTCCAAATTGGGTACATTTATCGGTGTGTAGGTTTATGTGGCTGAACGTACGCTCGATGCAGATAGTGTTTGGAAGGTAGGAGACTCGCATGCATCCAGTAGATGAGACGAAGCCACCAAGGAACGGTGAATCCTTCAAGTCGTGGGAGATGTAACCGACCTTGCAGGATTTTGGGGGACTGAGCGGGCTCGGAAGAGTGCATGGGAGCAGAGAGCAGCACAGTAAAAGACCAGCCCAACTGGGTATGATCAGCCTGGTTGCAGCTGAGGAATCTAGGCTGGATGTGGCGTCGATATTCTGCGGCAATTCGCCAGGATCCAAGCCACCAATTCCTTTGGAATGAGAACTCGAAGTTAATGGGGCTTTGGAAGTATCTATGATTCTGAGGTGGCTGTTCTGTCTGCGTTGCAGTAGTATTTGCATTGGAGGAAATTTCCAATCTCATATACATATGCGTACAGATTGGCTCGCGAAAGCGGTGCGACCCTGGAGCTCAGTCTATCCTAACGAACCCGGGAGAAGCCACCTTGGGCTTAATGCAGCCATTTGCTCAACCTGCGGATAGCGAGAAAGCACTTGGCTAAGCTGTTTGGCTCCAGAGATTTGTTCCGAGGAGCTGGAAACGAAAACCTATTAATGGTATGCTCAACCCTTCAAATGGAATTATCCACATCACCGATTGGCGTTCGCACTTTCGTAAAACCACAACCTTACCCTTGCAAATGAGATAACTTTGTACTTCTCACGCTTTAGGAAGGAGGCATCTCACGATCCCTGGCATCATCACACCAACCCGTATGATTTAAGCCATGGCCCAGAATCCTTCGACCCATTCCACTCAACACAGCAACACCACCTCGAAGCCCAGCAGAACTAACACCAAGACGCACAATTGCTTCTAGACCCCGACTCTGCTGAAACACTGATCTGCAACATCGTCAGGACAAATCTATCCGCGAATCAAAACCCAGACCCATCCACGGAACCACTAGCCTAGACCTACAGAAGCAGGAATGCACCATCCCTCACAAAGAAATCCAGAATGTAGGAGCGAAGGCAGGGATGAATGCAACCGACCCGCCGACCCATCCAGCCCTATCCTCTGGCCGTTTATGGGGCTATCCGAGCTTCCAGGCACACGGGTATGATTGACTTCCGGGCCGTGGACGTTAACGGCAAGGGGTGACTGTACCTACAGGTGCTATATTCAGTCGCAGTGGTAGCAGCATCAGGATCCGGCTCCTGGTCAAACCCGACCAGACCACCACGACTCGATTCGCACCGCAAAAGCTGCTGGTGTTGCAGTTTGTGGCGTGCTCTCTCGCAGTCATGACAGAACCGGCGTCGTAGAGCTTCGTCCCCATCGGGGATAAATACGAATAATCCACCCTCCAGTCTCCTCCCAGCCCGAGAGAGTAGCCCCATCTACCCAGCAACAGTGGCAGTGGCATAGACATACTTACCTGCCTATCTCACCTCATAAATTCCCTCCCTTCAATCAACCACCCCATCCATCGCCATGGGCCCCCTTCCTCGCCCCTTACTGGGCGTCTTCCTCCTCGCCAACTCCCTCCTCCTCCCCAGCCCTGTGCAAGGGGCTCCCGTCGAGACGCACGTCCCGCAGTCCTGGAATTCCACGACGCCCGGGAACACGGTAAGGATCGACTCGCCTGCGTTGCGGTGCGTTGCGTTGCGTCAAGAAAGCAAAGCTAACGCCTTCTTCACAGAGCACCCCCCTGCACAACCCCCCGAGACCATGGGGCTGGGCACCTGCGCCGTTCTTCAGGCACCCGGCCCCGCCGCGTCCGTACCATGCGTATGGGTATGGGGGGTTTTATCAGCCGGATCTGTATAAGGATCACTATAAGGGTAAGGGTAAGCATGAGGATAATGACAAGGGTGAGGACAAGCACGAGGGCAAGGAGAAGGATGACGAGAAACTGCCAGTGGCTGTTGAACAACCCGAGGAGCCCGAGCCCGAGTCCAAGCCTGAAGTCGAAGAGGCCACTCATGTCGATGATGATGAAGTCGACGTCGACGCAGAGACTAAGGAAGATGCCGAGGACGAAGGAACCGCCACCGACGCGAGCGATGATGTCAACTTAGAGAAGTCTGAGGAGAACGACGAGAACCAGACTCCTGAGAAACATGCATTCTGGAGCCCCTTTAGCGGTACTCATCGTGGACACGAAGCTCCGGATCATGATGACCGAGAGAAACAGCGGGGATATGATCCGAAGCATGGAGATTGGAAGTGAAAGCAGCCTGGTCATGGACATGGGGAGTCGTGGTGAGGCTGGAAATGATGGTTAGGATGTTATTTAGGATGATCGGTTGTATTGAGCTGATGGAAGATGCTGGGGAGGGGAGCCATTTTGGAGGATCCTGTGAGGCAGCTCCTGTGTACGCCAGGAAATTAGTGGTGAAGTTTTTGTTGAATTAATGTTAACTGCTTTTTTTTTTTTTTTCTCTTCGTTGTGCGACGGGAATCCCACGAATACCCAATTCCAAGATGGCCAACCCCACGATCAACCCGACCGGAGAATAAACCCAACGGACCATCCAGCCCTCTCGATCACCCTACTGTACCGAAAATCTCGCCCTAGGTGCTCTTCAAGCCCACTAACCCTTACTTACCACCAGCTCCCTACTTTCGGACCGCGCCGAAAAACCACGCGAAAACCCAGCCGAGGCAAATTTTTTAGCACCCGGGCACAAAAAAAAGTTATAATTAGGACCTACCCTAGTTCCCTTCACACCAAGCTACTAAGATTGCCACTCCGAGTAGCATCTCAAAATGAGGGCAATAGCAATTAGCAATTAGCCCATCCGTGTTTTACTCTCACCCTCACCGACGGCAGTTTCCATCGAGTAGAAAAGGAGTCGCGAATTGGGCTGCTCGCGCCGACGCACGTCGGCCTTTGTACGACCTCACTATACCGCGGAGAGATGTATACAAGAGCAAGATAAGCACTAAGACTAAGACATGCGGGAAGTTGCGGGTTGCACGGCAAATGGACTGACAGGTCTCGTGAGGTTGAGAGTTGACAGGGTTGATTAGCGATTGGGATTTGACAGCAGAAATGCCAAGAGCGGAGGGTCAGGAACATGTAAAGAAGAAAAAAGAAAAAAGAAAAACGAAAAAAGAAAGAAAAGTAAAGGCAAAGGAAAGCAACAGGGGATCTGTTGGTGGCTCTCAACTAACTTCCGCAGGAATCCCCAAAGCCAATTGAGGAAGAATCCCTCCTGTCCACGTTGGCCATGATTCCATTTCTTTGTTCGTCTGGCGAACATTGTAGGCGCCGTACGCGTGGGTCGATAAATTATCTCTGCCTACGAACAAAGAACCCGCTTCCCTCCCCAGAAAGCCAAGCCAGATCCAATCGAGGCTGTGAGCCCCTGTCCCTGACCCCGAGCAATCGCCCAGTCCAGCGCCAAATGCAAATCCGTTAGGCCCGAACCGGCCTAGCGGACAGGGGAGTCGGGTCTAGACTCAAGTTGAAACCAGCGCTAAGGCGACACGCTCGACGTCGGCAGCGACTCGCTCTACACAGCCACGCTACGTGCAGTTTTCATGACAGCAGGTTGCACCAGGGTCTTTTGCGTCGGTGGGATGGGTAATTGGCTTCTTTCGGTAGTTCTGGTGCTGAGACGGTTTAGTGCTGCTGCTGTTGACTGCTGGATGCAGGGCCAAGAGCATCGGTAGACTGGCACGTGCAGGGGAAAGGTTTGCAATTGGGTATGTTTCTGGGAACTGCGTTTGGAACTGGCGGGGATTGGGATGTGTTGTTTCTTTGACTAAGCGGATCGTCTGACGCGGATGGCTCTGGGACTCTGTTCTGGAGACGGTCAATTTGGCCGATGTGCTATATGGGTGATGTCCGTGTCTGGTGAGGAACGGAGAGCTGGATCGATTTTGGGAGAGTATGCAATTACTGGATGTGTTCTGGGTATCCTTTCCTTTGTCTGGTTGCAAGAAGAATAGGTTCCCCAGTCATAGTCCTAATCGCGACACATCCGCCTGTCCGGTTCGTTCAAATCGTCGGGAATCGTAGACGTGCCGATCGGAGTGGCCGTGCCCTCCATCGACTAGCGAGATCCTGGATCAACCTCAGTGGCCTTCCCGTGGTCGTGCACCGTGAGTCCGTCATTGGATGCTGCTATCAAAAACCTTGCCAGCCAAGGAGGAAGCGATGACCGCCTTTCGTCATCCAAGCTTGAATGAGGACAGCAAGGAAGACATAGGCAACATCATCAATAGGTTTGTATCTGTGAAACGGGACTACAAAGTTCGATTGAAGTCTCCGATTAGGGGCGCTGATTTGATAAATGGTCGAACAGTTCAATATACTCACTGATATATGACCCAGATGACGCGTTGTACCGTCTGCTTATTTTTAGTTGTCGGGATGAGCCGATGCTTCGACATGTCTCATGGTCATTACTCATGGAAAGTGCCGATCGAGCAGCTAGTACTTTAGTATACCCGAATGAGCGATTCCGAACCGTTTTGAGACTGCCCACGACCGGGTCCCAAGTCAGGCATCGAAGTTCCTAGCCCTACTGGTGGAAGACAAGGACATGACCGCGTGTCAGTGTCATTAGAATAGAATTTGATGCTGGGCGACGATACTTCCTTGCGTTGATCAAGCGGGGAGAGTCGACGTTGAGGCGAAGCATTCTTGGTATAGAAGAAGTCAGAAGATGCCATGGACTGTGAAGCAGGCAGCAAGATAAACCCATCGCCTAATCTACTAATTATCAATCGCTCCACCCTCCACAGGGCTCTGCATGGTACGGAGCCGACCTCTTGGACCGAATAGATTAAATGAGACGACGATCTCTGGGTCCCGTACGCAGCGTCGAATGAGGAATCAGAACCGTGACGACAGACCAATGCGACACAATAACTACCCCGGGGCCAATCCGCCGTCAGATTAACCACGATTCATCGCATGGTTGGCAGCTCCGTCCGCTATTCGAACCCCGCGGACACCTGGAGAAGGGCGTGCCTGACAGATGAGTCGTCGGGGAGTTTCTGGCAGAGTGTCTCTCCGAGTGGCATGAAGTGGTCAGCAAATGGCCACATCTAGAAGCCCCCGGGGACTGCGTGCAACCCGATCGGTAGGAACCAATGCAGGGCGCATGTGGCCGGCTGCGAGTGGTCATTCTGGTCGGACAGCCATATCGGTAGCATTGGCCTGGACAGTCCGATTGGGAATCCATGAGGCAATACGAAGTAGCATCTGGCGCTCGACGATCGGAACCATCAGACCCTCTGGAGTGGACTGCCAGACCCAACGAAGTGCCCGGGGGTGCGTGAATTAGGGCTCACCCGCGCACGACCCAAGGAAGCCCCGGGAATTGTTCTGCCTACTTTCTTAGTTCTACGAAGTCAAGATGAGAGACTAAGCCTAAAGCTCAGCACTAACGGCGTTCGCAGCCGGCGGGTGCCTCAGCATGGGACAATTTCCCCTGGACCCTCCGGGCGTAAGGCGAATGAACGTCGCTGCCTGCGGGTGACAAGTTCTTTGCTCAGTCTGAGACAAGCTCCGGTCTCTAGTGGCGTCCGTCCGCCACCGTCATTGGCGCCAGACCCTCGTCTCTGTTACTCCGTCTCGACGAACAAAGCTTGGTCTCAGTTTATTTTCATCAAGCTCAATCGGGTGTAGGCAACAGGGTTGATTTTGTCGTCTTTTATTTTTAATTTCTGGGCCAGCGGTACGCCGGTTTAGCGCGCCTTAACGTCCCTAAATTATCGCCTCTGACTTTTTCTCGCCGTCAATCTGGTTAGTCCGTCATGCAGTTTGCTTATTTATATCGACGTGACTGGCCTGCTTCGGTCACCTCATTTTGCTTCTTCCACTGCCTCCAGACTTAAGACTTAAGACTTAAGACCTCACCCAATCCCTCTCCTCTCGGTCTACCTACCAACCTCTTGCCCCTCACATAATGGCTCCCCTCCGTCCCAACACCGACTACGAGCGCTGGCTCCGTGACTCCAACCCCGACCGCATGCTTGCCGCCGAACCTGACTACGGCCAAGTGCAAAAGGCCGCCGAGATGGATTCCGCTCTGGAATACCAGTATGTCCCCTTTACTCTCTTTCCCTGGACAATAACTGACCGAGCAGACCACCCCTCTCCAACCCTCAGATCTACATCATGCGAGACGACAAATCCTTCCAGGTCTGGGAAAACAGACCTCCCTTCTCCACCGCATACATCATCCCCGTCTTCGTCGTAATAGTCGCCATCATCTTCATCAAGACGCGACATTCGCGGAAAGAGGGCGCCGTCAGCCTGAAAGGATAATTTTGTTATTTGGGTGGTGTTTTGCATGGTCCGGCGTGGTTGATTTGACCTTGTCCGTCTTTTGAGTTTATGTTCATGCCGATGTTAATATTTCATACCCTGTTCTATACCTATGCTATGTCAGAAGCGATGATTTCATTTGTCTATATTTTATTTTCTTTCCTCTTTGATCCTTGGGTCCTTGTTCGTCCTTGTTCGTCAGAAGTTGGTTGCTTTATTGCATCACTTGAATCCCACTCGGATGAAAGGAGCGCAAGACACCTGATACAGAACCAATAATTACTCCACCACCTCTGATCCTTCAACTAGTCAAAATCTGCCTTACCATCGCAAAGATTGAAATTCTCCGACCGGTGATTCTCGCAGCCGAGCATCCTCAGCCTCAGCGCCAAACCCAAGGATTCTACCCCTCGCCCGACTCCGATCCTCTCTACGCTAAAAGACATCCTCAATACCCATTCATGGATATACTCAGACAAAACGGGGGGCCAAACAATATCAAGCCTTCTAAAACCAACCCAACCACAGATGGATCAATATCCATCTGCAATCTCCATACTGGAATGATCGCCGAGATTTGCCCGCCAAGCTTTCTCTACGACCGTCGCTTATCCAGAATAATTTCGGCGGTTCGCCTCTCGTCCAATAACACGTCCCCGTCCAGGGAATTAGTGCGATTGGCGCTGGGGGGAAGAAATGTGGGAATTGTGGATCCTTCGAACCACCCGACCAGAATCAACAGCCTTCCGTTCAACTTCCAACTCTTCGGGCGGCTCTCCTGGTCATTGGCGGTGGTCCCCCGGTGGAGGTCTCCTTATCTTGTCTGTGCGACCGCATTTAATGACAATTAATGAGTTACGGCCTCGGACCTGTTGCTGGGAGAAAAAGGACGTCTGGAAATTGGTCTTCGTTTTGTCGTTGTGGGGGCTGCGTTGTTGCGACCGGTGAGTCAGTCCAGGTCAGGATTTGGGTGATCGACCCTCGCTATCAGTATCTAGTAGCTATTTAGCCTTGCTGATAAGGAGTTAGAATTTTTTTCTCTCCTCGGTATAAATAACCCACTCAGCCAGAAGAAGACTAACAACTAACACTGTCCCTGGCACTACGGAGTACCCCGTAGGCCGAAGGAGGCAAAACCAAAATAGACCCTGAAAAAAGCCAGAAAAAACTAGTCGGCGAGGTGAGGAGCGGAAAAGACCCTAAAAGATAGCCCCCGCCGACCAGATTCATTCCCAAAAAAGCAAAGTGAGACATTCCGGAGTCCTCGCGGGCCCAGTGAATAGACCCTTTTCTTCGCAGTAGTGCAGATGGCACCATCTTGCGCGAGTACCCAATCTGCAACCAACAAAGGTCGGAGCTTGATATTATAATTCATTGGATATTGCCACGGTTGATTATTCTCGAACATACTCGTAGAATATTAATCGAGAGGCTTAGCATTGGTCTGTAGGGACTGGGAGGTTTGGTTTACTTTCTGTCTTAGATGTTGCGATCTGATCTAAAGCGCCGAGGATTCGCCGACAAAACTACTTTTGGCAGGTCAAAGTAGAAAATCGCGTCAACAAGAGTAAATACAGACTTGATTCCATTAAAAAAAAGAAAGCCTAGTCACCAGAGCGCTGGGCATACAGACTGATGTGTGGAGAGGCAAATATTATGACGGAGCAATGGTATCACCCGGCCTGACAGATTTTAGTTCCGCCTCAAGAACTTGGACATTATCATCAATCTTCATCATCTTCTGATCATCCAAGCTCGTCATAAAACTATCATCACTGATACTCTTGTCATCCGATCCTCTTCTGCAACATCTTCCCCCTAGATTGAAATATCAATCATATCCTCTGCTGGCTTTCTGATCGCCTAAGACAAGCCTTTTCGGTCATATTTGTTTCACTTTCAACTCACATCAAGTCAGTCCGTCGGATTTATTTTACTTTCACATCACATCCAGCCAGCTTTTCATATTCATGTCACTCTCAAACCACTCTCAAACCACTCTCAAACCACTCTCAAACCACTCTCAAACCACTCTCAAACCACTCTCAAATCACTCTCAAATCACTCTCAAATCACTCTCAAATCACTCTCAAATCACTCTCAAATCACTCTCAAATCACTCTCAAACTACTTTTCAAATCATTCTCAAAATACATTAAGGCAGCTCGTCATATTAATTTCACTTTAAATTCATATCCAGTCAGTCAAGTCATCACTAAATCATGGCGAGTCCAGTTCGTCTTTCACCACAAGTTCAGAGAATACAGCAAAGTTTGCCATATGCTGATATCTACACCAATGCCTCTGTTAATTCCATGCGCTCACGCGAAAACACACAGCATCGCAACCTGACACTTCCTCATGCTCACCCTGACATCAGCCGGTGGCAAAATCCTGGTGGGTGGGGAGCAAGACATGTTAACGACACAGCCCCATTCACATTATGGGATGAAGATGCTCGCAAGTTCCGTTTCCCAGATGCCAACGAAAAACAGTGGATTCGCAATAAATATGGAAATACGCGCATTGGGCAGTCTGATTGGTTTATGTGGATTGAGACCGACAGCCCACCACACCCGATACCCTTGACTCTCGGATGTATGCCGGTTAGATTTACTAGAATCGGCGAGCGCCCCTACGAAGCTCTTGCGCCTATCACCTATTCAAATCCAAGAATCAAAGACCCATGTCCAAATCTGGCGTGGCCCCGAATGTCATTCCCAACAAGGGAACAAAGTGTACGTCTCCTCACGGCTTTGAAGCCTCTTGCGAATATACGAGGCATCATATATTTGCCCAACTGGACAATTGTGGAGCTGCGTTATGGGGATGGCCGAATCTATGAGCCGCGATCATTACCTGGAAGAGTTGCAGGTCGCACTACACTATACCACCATGCCGAAAAACCGTTTTACGATGGAATGACAAGCCAGACACGTGCCCGTGCTATCGACCCTTCCAGGCGCACAAGCATCTCCGGGCCTTTGCCTCAAGACGATTCTAATTATCTTCGGCGAGCATATCTGACACCAGGGTGCAGGGTGGAGTCTGGCTATGGTTCTGCAGGCTCCAGCACTGAGTCGGTCAACTGTGCCACAACATTGGGAGTCAAGTTGCGTAATATGCGCGGACAAGAGGCAGTAACAGTGGCACATCATGGGTTCCTGATCTCAAACGACGTATACCATCCGCGAGCTAGCGAGGACTTGATTGGCACAATTTTCGATACACGCCCAGAATTAGACATCGCATTTGCCAAGCTGACTCCTGCTGCGTCGGCAAGCTTCACCAATGCCTGCAACTTTCAAGCAGAACCACCCCAGAGACTCGTGCCTGGTGACATGATCCAGGCGGGCTCTTGGAGCGAAGTGGATGGTATGAGCTCCGGCCTAGTGAGTCTGATGGCATGTGGCAGGTACGATATGGAGCCGGCGCGTCCGGTCGGACATCCAGAAATCCCTTTTGAACGTTGGAACGCCCAGTCTATAAATTCCGTGTTTGGCGTCATCAACGCGACAATATCAGATGGGATTTGCGGAGCACCAATTGTCGACTGCGACACTGGCGGAATTACTGGCTTCTTCCACCTCTTTGATGGAACTGTTAATTGTCTCAGTGCTCACCTGGATGATTTGCTAGCCGAGGGGTGGCAAGTGGTTTAGAATGGACAGTACTCTTCTGCATGAACTTACCTTTGCGAAAAATGTTCTGGCTGGATCTCTTTGCTTAAACTTAAATAATGTGCCAATGGCTTACAGACAGCTGCCAATTGCTTTCAGAGTTTAACTAATCATTTGTTAACCTGCTACAGTCTAATGAAATCACTTTATGAAGCAATCTTTACACCCCTAATTACGCATTCATTTGAATTTCACACATAGGGAGAGAGAGAGAGAGGGGGGGGGAGGGAGGGAGGTGTATTATACCCCAATATCAGCTCCCTGTTGGGGCTTTTCCCGGGTCGCCGCTCTAGAGGTAGTAAAGGACACGACTAAGCCAGAGATCCCAGATACGAAGCTAAAGATGGGCCACGCATTCAAAGTATACCAGTCTTCGCCCGTTCTTATGTCCCCGATCCTCCGCGCGGCCTGCCCAGTAGCTCTCATCGACAGTGAATTGTCATTGGCGACCCATGTAGGGCCTCAGAACAGAATTTCACACGTACATTTTGTTGTATATCAGTGAATTTTATTACTGGGACGGTCGCGCGAGCCTGCATGCGACCAGCCGTTCCTGGTGCATATTCTTGGCGGCTACACCTCGCTTTGGCAACCCCTGTCTTCCTCCACCTCCATTTCCAACCCGGCTTGTTGTTTGGAGAACCACAAAACACCCTAACAGGAAATCACAAATAACCAGCTACCAGTCATCTCTAACCCAACCTAAAAATGAGCAGTTCTTTCATCCCACCCATTCTCCGCCCAGACTACACCTGGCCGCGACCAATGGGTCCCATTTCCACCACCACCCCTCCCGTTCCCCATATCCCCAGCAGACCCATCCGTCTAGCCTGGGGTCTCCTCCACAAGGCCCTTTACCACGTATCAAAATGGTACTGCGCCTGGTTCGGCATCCACAGCTATTACAACGTCTTCGAGCTCCCCTTCGGCCTCGTCATGAAATGGACCAACCGCATCAGCCTCGCCGAAGTCGCTGGAATGCAAATGGCGCGCGCCGCGGGCATGCCTGTCCCGAAACTCATATCCTGCGGCGAGCACGTGAACGATCCGGTGAATCGGAGGTTTTCGCTCCTCATGACCAGACTGCCGGGGTTTGATCTCGATAACTCGCGTGACGAATTCGAACCGGACGACGAGCTGCCTTGGCTGGAAGAGCTGGCTACGTGCGTTCGCGCAATGAGGTCCTGGACTCCGCCTGACCCACGCGCGATCTGCTCGCCGATCGGGGCCGAGATATATAGCACGCGAGTCCCCAGCCACGTCATGGGTCCGTTTCCAAGTGATAAGGAGCTCTACGACTTCCTGTTCGGTCCGGCATCGAGCCACGCGTTTGAGTCAAAGGCGGAATACGACGACACGTATACCCATGCGCCGAAGCTGCGGCAGTTCCCTGCCCGAATCACCTTCACGCACGGAGGCTTCAAAGCGCACAATATCATGATTGATGACGAGGGGCACCTGTCGGGGTTTATGGATTGGGAGTCGGCAGGCTGGTATCCGGAGTACTGGGAGTTTACGACGGCGATGCGTTTCGGGGGTGGGAGTTGGTGGTATCAGGTGGCGGGGTGGATGGGGGGAAATAAGTACCTTGAAGAGTTGGCTGCTGATAAGGCGTTGGATTTGTTGACGGTGGATTCTTATATTGCGTTTTAGATGGGTCAGGTGAGGGTGTAGATCGTGTTCCTGGACCGTGGGATTGGAAAAGATAGGTGCTAAAGTCAGGCGAACCTGATAAATGATCTCCGGAGAGGAACTGCCCGGGAATGGAATGTCTCAGACCAGGCCAGGGGAAACAGTAAACGCCGGGACTAGTTTCGAGCTGGTGGGAGGGATCCTGTCGATCAAGCTGATAAAGATAAGGGGGCTTGTGCTATTTTTGGAAGACCTGCCTTGGCGTTAATTATAGCATGGCGATTTCGTTCTAGTACTAGAAGCAAGTGATCAAGTGCATATGGAATAAATGTATATGTGTATGTGTGTGTGTATGTTCTAAGTCTTCAGGAACCCAACCCAACGCTAAATCGCAATAAAATATATACAACTTCATCAAAACATTATCGTAATCGTAGCCAAAACACCGCTAAACCGTGTAAGCGTCCGTCCGCGAGACCGGACAAAGAAACAAAAGACCACCTAGCATGGCTCAATAAACCCGTCCATGGACTAGCCACAGATCCTATTCAAAAGTATAAGACAAGAAGTAGAAAAAAAGGAGACATGGAGATCTCCATCAGCTGACCATCGGCTGCACCGCAGAAGGCGAACACAACCGACGCCCCAGCCCAAGTCTTGCCGCGTATCGTCGCGACCTAGACGAGAGGGACGTGATGGAGGTACTCGAGCTCGAGGATTTCGCGCTGCTGTTGGATGAGACGCGAGCCAGCTCGACTTTCAGCCGGTCTTTCTCAGCAGGAGGAGAGGAAGAGGATCGCTCAGGCGACCGTCGTCGCACGAAAGATTTCACGACACTCGCGATCTGGTCCCGGATGATAGTGACTGGAGCGGTTTCAGACCCGGGATCGAATTCCTCCTCGCTGTCGCTGTCGTCGACGCGCAGGGCCGCCATCGCCTTCTTCATGTCTTCCTGGGCGATCTGGATGGATCGACGCAGGACGCGATCGTGGGCGAGACAGCGGCGCAGGTCGGGACTGCGGGCGGAGGATTCGTGTTGCAGTTTATCCCGCGATAGGACGACCATGCGGCATGGTAGCGGGGAGGAGGAACGATGAGCGAGAGGAGGGAGGCGAGAGTTCAGACGAGGCGATTGCCGCATGTACTTGGCGGCGGGGCCGGAGAAGGAGGTCTCGGAAGACCGGGACATTGTGGTGTGGTATATAGAGGTAGAGGTGAGGTTATTCTGCTTTGGGGATAGGACAATGCAATGCAAGCAAGAAAGACTTTGTCTGCTGGTAATATTTCCGCTGATATTGCCCCTGGAGGTCAGGGGTCAGAGACTGAGTTTTTAAAAGAACCTGGCAGGGACGAAGCTAGTGAAGCTAAGAGCGATGACTCCCAGCAGCGCCGGTCTAGATCGTTTGTTTTTTCTGTGGTTCCTCACGACCCACTCGGACCGAAACCACTGCAGCCCAGACGGTTCGCCACAGGGCTGCTCCGGGTCCGATAAGAAACGTGGAAGAGCCTCGAGTCTCACTGGGTGTGGCGCCGGTCTAGACAATGACCAAGGAAATCCCCCGGACTGACGAGTCCGAGAGAGTTAAAGTGGCGAGGAGATGCCAGAGTTGTGGTGTCATGGACTGCAATTCGGGTGGTTCGGCATGGTGTGACCCGAGGGTTTCATTGGACGATAGCGATTGTGCGATCTGACAGAATTGATATGGCGTTATCTCTTTGTCGATGGTTTGTGTTTGTTTTTCTTCACTGCTGATGCCCAATGCGGATCTTTCTAGCTCTATCTCGAACTCACTGGTGACCTGAAGAGTTTTCACCCTAGATTAAATCCCCCCATCCTTCGCTTGGCCCCTATTTTTAGCGGTCCCATATCTGGGGCTAACAGCTCAACACTTCTAGCAGGGTCTACAGAATATTCCAGTTTCTCACATGCAGCGACCGACGACTGGATCTGACTAACATGGCCAATGTTTATTATGAAGTGACAGACTTCAAGCCGAACCATACTTCGTACAAACCTAGATCGTTCACCCGCCAATCATGAAAAATCGGTGGTTCTTAGGCAAGTCCGAGACTCTAGACCGTCAGTGGACGTGCACGAGTCTCCGGATTGACGGTGGACTTGGGCTGGTGGACCCACGAATTGCGAATCAAGGAACGGTTCTTACGACACTGTCGGGTGGACCGACGTGTGTTGTCGCTTTTCCGGGCCTCATCATTGGCAGATCCACAGTTCAGAGTCTAGATCCTGTCGTAGACGACATACGCTGTCAACGACTTGTCCATTACACAACGCTGGCCGGAGATGTCGCTGGAAATCGGAAATCCTTGACATTAGATATTATATGCTATGTATAGACTGGCCGAGGGGAATATCTCAACTCCGAACTCATTTTGACACCGGCATCCACCCAATGGATCATTTTCCTGCTCTCATCGCATCGTCATTCATGCCAGATTGAAGAACACCATCCAGACCACCGCCGCCTGAAGCAATCCCCCCACCACCACTCGCGTCGACGACGAATCCTTATCATCCCCCGACGACGACGAGTGCTTCGCGGCCAATTCCCCAGTCGACGTAGCGTTGCCCACCCACGCGTTCCAGTTCGTCAGGTTCCTGTCGCACTTGTCCGTGATGGTCTTCCCCTTCATCTGCGCCAGGAACTGCTTATCCCGCGATAACGTCACCACCACTTCGCCCAGTTTCTTCCCCGTGTCGATACTCCCGTGGTAGATGCCTTTACTCCCATCCGGCTTATCGTCCCACGTCGCCGTCTTGTTATCCCCGCCAATACTGACCGTGATGTCCGCTGGCTCTTCCAACAGCGCCGAGTAGAAGATCTTATCCTGCAGGACCTCCTCGGGCTTGTACGTCTTCTGCGCCTGCGTCTCCGTGTTCCCGGTCGTCTTGCCGTCTGAGCACACAGACGACGGGTTGACGCGGTACCACGACACGATGCCTTCGTTTTCGATCTTCGCGTCCCGCCCGGGGTTCTTGTACAGCTCGATCACGTACGGCAAGAAAGCCCGCCACCCGTCGTGCGGCATGCCCTTCGCATAATCATACGGCGCCTCGGCGTCGTCGAACACATTCAGACTCCGCTCGTGAATCGGCCCGATGTAATGCGACTCGCCGTAGTCGTTCCACGAGATGATCTCCACATACTCCGGGTCCATCTCCAGCACCTCCTCCCACCGCTTGTACCAGATATCGTCCCCCTTCCACACCCAGTTCTTATGGTACCGCTCCATATTGGTATAGAACCACGGCGACACCGGCATGATATACGGCTTGCCGTCCAGCGCGTCCATGTACTTCTTATCCACCGTGGTGTTGCTATCATGCGTGCCCTCGGGCCAGGCACTCCAGCTCATCAACCCGTCGACGGCCGCCCGCCCCAACGACACCTTCGGCTCCAGCGACGACCAGTCCGGGATGAACACGCAGTCGACCTTCTTCTTGATGCCCTGCCAGTCGCCGGCGGCCTGGGCGCCCTCGAAGGTCGAGACAAGCGGCTTGTCATCGCGGTGCCGGTAGTAGGCCGTCTTGTTGGTGTAGGCCTTGAGCACGTTGACGACTTGGTCTTCCGGCCAGTGGCCGTCGCCGGAGTAGTCGAGGGACAGGAAGAGCTTGAAGCCGACCTCATCGGCGATGGAGAATGCGTCGTCGAGGAGGTCTCTCGTGTTGATGCCCCAGCCGGTGTTGAGGGCGAAGGCGTCCAGGTGTGCGTCCTTGGCTGCTTGGATGTCTTGTCGCCAGTCGGCTTTGGTGTAGTTGTCGCTGTTGCCGAGCTGTGGACATGAGTGCTTGTGCAGGGGTGGGTAGGACGAAAGATGGCTCAGGCTTACCATGAAATGGGCAAAGACGCCCTTAGCCTGCGCGTGGCAGACACAAGCCGACAGGACCAGCAAGGGGAGCAAGAGCATTATGCCTCAATGTCCCTGTAGAATGGGAGGGGAAACAAGTTTTACGATATTTTTTAGAAACAGAATTGGCGGAGTGTCAGCTAATATACGCTCCTGCTCCGAACAACGCCATGACACCCATTTTCCGAATCCATAAACTAAAAACCAAACCATCCTCGGAAATATGATCTGTTCACGGTCCCATACGGAACGGCCACGCACGACGCCATAGCCGAGCGATATACCAAACCGGCCAAAGCGCTGGCAATTGACTTTGGATTTGAAATTATTTCCCTCCCCCGAGACATTTAAATGCCCGGCGTTCAATATTCTGCGAGCCCAGCGGAGCGGTCACCAGTCTTTGCTATAGTTAGCTCGCTCGGCATGACTCGAGCCAGGCAGCCATCTGTCGTGTCTTGTCTTTCCTCTTCCTATCTATCTCGTGTGGGAATTCACCAAGACTCCAGTATCCAGTCCGTATCCACATCCTTACTTGGGCCGTTTTCTCGGCACACGATATTGGCAGAGGTTCGTGTCCGCTAGTTCATGTACGGCATGGACCAGCCGGTTCTGGTGCACACAGAGCACACATCACTGATAGTTCCCTGCATGGCGTGCATTATTGGAACTTCAAGGTTGCAGCTACTGCATCGTGGCCTGGACTATTGTTGTCGGTCCTCCTGTCATACGGGCGGATTGGATAGATCATATGCGAACGGGTCGTGCGCATGCAGCCCGGGAGTAGTTGGTGTGAAGTCATGGGATTGTCTAGTGGCAGCGAACCTCGCATGAACTAGGCAATAGTGTTTATTAGGGTTGACGTCAGGGTGTAACTCAATGTTAGCCAGTTTGGTGGTTGGGAGGTTAATTCGATACCCTGGAGATGGTCATTTTATACTCCAGCGACTCGTATACTCTAGATGATAGTTAAGCAAGGAAGGAAGTTTATTCACTTCCCGCCCAAGTTGCTTCCACAATCCCCAACGCTGAACCAGGGACTGTCGAGCACCGAACAGAGCTGAACCTCGCATCGACCTGTTTAAACAACGCGGCCCACTCCTCTTCATCCCTAATCCGCGACTTATACACCCCCAGCATCAACATATCAACCCACCGAATATACTTCTCCGCCGCCAACGGCAGCGCACCACTATCCGGGCACAAGTTCTCATTCACCAGGACCTTCGCGCCCGGCCGCATCACAGGAACCAACTGCTGCAGGATATCCACCACCGACTCATCCGGCCAATTCATCAGCGTCCAGCGGAAGATGTAAACGTCCGCCACGACCGTCTGCGGCGTGAAGAAGTCGTGCACGTCGAACCGGATATTGCGAAGCTCGTTCCCCCTCGCCGCGGCCTTGAACTCGTCCGCCGCGTAGCTCAGGTCCTGCACCACCACGTTGATGGCCGGGTTTGTCGCCGCGATCAGCCGTCCGACGTGCCCGTTGCTGCCGCCGATGTCGACGACTGTGGCTCCGGCGGGCATATCGCTCCAGGGGTATCCGGAGACGAAGTATTTGGGCGATGCTTCGGGGACCCCAATGGAGAAGAATTGCATCCCTTTGGCGAATTGTTCCGCTTTGTCCGGTCGCGTGCTGAGGTAGGAGAAGATGTTTTGGTTATTGTGCGTGAGGGCGTATCCCTTTCAATATGGGTTAGCGCAGGCCAGGATATTTAGTTGCAAGGGAATGAGGATAGTCGTACCGACTCGTCGGGCTTATGCCCTGGGAACTGGTCCATCGCGTCGACGGTCTATGCAGTCGTAAGTATCGTCAATCACCGGCGATGTATGTATGTATGATGCACTCACTTTCGAAAAGCAGCCATACCACTCGTCGATCTGCGCTACGCCGGCGCTGGCACAGGGGTTCTCGACGAGGGCGCGCGACCCAGCGGAATGAGAGATGTACCCCTTTCGCTTTTCAAAGAACAGCCGGTGGTAGACGATCGCAAACCGGATGTACTGCTTTAAATCATGGACGTGCACGCCCGACGCCTGGGACAGATCCTGGTACGAGATCTCCCCGTCACGCGGGACGTGGTTGGCGATGCGATACCGCGAAATGGCTTGTAGACTGGCGCCGTTCCACTGATTGAACCAATACCGATTCCATCATTAGCTGGTGCATTTGAAGGGATTGTGTTCTTGACGCACCAAAGGTAGCAGACATGTTAACGGCCCTTGCAGTCGATCCAGCAATTCTGTACACGCATTAATGGCGTCAGACTTTGCTTTGGTTTCCTCTGCTGTCGGGGGAGGTGTAGGGCTGGATTCGGCTTCGAAGGACTGTAGCGAGGCACTGTATCCGGAGTCTGATGCGTCGAGGGTGGCTGTAGCCTGGGAGATGATGGAGGCGAGTCGCCCGATTTCTGACTGCATGGCGTGATACTTTCTGCAGTAATATTAAATAAAAGTATCTGTACGCTGTAGTATAGTGGCTTCTGCTAAGTCTCGCGTACGACGCAGGGCTTGTGGTATATATATCCAATCAATCGACAGCCATCCGCATGTCAGACTATCGCTATACCGTTGAAAGTACTATATAGATGGCCCCCACTGAGGGGACATTCCCCTCATGCCAGGAACTGCCCCTGTGAATGGCGTTAGTGCGGTTACGCCGACGTGGAGCTTGTCGAGGCCGAGTGGATCTTCTTGGGTTACATTAACGCTGGTCTGCCGTCTTACTTTCTTTGTTTGTCGATCCCTGCTAGTGGAGATGACCGCAGTAGACAGCCAATCTTCTTTCCTGTCGCTGGGAAAGCGTCGATACCCATGCGATGTACCAGAACACGTTTGATCCTGGATCATATTCCCTGTGTGCTGAGTCGGTTGGGGGCGAGATGGCTAAATAGCTTTATCTGGCCAGTTTCCAGCGCAAAGGACCCGCGTTTTCCATCTTATCTACTCCCTAACTTTCTTTTCGCCTTTTACTGTATTTCAACCGCTATGTCCGAGACCTACGACCATATCATCGTCGGCGGAGGTCTAACCGGCTGCGCGCTGGCGAGTCGACTCGCCGAGAAAGACGAGTCGCTGCGCATCCTAATCATCGAAGCCGGCTCCAACGCAGTCGACCATCCTCTAACCAGTACTCCCCTGGCGTGCTTCGGGGCTCACCACTCGCCTTTAGACTGGGACTACACCACCGTGCCGCAGAAACATCTCAACGACCGCGAATGCTACAACAGTGCCGGCAAGGCCCTGGGCGGCGGCACTGCAATCAACTACGGCACCTGGACCAGGGGCAATGCCGCAGACTATGACCTCTGGGCCAAGCTGGTCGGGGACTCGAGCTGGAGCTACGAGAGTCTACTTCCCTATTTCAAACGCACGGAGACGCACTACGATCCGAACGCCGACCCGGCTGTCCACGGCACCAGCGGCCCCATCCATAACACCATCGTCGAACGCACGAGCCCTGAGCGCAAATACCCCCTCAAGGAACCGGTTCGCTCAGCGTGGGACCGAATCGGCGTTAAATTCAACCCCGATGCCAACGCCGGAAACCCCCTGGGACTAGCCCACTTCGGAGAGAACTGGCGCGAGGGACAGCGCCAACTCGCCAGCGAGGCGTACGGACTGTCGAAACGTCCGGGCGTCACCGTTCTCACCGACACGCTAGTTGAGAAGGTGATTCTGACATCGCAACGTGACTCGCAGGTCGCGACGGGTGTGAAAGTCGTAAACGGACCGGACTACCACGCCTCGAGAGAAGTGATCATCTCCGCAGGCGCATACCGCACTCCGCAAGTCCTCATGCTCTCGGGGATCGGACCCGCCGAGGAGCTCGCAAAACACAATATCCCCCAGCTCGTGGATGCGCCGGATGTCGGCCGCCATTTCCACGACCACTTCTGCGTCCCGCAGTGGTGGAAGCTGCGGCACCCCGAACAGGGTCTCTCGATGGGGACGCCGCTCTGGACGAGCCCGGCGTACGGCATGGGAGTGCCTTATGATTGGAACGTCACGCTGCAGACTCCTTCGGATGAGTTGACACGAGCGTTCCAGCTAGACGATGGAGAGGTTCCCGCGGACCATCCGTACTTGAACCCGAACTTCGCGCACTCCGAGGTCCTGGTTATTTATGCGCCGATGGGCCAGGCCGTGGCTGGGTTCGAGACCCCGATGGATGGCACGCACATTAGCACGGCGGTACTGCTAATGGCACCTACGGCGCGCGGCCAGATCACCCTTGCCGATGCCGACCCGGCGAGTGCGCCTGTAATCGACCCGAATTATCTCGGGAAGGAAGTCGACCGGGCGATTGTTAGGGATGGGGTTCGAAGAGTAGCCAGGCTTCTTCTCGACACCCCTGAGGGTAAGGATATCGTGGAACATGAGGTGACTCGACCGGATAATGTGCCTATGAAGGCAGATATTACGGATGAGGAGATTGATGCGAATGTCCGCCGTGGAGGGATTACCTTCTTCCATCCTGGTGGCTCGGCGGCTATGGGTAAAGTGGTCGATACTCAACTGCGGGTGAAGGGCGTGAAGGGACTGCGAGTTGCGGATGCCAGTGTCCTGCCAGTGCCTCTGGCGGCGCATTATCAGGCTATCTTGTATGCAATGGCTGAAAAAGCGGCGGATCTGATTTCAGCTTAGATGTCTTAGCGACTAGCGGAAAGATTTTACGTATAAGTATGACCTTTGTCAACTTTGTCATAACATTGTAGATAGCATTCAGAAATGCACTTTCCAATGTAAAACCCTGCTAACTATAAGTACCTATTCGTAATATAAAATATCGGCAGCTCGGAAGACCCCCGATTAGCGCCTGCGAGCACCAGTAAGCGAGAGTAGGTACATAAAGCTAGGCTGCATACCATGTTACTTTCCTCTTTCACCACCCAATCTACGCCACAACACCCCCCACGATGGCAGCCTCACGATACACAGCCCTCGGCACGACCGAAAGCTCCCAGCAGCTCCCTCTCAACAAACCACCCCGCTGGAACGGCAGCTGGAAATACTGCCTCATCGCCCTCGGCGGACTAGCCTACATCTATCCCTTCATATTCACCGCGCAGCATGCGTTCTCGGAGCGCGTCCCCAACGAATACGGTAATCTCCCAGCTTCCCTCCTCCTCCAATGACGAAACTGATCCATCCAGCCCAAGTCAGCTCGTTCCGCACCGTCTGGAAACCATTCACCTGGAACACAGCATACAGTCCCCAAAACCACAGCGACGCCGACTCGCTCTGGGCCGCCATCAACCCAGCCCACGGCATCATCTCCGTAGACCGCGACTGGGCAGAGGAGAACCACTGGCCCGACTCGATGCCCATGCCAGATGACGACTCCAAAAGCGTCTATCTCCTAGAGGCATACCACCAACTGCACTGCCTTGTAAGTTCTCCCCTCCCCTCCCCTCCCCTCGCCTATCTCCGATAATGACCACACCCATCTAACCCACGCAGCAAATGCTCCGCCTCACCTTCTGGGAAGCCGTCGAAGGCCGACCATATACCCACCAGCCGTCGAATCACATGGAGCACTGCTTCGACTACTTGCGCCAAGTAAGCCCCATCAATGCCAAGCGGCACAATTTACAAACTGACAGACTGACAGATCGTGCAATGCAACGCTGACAACACGCCCCTGTACACCTTTGGCGAGTTCCAGGCCGGCGACGGCCAGCTGCACCGCTGCAGAGACTGGGGCCAGTTGCACGACTACGCGACGGAGCATTCCGCGTGCTATCGCGACAGCGTGCACGGGATTCCGCTGAAGGAGCACTTTGGGTTCTGTGAGAGTGCGAGTCGGGATGGGTTGGAGGGGACCTCTTAGGTCGTTAGTTAGTTAGTTAGGTAGGTAGGTGGTTAGGGCCGGGGCTGGGCTGGGGTGTTGGTTTAGGAGGAGAGCAGGCTTCTGATTCGAGGAAGCGTATTCGGGCACGTTACTGGGTTGATATCTGCCAAGAGTACTAAATTCACACGTCCGTTATGGTGATGACGATCTTCGTGAAGGAGTTGGACCCTGGTCTGGGCGGTTGTGGGTCTGTTGGGGCCAGATGGTCGTTTAAAGTACCTCCGGACCGGGGATGGAGGTTGGATCCACAGTGGCGTTTCTGGTACGGAGTAGGAATCAAAAGCGACGAAGTGAGGGGTTTCAGTGAGCGATAAGTCCGAGCCGCTCGGTTCATTTATCCCGGCGTTTGAGAAGATGTAGGAGATGTAGGATAACCACGAACACGATGGTAGGTCGTCAGTATCGTTCCGCTGACTATGCGGATTCCGACCCGGAACTCGAGGTGATGCAGGCAATGTTACCTGAAGAGGATGAGCCTATAAGGGCACGGGCTTGGACTCGATACCTTTTATCCTGGCTTTGTGGGCTGTTTTTCGGTGTTTTGGTTGTGATTCCATACAGTCATGTACGGTTTTCGAAAGAGGTGACTGCTAATCTACCGGGCGCGCTTCCTCGAGGTATGCATTTCACACAATGGAGAAAGGAACACCACTAAGAACAATGACTAGTTCCCCTCCACGAATGGACTATCCACCACGTGCAGCGCAATCACGGCTTCGAAGCTGCGCCCCCCGAGGGAGCGAAACAAGAAGCTATCTGGGATAGCCTCCTCCCGAACGGGTTCGGATACGTCAACCATCCAGACGTAGCTGCCAATCTCTCTATCCTAGGCGTCTTTCACTCCTTACATTGTCTTGTATGTTTAACCCCGTACCATGCCTTTGATACTGTTCAATGCTCCCTAAGCTAACAATTTTATACAGTATACCATCCGTCGCGCATACTACGACCCCAACTCCACAAATGACGTCCTTGACCTGGGTCTCGAGCGAGAGCCGCATGTAGGGCATTGTTTCGATTACCTGCAACAGACCCTGACTTGCACTGTCGATCCAACTATTGAGCCTGCGGACAAGCACCTTTTCGAAGATCCGTCCTGGGGTTTTGATAAGCAGTGTAGAGATATCGAGGAAATCAAGGCCTGGGCGGAGGAATACCGGGTGTGGGACGCCGAGGGGACGTTTCTTCCGTTTTAGTTACGCTAGAATTTGCATAGATGTATAGATAGTGTTTGTCAATTAACCATTCAATTAACAATCGATAATGATCCAATTTATATTAATCTAGTATACCATCTCTATTGAAGTAGCTGGCTGTGAAAGTGCTTCGCCGATGGCAGAGTCTTCTATCCATATGAAATGGTAACACATTGTTTAGCAATAACTTTCGCTATACAAGGTACGCACATTAGGTCTACTAAAAAGTACTATAACGCACGTCAGGTCACTAGTCTCCTTAGTGAATTACGTAAAACAGTAATAGCTGCATGGAAAACACATGAGTTGGAATAATCCAAAGTATAATATTCATTTGAGTCATCCGGCTAAATACAGAAGCAAGTCAAGCCCCATGTCAACCACACCCGTCGTAACACATCTAGTACGCGTCGCCGATCTTCTCGAAGTCGGCCTTCTCACCTCGCTGCTCTATAGACTGAGTTAGTATCTTCTTCTTGTATACATAGCATGATAAAGGGTCTCTTTACCGTTGGTGGCGGGAGAGGCAATGGCAACGGAGGCCATGCCGAGGACGATGAAGGAAACAATAGCCTTGAACTGCATTGTGGAGGTAGCGGGTATGCTTGGAGGATTGGAAGATTGATTGATGGAGGTGGGTTGTAGTAGATGATGAGGATGTGAATGTCTAGGAATTAACTACCTTCTTATAGTTCTGGCTACTGATTCAATCGAGAGTATACTATAATATCTGGACTTCTCTGAACCGCGGGTATCGGTCTCTCCGCGCCAAATATACAGAGTACACCCAGTGTCCATGCAGCCCCCATCACACCTTCATGGCTGGTGAGGGGTTGACTGTCATTGATGCAGCTTCAGCGGAAGTGCTGCTCTCCGCACACATCGGAGCCTCACCGTTGGTGTTATCTCAGTGGCCCGGTTGGATCCGATTCCCTGCATGCATGCATAGGTGGATGAATGAACGTGTCGTTCATAATCCCTGCGACTTACTTAGTATAACGAGGCAATAATAATTGACTTTTGTCAGACCCCTCGGTTGGACGGCGGGAAGGATTTCTGCACTCGGATCGGAGTTAGACAAGCCACTGAGGAATCGGGACTAAAGGACTTGTGAGCACGGACGTGGATTCATTATTCTCGTTCGTCAACCAATACGATATTATATTATCCTAGACCACTAGAATTGATTACTTTTACTCCAAATGTACTGTCTCTATTCTATTCCCAACCTCTATACTCATGCATCGCCCCGCCGGAGGTTACATTCCGTATGCAGTTCCAACAAGGGGCGCTTCGGCAGGAATATAACAGGGATTAATCAATGGATGGCGGAGTCTAGTCTGGGATCTGAATTTAAAGCAGCGTCTTTGGTTGTAGTCCAAAGTAGAGGGCCTATCAAACCATTGACAAGATACGGACTCCTCCCGAGTTGCATGCCAGAGCAAGCATTTTCAGCCCCCGCCAAGAATAGGAAACCCCTCTCGACGCGAAGGAATGCATAACGCCTTATTCGGAGTAGCCGGCGCCTTTCTAAGTTCTGACCCCCTCTGGCTGGTGATCGTCGCGGCAGCACGGCTGACCCGGACTTCAGCCGGTGCTGAATGTTATCAGCACGTCAACTTGCCAAAGTTCGCCGTCTTCGCCAAGGATTACACTTCCTCGGATTGTGGGTGGGTCTTCTTGGCTCTCCTGAGCGTTTTTATGTGCCCCAATATGGCTCAGATTGGAAGGATCTGCAAGTATTGGGAATATGGATCGAGATTGTCGATTGATTTGTAGTTTGCTTTCAGCTGATTCTGAGTATCTTGAACGGCACGAAGTAACAAGTATATATACATTTTTCTCCATTTATAAACAAAGAACCAATGAACTAAAGTACAGATTCCGCTTTTCCAAACCGCCCTCAAACAAAAGTCGTCGTAGACTGAGCATCCTGCTGCGCCGACACCCGCTTTGGGTTCTGTTTCGACAACGACGGAGATACAGGCGGACCGCCCTGGGCTTGATACGACCGATCATCTGGTGCGACTGTTCGTCCACCCTGTCTCCAGTCGTCCGTCAGAGGAATATCATCCTGCTGGATATACCCGGACTTGCTCGAGACCGTGGCGCTGAACTTCCCGGATCGCACGTACCCATTGCTCGCGAACTGGTTTGTGCTCGCTCCAGATCTATTCCGGATAAGAGGTCCAAGCATGGGCAGACACGCTGCGACAATGCCCACGGAGATTTCGACAAAGGACCACATCGCTGCGCCGACCGCCGTCCCTGTATTGGGTTAGTTGGGCTTGGGGACGCGATGGGCGTGGCAAAGGATACTCACAGGTGGGATCGAGCAGACTAAGCTCGGTCATTGCTACGGCGCGGATGATTCCGAAGACGCAGACACTGGATGCAAATATTAGCTCTGGGTAGATTGTTGGACTGGGCTGCAGCAAGCGACTTACACTCCGCCCAGTAGGAATATTCCGAGGACCTGCACTTTGCGCGCTGATTTCATGTTCAGATTCATCACTGGTTTCACGGGTAGGGCTAGAATGAGTACATCGGTGACTATGTTGACAACGCTATGAAAACGGCCAAGTTAGTATCTCCCAACCGCGATGACGGGGACAGAGACTCACGCCAATCCGGTAAACGAAGACTCAGTATCGATGCACGATGGGCCACCAGTCCAGAGATCCGACAGTGGAATACACTGCAACCCAGCAATCATGATGACAGCGAGATTGTACAGAAAGACAATGGCTCCGAGAATCCAGGAAGAAGTATATATCCATTTCGATCCGAATAGTCGACAATAGAACAGCAGGACTGATATTTTCGTCACCATAACGGTAAAGGAGTAGCTGACAATAGCAGCAACGTACCCCTATTTCAATCAGTCAATGGACGACAGCATAAACTCTCTGAGATGGAGACTAACCTTGCTAAAGGACACCGCGTCCTTGACGAAGATAATGTGTCTTCCTTGCCCATTGTCGATGGCTACGGCAAATACAATCGCATACGTGAGCTCGCCTACCTGCGATAACCTGTCAGAGCCGTGTCCCTCCTTACCCCGAATGCTGTGGACCTTACCATCGCCAACATTATCGTCCAGTCTTCCGGCCCAAGCGAGATTCTCGAGATGCGCCGCGCCGCGAACCGTGCTCCCACCGCCAGGATGGCCGCCAGCAATCCACAAACAAGAGAGGCGATTTCGTTAGGTCGTTTATCATCGTCGGCATGTTTCATGTAGTATTCGATCTGCTCGGGGGTGGGTTGTGCCATCTTGATCTCTAGCCTTCGGGATCTGTCCCGGTGTGTCGGTTTGATGTATCTATGAAGCAGGGGGGAGGTAGAACGTCCAAAAGAACAGATGCAGGTAAGATATGGCGAAACTGATACTCGTCGAATCATGAAATACGAACTACAATGCCAGCATATTTAGAAGACACCCTAAAGCAGGGAGGGACGGAAGAGGGCGCTGCATGTTAGTGATGATAGATGATTCCTGGCGGTTACAAGGGCTGAAATTGGGGCCGTCAGCTCCTTATTCAGTAAGCGAGTGCCTCGATCATAGCCAGTTAGTTGGGTTAGTTTTGGCCCTTCACATTCCGTGTCCTGCCTCTCGTGCCGATGTCAGTATTCATGGCGAGACGTGAAACGGTCTTCAGGTAGAATGTTCACCTGCAGCCAGGCGTTTAGGTTCCGGCTATCCTTCATTATTCCCTGACTTTGCTGGGGCCAGAATGATTCAAAGTCTAGTGGGGGCGCATCACCCCGTGTCCTATGCCGTAGGACATCCCTATCTGATCAAGTGTATATCGATTTCGATAAGAATAAAACTGGATCAAAGCTCGCCACTACATGCCTTTTTCATTCTGGCTTGTGCACGCCATGGAGCCACATGATAGGGACCTTCTCGTGTGTTTCATCTCTTTCAAACCCCAGAGGCATCTCTCCGGCCCTCGCCATGCCAATACAGGATTGACAAATTAGTTCCACCCAATCCCAACTGGAATAGGAAGGTAAAGAAAGCAGAAAAAAAGGAGCAGGATCCGCGTCGCCAAGCATGCAGGGTGATATTGCGGCGGGTGAGATCGGCGCCTTAGCGCTTACACCCCTCGCCACTGCCAGGGTACTTTCAACAAGCATTTCAAACGCAATCATTATCGCCATATGATAATCGATTAATGCGAGTGCAAATGAATTCCAAGTTGTCGACCGGATAGGCTGACGCTTTGCCAAGGTAGCAAAATTCTTGGCATGGATAAATGACATGATATGCCCGAGGGACGACAGCTCTCGACCAGGTCCACCTCGAGTTCGAAGGAATGCTGCAGGGCCAAGACCATCGCTAAGAGGTAGGTGCATCCAGGCAGTAATTGACGTTTCCCAGCATGACAGCAGGGAGTGAACTCTGGGATACGCCTGGCTTACCGACATTTACGTAAGTGGATCGCCTACGTTGCCATTATGGCCAATGGTTGCAGGATAAACCTGATAATATATGCAAGGGAAGGATAATAGATGCAGAAATACGTACGACACTTGCGTCGGTATTCGACAGCATAAACCAGCACGAGACACTTTCTACATGACTGAACCAGGCAGCGGAGATAAGTGCCAACAATATTGCGTCGACTCCACTAACATACAGGATGCGACTTGCCAGTCTTCCCTTGCAGAGAATGCGTCTCATTCGCATACAATGGGTTATGGGGCATCTTTGCCCCGTGCGTCTGGATGTATCTGCATCTGTTAGCTTAACCGATGAGCGAGTTAGAGCCCACAACGTACTGGCTGATGCGATCGATCATGGACTCGTCCATCTCGTCCAATGTCTTTATGGCCATTTTGAAGTCCTCGATCAGTAGATTGCATCGGTGGAGACTGAAATCCTCGCGCAGAACAATCCGCATCATTTTTAGCTGGTTGCTGTGCGGTGCCATTGTATAGGCTGGCACAACCCATCCTCGCCGACGAAGCACATGGGCCAGCGCAAACTCGTCGTACAACCGACTATCATCTCCCGGCAATCGGAAGGCAACAAGGGGAAGTCCTCGACCACTTCTCTCGCTCATTATGATGAAGTCGAGTTTCTCTAGTTCGCTGGCTAAATAGTCGGCTGTCCGCGTCAGGTTTGACATGATGCTTTTATATCCGTGCCGACCTAGCCGCAGCAACTGATAATATTGTCCGATAATGTGCGAGGCACCCTTGGAGAAGTTAAGAGTGAAGCTCGCCTGGTCGGAACCCAGGTAGTTGATGTTGAAAATCAGCTCTTTGGGAAGGTATTCGGGAGCTCGCCAGAATACCCAGCCGACGCCGGGATACACCTGTCCACCGGTCAGTTTATGTGCACATAGACGTCCAACAGACATACAAGCCCATATTTATGCCCGGACACATTGATCGACACCACCTTCTCCAATTGAAAGTCCCAGACCATATCAGGATTGACAAACGGCGCTACGAAACCACCACTCGCCGCATCCACGTGGATGGGACAGTCCATATCGCGCTGTATCAACAGATCATTTATCTTCTTCACATCCTCATACTCCCCCGTATATGTCGTTCCCACAATCGCACAAATCCCAATCGTATTCTCATCGACCAAATCCACCGCCGTCTGTGGATCAATCACGTACCTAGTATCTGTGCAGTAGACAAATTTCTCCTCGACGTCGAAATACCTCGCCGCTTTTTCCCAACATACCTGGACCGCGCTATTCATGATAATATTCGGCCGAGTCCAGTCCTTTCCCTCCTGTTTGCGTCGATTCTGCCATCGTTTCTTCATAGCCAACATGCCTAGCATGATAGCCTCGGATGACCCGACCGTCGACGTACCGATCGAGTCTTGATCGCTGTCGTCGTCATTGTTGGTTGGCGCGTGCAGGAGCCCCGCGATCATGTTTACGCAGCGGTTCTGGATATGCGCTGTTTGAGGGTACTGTTCGAAGTCGATGAAGTTTTTGCTCATGGCGTCGGTCATGAGGCTTTCCACTTCGTCTTCCTGTTTTACACATCACATTAGCGAAGGGCATATTATGGGTTCAAGGCAGTTTTACCATATACGTAGTTACAAAACTAGCTAAACTGCTGCTGTCAATACAGTCCGTACGTGGGATGTTCGAGAATGAAGACCTACTTGAGCAGTGGATTCCCATCCAGACTCAATTCATCCTGAATCATGCGCTTGACCACAGCAGCCGGCATCTCTCGCTCTGCAATCTCGTGCTCTGGCAGCTCCTCAGCGGCATAATGCGTCGCATAGACATACGGGGCGGAAGAGGTGTCGCCGGACTCTTCGGGTTCGCGATGGGGATGTTTCGCCTTCCTGACTCTCGATAGATGCACCATTTTGTTTGATGATGAGCTGGTTTATAGAAGTGAATGCCTTTGTCAAGGTGGAATTGGAGCTATCTAGCGACTATTCTCATCATGTAGCACAATGACGTGCACCATTCCTTTGTGCTCCCTTGACGACGGGATGACTTCATCGCCCTCGTATTGGACCTATGGATCGAGGACTCGTCACAATTTTGACGGTCTAGAATGGCCTGTTGCCAACGATGGGCCAAGGGGCCTAGAATGCCCAGAATGGATTATTGTCCGCCACTTTAAGCCACAAGCCATTTTGTTAACGGTTCGGATAGGGAGTCATCAAAGTCCTTTTCAGCGCCATATACCATATGATCATTGATCTATCTCCTAGCTTTTGTCATACATTCATCTTTCTTAATCTAGATAGAGACTGTCAATTCAAATAGATTGCCCTTTTTAGGCAGCCTCACAACTACCATGAACCCCACTGCCCCTCTAAAAGCCCAATGTGGGTGTTTCCACAACGCCGTTACGCTAAAAGACGGTGTGGGCGCCTGGCTCAGTTCGACAGAATTCGACACCTGGGACATCCTCCTGCATGCACGCTGCAACTTGCATGTAGGCACGAGGCTATAGCAGCCGCCAAAGTAGGCGGTGACGCTGTTTCGTGAACATTTCTATTTCCTTCTATATCACAAGTTGCGGGTATACTCAGTGGAGTGTTTTTATGTTGATTTATTTGAAATCACCATCGCCTATTTCGTGTAGACCTGTCGTATGCAATAGAAGTTGACGGCGTTGGTCGGGTTTCGGTTGTTGGTTTTGTAGGATGGACTTACGGAGTATATGAAAGTGGATGATTGGATCTTGGCAGGACCTGAGCCATAATCACTATACACGAGAACACAATGGAGACTCTGTCTCTGTTTTGTCATAAGCAGAGAAAAGAAAAAGGACGATAATGGGCATGCTAAGTACAAAATTCTTTTTCCCAAACCTCTCTCCTCACAGCATACAGTCATGGTAGTATATATATTGCAGGACTGCAACATCAGATTCTTCCCCCCCCCTTCTCTTCGAAGCCTAAAGAGACCCCCTATTTAGCCTAGAAACATAAATGAAATTGAGTTTGATTTTGAGGCTATACTCGGAATTTGATCAGTCTTTAGTAGCTCATTTGAATAAATTGTCAATTCTTCTTTTCCAGCCTGAGGCCATACAGACAGAGTCTTGGCATGACATCACCGCACACTTGGCGGTCAACTTGGCGGAAAACTCTTCTGCCGTCAGAATCAGCCTTCGGATTTCATCTTCATCTTTGCCTCTGCCTCATCTTTGATCTTTGCACGCCTTCATTCCACCTCAAATTTCCCTGTCTTCTCACAAGCCATCGGCACATACCCGCTCTGAAGTATTATCTGAATGTCCCACTGATGGAGTCTGCTCGTATTGAAGTTCTCTTGAATCGTCGAAAATTGCCCCTTCCTATATAGCCTCCTGGATCAACAATTACTACCATCCTTATAACATGGCCGATCAGTCCGAAGCGGCCTTTGCGTATCATGAGCCTGCCATTGCGACGGTGCTCAATTTGGCCGGATTCTTGCTGGTCTTGAATCTCGTCAATGTCTGCCTCGATAAACTGCTGTATTGCGGCCTCATCGGCCAGCTGTTCATCGGCATCCTCTGGGGTACCCCGGGCGCGAAATGGCTCGATCGCGGTATGGAGACAGCTGTTCAGCAGCTTGGATATCTGGGCCTGATTATGCTCGTATATGAAGGTGTGTTGCTCGTGTATGCGACCGTAGGCTTTACTAACGGACCTATAGGTGGTCTTTCGACCTCAATTAAGTCGCTGAAAGCCAATCTCCTTCTGTCGCTTTCGGTAGCAATCACCGGAATCAGCGTGCCTATGGGCCTATCCTTCATTCTCATGGACCTGGTCTCCGCGACTCCGTTGCAGGCTTTCGCGGCCGGTGCGGCTCTCAGCGCGACGAGTCTCGGAACCACTTTTACCATTCTGTCCACTACCAACTTGATCACCACCCGACTAGGAGTTGTAACGACTAGTGCGGCGATGATTGACGATGTGGTCGGACTGATTATGGTTCAGATTATCAGTAATCTTGGTGGCTCGGACTCGTTCAGCGTGGTCACTGTTATTAGGCCCATTTTTGTGTCTATAGGCTTCGCTGTTGGTCTTTTCCTGGCCTGTCGATTTTGTCTTCAGCCTGTGCTGAGGAAATTGGTGGGCTTGAAGGATAAGATGCCGGGGGTGGTGCTTACGGCGCAGTTTGCGTTCGTCGCGCATACGTGTGTTCTTGTTGGTTTGGTTGCTGGCGCGACGTATGCGGGGACTTCGAGTCTGTTCGCTGCGTATCTTGCCGGAGTAATTGTCTCTTGGTTTGACGGGATAGTGGCTGAGAAGGAGCAGGCAGTACCATCTCAGCAGAGTGGCGCCACCGAGTCTTCAAACACTCCAGAGACATCCGACAATGGGAAACAGCCGACTCGAGAACCAACCCCATTGAGCTCTCCTGTCGAACACCCACCGGCAGCAGAACGTCATGAAACCCCAACTGGCGTGGTAGTCTATGAACGATACTACAAAGAGCCCGTCAACCGGGTATTCATCCCTCTTTTCTTCGTAAGTTCCCCTAATGCCAAAGCACTCGACTGCATCGCTGACAAGCTAGGCGTCCATCGGATTCGCCATCCCGATCACCGAGATGTTCCAAGGAAGCATCGTATGGCGGGGCGTTGTCTATGCCCTCCTCATGGTCATTGCCAAGTTCATTACCGGATTATGGCTGGTCCGCGTCTCCTTGAGTCCAGTATACAGCCTTCTGCGCACCGCCACGAAGCCCTTCTCGTATGCGACTCTCGTTTGCTTTGGTGCACGAAAGCCTGCTCCTAGGCAGAAGCAAACGACCGGTACCGAGATCCCGATGAAGGAAAGGACACCCCAGCCTCAGACGTCGGACACAGACGAAGGGCCATCCCCGAGCACCAATCCAGACACGCAGCCTGATCAACCACCGCAGGCTGAGCCATCAGATCATCCGGCCCCTTCCGCCGTCCCCCAGCGCACACCGTCCAATCGTGTCTCCCTGCCCCCTAAGCCCAAGTCCTTGTATCCGTCGTCGCTTCTTGGCCTTGCCATGGTGGCCCGCGGAGAGATCGGATACCTGATCGCCTCGTTGGCGGAATCTCGGGGAATATTCTCCGACGGAGCGTCGACCGGAACGACGGAGAGTTACCTGGTCATTGTCTGGGCTATTACCCTGTGTACGCTTATTGGGCCGATCTGCGTGGGGACCCTGGTTCGACGGGTGAAGACGCTGCAGCAGAAGAGGGTCAGATCCGGGGGTATGGATCCTCTGGGGGTTTGGGGTATCTAGATTGAGTGGGTCGGGGTAGCTGGATCGGATTTTGTTCTGGGCTGTGGAACACTGCAGGTCTGGTCAGCGCTGTAGGGGGTGGATTGGATTGGCTGTGCCGGGGAGGGGATGTCCCATTGGCTGGGATGGCTCGTATATGTATTCTGTGTTCATCTGAGTGGAATGCTCATATGGTAGTCGATTGAGTATATCGATGGTATTGATGTCTGGAATAGTTCTGCCTAGCTTAGCCGGTTGAGATTGGAAGAGCGTGTCACAGGTTGTACTGATGAGCTCACAAGTAGGTCAAGTAACTTCCTATCAATAGACAGTAAACGAGTCATCCAAGTCCTATTCCCAATGTCGTCCAGCGTAATGACATCAGTCAACAGCTCACCACGCGAATGAAATTATGCAGCAACAACAACACTATACACCTCCAGATGCTGGGTACTCCTTTCCATATCCTAAATTAGAACACGAACATTCCGCATACAAGGTCGCCTGATAGCTTGGCCATTGCTTTTTAGTTGAATATGATGTTTCGATTCCCTAGTAGAATGGCTTTCTATAAATCGAGCGATTATCCAGCTATCTCCTAACCTCTATCTACAGCCAGAAACTACAAACCACAACAAAAAACACCAAAATACCTCTATTATCTCATATTCAATACCACTATCCAAATCCTCACCACCAGCAAAATGCAAATCGTGAAAGTCCTCTCCGCGATCCTCGCAATGCTGACCCTTAGCGCCGCCGCAGATCATGAAGTAACCCCCCTCCCTTCTAGTCTCCGTCTGTATCACGAGTAACCCAACGAACAGGTAACCCTCTACAACGACCCCGACTACAAAGGCCACTCGAAGAAGATCTCGCCCGACAAATGCACCGAGATCAAAGGCGATCTGTATTCTAACCCATCCCATCCCATTCATCCATCTCATACGACCAAGCTAACGCTAACCAACCCAGGAAACAACTCGGGTCTATCAAAATCCCTCGCGGACGTGTCATGTGCGTTTTGTTCAAGTAGGTCACCATGCACTTATTTCTGTCTTAATTTCAACGATAAGCGTAGACAGAGGTGGAACACATGCTAAGAGAGTGCTCCGTATCTAGTTCCAAAGACTGCGACTGGCGCCCCCTGTGCACTTTGTGGGGCAAGACAAGCGATCTGACGGATCACGATAATCCTTGTTTGCGGTCGGTTGCGTCCCGGACTAAGTCTATTGAGTGCTATGATTAGGTGGTGGGTTTGGGAACTGTCGTGCGCAGGAATCGACGAGCTGCGGATCTCTTTAGGTTAGAATGGGATAAGATGGGATGGGTTAGGTTATGCTACGGAGGGTGGAAGTTGTGGCGAGAATCGGCGCATGTGCGGAAGTCGTTCATAATGATAATATCTACGGGAAAGGGATCTCTAATTATTTGGAATCGGTCCATCTAGCTTCGTGAAAGGCGCCGTGTATAGCCTCTTAAGCCTGCAATAGTATTGAAGACTGCTCTCATATGGAATATGAAACTCCGGCTGCATGGTATCTGACAAATGTGTTCAATTAAATCTCACTATAGTAAAGGCTACCAGGCTACCTTGGCTCCCAAGTTCAATTTAATCCTCAAAGTCTATGATCTTAATGCTCAAGCCAGGGGGAACATTGACACTCTTCAATCCATCAACATCAACGTCATCTTCCGCCTCGACCCTGCTTTAATTAGCTTCTATCCGACATCCGACTAGCTTCGTAGACTTACTGCATAAAGTGGATCGGCGGCGTGGTGAAGGTGGAGTCGTATTGATCGGGAAACGTGAGCTCCTTGCCATTGTAGATCTGTCGCATCCTATACACGAAAGAATCAATTCGTAGGTACTTTAGCAAGGATGCGTAGTGTCGGCTCCTTACCGGTCCGTGAGCTTTTGTCCGTCGCCGTAGTACTCGTGGGCGAGTTCGTTGTCGTAGCGGACGTCAAAAGTCTAGTTATCTCGTTAGCCACTGCTATTTCGGACATAGTAGGGTGCTACTAACGAGGTTCTTCATGGTTGCTGTTTTGTATTGTGTTGTGAGTTATGAAGGGGATCTGAGGAATTCAGTAAATGTCGACGAAGCAAAGGCGGGTGTTTATGTACAAAGAGCTGTCTGTCTCAATTTGTATGATGTCATGACTCGCCCAATTGACTCCATCCAGATCTCGTCGATCTTCCTCTGAGATCATGACTTTCGTTGGTTCTGCGATCGATAGACGTTCCGGGACCATGGTTATAGGCTGCGGCAATATCCAGTAGTTGTTGCAGTTCGGGTAACTAGTTAGGTAGTTAGTTAAATAGAGCGATTGATTAATCGGTCATCGCCTCGCTCGAAATCACGCAACTTTCACACGTCATGAAATGAAGTCATAAATTGACGATCTTTTCATCGATTTGACTCCTGAGAAAGCAATATAAATAGCCCTGAAAATCGCTGCAATCGAGATGTAGAACAACCAATAAAAACACGCAAAAATCGTCATTCTTTTATAGCCAATGACATCGTTTGTTTTGAATTGAAGCGTTTTATCGAATTAGTCATTTCCGCTGCGGAATAAAATCCTCCCGAATTTCTGCCACAGTAGTCAACCCACCGCACCTACCTAGGAGTCATCCGGACGTTCCTCCTGCCTGCTTTCATGTTCCATCAGTTAGTTGATTAGCTCCACAAATTTCATTAGTGTTTCCGGATTGCTTCGAAGTCATTCTATCGTTCTCCTCCTACAGCCACTGAGAGCCGTATAGAGACGGCGTGTAGGTAGGCTGCTAGGGAGTGTTAATATCCGCATACTATATCTGCAATTTGCGGATTTCGATGTCAAATTGCGTAAAGTACCCTGCAATTGCATGCATGAATTACATCACTGCTCTTTCCCCTTACCACAGGGCATGTTGGCTTCAACGCTGGTGCCATAAAGCGAGCACGTTCATAAACGGACCACGAGTCTATATATAATTCTCTGCGGAAGTTCAAGGAGAAGGAATTGCAAAAGGTGTCGCGAGACTATGTTTTGTAATGTGTGTATCATCCCACAATAAATACTTCTGATCGCCCGAGGATCAAGAGCTGTCAAAGTTGTCACGTCAAATGACATGAAAATAAGAGATGCTGCCCACCATAAACGGTCGAAAATTTCTAAGACAAAATGCCTTACCCGACGACTATTCTGCGGGCGATTACATCAAATTTTGAGGATAAATCCGTTTAATCGAAGGATCATGCGCTTGTCTTTCAGCTACCTTTTCTGAGGGCCGCAGCTTTGAGAGGGACCACAAAGCTTCTTCAAGATTTCGAAGTTCTTGCAGCAAGAACCACGTTTCTTTCTAGTGTAATGCATTTTCTCCTTCGTGTTGCTATTTTTAGGACAAACATGCCTTCCCTACAGGCAGGTAGGTCCGCCTTGTCTGATAGAATCCCTAGCCTCTGACCACCAATACTGGCATTGAATTTGACATTCCGGAAGAGCGAAAGGGCGCCTTCAATTAAAGTCTGACTAAATTATTGCCTCGCCAAAAGATCACCAAAAGTTACAATTAACTCAACATTGAGCAAAATGAGAAAACACGACGGCGTTATCGCTGTTTTGCCGGATGCTGAATACGTAAGCCATAAGATTCTTTAACTGGACAATATGAAATTATTGTTGGGGGGCGAAGGGGAAGCCTATGGCTCTCTGTTTCTCTAGCTCTTAAGCTTCCTGTATACATGATTCGGAGTAATCAACAGAAGCTAGTATAGCAAGTGCCACCACCTGGGCAGCGTTTTTGCAGCATACCATTTAATATTGCATTCGGAAAGCCTACCCAGGTACACCGCCGAACATGTCGGCTGCCGAAAGCCAGATTGAAGAGTAAATACAAAAGATCTCCAGCGATCAATTTCATCTTGCCTCTTTGTTTATTCAAAATCTCTCACAATCCAAAATAATCCCGTGGACGGCCGCCTTTGTAGTCAATATAGCTATGTGTTGCATGACTATTATCTTTACAGTCGTACTACGACGGGCTTTAAGCGAGGAAGGTCTTGAAAGAAAACATGGACTCTATAGAAATATCCAGATCTACGCTGGGCAGGTCCTTCCACCTGAATTCCAAAGGAGAGATCGGATTCCCCAAGCGAAGACAAGGCCAGGGAGCTCTGGCTCCCCATTATGCCGGTTATCTCAAACTGTGAATATATCTCCCTCTTCAGCCAATTTCTTATTCAGCCGGCCTAAATTTCATATCTACCTGATGTAAATACCTCATACACAACTCCTAACAAATATCTTGTGATATTCAGATATGATGCCTCTATTTACTGTATAGGATCCTGGCAGCAACCCAGCATAATATGTATTGAGCAAGACAAAATCCCACAGATTGATTTCCTCTGGGAGAGACCACCACCAAAATAGTCTCCTATTTTAATCACTTGCCGCCGTCACCTCCAACTCAATGATCGCACCTTTCTGGGTCAGGCTGGATATTCCAATGGCTGTACTGACAGGATAAGGAGGTTTGAGCAAACGACCCCAAGCATCATCGACTTCGAAAACTTTGCTCATATCAGTGATGAAGAGGCGACGCGAAATGATCTTGTCCAGCGATGAACCAGCGGCCAAAAGACAAGTTTCAATATTGCGAGTAGCTTGCTCCTGATGAATGTTATTAAACCATCCTATAAATTAAACGACAAGATGCATCCAATGATGGCAGGCTTTCTGGCTTCTCATTCTGAACTTGAAGGTATCCCAACTGAACTTACCATCTGCGCAACAGCACCTCCCTCGACGACCTTGCCCGTTTCGGGGTCTTGTCCCATCCACCCGGAAAGATGCAGAACGTTCCCATGCTTGATTACCAGTGCATATTTTCCATTGCTCTTCGGTGCACCAGGACACTGAATAGCGTTCTCGGCTCGATTGAACGACATATCTTGGGCGAATAATGGATTCGTAAATACCGAGCAGAGAAAGGCAAACAATATCCCAGGCTTGATGAATGCGATCAACGATTGATTTCAATTTTGTGATTACAACTCATTAAAACATACTCGGGTGCATACATGGGTCGAATAAGTACACCCGCAAGGCTTCACACTTTAGATTAGGGCTCCCGTCGGACTTAGGAGGCCGGTTTGCGGACTACGATAATCCTTGTCAGGGGGCCTCAAAAAACGGATTTACCGGTGATACTTAGGTAATAATGTCCGAATTTATCCAGGCAGTACCATTATTATTGTCTTTGTTGTGAAGAGGGGATGCTCTTGGGCCCTTGGCATAAGGGAGAAACCCACGTATTGCCAAGACTACTGTCCTCTGTGGTTAAGTAATAGTGGAGCTTATTCCATCGAATATCTTTCCAATATCTTCCAAATTGACGAACGGTGGACACAACCTGCATAATAATTAAAAACGTTACTAAATGAAATCGGACCTCGCCGCTCTCAGATTTCTGGAGGAAGACTCGTGGCTGTGTTCGACTCCGATGAGGCATTCTGGGAACAGGTGTTTCTTATCACGCTTCTCTCATTCCCGTCCAGACGTTTGAGTCGGTGACTTCGAGGCGTTTTTGCTTTTGCTCCTGTGGCTTCTTTTGGGGGTGGCTGGGCATTGTGCCCTTTCGTTTCTGTAGGTAGATATATCGGTGCTATTGAAGTCACCCTATTTCGGCCATTGTGAAAATCTTGACGTTGGTGGTGTGGATGTTGGTAATGCTGTACATGCTTCGGCTATACGGGGATGGTTTGGTGTTATTATGGAATGTAACCACCGAAGTTTTGGTATTTAATTGGTTGAAAAGTAATGAACAGTTATTCTAAGACGTCGGCATGTGCTTGAATACGTGCTCTTCGATGTGTAGATAGATCACTCGACCTGCTTAACGAGGTTAAACACTATGTAGGGTTCTTAGCATTCTGGGAATGTTTGAACTCGGCCTTAAGTCTTAGCCCGAACATCCTTGGTTTCTAGTCGGAGTTTGCTCGTATTTCGATTAACTCCGAGCTGCTTTCCCTTACAGTTAGTTGGTTACTAGCCATGAACCCCCCAAACATCGGATTTTGAGTAACAAAGCAATATGGCTTCTTATAAAAATACTTAGTTGAACTTTATTAAAATACATTTTCTGAATGTCCTTTCTAAAAAAAATAGCTGCCTCTTTTCTTGCCACTATGACTTCAAAGGAGGCCCGGACGCAACCCCGAGACCCTCCAGATGGAGGTGCCCGTGCCTGGATGGTTACTGTTGGTGCATTTGCAGCTCAAGTGTCAGCCTTATCTCAAAAGCATTCCTGGTATTGATTGTTCTCCCGACTGACTTTATCTCTATCAGGTGCACGTTTGGTTATATCAATACATTCGGGTAGGTTCTCTATTACTATTATGAGGCTAGCCGCTACCAAGTCATTTAGCATTTACCAGAGTTATTATAAGGATAACTTCCTTTCCGACAAATCTGAAAGCGACATCTCATGGATAGGATCTCTCCAAGCATTTTTCCTATTCCTCTTTGGCGCCATCAGTGGCCCTCTTGCCGATCGCTTTGGCGTCAAGGTATTTCATTACTTCTGTCATACATTTTTATCCTAAGTCACTCACTGACTGATTCCATAGATGGTCCTTATCCCCTCTGGCATTACTCTCGTCTTCTCTGTCATGATGACCAGCCTCTGCAAAGAATACTACCAGTTTATTCTCGCCCAAGGAGTCCTCGGAGGACTAGCCTGCGGCATGATCTTCACCCCAGTTGTCTCAACGGTCGGCCAATATTTCGTAAAGTGGCGCGCATGGGCAATGGGCGTTGTTGTTAGCGGCGCAGCTTTCGGAGGTATCATCTTCCCCGTAACCCTAAACAGACTCCTGTCTCAGATCGGCTTCGGCTGGGCTGTCCGGGTAGTCGGGTTCATCATGCTAGCTTTAATCATGTACTCCAGTATCGTGACTAAAGAATTCGCTCCGCGGCGACAAAAGGACTTATTCGTCCCAAGGGCATTTACAAACTGGGCATACATTTTTGCAAATGCGGGCTTTCTGATCGGCTTAATGGGCCTGTATGGCCCGATATTCTACGTCTCCAGTTACAGTCGAGCACAGGGCATGGATCCTCAACTCGCTCAGTACCAGGTTGCCATCCTAAATGCATCGTCGTTCTTCGGCCGTATCATTCCTAACTTCATGGGCGATAAATTCGGACGCTTCAACATGGCCATCGTTACATATATAGCTTGTGCTGTTCTTTGCTTCTGCTGGACGGCTGCCACATCCACGGCCGGTATTACCGTCTGGGTTATCTTCTTTGGATTCTTCTCTGGCGCAATCTTCTCTTTGTATTCGCCCACAGTTGCTCAAGGTCTGTCTGTCCTCATCTAATTACAAACCTGCAACTAACTCTCAACCAGTCTGTCCTAATCCGAGTGAAATCGGAACATACATTGGACAAGGCCTTGCTGTTTGCAGCTTTGGAGGCCTGGTAGGAACTCCAGTCAATGGCGCTCTTATTAGGACGTATGGATACCTTGAGTGCTCTATGTTCTGCGGGACGACGCTTGTTGTTGGGACCCTCTGTATGGCTGCGGCTCGGCTCATACTTGAGAGGAGGATTGTGGCCATCATTTAGAAATCTCTCTCTAGCCCAAGCGCTGGAGGGACCCGGAGCAGTCTACCTGACTGCACGGTGGTGAGGAGCTCTTGCTAGTTTACATACCTAGGGCAGTATTCGCCATACTACCTAGACTGCAAGCACTTCTTTTTGTATGATCATCTTGAAAATTAAAGAAGACCTAAACCCATAAAGGACCTATCTATGGTTTAATTTCTAGTATCCAGTAATAGTAGTTATCCAGAATAGTCGTATGATCTAACCCTAAATTCCTCTAAACCCTTTTCTATTGTAGATCCACTCCCACCTGGGATGATGGCGCTAATAGAGCGCCTCCACTACGGCGCTCTATCTACAAAGTTCTTATCCACTTCATTCACGCGGCCATATGCTTTCCCCTAGTGGTCCTTTGGGTTTATGCCATTTCTCTCTTCTCACGAACACTCCCGGATTTTGTGGGCACATTGGCAAGCTGATTTAATTTGGTAACCTGAAAAATATGAGATTATGACTCAATAAAGGTTTTACCCCAGTCTGATAATAATCCGTCTCAGTGCCAAATTAAAGGGTAGCTTCACTGGGACTTCGGATTTGCAAAGCACCGGATCTACGCCCGCCAATAATAACTAAGCAGCTTTATAATTAAAATTATATAATAATTAGATTAAATTAAATTTTAATAAGTTTTATTAGGGTACTAATATTAAATCTGGGTTAAATCTAGGTTAAAGAAGTTTCACCTGGACGCAGACTGGGTTAAGTTTTAGATCAAGACCTTCGACCCAAGTTGGGTTATGCGGAATCCAAGTTGGCGGATATGCCGCAGTCTACATGGTTATATGGAGCGTTGACAAACCTAACTTCGGCCGTTGGTTGAACTTTCATTCAGCTTTGAAGCTATGCGCTTTCGGAGTTGACTGACTTCTTATTTGGTTTAATGATCTGCTCGCAAAGGCTTCATCGAGCAGTAGGGTGCAAATTCGCTGACTCTCTACCTATCCAACTATGTAGGATTATGCACTGGACCACTAGACACGCGAGGCGATGCTGTATTCCAGTGGAATTTCTTGTATATGAAGCTAACTCCCCACGTCCGATGCTTCACGACCAGCCATTCAAGCGTATTACCGCATTCGCTGCATGGATGGCTAGCCTCATCCGCAAGTCCATATCGTGGTAACAGTATCCAATAACCGCAAAATATATGCTTTTTCTCCCGCGTTTACGGGGGCTAACTTCGGTTCGATCGCGATCGAGATCACAGACCCTGTCAATTTTCCTACATGACATCTTCTAGTTCAGCAGACAGTTTTCGTCACTGCGATTCTCGGACGTCGATAGGTCAAGCCCATAATCTGGTGGGGCTTTAGGTCAACCAAAACTCAATCTCATCGTGTCGAAGATGAAACAAAGGGAGTCATGACATAGGTTACATTCATTGAGATTCTTTCGATCTGGGGCATGAGATCGTGACGTTTTTCCTCTTCCGCTTGCGGAAGTAACAACACAGGAGGATCAGGGGTATTTATCCGGGGAGATCTCGTTGGCTAGGTTTCTTATTTTGATCGGCTTGGTTTTCCGGTGAGTAGGATGTTATGCTCATGAACTTTTTTCGCGTTTCTGGGTATTTGTCATGGGAGTTGTTGGCGGACATCTCGGAGGCCAGCCTGCGCCGGTGATCCCGCCGTCAATCCCGGAGCCTTCGCGATTTAGAGGATTGTAACACTCTGCTGAGGAGGATATTCCGAATGCTTGAATTTTGCAGCTTTGTCCTCCGGGCTATGACTTTCGCGTCACAGGCTAGATTAGACTATGTTCTATCGAAGCTAGCATTTGTAGCATCCTCTTCGGAGTAAGACAGCATTGTAGACTTAAATAAGGCCAACAATTCACCACCCAAGAAAAGAAACCGATTCAAACATCTCGCTAGTTTCCTCCACTATCGCCCTTTCAACCAACCAGACCCTGCTCATGAAAAACTAGAGCCCATAGCGCCGCAATAGCGCCTCGCATTTCCACCGCCCACCAATCACCGCCTTCGACGCGCTGTTCTGCAGATCCCCCCAACAACAATCGTCAACACTGAATCTGAACCTGAATCAGAATCATGCGCACTCGCACTCGCACCACGTCCATGTCCCCGATGCTCAGAGCAGAGTTATTCGCACCCTGTGATTCTTGACGATTTCTATTCATCCTCAAGTGTTGACTGGTACTCGGACTCGGACTTGGTGGCTCCTTCTCTCGCTCACAATGTCCGCTTTCGATGTCTGGCGCGTCCCCGTCGCGCAGTGGACCCTGATGCAGCTGGTCACTGCGATGGCTGTCGGACTGACTCCGTCGCGGTCGCGACTGCGACCAGCCGTTGCAGCGGTGGTGGTTGCTCTGGCGTGTGGGTTCCAGCGCGAGATTACTGGCGGTGCGATCGACGTGCGAGTCGCGGGTCCGATGATGGCGAGTTGCTGGCTGAATGTGCTGAACAAGATGGATCTGTTGGTACTGAGTCGGATATCCTACGATGGGCAGGTCGAGTGGGAGAAGAGGGCTGGGGTGAAAGCCACGCGCTCGGGGAGTCTCGTGGCGCGAATCCTGTGGGCGCTGGGCACCGCGTTTAATTATCGTCGGGTCAACACGCCGTGGCAGGTGAGGATGCTACCGAGGTTTGGTGGACAGGGGATGGAGGATGGCCCGGAGAGGGGCCGGTTTGTGCTCGTTGGTGTCGGCAAGGTGGTGCTGGGCGTGGTTCTTCTGGCGCTGTTTACGGTGGATACGACGGATCCGAATCTGTTGCCTGCGATTGAGGCCTTGCCGAGGGATGAGTCGGTCTTGTTGCCGTGGGTGTATGCGGCGTCGATGAAACGAGCAGTTCTACAGATCGCGTTTACTATCTCGTTTGGGATCTGCTGTAGAGCGTTTATCCTCGCGGGGTATAACATTGGTGCGATCACGGCGGTGGGCTTGGGGATCCATCATCCCAGCGCGTGGCCTCCTATTGCTGGTTCGCTGTTCGAGGGCTGGTCGCTGCGTCGACTTTGGGGGTATGTGCATCATTTCTGTCTATCAAAACCAGCTAGATTAGAAGAAGCTAATCTCTTGTATAGGATCTCATGGCATCAAACACTCCGCCCGCTGCTCTCAGCCAATGCGGACATGATCACCTCAAGCATCCTGCGCATCCCACGCGCCTCCAGATGGGCTGTGTATCTGCGCCTCGTCATCGCCTTCATGCTGTCCGGGCTTTTCCACTCGGGCATCGACTTGACATTTGGTATCGCGTGGGAGGATAGCGGCGCTCTCTGGTTCTTTACGATGCAGGCTGTGGGCATCTTGGTTGAGAGTGCATTCCAGCATGCTTTCCGGAGATGGGTCGGTGCTTTGAGCCCGGTTGTTCGTCGCGCACTGGGATTTCTCTGGGTCTGTGTCTTTTTGCTGTGGACTGCGCCGGTTTGGATGGATCCGATGGTGAGGTCTGTTTATGTGGATGGGACGCCTGTGTTCTCGCCGTTTTTGATGTTCAGGAGTTGGCCTGTTTAGATGGTTCGGAGATTGGGTGCATATATTGCATAGCGGGCTATTGATAGATGGGTTGTTAGATATTGTTAGATCGCGCTGTTGCATTAGATCGGACTGGGGTCAATCAGACCTACCAGTTACTTCCCCATATCAATATAATATGAGATTATAAACACCTTAACTAACAGGGTCGATCAATACCCTGCCCCCTCCGCTCCACCCCCCGCCAACGCGAGCAGTATCTCCAGCACCGTCTTCCGTTTCTGCCACTCCCCAAGGACCATGCACATCGCCGTCGCTACAATCACATCATACTCATCCATCTCACCAACCTCATCTCCCTCTCGAGCAAATCCTTTCTCTTTCCTCGAACCTACCCCCTGAGATCCAAACACCCGACTCACCTCCTCGTCGAAGATCACCAACGTACCATGCTTTCCATGCGACAAGCTACTCGAGTATCGAGCGAGCACCACCTCCTCTCCTCCCTGCAACTCCCCCATGCTGCCTTTCGTATCGAAATGGCTAATCCCAGGACTCGGACACTCAGCCACAAGTTTTAAATGATGCACCGGCATCAACCGTCTCCCCCACTTCTTCTTCGCGGGGACATCTCGACTCCCTTTCCAGGTTGCATGCACGCCGTTATACGTAAACCCGTACCATCTGACGCGGCTCGAGAACGGCGACGGGTTCGTCCAGGGGACGGGGAGGACGTCGGAGGCATGAACGGGGTCCCATGTCTTCGTGCTCTCGTCCAGTATCTCTATCCCCATCTCCGTCTGCGCTGCTTTTTTCTCGCTTGCCTTCACATTTTGCCCTTGAACCGGAACCGGGGTCTCCGTCCTTGCTTTCGCTCCTCGATTCCGATCCCGATCTGCATTAACCCTCCGATGATACGCCTTCCCACTCTCACCCCACAGCCGCCACTTTCGCAACTTATACCCCTTCACCTCGGCGTCCCCAACGGGTCCATTCCCCCAGGTACTCCGCCTCTCCCAGCTCACTACACCGCGGGGATCAATCGTCGCCATCAGCGCCGAGCCCGACAGGATGCGCCATCGCCTCCAGAACGTCGAGTTGTGGATGATGCACAGCGGGGGGCTCGTTTTTGTGGCGCCGCGACGCAGCGTGCGAGGTGGCGAGTGGAAGGCGATGGCGGGGAGGTGTAGGAAGTAGCTGGAGGGGGTGGGGGTTGATGTATCGTCGGTGGTGAGGGCGGAGGGGTTTCGTTTTAGGTGTTTGCGGCGCGCGGAGGACGATTTGGGGAGGCGGATGGTGGTGATCAGCGCGTGGGACGGGTTTTGGTGCGTCGGGTAGATGTGGTATGTTGTTGTTTTTTCTGCTGCTGGTGGTGTTCGGAGCGAGGGGTTTGTGGGTTCAGGTTGGATGGGGTCGGAGGGGATGCGAGAGAGGTATGAGAGGGGATGAGATGGGGGTTGGGGGGTTATGGTTGGGTCAGGGTCGGAGGAAGGGGCTGGGTTGATGTTGAGGTTCATGATTCCTGGAGTATGCTTTCTGAGACGGCATTCTGCGGGAAGGAAAGTGGGAGATGTATGGATAGGGAAACCTCGTTGACTTATATATTGGATTAGTAGCACGTTCAACGAGGCGAAGTCAAGCCACGAGATCATCCACAGTTGGGAAGCGGGAAAATACGAGGTGCTCTGCCTCGGCAGGTCTTGGACTTCTTGCTGTACAACTATGAATCTCTGCGGTTCGAGCGGGCGATGCCGAGCTCAGTAACTCTATTTCTTTCAAGATAATTGGTGAGCTATTTGGTCGTACTGGGAGCAGGTATCTGATACTTGGAGTCAGGGTTAAACGGTCATATGGCTAGCCAGCATGTATATAGCGTAGCCTGAAGTGATTAGCATTATGTAGATATGTACATTTTGAGGCAAGGATTAGATGTCGGGTTAGATTTTAGCAGATCAAGTATCATGGATATGGGATTCGATTTCCACGGTTATGATGATCGAGAGGACGAATGTCGCCAGAATGATCTAAATGGTCAGTCAGACTAACCAATGTAGCAACCAGCAAGGAATCGACGACTCTGCGAAATATAAAAGTAATAAACTCACCAGTCCAATCAACCCCCCGATACAATACAACTCCCATCCCCCCGCATACACCGTGCCCAGCGCGACGGCATTCTGCTGCTTGAAAAAGCGATGCGCGCCCATAAAGGCTACCAGGATAGCGGCGCAATGGCACGCGACCGACAGGGGCACACCCACTTCGTAATATCCCAGCTCCGAGTTAGGGTCGGTTTGACGTTGCAGACGGAAGAGCTGTGCCACCAACACGCCCTGCATGGCTAGGATGACGGACGTGCGGATGTACGCGAGGAATGTCCGTTCGAGGGCTAGGAGATTTAGCTTTCCGACCTCTGGAGTAAATCCATCTCCAAACACGACGAAGGCTCCCCGAAACTCCAATCACCAAACAAGGAAGAGAGATCGTCAAGACATACCGAAATGATCGCGATTGCTCTTCTGCGGCACCGTCAGCACGACATTGCGCGTCCAGAACCGCTGCACGTAGCCCGGCAATCCCTTGCGTGGAGCCCGACTCTGCACCGTCCGCTGACTGGTGCGAGATCCCGTCCGGAGGGTCGTTGTGCGGTACTCGCCGGATGAAATTGAGGCTGTGGAGGTGCCGGCTTCGTCGTCTTGGGTTTCGATCTCGTGGAGTTCCAGCGCATCGCGATTTCGCTCGTCCGAGTCCCGCCGACCGTCCGGGGAAGGTTGGCGTTCATTTTCAGATTGGTCCGGGTCACATTCCGGTCTAGGTGGAAGACTTTCCGTAGGGTGGTCAGACCGGGTGGCCATTTTCTGGAGGGGAATGCATCGAGCTTTGCTGGATTGTGCGTACGGAGTAGTGAAGAAGATAAAAGAGGAGAAAGCAGGGAAAACCAAGGAAGCGGTGACTTCGGCGACTCCCGCCAATGGATGTGTCATGCTGGCTTGGCTCCGTCGATCGCCGACTGCTCGGGGACTCGATTCTGTTCGATTCACGTTCGATTCACATCCGATGAACTGCTCTTAAAGTACACTCGGAGGCTATACACAGGCACTACAGAGTATCCATCGGACAGCGTTAGGGCCGCCAATCCCTTGCTTAACTGCCCCACGGCCAATCACGGACCCGCTGCGACGCCAACGCGATGGCGCAATCGGAGCCACTTTCTTAAGCATTTCATCTTTCTCCCCTGTCGATAATCCAAGTTCAGATCTCTCCCTCCGGTCCGGCCAACGTCGCCCATTCCGGCTGTCGTTCCTTAAACACCGCCAGTTTCGGCGACGATATCCGATCGAACAGCGCCGCCTTCAGGTACAGCTTCCCCGGCGCGCTGGGGGTTTTCGTATAAATCGGACTGCGCTGTCAGCTTCGATCGTCTTCGAAACCAAGCTTCTAGTTCTTACCTTCCACAGTTCGAGCAGAAGTGGCGCTAGACCGGCTTGTGGTCAGTGTCTCATCCGACTGAAACGGTTAAGCTTGGAGATTACCCGCGCAACGTTTCCCGACGCCGTCTTGGTGTCGTCGTAGATCCTTAACGTCCCCTGGGCATCTTCCAGGGAGATTTCCTCCTCGCCGACAAAGTAGTTTGTCGAGAAAACTATTGCCCATTTAGCGATTGCAATTGACACCAGATGCCCTAGACTCAATCTCACCACTCCCTCCGGCTCTCTTGCAACTCGCACTAAACCCCATCATCAGCATTGTCCATCCCACGGCAAACAACAGTCAGACATACCAATGACAGATGACCGAATTCTCAGGCTGACTCGCCAGCGTGATGCGGATGCTTTCGCAATTACAGTGTCCGGTGTACGGCATGGTGTCGTGTCGTATCCAAATCTTCTCTCAGGTATCGCAAGTCACAAAATCCCAAAATCAAACGACAGAATCAACAGACATCACCCTCCCTTTTATTCCCCCGTATCCCGAGTCGGTGGAGCAGATTAATAATGCCGGATGGGCGGCGTTTCCATGGTTCTCCATTTTGCTCTGCTTGGCTGTGGAGTTTGCGCGGGAATGTGGATATGCAATGAACGGTGAAGACTGAAGACCAGGACTGAGTGTGAGCAGTGGCCAGTGACGTCGGGCTCCACTTCGCGGTTCAGTTGCTTGCATCGCGGCTCGCTTTCCGTCAATTGGTCTGTTTATTCCGCGATTTTGAGTGTCGGATGCTGGGTTTGGGTTTGGGTTTGTTTTGGTGGTTGAATGTGTAGCCGAGGTTGCTTGGGGATTTTGTGTCGCCACGGAGTTGCATTTATTGGATCTAGGATGGGAACTGTTTTGATGGGGTTATCTATAGGAAATTTACGACGATCAATTAATTCAAGATCTAACAGTAGTGTTGGTCGCAAATATATCGAAGTACTATCAGTAGACGGGGTCCTTCGTCACTAGTTGTTCGAGAAAATATACATCCCAGCACCGAGTGATAAGCAATCAGTACTAACATGATTTGAACCAACACCTTATCTAGAATCGATTTACATCGTTAATACCAACTAATTAACACCCCAATCCTACCTATAGTCAATTATTACCAACAATCCCTCTCCCTCTAATTGGTCTCCGATGCACCTGATGCTACATCCCCGACGGCCTCCGACATCGGACCCGACCATGCTCTCTATCTAGCCTTGACTTGGGCTATATAAACACCTATAGACACCACCCAGACGACCATTCTCATCAAACAACCCAAAAAGCTCAGTATTCTCAGCTGAGCCGGCAACTCAACGAATATACCAAACACTGCAGTGTTCCCCACGCCAAGATGGCCCAAGCAAAAGACCACTGGTCCGCCGAGGTATGCATCACCAACCCAACTCCCGTCACCCATTCACTCCGTTCTCCATCACGCTGTATGTCATGAAGATAAATCTAACACGGTTCCAGGCCTACTCCACCTCCGCCTCCTTCGTCCCGAAACTAGCCCAGACGCTACTCCAGTACCTGGATCCCCAGCCCACGGACAAAGTGCTGGACGTCGGCTGCGGCGATGGCAAGTATACGGAGGCGTTTCTGCCCGCCGTGCAGTCTGTGCTGGGCATCGATGCGTCGCCGGCGATGATTGACGCCGCGACTAAAGACTACGGCAGTGCGAAGGCGGAGTTCCGCGTTGTGGATTGCTGCTATTTAAAGAATGAGAGTGAGATTGTGAACGGGAGTTGGGATAAAGTGTAAGGTTTCTATACTACACTGCAATGCGTACATGGAAGGTTGGATGAAGGAAGAGAGCTAATGGAATATGCAGGATCTCTAACGCCGCGTTGCATTGGATTCTGCGCAACGAGTCGACGCGTTTGGATACCCTCAAGGCGATATATGATAGTTTGAAGCCCGGGGGAACGTATGTGTTTGAGATGGGTGGGCATGGGAATATTGCGGAGGTGCAGACGGCGATGATATTCGCGCTTGTGCAGCAGGGAATCTCGGTCGAGAAGGCAAGAGAGACGAGTCCGTGGTTTTTCCCGTCCGTGGCCTGGATGACGAGTGCGTTGGAGGGGATTGGGTTCAAAGTTGAGAAGATGGAGACGGAGTATCGGCCCACGAAGCTGACTGATGCGGTGAATGGTGGGTTGGCGGGATGGGTGAGGCTGATGGGTGCGCCGTTCTTGGATGCTCTTCCGGACGAAAAGCGCGAGGGCGTTGTGCAGCAGGTCTGTGGCGTTCTGCAGACGGCGGTGACGCGTCATGAGGATGGTAGCCAGTGGCTGGGATATGTGCGGCTGAGGGGTATCGCTAAGAAGCTATAATGTAGATGACATGGTGCAATGGAGAATATTTGATGGTGATAGCTGCCCTATTGATTCTTCTGGGCTCGTTGTCTCAGTAAGACACCCAGAGGGATATCTTCCTCGTCGTAGAATTCGGCATCTTCGTCCACGCCGAAATCCCCCAATCGCTCGCCTTCGGCATTTCTCCAGCCTTCCTCACCATCCTCGGAGTCCTCGATATCGTCGCTAGACTCGTCTGCTTTGGAAGGGCTCTCCTTGGTTTTGTCCAAACGATTATGGAAACGTCGACGACGCTGGATCCCCAAGTTCTCTCTTGAGCGTTTGAGGTCCTCCGCTTTTCGACGGTTAAAGGCCTCGACCTCATCGCGTTCATAATTCCCAGCGTTGGAAATGCCACTAGACAGGTGCTGTTTAGAAGGGATAGGGATCCGATCAGGGTCAGGCGGTGGCCACGAAACATCTGGTTCTACTTCTTGTTAATTCTCAGTACGTTAGGCCGATGGAAACGACCAACCTTCAAACCCGTTTACTTCATATTCCAGCCCGGTGGTACGAGCAGGCGTCCGTGCAAGTGGCCAAAACCAACTGATAACCTGCCTTGAGTTAGCACATCATGTCTGCGATCGAGCAGGGTAAGTACATTTCTACTGCCGCCCATTCCCGCTCGGATGTTCGCCCAGATGCCAATATCATAAGGGAATTCCTGCTTCTTGATGCGGATGCTGGTGCCACCTGGTCCGCTCAGATACCCGCGGAAGTGTCGGGCCCTTCGAACCAGCGTCTCGTGTCTTTCGATCTCCCATGATTCGATTGTCGTCGTGTTGAACGCTAGAGACCACATGGTTCGAAGCAGGAGTACAAACAACATGAAGACTGTTAGGCTGTTCAAGACGAGCAGAATAAAAAGGTGAGCTATCTGAGATGCGCTCGGTCCGAGGTACTGAACAGGATTAGTACATCATCAACTCAGAACAGACCAGTGCTTACGCTTGGAAGATTCCTGGAAGCCCAAACGATGGAAGCTTTCTCAAACAGCAACGACTCGAGATAACCCATGCCCACAACTGCATAAAACAGGAACCGCACAAAATGGGGAAAGGTAAAGTGCGAGACACAGTTGGATGTCCACGGACAGTGATGGTCCATCTTTGGAATACACCTAGACAAGTATTAGCAAGCGCCTTCGCCATATCCAGCGAGCTCACCTGCGACATGTTTTGCAGTGATGCGCCCGCGGTGGCTTCAGGGTTTCGCATCTACGGCACCATCGCTGTCGACCACTGACACGGTCGGCTTCCAGCTGCTTACTGTCTACCGGCTTCCAGTCCTTGGGAATGCGCCCGGGGTCTACAGTGCATGAACGGTAGTAGCAGATCCAGATGCACAGGGCGAAGATGTTGATGCGCCATAGTTCGCTTTCCCGTAGAGGCGACGGCTCGAAATAGGCGAAGAAGTACTGAGAGGTGTAGGCGAGAAAGGCGATGAGTACGCAGACCGACGGGATCGCCAGTTGCGAGATCGAGAATGACGAGCAGAGCATCGTGGGTCAATGCATACTGATCTCGATGACAGGCAACAGGAAAGTGATGAGCATCTTCGATGTTTTTCCATTTTGGAAGGACACGTCGGGGCGCTGACTCAGCTCACGTGGCATCGCGTGCGTGGAAATACTCCCGCGAAGGAGTCCGCCGGCTTCCAACTTCTGCAATCATCTCATCAAATATCAATCAAATATATATTCATCCATTTAATCATCGTTCCTATTATCAATCGATATCTTCATTCATGACACGTCATCTGTATGTGTGCCGCACTTGAAGATGCCGATCACGGCTCTTCCTAAGCCCACCGTTCAAGCCATCGGCTCCACGTCTGTCATCTCGGATCCTTGTTCAATTGTGAAAGAGCTATTAGACAACGCGATTGATGCTTCTGCTGCATCCGTTGGCGTTGAAATATCCCAGAATACGCTCGATCTCGTCCAAGTAAAAGACAACGGGCACGGTATTCCCTCTGCCGACCATGCCTTCGTATGCAGACGCACCTTCACCAGCAAGATCCAGACCCTTGAAGATCTGAGGAGAGTCGGGGGGAAGAGTCTCGGCTTCAGAGGGCAGGCCCTTGCCAGTGCTTCAGAGATATCCGGCGGTGTGAATATTCTTACCAGGGTCGAATCGGAGCTGGTTGGCAGTTCTATGAAGTATGGACGGAACGGAGAGCTGCTCAGGTGGGTACCGCCATACTGTGACTGACATTAACTGATGGCCTATAGTACTCAGCGGACATCGCATCCAGTGGGGACCACTGTCCGTATAACGGATCTGTTCAAGCATATCCCTGTCCGGAGGCAAACTGCCTTGAAGAATAGCGCCAAGACTCTGACGAAGGTGAAGAAAATGGTCCAGACTTATGCCATGTGTAATCCGTCGAAAAGATTTTCGTTCAAGGTCCTGAAGGCACGGACGGAGAACTTCAACTGGGTGTATGCGCCACAGCATGGAACGCTCATTGATGCGGCCCTCAAGATCGCCGGGTATGATGTCGCGTCTAACTGCGTCGAAAGACAGTGGCCATCTGAAGAGTCTGATCGAGAGGGACCTGGAGAAGCTTATACTCCTGGCTTCCGTTTGGTGTCGCTTCTGCCTAATCCAGAATGTGGTATGTGCTCTTCTTAGCGGGCTGGGTGTAGCTGATCAGGTAGATCTCACGAAGATCAATAACAGCGGCCAGTACCTGAGCATAGACGGCAGACCTATATCAACAACTCGAGGGATTGGCCAAGATATCGCCAAACTATACAAATCATATATACGTACTGCCGCGTTCCGTCAAGAGACTTCTGCCACGACGACAGATCCATTTCTTTACCTGCAGATTTGGTGCCCTGACGCTAGCTATGATGTCAACATAGAACCAGCCAAAGACGATGTATTATTTGAGAATCCACACGAAGTATTTGCGCTAGTGGAAGATCTTCTACATTTCACATACGGAGAAAAGGAATCTAACGAGAAACAAGCAACGAAAGGAAAGCAGCCCGCAAGAAACAATGGTTCATTCGATCTACTTCTCGCTCGCAGGGATAATGAATCTGTATCTCGCGAAAAGAACGATTTTAGACCGGCGATCGCCACCGATACTCACAGGCTTGTTCAACCCACGCCCATAGCCCGCGAGTCTTCAGATTCGGAGACAAATTTTTCTACCAACATCCAGACCCCTGGTGTGTCTAAGGAAGGTCTTAATCCATGGTCTCTGACCAGTTTCAATGCTCCGACACAGCGAAGAAACGGTGTCAGTTCAAACGGAAACGGTCCACGCATAACCAAGTATATCCCTGGTCGGGGGTTTCGCGAATGGAGCCAAAGTTCCCGAGAAACAAACCGGAGGGGGTCCGCGACTTCAATATTACCCAGTCCATCAGCTTCCAGTCCCGAATCTTCGTGTCGTTCCGCAGTGGAGTCGCCGTCCCAGACAGGGAGTTTCCATGTTCCTCGAATCTCAGCATCGCGAACACCAAATCAGCCCGGATTGCAGAAAGAGCGGAACGGATCCGGGGATAACACTGAGATGCTGGATAGATGGATTGGAAGATCCACGGAAAGCTCGCCTTCCCAAACCACGGTGGGCGAGGCTCGAGTGCCGTCTTTGGCTCAGTTGGCTAGAAGGCGGTTTGAGCAATCGCCTCTTAATGAAAGATCCACAAGCCCAGTTGTATCAACTGCAGGCCCTTCTGGGAGGACGCGCGATGGTTCCATATCATCAGACGTCAGGTTGGGGGATCGCGGGGCGACCGACTGGGAAGAGATGCGCAATCAACAAGAAAGGGATGAATCCCTTACTCCGGAGGGATGGTCAACTGGGCTTCAGCAGCTTTCACAGTCTAACGGCAGCGCTCTAGAAGACGCCCTTGACTTTGAGAGACGCAAGAAAGAAGCTATTCAGAAGCGACGCGAGCAATTTAAAAACCAGCCAAAGAACACCAACTCCCCACACCTCAGCAGGTATCTCGCTGCACGCGCTGCTTTGACGTCCCAACCGGAAGTTCCAGATCCCTCTGAAGATGCGGATAATATCCGATCAAATAATGGGGCAGAAACTCAGACGTTGCCACACTCAGCGAAACCTGCACTGGGTCCATTTGATCCCCGAGCGTACCTCATGCGTCGCCGGAGTTCAAGCCTGCAGAGAGCATCTGGCTCTAAAGTTCGCCGCATCAACACCGCTAAATTGCCGCTTGAAACAATCCCAAATGGGGAGGAAATGCACGATGTTGGTTTGAAACAGCCCATCGACATGGCGTGTTTATCAGGAGAGTTCAAGAACTTGTTAACAACAGATCTATATACCCAATCTGGGTGTGAATATGAAGCGTTCAGTGGCTCTGATTACCCAGAGCTTGAAGCTTGGACGCACCGGCTGCGCTCCTTGATCACAAAGAGGTTTAATGCCGAAGGGTCTGATGTGCAGTTTGATTTCACTTCATTGACACCGAGTATTTGAATCTTGCAGTGTTCAGTATGTTTATGTTTGTATAATTATTGTCTTCCAGCAGATACGACTTCAAGCTTGAATCACGTCTGAGCATACTTTTCACACCAATGTCATGATAATGTTTCAATGATCTAAAACGACACGTTCATCGCTACTCTATCCCTTCAACTGCCCACTCAAAACATCCAGCCCAGTCCCCTGAGCAACACCTCGATCCTAATCCCAGTCAGCCACCAACCACAACGAAAGCAGAGAGAAACGTACCATAACCTCCGCCGGAACAGCCGGATTCGTCGTCGCCAACCGCGTCGACTCCGCGTTCTCACCACACCAAACCCTCCCTTCCGCACCGCTCTCAATCGCCGAAACGACCTCCTCAGCATACGCCATCAGATCACCTCGTCCGCGCCCATCCTCCCCACGGGCCCGCGCGGCAATAGTCCCCTCGATGCTCTTATACAGCGAGTTGTCCGGCAGTTTAAAATCCCCGAAATACGTCTGACCCATGGTCTGCACGGCCCCGGTGACGATCGATAGCACGCGGACCCCGAACGGCGCGAGCTCCAGTCGCAGCGTCTCGGCGATGAGCTCGAGGGAGCGTTTCGAGGCCGCGTAGGTTCCTACCGTAGGCTTGTGTCAGCATTCACATTCACACCCTATCCCCCGCCCCCCTTTCCCTCACCCCGAACCACCAAAACCAGAAGAAAATGATAATTACCCATATACGGCACATTCAAATACCCCGAAATCGACGTCGTGAACACCACAGCCCCATCCCCTCCGGAATTCAAAAGCAACGGCACAAACCCCTTCGTCACAGCCACCTGGCCCCACACATTCGTCTCAAACAGCTCCCTCCCTGCATCCAGATCCTCATCCAGAACCGGCATGAAGTGGTTCCGTCCTGCATTGTTGATCAGATACGTGAGTGAGCCGCCCGTCTGCGCGCGGACGGCGTCCACGGCGCGCGCGATCTGCGTGGAGTCTCGCACGTCCAGAGTCAAGAGGGTTACGTTGTTCAAGTTAGCTAGGGTCTTCATTTTCGACGGGTTCCTGGCTGTCGCGAAGACGTGGTAGCCTCGGGCGTGGAAGACATGGGCGAGGGCGGAGCCGATGCCGTGGTCGCTGCAGCCGGTTATTAGGACTGTTGGTTGTTGAGGGGTCATGTTGCTGGGGCTGCTGATGCTTCTCCTGGTGGTTGTGGTGGTGACGATAGGTCTGTGGTGTGGTGTGGATTAGCGTTGGGGGTATGCTGCCTAGACTAGGGTGCTGGGATGTTAAGGTTATTTATCTATGCATATGTCTATCCCAGGGCAGACAAGGGGCTATAGATGCTACGGTATGATTAGCTAGCTGGGATATACTGTTGGTGCTACTGTTGCTACGTGGCGAGGGAGCGAATCAGCACCCTGGGATGCAAGATTATGTTGGTTGATCCTTCCTGCTCCCGATCCCGCAGGAACCGCGAGGAGGCTAGGCTGTCAGAAAGGCTTGGGTTGGATCCTGGGCTTCCTTATTGCGGGTGGCTTTCTTTGCTATAGGGCTGGGTGGTTTAGCGGTGTGATCGGTAGTGAGGGTAATTGATCAGGCTAATTTAATCTGGGAGAATGGCATAGCTAGGTAGACGACGTTGAATTGAGGAATCTGGATCTAGATGATAAGAAGGGATTCCTGTCTGCGTACCTGAAGCCAGTCAGGTTATATCAAGCAATTACGCCTAGGACAGTGGATGTAGGGCAGCGGATCTGTACTTGGATGTCAATGTCAGTGTCAACATAACATCAGCTAGAAACATTCTAGATCTGCTGTCGTACTCGTCGATGGAGCTCCTCATTCATCTAGCTACCGTATGAAAGGACTCATTTAGCCTGCCCATAGCCTGGAATACATGCTAAAATCACAACTCCGCCTTCTCCTCCCTCCTCCCGACCACCGTGATCCGCGGAAACGCAAACACGGCCCCCCGGCGACTCTCGGCCGCCGCCTTGGGCACCAAGTCCATGATCTCCTTCGCCTTGGCGCCGTTCCCCGCCCGCTGCGCAATCATGTCATACATCATCAGATTGCAGTGGTGCATGGCGTACTCGAGGTGCGGGGCCGCCGAGACCCGGTGCGCCGTGATCTTCTGCAGGCCCTCGCGCGCGAAGATGTCGGGCAGCTGGTCCGGCCAGGCGGGGACGAGACGCGGGTCCTGCGACGCCGTCATGCTGAAGAGCTGGTTCATGTGCTCGGAGGGGAGGGACGGGTTGGTTTTGGTGAGTTTCATGCCTGGAACGTCTACTTCGGCCCATTGGAGGTAGCCGCCGGGTTCTGGTTGAGATTAGATCGGTATACAGTGGGGAAGGGAAGGGGAAAGGGAGGAGGGGGGCATACTGAGTAGGCGCAGCATGTTACGCAGGAGCACGGTCGGGTCGCCTTTCACGACGAACACGAACAGTTTGGCATGCACGATGTCGTACTGTCCGACCATGTCGTCGGGGACGGAGGAGAAGGCGTCCCATGTGCGCAGGCGCATGTTGGACGGCAGCCACTCGGCCGGGGGGGCCTGGGAGATGTCCAGGTCGTAGCCGTCCAGTTGGGCTGTTGACGGGAGATGCGGCGCCAGGTCGGACAGCCACGCGCTGGATGGGTTAGAATGTTTGCGATCGAGAATACATCTACTGGTTCTGAGGTGGGTGAGCGTACCCCGTTCCGGTGCCGACATCAGCGATTTTCAGATCGGGCTTGCTGGTGTCGATGTCCGGGTGCAGCAGATAGCCGAACATCTGCGTCCATAGCCGATGCTGCAGATTGAGCCTGAATGGTCAGCTGTGTCCAGGGCTGTCTGGTAGAGTGACATACCGGGAGACGTCGATATAGTCTCTGCTGAGGACATAGTCGTCATTGGGGACGGTGGAAGCCATCGTGCGTGACGGTTAGATGCAAATGGCTAGATTCATCCCCCAGATATGGCGAAGGAGTAAGCCCTGGACCGAAGGGTGGGCCAATGAAGTCAGACTGACCGGGACCGTTGGCGCACGGAGGCAGGCAGCGTCATGAATGCAACGTCAAGGAGGAGAAGTCCAGCTGTACAACACACAACCCCTCGCTGGGGAATTCCGTGCCTTTCACGAATCACTGCAGAGGCTGCCGATCCGACCCACTCCGTTGGGGGCCAATTCGAGCCCCTCGGCTGGTGCGTTGGCGAATATTCGACCACGTTGTGCGGTGGGGAGGATAAGAAGGAGGGACGCCGCTCTGGCCGGGTGTTTATGCGGATTTCGTTCGATCTTGGTGATTAGAGAGATGATGCCGAACAACTCCGTGTGGCTTGTCAGACAGATTACAGATTACAGATCGGATGACTTTCATTTGACTGTGGAGTGGACGGATGATTCTGCATCCAGAGGTCGGATTATTTCCGATCTGTTTATCTTTCCTGATTTTCTTTTCACTCGGTTCCCACTACTACTGGCGTATCAGTTTAGACTAGAGTATCTACAGTCTCCGTAAGTCCTCCGGACGGACCACGGAGCAGACCAGAGAAAGGCCCTAAACGGTCGACTTGGGGCGAAAGCGCGAGAGAAATCCTTCCAAGCCACTAAGAACCTTAGCTTCGGCTGACAAATGTTGGGTAATGTTTGTCTCCGATCATCGCGACGTTGACTGCGCATAAAAGCAACCACCACCGCGTGTATCCCCCCATCCATCCCATCCCCTCCTAATCTGATCGCCATGGCCGCCGTCAAACCCGCCGTCGTGCTCGTCCACGGCGCCTGGCACACGCCGCCCAACTACCGCCGCTACGTCGACGCCCTGATGGCCCAGGGCTTCCCCGTCCACTGCCCCGCGCTGCCCTCCTGCAGCGCCACGCGCCCGCCGCCCGCCTCCTTCGCCGACGACGTCGCCGCCGTGCGCCAGACCGTGCAGTCGCTGGTGATGTCCGGCCAGCGCGTCATCATGCTGATGCACTCGTACGGCGGCGTCGTCGGCACCGACGCCGTCGCCGACCTGACCCTGCCCGAGCGCCGCGCCCAGAACCTCCCCGGCGGCGTCGTCCACCTCGCCTTCCTGTGCGCCTACATCCTGCGCCCCGGCCACACCGTCCTCAGCGTCGTCCAGGAGTCCGGCATGATGCACCTCTGGCCGCAGTTCGTCGAGAACGCCGACGACGGCTCCACCTTCCCCGTCGACCCCGTCCTGCTCTTCCTCGGCGGCGTCGACCAGCATCTCGTCGACGAGGCCCTGCCCCATCTCGTCCGCTCGCCCCAGTCCGCCTTCACCACTCCCTCGTCGGGAGATGCCTGGCGCATCATCCCCTCGACGTATGTCCTGACGCAGGAGGATTACTCCGTCCCGCGGGTCTACCAGGACCTGATGATTAAGAAGGTCCAGGAGGACGGGGTGGACATCCGGCTGCTGGACTACAAGACGTGTCATAGTATCTTCCTGACGATGCAGGACGAGATGGTCAAGGTGGTGCAGGAGTGTGCGGACGACGAGCGGAATCCGCAGTAGTTGGGACAGGTGGAACAGGGTGAAGGTGGGATTTTGCATTTGGTCATGACATCCGTACATATCACATATCAGCAAGCAGGCATCAATTCAATCATTCAGTTAGAGATCGACTAGCCCAAACTCTAGCATCCATGCAGTCCCGTAGCCCAAACCAACCCAAACCAGCTAATAGAAATACATACAAAAGATCCCCCAACGCCAACCATGCCATCGAACCGAGGACCGAGGATGTCAAACCACATCATGCACCTTCACCCCCTTCTCCTCCCTGTCGCTCTCCGCCAGCGTCCCGTCGTCCAGCGTCTCGTAGTCCCGCGACCGATCATTCCGCATCGACTTCAGCGTCGACCCTCCTGCCCCGCCGCGACTGCTCATGTTGTAGCTCGTCGTCTTCGGGTCCTTGAACCGGAACAGCGACGGCAGGATCGGCAGACACGCACAGATCACGGCCAGGGGGGTCTCGATGGACGTCCAGTTCCCCACCGCCACTAGCGTGTAGGTGATGTCGAGGTTGTTGATGTCGGAGAGGTAGCTGAGGCGGACGATGCTGCTGATGCAGACACTGGTCTTGTTAGCATCCTATCCTCTCCCGGTCCACATCCATCCCACAGACAAACAGAATAACAGAAAGGAAGTGAATACTTACAACCCCCCCGCCAAAAACGCCCCCGTGACCGCCCACTTCTTCGGCCGACTCAGATTCAACCGCCAGATCATCGGCATCGGCAGACACAGGATGGCCACGTCCGTCAGCACATTCGACACCGAGTTCCCGTAGTAGAACTTGAGCTGGTCAATGCACTGCGGGCCCCCCGCGACGGCGAGGTCCCACGACCCCTGCACCGGCGAGCAGGTGAAGATCTGGGCGATCACGACGGAGACCATCCAGGCGAGCACGACCAGGCCGACGGCGATGGCGGCGTACAGGAACGTCCTCGTGGGGAAGATGCGGCGGTACATGACCAGCAGGGCGATTTTGATGGTGGGCAGGGTGAGGGCGTAGAAGATGTTGTCGATGTAGGCGAGCTGGATTTGTCAGGATTGTCTTCTGATGGGAGGGGGTGGTGATAGGATTGGTATCGTGGGGATGGAAGGAGACATACGAGGAGGAAGCGCTCGATGATGGCCGGACGCAGCTCGCTGGCGTGGTAGCCCGCGTATCCGATCGTGCAGATCAGCATGCCGGTGATGTAGAGGCCCGTGGCGAAGACGAAGGCCAGCAGAACGAGCCAGTCGTCGATGCCGATGTTGCGCGTGCGGAACTTGGCGACGAAGCGCAGGGTGACGGTGACGAGGGCCAGGGTCTCCAGGATAGTCGACACGGCGACCATGGAGACGGCACGGCTGGAGAGTTCGGTGGGGAGGGGGGGAAGGGCTGTGGACGCCATGGTGTAGATCTAGATATCTGTCAAATTGTAGAATCTAGTCTGGAGATATTAGATAGAACACGCCGACCAGATAGCGATAACAGACTCCCACCCAGACAAAACCTTCATGCAGTCGACCACGGAGGCTCCGCCTAATATAAGCAATCAGCCCATGTCGCTATCGCTATCGCTATCCCTGTTTCCAGATTACAGCCCCCGATCTTCACAGAACGCCTTACGCCGGCGCAAGGAGGGAGGCGGCAGTCTCATTCGCCGGGGTGCTGCAGAAGCGCTTGAATGGTGCGTATATCCGGGCTCACTGGCCCCAAGCGTCAGGGTTACGGCGTGGGGGCGGCAGCCGGACCAGGGGATGATCACAATGCTGGACTCCTAGTCTTCTTCTTGTCAGAAGAGCTGCAGACTAAACGTGTCTCGCATGGCTGAAGCGGAAGCCAACGGACGACGGACGGGCCAAGAAGGACGGACTCCACCACTACGCAGCGAGTGTGTTGCTCCTGCGGCCGTAGTTTAATGATTTGGGGCGGGAAAACGGAGTTTTTTTTTTTTGATTTTTCCATGTGAAGTGCCGGTTTCTTCTTACTTTTTGTGGTTTTTTGGTCGTTTCGTCTTTTTTTTTTTTTTTTTTTTTTTTTTTTTTTTTTTTTTTTTTTAATTTCCCACGTCGTCCAACGTCGCTTGAACGGCCTCCACCAACGCCATCAACTCCTTACCCTCCGCCGGCACCGCATGGCCAACCGTGTGCACAACCGGTCGATTCTTGTCCGACGCACACAGCTGCGACAAGGGCGGACCCATGCCCGGATAGTCGTCGTCGTGGTCGGCCCAGCAGTTGACCACGGGCAGGTCCATCACGGGCGGACACTCGGCCGGGCGCGCACCCGAGGAAGAACCACCGGACGACGAGGACGACGAAGAAAAAGGACGGATCAGCTCCACAGTTCCCCTCTCCAGGGCCGCCCAGTCGAATGGCAGGCCGCCGCAGAGGAAAACCGCGCATCGGAAGGGCGGGTCCGGTGGAGCGGACGGACTGGCATTCCGCCTGAGTCCGAGGCTGGATCCGTGTGTCTGCTGCGCCAGGATCAGCGTCGCCGCCAGGACAGCCCCCTGCGAGAAGCCGATCACCCCGTCAAACGGCCCTTGGGCCTCGACGTTCGCCGCCAGATCGACCACCGCCGCCCGGATGCTGTCGGCGCCCTCGTCGAAGTACGAGAAACTCTCCACCTCGTCGCCGAAGACCTCGCGAATCCCGCGCGCCGGCGGCCAGAGCACCGCGCCGTCGACGAAGTCGTACTCGTGCCGGGCGCGCTGGTCGAGATGGTTGCGCAGTGATGCTGGAGATCATCGTCAGTCGTCGGTCGTAGCGATCAAACCATCCCACCGAGGTCGAGGACGTACCGAGCTGCGTCTTGAGAACCTGTGCATTTCCGAGGTTAGTCCCGGGTGACGTAGACGGACATGCAGACTTACATCACTGCTGGTGCCTTGGCCATGCAGGCAGAGGAAGCGCATGGTGGAAGTCCAATGGAAGACTGGAGGGCGACGGCGGGGAGGAATGATGATAAATTAAGTATCGCAACCCTGTCGGCGGCGTCGGCTAACATCCCAACCGGCCATGTGCTGCGAGGGTTGTCGCTTAAGAACGGGGCCTCGCGATGCAAACTAGTCTGGTCTAGTCGCAGCTTTAGTTCCAAAGAGACTTTGTGTCGGGGCCCGAGAGTCCATCCACAACCCCAATGAAAGGAAAACCTCCGAGACAGGCGATAATCATTTAGGTTCGATCCTGCATCCGGTCGTATATATTCGTATATATTCCCGACACACCGCTCGTTGGCTGCTGTCCTCCCCGCGTCCGGAGAAAACGTTTGTCGCCCAGAATGCAGCAGGACGACGATCCCATCGCCGTCGTTGGCTTCTCGTTGAAATTCCCGCAGGATGCCGACTCTGCGGAATCCTTCTGGCAGATGCTGCGCGACGGCCAGAATGCCTCCACGGACTTTCCGCCGTCCAAGTTCCACATCGACGCCTTCGAGGGTCGCAAGGGCGCCTTGAATGGCACCGTAAGCCCATCTCCCTGCTCTCGGGTCGAATTACACTGACCAGTCGCAGATGCCCCTGCGAGGCGGTCACTTTCTGAAACAAGACCTGGGCCTGTTCGACGCCCCGTTCTTCTCCATCACGCCCGCCGAGGCCGAGGCCATGGATCCCCAGCAGCGCATCATGCTCGAGACGTCCTATCGCGCGCTGGAAAATAGCGGCATCCCAGTGACACGCTGCACGGGGAGTCGCACCTCCGTCTACACGGCCACCTTCACCGATGACTACAAAAGCGTCCTCATGGACGCCCCCGACCACCTGCCCAAATACGCCGCCACCGGCCTGTCGGGCTCCATGCTGGCGAACCGCGTCTCCTGGTTCTACGACTTCAAGGGACCCAGTATGAATCTGGACTCGGCGTGCTCGAGCAGTCTGAGCGCGCTGCACATCGCCTGTCAGGATCTGCACAACGGCACGTCGCAAATGGTATGCCTTCCCGTACTCCCATCGATCTATATCTACGATCGGACCTCCCGTTTTGACTAATAACCTATCGTAGGCCCTCGTCGGCGGCTGCAACCTCGTCTTCCACCCCGATTTCATGCTCATCATGTCGAACATGGGCTTCCTGTCCGCCGACAGCCGCTGCTGGAGTTTCGACCACAAGGCGAACGGCTACGCCCGCGGCGACGGCTTCGGCGTCGTCGTGCTCAAGAAGCTGTCCGCCGCCGTGCACGACGGCGATACCATCCGCGCCGTCATCCGCGCCACGGGCCTGAACCAGGACGGCCGCACGCCCGGCGGCATCACGCAGCCCAGCGGCGCGGCGCAGCAGGCCCTGATCCGCGAGACGTTTGCGCGCGCGCGCCTGGACATGCGGCCCGTGCGGTTCTTCGAGGCGCACGGCACCGGCACGGCCCTGGGGGATCCGACCGAGTCGAGAGCGATCGGGGAGTCGTTTAAGGAGTTCCGATCGCACGAGGATCCGCTGTACATTGGCGCGGTGAAGTCGAATATTGGCCATCTGGAAGGGGGGAGTGGCGTGGCGGGGTTGTTGAAGACGGTGCTGATGCTGGAGAGGGGCGTGATTCTGCCGAATGCCGGCTTGGAGAAGGTCAATCCGAGGATTGATACGGAGGAGCTGAAGATTAGAGTACGTGTTTGGTGGCTTGGATTAGCGCGGTGGATGCTGACAGGGGTGTGGTTTAGTTTCCGACGGCGTCGATACCCTGGCCGGATACGGGGCTGAGGCGCGCCTGCGTGAGTGCTGACGAATGGTGGGTAAGGAAGATTGCTGATTGGAACAGGTCAATTCTTTCGGATTCGGAGGATCGAATGCGGTGGTGATTCTCGACGACGCGCTGCATTATCTGCAGGAACAGGGGATCGCAGGCCTGCATCGGACGGTAGAATTACAGACCTCCGACGAACGACCAGCGAAGAAGGCGCGTCTGGATACAACGATCCAGTCGTCTCAGACGCCGCAGCTATTAACTTGGTCGGCGGCCGACGAAACGACGCTGAACACGATGCTGGATTCCTACGGCGAGTTTGTGCATCCCGCCAACGGACACTCGTTATCGGCATCATTCATCCCCGACATGGCATATACGCTGACGGCCAAACGAACGAATCACGCCTGGCGCTCGTACGCAGTCGCAGGGAACAGCGAGGATCTGGAATCGTTGGAGAAATGGAGCGCGAAACCGACCAAGGCCAGTGACGAGCCGGGATCGGTGGCTTTCGTGTTCACGGGGCAGGGTGCACAGTATCCGAGAATGGGATACGGGCTGCTGGCCTTCCCCTTCTTTCAATCCCGATTGACGGAGATCGAGAAGATTCTGCATGGCCTGGGATATGGCTGCTCTTTGCGCGGTTGGTTGAATCCACCCGGACGTTTAGATCGCGACTGACTGGGCAGAATTTCTCTCGGATCGCTCGTCCCCGATGAATGAACCGGAACACAGTCAGACGTTGACGACTGCCATTCAGATTGCGATTGTCGACTTTCTCAAGTCGTTGGATGTCGTTCCTGCGGCGGTGGTGGGCCACTCGTCGGGTGAAATCGGCGCGGCGTATGTGCATGAATGACCGGATACGGTGTTAAGACTGACAGGCATTAGGTACTGCGCAGGCGTCATCAGCGACGTAACGGCCCTCACGATCGCCTTCCACCGAGGCCGTCTTGCTCAGCAACTTCCCAACCTTCACTCCGCGTCGCAAGGCATGCTCGCGGTGGCCATGAGTGAGACCGAGATCAAGCCCTTCATCGACCGACTCAAGGAACACACCGACGCGCCCCGAGTCCAGATCGGCTGCCATAACAGTCCCCAGAGTCTCACTCTCACCGGAGATGCCGACCAGCTCGCGCTCATCCAAGCCTGGCTCGACGAAGGCAAGCACTTCTGTCGCAAACTCCGCGTCAACGTGGCCTACCACTCCGTGTTCATGGAAGCCGTCAAGGAGGAATACCGACTCGCCCTGAAGGACATCGACAAGGATCCCGTCCGCCAGGATCTGATCCCCATGATCTCCAGCGTCACCGGCACCATCGCCCGACCACGCATGCTCTGCGACCCCGACTACTGGGTGCAGAACCTCGTCTCGCAAGTCCGCTTCTCCCCGGCAGTGTCCCTGCTGGCCGTGCAATCGGGCAAGCCGCCTCGCAAGCATCTCACCTCCAAGAAGCCGCAGACGCTGTCGGGCATCAAGATGCTTGTGGAGATCGGTCCCCACGCGACGCTGCAGGGCCCGTTGCAGCAGATTCTCACCAAGGCGCGCGCCCAGGACCGTCTCAGCTACACCGCCACCCTGAACCGCCAGAAGGATGCCACCCGGGCGATCTTGGAGGCTGTTGGCCGTCTCTGGGGTCTTGGATATCCAGTCGACCTGCTCAAGGCGAATGGTATCAGCAGTGCGGCGCCCCGGCCGGTGCGGACAGACTTGCCCGAGTATCCGTTCAACCACTCCAGGAGCTACTGGTATGAAGATCGACTGAGCTCTGCGTTCCGATTCCGAAAGCACCCTCCCCACGAGCTCCTGGGGACTCTGACCGTCGACTCGAACTCCCAAGACGCGCGCTGGCGCAATATCATCGACCTCGAGAAACTCCCATGGCTGGAGGACCACCAAGTCAGTCTTCTCCACATCACCCCCAACCCATACTAACAGAACCAGATCAGCGGCGACATCCTCCTCCCCGGCGCCGCAATGCTCTCGATGGCCATCGAAGGCGTGCGCCAACTCTCCACCGACCCGCCCACCGGCTTCGACATCCGCGACATCCACTTCCTCAACGCCCTCCAAGTCCCGTCCTCCCCCGGCATCGAAACCCAAGTCTGCCTCACCAAGCAGCCCTCCACCGACACCCAGCCGTGGTTCAAATTCCGCATCCTCACCTTCACCTCCGACTGGCTCGAGCACTGCACCGGGTCCATCCGCCCGCAGTTCGACGGCCAACAACCCGCCCCAGCTCCATACGCCTCCGACCTCCGCGCCACCACCCAAACCTGCACCGAAGACGCCCAGATCAGCCGCGTCTACGACTCCATCCGCTCCAACGGCGTCAGCTACGGCCCCATCTTCCAGACCCTCCGCGACGTGCGCATCGACAAGACCGGCGCCGCCGTCGCCCAGGTCGCGCCCTTCTCAACCGACCCCCGCGCCATCGAGTCCGCCAATCTCGACCTCGCCCCGTACGTCATGCACCCGTCCGTCCTGGACGGCCTGTTCCAGATGGTCTTCCCGGCGCTGAACGAGGGCGGGGCCCGCGACATCCCAGCCATGGTCCCTTCGTACGTCAAGAAGCTGTTCATCTCCGCGGACGCCGCCGCGCAGGGCGGCCAGGTGCCGCTGCAGGCGAGTAATCGGTCGCGTCTGCACGGGTTCCGCGGCACGCAGTCCTCCGTGATCGCGATGTCCGCGGCCGGCGATAAACTGCTCTCCTACATGGACGGGTACGAGACGACGTTCGTGTCGCAGACCGGAGGCGCGGAATCCCCCGACGACAAAGACCGACATCTCCTCAGCTACGTGAAGTGGCAGCCGGATCTGACGGTGATGGATGACGCGCAGGTGGCGCGCCTGTGTGCGCGATCTGCGCCCCGGGTCGACGCCGCGTCGAGCGTGTTCAACACCCGTCTCTCGCTGCTCATGCGCCACTACGTCGACGAAATCCAGGAGGCGATCCACCCGTCCTGGCCGGATGGCATCTCCAAGGAACTGGTCGGGTATATCACGCACGAGAGCCACCTGGAGGACGGCGAGAAGGCGAACCCCCGCGCGGCGATCGAGGCGGAGATCCGAGACGCCAATAAGACGGGCGAGTTCTACGTCAGGAGAGGACAGCAGCTGTTGCGGTTTATTCAGCAGGGCGAGACGGCCTCTGCGGAGAGCCCGGCGGAGGAGGTCATCCCGGCGTATCTGAACGAGCGGCTGGCGAGCGACAGTCTGGTGAAGCCGCTGGAGGTGTTTCTGTCGGCTCTGGCGCACAGGAATCCGCTGATGAAGATCCTGGATGTCGGTGCGGGCTGGCAGGAGGGTGTCCCTTGCGCGGAGATTCTGGCGAGGACTGGCCAGGCGCCGTGGGCGCAGTATGACTGCACGGAGAGGCGGCCGGAGGATCTCAAGAAGGCGGAGGAGCGACTCGCTGGGTTGTCTGATCGCGTGAATTTCCAGGTACTCGATGTCGACAGCGATGCGGTCGAGCAGGGCTTCGACGAGGGTTCGTATGATTTGATCGTGGCGACCTCCGTGAGTGCACTCAACCTATTCATCTCGCTCCAACTAACATCTCCAGCTCCTCCACGCAACCCCCGACCTCAGCCACGCCCTTCGCAACATCAGACGCCTTCTCAAGCCGTAAGTCCACCTCAGCCCCCTCGAACACACTATTAACATGCTACAGAAACGGCCACCTCATTCTCTTCGGCGTCGTCGCCTCGCCCGAACTACGAACCGTCTTCGCAGGCACCCTCCTCTCCGCCTGGGGTCGAGCCCCTACAGGCCGTCCCCTCGGCGGAACCTACTCCAAGGAAACCCTCGATCGACTGCTCTCCGACAGCGCCTTCAACGGCCTCGACTTCACGATCCCCGACTCGCACTCCGCCGAAGACACCGACACCAGCCTCATCATTGCCTCGGCGCGCGATCCAGCACCCGCACGCAAGAACCTCCCCTCCCGTCTCGCCATCATCACCGACGGAACAACGCCCTCCCAACTGACCTACGCGGAACAACTAAAGCAGCACATCACCACCGCCGCAGACGCAGAGTCTGAGCTCGCGATCGACATCTACAGCTTCTCCGAGTTCGTGACCCGGCCGGACGCCCGCGACCGCTTCTGCATCTCGCTGCTGGAGTACGAGACGCCGTTCTTCACGACCATCGACGCCGCGGACTTCGAGCGACTGAAGACCGCAATGGCCATCACCGACGCCATCCTCTGGGTGACTCGGGACGCGCAGTGCGGGGACCGTCCGGAGTTTCATCTCGTGGATGGGTTCTCGCGCTCGCTGCGCTCGGAGAACGGCACGCTGAAGTTCGTGCGGTTGGCGATCTCCGCGGACGGAGGACCTGGCGATGGGCATGGGCATGGGTTGGATAGCGTGGTCACAGTGCTAAGGCAGGCGAATGCCTCCGCGCTGGACGATATGGAGTTCGAGTACGAGGAGCGAGATGGCGTGTTGCAGATCCCCAGGGTCGTGCAGACCCCTGAGATGAATCGCATCCATGCGGCGAAGATCACGCCGTATCAGGAGCAGGAGGTCCGGGTGGGTGAGATGCCGCTGGCGGCGGTGTTGAGGACGCCCGGGATCGTGAACAGTGTTGGGTATGAGGAGGTTCAGGCCGATCTGGATGGGGGGCTGGGGCCGGATGAGATATTGATCGAGGTGCGGGCTGTCGGGGTGAGCGCGCAGGACTACGAGATCGCGATGGGGAAGAATAGCGACGAGGCGATCTTCTCGGAGTGTGCGGGCGTGGTGAGGCAGGTTGGCGAGAAGAGTGGGTTCGCGGTTGGGGATAGGGTCTTTGCGAGGACCCCTGGGGCGTGTACGACGGGGTTGAAGTGTAAGGCGTCGTTTGCGGCGCGTCTTCCGGAGTCGATGGCTATGGTCGAGGCCGCTGCGTTGCCTTCTGCTGGTGTCACGGCGTTCCATGCGCTGGTTGGCGTGGCGCATCTGTCCAGCGACGAGACGGTGCTCGTGCAGAATGCCGCCGGTTCTGTTGGGCAGATGGCGCTGCAGATTGCGGAGCACCTGGGAGCGAAGGTCATTGCCACCGTGGACTCGGAGGAAGAGCGCACCCTGTTGAAGGACACTTATCAGCTCGAATCGTCCTGGATACTATCACGCCGCGACACGGAGCTTCCGCGCAAGATCGCAGCCCTGACTGCGAACCAGGGCGTCGACGTTGCGCTCAACTTCGAGCAGGGCGATGACCTCGATCACTGCGTCGAGGCTCTGGCGTCTTTTGGCCGACTCGTTAATGTCGGACTGGCCAGCAGCACGCCGTCAGATCATCTGGTCCAAGAGCTCGCCGCGAAATGCATCACCAATTCCACATTCCACCTCTCGAACCTGCAGCGCCACCGTCCGGCTCTCATCCGGAAACACCTCAATAGCCTCGCCTCCTTGATCACCTCTCACGGAATCAAATCCCCAACTCCCCTATTGGCTCTCCCCGCCGCCGACCTCATCCAGGCCCTTCAACACTTCCAGAAAGGCCAGCACGTGGGCAAGGTCGTCATTGACCTCGCGCCCAAGCAATCTATCACGGTTCGTCTGTCCATCCTTGTCTTCCCATATCACCCTAACGTATAATGCAGGCCCGCGTCCGCAACCGCCCGTCCTACACCTTCGACGCCAACGCAACCTACGTGATCGCCGGCGGCTTCGGCGGCCTCGGCCGCAACGTCTGCCGCTGGATGGTCAGCCGAGGGGCTCGCCATCTCATGATCCTGTCGCGGTCCGGCGTGCGGACGAACTCATCGAAGCAGCTCATCGAGGAGCTCACGGCAGCAGGCGCGCACATCCACGCCCCCGCGTGCGATATCACGCAGGCCGACGACCTGCAGCGCGTTCTGGACCAGTCCGCGCCCAATCTGCCGCCCATCCGGGGCTGTATCCAATGCACGATGGTCCTGCGGGTATGTCCCCCCCTTACTCCTTTTCATCCATGCTTCCATGCATGATGCAACGCGATGGCAAAGCTAACAAATATACTCAGGACGCCATCTTCACCAACATGACACACGCCGACTACGTCACCGGCACGCACCCCAAGGTCTTCGGCTCGTGGAACCTGCACGCCCAGCTCCCCTCGGGCATGGACTTCTTCATCCTCTTCTCGTCCGTCGGCGGCATCCTGGGCGCCACCAGCCAAGCGAACTACTGCTCTGGCAACACGTACAAAGACGCACTCGCCCGCCACCGGACCCGTCTCGGCGAAAAGGCCGTCTCCATCGACCTCGGCATGATGCTGTCCGAAGGCGTGGTCGCCGAGACCGACGGCATGCTGGACTCGCTGCGCCGCCTGGGCTACTTCATGGAAGTCAGCCAGACGGACCTGCTCGCGCTGCTGGACTACTACTGCGACAGGGCCCGCGCGGTGCTGGCGCCCTCGGAGGCGCAGATCGTCGTGGGCATCGAGAACCCGGCGGCGATGGAGAGAAAGGGCCTCGAGGTGCCGCATTGGATGCAGAGGCCGTTTTTCAGCCATTTCCAGCTCATTCGCAATGCGGGCGGTGGGGGCGCGGTGAAGAGTAGCCAGCCGGATTCGCAGAGCGTGTTGCAGCAGAGTGCTTCGACTGAGGAAGCCGCGGCCCATGTGGCCGAGTGGTTGGCGAAGAAGCTCTCGCAGATCCTGGGCATTCCGGTGGCGGAGATCAGTCCGAATAAGCCGATCCATGTGAATGGGATCAATTCGTTGGTGGCGGTCGAGTTGAGGAATTGGTTTGAGAAAAGGATCGGGGCGGATATCGCGGTGTTTGAGATTCTGGGGAGTATGGCCATTACGCAGTTGAGTGTGTATGCGGCGGAGAAGAGTCGGTTTAGGGTGTCTGAAGAGTGATGATTTATGATATAGTCCATAGTGCATAGTCCATATCCAGCAACCTATACTCAAAAACATCTTAACATAACACCATCAAACTCCTTCTGTTACATAATCTCATAAATCATATCTACCACGGCAGATCCTCCGCCGTCGCCATCCTCAGATCCCCATTGCTCCGCACATACGTCTCGATATCCTCATACGCCGCCCTGGTGGTCTCATCATCCGCATACTCCGCTCCCCCGAGCCCATAAATAATCCCATCGACGCCCGCCTCGCCCAACATCTTCTGCACCATGTCACCCTGGCCCCGCGTTGTCGTCCACGCCATGACAGCCCCAATCTGCCCGTCATCTCTCGCCTGCGCCCCGGTCTTCAGCACAGAGCAAACACCCCCGTCTGTGCCATTGCACGATCCAAAGCTCTCGCTGGTGAGATCCACAGCCCCGTAGTCCATGACTCGCTGAGCAGCAGCCACCCCTGATCCATTCCTATTCCCAGCATCAACATCAGTATCAACATCGATATGATCAAACCACCCCTCCACCTCCCCCACCTCCCCACTCAACACCACCGCCTCCCTCCCCCTCAATCCCCGGCCTATAACCTCGAACCCAGTACTCCCCTCCTGCTCATAAAACCCATACAACACCCCAATCCCTACCTCCCCCAAAATCTCCCTCGCCAGATCCCGCAACGCCTGAATCGAACACCCCCGGCCCAGGACGCAGTCATCCGGGTTCTTGATGTCCAGCCACACGAAGGAGATGTTTGCGCCGGCGGAGCGGGCGTCGGCGATGGCAGTGAAGAGGGATCGTGCGGTGGCGCGCGCGCTGCAGAGCGTGTTGTCGTGGTCCGTGTACCATTCGTAGGTGTGGGCTGTGAGGTCGATTTCGAGGACGTTGGCGCCGTGGGTTAGGGCTGCGTGTAGGGAGGGGGTGGTGAGGATGCGGTGGGCTATGGCGTAGATTGGTCGGGGGGTTGATGTACTGGTGGAGGAGAAGGTGGTGGTTGAGGTTGAGGAGGTCGAGGAGGTTGTGAGTGTAGTTGCTGTTGATGTTGATGTCACTTGTGAGGATGTAGTGTTTGATAGAGCAAGAAGGACAAGAGGGAGGATATTCGTGAGCGTTCGTAGCTTCATCTTGCCTAGTATACTAGTTTAGACAGTAGATAGTATAACAGTCACACTTCAAACTTCCTATTCAACACAACACCCAATGTACCGGACCTAATCTTTATACATCCAACACAACCCAACCTCGGACCAAACACACACTAACACAGGCACTCATATTCTCTTCGCCCTCTCCGTTTCGCCCCATGTCACACGAACTAACTCCATAGCGCAGCATCAGTATACGTTGTCTACACCTAGCTCAGTCAGCGGAGTTAAGACGCAGGCCTTACAGAGCCAGTGTGGATTTGTACCTGACCATCTTATCCACAATCCATAATTGATACATGCAATTGGACAGTCACTTAAGATCTCTACTGGATCCACCGTCATCAATGAGTCCCACCAACACAACACGTACATTCAAGACTACAGACTGCAGCCGGTGCTAGATATTCTAACGATGGCCGAGTTTTCATTCTCCCACAGACTCACGCACTATACAATAGACGTGGACAGTTACGTACACGGAGCAGCCGGAGGACTACGTATGCCGCTTGTCTGGTTCGGGAAGAACCACAGGCCCAGCGTCGGGGAGAGTCCGGACAGAATTTTCGACCGCATGGCAGGGCAGATGGACGGCGATGTTGGGACTTGGGATAAAGGGCCAAAGATGAAGGATTGAGCGTGCAGATGATATCTGGTTGCCTGAGTGTGGTGGTATTGGCCAAGACGAAGGAAGAAACGATGCCTACAGGACGGTTTAGGAAGTAAACTCTTAGGATCATTCTTTGTTATTGTTCTCGTCGGTGTTTGAATTAGGGTTACGGAGTCAGAGTCCAAATGAATCCATGGATCCTCATCAATTCAATAATTGTTAACATCTGCCCTATAGCCATATCATGCATTAATGATAAAGTTCAACCCGCAATCCAGATGAAGAAATCTCATCTCCTGATCGACACAGCATTACTCGATTCGGATGTCCAGTCTATCTTAGGCATCTCCATAAAACCCAACCACCACTTCGGGCGAAATTTCTATATCCGACTCATCTTCCATCGGACGTTCACTCCGTAGTTGCCTTCAGCACTTTCTATATCTGTGTTAGTGCTCATCCCGCCACTGGCTTCATCACTGAAACCATCACGGAAACGGTTACTTCGGAGTACACCGTCGAGACGGCACTGACGGCACTGGGGACAGTGCCGGTGTCGGGATTTATAATGGAGTCCGTCAAAGACCGCGTCATCGGATCAGTTGATGGCGACTGAGGAAATGCCGAACAGTTATGATAATTTATTGCTCGTGTGTCCGCTGAATACGGGCGAAATGGCTCTTCCTAGATCGCTGGTCTTTCGATGATATCTTTTTCTGAAATTCAAACTCTCATTTATCCCCCAAATCCATAACCATAAGGCAGAGTCGATCTTATCTTCAATGATATGGGGTGGGTTAGGCAGAAGAAAATTCCAGCAAAGGCCATGCGGAATGCTAGTGGATCGCACTAATTTAGTGGATTCAGTAAAAATATCACCGAATTCCCGTCCTGATGAACTTATCCATGTCAGATATATTACGTTGAAAGCTTGCTTACGCCACCCATGCACTCAATCAATCTGAAATCTAATGCTTTAATCCAGCCCCCCTTAACTCGCACACTTACACCCAGCACGAAGCCAATGCCCGTAGACATATATCACAGCAACCCCCGACAGGGTCATTTTGTAGGAATTACGAGGTAAGACGCTGTATTTGTCTTAAATAAAACGTTTAATTTCTGATAATCAAGATAATAATAAAGGGAAGGTCTAGATACACCAGAGGACCCTATTTTATATCTTATAATCTTACTGGGGATTCCTATTTAATTTAAGAGGTCTTTAGTAAATTACTGCAGATAATCTTATTTTAGCAGGAATATTCTAGTATACCTATTTAGGATACCAGGAGTTTCCTATATATCCTCTTAAAATAACAGTTGTTTTAAAGCTAAAGTATTTTATCTAGAAGTTTCTATTTAGCTATAATTATTTAATATTTATTAATTTAGTATGTTATTTAAATTTAACACGTGAGAATATTTTTATTAATATATCTGTGATTATTCTGTCTGTAGTTAAATATTAAAGTTTAATATTACCGTGCTGAATTGCCTCGCGAATCTAATAGATTTAAATATTAATATATTTACTTCGGGCATGCATCTGGGTGTTCTTTATAAGTTTTAAAGTAGGTTTTAAGTTAATATAAATAATTATTAGCCTTATATTATTAAAGCTGATTAATTTAAATATCTAAATAATTTAAATTATTTTCCTGTTTATTATACTAATTATAATATATTTAGTTTTATAAGTTAATAAGCTTATTATAATCTACAGCTTTAAAGTCTAGGAAATAAGTCCGCCAGCTAATATAAAAATAAAATTAATAGTAGATCTCTGTGTATTAAGATTACCAGCGAAATCTATATTTATATATTTTTTTATTATTCTTAATTATTCTACTATTTCTGCCTTTTTATCTTTAATTTATAAGTAAAAAATAATACTGTGATTAATTATTAATCAGAAGAATTAGAGGAAATAAATTAGATTTTTTATATATAAGTTATTAAAGTTTAAAGTAAATTATATAAGTTATTTAATTTTAAATAAGATATCAGGACAAGTTTATAAAATAATATATATAATTAAATTAAGTAACTTTTGATATTGCTTCAGAAGGTTGAAATTTGGTTTTTTTATAATTAATTTAGTTAATTTAATATTTTCGCGGGCTAAAGTAAATAAGATTTTATTTAAATTATAATTAAAATTATTAAAAACACGCTATATATATACAGATTAAATTAATTTAAGTATTTTTTTTTCTCTGTTTTTTTTTATCTTTATTTTTAGGTAGTAAGCGGCTTCCTGAAAGTAAGCGCTGTTAAAAATATTTTAAATAGCTATTATTATTTTTTTAATAGCCTTACAGTTACTAGCTATTAAAATATTATTAATATAAATAATTAAGAAAGTCTTATTTATATTAGTAAAAAAATATTTATTTATAAAGGTTAAGAAAAAGCCTATTTTAGTTAAATTTTATTATAAAGTAAGATATTACGCCTGCGCGGCTTGTTTTAAGCTATAAAATAGTTAAAGTAATTAATAAATATATCCGGAATTATTTTTAAATTTTTTTAGCTACTTTATATAAATAATCTTATTATTAAAAAAATTATTTTATAAAAATATAAGCAGAATATCTCTCTGAAAGTATTTAAGATTTATAATTATTATTAAAATAAAAAATAATTAAATAATTATTAGATATACTATAAGTAAAAAAGTGTTCTAGAAATTAACTTTATATTATTATATAAAATCTTAAGTAATTTATTTAGCTTTAAAATATAAAATTTAATTATTAATATTTAATTTTAGTTTATAAATTTAATAATTATAAAGTACTTTACAGCCAGGGGGCAAATCTATAAATTTTTATAATTCTTATTTAACTAGGCTATTAAATTCTGATTTTATAGCTTTCTATTATTTATTTTTATATAAAGAGGTAATAGCTTTATTAAATAAAAAGGGTTTAATTATTTTATTATAATTTCCGCGATAATTACTAATCAAGAGAATACTATTATAAAAAAAATAAGTAATTAACAGCTAGTCTGCCACTAGTAACTCAGAAATAAAAAAAGAGATATAATCTGTAAGTACTAGCTTAAAAAAAAGACATTAAGTAAGCTTATTTTTAAAGTTATTATCTAATTTAATTTTATAAAGGTTTCAGGATAATAAATTAATTAATAAAAATATTTTTTAATTTTTATAATTATTATTAAGTATTCTGTATAAGTCTAAGTCTAATCTTTTATTAAATTATATATTATAAATCTGTTTTAACTTTTTTGTTAAAGGGATCCAGATAATATATTATTTATCTAAAGATATATATTTAATAAATCTTATATTAAATACTTTAAGGTTAATTTTTATTATTTTTTTATAAAACCAGACCTTAAAAGAAATAATAACTATAATTTTATAATTAATAATCTTTAATCTTTTAATATTTAATCTTCTATTATTTCTGATTTTATATAAAGTTAATTCTTTATCGCGAACAGGCGAGATATTATAAATAAAAATAATTATTTTTATTATCTTGGCCTATAAATAACAGGGTAGATTATTATTAATTAAAATAATACAGATTTTTATAAAAATAATTCTTAAAAAATATTTAACAGACGAATTCTGGTTATAAATATATATAAAAATAAATTTTTACTTGATTTTCTATTCTTCTGCTTATTTTAATACCTTATAATTAATAAATTCCTTGTTATTATCAGAATAAAAGTATTAAATTAGATATTTTGTAGTTTTTTTAAAATTAGTATATATCTAAATTACTAAATATATTTAATTTTTTATTTTTAAAAATCTAACTAAAGCAAATTTATTATACTAATTATAAAATAAGATCTAATATTTTATTTTATTTTTATAAGCAGATAATATATTAAAATAACTACTTCCTAAATCTATAAAAATATAATTTCTATACTTTTTTACAGGAATTATTACTTTCTGTTTATTTTTTATTATTACTAAAGCCTTCTAGCAGGGCTTATAGGTATATTTTAATATAATAAGGCCTTTAATATTTAATCTGTTAATTATTTTATTTAAACATTTTATATTTCTGATTAAAAAATAAGTAAGTTAACAGTACTATATTCTAAAGTTAATATATGTTTTTTTTATTATTTAAATATAGTAAGATTTTAATTAATAATTCGCGTGCTAAATTTTAATTATTTTTTTTATAAGAAAGATCTTATTTTGCTAAAATAAGGTCTAATTTAAATTATAATTTTTAATTAATCTTATAATATAAATATCTCTTTAAATATCTTTATATCTAATAACTAATTTATTTAATATTTTTATAAAAATAATTTTATTCAGAAGAAAATTAATACTAAAATCTTTCTAGTTTATTTTAATAATTTTTACTAGATTAACTCTTACCTCTGGGAGATAAAGAACATTAGTAAGAACTATTTTTTAGATTTTTATAAAATATTAAAGAAGTAACTTAATATCTCTGGTAAGTATTAAATAAATTAAATAACTTATTATTATATAAATCTTATAATAAGATGGCTGCGCGGTCCTTATAATAAAGTTGCTGGGATTATTAGTAAAATAATAAGTTAATTTTAAATTAATAATTTAATTATTTTAGCTTATATAACAGATTTTTTTAATATTAATTTTAATTTATTTTTTTTTTAAATTACTAGGGCTACTTCTCTTAAAAACTATATAAATAATATTATTATTAAATAAAATATTAAAAGACTTTGTTTTTTTTTTCTGCTACTTCTGCTTTTTTAATTAATTTTTTATTTATTAAAGGATTTTTTTAGGGTATTTTTTTTAATAATTTTTTTTTATAGCCTAATTTCTTATAATAAAAATATTTTAGAGATAATTTTAGATTATTATTATTTTTTTAATTCTTAAAGTTCTTTTTTTTTTTTTTTTTTTTATTTTTCTGGTTTTTATTCTTATTTTTACTAAACTCTTTATTAGTTCTAGCTTTAATAAAATTTACTAATTCCTAGTTAAATTTTATATATATTTTTTTCTGAATCAGGACCTGAGACATCTTAGTATAAATTATAATATCTTTATTAAAGCACAAGTTAAAATAGGAGATTAAAAAGATCTGTTATATTTCTTCTAAATTACAGAAAAAAAACTAAGTATAAATTAATTTATTAAAAATAACTTTTTTTTTTAGACTCTTATTAAAATAATTTAGCGCTGAGGATATTTTTTTAATATATTTATTTATATTTTTATATTGTGGATAAGTTGTTATTATTGTTAATTAAAATTTTTTAAAAAATTAAATATTATATATAATTTTATATTTTCTGGATAGGGCCTTCACGAGATCTATAATAGTATAAAAATAAATAAACTTATGGCAGATAGCTTTAAATAATAAGGTAAAAATAATATTTATTACTTTAATATTATTATTTTTTTATTTAAGAAGCTTATTCTGAGCTCTCTGGGCTATATTAAATAATATTAGTTTTTTTAAAATTAATATTAGGATCTTAGAGTGAGAGAACTTATTACTGATTATATAAAATATATTTTTAATTTATAATTTTATATTAAAACCTTTAATCTAATCCTGGTAATTTTCTGCTAATATAAATTAAAATATAGTATATTTTTTAGGCGCTATAATTATTTTATTAAAATATTTTATTTATCTTAAAAATAGTTAATTATTTCAAGATCTGTTTTAAGGGCCCTAAATAAGGGTTCTAGGGGTCTAAATAAAAGACTTAATTAATTAAGTCTCTGGGCTTATAACCTGTAGGAATTATAAGATAAGATATTATATTTATTTTAAATAAAATATTTAATTTCTGATAATCAAGATAATAATAAAAAGAAAGTCTAGATACACTAGAAGACCTTATTTTATATCTTATGATCTTGCTAGAGATTCCTATTTAATTCAGGAGGTCTCTGGTAAATTGCTGTGGATGACCTTATCTTGGCAGGAACATTCCGGTATGCCTACCTAGGATACCGGGAGTTTCCCACACATTTCCTAGGCCACGCCCAGATTATAGGACAGCGGTTGCGCCCAGATCACACTGCAACACCACCTAGCGCACTTTCACCGAACAATAATGTGTACTGCGGGCAAGTCGTCGTGATATAGACGAAATCAACTGGATGATGATCCCCACTGCCGATCTCGCCGAGGTTCATGCTCTAGGTGTTTCTGTAGAGAGGGAAGAACTCGAAGGAGTAGAAATCGCGTACACGACACCGCAGTAGACACTTGTGGGGAGGCGTTTGAGCAAGAAGATGGCCTTGTGTGGGATATTATTGGAGAAAAAGAGTAGATTCGAGTCACCGGGGTACTAACATGTTTAATACCGGGGCGGACTATAAGATTCGGGTGAAGGATTATGCATCGGATCAGATTGAGACTGTGCCGATGCATGATAAGCTGAATGTTCCATTGCTGGCGCAGAGTGTGGGAATAATGTATGAGAGGTTTGCGGATGGGGAGGTTGTGCCTTCTTTTGAGGACGCGGTTAGGAGGCATGAGTTCTTGGATATGGTGTTTGCTTCGGACGAGGATGGGGGAGGTGAGGAGGTTTTGAGTCGAGTTTCATTGCTTCATGGCTTTGGAGGTCAGAGATCTATAGATATGATGTTTGTGGTTAGGACAGAGTGAATAGCTGACCTGAATATATATTCTGAAACTGAATAGCTTCATTCCAGACCATGTACCATCTATGTTTAAACTCCACTCGCATATCTAGTCAATTGTAGTAAGACTTTCATCCTTCTCAGCAACACTCTACAGACAGCTCTGCCGCAGCGATCTTATGACCGCGTATATAATGGTGTTTTCATTTCTCAATCAACCCTAGGTTGAACAGCCCATCGAACAAGAACATCTGGTAGAATATCATATGGTATCACCGCTAATGTAGAAACAATCATCCTCCCATGGAAATGCAATGAACATAATAAACAGACAATCAAGAGACAATATGCATGCAAATAAAGCCACGGATCCGTAGGTCCGTAGAGAAGGTCTGCGACCAACTACAAGATCAGCCCGTCGTGCTCCTCGTCACTCAGGTTCCACCAGAAGCGCATCTGCCGTTCGCGTTCGCTCAACACGCATCGCTCGTCCTCGTCCAATTCCGACTCGCGCAGCCACTCGGTCGGAAGGTCGCGCACCCCGTACCGCTGCCCCCATTGCCGTCGCTCGTACTGCATGAACCCGCCGAAATGCTCGTCCGCGTTGGCCACCCAGATCGTACTGCCGTCGGCCGAGAAGTCGGCTCCCCCGATCTCGCCGAAGAAGTCCTGCACTTGGCGCGTCTGGTAGGTCTGCGCGTTGACGATGCAGATCCGGTCGGCCGGTTCGCACATCAGCAGGGTCCGTGGGCCGCCGCCCACGGGCGAGAATCGCAGCGACCGGTATCCCGCGACGTCGGACTCGATCTTCTCCAGCGGCCGCCACGTGCGTGCATCCCAGATGATGGCCGTCTTGTCCTGGTTGCTGGTGGCGATGTGCCGCATGTCCGGGGACCAGGCGCAGGCGAACCCGAAATCGCGATGCCCCCGCAGCGGGTGCACCGGTCGCCCCGAGTCCGCCTCGACGACCCAGGCGTCCGGCGAGTCGCCAATCACCACGCGCAGGCGCCCGTCGGGAGATGTGGCCGTGCAGTTGATGGCGCGCGAGAGCTCGTGGTCCGCCACGAAGGTGTTGGTCTCGCAATCCAGCACCCGCAGATGCCGGTCGTTAGACGCGAAGATTCCTATCGGCGCTCGGTTCGTTCGACTGGGCACGACATCGATGTGGTTGGTGATCCCGTTCGGATCTTTAGTGACGAATCCAGAGGCACCGCTGCCCTCGGCGTCTGGAGATCGCAGAGCATACTCTCCCATGAACCCTCCCGCGATGGCCACCTCGTGCGCGGACTTCATGGAGGAGATTTTGACCGGACCCTGGAACCCGGTCTCTAAGGACGGCCGGGACAGGTCAATCAAACAGGTCAAGTCGTCGTAGGCGGGGATCCACGAATATAACTTGGATTCCTGGGCGAAATGCACCGTATTGTAGGCAGCGACCGACATCAGATTGCGCAGTTGGAAATGTTCAATGGTGGTCTTGAATCTAGTGTGCATGGACTTCTCCCGAAAATAAAACTCCTCCTGCGGGAGTTTGATCCCGTGTCGGTGACTGGAATATTCCAGATTATGATACGACTTGTACCATTGGTCTCGCAGGTGTCGCGCATCCGAGCGTTTGACCCGTAGTGCTTCCCACCACGGAATCTGTTGAATGTCGTAAAAGTCCCCGCCATAGGCAGTCGGTCGCACGATCTTTTGCGGCGGGTTCCAGCCGATGATGTTGGCGAGAGGGTTGGCCGGTAACGGTGCCGGGGCCATAGGAAGGCTGGGGATCGCCGCAATGGAGGAGTGGACCCACTGGGAGATAAATTGGTCGATGTTGAAATTTCGCTCGTGAACTATTGCAAACTGTCAGCCATAGCGATCGATGCACGGCGGAAGCCCATACTTGTTCCCTGTACAATGGAGGGCGCCAGGTGAGGATCCGTCGGGTCCTCCCCGTCCGAGAAATAGTTGTGATCGTCGTGGGCGGGAGCGGCCGCATCTTCCGTGAACTGCGTACTAAAACCTTGGTCCATGCCTCGATAGAAATCGTCAAAATCCACGTCGGATAGCGGTGTCGGGCCTAATCGAGAGGGTGAATCGTTGATATACTCCTCCCCATATTCGCCACCGATACTGTCTTCCGAATCGGACTTGGGCGTGTCGTCCAGGTCGTCGTCTTGCATCTCAGGGCCATTCGGTTGCTCCTCGACAAAAGACCCCTCGTAGTCGTCAAAAAGCCCCTCGGCCTCGTCGTCCTCGCTATCCTCCGAGATGGTCGACATGCTCTGACCCACGGCGACATTGTCGATGAGCTGATGCACCAGGCCATCCAGCCCTATGTGTGCGCCGTGCGGGCCAAGCGGGACGCCGCCCAGGTCGGACAAAGCGTCCGTCATCTCGGAATCCGACATGTACAACTCGGTTGGCGGGGAGGACGAGGTCATTCCGGCGGCTTGTCCGTGGCGGGTACCTCCAGGTCGGAAATACTCCTCGCGCTCGATCACGGCATTGACCACTTCCGAGACGGAGAGAAAATTCGGCTCGTTGCTGGTGGCATTCGGATATTGCGACACTGCCATGAGGGCGGAGATGCCCGCGTCCGTGTCGAAGTTCCCGTCCAACGTCACGCCACCGGCACCACCCGCTGGGCCTGGACTGGAGGGAGAGTGCGGATCATCTATCGGCGGTGACGACGATAAATCTTCACGAGCGGACTGCGAGAAGGACCGGCGGGACTGGCCTATATCCGAACCATTGCGGTGGGACGGGGCGGAAGGCCTGGAGGGGCGATCACCAGCACGAAAAGAGGGTGACCACGGGGGTTCCGATGCACTCCGATCAGGCATTCCGGTCAGGTTGGCAATGGCAGGCGACCAGAGGCGGGTGCGAATAGCCAGTCGAGGGTCAAATGCGACCGTGCGAAAGTGACGGCGGGCGGTGATTGGCACCGGCGACACCAAAGACAACCGAGTCCACGTTTTTCCGATTCTTTTCTTCTGCTTCGAATCGATCTTGGCCCTGCACGTGGTCACCCCCGCAGCATTCGTCGCCCACCAACCCCCACGCAGTTTAGGACTAGAAGGCTGGAATCCCAGTAGCACCCAGTCGGAACCGGAATCCTGCGGCTCTTGGTGAGTGGTGGTCGCACTATGGATGCAGTTATCCGGGGGTGAGAAGCAAGGAGGGGGGGAGAGGGATGAGGTGGCAATCGGGTCGGGTCACCAGGAGAGGAGCAATAAGCCACATCTCATGCGGTCGAACGAAGGGAAAGGAAAAGAGGGGAGGGAGGGGATATATAGGAACGAAGGCGAAGGGAAGAGGGGAAGAGAGGAGAAAGACAGAGCTTTACGTTGCAGAATGCGTCGGTCGCCTCCCCAAGTTGGGGGATGTGAGGTTGCCTTTTAGCACGACGGACGTGAGAGTGGAACAGATGAGGCTGCAGGCGACCGAGTCAGGAGGAACTCGTGGGAAAAGGACGGCGCAGATTGGAAGCCATACGAGTCTCCGGGATGCCGCCTTAGTCAGACGGCGAGGGGAACGTGCGGGTCACATGAATCGAGGAATTGCAGGAATCAATTCATGGCCACCGATTCTTTATCCCTGGATCCAGAGCAGAAATGCAGGAATGCAGGTTGGGTGAAGAATCTTAGTCAGAGCAGCCAGCAGGAAGAAGAATGAAGGACCACCCATGACTGCCAAGCCTGCGCTGCCGCCAGGGATCTCGGATATTATGCCATTGTTAGGACTATTATGTTGACGATTATACTGGAATACTTGGACTTATCGTTCATCAGGTCTCGTTCTAATCGTGACTATCCCAGCTCATATCAAACAAAAATACATCGCTGCCAACAAATACATCGAAGGTGAATAATTACAGCTCTCGGCCAATCCTATACTATACGGCGGTCGAAATGCCCGGTCCAAGAAGCAAAATATCACGCAATAAATCAACCAGTCGTTATCCATCGAAGGGGGGAAAAAGAAAAAAGAAAAGATACAGATTTGGATCACCCATCTAGTAATCCGAGTACGGTTCGTAATGCGACGAATATCTTCCGCCCGTGGGTTGTCCCCATCCGGCCATTCTCATTCGACGGTCTAAATCAAAAGTCAGCAAATGTCGTTCTCGAGAACCATGAAATTCAAAACCTACCCTTTTCAAAATCTCTCCATCGTTTCATAGTGATCTTGCTGCTGTCAAACTCGCCCTCTCCCGCCTCGTGACCCTTGTCCTTCTCGCCCGCCGTCTTCCGCGTGTCGCCCCAACTGAAATCATCGAACTTCCAGAACGAGTACGTGGGAAGAACAAAGTTCCAGATGGGCAGCGAGATCAGGTAGATCAGCATCCACATCACATATACCAGCCGATGGGCCGTCACGACGATCAGCACACCCGGAAGCCCCAGAATCAACGCCAGCAGCACCAGGGGGATGACCTGCACCGGCTTCTTGACGATGGAAGAAATGACGACGTAGAAGGTAAACGCGATGGCGGCGGGCAGGACAAGCGTTCCGACGAGTTCGATGAAAATCACAAACTGCATACTGAAGCAGAACGTGCCGCAGAGGTCGCGCACCAGCACAAGTTCCATCAGGTTGTGCACCGTACTGTTGATCCAACGACGCCGCTGGGACAGCAGCACCATAAACTGGTCCGGCACCTGGGTCTTGCAGACAGCCTGAGGCACGAAGATCTGTTTCCGCTTGGGGAATGTTCGAAGCATCAAAGTTGACAGATATCGATCCTCACCAAGCAGCAGCAAATTCTTCTTGTGGAGCGTATCCACCACGTTCTCGGAGTAATGCTCCACCACGTCCGGGTTGGCCAGGATGGGAACCCAGTAATTCTGGCCTCCTTTGGGCGCTTTGATGCGGTACATGGAGAAACAACCGGGCAAACAAGTGACACCACCGAAGACTGACTCGAACGATTTGGACTGATGGTGCGAGATAAAGTATTCAAACACCTGAATCATCGTCACCCAGCTATCCGTCTTGTTGGCAATCTTCGTCTCGCCGCACAAGCCCATGACCTCGGGATCCTTGACCATCGCGGAGATCATATGGGTCAAACTGTCCGGGAAGACCTTGGTATCGGCATCAACCATGAGCACCACTTCGTAAAAGTCCGGCGGAATCCCGGTGACATTCCAGAGTCCGTTAAACATCTCAAACTCCAGCTCCGTCATTCGCTCGTCAAACATCACTTTCTGGAGGAAGGACATCAGGATGATCTGACTGTCTCGTTTGCCTCGGTTGCCAGGCTTCGACTGGGTTTGCTCCGCCGGGGTGCCGCTCTTGACGACGATCATCATCGGAACGCGTTGCTGCTTCTCGGTCGGGACAATCGACGTGTCTCCGTAGTCATAAAATCCAGCGTAGACTTTGGCCATGTTGTGACGTTTGGAACCGGTAGCCACCGCAACGTAAGAAAATCCCTGCACCTCGTCAAAAGGAACCACGGGGTCCCGCATCATGCGCAAGACAATCTCCGGGGTGGAATATTCCTCTCCTTTACCCTTGATCATACCGTCACAGATGACAACGATGGTTTTGTGACTGTTCGGGTAATCAGTGGTCGCAATGGAGTCCAGAGTGGTGCGGATTCCATCTTCGCCTTCGGAGTAACAAGTAACCAAGCACATGGCATGTGCCAAGGGGTATCCATAAGGTTGCCAGTCCGGCGGCGGCTGGGGTACGACCGCTTCGTGGATGTATCCCGCAGCTCCGAGGCCCTCCGATTCCTGAATGGCATGCGAGTAGCGAGAGTCTTGTACTAAACTTGTTCGGCTGGCCGTAGGGTTTTGCCGCGACGGGTCTGCACTCAGTGTGCCACCGCTACTGTTGTGACTCAGTTTGTACATAGAGTTGCCGCTCGGGATCAATCGAGAGGTCGAATTTTGGCTCGCCATTGTGACATATTGAGGCCGCTGCTTTCCACCATTGCTCACGGTGTACGGGCTAGAGAAGCGAGAGGTGGTCGGCAGAAAGCTCGCTCGCTTGCTTGCACGGTCCGCCACAGGATCCGTAATGCGAGGACCAGGTCGGTAGATATCGTTCGACCAGTCTTCGATCTGCTGGTTGCGTGTCTTGGGATCGGAGCTCATACTCGTTTTCTGCGCGGCAAACCGAGGTGCCAGGAACCACTGGAACAGCAGGGCAAATGCGAATTTGACGATGACAATCGAGAGAATGAAAATCAGCGACACGTACAGGACGACCTTGGACGCAATACATCCAACTGTGTCGGTGTCGATACTCCCTACTTTCACGATCTGGGACAAGCACTTGCCAATCTTCTTGTCTTCCCCGCTCTGCAGGTAGTAAGTCAAGTCGACTCCGCGCACATCCGGGTTCTCACGCAGCTCGTCGAATTTGGCCGGGTACTTGACTTGCGAGGTGTCCAGCCACTGCAACAGATCGAGGTCGAGAACGTTGCCAGAGTACACCACCAAGTTTCGGCTCTTGTTTCTTGTGTCTTCCCATGTGAAATATACATCCCCTGAGCCTTTGAGACTGTAGAATGACTTCCTAGCCTCACCAGACGTGTGACAGGCCCAACCAGTGTAGTATGATTCGGTGTAGTTTGGCTTCGACGACCCGTCCTGGTTGAACGGTGCGCACGGAAAGTACCAGCCAAGTTCGCCTTTGGAATTCGTGGGGATGTCCGAATCTTTGGTGGTCGTGATAAGCCCTTTGCAGGCCCCGTTGACCTGCTGGAAGAAGAAACTTCCATCTTGTCCGCTGTACTTGTGAGGGAGGTCATAGAGAACATTCGTATCCGGAGGGATACCGGTGGCAGTCGGATGGGTCGATTTAGACAGGTCGTAGGCCGTCCCGTGGAATATCATGTAGCCGCTGCTCACCTTATTGATCTTCAGTCGAGTAGGCGGTGTTCCACACACGGTGGCCGTAAAACCAAAAGTCAAGAAACCGACGAATGCCGCGATGAGCAGAATGATACTGATGAGCCCGATCTTCTCCCGCCATGCACTCCGCTGCGCCTTTTGCGGCATCCCGAAGCATCGCATGATGCAATCGGGCGCCCAAAACGTGATAATAGCGCAATACGTAGTCCAGAGGCTGGGAGGCCGAACCTGCTCCATCGCCCTTTGTCGCTCTCTCTCCGCTGCAGCCGCTCTCTTCGAAATCTTCCGGGTGTGTCGCCTCTTTTTCGTATGTTTTCGGCTGGGAGCCCGCTCCATCGGCTTGTTGACGTTTCCATACATGCCATCTTTGCTCTTGTATTCCACGCTCCGGGAGCTCGGGGTATCCGCCTGGTCTTCGTCTTCCATCAAAGGCTCATGTCCCGTTGTCGAAGGCTGTGTCGGCATGTTCTGGGATCGCTGGCGGTAGTGATAGTTGGGGTGGGACTGATCGACCCGGGTTCGTTCCGGCTTCACGAAGCTCTTTTTCCGTCTCAGGTCCTCCCCCGCATCGACTCTCTCTTCGTCGTAATCTTTCTTCCTCCGAGAGCTGTGCGAACGATGACGACGGTGGTGATGGCGATGCGACGCCGGCGGGCTTGATAACGATTCATTCAGGGCGCCGGTCTCGGGGTCTCGTCTTCGGCGTCGCGAGGATTCACGAAAGGCGGACTGTTCATCTCGTCGCGGGGAGGCCTTCCCCGGCCGTTGAGGCAAAGACATGGTCCAACAGCTAGTACGAGTAGCAGAGTCAGCGAAAAACCAAACATCGCCTGGCCATGAAGAACTGACCTTTATTCCAGTGCGACCATGAAGTATGGGAAATCTATAGCTTTTGGCGGTTTAATTATTATAATGGCATCGGCGACGATGCTGATGCAACGAAACCGGCGAGCGATGCGATAGATGGCTGTGTTTCCACTCAAGGTAACGTTCTCTTTGAACTCTTGCCGGCGATGGCAGTATCCAAGCGATTCAGTCAGGGTGCGAACTAGGCACCGGTGGATCAAACCTGAGCGATCGCGTGGAATGGCGTGGTCTGTGGTCCAAGACTGGAAGATGGTTAGATAACGAGATAGAGCACTCTGCACTGAAACTGCGGACAAACAAAGCGAGCGATAAGAGTTGAGTGGCAGCCAGTAGAATATCACCAGTGGGATCTTGAAGATTCCAGGAATGCGCCGAGCGGAGATTTCGAGGGGGTCTCGAAGAAGGGGGAGGGAGAAAAGAAGAAAGGGAGCATCAGCGGGAGGCGATTGAGATGGTGCCGAGCGGAGTTGGCGTGATACAGTACATGATCGGGTTGTGGTGCAAAACACTAGGAACGACTAGGAGACGTAGGAACCGGTGACCGTGCCTGAAAATAACCACCTACCGAACCGAGTATTTTATTTGACGAGGTGTGATTTGCCCTCGGCTGCAGGGGTATATAAAAAAAATCAAAGAAGAAAGAAAAGCTCCGGCGCATGTACAAGATACCTCTCATTCGGGAGTTATCTACATGCGAAGGTACGTCAATGCGTGCGGGAGAGGGACTTGAGGAGACAGCGGAGGGATGTCACCGGTGGGTTATTTCACCAGGAAGGAAGCTAAAAAAGGTCGAGAATTTGGCAGCGCCGAACAATCGTCCAGAGAAATCGAAGCGATGGCAAAATTGCGCCCATAACAAAGGACGGGATAGAATACACCTAGTACGGTGCCATCCATGTGCCTCGTCGCTAGGGGCAATCGGTCGGGGCTAGATCCCTCCCCACCAATGGAAGTCACTCGGCCGGGCTCACGGATCAATTAAAAGGTTCGGGCCCCGGTCGGTCCTCGTCTCTTGATTGGCTGCCGTTCCGCGTCCAGACCGGCTAGGCCGTATCAGGCTAACGGCCGAAAATAACCGACCAGTCACGAGCAACCCAATGTCTCACATGGGCCCCACCACCTCGGTTGCCCCTCTGATCTCAATTTTGAAGGTTAAAACTTAATCCTCCTCCTTTGCGTTGATGCTCCGGACTGGCAATGCGGAGAACTTCTGCCGTGACCGTAAGAGCTCCCAGATCAGTCAGCTGAATCACGGGGTAACAGGCTGACATGAAGACAGACCGTGCCTTGACACTCCAGGTCCGCCGTCTTAGACATGCCAACGGCTATAAATAGTATCGCAGCGAGATCTAGGAACCTATGGACAGTGAACAGTTGGCTGGCAGCTACCATGGTTCTTCCCTATGGTTTTCCTTCCACATTACACATGCATCCATTAGGCTGGAACGTCGCCTTATGTGCATTGTACTGCGTATCGGCCATATGGTATCAAATACGTTACAGTCTGAACTTCTCTTCCGCAGCAAATCTGACTTTGGCAGAAACATGGCGTAATGTGCTTTTATAGATCAAAATAAAATAAAATAAAATACAAAATATCTATTCTTACAGAGTACGAATTATTCAATAGCTTCTCTTTGGTTAGTACACCCAACATGGCTTCTCTATTGACACTTAGCCAAAGCTTTCCGGGGGAACACCCCATAGTAGCCATCATAACGGAGAGAATGAGAGGGCATCCATATACAAAAGACCAAAAGCTGTGACCCTGTCACCAAGCAGGGCAGTTGAAGCATCATGATTCGCTATATCTGGACTCCAATATCATTTCATCACCAATCAACTTCAGAAGAGTCTCAAGGCAGACAGTCAGTAGTATGACCAAGTCTTAACGTCGCGGAGCAGCCGAAAGGCTATTAGAATTAGGGTTCCTGGCTGAGTTTGGAGTAATCTGGTACTACTCCTCAAACCTTAAGGGTACGGGAAGCTCGATGCTCTCTTTGTATAGTGGAAGTAGAGCTTGAGGCATACTACGCCACACGTAAGATGCTCCTTGCACATCTCCGCCATGATATCAAGTACTAGCCAGGTGCTGTAAAATCAGGGTGCCCCAGATTCGCACTGCAGGCCATGTCATCGATTATTCACCCTCTGAATACGGGATGTTTCCATGTCTCCTCCAGGAAGATGATGTCAACACTATAAGCAATCGCATTCGAAGAACTTCGTAACACAAAACAGTTTACTACAAACCCACGAGATTGGATTCCATCCCAGGTACGCATTGCATAGGCATCTCACGAAACCGAGCCCTTATTTCCCCGTAACAGTTACCACCAGAGTACGAGACTAGGAGTCTACCTCTCACTAGCGGTGCAACTCGACTAAAACCCAGTAGCTCATCTGACATGACTAGCGGCAAAGGCCGGCGGTAGCACTTCTCCGTGGCTGCAGCCCGCTACATTCATCTGCTGCTATTTTCAGACAAAGCCAATTAGATCCAAGCACGCCACGATGCCGATGTCTTATGCGTCGAAATGGGGAATACTCTTTGATTTATGAAACTGTACCATGGTATTATTTCATGTTGATATATCATACTGTAATCTGCGAAAGACATACGCTGTAGAAGTGAAAAAAGACAAAGGTACGAGTAAACTGCTCTGACTCTGTCTGCGCACCGGCTGAGTCACTTTGCCCCCTTGATGCCCAATAAAGGAACGCCAAAAGGGGACCAAAACCTTTGTATCCTACATATTCTGTCAGCCTAAACACATAACTAGCGCGGCCATCATTCTGCACGTACCGAGCAAATACGGACGAAGAGCCCTTCGTGTAGTTATCGAATACTTGTTCGAGCCGCACAACCAAGATTCGAGCCCTTCTCATCCAACAATCTGCGAGGTCGCTTGTACCCATATTTTATCATGCGGTAGCGATACTTCTGGCCGAACTCGCATGCACGCAGCCTCAGCCTTGTCCATGCACCATCGGTGAGAATGACTATGCAGCTCTGCACGTCCTTCGTAGATTTGACTTTGCGTCTTTTCCGTACCTTACGATACTCATCCTCTGGTCCAGATACCTTCCGAGACATGTCTCGATGCGATGGAAACTCTCCCACCTTCATAATCGCGGTGAGCTCACTCCAGGCAATCATGATGCCATCTCCAACGTGGCGGGGCTACTTGGAATGCAGGCTCCTCCGTTTCTGACGGTGGTCAGCCACGTTTTGGGCTGACAGCTTGGAATGCGGGCGTTACGATGAAGAATGTGTGTATCCGGAGTGTCTGTCAGATTAAGTATCCACTGTGATCTCTACCCCGGCATGACGATCAGGGTATCCTGGGTCTGCGATCAACAGGAATGCTTCTTTGCCTTGCTTGGCATGAAGAGTCGCACAATTGCAATGCCGACCGATATGACGACAAAACGATGGCATCTGTACGAGGGCACGACGAGCCAGTAACGTTCTTGGTTCCTTTCTGGGGCTTTCTTTGGTCCGGTCCGAATTGCCAAACAATAGATCACCATGACTACCGAGGTCAGAATTTCGATCTCGTTGTATCGACTGGAGATGAATGCTGGATCCGAACGGCGCTTAGACAACCACTCACTCACCTCGGACCCTGGTCTGGCTAGGAGTGTCCTCGTATTGCGAATTGATTGCGGGATGAGTTGAGGCTCTCTGTCGCTAATTTCTGCCACAAGAAGAATATTCACTCGATTGGGTTTGCTGGGGGGTGGCCAGCGCGTTAGGCATATTTCTCTTCGTATAATTTGTGTCCCACGATGATTACCTTTCGATCTCAGCCCCCATAGATCATACCACGGTGCCAGCTGGCGTCACAACTCTGGGGTCGGAGAACTCCGCTACAGTATGTTAACGTAAATTAAACGTCAGACGTCCTCTATCCTGGAGGATTGCTTCAGCACTTCCAATGTCGCCTACCAGCTCTGTTCCATTTCCTTGAGCTACAACGCTTTGAAACTGTCCTACTGTATCTCCGAGTTGGTTACTTTCTTCTTAAGGCTGGATTGCATCCCAGGGTCCAAACGACTGGACTTGTTACATTAAAACGTAGCAGCTTTCCTACTTTGCCAACATCTGCCTTGTTGCGTGTTTTCACCTCGAGTCTTCAAATCTGGCATGATTTAGCATATCACAGCATCTGTGCTATATGGGAGATGCTTATAGGTAGACTGCTTTATATATTTACTTTATGTTTGGAAGACGACAGGAAAGGATATATGTCCTCAGGCTGAGAACAGCGATTCGATCACAAATTGTGACTGTGTCAAATGAAGGGTACATGAAGGTGAAAGAAATGAAACCAAAACAGTGCAACGAAATAATATCAGATCAGAGCCACCAAGAACTACTGGTAGTTTCTGATATTAGATCCAATAGCATAGAATGTAACGGTGATGGCCCCCGCGTATTACCAGACCGTACCGTACCGCCGATACCGTATCGCTAGTGCCGCCTCGGCGCCTGAGGCCACTCCGCCCGATCCTCTTGAATCCACTTTTTGTCTCTTCTGCTCTTCTTCTTCTCTTCAGCCGTCCAATTCCCTCGCCGTCGTCTGCGGTCACCGGTCGTTTCTCTTTCCCCTCTGACTCTCTGACTCTCCCTCGTTATTGTCTCTCGTTTGACACCCCCTCCTTTCGTTCTTATCCTTGCGGTAGGCAATACTTTCCTAGGCTTCAGTCATCATCGAATCTAATCGATTAATCGTTATCAGGTGGATCCCGAATTCCTCCAGTTCTCCACGGTCCACGACTCCATAACCTATCGATTTCCGCCTTCGACTTGTCCGACAGTCCGAGACATAATCGACCCGATAACTGCTCACCTCCCATCTCACTCGTTCCAATCCTCATCTACGGCGCATAGAATCTCACCCCACGAACCTCCTCGTCAATGCCATAACCTACCACCCTCTTCACCGTGTCTACTTCTGCGTCGATCTAGATCCACGGTTGCAAAGTTGGTCGGACGTGACGTACCTCTATCTCACAACCCCGATCGAGTTGAAGGAAACGAAAGAACAAGATGGCCAGCCCCAGTGCAGGCGGATATCCGCAACCTGTCACTTCCCCTCCTCCGGTTTACCTGCGGTCTTCACCCCCGGCCTCCCCTCATCACCAATCGACCCCGCGGACCTTTCACAAGAGGCCGTTGAGTTTGGGCTTTGGTCGGAAATCTCCTACTGCCTCGGTCCCGTTGACAGACCACGTCGCAGAGGACCGGCATGTCTCGAACCCCGCCGAGGATGCCACCCTGGCCCCGGTGTCCAACAAAACCGTCGACAATTTCCCCGACGATTATGACGTTCCTCCGCTGCCGACGGGGGCGTTCTCCAAATTGGCCGTGGAGGACTCGCCCCAGACGCATGATAATCAAGACTCTGATGACGCCCCGCCGCCGCCACCACCACACCTCCCGCAGGCGCCAGCGCATGGACACACCCCAGGCAGCAGTGGCTCGTGGTCGGTGGTAGAGCCCCGTGGTAAGGATGAACCTAAGATCCTGATCAATGCCAGCGGGTCGTCGTTGGATCAAGGCGCCCCCAGCGCAAGTCACAACAGCTCCTCTCGGGGCAGCTTGGATAGTGTCGATCAGGTGTCAGATGATGTAGAGGAGCCGGAACCAGAGCCCCTGCATTACCACCACCGTCCCTACCAGCCCAAAGCGGACTTACCGACTGAGAATGCCGCGAGCAATGGGCATCTGTCGGCTCATCACGCTCGATCGTCCCGGCCGCGCTCGGCGTATTCCGTGGCGTCCGACATGGGTGGATCTCCTCACGGATCTCCGTACCTTCATGCGCGCTCCTCCTCTCGACACTCCACCTCATCTCCGGACGTTCGACCGGTCTCCTTTGTTGATCTTCTCAACACACCCTACCCGCAGCCCGGCCCTGCACCGGCGCAATTCGGCAATGCGCAGTTGCAAGCGTCTGTCGGCAACAATGCATCCTTGCTGAGCCATAAGCAAACCTTTGACATGTACCTGGCCAACGTGAAGAAAACCGATGACTCGGCCATCCAGTATGAATTCGCCATCTTCATGGTCAATGCCATGTTGGAAATGCCGGAGGACCTGGACGGGGTAGCGCAGGTGTATGGCCGGAAGGGATCTGAGATCACTCGTGCCAGCCTGCTGAAAGAAGCCAAGTCGATTCTGCAACGTCTGTCCGACCGCAGCTACCCGTTCGCGCAGTACTACCTGGCCGATGGCTACGCATCGGGGCTGTTCGGCAAGGGTAAGGAAGATCCCGACCGCGCCTTCACCCTTTTTCTTGCCGCCAGCAAGCACGGCCACGTGGAGGCGTGCTACCGAACGGCGCTTTGCTACGAATTTGGCTGGGGTACTCGTGTCGAGGCGGCGCGAGCTCAGCAATTCTATCGGCAGGCCGCATCCAAGAACCATCCGGGTGCCATGTTGCGCATGGCCAAGGCCTGTCTTGCCGGTGACATGGGCCTGGGAGTGCGCTACCGAGAAGGCGTGAAATGGCTGAAGCGAGCGACGGAGTCGTCGGACCGGCAGTACAACACGGCGCCCTATGAGCTGGGACTGATGCACGAATCGGGGTACGGTGACGACGTCTTCCCCGACCCGTCGTATGCCGCGCAGCTGTTCACCAAGTCGGCCGACCTGGGACATGTCGAGGCGAGCTACCGGCTAGGCGATGCCTACGAGCATGGGAAGTTGAACTGTCCGCGGGATCCCGCTCTGAGCATTCACTTCTACACGGGCGCGGCACAAGGCGGACACCCGTACGCGATGATGGCGCTCTGTGCATGGTACCTGGTGGGGGCGGAGCCCGTGCTCGACAAGGACGAGAACGAGGCGTATGAATGGGCTAAACGAGCCGCCGATCTGGGTAAGTTGACTGACATTTTATTCGAGAACACAGCTGACATGGTACCCACCGACAGATCTCACCAAGGCGCAATACGCCGTTGGCTATTTCACCGAGATGGGCATTGGATGCCGTCGCGACCCGTTGGAGGCCAACGTGTGGTATGTGAAAGCGGCCGAGCAGGGCGATACGCGAGCGACGCATCGAATTGCAGCGATTCGAGCGGCGGCCGAGGGGGTGGATCCCACGCAGGCCGCCGGTCAGGGACAAAAGGGGAAGAAGGGTGAGTTCGCTTGTGCATGATTGTCGAGCCGATCAGCAGGCTAACGGTGATAACAGAGGGCAAGAAGCGATTCGGCCTTTTTTAGCCGGCTCCTGCAGCTAGTTCCAGTCAGGGATTTTGGTCAAGTTGTTTATCCAGCGATTTTGAATTACGGCGTTTTGAGCGACATCTCCGGGGATAATGCATAATAGTACGGACTTGACGGTCCGTTGACCGGTCGCATCGGATGTATTTTTGTATAGGAATGAATTGACTGAACATACTGAGATTTGGTGGTCGATCTGTTGGCAGATGCTGTCAGCGAGTGAAACAAAGAGAAGCCTGGCCTCAACTGATACATCATAATGGTTCACGGTGAAACATGCAGTGTCAGTCTCCGACTGTGCTCAGTTCCTTGAGTAAACAAAAGCTCCGTCGGATGGACCTGCGTCTCTGAGTTGGAGATGTCAATCCTTACTTCATGAGGAGTACCCCTTACTCTTGCGCTGGCTGTCCCTACAGACGAGTACGGAGTAATACAGACGGTGGAGATGCATTGCATGACATGGCATCGCATCTATTACGCTCTGTGTTTGCGTTCCTCACTTCCCTGCCTTCTCCCTCTCTCTCACCCAATTCTACCCATCCCCGTCGCTACAGGCAGGCAGGTAGGTAGGTGAGTCAACCCAGCCCTCCAGCCCGGAAACCCCCTTAAATCAAAATATCCTCCAGTTTCGTTTCGTTTTCACAAAGCATCCTGCCAAGTCCTCTCTCGCCACCCACGCAACCCGCAGATCCCCAGGGCCGACGATCCCCACAGTCCCCCTGATAACCACAGCTTTCAGCCCAGGCACCCGGCCAATAAGCTGTCTCCGGAGCGTAGATCCCGTCGATTGCGGTTTCGGATGATGTGGTTTGGCTCTGCGTGTTCGCTCGTTTTCTTGTTTGCAGTCATTGCTATTAATATTCGGGCTGTGTCGGGTTGATTGTCTCGTGGAGCTGGTCTGGTCTGGTCTGGTCTGGAGTAGTTACGTAGTGGTTTGGGTGCATGGGGTAGTAGGTGGTACCTGGGAGTAGGGTGAATTAGCAGCTGCTAGGTTACGGAGCCAGTCCTCCGTCGAGCAGGAGCTGGTCGATCAGGTCGTGAGTAAGTGGTTCTGCAGGTCGAGGCACATGCGAGTATAAAGAGCGGATTCTTCTCGTCTGCCGTTTGGTCTACATTTGACTTCTCATCTCATCTCACTTCACCCCGTGTCTCTTCCTCCCTGCCTGCCTGCCTGTCTGCCTATCTACCCACCATCTGAAATCTAGGTACGCTGATCTCTCTGTTGTTTTGTTTGCTTTGATTTGTTTTGTTTATACCCCTCTCTCCCTTCTTGATCTCGATCTATCCATCCCATAACATCCCATCTCCTTGACTACCAACCAACCAAGTCGAGTGAAGTCAACTCTCTGAACCAAACTAACCCTCCTGTCCAACAGACCAGACTCTCCACCAACCACTCTCACAACCAGAACAAAATGCAATTCTTCCAAACCCTCCTCCCCATCGCCCTCCTCGCCTCTCTCGGCGCCGCCCGTCCCGCCGACTCCGTCGTCCGCGACTCCGAGGTCTTTGCGCGCGACTCGCTGAAGAGCTGTATCGGTGTATGTCCTCCCGTCCTTCCCTCTACCCCTCCGTTCCCTCGACCCTCGAAGGTTGGAATTTCTCTTCGACGGAGAATCCAAACAGAACGAAATAAACCCAGCAAGATAGGTATCTGACAGGAAGAACGAAAAATATAGAAACTTCAAACCCAGTCGCAATGCACGAACGTCACGACTTCGCCGTTCGCCTGCTGTCCGCCTATGACGTGTGGCAGTGATAAGGTATGTCATGTCCTTTTCATGAGTCGGTACTGGATGTGGCTATGACTGGGGCGTATGATATGCTAATGTTCTTGTCTGATCTAGCTGTGCCGGTTCTAAGCTTCTTTTGCTCTGACTCTTGAGCGTTGTGCTGTCTGTTATCGTCATGATGAGGAGTGAGTTACAAGGAGGTGATATGACCACGACTGCGTTTTGTATGCCTACCTGGGGGAATAAATAATATCAATCGAGGTGGTGGATCGATCAAGACAGACAAATAGGATAGTGAGATGGAGGGCGGGAACGAATGATTCTTTTCAACGGTGTATTGTATTTATTGACTTCCTTACCTACTACGTATCTAGCTAGCTAGTGAATAATGCTTTCAAGGATTTGTTGGCCAGGTAGTGCCTACTTCGGTAGAACGGGAGGGGGGTTTAGAGATAATGATCTAATAATGGCTTGGTTTTTAAGTCTAGGTAGGGTGTTGGGTATGTATTCAAGTGACTAATATCGCTGGTAAAGAATGGGCTTGTCTGGGTTGAGTGAGGGGTGGATGATTAATAGCATGTATTTATTCAGGTTGAACAGAAGAATCTTCGATATAACAGTAACCATCCTATTCTAAGTTCACTGTTTAATTAGGAGAAAGTTGGGTCTGCTTCAGTGGAGTCATGACATCACGATAACAATGGTCAGTATCACTATATCGCTATTAGACCGAACTGCCAGACTATTTAAGCCACCTATGTCCAATAAATCAGAGCATTGATGCATTGCCATACCGATCGATCGGTCTCTACAGTGGCTACTGGCTACTCTACAATCAAACACTAGAATCAGTCTCGTAATAATTAGCATGTACAGTACATATTGACAAAAAGAAACATGGATGCACCAGTCAGTGAACACGTCAAATAAAAGATATCTACTACATGAAACCATGTATTGGAGAAGATAATGAAATGAGAAAAAAGAAACCTCCAAGAGGGCGGTATCACAACCACACGAAATGAAAACTCCAAACATATATCCTTAACCTATAAACAATTGAACACATCCTAGACATCAATGGAAGAAAATCTAGAACTGGTCAATGCATCCCCAGTAGCGCTCGACGTTGAACTCGCCGGCATCCTTCCAGAGATCGTTGGAGTAGGAGAAGAAGACGGACAGGGAGCCGACCTCCTCAACCAGAGCCTTGATGGCGGTGGCCTGCTGGGAAGTACCGGGGACGGCGAGACCGTTGGCCTCACCCTGGCTGGGCCATCCGGTCTCCAGGTTGATGACGTCCTTGCCGCTGCAGATGCCCTTGAGGATCTTGACCTGCTTCTGGGCGAAGGTACCGGCGTCCTTGGGGTCAACCTCGGCGTTGAAGAAGGGGTGGATGTTGGCACCGACAACGTCGATGGCGCTGCAGAGAGCGGAGCCGCTCTGCTCCCAGACGTTGATGGGCTCGGTGGTGGTGATCTGGCCAGAGTAGCCGGCACCCTCGAACTTGGACTTGGCGGAGGTGATGAAGCCGGCGAGCTCGGAGGCGCTGCAGTAGCCGTTCTGGATGGCCTCGTTACCGACCACGATCAGGGTGACCAGGTCCCACTCGGCCCACTTGGCGATGGCGGTGACCTGCTCCTGGGCGCCGGAGATGCCGCTGCCGTCGATGAAGACACCGATGATCATCTTGAGGCTGTGCTTGCGGGCGGCCTCACCGACGTACTCGAGGCCGTTGCAGTCAGTGGAGTAGACACGGACGTGGGAGAACCCCTTCTCGGCGATGACGGCGATGTCGGACAGGATGTCGGACTTGGACTTGCAGTTGCTGTCGTTGGTGTAGGGAGAGTAGGTCATACCCATCTGCTTGCCGCTGACGCCGGTGGGGACGGGAGTCTGGGAGCTGGAGCTAGACGAGGGGGCGGCGTGGGTGGTGGGAACGGCCGAGGTGGTGGGAGCAGCAGGAGGCTGGGTGGTGACGGGGGCAGCCGGGGTGCTGGGAGCGGGAGCCGGGGTGGAAGTGGGCTCGTCGGTGCCGGTGAAGGGGCAGACATAGGAGATGTCGGTGCGGGTGACGGTCACGACCTGCTCAGGCTGAGTGTAGGTGCCCGGGGTGAAAGTGGCCGGGGTGGGGTAGACCACGACGGTGCTGGAGGGCACGTAGGTGGTGGTGGGAGCGATGGTGTAGGTGCCGGGGGTGGGGCAGACGTAGGTGGTCGTCTCGATGACGCTGGTCACGGTCGAGCCGCTGGGCTTGACGGTAGCGTAGGGGCAGGTAACCGTGGTGGCGGTCTCGACGACGGTGGTCACACCACCGTAGGTGTGGGAACCGCTGGGGAGGTCGGTGGTGGTGGCACCGCAGACGGTGGTGGCATCGGTGACCGTGACGGTGGTCGCGGGGACGGTGAAGGTACCGGTGGAGGGGAAGTTGGTCACGCCGGGGGTGGGCAGAGTCACCGCGGGGGTCTCGGGCTGCTCAGGAGTGGCGGCAGGGGCCGTGGTGGCCGGCTGCTCGGGGGTGGCAGCGGGAGCGGACGAGGAAGGCTGCTCGGGGACCGCGGGGGCAGTGGTGGCCGGCTGCTCGGGCTGCTCAGGGGCAGTGGTAGCGGGCTGCTCGGGCTGTTGAGGAGTGCCAGTGGCGGGCTGTTCAGGCTGCTCAGGCTGCTCCGGGGTGCCAGCAGGGGCGGTGGTGGCAGGCTGCTCAGGAGTGCCGGTGGGCTCGACGCCGGCCGGGGTGGACTCGGAGACGACCACGGTCTTGGTGGTGTAGCTGGTCGAGTGACGAGTGGTGACGATGTCGGAGGTCACGGTCTCGGGAGCGGGGGGAGCGGAGGTAGGCTCGACGGGGGCGGAGGTCGACTCGATGATGGGGACCACTGGTCTCGTTAGTTGTGTTCATGATAGTCAGACCCAAGTCAACGTACAGGTCGGGTTGCCGTAGTAGGTGATGACCTCGGTGGTACATCCGCACTGCTCCTCCGGCTCGGGCTGGAGAGCGCGACGCTGGTGCAGCGAGTCGTGACGGCGCATGTGCGCGACGTCGGCCATGGCGGAGCCGGCCAGGGCGGCGGCGGTGGCCAGGAAAGCACCCTTCATGATGAAAGAGGGATGGAGAGTGGATTAAAGATGTAATCAAAGAATGCCCGCTGAAAGAGTGAAGCGGTGGTCAACAAGATCAACCGAAAGGAAGGACTTGGAGAAGGGAAGGGAAAAAGGGCCGGGAGCCTCTTTTTGATCTTGACTGGCGGGGGGATAAGGAAGGGAAGAGAAGGAGAGGAGAAGGGAAGCGACGAGAAGAAGAAGAAAAAGCGATGGACGGGGGCGAACCCCTGTCGGTTGGCATCAGAACGTCTGGCCCCAATCGCTGCTCGATCAGGGGGACGCCAGCCTCAAGATGGGTTGGCGCCCCGCTAGTCAGGCACCGGCCGCCCGCTATTGGTGGTGCACCGCGCGGATGGCGGTGGGGGTCCTCGTTGTGTTTTTTTGTCTTTGTCGTGTCTCAGTCCTTGCGCTGCCACTTCTTGGTCCGAGGAGTTACAGTATATTGAGTAGGTAACCTCCATCTACGCTGTCCTGCATGGTTGCAACATCGGAGTTGTCGTACTTCCAGAGGTAGCGCCCGTCAGTTGACCAGTGATATAACACTCTACTTCGCTATATCATCCAACTCTGGGCCAACCGCCCTATCCGAAGGCTTGGGCAAGCGCATCTCCAAATTAATTGCACTCGAGTTCCAACTCTAGCGACCCCTCGCCGTACGGAGTAGTACTGCGCAGTCTCATGGAGGAATAAAATCCAATAATAATAGAACCCAAAAGACGGTCAGGAAAGTGGGATTGGTCCACCCCTAGAGTTCCCCGCTTATGCAGGCGAGTGGGGCGTGGCTTGGATTTGGGTCGCTGGAGGGTCCCTGCCGCCGCTGATTGGCCGTGCAGTAGCAGCTTTAATTTCCGCCGCCCCACCCGCACCTTCTGGTTCGACCAACTTTGGTCCTTTTGTTTACCACCAGCCTTTAGTCGTTACGGCAAACACAGTCAGGTACTGCCCAGGTATCCAAGATTGAGAATGCACCGCATCCTCCTCAATAATCATCTGAGGCCAAACGGCGTCTCACCTTGCGCCATGAAACGTCCCTGCGGTCGGATATATAAGATTCGCCCTGGGCCGGGAGTCGACTCATCACGAGTCCCCGCACATGCCTGGTAGGCAGCAAATGTAACCGTACCCAGTCGGCGTGGGTAATGAAAGGAACCCAACAGCGAAACCGCCACCAAAATAATTGGCAATAGTCCCCATCCACGGACCATCTCCGCGCCAGCCGATCGCCATTTCCTTTCCTTTCTCTTAGCAAATATCCATCCGGCTGTTCGTTCTGGACTGGGAACGTCCGCAATTCTATCCTCCATGGCATCCAGACTCTGAAGACTTTAATCAACCCAAATGAATGAGAATCACGCCGTGGCGTTCCGGTGGACCTCCATCTACCGGCTTCAGGGCTCGCTGAAATGCCGAGACCCGACCTGGAGAGACGGAGTCGATGTCTGCTCGGCGTTCATTCGCCATGTCTCTGCGCGACGGAGTATTGACCCTGAAGAATGAATTGTGGGATCGAGTCGTGGCGCACACGATCGCCCGGAATATGGAGACAAAATGCAAGGAACCCCCGACGAAGAATGCGATGAGATGAGCTGCAGGTGGCGGTGGCTGATGGCTGATGGCTCTGCCTGAACCCTGAACCCTGATTCTTTCTCTCGCACCTGTCATCTGGGTTGCCAGCTTGCTATTCTTGCGGTGCTGAATTGATCTCAAAGATCAGCAGGCCTCGACCCGACTTGCGTTCCTTTCCTCCACTGCGGCCCCTGATCGAGGCTTGACCTGAGTTTTTCTTTCGTTCTTTCTTTTTTTGGAAAGACTACCCACTACCGATGGAGTCGAATCTAACGGTCTGTTGATTACGGAGTATATCATTAGGAGTTAGAATTCGATAGTGATGAGGTTTACTACGGGTAGTTTGATGGAAGTTAGACATGTCTTGGATGGAGGTCAGCCAGCCAGCCCCTGAGTGCGGGCAGTGGCAGGATTCAGTTGACTCCGTTATTTCTTAGCATTTATCGAGGCGCTCGAGTCGAGGGTCAATCAAGAGGGAATCACTACGTCGTAAACATCGCCCAGATGATAATCCTATTAATCCTTAAGACAGACTAAACTACTCCGTATGATCTCGTCAGATCTGTTTGAAAACGGAGCACTGAAGGATCTCGTATTGCTACACTCAATGAGTCTATTCCCATCCTGTCAATGGCCCCTCCGTCTAAGTCGCCTCGTATAGTTAGTGCACCAACCCGGTTCTGTAGACACGTTGCCAGACCCCTATCCTCCGGTCGAGTCAGACTGCCTGTCAGTCAGCCCTGCATGGGGCTCAAATCAAAGAAAATAAGCCTGGGAGGAACCCCTTTCTTGGTGAGGCGTAGTTGTCACCATGTGGGATCTGACCTGGGTTCCGAGTACAGGGGTTGGAGTCGAAGGTTTGCCAGGCGGGATGATAATCAGAATAGAATATTGTAGAGTTCAGGAAAATGTTTAATAATATCCAACCGAAGAAATGGAATAAAACCCGACCGAACCAATAAGAAAGAACTTAAAAGAACCAAGAAAGAACCCCAACCAACTCCCCACAAACACGTCCACGAAACAAAAAGAACACCCAGAAAAACAACCAGAACTCAGGCAAAAAACCGACGTACCCAGACTATATACCCGCCATAACAACAGTACCTGAGCTGTGCTGATCGTGTTCGGCTCACCGCCAACCGACCACACCACCGCCGCAGGATCACAATCATGCCACACATCACCCCATCCCATCCATCCCATCGCATCCATGTCAACCACGCCATCGCCATCACCACCTGGCTACCTACCCATCCGGAGCCTCTCTTTCCACGCGGCGCAGGCCAACCATCCCGTCTGAGCGCTAGCCCGCCTGTCTTTTCCGATCCTCTTTGTTATGGGCCCGTTCTCATTGGCCGAGTGGGGTCTTCCTGCGCTGTAAATCTCCCCATGTGATGCTCCGGTCGAGCTTTTTGCTTTGTCCGGGGGCGATGATACGATGCTGTGCCAGTAGAGGTTGGTTTGGTCGGGTTGGATCGTAGCTGGGGTGAGGTGATGCGATTCGGATCTGATGGGAGTTTCTGTTCCGTTGGGATGGATGTGGTAGGTAGGTATTGGGAGTGGTGGGTGTATATAAGCTGTAGACTGTTGTTGTGTTATTCTTGTTTATAGATCATCTCATTCAATTCAATCATATATACGCATCAGAGGTGACTCAGCCTATCTATACCTATACTCATACCTCTGTCTATACATCCATCTGTCCATTTATATCGACTTGACTCTACCAACCACATCCTCAGTCTACCAATCTACCAGAAACAACCAAAATGCCCAAAGAAACCCCCATCACAACCACCCAGGCGCGTCTACAAAACGACTACGGCGCCGACCTGTGGGTGAAGAAGCAAGCGCCTCATCGAGTACGTCCCTTCCTCTCGTCTCTCTTAACCTATACCCCCTCCCACTCCCCCCAATCACCTTATTAACATATAAAATAGCACCCCACAGCAGGCCGCGGCCTCTTCGCCGGCCTGCAAGACGTAAAGCAATATAACGTGGACTCGGGGTGGGCGAAGCGCGGCAACGAGGACTCCGCGGGGCTGTTTGGGTTTTTGTATAATCGGTTGGTTTCCCTTCTTTCTTCCTCTTCATGTTTCTTTTTTTTTTTTTTTTACGGCTGGCTGACATCAGTTGGTGTAGGATATTCGGTGGGGGGTATAGACGGCCGGAGTAAGATTTCTTAGCTCATGGGGTCATGGAGTTATGGAGAGGGAGTGAGTGTCAAGCTCTATAGAGAATGAGGAAGAGGAGGTTCACGGGTTACGAGATTGATTGATTTCTTTTCTTTTCTGTTTTGGGTGTGCTTTTTTAGCCTGTTGGATTCTATTTCATTGTTACCTTTACCTTTCTATTTGGTAGATATTTGTATTCGTTTTATATTCATTATGGTTCTCGGTCATGCATTTATGTAGTAGTATACTGTCTCCACACATACCAACTCCACCGTCTATCCCGCATTCCGGGGAAACCAGAGCATTGAAACGATCCAAGTTTGAAGATGCACCTTATCTGAATCGGAATGCTACGATTGATAGAACGGAATGTGGATCTATCCGTCCCCCGCCTCGCCTGACTCGAATGATCTCCGATTACAAAACTAGATATCTACAAAAGTATATTCTAGCCAGATGTTTGATATTTCGATTCGGATAACGAGTTATCTAAGTAATTGACCAACATAAACAAACAATTAGATGATATAATACTCCGTATTCCTCCCAAGTTCAACCCGAACATCCGTTTTATGCCTACTCCCAGCTGTTGATCTTCATCGTGCCGTTCTCCTGCAGGCTCTGGTGCATCTTGAACGCCTGGAACAGCAGGTGCGGCTCGTGGCCCATGCCCTTGCGCAGACACTCGAATTCCGCCCGGTCCAGGTAGTCCGTCAGGATGGGCTTGTAGTCGGGGTGCGAGCACTTGTTGATGATGACGCGGGCGCGCTCGCGGGGCGAGAGGCCGCGGACGTCGGCGAGACCCTGTTATATCGTTAGCCATTGGTTCAATTGCGGAATGGGAATTCTGGAAGGGGTACCTGTTCTGTAACCACCACGTCGAGGTCGTGCTCGGTCTGGTCAATGTGCGTGCAGAACGGCACGATGCAGCTGACACCGGTGGGATCGGTCTTGCTGGGTCGCGTGCTGGGCGTGTGCATGATACTGTACTTGGAGCTGCGCAGGAAGTCGGCAGACCCGCCCAGGCCGTTCAGCATGCGCGAGCCCATGACGCAGGTGGAGTTGGCGTGGGCGTAGATGTCGACCTCGACGGGGGTGTTCATGCCGATGCAGCCCAGGCGGCGGATGATCTCGGGGGAGTTGGAGACCTGCTGGGAGCGCAACAGCAGCTTGCCGGCGTAGCGCTCCCAGTTGTCGTAGAAGCGCTTGAAGCCGTCGGGCGAGAAGCGGATGGAGGTGGCCGTGGCGAAGTCGAGGTTGCCGCTGTCGAACAGGTCCAGGAACGAGTCCTGCAGCACCTCGGTCCAGACCTTCAGGTTGGTGAAGTCGGCGCCGCCCTTGCTGAGGCCGCCGATGACGGCGTTGGCGATGTTGCCGATGCCCGATTGGATGGGCAGCAGGTTCTTGGGCAGGCGACCGTGGTTGACCTCGTGCTTGAGGAACTCAATCAGGTTGGTGGCGATGGCCTGCGAGCCGGCGTCCTCCGGCGCGTTGGGCTGCGTCTGATCCGGGTAGTCCGACTCGACGATGGCCACGACCTTCTCGGGGTCAACGGGGATGTGCGGCGTGCCGATGCGGTCCTCGGGCGCCATGATGAGGTACGGCTTGCGGTTGGGCGGCAGGTCCGACAGTGCGATGTCGTGCAGACCTTCGAACGAGGGACTGGCCGTGTTGACTTCGATGATGACCTTGTCGGCCATCTGCACCAGCTCGGGCGAGGCGCCCACCGACGCACCGGGGATGATGCCGCCATCTTCCGTGATGGCCGAGGCTTCGATGACCGCCACGTCCAGCTTGTTCCGCGGTTTATCTAATGTGTAGTAGCCCTAGACGGGTTAGCCCTGCTTGTACCCAGTGTCTGCACTCCGCCGGATACATACGTAGACCAAATCCGACGGGAACATGCTCAGATGCTTATCGAAAAACTTGATCTGCCCCGAGTTGATACCCTTGGCGATCTCCTTGCCGACCTGATGCGGGCTGCGACGCTCAATCATGTTCAACCGGGCCCAGCGGTTCTCGGTCTCCGCTCCCGACGAAGCCCCGACGAACAGGGTATACTTCAGCTGTCCCTCCAGCTTGTTCTTCTCGACGTGATCGGCCAGCGCGGTGGGAACTTTCCTGGACGCAGTCAGCTTGTCGATTCCCTCGGATCAGGATCAGGCAGGGGAAACATACTTGGGATAACCCACACCCGTAAATCCGGACCAGCCGATGTACGAGCCATGGGGGAAGTGATCCACGAGGTCCTCAGCCTTGGCCAGCTTGCTGAGGTAGGAGGGGCGTCGAACGCGGCTCCTTAGGAGAGCAGAAGCAGACATTGTGAGGGTCAATCAGGACAGAAGAAGACAGAAGAAACAAACAAAGAGAGGTATGTAGAAGAATAAAGAGAGAGGGAGGGAAGGGAAGAGGGGAGAGTGTCTAAGAAGAAGAGGAAGAGGAAGGAAAAAGGAAGCGTGCGGATGGGCAGCTCCGCGATAGAAATACGTCCCCCCGCCACGTCCCCGGCTTTTCCAGTGGAGATTGCGATCGGGAGAAGGGAAGTGATACGCTGTAATACTGCAATCAGCCGGACGGTATTGGCTGGTGGTGAGCTACGTGCATGATCGTCCTATCCAGGAGGTACTAGTTAGTAGTTGCTCTACATCGTGCTATTCAGTCGACCGTCTGATCTGGACAGAGGGAATTGCCTGCCATTGACTCGCACCGAGGGGGACTGAGGGCAATACAGACTTTTCCACAGCTCTCCACAGCCGGACAGCAGCAGAAACCTACTCCGTCGTGCAGTGGAAATAAAATGAAAGGAAAAAAGGAAAAAAGGACCCTCCTGTGACGTCACGTCGGCGGAAACTCGGCCTGAAGTCTCGACGTCACGCTGAGCTCAACACTCGAGGCAGACTGGATTTGACCGAGTCTCTCTTTCTTTTATCGGTCTCTTTTCTATCTAGGTCTTAAATAAATACAAACGAAAATCAAAGAGAAGAAACGAAAGAATGCTCCTTCTCCAATCCAATGCAGCCGACTGAACGCCGGATGTTCGCCGTCGGCGCAGTCTCGGGCGGTATCGGTTAAGCCCTTCGGCCTGACGGAGCTTTCGTCTAGTCTGCAGGTTTCCCGCTGAAACAATTACAATATCATGCAAACAATCGTGTCACACTCCTAGAGTACATGTAGTCAAGTACACACTGAACGCATCCCAGTCCTTCCCGTTCTCCCCGACACCTCGAATGGCCTCGTCCTTCGCTCGGAATGGTCGGGCTTCATTCGATAAGTAGAAATCACAACGCAAAGTAGCTCATGCCCATGTGCATTGATTCGAAACACAGAAAAAGAAGAAAAAAAAAATAAGACAGATAAATAAATAAATAATAAAGCGCAATCCCCGAACGCCTGAATTCTGTTCATCATTTCCCCCGGCTGTTTATCCCCGCCGGATCCCTTCGCAGTATGTCAATCGTGCAAGATCCCGCAGGATTACGGCTGCTCTTTAGCCTCCGCCGCGACGGGCTCGGCATCCGCCATTTCCGTGTCGTCCTTGTTGTCCGCCTCTGGCTTCTCGGATGTCGGCGCATCCGGCGCGGTGGTACCACTCTCCTCCGTCTCGCTGCCCTTGATCCAGGATCGGAATCGCTGGTTGGACTCGTCCACCTGATCCTTGCTCAATCCATGCGCCCAGCTGGGGTTGTTGACAAACTTCTCGGTAAACCGATCCCGTCGTCGCTCCTTGACCGCCGCCGCCTCCTTGGCCGCCTCGTCGCCCGACTCGTCCGACGCCGCAATCGGCCGCCACCACCAGTCGTAGCTGCCGGGCTCGTAGAGGATGTGGTAGCTGTTGGCACAGATGCGAATGATCAGTCCGTCCAGGTGCACCAACGGCCGGTAGAACCGGTTGTACTCCTCCTCTTGCTCCAGTTTGGCCGGCAGGTTCCGCTTCAGGAACGGCATGCGCATCTGCGAAAACGGCACCCCTTCGGTGGGATCCCGCATGGTGTAGGCCGACACGTAGTACGACCAGCGAGCTTCCTGGCTCAGCTCGGCATTCTCCAGCGTCGAGTCCTCCGGCGTCAGGAGCTGGACGTATGACTTCTTGCTGGTAGGGCTCTGTAGGATGATCGCGTTAGATTCGGAGGGACCAGTCGGGATTCGAGGGAGACTTACAAAAGTGATCCGGAAAACATCGCCGTCCTTGATCAGTCGCTCGACCTGCTTGCGGTACTGGATCTCCTGGTTATGCGTGGTCTGCTCCTTCTCGCGCTCCTTGAAAAACAGGCTGATGATATCTGAGCTGCGATCCTTGGCGTCGCCGCTGAAGATGGCCCCCGCAAACTTGGCGATTCCCGTGAACATCTTCTCGAGGTTGTACAGCTGGTAGCCGCTGCGCAGGTAATACCGGCGGAGGGTCTCCTCCAGATGGACCGGCTCCAGGTCGCCCTTGATGACCTCCTCGCACATGCGCACCACCTGGGAATACAAGTTGGCCGTGGGCTCGCAGTCGTAGAAGAAGTCGGTGGGGATCTTGTCGATCAGGTTCAGCTCCTGCGCAGGCTTGGCCATCAGAGCACGACGGACGTCCTCGTGGGCATCCTTCTCGTGCAACTTGATGCGGAGCAGGCGCGCGTAGAGAATCTCAAAGGTGCGGAAGAAGCAGAAGATGTTCAGGTTGGAGTACAGGTGGTGAACCTTCTTCTCGTAGGTTTCGTTCAACGTGTATTCCCGCTTCAGATTGAAGTTGCCCTGTCCCGGGTGCTCCATCCACTTCAGCTCGGCCACGTCGAAGGTTTCGGTGGGATCCGGGATGGGGGTCGACGGAATGAGAACGGCATCCGGGGTGCCATCGCGGCTGGCCGGAGCGCTGCTGCCACCCTCCTTCTCGCTGCGGTTGGCCTTCTCGCTGCGACGCTCCAGCACGTCACGGAGTAGGTCGATTTTCTTGCCATTCACCGGCTTGCGAACCCGCGGGGTCGAGGTTTCTTCCGCAGCCAGGCTCTCGTCGTCGCCCTCGTCAATCGGCGAAGTCCCGCTGGCAACCTCATTCATGTACAAATGGAAAGACTCCCGATCCATGCCGAAGAAGAGGGGAATGAAGTCCTTGATGAAGTTCGTAACCTTCTGCGGATCGGCTCCGAATCCAGCGGAGTTGCGGTCGATGAAGGTCAGCAGCAAGTGGGTGGCATCGATGAGAACAGCCGGGTCGTCAAAGGTGAACTCATACTGATGCTTGGGAACCTGGAATCCGGTCTTGCGGAGGTTCTTGGCCTCCTCAAACTTGCTCTGGATCTCGTTTTGGAGGTGCTTCGCCACGAAGAGCTTCTTGTCGATGCCCTTGCTGGCAATGGCCTGGTGATCCAAGCTGCGCCAGTAGGCCCGCTGCATCTGCTCACGCCAGATCTTGTCCCACTCGCGCTGACTCGCCTTCCATTCCTCGGACTTCTGCTTCAAACGGAACAGGAGGATTGGAAGCACATGGCAAGGCCGCTCGAACATCTCTTGGATGATCTTTTCTCCGCGCTGTCGATCATAGATCTTTTTGATGACGCGCTGGTAAATCGCTTCACTCTGGCCACCAAGACCAGGAGGAAGTTTGAAAGCGGCCCTCTCCGCCTCCGACATGACCAGGAACTGCTGAACAATGGGCTCGATGAGCTGGATGGTGCGCGTGCACGCCTCGATATGGTGATCATAGTCGTGACGATCCTCCTCGATGCGGTGCAAGGCATCCTCGTATTGGTTCTTGCGGTGTGCCACGAAACCGGAATCTTCCGAGGCCCACGTCGGGTGAGAAGCCCACTCGTCGTTCAAGACACTGTAGCAGAGCTGATCGCGACCACTGCACGGCTTCTGCCTTTCGCGCTTCGGCAGGAGCCGATAGCTAGGTCCAAGGGACCGGCAGTGGGACAGATTGACAATGCCCGGCTCAACCCTAGGCTTGGGCTCGATGATCTTGTCCTCGGGCTCGTCAACGTGCATAAACCGCTTGAACCACGCCATAAGCTCGGGATTGGAACCAATGTAACCTGCGGCTCTCTTCACAAGGACGTGGCGGTCAATGAGGTCGGTAGAGTACAGGTTGCAGAGCTTGAGAAACTCATTGAAAGTCTGCTTGTTGCCAATGTATTTCTTGACCCGGTCAAAGAAGGCGAACTCTTCTTGGCTGGGAGTCAACGAGAAAGTAGGCTGAATAGGTTCAGGGAGGGCGGGAACGAGAGTTGGCGAGACAGCGGGGGCATCTGCCTGTGCTGTCTTGGGATGGTGAACCTTGGTTCGCTTCAAAGCGGCGTTAGCCTTTCTACAAATTCACAACAAAAGTAGAGTGAATGCGGAGATGGGATCTTCCGAAGAAGAGGGGTACAATCGCAGATCCTGACAAAGATGGGGAAAGGATCGAGGAGAAGAATCATCGCGAGATCAGACTCACCTTGTTGGCGTTACCAGGCTGGATGGCTGGAGCTCGACCATTCTGAGCATCAGGCAGGCGTGCAGCTTCAGCTGCAGATGAAGGCCCTGAGACTGAGCCCAAGCCAGCTGGGGCACCAGGGCCTCCGCGACGCTTTTTGCCTTCTTTGCCCGAGTCCTTCACGTTGAACTGACCAAGAGGAGGCATCTTGACATCACGGTTGGGGGTTTGAGAGGGGAGAGTGGCGGCGCTAGAAAAGTTGCCTTCACCTCTCAGGTTGCTCATAGGTGCAGCGGCGGCAGCCTCCTCAGCTTGACGTGCCGCAGCTTGCTGTTTAGCGTGAGCAGCGGACTCGGGGAGAAACTGCTTGAAATCTTCCAGGAGATCCGGGGCAGTATTGAATAGCTGAGTCACCTGAGCGTATACGTCCTGGATTGGTTTAGACTCGCGCTGGTAAGTCTGTAGTATTTCCAGGAATTGCTTATAAATCTCAGGGGCGCTCGAAAAGCGATTCTGTGAATGGAGAGAAAGAACAAATTAGCCTTCTTAGCCTGTCGATGTCAATTCGTGGTAAACGAACCTTTATCTTGTTTACGTAGCTGATCGCGTGGTTGAACTCAACCGGTCCGCGTTTGTTTAAGTCTGCTTGCGAGCCCTGAAGCATGCCAGAGCCGACGCCTGCCAGGTTATTCATAGGCTGGTTCAAGCTAGAATTCTGGGCCGAGGCAGGAGACACTTGGAGCAAACCGGGACGTCCCAGACCGGCAGAGGCAGCCGAAGCTGCGCCCTGAAGCTGCGACACACCGCGCTGGTCCTGCTGGTGAGCCATGGCCGCCGCACCAGCCGCAGCTTGCTGTTCTTGCTGAGTGGGGTACTCAAAATGATGCTCCTGGGGCTGGTTTTGGCCGCTCTGTTGTCCGAACATGCCAGGTCCCATCATGCGTGACCCTGGTGAATACGAACCTGCAAGGTTTCCCTGCTGTTGCTGGGGTTGCTGGGGTGGTTGGTGTTGGGGTTGTTGCTGCCAGCCGGGGCGGGACTGGTCAAAGAAGTCGGGGCGTCCGTGAGGCCCCATGGCACTAGTCGGTCCCAACTCACCAGAAGCCTCCAGCGAGTGACGAGTCCGCGGCATACTTAAGGTGTTCGTCCCAGAGGGAGTTGTCACCCGAATTGCGTCCGGGTTGTCTTCGGTTCCGCATTCAATCCGATATCCAGGAGGTAGGAAGGTATTGAAACCTTGGATGAGCGCTGGGTGTCCGTTAAATAACGATGAAACGCGTTGGATCACACCGGGTGTGTCGATGCTGCTGCATGTCAGAAACAATCTTTCCCCACCCTTCAGTGGCCGATGCTTACGTTTGGCTCTTGAAATCTTTCATTATATCCAGAAACCGGTTGTACACGTCCGGTTGATCGACAAAGCGAACCTTGACTTGATCCAGATAGCTCAGCGCATCCTGGATATGGAGTTAGCACAACTTGCTTTTTCTCCCAGAAACAACGGCAGGGTCCACAACTGCACAAGTGACTCGGCGGACTTACGTTCAAAATCGGCTGCTGACCCTGCGCAAGGGCAGCCACATTGCCCGGGATCTGAGGACCGGAGGTATTGAAAGCCAGCATCGGCTGTCCAGGAGGACCGCTAGGATGCTGCATGAACGACCGAGGAGTGCCTTCGCCATGCGGCATCTGGGGCCCATAGAGTGAGCCAGGAGCTCCCGACGACTGCATCGACCCTTGAGGGCCGTTTTGCGGGTTGGAACCCAAGTTCGACAGGAGTCCATTGGGCCCGTGGATGGAGTTCGGCACCTTGGAAGCGACAGGCTGATGCAGGGGGATCGACCCGGTGTGGCTCTGCACAGGGTGATGCTGCTGTTCGCGCTGTCGCTCCAGCTGCTGCCGTTCGATTTGTTCGCGCTCGCGCTCGCGCTGCTCACGTTCCCTGTGTGCCATCTCCTCCTGACGGTGTCTTTCGAGCAGCTCGCGCTCTCTGGAGTCGCGCTCCCGCTCTCGGTTAATGGTCTGGGGAGACGGGTGCTGCATAGCCTGGCCGATGCCAGGCAGCGAGTGGCCGGCGCTATGCGAGGACGCCGAAGGGTGTTGGCCATATGCGGGAGGCTGATGGGGACCGGCATGGCCCTGGCTCAGTTCTGCCAGCCCCGGGAGGGAGTGGCCGGCCGGTTGGCTCGCAGGGTGATAGGGGCCTGGCAAAAGCAGGTCAGGTCAGCCAAACCGAGCACCAACAAGACAAGATTCTCCAAAGGAGCCAAAGGGAGGACTGCTAACCAGCTGGAGGTGGGAGAACAGGCCCCGCGGGTTGACCGGACGGGCCTTGCTGGGGCGGCGGGTTTTGTCTATGGAGCGGGCACAAGACGACCGAGTCAGCTTTCCAAATGGCCTTAAACACAGTATACAAACGCAAAGCCGAGGCGGGACCGGGACCACTTACCCATACGAGCCCAATGGGCGAGGTTGTTGGTTCATCTGGTCCATCCCCGGGTGCGCTGGAGGGCCACCGGGGTGCCAGTTATCATTTCCAGAGGAGTTCATGGTTTGTGCATGAACCAGAAGGTAGACGCTGGTAACACCAAGAGAGAGGCTCTAGGGGGGTCTAGATAGGGAGAAGTCTGACGGTGAAAAAAAGGTGGCGGGCGGTGGACGACTCCAAAAGCAAGCTTTGAATCTGTTATTCCTTGTCGCACGGTAGAGTTCTCTGTCTCCAAGTCATTTCACAGCGACATCACTGGACCTGGGGGAGACTGTGCCAGTCACAAAGAGGGTCCCACAGAAGACAAAGCGAAAGGCCTGAGAAGATTCACGGAGCGAGGGGATAGGGGGGGAGCACAGCCAGCAGGCAAGCAGACTTGGTTGACGACGATGGTTTGCGCGCGACCGATCACGGATGGTCTCCAGAGAGAAGGCGGAGAGGGCCTCAGGAGGCGCTAACCCCGATGCAGGCCTAGCGTTGCCCTTCGGCTTCTCTGTTCTTCCGGGATTCTGCCGGGTGTGATTAGGGGCGTGCTGATTGGTGCGTGGGAAAGGCGGCAGGGACAGAAAGTGCACGTCATCACCGGCTCCGGCTGCTCCGGTCGAGGTTATACGGAGTAGGCAGGTCTAACTACGTCGACACTACGCAGTAGTCGCAAGTCCTGGGTTAACACTTTGGAGTCAAGATAAGCTTGAGTTGTAGACCAGTAGATTCTAGATGGCTACATTCTAGCATACGGCACAATACCACAGAAGTCAGACTACAGGACATCAGACCCTCCAGACAGAAAATCCATTTCATTATCTACCCGAATAGCGCTAATAAACAGCTGCATCCACTGGACACAGCCTGCCAAAATATCCCTGCTCTAGTAGAAGCCAACACAGACAGCGGCATCGGCAACATGAGTGACGCAAATAATCCCGGGTGTCGTCGTCGACGGAGACACCCGCGGGAAGCGGCATCCAGAGCAAGGAAAGGAAGATGGATGCCTTCTGGAGGCTCCGGCTCTTCTTTCTCTATTTGTCATCCCAAATAAACGCCTTCTCCCTCTCCAGCAGAAATAGGAAAACCGTCACACACATCGTCAGGATCAAGAAATGGACAGGAAAAAGGAAATGGCCAAAGACATCAAAACTCGCAGGACAAAATTCGCAGGACAAAATTCGCAGGACAAAATTCGCAGGACACCAAACACTGACAGCAGAGAGGGGATTGAGGGGAGAAAAGAGAAGTTTGAACTTGAATTTGCAACTTGAATTTTGAATCTGCGGTGCTGCTAGTGACCTCATTGTTTCTGTAAAATTTGTTCCATGCTCGCCCGGCTTGGACATCGGCCCGCCTATGATTATGAACCATCCTTATAACATACTTACAATGCAGAGAAGACAAATAGCTGGGACAGAGTTAGTTCGCATGCTTTTCAAGACCTGAGGTTGATGCAGGAGACTCACGTTGTTGGTGGCCGCAATGGCAATACTATCTTCATAAGGATGCCAGCTCATGTGCAAGATCTTCTTGTTGAAGTCGATCTGATCCGCATCGGTCTCCTTCTTCATGCGGCTGCCGGGTCCGGCAGGGCTACCAGCGCGAGAGCCGTTCTTCTTTCCGTTGGCGTTCTTGTTCATCGGCGTCGGCACGCCCACCTTCTTCGCCTTGAAGGCCGACTTGTCTGCCTGTAGTACGATCTCCGTCTCCTTTTGCTGTTCGGTGGGGTAGATCATGAAGTTGTTGTTGTAGCTGCCGGTCATGACGTTCTCGGCATCGCCCGAGAACACCACCTCGAACTTATCGAAGATACTGTCGTTCTCGTACGTGTCGCACAGGCGGGGTCGCAGGTGCTCATGGATGGGGATGGTCTTCACGGGTTGCCTCTCCATGTTGACATCCCAGATCTTGACCGTCAGGTAGTCTCTCGACACGATATATCGGCCGTCGTTGGAGAATCGGACGTCGGAGATGGAGGAGATGATTTCGGAAAAGAAGGAACGGGAGGAGGCATCTTCTTCTTGCTCGAAGACTAAATCAAAGTTAGAAGCTGGATATGAACGGGATGTGCAGGGAACTGTACGCTTATGGTGCTCGTCACACAGGGCGCGCTGTCGCATGTCGGCAAGCTTGATGGTACCCTTGGAACTGGCATACATGAACCAATTGCAGCTGGTCGGATGGAATTCGGCGGCCGTGATGACTTCCGTCAGCTCCTCCATGTTCGCCGGCTTGATGTCGACGATGTTGAAGCTCTGGTCTTGGATATTAAGGTTCCACAGGTTCACCCGCAGATCGTCGCTACTTATGAATGTTTCGCCGTCGCTGTTGACGGAGATGCTGTTGATGTGATAGGCGTGGGCGTTGGCGTACGTCCTCCGGGGGACGGCGGCCACGACGGTATCATGGTGTGTCATGCGAGGGAGTTTCAGCAGGGAAGGATCCTTGAACGATTGACGCGGCGCTCGGGGTGCCCCTCCGCCACCGACGCCGGCGGGCGTCAGCTCGCTCGAGAGGTTGTTTTCGGCAACGACCTTCAGCGACTTGTCGAACACCTTCCACAGCTTTATCGTTTTATCATTAGTCGAAAGGAGGAAATGAGATGCATTTGATCGTCTACACCATTTAATTTTGTTGATCTTCTCTTCGATCTCTAGGGATTTTAGATAATCGAACTCCGGCTCGTGCGACTGAAACTCGGTGTGGAACTTATACTCGCATGTTTTTTTCTAACCAGGACGCGTTAGAGGGCTGGTCGACGCAAGAGAAGCAGGTTGCATGGGGGGAATCAATACCGTTTCGTTCCTCTCGAACAGCACTACTCTCCCACCCTTGTCTCCCGTGGCCAGATAATTTCCGGTATGATCGAACTCGACGGTTGAGATGATATCGGCTGTTCAAGAGACAAAGGTACGTTAGACACGAACGATCCGGGGTTTGGGGGAGGGGGCAAGGTGGGCAAAGGTGGGCACAAAGTGTCATGCGTGGGATTTGACACCGTTGGACGGAGGGGTATTGTGCGCACCTTCCGTGATATCCTCCACATCGCCCTTATCACCGAAGCACCTGTTTTGCAGTCAATTAGCATCAGGGTTCAACTGCCGTCGAGTCCCCAGGTGGGGAAGCCAGAAAATGCGATCGAGCCCAAAATTCCCCGATCGGAGGTCCGCCCCAAAGCCGCGTCTCGGTTGCAACGACACGATCAAGGACAGTCGGGGCGACCCGGGAGCGAGGGAATCGTCCACGAACGACCGCAAAAACTCTGTGCCACCGAGACCACGTAACCCAGAGGGGGCCTGAACTCACTGCGTGAACTTCCAGGTCGGCGAACCCGGTTCCTTGTCTACCATTTTCTTTCACGGACCACCCTTTGACTGGGGCAGGGAAGTGACAACCGAAAACCACGGGACCCAGGGTCGGATGGCGATACGAAAGAGGCGGGGGGGGGTGAGGTCGGGATGGCGACGATCGAGCGATACGACAGACGATCCCTTTGGTGATAAGATTGAGTAAATTTTGTTGGTCGGAAGGACGATGGGCAAGGGAAGTCGAGCGGTGAAGACGACGGCAAAACGAGCAGAAGCTTTCGGAATGTCGACGGGGCTCGCGAGTGGGGATAAGAGGGGATGGAGATCCCACCAGGGCGAGCGAGATGGAATGGAGGGGAGGAAGGAGGCAGACGACGTCAGACAAGACCCGGAAAGGCAGAGACCGGTTCCAGTCACCGGCAGGCTGAAGAAAACAAAAGATTGACAGCCTGGGCTGACGATACTAGACGATGAGGGGTTGCCGGTAGAGAGGTCGAGGTAGAGAGAGAGGGAGAGAGGGAGAGAGGGAAGGAGGTGAGGGCAAGAGATCAGAGGTAATTAATTGAAGGTCCCCTCGATCTATCTCAGTCTTATTTTTCCCCTCGTTATTTTTTTTCGGGTCTAAAGAATTTCGACGTTTGTTCTTTTTTTTTATATTTTTTTAATTTTTTCCTTCAGCAAGACAAAGGACAAGAGGGGTCAGTGACGACGGCCACAGACCAGAGGCAACGACAGACGGAAGAGGGTCTGTTGGAGGGGGAGGAAGAGGGAATTAAGAAATGGATTATCGGTGGGAAGAGTTGGGGGGAGGAGGGGAAGAGAGAGTCAGGAAATGGGAAAGAGAGAGAGAGAGAGCGAGAGAGTGAGGCGGTAACCACTGGAGGGGAGCAGTGGCTGCCCGTAAACCCAACGGGAAAACCCACCGCCAACGGAGCGCTGACATCAACCACTGAATATCAATATCATCTATCATCTACGACTTCCTGGACTCTGGGTCATACCGAATTACCGGACAGTCGAGGTCTCAGTGTGGCCATACCATTGCATATGTCTCACCTGTAATTACTCTTTGTTCACATCTACATACCATCCATCCGCCCTCCATAGTCACCCCATCCTCCCCTCTCATAGTTCCTCCTCGATGCCCAATGACGCGATGAGGTACATGGCCGGAGTACATACATCCATCTGTCGTCCTCGGGCACAACCGCAACAGCCCTGACTCAGTCCCAGTTAGAGTTGTTCTGGTCCGTCTTCCAGACCGAAATAGAATTAATTCGCCTGGTCTGAGCATACGGAATTATGAATTCCTAGTCCAGTTCTCATTCTTCACATGCCGTTCCTGTCCCTCCCGACCGCGCTCAATCCCTTGGGCCGAATAAGCTTCCCCAGCTTCTATAACCTCCATCGAACCTTTCGTCACCTTCTCCCTACCTTCTCCTCCACCTAACCACCTCAACCCCCTAATGCCAATCAACCCTCCGTCTCCGTCTACCTAGTACCTACCTAATAATTCACTCGCCACGTCATCCCCACCATCGCAATGACCGACAACAGCAACAGCAGCAGCCAGAAGCGGGGCACCGACAGCGACAGCAATCAACCGCAGCGCCAACCCACCAGCGATGCCAACCACGACACCAGCACCAACACAGACCACGCCCCGACCATTCCACCAAATAGCAGCGCCGCCGCCGACAATGGTTCGTCCGCGTCGCTTGCCGGTCGCATTCAAAATTCCGCCCAGGGTCTCGCTCGATCCGCGTTCTCCGCCTCCTCGTCCGCCTCGGATGCTGCACATCTATTACCCGGTGGCAGCAGCGGCAGCAAGGCCGGTCCTTCGACGTCCTCAAGGGCAGCGTTCTCCGCGGCACAGCAATTCGAGGATTCAGGAGCTTCTGCGCCATCGTCGTCCGCTCGTGAGCACTCACATGGTATAACAGGAGAGACATTTCGGTCCTCATCGACGACAGAGAATCAACACCAGCAGGGCGGATTCACCCTACCTTCCTTCTCGGAAGCAGAATTCCAATCCAGCTACGGTGACGATCCATGGGCAGATTCATACACAGATAGACAGACCCTCAAAGGAAAAACCGCAGCACCAGACCCAGACACAGACGAGTCCCCAGAGACGCTCCTCTCCTCGACCGAAAACCTAACGATACAATCCCCGACCCCCGTCCCTCTCCCTCTCGCCACCGACGGCTCCGCCATAACAAACCTCCTCTCCTCCCCCTCCTTCGACCCCGAATTCCCCCCTCAGCCACACGAGCCCTTCTCGCCCGTCGAAACCGACCTCTCCGAACCCCCCGCCCACAACCCCCTCACCGCCGAGGAAATCCAAATGATCGAATCCTTCCGCCGCCAGATGACCCCGCCCGCGCCGCAATCGCACCGTCTCACGCCCTACAGCCTCGTCCCGGACATCGACACCATCCTGAACAGCGCCGCCGTGTGGGGGCCCGGCGCGGACGCGACGGCTCTGCGCGATACCGTGCTTGATAGCTTGCCGGGCTCCGCGGAGTGGGTTTCTATGGATGAGAAGTACCACGACGAGGTGTGGGGGTATTTGCGGCCGACGCTGGAGGCGGCGCGGGAGGAGATGCAGGAGAGGGAGAGGAAGGGTGGAGAGGGGGCGGGGGAGGATGGGCCGGCGGTTAGGAGGTTGAAGATGATTTTGAAGCATATGGGGGGTTGATTCGAGTATTTTGAATATTTATGAAGGTAGGGTGTGGGGGATCTTAGGTTGTTTTTGTAGAGTATACAGTCAGTATAGAAGTTGTAAGATATATATCTGCCGAGATACACTACTAGAAATGGATACAACACCTCATTCAACCAATTTTCTTGAATTAAAAGTTCCATTATACAAACCATTAGGGGTAGCAAAACCAGCGAGTAGAAAAATTTAAAATTGAAAATTCAAATAAAATGAAATTCATATCTTACAAACTAGAAACGTAAAAGCCTAATAAAAGAAACCAGGGCTTTTCACCCCGCATATCAATCATCCCAAAAAGCCATCGGCCGAAACAAAACATCAAAACCAAGAATAAATAGGGGTATGTATCAAAATGGCTGCGTCAGGTGGTGTTTGTTTTTTGCTCTTCCCGCATAAAATCCCGTTAGTTTCTATGTCACAATCTAGAGTTCTAGCTCGGGGGTCTGGCCCTTGACGCGACCGATGACGATATGTCCGGCGTACTTGGGGATGACTTCGTCGTCGTGGAGCATGGCGAATTCTAGCAAACAGTTAGCATGTTTATTGTTCTGCAAGAGGTACTACAAAGGGATAGGATGAGAGCATACCTTCCGTGGCGTCCCGGCCCATGAAGTTGAACAGGGCGTTGGCGCCGCCGGGATGCTCGTCAAGCCAGTTGGTCACGTCGAGGACGACGCCCTTCACGACGATCCAGAGGTCATCTTTTTTGTTATGCTTAGCGATCTCCTCCATTGAGTATTCGGTGGAAGGGACCTCAAACTTCTTAGGGTCCGTGGGTTTGGCCGTCTCGGAGGCCCCGGCGGGCGTCGCGGCAGCCTTGGCGTCCAGAGTGGCTCCGGCCGGAGTGGGCAGGGCGGCCTGCGATCCAGAGCCACCGGCGCTGCCCCACTCGACGGAGATCTTGCCCGGGGTCGCCGGGTCGATGTGCAGCGAGATCTGGCCGAGACGGCTCTGGGCGGTCGACGCGCCGCCGGAGATCAGCTTCTGGAAGAGATGCTCGCTGGCGCTGTCGCCGGCCACGCGACCGTAGACGACGCAGCCGAGCAGCGACGAGCCACCGAGACGGTTGGCGCCGTGGACACCACCCGCCAGCTCACCGCAGGCGTAGAGGCCGTCGAAGGGCTTCTGCTCGGAGTTGAGGACCTGCGCGTGCTCGTTGATCTCGATACCGCCCATGGTGAAGTGGAGCACGGGCTCCATGACGGAGACGTGGAAGGTGTCGTCGACGTTGAAGGGCATGTTGTGGAAGAAGCGCTTGTTCCAGGGGTCCTTCTTCTTGCCCTCGGCGATGAGGTTGTACTCGTCGAAGGTCTTCTGCAGAGCGGCCTCGCCGCAGCCGATCTCCTTGGCCAGCTCCTTGCCGCTGATCTTCTTCATCAGGCCACGGCCGGAGTAGTGGCGCGTGTGGAAGTCCAGGACGTTGGAGGCCTTGCTGTTGAGCACCAGACGGATGGGCCACTTGCCCTTCTCCTTCTCCTTCCACATCTGGCCGGACACGTAGTCACGGTGGCCCAGCTCGTCGGAGAACCGCTGGCCGTCCGAGTTCAGCAGCAGACCACCCTCGCCACGGAGCGCCTCGGCGGCAAGGAACTTGAACTTGGCCTCGGGGTCCTTGGGGTCAACCAGACCCGTGGGGTGCACCTGGACCTTGTCCATGTCGATGCCGTTGGCACCGATGTCCATCAGCATCTTCTGGCCGTCACCGGTGGCGTGGGTGCCGTTGGTACTGGACAGGGCGAAGGTGTCGGGGCGGTGCTGTTTCAGCAGCGATCCGTCCCCGAAGTCTGCGGCATAACCACCGGTCGCAAGGACCACCACACCGTCGGCGGTTTGGCTCTCGCCGTTGTATTCGTAGGTCACACCACTCACGTGGTTTCCGTTCTTGTTGATCGAGGTGACACGGGCCTTCTTGACGATCTGCACCCGGGTAGGGTCCTGCTCGCTGAGCTCTTCTAACCGCTGCATCAGGGCGTAGGTGATGGCCATCCCGGGGAACTTGGCATCGTGGCCACGATGCGTCCGGGGCTGGGAGTGGCCACTAGTAGAGTCAGCAACTCATTCGTCACATGTCGCATGGATTGGGGGACAAAGGAACCTACCCAAGACGAGAAACAAGGGTCAAATCGAGGTTGAAGACATCCTGCAGCCATTCGACGGCGGCGGCGGACTTATACGTGAGGACCTTGATCAGCTCGGGACGAGCCTTGTCTCTGGCGGATTTGAGGGTGTCTTCGTAGAAGGTCTTGACGCTGTCGGCAATGCCCAGGTCGACCTGGGTGCGAGTCAGGGCGCCGTTGATACCCGAGGTGGCCTTGGTCGAGTTGCCACCGAAGAAAGCTGGTCAGGTTAGTTTGAATATTTTTATTTATGAGGCGTGCTGAATTCGTAGTATCCCCTGGAAGTATCAAACGTACCCTGCTTATCGAGAACCAGAACGTTGCCGCCGTTCAGATAGACGGTGTGGGCGGCGCTGAGACCGGACACTGAGAGACGAGGCAATGGTCAGCAAATGCGGGGAAAGCTTTCCAGGGAGCACGTACATCCACCGCCGACAACGATCACTCTAGGAGGGGTGGCCATCGTGTATGAGAGAAATAGGAGGATCGGATGGGGAGGAACAAAGGGAGAGAAGCAAAGAGTCTGGAGAAGGAGAGAGGAAAAGGAACGAGGCCGGGAGATCTTAAAGCAAGAGCAGACCAGGATCCGGGGGAGACAGAGGAATGGCTGTTCAGAAGCCGACGCGACCGCAGTCTATCGGCCGAGGCTCATCGTCCGGTAAAAGTACCGTACGGCGCAGGTCTCGCTGGGCTCGGCTTTCCCACCGAGTCGGCGCTGGTAATACTGGTAATACGGCGCCGCGATACCTGGCATCATCGGTGGCCCCTAGAGTTGCCCGTCCTTAGTAAAGGCGTAATTGCGGCTTTCTGGTTTGTCGACGGGACTGGGGAAGGCCCCATCTTGTCAACTCTAACGTCTGGCAATTGGGAGTCTTCTCTTTCATCTTCCATCTTCAGGAAACCTTTCACATGCTTCATCAGAATTCCCCAGAATTGGCCCTCTTCACATGTGCGACCGCCGCAGCAAATCAGACGGCGCGCGTCAGTCAGCGGCACGTCATGTTCTCCGTTCAGCTGATTCTCATTGCTGCCCGGAGTCCCGTGAGATCCGCCGGGGTTTAGCTTGGTATTGGGAACCTGGGTCTGGTTGACTTAAATTTGTGTCGTCTACCCCAGGATTTGGCTATAAAATAAACAGACCAGAAGAGTAGGATATGTTCACCATTGTGTATGATCAACCCCATACTCAAGCCCCGTATCTCCCAGTAATCAGCCCATATGCAATACACCCAATCTGCCAGACCGATTAGTGAACTGCCAGATGGCTACCACCTTCTCCAGTCCCAGTTACCTCGGTCCGAGAGCATTGCCTGGGCCCCTCCAATCATCATGCGGTTTATGTCATTCCTACTTATCCTAAACCACCTAAGCATGGGACCATCAGACCATCCTCATCTTAAATCTCGATGCATATCCATTCCATCTCCCCCTTCCATATGCATATTCTTTCAACAAGTCCAGCCCCTGTATCCGTCACACAATTACTTCCTTACCCCAAAGAACATACCGCATCTGGCCATCGGCAACTGATCACGTGTATCGGCAACGGACTCCCTACCCTATGATTCTCCACCAATCAGAACCTGTCTCTCAGTCGCCGACACGCACGATGACATAATATCTACGGCAAATGACCCTGCCCTTCTCGGCCATCTGGGCACAATGAGGAGTCAATAGCCGATGCGCGCCGGCAGGGATGAGCTGAGCTTAAGCTGTCCCTCTCCGCACTCCGCACTTTATTTTCCATTTCGTCTATCGATCTAGTGATCTATGCAAGATAAGCCTATATCCCTGAGATACCTGCGGACAGGAAACAGCCTTGTATCTGCTCGTAATGCCGTATCGAATACCATCTGCGACCGGGCTTACCGGGCGATCGTTTGCCGAGCGCGAGCGAGCTCTCGGGGGGTATTTTCCCGAGGGGGGATGCGCGATGCAAGGGCGTAAAATGGCCCTCGCGGCTCGGGAGTTTGGCATCGAGATTGACGTGTAGATTGGCGGTGCAGGGGACAGATGGGTCGTGCTTGGTTGGGGAATAATTGCGTCTGTTATTTATTCGCATGAGCGTGGATCTTAGCTGAGTATGGAATACTGCAGTGGAATGTAATATAGTATGTCTTGATTATGGCTGAGGATTGAAACAGGTGCAATTAAATGACTTAAGTATGTACAGAGCAAAACAAGCAGGCATACGGTCTCATAATTCATCCCTCAATTAGTCCATCCAGGTCACGCTCTTGGTCACCAGGAACTCATCGAGGCCTCGATCCGTATTGAACCGGCCCCATCCGCTATTCTTAACGCCGCCGTGAGGCAGGGCGGGCTCGTCGTGGATAGTCATGCTGTTGATGTGGACGGCGCTGGAGAATAATATGTTAGCGTTAGCTTCATCTCAGTTAAAGATCGACTGCCGACTCACCCAGATTGAATCTTCTTGGCCATCGCCAGCCCCTTCCGCAGGTCCTCGGTGAAGATGGCCGACGACAGACCGTACCCGCTGCTGTTGGCGATACGAATGGCTTCCTCGTCGCTGCTCACGATCATACAGGCGGCCAGCGAGGCAAACGCTTCCTCCTGCCAGACGTTCATGTCCTCCGTGACGCCGCCGAGGAGTAGCGGGGCGAGTCGCACGCCGGGATGCTGGGGTGCCTCGGCGCTGGGAGCGGACCCATGGACCAGGTGGGCGCCGTTGGCGAGGGCGTCGGTGACGAGACGGTCGATGCGCGCTTTGGAGGCGACGTTGACCAAGGTTGGGGGTGGGGATGAAGGGTCGAGGTTGGAGTTCAGTGCCGTCTTCAGAGCCTCCATGAACGCCGGCGCAATGGAGGAGTGAACGAGGATGCGGTCGGTGGCCATGCAGATTTGACCGGACTATGAGGATATTAGCACATCGAATGTCGGACTAAATTGCAGTATAGTGCACAGTGCACAGTGGACTAGGAGGGAAGTATGGGCTCCTACGTTCAAGTATGCTCCTCCCAGGACGCCCTTGACGGCCGTTTCGATGTTGGCGTCGGCACACACGATCGAGCTGTTCTTGCCTCCCAGCTCCATCAGACACGGCTTGAGATTCTGCCCGCAGGACCGGGCAATCTTCCTGCCCACCGCCGTACTCCCGGTGAAGTTGATCTTGCGCACGGCAGGATGTTCAATCATGGCATTGACCACTTCGGGAGCATCCTGGGGCCGACAAGACACCAGGTTGAGACAGCCGGCAGGCAGCCCGGCATCTTCGAACGCTCTCGTCAGAGCCCAGTACGAGCAGGGCGAGAGCTCGGAAGATTTCAAAATAGTCGTGTTACCAGCCGCAAGGGCACAAGCCGCCGAGCGGACTCCAAACACATACGGCGCATTCCTGGAAGGTTTGGGATAGCCGTTAGCCCAGGTGGTAAAGGGGAAAGTTGTGCGCGATTAAGTCGGTGAGCGCGACAGCCGACCTAGCACACCGTACTGAGTCTTACCAAGGGACCAGGCCCAAAATCACGCCCATGGGCTCCTTGTACACGATGGCGCTTTGGCCCTCCTCTTCTACCACGGGGACACTACCGCAAATGGAAGTGATGCGCCCCGCGATGTCCCTCAGCATGCGGATCCCGAGCGGCACGATGAAGAATTGCGAGGCGCCCACGTCGGCGCCCATTTCCGTCCGCATGAACTCGGCATTCTGCTCCAGTCGACTCTCTAGCAGATCCGCCGCCTTCAGCAGGATGTCGCGCCGCACCGTCGGCTTCGTTTGGGACCAGGCCGGGAAGGCTGCGTCGGCGGCCTCGACGGCCCGAATGGCATCCTGGGGAGACGCCGACGCGGTGGCCCAGCAGCGTTCGTTGGTGTACGGACTGATGACATCAAAGGTTGAGTCCGGAATCTCTTCCTTGCCGTTGATAACCAAGGGTATCACGGCGGGAGCGCTGCTAGGCCCGTTCGGAGTAGACATTGCGGAATAGAAGGAAGAAAAACAGGAATTCGGCCGAGGGAAGGGAAGCAGAAAGATCAGGAAAATATTTGGGATTCACAGGCAGTTTTGATCGGTATATATCAAGTCGGAAAATTGGACCGTTTCAACTATGATTGGACCCTGCAAGGGGGTGGGAGTGAAGGGCAGGCCGGTGGGATGCAGGAACTTGGGAATCCTCCGTTAGAACTGAGGAGCAGTTCGGAGGAGCGAGGGAAGTAGGGTCTCCACTTTCAAGGAAGGATTCTGAAGATCCTCGAAAAGCAGAGAACGCATGAAAAGAGTAGGGCATACTCTTTCGAGTCAAACTGTACTCCGTATCAGGGGTTGGGGGCCACTTGGTTTATCGCATGGCAAGCTGAGGGCTACTCCAAATCCCAAGACCCCATCAATGCCACCACAACTCCACCGGCAAGTCACCCAGGATCCATCCCAAAAGATAACATCATATCATCCTGGTCTACAAGAAAAGTGACAGTTGCGTGTGTTTGCCGAGTTCAAACTCAAAGTCGCCTTACCCCGTGGTTGACGGAACCCTAAATGCAGGGGGAAACTCTGTCGGGAGAATCGACGTGTACATCGAGAGCGCATAACAAAACTACGCCGTAAACCCCTGACACCTCAAAACCCGATGTGGATTTGTCAACGAGGAGTCAGACGAATGTCAGGGACGCAACCGTGGTAGCCTCTGGACGGTAGCCCCGACGAGTCAGGCATGATGCCTATCAATCGGGCCGGGGATTGCTGAGCGTTAACCTTTCCCCCTATTGGTATGATAGTCTTTGCTGGCAGCGTCTATCATTAACCATGTGGGAGGCTGGCACATGGCAGAGAGGGCCAACTCCAAGTCCCGGGCTTTTTCGACGGTCGAGCGCTTCGACTCCTTCGAGTAGGCTGGGCGATGATCGCCGACAACCTGCCATGGTTCACGCACCAATAGCTAAAATGGCTCCAAGGCTGGAGGGTCCATTCGGGCGTGCTGGAGAAGGTCGAAGGCGAGGCAAGCCCGAGACAGGTAGCGAGGGAGGGAATTATTCAATAATAATGACCCGATCATAAATGGACTCCACCCAGTGGAGACGCACCAAGCGACGGGACAAAAGGAAAGGAAAAATGACCAAAAATAAAAAACAAAAATAAATAAAACTTTTTACAGTGAAGGCAAGCCAATCAGACAAATGGACACGATCCGTGACAGCGGGTACAACCCAGAGAAGAGCAGCTGAAGAACCGATTCTCTGACGCCGCGATCCGCTTCGCTTACGACCACATGGGATGGCGCGCACGACTCTGATAATTGCTCGGCACTATTGGTTTCGCTGCAGATCCCCTAGGGTTTGGCTGCAGGACGCTACTGCGCAAGAGCCGAAAGAACCCTTTTTCTGCTCTGCCGGGGATTTTATGCTTGCTTTTCTATTTTTCAGACCGAGTGTTCCCTCATCCCGGATGGAAGGGAAGTATCGCCATGTCGCAGAAGACTGGAACCGGTGAGAAGCCACGCAACAAGACCGAGCCTTGACTCAGATCCAAGGTTCGGCCGGGGAGTATCCATCCGATCATCGTGTTTGAGGTAGATTCAAAATCCTCCACCGGCCGTGGAGCCGCCTCCAGGTTCGGTGCAAGCGAAGTCTATTATCATCACGACCACGAACTGACCAATTGACCCTTGGCAGTCGGGGTATACGAAGCAGTGCATGATTTTCAATCGACGACCACAATGGCATTTGCGGGATTACCCCTGCGTCTGAATTTGATTTTGGAGTTCGCACTATCTGTGCTCGCAGGCGTCATAATCACCCGCGCTAGAGGAATAGTCTCCAGACCGTCCATCCAAGGTTCGTGATTGCTTTGACACCATTGTGATCGTCGTCACCACTGGGACCTTAGGGTTGCGTTAGTTCATTCGTCCAATTCTTAAATTTTTTATCTTAGTCTCGGGTTGCCATTCCCAATCAGATCGTGGCCACGCCGTCCTGGCCATTGTTATGTCATTCTGCTGATCTGCTCGTCTCCACCGGCGTCGTGGGACAATTGGGCAATTGGACTCTGTTCAGCTCGTCGACACCTGCATTTCGAGTAGGACCCTCCAAGCCTCAAACCGGTCCAGTCCATTGGGTTTTCCCTGAGGCGACCCAGTCGCCGGGCCCGCCTGATTCTCCTCCCATCCCTGTAATCTAGTAGACCGTAGTGCGATCCAACTAGGGATTTGGGCGGCGGACTGTGTGGTGGGATGTTGACTATCTGGTACAGATTCTATTCGGGATCCATCTTTTCCTTGCTCCTTTCTCCAAGATCCTTATCTTCCGCCAGTCCTTTATACACAGTAGGCGTATACCTGGTGTTATTCTGGAGCCTACTTACCAGCTAAACTATCTATACTCGCCCAATCCCTCCACTCCAGTGGAGAGGCGCTGTGTCGCCCTATTCAATCCTTTGTTGTATGATTTTGGTCCGGGGTATATGATCGTTCTTGGCTCTCTTCGACCTCTGTTCTTTCCTTTCTCTCCATCCAGTCACTCCTTTCTACACCCAACATGACTGTCACGTCTAGAGGGCGTGAGATGATCGCCATCGTCTCGGTACTGGTGGGCGTCTCCTTGATCTCGGTTATCATGCGTGTGATTGCGCGGTTGAAGCGAAGAGTCAAGTTCGGTATCGACGATTATCTCTGCTTTCTCTCGATGGGGCTTCTCCTGGCAATGTTGATTGAACTGGTTTTATGTGAGTATCCCGTCCCAATCGATACCATCCCGCCGCTCTAACCATCTACTACAGGGGTGACAATTGGAGGCAACGGTGCCCACATGGACGATCTAGATACAAAGACTATCATGAACTTCTCCAAGGTGAGACCCTTTGGATAACAACGCTCCGGATCCTCGGGGACAAGCCAATTAATGCAAACCACTACTAGATCTTCCTCGCCAACCAATTCACCTACTTCGTTCTCTGCCCCGCCATTAAAATCTCCATCATCTGCTTCTACCGCCGCATTTTCACCATGCGTTCCTTCCAACTGACCACTCTCGGCCTCAACATCCTCATCACCCTCTGGGGAACCGGCATCTTCCTTGCCTGCGCCCTCCAATGCCGGCCTCTGCGCGGCTACTGGGACAAGAGCGTCGACGGCCACTGTTTCGACGCCAACAAGTTCTTCATCGTCAACCAGGTCTTTAACGTCCTAATGGACTTCGTCATCTTGGCCCTCCCCATCCCCATGATCTGGAACCTCCAGCGTGCCTGGCAGGACAAGCTCGCGCTCAACGGCGTCTTCGCTCTCGGCGCCTTCGTCTGCTTCGCCAGTATCTATCGAATCGTCGTCCTCTTCTGGATGGATCCCAGCGACACCACGTACACCGTCTACCAGGCCACTCTGTGGACGCACATCGAGCCCTCTATCGGCCTCATCTGCTCGTGCCTCCCCATCGCTAGAGGCTTGTTCCCGCGCTTCAAGATACCGGGAAGCCGCAAGTACGCCACCGCGCCGTACTACATCAACACCGACGTCAGCACCTCGCACTTTGTTGTCTCCAGCCCCAAGTCTCCTCCCTCGGACTACTTCAAGATGGACGATGTCTCACGCGCCACCAGTGCCACCAACGTCCCCGACGCAGAGTGCAACAAGTATCTGGGCCCCATGGATATTCAGGTGCGCACGGATATCGATATCAAGCAGGACGCGGCGTCGATGCGATCTCAGCGTTGAAACTTACCTTGATGTAAACCTCTTTTATATTCTTTTTTTCATGATTTACGAACGCAATACGGCTGCTTTCATTTCTCGCGGGATCCTTTTCGCCTGCGATCATCTGATTTATTATACCCTTCATCTCTCCTGTGTGGTAGCCGGTTCTTGGTGGAACGTCGTTTGGTCTGTTTGAGAGGACCTTCTCCGTCCCAGGTTCAAATCTCTTTAGGAGGTCTCAATGAACCAACCCAGACAAAGGATCACGGCGTAGCCTAAGCAGCTGCCAAACTATAACTTCCCTCCGAGCTGAAATCAGTTCGGCACCTGTCTCGGCGACTGCCGAATACCCATGTACAGTACCTCCACGAGCCGAATGCTTTAGAATCACTGTATGATTCCTCTTCTGGGCACCACTCCACTGCTCTACTAAGGACACTTAGGACCTTACAAAAGATAATCAATAGTATAACCACTGGAAATATTTGGGCTACCATACGAATATTAAATCTAGTAATAATGCCATTAAAGAGTTTAATGTAGTCTCATAAAATCATCAAGGTTGCTTGGCTCTGTAAAACACCCTGAGCTTATCGTTTAGTTATCGCTCCATCGGTTTGTCATCACATTTCAATCTATCTATTATCATCAATCTCTATCTCGATCATGGCCCAAGAAGTGATAAAGGCGCCTATATCGCCATTCCCCCAATCGACTTACTCTACTTCCCTTTTCTTGCTGCCAATGATGCCTGGAAACAATTCTGCCAGCAAACAGAAGAGGTCTCGAAGTGGTTTGTCTTCCCTACCAATGCCTTCCCCGCAGTCTTGCTATTCACTCCTCTTTTCATCGCACTTACTTGCTCTTTTCCAAGTTCTGTTCCCTGTCAATGGCATATTAACTAATGACGAGTCAAGGGTGCCGTACCTGTCGCAAGAGGCATCAAAAATGCGACGAAAGAAAGCCAACGTGCTGGAACTGTCGCTGGCGTGGCATCGAATGCGGCGGCTACGGCATTAAGTTGGCCGATTTCACTGTCTACAGCGGCCGCAAGGGTCAGATGGTGTCCAGAATGATGAGAGATGAATCGGATGGTGATCAGATGCATCCTGGAGATGTGCCCGCCGATGGAGACGCTTCGTCGACCCCGACCGACGCCGATCGCCCACCTTCAGAGTCTCTTCTCCACATCAAAACACAAGATACGACTCGATTCGCCTCCGAATCTCATAGTTCTGGAGATGACACCAATTTCGCCGTGAGCCCGGGTGACGCTATGGTCACAGAATATGCCTTCGGTGGTGACCAGGCTAGCCTCGACAGCCAAGACGACGAACAAGACAGTCGACGGGGTAATTCACCGTTGACAATGGGTCCTGAGACTACTCTCCCAGTCGCACCGAGTGATCCCTTTGATCAATTTTTATTTTGCCATTGTGAGGCTTCTTTTGGCAGGACACGGGCCGTTGCGCGGCTTTTTAGCATCATCCGTTAACGAGGCTGTTCCTTAGACATGGAAGATCTTTGCTTACGGCTCTATCCCATTAAAACCGAACAGAATCCTTACCGAATCATTTATGGATCTCTAGCTGCTCAGTCTGAGCCGCTCCGGAAGGCAATTCTCTTCGCGTCGGCCTTGCATCGCTCCAAACTGGGCAAACTACCCACATTTGCCATCAAGCATTATCGCACCGATATGCAGGAATCATTCCGCAGCGCTCTGTGCGAGGGAGGCGAGCCTTGGAACCTTGCAGCGACCGCTCTTCTCTCGGCTCTGTTTGATGTATCTGTTCCAAGACTCTCGATCGTTGACTGGCAGAGCTAATTCGCCTAGATCATCGGCACAGGACCTAGATCATCGGCACAGGAATGAACACCTGGAGCTCAAAACTCATTGGATGTCGTCGATTGCTGCAGCTAGCGTCTCTATCAAGCGAAAAAGTCCCCAAAGGTTTCCAATGCGTTGTATTACAGTACAACTGGGCAGCTACCATGAGTCAAACACTGCTCAAGGGGGTAGTACCCGCCGATACCTGTGAAGAAATCAGATGCATCGACGAGGGTAGGTCATGCCGTGGAAACAAAACCTGAATATAGAGACCGCTTGTACTGAAACCCGAGCATAGTGCCAATGAGCCAAACAGGCGCAAGTCTCACCATGGCTGAACACCAATCCCACTGGTGGGACAATCTCCCAGACTATCAAATGCATTTATTCCTACGGCAGGCGACCGAACACTCCATCACGATCGACCGACTAAGAGCCGCCGGTGACACCGAGCACTTACTACAGCTCATGCCCCGAGCCGCCGAGCTTGTCAACATGATCCAAGCCTGGCAACCTCACACGTCGACCGTTCCATCCGAGTACCTTGACTCAGTGCTACATTTCAACGAAGTTTGGAGACTGGGCATGCTCTGTTTCGTCCACAGCGAAGTCTATGGTCTAGGACCTCGAGACCGAAACATCCAACGATGGGTGGAGGCATCTCTAGAGCCGATTCGGAAGCTCAGCTGGCTGCAGGCGTGCTTGTTCCCCTTGTTTATGATTGCGCTGCATGCCGAGAACGAAAGGGCCCGTCAGATCATCCGCTTTAAACTTGGGGAAATGCACGCTACTCTGGGCTTTCAGGGCCCGCTATCGGTGGCTTCTGTTCTCGTGAATATCTGGATGCGATCAGATGGTATGGGCACTGGGAAGGTTCAGTGGAGAGAGGCTATTCGAGAGATGGGGATGGAGCTTAATATCTTATTGTGAGTGCCGCAGACTGAGCAGCTCTCAATATAGAAGCTATGATTATGATCAAATGATACAAGACGTGACATGGTTAAGGCAAGCTCTAAGCGACTACATTCTAAAGAAACCTGATATACAAAATACGAAAGAGCACACTGATAACCAACTAAACCTATTTATCGATTGGGGTGTCACCGATGCGTGATCGGGTCCTCACTTCTTTATCTACGGACTAATTGCACATGAATGGAATCTTAGTGAGATATTATCCTGCATGCTTATCCATAATCCAATTCTATCCTTGGAATTCAGAGAACTGATATATACCAGAAACACAAATCACACAGAGAAAAAGCACAAGCCATCCTCCTCAAACAAGACCATCCATCAGATCAGATCAACCGGGATATACTTGCTCCAGTCGCCCTTGACCTTCAAGAAATCCAAGGGCTCCATATGCTCCACTGAACCACCATATGGCCTACTGATAGAATATCCGAGAAAGCGCTGCACAGCGGTCGGGTACTTCTCCACCACCTCCCACGGCGCCGCTAGATATTGATTCTCCTCCTGCCGTCGATAGCCCGGTGTGGCGACGGCTCTCAACAGCATAGTCGGCTCGTTCGTCGTATTGGCTGCGCGACCATAGTATGTGGAACCAAGCCTAGTGGTATTGCAGAATCAGCATGAGAATCTCAAAATCTCCAAAGCGAGGTAACGGAGAAGAGGAACAAGCAACAAGTAAGCTCACCACAGAAGTGCATCGCCCTTTCGAAGCTCGACCAGACCCTCATCCGCCTGCATCGGGTCACGATGATCCGTCCAATTGTTCGAGCCCACCACGACTCGAACCGCGCCGTTTTCAACCGTGATATCGTCCATCGCGTACATGACTCCAAAGTCGCTCTCCCGCTGCGCAGGGTGAGTAATGTGGTGACATTCGTCCTGACGACGGAGACCCCAGGGAGCCGAGCCCGGCTCCGCAGAGAGGACAGACGTCATGGAGACCTGCGGCTCGGAGATCGACACCGTTCGATCCTGCTCGTAGTAGATGATGCATGTATCGGTGAGGACGCGGTTGGCGAGGTCCATGAATAGCGGGTGCACGAGCAGCTGCGTCGCGAAGGTTGCGCTTTTGGCCACCACCCCGAATGTCTCGCCTGCTGGTATGGTCCCGAGCTGCTCGCGAACCTCGTCTAGGCTCTCGCGGGTCGTGGCTCCTTCGATGATGGCCACGCCGTCGGCTTTGATGTATTGATGAATCAGATGGGGGTCGGCGGAGGCTGCGAAGCGCTTGACGGTGGGAGGCATCCTGAGTGTGGAAATGTCAGTGAGGTAGGCCGAGTTAGATAAGATATGAACAGGGAATCCGTGGCTAAAGCGTGAACGGTGAATGAATTGGATCTTGTTGAAGGTGTACCGGAAGGCAGACCATCTGCCCTAAATATAGCCATTTTATGTAGCAAGCCTGTCTTTGTAGAATACAAAATCAATCAAGACGGTGCCAACATGACCAGATTGCATGTTCTCTATTTGCGAGGATGATAGAGCTCTGATAATTCCGATAAGCCGTGATCGAGTGGGAAAAGCGAGCCGCGCCATGCGAGTCTTCTTGATGCGCGTTATCACCCTTTGATACGAGGCTATCGTTACTGTTTTGGGACACAGAGGAAATGGATTGATCGTCGACAAGCCTGCGAATTCCCATTTATACTAAGTATCGAGACTTCCTTGGAAGTATTTTGATCCCATTCCAGCACGGTGAAAAAATCACTAAATTGTCTTCTCTATCCCACTAGACTCACGCATTTCTCCAATCCATTCCCAACACTGCCAAACAAAATGCCCAACCCTCCCCATCAAGCGCAGAACCCCGAGGTAGTGGAGCTCGATGCCTCTGCTCCCATCGAAGAGATCGCCAATATTCTCCGCCGCGATGGCGGCATCATCATCAAGAACTTCCTCACCCCGGAAACCATCGACCAGATCCACGCAGAAGCGCAGCCATACTGGGGCAAGCTTGGAGTCTACCAAGGCAAGCTGTTCGATGAAGCAGACCCCCCTCTCAGGTATGTCCGAAGGCGTTTATTCGAGCAGTTAAAGGCTTCCACTTACGAAGGATTATTCGACAGTGGCTTCGCAGGAAAGTCTCCCACCTTCGCCCACAAAGCGATCAACCACCCGACCTACCGAGAGGTCGCAAAGGCCCTTCTCAAAGAGGAGTCGTCAGTAGCATCTCATCTGCCTCGTCTTTCAGCCCATCCTTACTGATTCTAGCAACGTCTACCGCGACGGCAAGAGATACAACACCGTCTCCTACCCGGTGTTGGCCGTCTCCGAGGCCTTCAACCGCGGCTCGCCCTCGACCGCGCAGCAGCTTCATCGCGACGATATGGCCCAGCACTTCGACCATATAGAAGGCAGCGGAGAAAGCTCCCTCTTGGGCCTCCTTGTCGCCGGCGTGGTAAGTCCCCTCCCTTACCTTCTAGCAACCAACACTCCCCCTCCCTCTAGACACAAACAATAACCCCCAACCCAAACCAGGACACCACCTTCGAAAACGGCGCCACCCAAGTCATCGTGGGTTCGCACAAGCTCCCGGAGGCACGGATCTGCGGCCCCAGCGACCGCTCGCTCTGCTCGACCTGCGAGATGAGCAAGGGCGACGCGGTCTTCATCCTCGGCAGCATCTGGCACGGCGCGGGCGAGAACAAAACGAACCCGCCGGAGCGTCGCATCATCTACTCCTGCCACATGGGGCGCGGGTCGATGCGCACTGACGAGAACCAGTATCTGGGCATTGACGAGGAGGTGGTCAGGAGTTACGAGCCGGAGGTTCAGGCGCTGTTGGGATGGTCGGTTAGTCAGCCTTATTGTGGGCATGTTGGGATGGAGGATCCGATTGTGAGGTTGGGGAGTAGGGAGGATCCGTTTGGGTATGGGTCGTTTGAGGGACGGGAGGTTAGGGCTTAGGGGGAGGGTTGGTGTCGTGTTTGTTGGTCTTTTAGCTGATGGGAGATTGTGAGGATCTCAGGTAGTGGCTTTGTGTTTGTTTCTGGACATCGAGTGTGAGGTCGGCACCGTGCAGAATGGGATTGATTGACTGTGCCATTTGGTGTAGCTTTAACCACAAGAGTGTAGTGCATTCTCCCTGATAAATAAATACACAGTCTAGAAGTAGGAATGTGCTTGTGGACATAAACGCCAGCTAATATAGATGCTCCAAGCCTGTGGATACTGTGTTTTCTTTTCACGGAAAGAAAATTACGATCAACCGACTGTATAAGACTAGTCAATATAAACATAGGATCTGTCAGGATGCTCGGTGTGGAAGCAGTCTCGGCTCCATATACCGTCTAAAGTATGACATGCGTTTCTCATAAGTCTGTCGAGGAATTATATTTAACTGTATAAGATCTAGACCGGGTTTGCAGGTAATATCATAGTGTCCAATAATCCCTTCCAGTTCCTGAGTCAAGAACACAGGACACTCACTCAATCAAAGATTGGAACATTGTATCCGTGCTAAGTATAGGACGAATATCAGCTCTTCTGTCCTTCGAAGTAGTATTGAGACCAATAGAGGCATTCAAACATACCGCAACAGGATCATTGAATCTCCTCCCCTCATTCAAATCACTAATTGATTGGATTTCAAGCTCAGTAAGCTGCCACTGCATATCTAGATTCTGCCGCATATGCAACGATCTCCCACTTCTCGGAATGACCGCAACACCGCGCTGAGTCGCCCACCGCAGGAGGACCTGCGACGAGGTCTTACCATGTCGTCGCGCGACGGAGGTAATCAAGGGGTGTTCCAGAAGTGGCGCCACCTCGGCTGCACTCATTGACTGGGCTGCCGCAGAGCTCTGGGGTCCAAAGGAGCAATAGGCCGTGACTGCCACGCCTTGCTGGTGCGCAAAACCAACGAGCCGAGACTGTACCAGGTACGGATGATGTTCGATCTGCAGCACCGCCGGCGCGATCCGCGCGTAGCACAGCAGATCCCTCAGCAGCTGGATGCTAAAATTACTCACGCCGATGCCCCGGGCCAGCTTCGCATCAACCAGTGATTCCATCCCCCTCCAGGTATCATGAATTGGGACCCGCGCTGTCTCCACGGACTTCGAGCCCACTGCTGCCCAACCAGGAGGATACCGCTCCTCTGGATCGACGTATTTCAGGGCGATGGGGAAATGGACCAGGTAGAGATCGAAGGAGTCGAGGCCCCAGTCTGCGAGTTGTCTGCGGGCGCTGGGTTCGACTTGATCGCGGGCGTGGAAGGTTCCCCAGAGTTTGGAGACGATGAATAGCTCCTCTCGCTTTACTAGTCCTTCTTGGATTGCTCGTGCGATGCCCTGGCCGGCTTCGCGTTCGTTTCCGTAATCTTGTCCGGGGCACGGTTAGTAGATGGTTTTTGGAGTCTTGGGGAAGGATGTGAATATACCACATGCGCCGTCGAAGCAGCGGTAACCTTCTTTTATGGCATTGTATACTGCCTCTGCGCAGGCGGATTTATCGATGTTCCAGAGACCAAACCCCGCAAGCGGCATCCATAACCCATTGTTTAGCTTGATTTGGTCGCAAGGCATGGTGTGGAAACTGGTGCAGATGTTGCAATGACAACTATGACCTCGGTTGGACTGGCTGGTACAAAGGAGTCCACTCCGAGTTTGACAGGTCAAGATAGGGACCTAAGAAACATGAAGTTATTGAAGCTGTAGTACCTCTTAAGGCATGATCTGTAGAAGCTCGATCTAACCCGAAACAGCAACACTTGCCGCGCCTCACAATGCCCTAACTGTCCGGATGATGATAAAAGAGATGATAGCAGTGGCTCTAGAATGCCTGCATTATTGCAATCCATCCCCGTAAAGAATTTTTCCGAGCGCTTCAAACGAATCTACACTTCTGATAAGGCCAGCATCCATCCCAGATTCAGTCCCCGCAACTGACAATTGAGCAGATGACTCTCGTCTTGCTCTCTTAGATCTCCCTCGCTCATACAATCATCACAGTGGGAGATAAACATGCGTGACAAAAGACCTCTGCTCTCTCTTGGGATGGTCTTGTGGATAACAATGCCATTTGTCCCGCCGGCATTAAGAAGCGGGTCTTTGAGGTCCGTACTCAACAGAATGACCAAGTCTTATTAGCCTCCTATCTAATGATCTCATGTTTGATAGCAATCTCAGAGCAAAGGAAAGTCGCCAGAAAGAGGTGCTAAAAATATCGTCTACAATGAAGGAATGATTAGACGGTTGCTACTGTACTGTGGAAAAATCAACGTGTTTCCGTGTCATACTTAGGTCCGCCATCATCCATATCGTCTATTGCACCTTAACCAGTGCTTGCTATAGTCAGTTCAGCGTTCTCAAGATGGGAGGATATATTTCGCCTTCATTAGTCCACCCTAAAGACAAAGTCACTGTCAAATAATCTAGGACTTGGATAGTGTATTTCATATCGAGTACGGTTGAAGTAGTCTCCATACAGAGCACAACTTGAAATTTATAAAAATATTAAATTTGTCCTAACTCTAACTGGAAACATCATTTGGCTATTTAGAGATTGAGATGTTTATCGCTTATCATCGCATGTCGTCCATCTCCAATCTCAACCCTAACAGGCAGTGTTTGACGCATCGATGTGGTTTACCATCAACATCCTGGTCTATAGAATACACCAGTACAAACCCATCTTATCTTACATATATCTAACGTCATCTACATTTGAATCCTAAGTCATTAGATGGTTTACTTTGTGTTTATGCTACTGCTTTGCTCTTGCTGCACGAGTGTAAACCAATTCACAACAACATGGCTCGTTCCAAAGTATCTTTCCGCTATCTCGCGCTATCAAAAGACCTTTGATAAGCGCCTAATTAGAGATCACGACGCTCTAGAGCTGAATTTAGCTCCACGATAAGGACTTGCCAAAAATGGTGGGCTTAGGCGATGGTTAGAGAATGATAAAGCCCTAACTCACCATTTACCACGACCAATCTTAGTCACGGAATAGTAATTCGGGGTCTGGATGCTGCCGATAAGTTCAATGGCTATGTTCAAGGAAGGCAATCTATGAACCAGTGGACTCTGTAAAAGATAAGGTCGTGAAAGCGGATTTGTATATAGCATTTGGGGTAGCAGCTGGGAAATAAGAGGTCTCATAGTTATCCGATGATCTCAAGCCACAATGCAACCAAGCGACAGTAGTCAGAATGAGCTCCCAACGACGTTCTCCGTGTGGAGCGGAATCAGCATGGGATGGAATACGATCAATTCCTTCAGGGGGTTGTCGTTCATGCTATTCATCGGTCTTGCGGCAGGAGGTTTGCCGGGCCTCTTATATGGTTTGTAGGTTCCATCGTTCCAAGCCTACGCTGTAGATGTCCTAACTAGTCGTTCTCGCTGCAATAGTATAGGATGCAGTGTAGGGGTGATGAGTTTGACCTTGGTTCTCGCCGAGTGTTCGTCTCGATTTGCCACTGCAGGTATGTCCATCACTTCTCCTCAGCAATCTCCAGATCTAACCTAGCCAGGCGGTGCATACCACTTTGCGACCTTCCTCATCCCTCCCAAGTATCGACGAGGAAGTGCCTACGTTCTCGGATGGTTCAACTACCTCGGATGGACCTTGACCCACGCATCCTGTTGTGCCGTTGTATCGACCCTCATTCTCGCTCTCGTGAACCTCTGCGCCCCAGACTACGATGTTTCGGTGCGATGGCAGCTCTTCCAGGTTTACATCGGTGTTGCAACCTATGCGTGGCTGTTCAACATCTTCGGGCTACGGTGGATCCCTGCGTTGGAGCTGCTAGGAAGTCAGTTCCCCAGTACCACGTTCATCGTGCGATGCTAATCGAAGTCGAATAGCATGGGCAACTGTTCTCGGATTCCTGACGTTCACCGTGGTTTTACTCGCAGTCGCGCTCAAAGCATCGGCGCGGAGCGTTTTAGTCGATGTGAATAATGACACGGGGTAGGTCTTTCACAGGAGCCTTGAACATTCCCACAGCTCACCGATGCACAGGTACTCGTCCTCATCCTTGGCCGTCTTTCTCGGTCTCTACAACAGCATGGCCACGCTGATGGCTGTCGACGGCCCGACCCATCTGGCCGAAGAGCTGGCGCAGCCAAAGCGCGTGATGCCGCGAATGCTCATCATAACTGTTTCATCGCAGTGCGTGGTGGGGATTGTGTGGATTCTCGTCTTGGGGTTTTCGCTCGTGGATCTCCAGTCTGCCCTTGATACAGCCACGGGGTACCTACGCTTTTCACTTTCACGCCTTCTATATCCTCTGTAAAAAGAGCACATCAACTAACCTTGGATATCGTCCAGAGTCCCCATCACCGAGCTAGTCCAACAAGCCACCGGAAGCACCGCTGCAGCCATCGTCTTCTGTCTCGCCTTGCTCATCCACTGCGGTACTTCGGCCGTCGCCAGCGCCACGACCTCCAGTCGCCAGGGCTACGCCTTCGCGCGAGACGGAGGCATGTTCTGCAACCACAAGCTGGCTGAGATCTCTCCGCGATTTCAACTTCCGCTGTGGTCGATCCATCTGCCTTATGGAATTACTGCAGTGGTGGGGATCGTGTGAGTCTTTAACTCCCCTTTACTTCTTTTACTTCTTCTCTCCGACTACCAATTCATTACCCAGCATCATTTGCCCGAGTAGATCGAAGGAAGCGCTCGTGTCTACCACTCTACTTACCACCCTTTCTATCTACCCAGATACCTATTCTCCCACACGGCCTTCAACGCTCTCGTGGGCGGCCAATCCGCCTTTATGACCGTCAGCTGCGGTATGTGCCCTTTCCCTCTCCCTCTATCCAGCTTGACCGTCTCATTCCTCTAGGCTGCCCGGCCCTCATACTGCTCCTCACCCGACGCCGTACCCTTCCCCCTAGTGACCATGGCCATGGCCAATGGACCCTAGGCCCATGGGCCGACGCAACCTACACCGTTGCAGTGGGATACGCGGTGCTAGTGATTGCCGTTGTCTTCGTAGATCTCCCTCTGTGCTCTGTTCTCTGTCCTTTTCAGATCCATTCCTTTATGTGTCAAGAATTAGCCGTTGACGACTCATTGACTCCGGATAGATCCCGCAATCCCACCCCGTCACCTCGACCAGTATGAACTACACTGTTTTGATCGTCGGGGCGTTCTTGATCGTGATGGGCATCACGTGGATACTGGAGGGGCGGAGGACGTTTCATCCGCCGGCGAAGGATCCGCAGAGGGAGGTTTTGCAGGGGGAGGTGGTTTTGGAGGAGTTGGGGATGGGGGGTGAGGGAGATGGAAAGGGGAAAGGGATGAGGGTTGATGAGGAGAAGATGTGATTGCGTGGGTTCGTCATGGAAGAATCTGTTGCTAGATTTTGTTATGGTTGGGAAGATAAAGACGGCGATGGCGATGGAGAGGAGGGTTTCTGGCTGTGGCTGGATGGGCTGGGTGGTTCGCCTTCATAGAGAATGCTGTTAGGTTCTAAGGATTAGTTCTATGCAGAGGCCAGAGTGAGTACATGCTAGGGATATCTGTATCAGAATAATTCATTCCTCGTAAATAAACTGCTGCCCACTTCATACTCAGTGAACGGTCTGCCCGGCGGCAAATTCCGGGAAAGCATCTGTAATACTCGTCGCGACTCTCTCTACATCCTCCGCAAGTCCTTGCACCCCGGCATCCCACTGTCGAATGTGCTGTCTCGTAGCAGCGGTGCTGGATTGGAAGTGGATAACGCCGTCGATCTGGTCGATGCTGCCGCTCAGCCGACCCTGTTCCACCATCCGCGCCGCATACGCCTCGGCCTTTTCGCCGGCCGTCAGATCCCCACTTCCCTCAAGGCCCAGGATGGCGCCTAGGGCGTCGGTGGTGATGTTTTCGTACAGTTTGCTGGCCGCCACGAGGTTATGTTCCACGACGGCTTTGTCGAGGACGGTGGTACCGTCGGCAGTCTGTGCGAGTTGATGCGGTGCCAGGCGTTCCGAGAATGCAGCGACTTCGGCCGGGTTCAGGAGTCGGTCCAGGAACATTTTCTCCAGGATGCCGAACTCCTCCACGGACGTTGCCCGGTCGTCTTTGTACAGCGTCGCCAGGATGCGAGAGCGCTGGGGGCCCGCGGGACCGAGGACCGCACAGCGGATCGCAGCCGCCAGCGCCTGGAGACGGTCGCTCTCGTCGACGCCGGCCGCCAAGCTGACGTTGAAGTACTCCTGGCTGGCGTCGAGGAATTTCCGTCGGGCGTCGAGAATCCGCGCCTGCGAGAGCTTGAAGTGCAGCTTCAACTCGTGGTCTTCAATCTTACTAGGCAGGTTCTTGATCCGATTCAAAAACGCCTCCGCCGTCGTAGTATCGTCCTCCTCCAAGTAGAGTCGCACAATGCGCACCCATAACCGCACCTTGGCCGCGTCGGAGACTAGCCGCTGCGAACTGTCGATGTGGATCCCCTGCAATGCTCGCGCCGCGGCGATGTATTCCTCCTGCGACTCGTAGGCATCTGCCAGCAGCTCGCGGATCTGGGAGTCCTGCTCTTCGACGGAGGTGGATCGGGATTGCAGAAGGGTGACGGCATGCTGGCCCACTTTGATCTGGGTTTCGGGGTCGAGTTTTCGGAGGACGGCGATGAAGGAGTCGAGGATGGGGCGGGCAGCGACAATGCTGATGTCTTCGCTGAGGACGGAGTCCAGGTAGAAGATCAGATCCTGGGCGAGTTGATCTGCGCTCGATGTTGATACCACGTCGGACAATAGGTCGCTGTAGAGCTGTAGTTTGTTTTGGGGGTTGGCGGAGGCTTCAATGTCCGCGAGAGCGGAAGTGATCTTTTGTGAAGCCATGAGAGTAGTGATGAGTGATCAAGTTGGAGAGGATCGGTTGAGGAGGTGGAAAGAGTTGTCAGATCGTCATGAGGGGAAAGGATGGGGATGTTGATTGGAATTGGATGAAGGGAAGTCCAGGCCGCTCAAGGAACTGCGGGCAGCCGAAGCTGGGCTTATCGATAAGGCGAGGCTGACTGTTACCTCGAGGTGACTTTGTTTTATATGGATTTGATTTTGGTTCTTTCCACCCCTTCTCTCTATTTAATTCAGGTTAGTCTTTCAGTTACCAATCCATTCGTCACTCGTCTAGTAGTAAGAAATACCAGAATTAACCAATTTATAGCTGTCATTGCAATCAGAGCATGATACTCGGCACCCGTTGGTAACCATATATTCTGCGATTTCTGAAAAAGCCAGTAACGGTAAACGTGAATTGAACGCTGAATGACCGACATTCAAATAACCCCCCACGGACAGAAATCACTTATAGTCACATTTCTCAGAAACACCTCTCTTCATTAATTTTCCTCGAAAGAAACGAAAAGAAAAGCAACGCGGACAAAGGTGCCGCCACCGCCTTCCGCATTGGTTAGCGCCGGGCTCCTCTTTGCGGCGTCTCAAAGAGCTTCGATCATCACGTCACTTACCTCTGGTTCCATCTCCTTGCCTGTTAGATAGGCTGCCGGTCTTTCTCTTCTCGGCTTCTTTACGCTCGCAATCGGATCGCGTGGTCCGGTACCACTATTTCGCATCTTTGGTAGATTTTTCCGCCGTCGTGTTCTGTTAGTTTGTCACCATGGGCCCTCCGATCAAGCAGGACCCCGATGCCTCGTCGCCCTACATCAAAGCCGATCCGGACGACAAGGATACCGTACTCGCCGACGTCGATGACGAGGATATTTTCGACGACGACGGGGATCTAGATTTTTCGAACGCTGCGCAGAACGTGTGGTTGTCGCGCATTCCTCGGCAGCTGTGGGAGAACTGGGATAAACTCGACGACGATGAAGAGATTCAGGTGGGGACCATTCGGATCGAGGGTCCTGGGAATGATATAAAGCGGGTATGTTTGCTGCAGTGTTGTTGATGAGTATTCTAGTGGCTTGCGCGGCATGTATTAACTCAAGCCGCCTTTCAGATCAGTTTGCGCCTCCAGGAGCGCGAGGATAATAAGGAAGTCCCCAAAGACTATGTTTTGCAACGGTATACGCTCGATTCGGAGCCTTCGGTGAATCCGGCGAAGAACACCTATGTTTTCACCGAAAAGGAAATTGCCGGCCAGGATAATCGCACGGTTGTCTTTGGCGAGGCGCGGTCGGCGTTGTATGAGTCCGTCAAGCGCGACGCTCGGAGAAAGGAGAGAAAGAAGAAATGGGAGCCCTATGTTCGGAAGACAATCAACAGTACGTACCTCGCGCGTTGACATATAGGGGGAGCTGGTGCTGACACGGCGACAGAACAAACTAGCTTGGTGGCAGGCGTGAGCGAAGAGTTCAACTGCCTTCCGGTTGAGAACGAAGAGTTTGAAGAGCTCTCCACAAAGAGAGCCCTGGAAGCCCTCAAACCGAAGACGAAAATCATGTACATTGGCGGGGCCCCGAATCAACTCCTCCAGGGCAGAACTGTCTTGCCTACAGAGAAGGGTTCGTTCGTGGTAAGTATTCTACCCCCTTTAGATCCAGGCCATTTGCGTTCAATACTAAAACCCCTATCAGCAAGCAGCCAAAACCAGCAAACCCAAGGCCCAAGAAAACAAGACTACGCGTATGCCGCAAAACGAACTGCTGGATCTTATCTACGGGTGCTTCCGAGAATACCGGTACTGGTCGTTTAAGGATCTTAAGGCCCGGCTGCGACAGCCTGAGGCATATCTTAAGCAGACTTTGGAATTGACTGCTCATCTGGTAAAAGGCGGAGACTTTGTCAATACCTGGGAGCTCAAGCCGGAGGCGAGAGAAAGCAGTTATGCGAATGCGTGGGGGTATGCAGAGCCCCAAGGGGAGCTTGCTCCCGCGACCTACACCGAGGATGTATCCGATGAGGATGCTTCTGAGATGGATAACGACGAGACACAGTTTGAGAATGTTTCCTGAATCGATGTAGCATATAACAAGCACGGGTCATGGCGTCTTACTCTTGGGATGGTTCTTGGGCTGCAATCATACAGGGCGCATCAGGAGTTCTTTGTAGGTTTAGATAGCTGCAATACCACATATATGTCCATAGCAATCAAATCTACTTCACTTTTCACTCGGGATATTCCGTCAAATGCTGGTGAATGCCGGTGCGCCTGTCAGTAGAGCAGAACACGTGATGCATGATCTCACCGCCCGGGATTCCCTCGTCACATCCATCGAAGGACATCACAACAACCTCCCGCTTCTTTCACCACACACTCCCAGGAAAGACTGTTGGTCTACTTGAATAGCTAGCTCTCCTTGCATTCTCATTGTTAGACCCAACATGTCTGAAGACCAGGATTTAATGGCTAAGATCAGCCAGCTTGCTGGTATGCGTTCTGCTCTGTCACTCTACAACCCCGGGCGGCTAACCTCTCACAGGTCAGATCAATCGACACAAGACTCAGAATACCCCATCCCCCGCTCCCTACGGCAATGAATCTCATTCGAACCCATATGTATCGCGGCACACTCGAGGACGACCCGGATGGGCACCATATCGAGGCCGACCGTACGCGCGAGGGCGAGGCGGAGCCCCCCACCGACACCGTACCCTCATCCTAAACAATGCCTCCTCGGGAACGCCTGCGAGCAACACCCCTTCCGCTGGCGGCGCGTCTGAAAATGACGGCGAGAGTCGATCGAATACGCCAAATGGTTGGGTCGCCAAACACGACCGCCACATGCAGCTCATCAACTCGGCCATCTACGACAAAGAGGCTCAGACCAGGGCGAAGGCGATGGAAGAGAGTCGCAAAGCCAAAGCTCAGCGGAAGGCTCAGATCGAACAGGCCAAGGTGCTCCGGTATGCTCAGGGGGTTGGCAGACAATATCCAAGTCCTGCGATTCCCAAGGCTTCTGCCACTGCCGAGCCGATGGCAGAGTACCAGGTCTATCTCAATGACGTCCCGTTCCGAGTGTCGCGTGGTGGAGGAAAACTGATTCGCGTCTCTGGTGCGACTCCCATGTGTGCCCCGCTGGCCCAGAGGGCTGACTTACCGTCGGTAGATGATCCCAATACGGCCAACAACACACCCAAGCGAGTAACGGTGGCTGGCGTGACGTTTGTGCGCAGCAAGAACGGCAACCTTCATCGCCTTGGTGCAGTGACTTCGAAAAGGTGACGCTCTACGAGTCTTGGATATTGGAAGAAACAAAAGCTCACCGTATAACAGGAAGCCGACGATGGCAAGGAAGAATGAACTTTGCAGCCGATTTTCCACGACGGGTACCAATGCTTTCCCTCTAACACGCCTTAGTTTTACACCCCTCCAATTCTTGCATGACATTTCTCATTACGTTTTCCCAGGACAACACTGATCCATACTTTTTACTCTTTTCTTTTAGGAACGTGCTACAAGGGACCGAATTGTCTCTACATCCATGACCCGAACAAAGTCGCCATGTGCAAAGACTTCCTTCAAACTGGTAATTGCAATGCAGGTCTAAGTTGCGATCTCTCCCATGAGCCTTCGCCCCATCGATCCCCCACTTGTATGCATTTTCTTCGCGGCCGTTGCGTCAACCCGGACTGTCGCTATGCCCATATCCGGCTGACTCCCGGCGCCCCCGTGTGTCGGGCCTTCGCCCACCTGGGCTACTGCGAGAAGGGTGCCGAGTGCGACCAGCGCCATGTTCATGAATGCCCGGATTATGCCAACACCGGCGTCTGCAATAAGAAACGGTGCAAGCTGCCGCACGTGGACCGGGCTGGACAGATCCGCAAGAACACTGCTAATAGTCGCACCGAGAGCACGATCGACGAGGACGAGTCTGATGCCTCTAGCGAGGACGAAGAGTATGACCAGATCGACTCGGATGACGTTGACTCGGATGAACTGGACGACGAGCCCGAGGAGCTGATCGGAGGAGCCGGCGGCAGCGAGCTCTCACAGCAGCAAGACTATATCCGCCTCTAATTTGTAGAAGATGTCTAGATACCCGTGGGGACTTGGTTTCTTTCTCTTTTTCGATAGTGTACTTATTATTATGATAGCCACACGACCCAATGGAATGTTTCTGACCGTCAATCCATCTGACCTCCGTACTCTCGCAGAAGACCCTGCAAGTTGTGCTGATATCTGTAGCCTTCTTCCATCGTCTTCGCCCACGACAACATCGTCTTTCCCTTCTTCCTCGCGTTCACATCCGCCCCTTGATCCAACAACCACCGCGCCATTCCCTCACTGTCCCTGGAAATCGCCGCAAACAACGGCGAATTCCCATACGAATCCAGTCTGTTCACATCCGCCCCGTTTTTCACCAACAGCTTCGCATACCCACCTTGACATTTCATCACCGCCGCCGTCAGCAACGGCTTCCGCGGCATCCACGATTCCACATTCACATCCGCCCCGTAGTCAATCAACAACTGCGCCATCTGCTCATTCCAGTGGTTGATCTTGACCACCCACACCAGCACCGACATGCGCGACCCTTTCTTACACGGCGTGTCCCACGTATTCGCATCCGCCCCGTACTCCAACAACAGCCTCACCACCTCGACATGCCCCCTCTGAATCGCCACACAAAGCAACGATTCCTGCTCCCTCCGCTCGTTCGGATCCATCCCGCGCTCCAGCATAAACCTCGCCATCTCCACCAGCCCATGAAACACCGCATACTCCAGCGTCGTCATCCCGTCCATGCCCCTCTGCTCAATCCGATCCCCCGCCTCCAGCAACACCTCCACCACACTCGCATGGCCCTTCTTCACCGCCGCCCAGTACGCCGTCGGATTGAACGTGTCGCGGTGCGCCCGATCCGCCCCCAGCTCCAGCAGCGTCTTCACCGCGTCCGCGCGCCCATATTTCGCCGCCACCTTCAGCGGCGTCTCGTTGTACTGCGAATCGCGATAGCTCGTCTTCTGATCCACGTGCACCCCGTGCTGCACCAGCACCCGCAACGAACCGCATACTCCCGCCTTCGCCGCCTCGTGGATGATGTCGAGATAGTTGCCCCGCGAGGCGCTCGCCCCGTGCGCGAGCAGCAGCTCCATCACCTCCGTGTATCCCGCTACCGAGGCTGCGCTGAGCGGCGTATACTCCGTCCTGTTCCAGCTGTTCAGATCAATCGGGACGTCGGCGCTATGTAGCCGCGGCTGGTACTTGCGGTGATTGAGCAGCACCTGCACGACGTCTGTGTACCCCGCCGCGGAGGCGTAGAGTAACGGGGTAGAGTAGGTCTCGCAGTAGTAGAGGCCGCTGAACTCGACGGCGACGAGACGCGCGAAGACGGCGCAGCACCGCGCCACGAAGGACGCCGGGAGACACTTCCCCGGCGGCTTGGCGGTGGTGTTGATGTCTGCGGAGTGGGAGAGGAGGTCCATGGCTAGGTTGGGGCGGTTGTAGATGGCGGCCCATTGTAGGGCGCTGCTGCGGTAGTGGTGGATGTTGAGGCGGTAGAGCGCGTTGATGAGGATGGAGTGCAGGCGGCGGTTGGTTTGGCAGAGGGAGAGGAGGTCGCGGGAGCTGAGGATGTGGGTTGATATGGAGATGAGGAGCTCGACGGGGAGGCTTTGGAGGTCCATGGCGTGGTTGATGGGTTGGGTGTCCAGTGGTGTTGGGAGGGCTAGATGGTGGACAGGGAGGGCATTTCTTTATATAGACAGGCAGACAAAGCAAGAGAACTACAGTGAACCCAGTGAATTCAATGGTGTCAAAGGGATATTACTACCTAACACCTCAGCTCTATGAAGTATACAGTCAAGGATTCATGCGGCTCTTTCAGAACTAATGCACCAGAGTGACTCACCTGATTGTAGGCTGATCTAGGGGGCTGAGCGCTATGTGTGATTAAAAGGATCACTGTGATTGGAATGGCCAAGATGACCAGAATAAGTTGACAGAGTTCGTTAGGTAGATTTGGTGGCACCTAAGCTCATGAAAGAGATACTAGTAGAAGGGGACTTTCAATGGAGTTGCATCTATGAAATGGCCATGGAGGAGGGGTAAATAAACGGCGCAATGCTTGGCAGCTGCCACCTCCGGCTTCTACAATCCTAACCTAGTGTGATTATATTTAGGATGCTGATAGTAGTAAGATATGGGTCGCAATTGGACGATATCTCCATGGAAGATTTGGATATGGAGACATGTACTACAGACTCGTGGTCTGTTGATAGTTTGAGAGGAAGTGACTCTTATTGAAATTCAAGTACAAGGCAGGGCTGGCGTGAATGTAGATCGTTGATTCTGATGGATTGAATTGCTGTTTGTGTTGTCATCATCATCCTTCTATGTGACTTATACAGAATTAATTAAACCAGTTTTATTATAGTAAACTTCACTCTACCATCTCTCTGGGATGTACATTTGTTAGAGAGATCGAGAGAGAGCTCCGTTATCTTCTCACCTTTTATCGGCCTTTTCATTTCAACTTCAAACGGCCAAACAGACAAGACAATTAAATCGTCTCAATAATCGGTCCCCGATACACCTTCCTCGCCCGGATCAGGTAGTACACCACCGCAATAATCACCGTTCCGAACGTGCCCACCACGCTGTAATTCATCGTCGTATAATCGACCACCGCCTCGGTGGGCCAGAAGCTAAAGAAGATGACAATGATCATGTAGATAAGTGCGAACACGTTGACCGCGACACCCAGGATGCCGGGAACGTGGAACGGGCCCCAGACGAGTGGAGACCCCGGGACGTTTACAGTCGTGGTAGGGGAGGACGAGGGGATCTCGGATTCGTGGTTGTGGATGGCGCCGGTGACACGGCGGTAGAGGAGGAGAGAGGCGACGGAGAAGTAGGAGAGGTAGAGGCCTGAGACGGCCATGGAGACGATGTCATTCAGGGCGACGTCGGATCCGATGTTTATGAGGCCGAGGAGGGAGGCGACGGTCATGGTGAACATGACAGAGTAGATTGGGATAGAAGAGGTTGGGGAGACCTGTTTCGTTAGCCTTTTGTGAGCTGTTTAGTTGGTCGAGAGAAAGGTGGGCTTACCTTGCTCCAGAGTCGCCATCCCGGAATTCCTTGATCCCGCGCAAATGACCAGAATTGACGGGACGTGGCGGCCAGCATGCCGATGGTGGCGCAGAGACCGATGATCAGAAGAATAGATATCATGGTCAGGGTGCCTGGGAGGGAGTTCGTGGCTTGGTAGAATATTTGCATGAAGGGGTATCCGGTGGGACTTTCGAGAGCGGCGTCGAGGTCGCCCATACAGAAGAGAACTGCAATCAGCATGCCGAAACCAAGGGTACCGTTGATCAGGATGGTCATGACGATAGCGCGGGGAATGGTAACCGCGGCGTTTTGGACTTCTTCGGCCATCTGGAATTACATTTAGCGACATCGATTGACGTGCTGGAAGAGGTCATGAAAACGTACGTGCACCGCAGCATCACCGCCTGCAAATGCAAAGATTCCGCCCTGCATTCCGAGGAAAAAGACAATTCCATTTGACGACCAGCCGCCTTCGTTGGTCCAGGTGGTAAAGACCTCTTTAGCGGTTTTATGGTCGGACATGTATGTGAGAGGAATGAGAATGGCCAAGAATCCGAGGAGGTGGAGAATGAGCACGAGGTTCTCTAGACGGGGGAGGAATTTACCGCCGACGAGATTCACTCCTAAAGCAAGGGCAATGCTGGCCCACATGATGAGGGTTCCTTGGTATGGTTCAGCGTTGAACTTTTCATGGGCTAAGATAGCGGTGCCCTGGATCTCGGTTCCGCTGATGAATGCAGTGGAGGCGAAAGCTGCTTGCCATCCGATGACAGTGAGCCATCCTAGCGAATAGGGTTAGCTAGCATATCGGACAGCTGATGGGACACGCTGCACACCTGTGATATAGCTGAGGAATTTCATGCAGCTAGGAGGTGCGAGCATTGCGCACCAGTGGTACTGGCCGCCAGACGTCGGTGCCCTAACCACGAAGTCAGAAATGGGTGATATACTAGAAGGTACCTCGACTTACATGGAGGACAGCTCGGCGAGAAGAACAAAGCAGCATCCTGTCCCAATCCACGCGAAAATATATCCGTAAACGGCGGTGGCAGGCCCTCCGCTGGGATACGTTAGCAGGTATACAAGGTCACAGATTACTGAAAACCAACTTTTCCATAGGAATCAAAAAAGTACTATCCAAATATTAGTATCTGATTTCAACTTTGTACAAGGGCAATAATACTCAAGCAATCCCTCCCATGTTGCAATGATAGTACAACTGAATCCAAGAATTGACAAGACCCCAAAGTTGCGCTGCGAAAGCTTAGGTTAGATTCTTACACATGATCTTCGGGCAAATCATACCTTTAGCACTGTCTTTTTTCCTACTCGCGCCAAATCTAATTCATCGCGATCCTTGCTGTTCTGCACGTGTCCGACCTCATGGAGGGTCTGCGAGGCCCTGTTCTTCAGCTCGTAGGAGGCCATTTCAACTGCGATATACCGTGGGAAACGTGGATAAAGCAAGAAAAAGAAATATCAAGTCCAGAGTAGAAGAATCGGACCAAGACCCCGAGAAACGCCATGAAGAAAAGAGAAACTTCTCGGAACATTTTTCGGCTACCCCTTGCAAGGAAGCGTTAGCAGGTGCATAATGAATGCCTGGAACCGATGGGATTGGCCATGGTTGACCCGACTTGCAGGGGGGGTTGTTAGACCATCAGGCAGAGTTGCGTGTAACAACCTGGCTAGATGCTCGATAACAACCTTGTGGGGTGGATAATTTAGACACTCGTGCTACTTGCTATTTTCTGGCGGAGTGGCGTTACATTGAAACGGGCCGAAAGGAGAACAATCCGGTGGCTAAATGCTAGCAATATTAACTCGACAGGGGTTGTTCTTTCGATGTGGCCTGTTTCAACCGAAGCGAAATCTAATCCCTGTTCATCTTGCGAATAGTGTCCTGCGCCGCAATTTATATCAGGAATGCCAAGGCATCGGGTATCTCTAGCTGCATACGTTACTAGTGTTTTAGTCAGGATTTCCTAACCTTCCAGGCTTGCAACCCGCCGATTTGGCGTCAAATTTAGCGTCCGGGCGGTTTCCCTAAGGCGGCAGGTGGCCTGTTGGACGCTTAGTTACTTACTACCTGGATAAATTGGAGTTTCTTTTGAAAGCCCAGCTGAGCCAGCGTAGTATCTGTCTTTAAAACCCTGTTAGAAATTTGCCGCCATCGAGGGTCAGAGCACTCAACAAGTCGCATTGATGGCATGTTGCTTTTAGTTACCATGCGCATGTGCTGGATGCTATGTAAGTTAGAACGGTAACTGCGGCAGTTATCATCCAAGAGGCCTGTAATTTCGGAATTCCCTTGTCGACATGTCATGCTTTCCGATATACACGCAAAGACATCGATCAAGCTCAAGACGCGGTTATACGCTTGCCGCAGTTTCGGAAGACATAAAATGAACGAGCAGGAGCAGCATCCTTGATCATCCTGCGAGCAGTCTCGACTGGCCCACTTCCAAGCCGGAGACGGAGAAGGCAGTACTTTTGGAGATTAGCGAAGTGCGATGACCAGTTTGCCAAGAGAGCATATCGTATTAGTTCCCGATCCCTGCTGGTAAAATTATTGCTCTCCTTTGTGAATTCAGGTCTCCGAGAGTGTAGTTCTTGAACTCGAGCCATTGATCATATCAGAGAATGCCGTTCCTCTTCTTATCATCTCCATCGCCATCCAAATTGCCTATACGCCGTAACTTTTTGCTGACGGTGCAATGCCCCGATTTGCACCAGACAGTTGGAACCCCGCCGTCAATATCACATCATGGTTTCTTATGAGCTCGACCGCCCTGTGTGTCATGTGTCGACTAGTGACGAAATGGCTGATCTTTCGAAAATTGACAATGGATGATTATTTCGTTATTATATCTCTCGTGAGCTGCTCCATTGTCATTGAACCGGAATTTTTCAATCCACGGGAATTGACAGGCCATGTTCTTAACAGGCATTCTGCATAGGAAACACCATTGCACTCTCCATGGCCACGGCCAATGGTTATGGCGACCACACGAGCATAGCATCGAGGGCCAAACAAGACGCCGTCATGAAGGTATGACCATGCCAGCCTAGGGATCATGTCTCGGGAATGTTTTCGTTCTGTAGACTGACTGATAGTTGCTATGAGCAAGTCTCAATTTGCAGCCACACTACTCTTCATAGTCAGCCTGCTGTTTTCGAAGATTTCCATGACGAGATTCATTCATAGTCTTTCTCCCACTATAAGGGATCGGCGATTCGCACATGTCATCAAAGGCTTGGTGGTGGTGACTGGTTTGACTGCGTTTCTTGGAATCGCGTTCCAATGTCGGCCCCCAAGAGTGTGGGATTACATGCATGGACAGTGCATTGATGAGGTCGGTACACGTCGAAAAGACTTCATTCATCAATGAGACTAAGTTTTGTCCTTAATCAGATCACTTGGCTCATGTTCACCGCTACCACAACCATGATTACCGATTTTCTTATCATATTGCAAGCCATGCTGTTGATTGTGCATATCCAGGCAACACTGCAAAAGAAGGCCCTGTTTGCGAGTATATTTCTCCCCCGCGTGCTGTACGTCTTAGTCATTTGTTCCCTTTCCCAACCTATTTATATTGCCAGCTCAATATATGTGGATGGATTGAGTTACTCACTAAAGCCACCGGGATAGTGTCATCGCGTCAGCGCTCACCCACCTCATCCTGGCGCAAAAAGCCTCCCACGCCGACCCTTTCATCTCAACTGCTGCTCCAACAATCTGCATGCAGATCACGCAGTCGCTCAGCATCGTCACGGCCTGCTGGGGCCAGCTGAAGCCCTTCCTCGATCGGATCCGATCTGATGCGTTCAAGCTCTCCGGTGCCGAATGGACCAGGTCGAATACATCATCCGGCGCGGGGGCAAGTAGGGGATATCGGTCGATTAATTCGCATTCGCAGTCGCGTCTAAGAGCGAAGGACTCGACACAAGGCCTGAGATTGGACTTCGTACCCGAGTCGATGAAGAGAACGAAAACGATGATTTCTGGAGGGAAGGGCAAGGAGTGGGATAAAGGGAGTCAGTCAAGCGAGACGTGCATCATCCGCGAGACGCGGAGCTTTGCGATTGCAGAGGAAAATGCGGGGAGGGAATAATTTGTCCTGTTTGCTTGTATTCATTTTGCCTTAATACCATTTTGGCACCTCGAGTCAACGTGAACGAACCTTAGCCTTCGACATCTTTTATTCTCTCCACTCTGTCATACTGAATGGTTCATCCACCCCCAAAATGTCTCATGAGCTCGACTCCGATGTTCCTTCCAACGTTCCCTCTGAAACTTCGATATGTGAAACCTATACTGTACGACTACAACCTCAACACGATCTAGAGATAGTGGGCGTTGGAGCCTCGGGCCAAGTCTACAACGTTTGCGACCAGATTGTTCTCAAAACTTGTCGAATTTTCGCGCCACCCAGCAGCGATGCCTCACAACGCGACCACTGGCATTACGCTTCAGACACGCTTATCCACTTCAACTTGCTGAAAGAGGAGCGAACTGTTCTAAAGCTGCTTCAGACAAGGCCCCATCCTCACATCATAGACGCCATCGAAACTGATCACTCCGAGGGACTCTATCTCCGCAAGTATCGACGTCTGACTGCGGATATAGTCCCCTCTCAGTGTCATCGAATCAGAGTCTACCGTGATATCACCGATGCTCTGCGCCATCTTCACAGCCTTAGAATAGTGCACGCAGATATACGGACTGACAATATCCTTTTTGACGATCACGACTCAGCGATTCTTTGCGATTTCAGCGCCGCCAGTACTTGCGGTCAAGACAATCTGGTTTTTCCGCATCTTCCTCTTCCCATAAATGGCCCTTCGCCGATTTTATCAGAAGCATCGGATATGTTTGCGATGGCATCATTGATTTTTCAAATGGAGCATGGAGCTGCCCCAGAGCTGTCTATTGAGAACGGAACGCTAGTTCTACCTGAAATAAGATCGGAGAATCAAGGCATTGATGAAGTCATCCAGAAAGCATGGCTTAGACAGTATAGCAGTACGTCGGAAATGCTACAGCACTTCATTTTCATTGATGCTCAAACGAGTCACTGTCTTGGAAGTTCGCTCCCAGTCCCTCAATCTAGAGAGGTTTTAAAAGATCAAGTTACAAGGTGGAGAGTCCATCGGGAAAAAGAATTTGGTAAGACTCAAAGATGGACAGTTCATGATGTGTGGCTAACAAAGATTCAAGGCTGTGTTCTCGCGGGGATTCTCTCGAGGGATCAACTGAAAGCACTGGCTGATTGCTATGATATGGATATGGATGAAGATTTACATTTTTCTCATTACCGCATGCCTTTAGAGCAATGAAACTATCCAGAATTTGAAGGTATCCGATCACATTAGATTTTACACAGTTCCACCCCTACCTCCTACGCTCGAACATACATGACGAGAACAACATCACGCAACCTTGACATTCTGATCCAAAACCTCCAAAAACGGAAAAGGCCCAGCCTAGATGAACCGAATTAGCTCAGGATATACCAAACAACTTCTTAACCAATATCATAACTTACGCCAACAAGCGACACATGCGCCACGCCGATCACCGCTTCGCCGCTCGCGACCGAGTCAGGCACGGTAACGGTGAAGTTCTCGTAGGGAGGAAGACTATGCTCATGATAGACCGGCTTGAAAGGCCCGTTGTACAGGATCTGGCCCATGGCGTCTTTGGGAGGATGGCAGGGGCCATTTGCGCAGGACTGTATGCCAATGGCGACGCCAACCTCTTGGGATCCTGTTAGGGAGTTCTATCACGACAACAGTATAAGTATCATGGATGACCGGAAACAGAATAAGTAGGATTAGAAGAGAAGATGACATACAGGACGTTGCACTTGAACGATAAGTTCTTCTCCAGCCTTGAGGGAGTGGCCAGCCTCGGGCAGTCCGATTCTGGCGTTCTGCGCAAGGGCGGCGCCGGCCAGGGATGTCAAGAATAGGAGAGTGTTCATGGTGAGGATGGGAGTAGTACGCAGATGATTACTGGCAAGATGCGATCGAGGTTGCAATGTCTTGCAGGTGCTTGCTTTGTCGCGATGCCTCGATGCAGGGGAAACGGCTGGTATTTATAATAGGGGTGCACTGCACACTATTGCATAGGAAGTTATACATGGCTGTCGGGAGCCCGCATCAATGGACGCCTGAGTTTCACTCCGACTCTGCACTTTGCAGACGCACTGCTAAAAATAAACGGCTCTGCGTCTTCAGGATACAGGCCGAACTCGGACAATCTGAGACAATGTAGGGAGCGGGAATAGACACATCCAGTGACATCAGATAGAGAGGCTTTACTCCTACCTACTCCTACTGGCACCGGGGATAAGCACTACTAGTGGATTTCGGGTGGCGCAGATCTATTGGCAAAGGGAGGCCTGATTCTGCTGAGCGTCCTCAGGCCGACTACTTGCCTTATCGGAGCGTCACCTGAGACCAGTCACGGGCAGGCATGACGGAAGTATGTAAGCAGGCGACGCAGGGAGAGTCACCCCTCCACGGTGGCGCTCCTCACCGACTTCTCTTCCCTCCCCGCACCTCGCCGGATGTCCTGAGGACCTTGAGGGTATACACCGAGTGATATCCTGCTCTATCCCCATAATCTCTCTCCCCGACAACACTTTTCTTCCGTAGTCAGCTATGGGTATAGGATACTCCAGCCCTCAACCTCCTCAGGAGGAGAAGAACCCTCGTGAATTAACCGCAGCAATGACCTTGCGACAGCTGGTGTCCGGGAACACGGTCGACGTGCGCTTTGAAACCGAGGAAGCTCGTATATCACCCTTCTCGTTGCTCCTTGCCTATTCGCAGCTGAGATAGGGTGAAGATCGGTGCTGATATGACTAGCCCCTCCATACAGCGCCCGCGAGCGAACGACCGTTCTTGCGATCTCCCAGCTCAAGGACTGGGAAGACAACCTGCTTAAGGATCCCAAGGTACCGGATCCCTCTGGCCGGCGCATTCCCAGTCTACTCACGAGTATCGCTGACTGGTGGGAGCACCATAGAACCGACTGGCTATCTCCAGTCTAGCCAGGAGCCCTTATTTGCAAGTTCTCACCAACCAGTCGGCCCTGAGGTCGGATGCCCAGGTGTTCAATGTTCGGATTCCTCTCGAGGGTGGCCCAATCACCAACCAGCGCTCGTCGGGCCGTTGCTGGCTCTTTGCGTCGACCAATGTCTTCCGTGTACCCCTCATGAGAAAATACAACGTTCCCGAGCTGGAGCTCAGTCAGGCATACCTTTTCTACTGGGACAAAATTGAGAAGGCCAACTGGTTCTTGGAGACAATTATCGAGACGGTCGGCGAGGATCTGTCAGGCCGACTGGTGCAGAAACTCCTCGAGTCCCCCGTCACGGACGGAGGCCAGTGGGATATGGTGGACAATCTGGTGCAGAAGTATGGCCTGGTGCCGCACGCGATCTACCCTGATAATTTCAACGCCCAAAATAGTAGCAAGATGAACTGGCTGATCACTGCCAAACTGCGCGAGCACGCATTGGTTCTCCGGCGACTGGCACGGAGCCCGAGTGTGAAGGAACGGGAAACGCTGGCAGAGACAAAGGAGGCGTTCCTGCAAGAAATCCATAGCTTGGTCACTATCATGCTAGGACCACCGCCCAATCCTGAGCAGCCATTTGTGTGGCAATACTACGATGCCAATGGAAAGTCGCAGGAGATCCGTGAAACTCCGCGAGTCTTTGCCAAACAGGCCACGGTGCAGTTGACCCGGACGGAAGTCAACCCTAAGCGAATGTTGAGCTTGGTCAACGATCCTCGCAACGAATACAACCGTCTGCTGACGGTTGATAAACTGGGAAACGTGGTGGAGGGACGTCCTATTACTTACATCAACGTCGACATGAAGGTAAGTTCTTACCGCACCGCTGCCCTAATGTTTCGACCCGTGCCTAATCAATCCCAGACACTCAAATCGGCCGCCGTCGCGATGCTTCGGGCGGGCCATCCCGTTTTCTTTGGCTGTGACGTGGGGAAGTTTTCCGATCCTGCTCCGGGAGTCATGGACACGGAGCTCCTGGATCTCTCACTGGGTTTCAACGTCTCGCTGGGTATGAATAAGGCGAGCAGACTTGAAACGGGCGAATCATCCATGACCCACGCCATGGTGTTGACGGCCGTCCATCTTGAAGACGACAAGCCCGTGAGATGGCGAGTGCAAAACTCATGGGGCGAAAACTCCGGCGACAAGGGCTGGTTCGTGATGACCGACCGATGGATGGACGAGTATACGTATCAGGTAGTGGTTGATTCCCGGTTTGTTTCCAAGGGGGTGCGAGACGTCCTGGACCAGACCCCCAAGGTTTTGCCACGATGGGATCCCATGGGCGTCCTGGCGTGATAGTAGCCGATCCCGGTAATAGATGGAGTCGGTATTTCTAATGATAGTAATGAGCGTTCTGGCAAGCGAGAGCACCCAATACGAAGCGAATCCAACCATTGTAGCTGATTGCCCCTCTAAAGTACGAGCTTCGCTCGGAAGAGTTTCCAAGCCAAACACGAAGCCGTTTTGATTATATTCGCCTTTTCATATATGGACACGAGGCCTGTGAAGAGCAGCAAGGAGGGGAAAGCAACCCCGATCACCTCTTAGCCCAGCCACAGGGAAAAAGCGACAGGCGAAGATCAAACCAGCCAAACCTGAGGTGTCCTTCGGCCGTCAGCAACGGCGCTCCTGCCCATGTGACCACCCGACTCTCCTGCAAGCTGTAGGTACATACATCCGAGTGTCTGAGTGTCCGTCCTACTCCCCCGTATTACCCAGTAGTAGTTACTTGCTAAAGTAAGCAGCAGACATGAAGCAGGGCCCGGCAGGCGATCTGATCACCGTCTGTGCCTGATGGCATGGAGGGCGAAGACTGGGGGGGGGAAGCCTGGGAGGTCGCCAATGACAGGCATTCCCTCATCACCGACCATTTATCGCGCCGAGTTGCTCCTACCCGACCATCCAGCGTATACACCTGTTTAGCTTTCTGGGGAAAACCCTCCTCCCTTCCGATAGGAAGAGCTGAATCGCATTATCGGCAGGGCCCACTATGTTAATTTGTCCCTTTGCGATGGGGGGGCAGGCCCGCTGCAGAGCATTAGCATTAGCTTTAGTATTGGCATTAACGCGCTACGAGTAGTATGTGCCTAGAGTAGTGCTGGGTTTAGCTACGGTGGGTGGACACTGGACATGTACATCTAGTATGATGAGGGATCTCTTGCTTTCTGTCGTCTTCGATGGTCTTGACCGCTGTGTGGACCGAGATCTGGGTGAGGTTGGGCTGGGTTTGAGTGCTGGTAGCCGTAGAGGGTAGTAGGTGTAGCGTAGGTATCTGGGAGGGGTTCATCGCGAATAAGACCGAAGGGAAGTTATTTGCTAGCAATCCAGTCCTGTCCCCTGCCAACACGGATTAAATATCTGAGCTCACCTGCAAGATAATAAACACCACCACTGATCAGACAGCCATGATCTCGGTGAATTACCGTACAAACATCACCTACATACTACAGACAGACACCCTCCCCGAAGTCCTCTCTCTCCACGATTTCCATCGGCGCTCGTGGCTCCTGGTGGCGCCTGCTCGACCGCGAGCAAAGTAAAAGGCACGTTGATTCTGTACGATCAGAATTTTATGCAGATTGGGCAACAATTGCATCATGCAGATGAGTCTGAGAAGTCAATCTTCAAGAACAATGGCCCCACTACAGGTCGCATTATTTCATCTTCTGTCGGCGCTATTTGGAATTTGACGACTAAACTTCAGTAGTGGGTGAAAAAAAGAGGATTACTATGGGTAATCGGAAGGCAGAAGAACGAGCAAGAAGAAAAAAAAAAAAAAAAGTGAAGCTTTAAGATTGAGTTGCAGGTAACAGACCCAACTTGAGTGGGCACTTCACATTTCAAGGTCGTCGGCTAGTCCGGAGTCACTACTCCGGAGCAGGTAGTACTCCTCCTGCTCACTACTCACCCGTTCTCAGAATCAAACGACCAAAAAAAATAATGCACCAGAATAACAGATCCAGCCGTGCTCTCTATGGTCAAGACTCGCATAAACAACGCTCAAGTAACCGCAGCAGGTCCCACGCGCTCTCCACCGATCGGAATCGCGCCCTACAATTGGATCAACGGCCGTCGTTCACCGCCAAAAGGCATCGTCATCGCAGGGGCGATTACCAGGAATGGGAGGTGGCTAGCTGCGTTCCTTGTAAGACAGGAGATGGGAAATGGAGCAGACGGATTGGAAGCTTCGATGGGGTCCCCCGTCCGATCCGTGTTGGAAAAAAAATTAATCATATTTCCCAAATACGACTCCGGAGTAGTACTGCGCAGCCATTTTCCCGCGGCTCTCTGGGGATACTCGAATATCGGTCAGAGAAACAAATGGTGAATAAGCATCTTCATTTCCCGGTGATTTGCTCGTTTCGAGAACTTCCATTTGTTTCAGGATATGGATTCCATTCCGATTGGGTCTGTACTCTGTAGGGCCTGGTTTACCGTACGTTCGCCGCCGAGGGGGAGGGGGGAGTGCTGTCTTTGCTGTTTCCTCTTGATTTGTATGAATTTCATCTTTCTCCTCGGCTGTCTAGGTAACTACGACGAAAAAGCTCCGACTTCTGATCGGTCACCGTCCACATCGACGGCCTCCCTGGGGCTAGGACGATCCGAATCCCATTCCGGCGTACTGCGCATCATCTGTGTGGAAGAGAGAGTGCGTAAGACGTCGCCTTCTTGGGGTCTATTTTTATAAATAAATTCTATCCCAGGGTTACCTCTGAGTGTCGCTTCACGCGATTGTCGCGAGTACCGGGGCAGTGTTTATTTTTTATTTTTGTTTTTTTAGTTGATAGTCACTGCCCTTCCTCATCGCCTGTTTCTTTGTCCGCGAAACAAACAAACGTTTAATTAAATCCATCCATCATATCGGACATTTGGCCCGGGGTCAAGTGAATGAAACGTGGCATCGATATCACGACGTCGTATCTCCTAGCCTCATCTTTTCTCTCGACGGAGTACGGATATGGTTCCATCACCTCATTCTCCTCGGTCCATCGCGTGTACACATACTACCGCATCGAGTTTAGAGGATGCCCAGGACGACAACTACCAGAATGGAATGGAAAGGAAGGGAGGGGGGGAGGAGGGGCAGAGAAGGCACCGAATGGCCCGAAGGATGACCAGATGGAAGAAAGACATGAAACAACAACAGAGCATGTAGTGTATTCCGGATCCGGAAATGCCCTAGACGACGAGGCGAGGCTTTCGAGAAGACCAGACAGGACCGCCGATACTCGCTAGAATCCGAGAGAGGGAGGGAGTGAGCGAGTGAGTCATACTGTCAACGACCGACTCAACAGTTAACTAACTACCTACGGAGCACGTACCGAATGCTGCTCTGTCGGACCGGTGGGTCCCTCGCCCTCGCCCTCGTCTTCTCCCTCGTTCTTCGCTCTTGTTTCATCTTATCGAAGGATTGGATTGTCGGGGTTTCCGCGCAGTGTCCACTACTGGCCCGGTTGTATGCCGTGGGCTGGCTAACTACCTACTCCATATACATACTAGCCGAGGTGGCCATTGGCGGGCCTATACTCCCTAAACTAGACTATGTGGCTCTCGCACGATATTCCCCGTGCTCTGGTAGGTGCGCTGAGTGCGCTTGACGGTCAAGGTGAGCGTTGTGGAGCCATTGCTTTTTTTTTTCCATCGACTACAGTACTCCATAACTATGAACTCCGTCGAGTAGGAGCCGGACGGAGTTCTTTGTCATAGGTAATCAGGATCAATTCAGGTACCACGTTTTGCTGGTCTAGAGGATCTGGTAATTGCGATCACCGTCGGATGCTCTATTTGGTTTGATGGATGGAGTAGATTGGGCTGAAAGTGAGGGACTCGAGGTAATTTCTTTTTCTTTTTTTTTTTTTTGTTATTTCGAATATTTTTGGTGGGCTTTTTTCTTTGTCTGTGATGGTTCTTTGTATGGGATGAGTCACGAATCACAGAGTAGGTACCTAGTAGGTAGTGGTAGTAGGTAGGTGAGTATACCACGTAGTTACCGTATGGAGTAACCAACTAGACCGATGAACGGTGACAAAGCATTTCCCCGAAGAAAATAAGAATAAAATAAAAAGCGAGACACCATGGCCATAACGACCTCCATTATGACATCAACGCCTACCAGAAAGGCGAGATAACGCACGTCAGTAAGGGGGAATTGCCATGCCGTGCCGTGCCATATGGTCATGTCATTAGTGGATAATGGCAACGAGAGTGATGCGCTGCAAGAACCATGATGTTCGGAGCCCTCAAACATCAAACATCTCCCTTCCCCTCGGTTTCTCATGCAGTCCGAGCGTTGCAGGTGTGTAGGTAGTAAGCACTGTCGGTAGATAGGTCATGGTCGTGCCTAGGGCACCGAGGGAACGCAGGTAGGGGGAATGGATGGATGGATGGATGGTCCGGCCGGTTCCTCGTTCGCGGCTTCCAGTCAAAAATAGAGTCACAGCTCTCGAAGAGCTCATATGCTAGTCTGTCTCAACCCAAACTCGCCTCGTCTTCTGCATGAGCACCCAGACTGGCTTGACCTGAAACTAACCCCTCCGTGCAATAGCAGCGCCGCGGTGGCCGATGGCGCATCCGTCGCGTTTTTTCTTTTTCCGGGTAGATGGCATGGGTGCGTGCTAGCCTCTTGCCTGTGAGAGGATGACGCTATGTCACCGTGCCTACTGTCTAGTATGTAGGTTTTGATGGTTAATTGCGGAGAAGCATGATAAGCAATACCGACGTTAAGAAAGATGGGATGACAAAAGCACTGATGCCTTATCCTTTTTTCCCTTTTCGTCATTTTCCCCTCAGGATTATTTACCTCACTTTGCGACAAAAAACGTGGGCTACTTACCTACTGGCCTCACCCTACTTGGGTGGTTTAGTCATGAGTATTGGTAACTCACTACTCGGAGGCCCCGTTTTTTCGGAGAACCGAGCCAAGACGAAAAGAGCGTTTCGAGCAGTGATGCGACGAGAATTAAGATCTACCGCAAGTTGCGGTATCAGGCTGACTAACGCGTGTTTCAAGGTTGGAGAAAGAGGGACGGCGATGCGATGGATGCACTGCGGTCGGGTTCAGTCCCCCGGAGTTCTAAGGAAATACATGCCTAGTACCGAAAGAAAAAAAATAATAAATAAAAAAGATTATGCAGTTCATAATAGTCCCTGCACCCTATTCGCGACCTTTCTCTGGGCTGGTCCAGAATGAAACTTGATCCGTCCGTGCTTCTTCTGCATCCGACCCAGTCCCAGTGCCCTCCCGCAGTACATACTGTCATCATTGAATCGGCGGGAAGAAACAGGCAGAAAAAGAAAAAAGCACGGGCAGGGCCAGGGACTAACCCAAACGGCAAAAGGACCCATGGGTTGGTGGATCATTGAATCATTGGATCACTAACGGGCCGGCCCTAAGGGTACCGGAGAAAGGCATGGAAGGGACAGAATGTTATGTGTCGGACGCGACGGGAGGGATTGGGAAAAGGGAAGGGAGTAGGGAGTATGCAAAGGCGCATGTTGAAGGCCGATTCAGCACGAGATGCAGGTCTACTTCGGGCTGCAGTGGACAGCCTCGGGGAGGTGAGATCTCGAGGGACAATAAGATCCGGGGCGGCGTAATCCAGACTTTCCTCAGGCCTCAAGAGATCCCAGCCATGGGCGATACTGCGTACTGTGTAGCGTTGGACCTGGTGATGGGCTTCAGGGTCAAGCGAACGTCCTATCACACACCTTCGGGGATGATTGGCCACCGGTTGATACGGTATTGTATGACCTCCTGTCCATCTGATCAGGGCCCCTCCTCCGGCTGGGACGGTACGGTTCTGTCCCGGCAGGCGATCATGGGATGGGGGACACTGACACCGGCGCTGACTTTGGCCCTGACACACGGACTCCGTTTTTTTTGGGCATCATCCCAGGCCAAGACTCCCAAGGCTTGAGGGTAGGCGGGTGGGTTCAGGTACCTACCGACGTCTTGGAAGAACCGCCTGCGACGGTGAGGACGCGCGAGAGTCGCTGAGTGCCAATCATCCGGGCTCGTTTGTGACGGGGGGGAGAACCTGTGCCTGAGTCAGGCTGATAGGGAGTCCAGGAACTTCGTCCTCAAGGGGATGCGATGCGATGCGACTGCGACGCGGACTCTGACACTACGAGAAGGAGAGAAGGAGAGAGGGAGAGCAGTCCCGGTCGGACTAACCGCATGGGGCAAGGAGGGGAACCGGCCATCCATGGATACGCGGTACCGTAACAGCGACGGATCTCGGGGAGGCCTTGATAGGCTGTCGATAACCAAATTCCATCCATGATCATTCCATCCTCTTGCTCTGGGTGTACTAGGTAGGTACTAGGTAACTCCCGGGTCCTCAGGATGATGTCTTCCCAGTCTGCAAGTGCTCCTCGAGCATCGCACTCACGATGACTACGGTAGGAAGTAGAAGCGGGGGAAATCGGACACTGTACAATAACAGGCAAGTGGGGGGCATCGGCTTGGAGGGGAAATCATCGCCAGTCCCTCCTCCAAAGCACTATGAGGAGGAGTACTCTGAGGTACCTCGACCTCTGGATATACCGCAAGAAGCGGTAGGTGGGATGTACCACCGAGTACATGATGTGAAGCGCTCGTGGTCTGATGGGATTAATCATCGCCAGGACAAAAGCACAAAAGCACTGGGCGAACAACCGCACAATGCTTATTCATCCGCGGTGCCAAAAGCGAAGTTTCCCCTGCCAGATGCACGTCTGCCCAACGAAGCATCCAATGACCGCCGTTCGTTAATCTCGGGAACCCTCAGAAATCGTCGCCTCGCCTTTTGGCTTTTCCGCTGACCGCTGGATGAGTTGATGCCGCTCTGGCGATTAGTCGCTCGGCCTACTGGGTCCTTGGTTTAGGGTCGATGGGGTTTCGTTCGGGGGGTTTTATGGATCAATCCAGAGGGTCGATTATGGTTATTTTGGTTGGAATCTGGGATTTGGGATTTTCTGGGTCGATGGCCGGCGGCAGTAATCGCCCTCAGTTTGATTTATTTTTATTTTCGATTTCTTTTATTTTTTATTTCCTTATTATTATTATTTTCGGCCCGTTGGTGGTATTTTCTTTGATTTCTTGGATTTCTTTTATTTAATTCTATTTTATTTTATTCTGAAGACTAATTTCTTTTTATTTTATTTTTTTTGTTAAATTTTTTCCTAACCTTCTCGTTGATCAGGACGGCTCTGATCAGAACCTAAGTGCTACTAGGCAGAGGTACCTGGACGAGACGCTCTCTCATGGTTCCTCATTAAGATATATGGACTTCCCCCTCCCTCGTCACTTGCTCTTCTCCCTCCATCATCATCACTATTATTATACTGCCCGGGAAACCCTCCAGGAGTTTCTTCTGATCACAAGAGACCTCGTCCTCATTCTCCTCTTCACTACATTTGATCTTCTTCTCCCCCCTGCTCCATTTCTTACTCTTCTACTCCTCCTCCCTCCCTCTCACTTTACCACTACTACGACCGACTGGACCTAGTCTCTTCTTCCTGCATATTTTTTCCCTTCTCTCCAATACCTATCAACTTCTCCGTCCTATTTACTTTTTCCCTCCCTCCTGTTACACCTGACTCTTTCGACCTCTTCTTTTATTTTCTTCCTCGCCATCACCAACCACCCAAAACCCCGCACCTTCTTGGGTTTTTTTCCGTACACCCATTTTACACACCGCCTCTTGATCTCTGCGACAGTCGAGGCCATCCACCTTTTTTTCCTTGTTCTATTTTCGTCCCATTTTCACACTGGCATAGTCATGGCGAGATATTCTCAACCTTTTGACTTCTACCAACAATCACCGTCGACGTTGGATGCAAAACCCTCGTTTCCTGAAGAGGACGAGATGAGTGTACTGGACGATAAGATCTTGGATTCGACATCACCCGAACTGTCTTCCTCCATGGCCGATCCTCGGCGATCCTCATATGACCATGCGCCGGATGCCTTCACGCATCGAGATTCCGTCTGGTCCGATTTCTCCCAATCAGTCTCCAGCAACCAGTCCCGACACAACTCCCAAGTCGGCCACCAATTCTTTGAATCCGCTCCCAACCCTTTTATGCGGGTAGACGGCGCCCACCCGGCCTCAGCTTATGGTCAGCAGGCATCCTGGTCGCTTTCCAAAGATTCGGGCTCGTGTACGCCGACCGCCATGTATGAGCATTTCCCCTCGGAGATGGACAACGGCTCGTCAGCTCCCTTCTCGGGCGGTGCCGTGGGCCCCGTGAGCGCCATCAACCTGTCCTCCATGTCGTACCGTCCCAGTATGGCCTTCGCCGCCTCGGGTGCCGTCGCCATGTCGCCGCAGTCCAGCCAGGGCTGGATGCCGGCATCGACCGACATGCCGGATGCCGCTTCTCGTCCCACGAAAAGCCCTACCTATCGGAACAGCTCGCCCTTGAGCGTCCGACGGGATGGCATCCGGAAGAAGAACGCTCGCTTTGAAATACCAGCCGAGCGCACGTTGAGTAACATCGACCAGCTGATCAGTCAGTCCAACAATGAGGAGGAGATCAAGGAGTTGAAGCAACAGAAGCGGTTGCTGCGAAACCGGCAGGCTGCGTAAGTGTCCCCGATGATGTTCCCCCCTCACCTAACGACAAGTCAACTAACGCATCCACTCGACAGTTTGGATTCTCGTCAACGCAAGAAGCTTCACACCGAGAAGCTCGAGGAAGAAAAGAAGCAATACACCCAAGCCCTCACCGATCTTGAGGAAGAGCTGCGGGAAGCGAGAGCGCGGGAAGACCAGCTGATTCGTGAGAGGAACGAATGGGTCGCCGCCCAGCAGGAGATCACCCAATACATCAACACCATGCACATGGATAAGGATGAGATGATCCGGGTACACACGCTGGAGACCACCGAGCTCCGCAAGAAGAACAACATTCTCAAAGAGACCGTCGAGAAGCTCGAGCGACACGCAAGAGCCGCCCCTGCTCCCTCGAACATGGCAAGCGAATTCTCTGACTTTGAGAACCTGACCATGGGTAACAGCCCGTGGGAAGACTTCACTATGGTCAACAGCCTGTCTCTTGACGCCGACCCCGTCTCTACTGCTCCCACCGGACAGTCGTCCTCTCTTGTGTCGGCCAATGACCGGGGCGCCGAGAAGTCCAACGACTACCCGTTCAGCTGGAACGCTTTCTACATGTGTCTCCTCTTCGGTGCCTTTATTGCTTCCAACAACAACTCGCTCTCTGCTCGCGCCATTCCTCAATTGTCCGAGGAGTACCGAGCCGAGTCGGCCAACGTTCTCAGGGCTGTGTTGTCTTCCTCCCCGCCTGAGTTGGCTCATCCCATGGGCCAGGCCGCCGTCGCTTCGTCGTCGGCTGGTCCCCTCCCGACCACCATCAGCGGTGCCGAGATGGCTCAGATGAGTGCCGGTACCGTGCACTCCAACCTGGATGAGCTTCACAACACGCTTGCGATGCCAACGAAGGAGCAGGAGCAAGAGCAAGTCTTTTCGCTGAACGCGGAGCAGTACAACTCCTTGACCACCTACGAGGACCCCAATGTCAACTACAAGTCGCAGCAGCCCTCCAACCTCCAGCAGGCGCTGGCTGCCATGCAAGGTAGTGCGCCCGGAAGTAAGATTCCCGGCAAATCTACCTCGGACGTCTACTCGAGGTCGCTCATGTGGGATCGCGTTCCCGAAAAGGTAATCCGAGATTTCCGCCGCATGGTTCAGGATTACGGTGCCCCTCCCGTCAAGGAAGAGGAATCGGGCTTCGGTCAAGCCTGAGTAGTTTAAAACCACCCAAAAAAAATACTCCCGATGATATCGAGGTCTAACCGTACACTGCCCATGTCCAACTTCTCCTCACCTTGTTCAGAGCAAAAACATCCTGCCTAGCCTTCTCTTTCCTCACAGCAAAGCAAAACAACTTGGCCGGCATATGCATTCTCTTCTTCCTTTTCGCCTTTGCCGTCTTCTGTTCGTTTACCAGAATACTTCTCTTGCACATTGTGCCTATCGATACACGACTGTTGGCCAGCTTTAGCCAGACTTAGCCATATGCATGCATAGACAGCTTGCCATTTACTTCGACTGGATATATGACTTTTAACGGACTAGCTTTTCATGACTGCGCCTGACGAATTAGCGATGTGTTTTATATGTTTTCGCACTCCTTCGGATGATTTCGGCGTACTTGTGATTTTTATTCTTCGGGACTCGGGCCGGGGAAATGAATTTAACGGACCGATCAGAACATTTTTGCATTTGTGTGTATATTGCGTTTGCCTTCTTCTTTCTCGGTCCTCTTCGGGTCGCTTTTACTCTCTTCTTTCTTGGGGAGGTACGGATTGGGCTTGGCCCTGGATGTTTTTTCTTCTGAACATGTTGACCACCAGTCACACGGTACCACGGAACGCGTTTTTGACTTTGACCTCTGAACATTGCATTTGGGATTTTGTGTATCTGGGATTTTCTTTCTGCGTTTAGCCATTGGTTTTTTTCTGTTGCATTTGCGAGTGGGTTGGATTCGGCCGAGGGCGGCATTTCTGCTATGATTGTTATGATACGACTGATGTCTACGATGGGAACGTCTGTTAATGTCTATCTGTTTGATGATTCTGTTGTTTGCTGGACAGCCGGGCTGCCATATATGGGGTGGCCCATGGAGCGTTTTACCACGATCTTTTCACTCTCCTTTGTCAGATACTTTCTTCTCCGAGGCCATTCCACATTGGATTTGGTCTCTTTTTACACACCAGGCCTTTTTGGGCCTGGATTGGGCTTTGGCCCGCGCCACTCGTTTGAGAAATCACATTTCATTTGTTCCTACTTGTCACACGGCTCCTGCCTGGACTGTATATATTGACAGATGATGTCTATGAGGATATGACCTGACTTGACAATGAACATCACAACGACATGCATTCGGGGCCAAAAGACGTAGAGTTTACCTAGTGATATGGTGACCATCAGTCACTCTTGGGTTCACCAGGATTCATCATGCTACAGAAATTATATTACTTCATTTGCAGGAGCCGTGGTACAAATCTACTCAGGTTAATGGTTAATGTAAGAAATTAAAAATGAAAAATGAAAATGAAAAGGCTAGAGGGTCTATAGAAGGAAAAGGAAAAGCAAGGTGTAGCCTGAGGGCTCTTGGTTGCCTGGTTGCCTGGCTGCCTTGTTTCTGCCTTCCCCACCAATTGTAGAACAATACAATTACCTCGACGCTTAACTCTCTGTCTATTAACCTCATATTGAGCTCCCATCCCATGGCTACTTCCGCTTCTGTGCTGGATATCATCTCTTCAGCAGGTCTCTCTCCCACAGAGCATCTTCTTCTAAAGCACTTTGTCGAAACCGCCGATGATTCAGAATTAGCCGCGCGGTATCTCAATGCGAGGCTCCGTCAATGTGAAAATGTGAAAGCCGGTCTGCGTTCATTTAAACACGATTGGAGACGTTTGGTGTTCAAATGTAGATATCATATCATACTTGGCCTTATTTTGAACACTAATCAATTGCAGTGACGAGCTGCGATCCAATTCCTGGACACCTGGAATCTCTCCTCTACCGCAGAGATGGTCCATCCTGCTCCTTGTCCAGAAATGTGAAGGGCAACTCGGCCAACGCTGGAGCGGAGTCAGCCTACATAATTCCTCCGTCTTTTGTCCAAAGCATCGAATCAGATAAGGTGAGATTGACTCCGATAGTGGATCGTCTTCCAGGAACTTATCTAACTGGAACCGTAGCACGCTCTGACTGAGATCCTAGAGGCTTTCTTGTCCCCGCCAAAGCTTTTACAATTGAAGGCTCTACTTACCAGTCAGGATGATGATTCATCGTCTCTTCGAAATATGTGGCGTCTGTCTCCGAGTATGCACGACGCCTTTCGTCACGGTCATGTAAATATAAGGTCTATGGCTTACAGGCGTGCGGAAATCGGTTGTCCACCTGAGGAATGTGAGCAGGACGAGGATCCAACAACACAGGTCAGTGAGACGATACAAAAGATAACGTGAGCTACCATTAACTCCTCTACTCGAAGTACTCCTATACCATGCATACTTTGTATCCCGAAGAGCCTACGGGTCTTTTCTTGGGAGACGGGGAATGGCTCGATCGTTCAATATGGTATTTTAAATTCTCTACGCCAGACGCTGCTATAATGAGCCTGCCGAGTACATTTCTGTTTGATGTCCATCGTGGGTTCGCCACCGCATTGCATCTCTTTTCTATCGAGGATAAAATCTCATCAGGATGGCCAAAGCCTTCAAGAAGTACGAATTCTCTTAAGATTTGTAATTGTTAAATTCTGACCTTTTACATAGGCTGGCTAAGTCCATTTATTCGAAAGCCCTTCTTCTTTCTCTCACGATTTGTACCTCACTGGATACGAATGAGATTCTATCTGTTTCTTAAACCGATTGGACGTCGACTCTACGGACCGGGAAGGTCATCTTGGGTTCAACGATTACCCTTCGGATTGGTCATTAAGGATTGCTTCAAAGCCCCCGAGAATGAACCCAACGCCCTCAAGCTCGTTGAAAAGTACACGAACATTCCCGCCCCTCGCCTCATCGACGTTGGTGAACATGATGGCAACACCTACATGGTGATGACCCATCTCCCCGGGCAAAGCCTTGCAGAGGTTGGCCACCTCATGTCTTACGCTGAACGAGATCGTTTCGCCGACGACCTAGCAGCCTGCGTTTCGCAACTTCGAATGATCCCCAACAACACGCCATACAAATTCGGAGACACCCTCGGGGGGCCCGTGGTAGACCACCGTATTCCTGATGATTGTGGTGGTCCATTCAACACCGAGGCAGACTTCAATGACCATCTTGTCAGCCACCTGGCGTGCAACATATACGACGCCGTCGACGGTCTGCCCATTCGTCAAGATCATCGCTCATTCTTTACGCATTCGGATTTTCACGCGACGAACCTCCTCATCGAAGGTGGTCGGTTAAGCGGTATTATTGATTGGGAATGTGCGGGTTACTTGCCGGAGTACTGGGAGTTCACGAAGGCTATGTATACGTCTAACTGGAAGCCCATACAGCAGGCTATATTCCACCGTGCGTTTGGACATGAATATGACGATGAGTTGGCGGCTGAGCGGAAATTGTGGGCGTTGACGCCATTCGGAGTGTGATGGTGCTCGTTTTCTATCTTACTGGATGAGATTAACCCCGTTTGAAAAGGACGGCGTTTACAGAGAGTAACCTCAGGAATCCAAACTATTCATTCGTCTAATCTAAATCCAATCAACAGAGACAATGTAGTGTAGTATCTAGAGCATCGTCTCCACCGAACCGAGATCATCCGTCTAGACCATTCCTAACAATACCAACCTCCGATCGAATTACTCCCTGGCTAAACTTAATCATAGCATCCAACCACCCATCCAACCATCTAAACGCATGAATGCACCTTCATGATAGGTATGGAACCATTTACGCGCCGCCCTTTAGCACGCAGTACTTAGCCGCCCCGTGTGCCGGCCCCAACCCCTACGGCGTAGGTGATGGGTATCCGGCGCTTCAGCGCAGCGCTATCTTCTCCAATAATCACTCGCTCTCCTCTCTTCCTTCTCTTTGTTCTATTCATAGTTATACCTACCTAGGTCGTTATGGGCTGATACCGCAGCACGTACTATTCTACGCGCGCGCACTTGTTGGATAACGCAGAAACGCAATTGGGCATGTAACCCAACCCGGACCGTCTCTCGGGCTAGATGTTTCGGCACCGTGGTGTAGTGTTTTTCTTTGTTCCGGAAGTGCAGTCGGAAGGTAAGCTGGTCTAATTGGTTTTGCGTCCATGTGGAAGTTAAGCGCCACGCTATGGCTCCTATTTACTTACGCAGTACTTACTGCGTACCTGGCTAGCTGGCTAGGACCTCTTCGTACCTTCGAGACTTGATTAAATCGCTCGGTCCTGGCTCAGATAGCAGCGCGTAATAGTGTAGCACGTAGTAGGATAGAGATGAAGGAATTGATCGGCCCAGGCCCAGCCCGATGGGTGTCCTGGGACAAGTGCCTGGTTCAGCCAGCCATGGCTCAAGCTTACGTTTCTGGTCCGCTTTGACGCCCGGCTTGCTCTGGCGAGAAGTGAAGGGCGAGTGATGCGGTCTAGAGTTGTCGGGTTGGTTGGATCGGCTTTTCGTGTGATACCTGGAGAACTCCGTACTAGAATACTAGGCCAGGTGGGCGGGTAAGAACTAAGGCGAGGGATGGGGTGGAGAACATTTCTCTAGTTTAGAAATCACTCGTGTTTACGCAGTTGCGAGGATTCTGTGCTTCTGGTTTCCTACGCGAAGGGCTAAGCATATGGTGTCATCACAGGTACACAAAGCCCTCCCTGGGTGCCTGGGTACCAGGCAGGGACTGGACGTGACAGGCGGATTAAAATAGCCAGCCTCCGGAGGTTTCACAGACACAGAAATGAAGGCGCAGGTGGTGGGGAAGGATAAGCACGAGATGAGCAAAACGAAGAGCAAAAAGGTTAATGTTAAGCAAAGGGTATGTTTAAGGCTGGAGGCTGCAGTCCAAAATGAGGCTGCTTCGGACCAGGTCGGGTCACAATTCCATTATTCATCAGTGTAGATAGTAGGTAGGTAGATGGGGGTGGTAAATGGTTTGCATGTAAATGGCAGTCAGATGGTAACACGGCATTCCGGTGATAGTCACTTTGATTCTGGTGACTGTTCCGCATGGGAAACCAAAGGAAAGGGGTTCGGGAATCCCTTCATGTAACCAAAAAAAAAAAAAAAAAAAAAAAAAAAAAGGTCGGCCAATGCTTAGGAATGTTGAATGGACTCCGAGGTGATATGAGACGTCGACCAGGCTGTGAGTCCTCTCCCAGGATCGCTACAATGATCTCATTTGGGATTGTATTTGTCCTTCCAGATCCTGTAACGGAGTAACCGAACGTCATGTCAGCCTAAGATGGTCGCAGTCGCGATAGCGTGGGATGGGAGGAGTGGAGGAGGAAGATGGGATGTGGTTGGTGGAGGGCGTGATGGCGCGGTGCATGGCGCAGTTCGCAGACATCGTCTGTCCGCCTATCAATTCAACCGTGGGCGCTGCTTCCCAGACATGATATCTGCAGGTGATGGAGAGGAGAGGTGCAGATCATGGGTTCCATATGGAGCGTTGAGCTCATCACGCTTAGGGGATATGCAGGACCAAAGGTAAAATGGGGAGACAATAAAAGAATAAAGATCTGCGGATTTGTTGGCACTCACCAGGAATTTCCGACTAAGTTGTTGCCTTTTTCTTCGGCCAGTCGGTAGTATTTGGCGGCCGCGTACTAATTCAAAGCGATCCAAAGTTAGCTAACAAAGTCACTATGTGGGAGGTGAAGGACAAAGCGCACGAGTGATGCAAGTCTTGTAAAAAGTATTGATGCCCAAGACTACCATCGACACGAGGCAATTCTCCTCAACACCACCTTTCGAACTGGAAATAGCAACATGACGCAAGCAAATTTCTTACCTTATCCTTTTTGCCCCCAAATCCCTCAAGGTAGCACCATGCGGTTTCATTCATGGCATCTGTGTCGCCCAAATTGGCGGCCGTCTCAAAGTACTGCCGCGCGGCCGCAGGGTCTTTTTGGACACCCCAGCCGTTGCGGAAGCAGTTGCCCAGCTCGAAGATCGCAAGCACCAGTTCTCCTTTGGCTGCACCGCCTTTTTTGATCCCCGCCTGCAGGGCTTGGGACTCGATCGAAGCGGAGTTGGATGCTGCCGCCGAGAGATATGTCACCGCTTTATCGGGATCTTGGGGACAGCCCCAGCCGTGTCTGCAAGCCCGCTATCAGAACAGTGCTTGGTTTTCTCGACATGTCGTAAAGAGAGGTCGAGTGAAGGGAACCATGTAGGCTTACCTAAGGGCAAGGCCATAAAGCACCTGGCTGAGTGCATTATTGGCACCCGTAGGCTCTGCCAATCGGCGGAACATCTCCGTTGACTTTTCTAATTCTGTGATTGAGATATATCAGCATAACCCAATAGCCAATATGGAAAGATCTTCTCTTGCCGCCAGCCTCGTGAAGCCGAATTGCCTCTTGTACGTTGACCTACACCTCTTGTTAAACCTCACCCTATACTCAAGATGACCGAATAGCACTCACATCTCCCTCCCGATCCATAACCCCACTATGACTAGAGCTCCTCGATCTTGACATCGGGCTAGTCGGCCCAAAGCCAGCCGACGAGGTTGGCGACAAAGGTCCCGCGAACTGCGGGTTTCGCTGAACCAGCATCGTTGCCCTTTTCTCCCATTGTGCCTCCGTATCCTGCTCATTACCCTTATCGTCCGTGATCTGGGGAAGGTCCGCGGGGACATTGACCGAGTTCGCGCTCGAGTTCCGCCGATCCCGATGCAGCAAATGCGACAGCCGGCGCTCTCCGCGCGCTCGCGACGGGGATGAGGAGCCTTGCGACTCGGAAGGCGATCGGGAACGACTGAACGGGTTCAATGACCGACGATGCGACGAGGAGCTGGGTCGCGAGGGATCCAGGTATGCGGCATGGCGTTGATCGACATCGCGGTCGCCTTCGTAGATGGGCGGCCGGATGACTTCATGCGTAGTGGTATCGGATCGGACGAAGGTGATGTCAGGCACCGGACTTAAAGTCGTCGAAGGGACCCCAGCAGAATACTGCGCGCTGTTATCGCCAATCTTGTCTTTCTTCTGGAGAATATCTCGCAGCGGCATTATTGTCGTCTTTGTTGTTGCGGGGAGAAAGCGGGTGGATACTCGGCACACGCGATCCGAGTTGTTGGAATTGTGTTGATCGGGTTGGATTTCCCAGGGAATGCGACACTCGAGGGGAAGATGCAAAGGACAGTAGACTTCCAGACAGACAGGAGAAGATGTCAACGTTGAAATAGATCCAAAAACACGAAGATCTCAGCCCTGCAGACTAAACGGCAAGGCACAAGCGCTGAGCCGTGGCTGTGTCAAAGGGCCTTTTGTCTGATGATTGATTTGCCCGTCGCGGCTCGACATCCATGGTTGACGGCGTCTTGGCCCCCTCTAAGTGTCTGGCAATTTCCGTCCTTCGTCTGCTCCTTCGCGTTGTGTCCGTTGCACTGGGGAATTCCACCCCTGGACCTTGTCACTGGTCAGGGTGGATTATCCATTTTTTTGTTTGGAAGAATGGATGATTCGAGGGGTCATTGTTGTTGAATCAGACAAACTATCCCTGTTGTGTTCGAGGCGTTGAGGCGATGCATTGGTTGGCGTGGAAGTTCAGAATGACATCAGACGAAAGTGCACTGGAAGATCCTTCATCTTATCAGCACTGTCATATCGGAGTTGAAGTAGACGATTGATTCGATGGAGAATGCGAATGCCACTTATGAATAAATGGATACGTTAGTTAACTAATTATCCATCGTCGCGGTTGGTCAGCATGCATGCAAGGGTTTATGCACACAACCAGTTGAAGTCAGAGTCAATGATTTTTTACGTCAAGGGTCGAGTCTGAGACTATTCTTATTCTCGTCTAGGCTCAATAGTGCTTCGTGTTGTCATAAATAAATGTACTTCTTAAGACCACGCAGTATAAAGGAAGAAGGTGGTGCAAAGGGAGTTCGGCTACGCATCGGAAAAAGGCGGGGACATGGTTTGCCCATGCAAACACCACACGGATTGATTCAGAACAAGTCACTTTATTGAAAAAAAATACATAGTACAATCATCTACAATACTCCTGATTTTGATCAGAATGGTATTGGTGTGTCTAAGTGGGCACAGAAACAGATCCTTAATTTGTACAGGATGTCAACAGCGAGGACGCCATTCATGCGAGTCCATTTACTGGGCCTTGGAAGACATGATACCTGGAGATATGTCAGTTGCTATAATTCCACACCTGGGACTCACATTGACAACTTACGCTCAACGTCGGCGACGCTCTGCTGGAGGATCTGCTGGAGAGCCTTGGGGCTCTCGAGCTCCTTCTGGATCTTGGCGATGATGGTGTCGGCAAGCTCACGCTGCTGGCGCTGCTTAACCTGCCCCTCGTAGCGGACCCAGGAGTCGAGAACCTGCTTGGCCTCGGCAGCCAGAGCAGTACGCTGCTCGAGCTCGTAGGCCTGAGACTCGAGCTGGGCGGTTTCCTTTGGGAAAATTGTCAACAACGATCCTTGTGCACAACCCGGGAAGAACACGCTCCCTGCCAGGCAAGAGAAAGGTGAATATCTACCTTGGAAACAGCAAAGAGCTGCTTGGTGATGTCAACAACACTGGAGAGCTCCTTGACGTTGTCCATACGCTGCTGGACAGCGCTGGTGTGGTCGGCACGGGCAGCGTTCAGGATGTCCTTGTGCTTCTGAACCTGACCCTCGGCCCACTCACGGTAGACGGGACCACCGTACTTAGCAGCGGCAGTGAAGACGCTGAGAAGACAGAAAGCAGCAACAGTCTCCTCGTTCATGACATAGAGCTCATTGCTGATGGCGGCAACGGAGATACCGGCGGCGGCGGAGAGGATGGCGGTCTTGGAGACCAGGGTGTTGCCAGGGAGAGAGTCGAGGATCGACTGAGCCTTCTTCTGGGGGTCCTCGGAGGGGAGGTTGGAGGCCGAACGAGACGCGGTCAAGCTGGCAGTGATGGGAGCGACGTTGCGCGCGGGAAGGGTCGGCCGGAGCCGGGCAGCACCTATTTAGGGGGTTAGCGACCTGAAGGAGACGTTCGAGCGGACCGGAAAGAGGCGGTTGCGGCATACCGAAGGCGCTCTTAGCCACACGAGAAGCCATTGTAGCGATGGGGAAGACCTTGACAAGATGGGATGGGTGAACGGAACTGAGGAGACTCTGAGGTCCGAAAGGCGGTTTGGGCGGTGCGGGAAGACACTAACCACTATAGGCTTAGCGCCCTCGATTCGGAAAAACCGCTAGCCGAGGGATCTCCAAAAATTGATGCTTTCTGGAAGACACTCTCAAGGCGACGGCACAGGCTTCTCTTGAACGCGCCCGATATTCTTCGCAGACACCATGCCAGCCCCTACGACCGCAGCCGCGAGCTCCAAAAAGCGAAAGAGCGCCAAGGAAACCAGCGCCCACTCTTCCAAACGCCGTGCAGTCGCCGAAAATGATAGCGCAGATGCGATGGCCGAAATCCAGCACCTGGAAGACCAGATCTCGGAGTCGCGAAAGCACTACAACAACATCGCCACACTGATTGGGAGGCTCAATGTCGATGGGAATGGTGGAAAACCAAATTTGGCGGTGGCAGTGGCCCTCTGCCGGGTCTTCAGCAGATTGATTGCTGCCGGAGATCTTGGAGAGACAAACCGGGCCGCGGAAAATGAGAGAATCATTGCGGCCTGGTTGAAGGAGCGTCTTCGCGAGTATCAGAATGCTTTGGGGAGTATCATTCGTAACAGCGATTCTTCTTCTCAGGTTGGTCCACCAAACATGGGTATCTGAGTATCTGCTAACTGAACTCGTTTAGATCACGGCCATGGCTTTGAGTATGCGCCTGCTCCACGAACGCGCAGCATACCTTCCCGAGGATGACCTGCAACTATGGACGTCTGGTATATTTAGGACCATCGTTGAATCGGTCATCGAAGCCAGAAATGGGGAGACAGTGCGGTCCGAGTTCCTCGAGAAATTTGCGAATGAATACGAGGACGTGCGATTCCACATGTTTGCGCAGATTGCGTATGTTGCCCATACACCACCATACTTAAGATCTATGAGGTGATGCTAATTGAGTCTCCAGGGAATATGCGGAAACCAAAAGAGATTCAGAAACCATCGAAACCCTCATCTCCCTTCTCTCGGCCTGCGACACCGTGCCCTCTGCGGAACACAAATTTGAAAACTTCTACACCAAGACCAGCAAGAAGAACAAAAAGCTCGTCTCCGTCAACGCACACAAGAAACGGGCGCAGGATGCATGGCTCGCGGTTCTCCGTAGCGACATCTCCCCCTCGCAACGGAAAACCCTGCTGCGCATCATGGTCCACTCCATCGAGCCCTGGTTCAACCGACCCGAACTGCTCATGGACTTCCTGACCGACTCCTACAACGTCGGCGGCGCAACCTCGCTGCTCGCCCTCTCCGGTCTCTTCTACCTCATCCAGGAGAAAAACCTCGACTACCCCCAGTTCTACCAGAAACTGTACTCCCTCCTCGACGCCAACCTCCTCCACTCCAAACACCGCTCCCGCTTCTTCCGTCTCATGAACACCTTCCTCGCCTCCACCCATCTTCCCGCCACCCTCATCGCCAGCTTTATCAAGCGTCTCGCGCGCCTCGCCCTCAACGCTCCCCCCACCGCCATCGTCGCCATGGTCCCCTTCATGTACAACCTCCTGAAGAGCCACCCAACCTGCACCCTCATGCTGCATCGCCCGGTCCGCGACGACGCCACCAAGGCCCAGCTCGAGGCTGAGGGCATGGACGACCCCTTCGATGCGCAAGAGCCCGACCCCACCCGCACCAACGCCCTGGAGAGCAGTCTCTGGGAGATCGAAACCCTCCAGTTCCACTACCACCCCAACGTGGCGGCCATCGCGCGCATCCTCGCCGAGCAGTTCACGAAACAAATGTACAACCTGGAGGACTTCCTGGATTATACCTACCAGGGCATGCTGCAGGCGGAGCTGGGATCCGGCGACAAGCCGCTGAAGAGAATCCCCGTGGTGGAATATCAAATACCGAAGCGGATCTTCACAGACCGGTTGCTGGAGGAGGATGGTGGTCAGGATACCGCCCCTGGGCATCTTCTCAGAGGTCTGTGGGATTTCTCTTGAGGGGTTAAAATATAGATATGTTTGTCGGTTTTTTTCTTTTCTTTTTATTCTTCCTTTCATAGCGTATATATTTAGATTTGTTTTCATTTCCATGTTGAACAAATAAAAGCACGATCACCATTCTATATTATTTTCTAACGAGTCTCACTGAAGGCATAGTTGAAATCTGAATTGTTGATTATTGTATTAGTAGGTAATTCTCCTTTCCTATGCTAACTTGAGGCCGGAGATGAAGTGAAGTCTATCTAATTAAAAAGGGTGACAACTAAAGTGATGTATCACCAAATAAAGTGGTAGTTGTTTTTCCAACCTTCAAACCAAAGAAAAGGACAAAACCCCCTGCTTCGTCACTAATCACCACCGACCAGATGAACGATCTGAATGAGCAGCCCCCCAGCACCTCCATCATTATCCAACAAGCTCATTAGCGGTATAAGACGACAACGGCATGAACGCGCCGGAAGCCGCCGACTCCTGGGTCTGCTGGTACAATTACGGCGAGAGCTCGACGTAGCCGACAGGATGCCCGATGAAATGATCCGGCCAGTTAGTTTCGTGGGCCTCGGCGACCGAATCACCTGGGTGGTAGTCGCAGACGACATCCAGCCCAAACACGCTGCGCTTCATATCGTCGAACAGATCGTCGCCCACCTTCACGGGGATCATCTCCAGCTCGGTGCGCATCTTGTTCAGGATGGCTTGCGCCTTGCGCCGGCGGCGCAGACGCCGGCTCCCCACGTCGACTTCCATACGCTCAAGCAGGTGCAGGATCTCGCGCTCGGAGGTCGCGGATATTATGGCGTCTTCGGTGCGCTGCGTGAGCTGGTGCAGATCGTGTGAGACGACGCGGAACAGCATGTCGATTTTGGAGAGCGCCGTGCTCACGCGTGACGCTAGGCTGTTGGCAAACGGCCGCTCGTAAAGCCGTTCCCAGAACCCGATCCAGTTGTAGAGGCCGATGCGGGACTTGCGCAGGCGGGTCAGCTCCAGGGTGGTGATGACGTTACGACATAGGGTGAGCGTGTCGAGGGCGCCGAGTCGGGTCTCCTGGAGCGGCTGAGATTGCGGTTGCTGCTGGTCTGTTCGCCTGACGTTGGTGGGCGTTGGCTGCCCGGGCGAGTCTGGAGCCGGCGAGCGAGGCTGTTCCACACTGTCGACTGTTCGGTAAAAACGCTGCGATAGGTCGGTGACCGACTGTATTGGAGGTGGGAATGGTGCTACTGCCGGCTCATGGATGCTTGAAGGCACAGGGACAGGGCACTTGGTGCCAATAGGGAGATTGGCTTCTAGCATATCGATGCCGGGAATGTAGGGAGACACAAGTCGAGGAAATGATGTAGATCAATAGAGGAACAGTAAAAACGAGTGACGAGATTCGCGACGTCAAGATGGCAAAACGAAAGACGGAATACCGAGAGAGAGAAAGGAAGAGATCCAAAAGAAACGAAGGAAAAGGATTAACGAGCGCCTTGAGGAATAAAGCCAATCATGGGTAGTGATAAGAAAACGACGAGATCAAGAAAGCATTTCCCGATAAATCAGTGGACGGATTAGAGCAAACTGACGGATTGATGGGATTCTCTGGCGCAAATCCATCGCTTCGATTGCTTCTCGAAGGGGTCGACAGCATCGCAAGAGCCCTACCTACAACGGAAGGAGCGCAGGGCCGAATGGGGGATCTATCGATTGACGGAGAGAGAAAGGTGAGTGTAACTCCACAGGGTGCCAGATGTAACGAAGGACTTTCTAGCTTGTTATAGGTCTGCGTCCCGGCTCGTCGGTGCAAAAGGGGGCATGTCTGGCACTGTTGCGAGAAGTGAAACCTGTCTCATTTCCGCTTTCGGTAACCGGAGATAGGGCTTCGTGTGTTACGGTTGCTTTCCGGTCTTTGGCGGGTGCCCTTATTTTTAGAAACATCAGGTCCATTCTGAGTATAGCTTCAATGTTCTCGCTGGCTTCGGTTAGCCCAGCGATCGGTCGAAGACGATTAAACGGCGTAAGCATGCATGTTAGAATTTGGACTTGGATGGCTTCAGATCTCAACACGTGTGGTGGAAGATTAACTCTTTGAATAAACTTCCGGATTTACCCAGACTACACTAATCAACTTGGTTAGGTATCGATTGGAAACCGCCCATAAAAGACAGATAAGTTCCCTTATCACAGTTTTATCGCACTGGCTGGGTCAGTCATAGACTACGAGAGGCAGTAGGAACAGCTGCAGCTGAGGCAAAGAAGCTGTCTGTGGTATTATTTGCTCAATGAACAGCTTACCAGCAATGAATTGGGACACAAATGCCCGCAAACTAAGGCCTCAGTCCGGCTTTTGCTTCCGAATACAATACTGCTACTCATATCTGGAAAATCAGAAGCAAGGCAGTCTTGAGTAATAGGAACTCAACAGCAACTAGGACATATCATGGAGAGACACCGCCAAGCACCTTCTACCGAATCCAATGAAAACGCTTGCAAAGGGAAGCCAGTATGCGACAGTGGAATGAAAGCCAAGACTGGCCATTCGGTTGTCCCACATTCCAAGGAGAGAGACCTGTAGCAAGAAGAATGGAGTTTGGAATCTTGCCAAGGCTAACCAGCTGGACTTTACTGCGTACGTTCGATCGCTGATGTAGTAGCTCTCACAAAAGCCAAGTTGGAGACCAATACCATGCATAGACAGTGTGTGAATACGGGGCGAAAGAGGGTATCGCACATGTCGGGGAACAAGTGATCTCTATATGATTCCTGCTCAATCCAAAGACATTTCATTGCAAGATTTTTGCAAGACCTAACATGCATGGGTTTTCGAAGAATAATAAGGATTTTATTAGTGGGGGAGACACGTTTGTGTTTTGGGATAGATGCTCTGGTCATTGTTCTTTGCGACATAATTGACCAAGCGGGGATCGTGCAACATTGGGTAAACTCCGAGATAAATACTAACAGTCATGGTTTATTTACATCTCATATTTGGGAGTATGCTATCGAACATATATATAGAGGTACTCCCTGGAAATCCCGTTGTGCGGCACCTGGCAGTTTCTTTCTTCGCAGACATCTGCTGAACCCCTGGCGATCAACAAGATGATCACGCGCGAAATCACCCAGAACAGAAATCAAGTTGAAGGCTCAAGATTCCAAGGCTGAAACTGCCGTCCCTTCATACTTGGGAAAGTTAGAAGATATGTGGTTGTGGTCATAGCACCAGTGTCTCAGGGCAGGTATGCTACCGACTAGCTATACATTCCGACGAATGGTTGGAATCCTAAACAATCACCACCGCTTTTTTTATCGGCTCGTGATGTCTCAATCAGTCTCTTGATCGAGTTCTTTGTTTCAAAATATCACTGTCGACCAGTTTCAGTCAGCGTCATGGGAATATCTTGGGCTTCATGAATGGTCATCTTTTTGGGTATTCGGCTGGGCCGCTGATTTTCCGGGATTCCACGGCTCAACCTAACGCAAACTCGTCTCTTCATAGCACAAGGAGAAGCTGGATTGATTGTGTTCTGCCAATTGCTGTACCGCCAGGCCTGGATGCATTCCCAGAGTAGATCCCACTCCCATCCACACCAAGGCAAGTCAAGAATGTGCCCGAGTGACCGGAGCATGTTTCCTTGTCGCCCATGGCTCCAGACCAAAATAAACGGTTGGGTATTAGAATATGTGGATGCTTGTCAAAGCAAAATGATAAAACCCGAATAAGTTCTCCGGATTTTCCTGGCCTGGCATCCATCCTCCAGCTGACGCCGACAAGCAGCACGCGACATCGACGCCGTCACCGACCGATCTTATCTCGGAGACCGAATTGCACACAGGTATACCCAGGTAGGTAAGTAGATCTCGGTTGTTGAAGTAAGTGAGCTCCCTTGTCGCTGCCTTCTATCAAGCAAAGAGTAGGGGGTCGTGCCTTTCTGCTCGGGATGCGAGATCTCGGGAAAGTGCTAGTCATAGGGAGACATAGCCAGGGACAGCTATCTCGCTATGATTTGACATTGACCTACTTGAGACTTGCATGTACATGAATGGGCTACTTACACTTTACCTTGCTATCGTTCTGTTGCATAATTCGAAGTGGTGTCATTCCCACTAACATCTCTTTCAAGTCCCAGCACCTCCCACGATGCGTCTGTTCGAGTCCCTCCTAGCGGTCTGCCTCTGTCTGGCTCAAGTCAGTCTTGCAATCCCTTTGTCCTTCACGAAATGGCCCACCACTCTTCGAGCTGGTCAGCCCGCCACGGTGACTTGGATTGGTGATCTTGAAACCGTATGCATTGCCCTCCACCCCACATCCCAACACAGCGGAGAGCCCGGATTAACAGATACCTTAATATAGCCTGCCACCATCACTCTTCGGAAAGGATCGGCCACCGATCTAGGTGACGTGCAGGTGTTGACGAATGATGCCCGTGGAGGAACGTTTACCTTCACTCCCAGTGACAGTCTTCCTGGCGGCGCGGATTATGCCCTGCAGATCAACCAGGCCGGAGAAGTGAACTATTCGGGGCATGTTACCCTTGAGCCGTCTCCCGCGGTGATTCCTCCGTCCAAGGGCCCACGTCCGACTCCGACTGCCAGTAGCAAAGACCCCAAGTCGGAGGATTTCGAAACTGCCAGCCGCGAAAAGGATGACAAGGACATTCCGGAGGGTAACAACGGCGAAACATTGTCGCTGAATGAGACCACGCCCACCAAGAACACGACGTCCAACAAGAGCGCCATGGCTGCCCAAATGCAATCTGGCGCAGCGTCGTTCCGAAACACCTTGCCCGAATTGCTGTTGGGCGCTGCGGGCATCATCTTCTACCTGACCAGGTGAAAGCCCTAGAGTCTTGGTCGGAAAAAAGCAAAAAAAAAATGGGTCTTGACTTCTAAGCCCCTGCTTTTGGCTTCTATTCTTGTTCCCCCGCTTTTATCTTATGTTTTATCCCTTTTTACCCTTCTTTGGTGTATGTCACATCGCGTGTTGAAGTTGTATGGATCAATCAAGTCAGCCCCCTTTCGCAGGGGCAAGACCACTTAATGGCCTGTCAGTGGGGTGGATGTTCTGTGTCTGTCATGTATATATATCTTTCACCTTTGCGTGTGCTTTCTTGGGACCGACATTGGAAGCACTGCCTATCAGTCTTCCTCATTTTTCCCGGCGCTTCTTTACAATGCTGCCTGTCTTATGGTGTGCATTAAAAACCACAATCATATTCACCTGCATCCTGTACATGCAGTATGTGAGAAATCCAAATCCCACAATCCCAAAATTCTTGCTTTCGGCCCATTCAATCGAACCCCTGTCGCAGGCGTGTCAAGTAGAGCAGCACCGAATGGGGGATCCGCAGCGAGGAGGTTAGCGGCCGTTAGCGTGGCTACACATCACATCCCGGCTTGAACAGTGCAACAGCCCAACGCCCACGGCTCGTACTGTCACTCGCTCTCCATCTTCTCTTTCTTTTCTTTCTCTTTTCTTTCTTTCCGTTCTTCCTTCCTTCGTCTTCCTGCATCCCCTCTCTTTCTGGTGGTGGGAGAGATTTCTTCCTGTACATATTCCTATCGTCACCCGCCTCCTGGATATATATTCTCTCTTTTCTCCGGTCACCACCCCAGACTGGCCCAGACCAGACGCCATTTCCTTTATTACTAGCATCATCCTCCATCGTCTCACAAGTTATCCCGAAGGATCGGGCCGTCATAGTAAGTTCATCACTCCACGCCTCACTTTGTTAGTTTCATTGTCTCCCTCCCCGATGTGTGTCTCGGCGATGAATAAGCGCTATTTTGGCACTTGTCATCATAATAAATATTAATTATTCTCCTGCAGATCGCCTGCAATCAAGCATAGATCCACTCTGCCGGTATGTGCTCACTATTGACCCTGGTCCTTCCTGCCCATGCCCTCTCTTTTTCTGCGTCTGGACCCCCGACGTCTCGCATCTCCCTCCGCTCGTCGAGCAGCGCTGTCGAAGTTTCTTCGACGTGGTTGTGTTGCTGGCTCCGCCTGTGCCAATGTTTAGCCCGCGAGATTACTCCTTGCTGCAGCCTCACTTGACTTATTTTCCGATTTCCGCCCCTGCTGTCGGGCCTGTCGCTGGGGCCCTGCTCCAGATTTCCTTCAAGCTTCCCCGTGGCGGCCAACCCTCATCGTTCCTCAAATTCCCATATCCACCACCATGCCGAGCATGGCCCGATTCGGTCGGGTCAAGAAGACGCTAAAGCCAGAAGCCGAGAATGCTAACTCGGATGCTCTTGCGTCCCCTACGTCAGATCCCCCTCCGCGCTCCCCTCGTGTCAGTCTCCCCCATGTGGAAACGCAATTGAATATGCATCGCTACAATGGCCTGTTCGAACCGGATTCGCCGGAGCGCCAGAAAGAACCCGCACTCATGGAGTCCGCTACGGGTAGGTTGATTTCTCCCCTCGTCCTTTTCTGCCCATTCGAACATTCCAGGGCGCGTTCAATCCCTGAATCCAAACGCTCACGTCCATGTCTTGCGCACCGCATAGATTCCGCCACTCTGCATTCCTCGATCCATTCCAACGGGTCCCCGAACCCTACGAACGGCGATTCATCGGCGACGGAATGGTCGGCCGTCGGCCACGCGGCGACGGGCAAGTCCGGCCGCGTCATACACAATTTGCAGGAGGATATTGCCCGTCTGACTCGCGAATGCAGTCTCTATCGCTCCCGCGCGGAAGAGACGCAGCGCATGAACGATGCCTTCAAGACCCAGGTCGAGAACATGGCGGAGCGTCTCCGGAACCTTGAAACGGCCAACGAAATGAACCTCCATTCAATCACCCGCAAGGACAACAAGATCGAGGAACTCCGCGCCGAGGCACAAAGTGAAAAAGATAGAAGGCGTCGGTTAGAAGAGCAGACGAACAAGGCCCAGCAATTGATGGACGAGGCCCGCGACGATTTCAATCGGAAATGTGCGGAACTGCAAGAGGTTGCCAATCATTCTCGCACTCAGTACGACGTGCTTGCTAAGGCTGGACAACGCGAGAGAGCCGAACAGCAGAGGAAATTCAAATCCATCAGGGACGACTTCATCGCTCTGAAGGGTCGGCACGAAGAGAAGAACCTGCAGCTTGAGCGATTGGACACGGTCATGGCCCAGAAAAACCGGGAGATCGAGGTCAGCAGAGAAAACTTTGATCGACTATATGAAGACTATGAGGCATACAAGAAAGCCCAAGACGACGAAGTGAGAACCCTCATCGAGAAGGGACGTCAGGGGGATGCCAAGCTCGACGCTGCCTTAGCGTCGTTGAAGGAAACCGAGGGGCAAATGAAATGGGTCATCCAGGTCAAAAAAGAAGTCAAAGATGCCGAATAGAGAGATGCAGGAGGGCGCGAGAAAGACCCGGAAATTTTGGCGGGTTTCCAACCTACAGTCGTTACACCATACAGGCAGTGAGCGCTGGCCGTGAGGGCCTGGTAGATAAACAGGTATGTCAAGCACGATCTACCTTGCATTGCTGTGTCTTATTGCAATGGTATGATACAGTCTTGTTCTTTTCTTATTATTTCTTTTCTCGGGTGGAATTCTTGCATTGCAAACGATTCATTCCCATGTGTTTATATCAACTACCTTCTCTTGTCATTTTACCCCCATCTGTTTCCATTCTCGCTTCGTTTTCTTTCGTTCTTGTTTTTCTTCGCCCTACCCAGCTGCTGTCCGGAGTTTGGGGATGCTTGATACCCTGGGAGAGATAGACCGGCATATTCATATTCCCTGCTCGATGTACCTTGTTTGAAGTACAGTGATGGCTACAATGGCCTAGACCATGTTAGAGATATCTTGAGATCAATATGACACCATATGACTGAGGGGATTATATTCAGGAAGGCTGCCTTAACGATAATAGTGGTTGGCAGCCACTCACTTGAGAGCTGTTTGGAAATGAGAGAAGAAAAAAAAAAGAAAGAAAGAAAGAAAGAAAGAAAGAAAAAGCCCCAGATTCACCACGCCAGGTGAATGTTCCAAACCAATTGCCTGTTCATTCACACCAACGAGTGCTGCGATCTTTACACTTTCCTGCAGGCATCCGCCTGCCGTTTGTCTTGTGGCAGTGATAGAGTTGCGAATGTCTCGCTGCATTGATTCCCTCTGCTGGCCTTCTGAAGCATTCACCCCCCGCCACCTGAGGCACCTTCCCCCACTTCTCTTCGTCGCCTTCCTCTTCCTCTCTTTCTGTGTTTGTTTTCCTCCTTCCCCCGCTTCCTCCCCTTTCTCTCTCCCACAACCTCCTCCATCCTGATGTCCCTCTCCATCTCGTCCTGACGGTCTCCATCCCTCTCGTCTCGACATCCATCCACATCCCAAAACGGGGAATCGTATCTCTCTCCTTCTCTACTAATTTTCACGATCTTGCTATTTCCGTTTGACATTCCCTACTACATCTACTCCCATCCCCCGCCCTCTCTCCCTGGTTCCATCACCCTCAGATCCTCTGCCATTGTGAAGGCGGCCCAGACTGGAATCATGGCTTCCACTTCTCGTTTAACCTTTGCGTCGGTCTGGGGGTTTGAAAACACAGGGGTAAGCTCCCAGTTTCTAATGGGGCAAATTTTAAATTGCATGCTGACCACAGAACCACCCAAACAGGTCAAAGAGCTCGAGAATGAGTTTGAGTAAGCTCTTTCGTAAGGCGTATTATTTTCAGCAGCAATAATAACAATCTTCAGGAAAACCGGCGCTGTTGCTGACTGCCATGGCGACTACAACAAAGCAGATGATGTAAGTAGACTGCTTGCCTTGTATCATTCTTTTATTGACCAATGTCCTTGATCATAGGTTCTTGTGATGAAGGGACGCCTGGAAGGCCCTGTCTCCAAAGCTGCTTGCATATTAGCTCGCTACATCGAGGAACAAGAAAACAAGGACCTCTTAGATGTAAGCTTTGTATACCAGACATAGATTGCGCTGATGGATTGACTCTCAATTTTTAAATTAGGTGCCACGGGTTTACCGGCTGGAAGTTCCATCTGTGCTCCATGATCCGATCCCCGCTCTAAACCAAAACACTGACGCCCAGGAGGGAGACCTTCTGGCCCTTGGAGCTTCACACGAGGAGGAATTCATTCCTCATTCTCGAGTCACCAAGACCTGGGTTTCCTCTGATGGTGGTGCGGGCTGCTTCGCTCTTCGGTTTCAAAGCATACTCCCAGAGATCTCAAAGTTGACGGGCACGGAGATTGCCATTGTTGAAGACAAAGGCGTCCAGGTCTCCGCAGAAAACGAGGATGATGTAGACGATGCTTTGGCGAAAATCAGTACAATTGAGAAACCGCTGGTACGTGATCAGTAGCTTGGCGGTTATCTTCTAGTCATCTATTAACACCTTCACAGATGTGCATTTGCAATCCCTGTGCTACGAACATGGGTATCTCGCCGGATGACGAGTCCACTCGCTTCCAGATGCGATATTACAGCAATCTGAACCAGGCCGCCAAGCGCCGCATACTCACTGACGCTGATCTGAGCTCAACGTCAGGACTTTTCCAAAGCTTCGTGACGGTAGTCCTCGCCTTTGATAGGGAATCTCAGTTATTCGACTTGCCCAGCAACCTCAGCAATCCCCCGCAGGTTGGTGACGGGCCCGGTGGGGAGTCCAGGATTTGGAGTGACTTCATCTTCCAAGAATTCGGGAAAGGTGATCAGTTCAACGTGGAGACAAGCTTTGAAAGGGCTCATTCAGACTCTAAGGGCTGTCCCGTTGATGAGTCACCTTCACATCGGTATCTCTCTACTGCAAAGGCCATGCAGATAGACCAATGGGTGACTGAGAGAGCTGAAATTGAGCAAACTGAGCCGTTGCCCGAACCTGCCTCCATGCCACAACCTGAGACTTCGTATGAGCCTACATCCACTACCAATGCTATGAAGCCACCTGGAATCAAATCGCGAAGGGCTGTGAATCCGGTGCAAAACCAATCTGCGTCCCCCTCAAAGACGGCGACATCTAATTGTCAGTCGCTCAATGCCCCGGGAGAGGACAAAAGTCGAAGCCCACGAAAAAAATGGAAAATGAACTATACCCCCCAGGCGCTTGAGCAAGGTCTCATTCAGCCCAGCAAAGAAGTTGACAAGCGGGAGGGGAGCGCTCTTTGCGATGTAGCTTCAAACATCACTGCCACCAAGGCCTCGAGACTTCCGTCGAATTTTGACACCACCAAGTACACCAAAACCAAGTCTATTCCCATTCCGTCGAACAAACCTTGGGGCAACCCCAGCCGCAGAGAAATTAAAGCCTCGTCCACTTGGGGGACCAGAAAACCTGGGAGGCGTGACGACTTAATTGATACATCCGTTCCTGCTTCCGCTGCGACCCCCAATGCTCTGCCCCTTATGTCCCTCGATCAACCTGCTTTGGTCCCAGAAAAGTTGTCCGGCGACACTGTCCCCAAGCACAGCTCCGACAGTAAAGTCATTTCATCTGAGACCGATCACTCGCCGAGCCTCGCTGGTCTCAATTTTGAAACGGATGGTTCTTCTTCTCCCGCGCCTCACAGCATTCCATCGAGCCAAGAAGCGGCGTCATCCAGTACCGATACTCAAGAGCAGGAGAAGCGACTTGGTCAGCTGAAGAAGATTCTTCAAGACCATATTGTGACAGATCGTGTCCATGAAATCGATGCCTTTACTGCCCACAGGCCCAGGCCCAGGTCCAGGCCCACTCGCCATGCCAATCAAGTATACGGGAAAGAAAAGCTCGAGGAATTTGACCGCATCCATAGATCAGAGATGACACAGGTTACCGACGAAGTCGCTACCAGGAAATACCACCACACTATGAAGCAAAAAACTGCTAGCTTTGTTGGAAAAGCGAAAGGTAAAGCTGAGGTCAAGGCGAAAAGACAGGCCACCCTGGAAGACGCCTGGGGTTTGCTGAAAAAGCCCATCAAAAAGACAGATGGTACAGCGAGAATTGAAAAGACCTCTGAAAATCTGGCCAAAGGCGACAAAGAGTCACAGGAGAAACCAGAGAAGCCCAAGCCGCGGCGACTTCAAGCAGACGAATTGCGTACGAACGAGGACATCAAAAAGCTTTGTGGAGCTCTGAGGCAGACCCTGGAGGCTGCTGAATGTTTCCCGGGTACATTGACCCTAGAGTTACAGTTCGGCCTCTTGCTTATTCCTTTGCTACCCAAAACTTATATGGAAAAGTCGGTCTCCCTTGACGAATGGACAAGAATTTTCCAGCCCCAAACCGGCGTTGCACCCCCATCAACAAAGTTCATCAGTAGACTGACGACATCTGGATCTGATGCTGACCACATTGTGGACTTGAAGACATCCAAAGTGGAAGGCAAACGGCGCATTTTTGAGCAAGATGACAGCGAATTCTGCGTTTCTTACGAATATCATTGTCGAACCAAGTCTGACAAACCCATCATCATCATGGTAAATGACCAGGGGAAACACACTCTCAAATATCCGACAAGCGCTCTTGGTGGAGCCAACTTGCACTTTCCCGGTCAGATCTGGGACGCCCACTTAGGCGTGAGTGGTGGCTTTGGGTACAAAGATGGAAGCGATCCAGAAATCGAGGAAGCTGCTCAGTACTTGGTCGACCATATCTGGGTTCCCCCGAACAGGACGCTCGTTCAGATTTACACCCAACTCCCAGAAGGAAACAAGATTGTCATCGATAAAGTTTTTATGAAGCGTTGGACCCGTCATCGATACATCCGGACTGAAGATACCTCCCCAAAAGATGTCGCCAACCCGGACCGGGCTTCGTCGACAGGACTGAGATCTCGCTCTACAGCCAGTCCGGATCCTGTGGAGACTACGAGTCAGGATAGTCGGAACGGCGGAGTCGAAGCCAATTCCGATCAGGATATTTTCCTACAGGTGACGGAAGTTCAAAACCTCATGATTGGAATCAGTGCCACGGACCCACGAGCTGTTAGAGCCCGCTGTGCAACACTGCTTAACATGCTCAAGACAGGACGCCAGTGGTATGAAGCTTCGTTGGTCAGCCCTGCCATCGAGGCCATTTTGAAATCCAATACCGATCTTGAACTTGGGGAACGGACGGATGATTGGTGCAGTACTGATCTTTTCGGCAATGACGCCTCTCTTGTTTGTGAACAGCCGGCTGGCTCTGCTGAGAACCAAATTCCCATTCCACTAAGTCCCGTTGCATCTGCCATCGGTGATGCTGGCATCGGAAGTCTGTTTCGTCTGGCTAAGAAGATCATCGGCAAAATGGACGGAGTTGGATACTGGAATTACAACCCCCAAGCCGACACAGACACAGTGCGCATGCCCCCTCCCAGCTCACTCGGTATCCCTCCTGCGGCAACCGCTCTCACCGTGGCATCTCTCAAGAATCTTACGGCCAAGCCTGAGCCAAAAAGCTTCAGCTTTGAAGAGTTGGAGAGCATCAAAGATGTCGGCAGCGCCACTATGGAGGTTGCACTCACCAAGAAGTCCTCTCCCATCCCTTCTACCAAACCGATGGAAAAGATTAACGAGGTAGACTACTGGTGAACTCGGTTTACGTGCACTGCTAATAGGGGTTATTTCCAATGCGTTGAAATTGTTGTTCTCGGGTTTTTAATTGTTTTCATGAGCAGCTCGCTCTTTCTGTACTCCAGTATTTGATTGTCCTCTTAACTGAGCAATCGGAACAGTTTGTTTTCATTGAAGTTCCTTTCGGCCAATTACTGAATTCTCGGTATACAAAAGCCACGTAAGATAAATGCTAAATCAAAACCATCATAACGATTGTTCTCTCACTCAACGACTTTTTATAGACGAATTCCCCGATGGTCTATACTATCTAACTAGTGTCATCATCTTCATTTGAGCCGAAACGTATCATCAAATATAAATGAAAGCAAGAAAGAGCAATTGGATCAAAGGGTATCCAAGCCTAGATACCCAGATGGAAACGAAATCAAAAAGCCGGATCAACCCCTCTATCTATTTATCTATCTATTCCTCCTCGTCAGGCGCATCATCCACGCCCCTCAACCAAGCGCCCCGAGCATCAACAGCCGCCTTCCGCACATCACGCTTCGGATCATCCAGAACCATCCGCAACGACCGCAGCACCTGATTCTTCACCGGCAGAAGCGGAGACAGCTTCCCTGCCTTGGCGACAGCCGGTGCATCAGACGAGGGGGTCTGCGCCAGCAGGAAGAGGCATTTGAGCGCGTCGGCGCGCAGTCTGGTCCCGTTGACGGAGACGGAACCGGCAGGGACGTACTGGGTTGTTTTGAGCAGGCGGGTGACGAGGCTCTGCACGTGGCCGCAGTTCTCGATGACTCCGACGCCGTTCTCGCGGATGATGACGGCGAGGGTGTCGAGGGTTGCGGAGCGGACGGCCTGCGAGTCGGCGGTTTGGAGGTCGAGGGTCTGTAGGAGCAGGGGGAGGAGGGTGGGGAGTTCCGGCATGACGAGGGACGGGGCGATGGTGGAGAGGATGCCGGAGAGGGCGGTCAGGTGGGCGGGCTTGATGTGGGAGAAGGAAGAGGGGGCGGACGACGAGTCGGCGTTGACGCTGACGTTGACCTCGCGGATTCTGGTGGAGATGAGAGGCACCAGGGTGGTGAAGACGCGCTGCTTGGAGAGGAGGCGGATGTTGGCGCCGTTGGCGGGGGAGAGGACGTCGTCGTCTCGGAGGAGGATGGCGAAGCCGCGGGCGGCGGTCGTGCTGGTAGATTCGTCGGGGGAGGAGAGGAGGGCGAGAAGAGAAGTGAGGAGTTGGGTTGTTTTAGGGGCGAGGCGGAGAACGAGGGCCTTGGAGAGCCAGAGGATAGTGGCTAGTTTCTCCGGGCTGAGTTTCTCTGCTTCGGCGCCTGGGGGGAGGATGGAGTCGAAGAGGTCCGAGGCAATGCCGAGATCCGTCTTTGGCAGGAATTTGTTGACGAGGAGAGCCAGGTGACGAAGGAGTGCGATATGGGTAGATGGCTCGCATTCCGTGATGGAACGCTTCGTGATGTCAGAGAGCAGAGCAGACATGTTAGGGCTGCTGTATGGCAGCTTGGCACAGTCAGCTGGGAGTCCCGCGAGGAGATACGTTGATATAATCATTGTGCGCTGTTGGTTGGCATCCGTGGTTTGCGCAAATGGGACAGGGGAAAAGCTGTCTGCCGGAGAAAACAGGGTGTAGACGTTCTCTGCGACTTCGTCCTGCTTTTCCTTGGGAAGCGATCTGACAATAAGATTGCAGAGTCTTCCGAGGATGTCCAACACGGTGACATCGGCGAGGATGCTGTTCTTAGCTTTTCCTGAAGCCGAATCAGCCACACTGCGGCACAAACCGATCACTATCTTGTCATAGTAGACACCCAAGTTCGGATCTTGGTCCATCTTCCTTTGGCTCATGACATAGAAGATGGTCAAGAGGATTGCTCTCGGATACGCTGCGGAACCCGATTGCTCCCTCTGCAGCAGAACGGTCAACTTGCTAAGTAGCCGCCGGACCAATGTCTCGAAGATGTCCTTTTCAACGCTTATTTGCGCAAGGTTCTCAAGAGTTGTTAAATAATCAGAGTTCGTGTCGTCATCCGAGTCGGGAAGAGTTGCCACAAAGGCAGGGAAGGTAATGTCCATGATAAGCCTTGGTTTGTACTTCGAGAGTTCTGCCAATGCTGAAATAGCCTCCTTCTTAAGGTCATCACGGCCCACAGATTCCTCTTTGAGCAGAATCTCGTCGAGGTATTGTACGAAGAGACCAATTTCGTTATCTTGGAAGTAATTGCGCAGGGTGGACAGGCGCAGGAATCCCTTCAAAGCGGAAACCCGGAAGGACACCTCCTCTTTGATAACGCCCATTAACGCCTGGCCAAAAATTTCGGAAAACTGGTCCTTAAACTCGAGAAGGGGGTTTTCGGCAGCAGGCTCGGGGTCCCGTGTTATCCATTCGCCAAACACCTGGATAGCGGAATCGAAAAGAACTATGAGGGTCTCCAGCAAAGCTCTTTGTTTGGCTATTCCATCGGCTTCCTGATAGATAGTCAAAAGCGGCGCAACAATTGTTTTTACAGCCAAGGCGAATGACGCAGTAGAGGCAGTCGCAACAGAGCCGAGGATCTGTTGAGCGGGCTTTGCCTGTTTTTGTTGAGGTTCCCGCAACTGATCATTGCATTCCCTGGTGATGGGTCGCAGGTATTGTGCTAGAGGCAATTGATCAGAGATCTGCGTGACACCTTCCGACAGTCGCTTCGTGATATTATTCAAAACTTCAAGAGAGAGCTCGGAAAGGAATTCTTCTTGTGCGTTGAGAATTTCAAATTTAAGAGCATCCCAGATAGTAATCGAGTATCTGGACACAGTATCGGGGTCATACGAGCGCACGCAGGCAATCAATGCATTGAGGGCATCTTTCTTTGAGGGAATTAGACATGGCCAATGAAGTGAATGGGGGTCCATCTCACCTTGACATTTGGTGATGTCGAGTCAAGTTTGTCCAACAACGAAGGGATGGCGTAAGGGGCGAATTGGCCTGTGGACGAGATACAGTCCTGCAAGCGGCTCTTCAGATCCTGCGCGGTGATACCATATGGATCATTCGGCGGGGGTCTGAACGTGATTGGGAAGTAATTATAAACAGAATCGAATAGAAGCTATTGAGGTCAGTCCTGAGGCCTAAAATCCTGAGCGGTAGGAAATGACTTACCTCCGCATGGTTCGAGACATCCCATTCGACCATCACTACTTTCAGGATAGAGAAGACGAGCATCAGGTTCCGGGGATCTTTTTCACCCGTCATGATATCCACGGTTCCAACCAGAGAGTCCTCTCCCATTTCATGCAGGGCTATGCAGTGTCAAAATCTGTGGAATACCAACTTCAAGTCGAGTGGTTCGTCACTTACCTGCTCGGTGGTTGGACATCAATTCGTTCAGTAGTTGGTAAACCTGGAATCTTTGCGATTGTGACCGAGACTGCAGTTCTTGGAAGTGTTCGAAGATACTATGATAGGGTTAGCAACACCATTTTTCCAGCGGCACCTAATTCTTTCAGGTCGAGTCCAATGCCGACAGATGAAGAGCAAAAGAATGCACTTACGCTCGTGCCACTTCCTCAGCCAGCTCCTTGGTGAAACGGTCCAACTTCTGCAGCGTTTCCAGTCCCGTAACAGCCCCTCCATCTTCGATACGATCACAGAAAAAGGTTGTCAAGACCTGGATCTGCTGTCGAGTAAGGAACTTCGGAGGTAGCGCGATGATCACGGCGGTAAGGTAGGAGACGGCTTTGCCTCGTAGAATCGGGTCTTCATCGTTTATATATTCGCCCAAAGACTGTACGACTTCGATGAGGGTCGTCTTCTTGTTCTCCACATCTTTTGCGAAACGATAGTTAGAAACAACGCAGTTCACGTTTTTGATAGCCAAGGGCCCTAACAGTACCTTGAGCAATTCGTTCAGCAATCTGCTTTGCCTCCTGCTTGTCGTGGTCCACGACCAGCAGGAAAGTCTGCAATGCCGACATCTTCGCAATCAAGCCTTGTGGTGAGGGGTAAAGCAAGAGGCGATTCCCCTCCGCGACCGGAACATGACGCTTTTTGCCGACTGCCCTTATCGATAACCACCAGTCACGTGCGCTGTCTGTCGCTGTCTCCGCGTCAAGTCACGTGTTGCCCGGAAGAGGAAGGGGCGTCCCCGTTGCGTCATGGGTCTTTTGGTGAAGTCACCCCAGCAGATCGACTGATTTATATACCTACGGATCGACACTTCGATCCATCATCTGCCCAAGATGCGGCACATTACCTGGACTCCATTCCTTTTAATATCGATCATAATCTGCTCGATTTCTACAGCCTGGAGCATTCCAACCTTCTCCCTTCGAAAGCGTATCCCCCCGGTGCTTAGCGACTTACCTCCCGTACGTCACACAGGAGATCCACAGCAGAGAAGCAGTCTCAGCAGCTGGCTTCAACTACAAGAGCCTGGTATGGGTAACGCTCATCCTAAGATCGTCATGCCTCCGTCAGGAAATTCCGGCAAGGGCGCCAAAGACCCCAAGGATGCCAACCAGAATAACCCCATCATATCCGATGTCCTTCCGAAGACACGCGCCATTAATATCTTTGCACGGCTCACGCGTGATTTCGAGTCTGTTGAATCGCGTCTAAGTGATCCCTCGAAGAACTTGACGGTCCTGGCGCCTCGGAATGGTGCAATCATGGATCTGCCTCGCAAGCCCTGGGAGAACCCCGATGATTACGCGCAATTCGGAGAGGCAAATGCATATGAAGGGGAAGAGGGACAGGACCGGGCTAAGCGTAATTTGAAGCGCTTTGTTGAAGCTCATATTGTCACTGTCAGTCCTTGGGAGGAAGGAGATGAAGCGGAGACCCTCGCGGGGGATAAGCTGCGCTGGACGAAGGATGGCGATAAGATCTATGTATGGAATAGACCTTCCTTCCCCTATTCAGCTACCATTATGATACTCATACTAACGTACTTAAGATCCAACCTGGCAACGTCGAAGTCGAGAGCATTGCGGAGCAAGTATCGAACGGCGAGGTGTGGATCCTCAACGGCGTTATAAATTATCGTTGATCTATGCTGGTAATGACTTATGATGCGACGTATTTGCTTGGCTTTATTTGACTTTATTTTCTTATACATATTTGATATTATTGCGCGTGACGTTCTTTTATGTACTATGCAACTATGATATGAACTTGGCAGACCTAGAGAAGCTGCGCCTTAGATACCACTATCGCACTATTCTTCATTATCGTTCGATATGTCGAAGCGTCAACATGTTTCTAGATCTTTTGAAACTGAAAGGAGTATATAGAACAGGAAAACAGCCGAGTTGCCTGAGTTGTTCGGTTTCAACGGACTTCCTTGGAACCAAGGTTGTGTAGTATCCTTTCCTCGATGCCATTCAAGATGCAGAAATGCTCCGCAACTTCCAGGTTCTCGGCTTCACTCTGATATAGCTTATCGGGGTCTTGACCGGGTTGGAAGGGATTCATTCCAGCAGCTGGGTTCATGCCGGCCATCTGCTGGGTCATTTGACTTGCGGCTAGATTGGGAGATATATTAGCGACACCAAAAAGAAAAAAAAGCATTCAATGTTACGAGTAGGGAGGTAGACAAACCGTTGTCACTGCCCAAGATAAAACCAAAAACCGACTGGAGACCAAAGAGGTTCAGGAAATACCACGAAAGACTAGACACCCATCTGACATCCAGATCACGGGTCATGACACCGGACTGAAGCATCGACTTGAACCGGATAGTGAGAGGGAACGGCAGTTTCACTGTTTCACCTGCATCAGTACAAGGGATTTACCTGAGATCGCACAGAATCAGACGACATACAAATAACGAATCCCGAAAAGAACGCATTGATCCAGCTCATAATGAGAGTCTGAGGGATCATCATCATCATGTTGCCCTTCATCATTCCCATCATCGCCTCCATGCCGGCAGGGTCGGTCATCGGGTTGGCCGGGGGCTGGCCGCGATTTTCCGGGTCTTTCAAGAACTCGCCCTTCTGGTATGCGGAAACTAGGTACTTCTTCCGGACCTCAAACGCATCCCGTGATAGGACCGCGGAGGCATTGTTACGAAGGTTGACGCCGCGGAAGAGAGACAGTCGCTCGCGAGATTCGGCCATAGTGCCCGGGGGCTTCGGGGGGTTGTTCATCAGGACGGTGGCATAATGACGAAGAATACCGGTCAAGATCTATGATATGGCATTAGCTCTCAGGATCGAGCCGACCATACAGATGAGTAGAAGAAGATGCGCACCATGACAATCGTGATCGGGAATAAGATCCAGTAGCTGGTGAGCGATCATGTTGGTTAGTCCTCTTGTCTTCGCTGACCCGACGGTGTTATTCGCAGAACTCACAAAAGAGCCGGATCCCGAAGGATCGTCTGCTCGACCCCTTGCAAAGCCATGGCGAACGAGTTGGATCGCAATTGGGGTGGTGGGTTGGTTGTCTTGAGGTTGAGATGACAAGGGAAGCTCCCAAGATTCAGGTCGGTCCCCACGAAGAGAGCGGGCTTGGCCTAGCGTGAGACCTCACGCCGCTTTAGCTCCGCTCTCCGCGAAAGGGACAGCTCGCCGCAACGCCTTCGTCTTCTAAACAGTCCACCTTGAAAGGCCCCTCCGTGCACAACAGTTATATTCTCTTAAATACACCTTCACTTTCACCTTCACAAACCATATTACCCAGCCTGTGGTGCTCAAAACCGTACAAATGGCGTCAGCACCTGCAGTAAAGGTGCCTGTTTACTCTGGCAATGGTTAGTATCGCATCCCCACGACTAGTTCATTCGATTGCTCAATGCCTATCTGAGCTCTCATTCTTCCTTTTGCAGCTTTCGCAGCTATGAAAACATACTGACATCATCTCCAGACCTCAAGTCAACCACCGACGACTCCCTGGCGCCGTACTTGACCACTCTCCCCCAGCCGTACACCTTCACCCAAGACCATTCGAAAACGAACGTCCGATTCGCACTGGGCTACACCGCCGTCTCGATCGCCGCATTTACCTTCTACGCCGATCGCAAGCTAGGATGGGAGGCGACAACATCGCCCTGGATCCTGGCCGCCGTCTCCTCATACTTCATCCTAAACACCATCCTCACATATTGGGTCTGGGGCGTGGAATCCGGCGAGATCTTCCGAGGGAAACGACAGTCTGGTGAAACGGTAGGGGACTTGCCCAAAAGAAAAATATCCTCCCTGTCTTAATATAACGCTCTCGCTAATCTCATCTGTCGGCATATAGATCTCCATCCGCTCCTCCAACAAGAAATTCTCCCCCCTCTACAAACTCCATATCCAGTACACGTCGCCCTCCAACAAGGTTCTCCAGGAGAAGGAGATCGAGACCCCTTTCACTACTTGGTTCGCCGCCGACGGCACGTTCCATCCTAAGCCGCTCCAGCAGTGGATCTCGAGTGAGATCGAGGTTCTAAAGCTGGCGGCGAAAGAGCTGGAGAAGAAGAGGGCTGCGCGTGCCGCTGCGTGAAGTGTCTACTTTCTTCTCGTGGTGCTCTTGCTGTCCTGGCTGTCCTCGGACTCTTGGATCGATGCAAAAGTGGACTTGTTTCGGTGCAATTTCATCCTATATTTGTTATTTCCTATAAGCATTTGAGCTCCGGGTCGGGCGAAGCAAATATTATGAATTCAAAAATATTATTGTTTCTTGCAAATAAGCATATTTTCAGATTGCTTTATAAGTATACTTGGGATTAAACAAAGGAGATCAAGATAGCAGCTGCAATTTTTTGCTCCTGCGCGTCAAATTCATTTAGCCGTGTTTCAGGAATTTGTACAATCGTGTATGCGAGTATATTTATAATGAATAGCTCCTTTAAAACAATAAGACAAAAGAAAAGAAGTAAGAACTCTATGGCTAAAATAGCTTCTACGTAATATCATTTTCCATCACAACGTATTATGTCGATATCGATATCGTTGAAATCATGAGGCAGCTTCCAGGGTTCCTGGGCGCTCAGTGGCCTGGGCAGGCTTTACATCGTCCAGTCTCCGGTTCTGGATGAGTCTCTGTTGTGAATTATTAGATAAGAATGTCCCCATACAGAAAGACAGGCGGATATACTTACCAGAAGGTTTCTGAGCAGGACAACGATGGTAACCTTTCCGGTAGAAGGCACGAACAGAGAGGCCTTCTCCTTGACTTCGGGGCCGAAGTTCTATTTGCAAAGCATAAGTTAGATCTTGGCTCGTGCATCAATCACATGGGGCAATTAGGGTCTTTGTCATACCTTCTCACTGGAGAAATTGACACACACGGCACCTTCTCTGAGGAGGCTAGTGTCGAACTTGTAGGAGTCTCCAGGGACACCAGAGATAACAACGTCACACAGAGGTGCCACGTCCTTGAGAGTCTGGCCCTCCAAGTCGACAACCTCGTGCCGTCCCTTCTTGATGCCTTCGCCACGGGTGAACTTCTGGACACCAGTCACGTCTACGCTGTAAACACAGGCTCCATCGTTGGCCAACAATGCGGCAAGAGGACGGCCGACAACCTCAGATCGGTTCACCACGCAAATTGTGTGCCCAAATAGTCGGTTTCCGTAAGGCAGTATCGTGTTGTAGACCTTGAGGTGCTCTAGGATCTTGATGATGGCGAGAGGGGTGCAGGGAAGAATGCACTTCTGGCGCTTGGTCTCGGGGTCGAGGAACCGGATGTTCTGGTACATGTTGAAGATATAGCGGTGGCTGAGACCCTCTACATCCTTGGATACGTCGACGATCTGCTGCAGGTACTGGTCCTGCCGGTTGTTGAAGATGGGGTAGTATACGATGATGCCGTCAACGTCCGAGTCGGCATTGGCAGCAAGAATGGCCTCTTCGAGATCCTCGCGTGACACTTCACGAAGAGAGTAACGGAATCCACTGTAGGACAAGAACAACTACGTTAGCTACGATGTGATTCATCAAGATCCCGCGGTTGACTCCCCGCGCTCCGACATCGCAAGTCGCGAGACGAGCGTCTCCCCGACAGGAGAAAACAGACCCCCCAGGAGCCATTGATGTAAATGAAAATAAACATGAGAAAATGCTCACTTTTCTTGACAAGTCTTCTCCGTCCACTGGGCATACATGAGTGCCGCAGGGTCATTGTTGGCCAGAAAACCCACAAGGTGGGGTGCCTTTTCCAAGGTCTTGACACCCTCTAGAACCTCCTCAAGTAGACCGTTGGCAACATGCTTCGAGAGCATGACCTTGCAGGTGGCCGGGGCCGCATCTGTAGTGGCGGCCATATTTATGGAAAATAAGGCTTATAGGGGAAGAGCTGGCCGAAGGTGAATCAGGAATCTGCTTTGAATGACTTTGGTGGAGGGAACAGGAATTAAAATTTTGGGACGGAAAAGACTGCTCGCTTATCGATAAAGAAATGCCGCATTCGGCCCTCGCATCGCATCACACGGGTGTCATTGCCAGCCATGACAGGGTTCATGGGATTCAAATTGGCTTCAATCAAAAGTCCTTGGCTATAATAGTGCTTGATATATTGACAGTTAGTGGATTACAGCTTAAGGTACATGATTTGTGGTAGAGAACTACGTATGTCTAATGCACATACAGTCGACTAAACAAAGTTGGATCACGACCATAATACTATATATTTCGGGATTCCACTCAACCTGACGACTAATGTGTCTAGGAAATATTATTGTAAGCTTACCGGCGAAGAATTGAAATCCAATATAATAAAAGCCGAAGAATCCGGAGATTCAGCAGGAGCCGGGCTACAAAGCGCGAACATCAACTTCAGATCTCTACGTCATCCTACAAGGATCATGATGAAGAATAAAACGAAAGTAGGCGAACAAAGGAAATCATATTCGGACTGCATATATGGAGATAAAGGAACGCCGATAGAAAGAAAAAACCGGGTATCAAAAGGCCATCCCTTGCGGAGGAAAAGCCAGAGCCCAGTTAACTCCTCCTAATCCCGCTCCCCTGTTGCGCGAAAAGATCTAAACGTACAGGATATTAATCGTATCTGTCTTTTTTTACCGTCTCACTATTGTACCTCTTCTTCATAAGCTACAAAGGACCAGGTTGCAACACCAAAAAGGACATCCGCTGTGGTTCCTCAAGGCCCCCAGCCAACCCGAAACTCTGATGAAAAGAAAAAGAAAACAGTGGTCTCAAATTGTACAAGCTAACTTGTCTATACACATAGAGTCAGGAAAAAAACAGTACACGGTTGTTTAATCACCCAGTTGCCTTTTGCTCACCTATGCGTTGAAAGACTTGTTGAAGGCACCGATGACCTCACGGAGCTGGTTCTCGAGGTCCTTGCTGACCTGGCCCTCCTTCTCGATGGTCTGCTGGATCTCGGGGTGGTTGCTCTTGAGGTGAGCGAGGATGTCAGCCTCCCACTGGAGGATCTTGGCGACGGGGACCTGGTCAAGGAAACCGTTGACACCGGCGAAGATCAGGGGAACCATGTCGGAGACGGCCATGGGGGAGTACTGCTTCTGCTTGAGGAGCTCGGTCAGACGCTCACCACGGGCAAGGGTCTGCTTGGTGGTAGCATCGAGATCGGAACCGAACTGGGCGAAAGCGGCGACCTCACGGTACTGGGCCAAGAAAAGCTTCAGGGAACCAGCGACCTGCTTCATGGCCTTGACCTGGGCGGCGGAACCGACACGGGAGACGGACAGACCGACGTTGATGGCGGGACGGATACCCTTGTAGAAAAGTTCGGCCTCCAGGAAGATCTGGCCGTCGGTAATGGAGATGACGTTGGTGGGGATATAGGCAGACACGTCACCACCCTGGGTCTCGATGACGGGCAGAGCGGTAAGGGAACCACCACCGTGCTTGTCGTTCATCTTGGCGGCACGCTCAAGGAGACGAGAGTGGAGGTAGAAAACGTCACCGGGGTAGGCCTCACGACCGGGGGGACGACGAAGCAGCAGGGACATCTGACGGTAGGCGACGGCCTGCTTGGACAGGTCATCGTAGATGATGACGGCGTGACGGCCGTTGTCACGGAACCACTCACCCATGGCACAGCCAGTGAAGGGAGCGAGGTACTGCAGAGGAGCGGCCTCGGAGGCAGTAGCAGCAACGACGATGGAGTACTTCATGGCGTCGTTCTCCTCAAGGGTCTTGACGAGCTGAGCGACGGTGGAACGCTTCTGACCGACGGCGACGTAGATGCAGTAAAGCTTCTTGGCCTCGTCGGAGGTGCTGTTCCAACGCTTCTGGTTCAGCATGGCGTCAAGGGCGACAGCGGTCTTACCGGTCTGACGGTCACCAATGATCAACTCACGCTGACCACGGCCGATGGGCACCATGGAGTCGACACACTTCATACCAGTCTGGACGGGCTGGTTGACGGAGCGACGGGGCAGGATACCAGGGGCCTTGAGCTGAGCACGGCTCTTGGCCTTGGTGTTGGTGGGACCCTTGCCGTCGATGGGGTTACCCAGAGCATCGACGACACGGCCGAGAAGCTCAGGGCCGACGGGGACATCAACCTAGGATCGATATTAGCGTCCAAACTCCGAGGAAAAATGAAGATATATCTCCAAAAAAAGTCGGGAGAACATACAATCTCTCCGGTACGCTTGACGGTCTCACCCTCCTTGACCAGACGGTCGGAACCGAAAAGCACAACACCGACCTGGCCGGCTTCCAAGTTCATGCACATACCCTTAACACCGGAGGCGAACCTATTCATCCGTCAGTCATGCCAGGGTCAAAAGTAGGGGGAACGGTGATATCATTAGGGATACGTACTCGACCAGCTCCTCAGCCTGGACGTTGGTCATGCCATGGACACGGGCAATACCATCACTATTCACGAAATTAAGTTAGTCAACGGAGTTTGGTGCCAGAAAGCCATGACGTCGTGGTTTGGGATGATTTTTTTTTCGATGATTTTGATGATGCCGTAGCCGTGCTCGAATTTTTTCAACCGGGGTAAAAGCGATCACGTACCCGACGGAAAGGACACGGCCAGTCTCGGCAAGGCCGGCCTCCTCCTGAACACCACGGATTCTCTGCTCGAGGATGGAAGAAACCTCGGTGGGAGCAGCCTTGGCCTCAGCAGCGTAGGTACGGACCTGCTTGGAAGCACCGGAGATGGGGCCGGGAACAGCGGCGCGGACCTGGAGAGAGACGCAGAATTTGTCAACGACCGAACACGACGACCACAACGCGTGAACACGAGAAGGAATGAATTGCGATGGGTGAGCCAGCCATTGGAGGCCTCATTAAGATGACTTCTCGGATGGCAGCAGCGAAATTGACGGGATGGGCGACGAGATGGCGACGACCTGGGCAGGGATGAGACTCACCGAAGCGATCCGGCCGGTGGCAGAGGCGGCCGCAACGGTGCGGCTGGACTGCCGCAAAGCGTTTCTGAACATTGTGATGGGGGTTCAGAGGAGTGGGAGAGTGGTTTCTCTGAAGGAGAGATGTAATTGGGGGGAGGAGGAGAGAGGAGAGAGGATTGTGGATGGATGGAAGGAGAGCTTTGTCGTCGGGGTTGGGAGGATTCTCAGAACGGCACTAAGCCTAGTTTGCCGAGCCTCAGCAACCTCCGAAGCCGCCCTAGTGCGCTCACGGGACTGCCAGCCCGCGCCCAAGCACGAGAATTGCGGGTGTCTGTTCCCACGACTACCACTCGCCCGGGCGTCTAGCTAATTTTTAGAGTCCGACCGATATGGCCTCTACGGATTTCTGCCTTTTCTTACATGGTATTTTCGCCAGGGTTGACGGGGTGGGAAAAGCGACGGGGTGGAGGTTGGCTGGTTTTGGTTTTGGTTTGCTCCGGGTCTCCGTCCGTCTCCCTTCCCTGCTGCGGGCCACCTGGCAATCTCAGTTTTCGCTCGCATTTTCTCGGATCTGCGGATCCTTCCTCCTGGTCATTGGCTCGGCCTGCTGACTCAGTGCCCGCCCATTTTCGTCACAGCAACCGCTCCTTCGCCAGCTGCCATCCTGGACGCCAGGGTCAACGTCAACGTGCGAGGGGACGGCATTTCCCGGGTTTCTCGGTTCTACGTAGGTTGATTCTGGCGATGAAGATGCCATCGATCGTTTCTGTGCTCCCTCCTCGATCGTGGATCGTATCTATCGTGTCATGAGTCCTCCCTCGGCAGCTCAATATATATCCTGACGACGTGTACTACGTAGGTGGATATCCACGCAGCAACGCCGATGTAGTTCGTGCGGTGAAGAAAATTAGTTCCGACTTATGGACTACTCCGATATCCCTCTGTTTATGTTTATTTATATCGCCTACACCGTCCCTTAGCTCGATCTATCCGTCGACACCGCAAGTGCCATCTACATAGTAACCTACTCGCTGGACAGCTCTAGCTGTACGAATGCTGCATTACGTAACACCAAATCGCTCAATCCAGTACCTAGCAGTCCGCTGTGCATATACATCAACAAATCAACAATCAACAATCAACAATGACGGCAATGACAAGCAATTAAACACGTTCCCCAAACTCGACTCTCAACTCCTGGCGCAATGGTTCGGTTCCAACGACCATGACCCTCTCACCCAGTGGGACAAACTGCCTCGATAACCAGCTTATTAGGGAACTACGGTTGAAAAATGCCGGTCGAGAGCAGGTTCTGCGCGACCCGCAGACGCCTCCCTAGGTTTATTGTTTCGCGGCATCCTTGTTCTTCTTCTGGTCCCGGAAAGCCGCGATCTGCTTCTGGACGCTCTCGTCGTATCGGGCCTTCAGTTCCGGGCGATATCCGAAGAAGAACAGAATCTCCATCCAGACAAACAGCGGAGCAAGCAGGAGGGCCTGGACCAAGTTGTCCAGGAGCGCAGGAGCCCGTCCCTCGAAGACTCCGTGGCCGACGAACTGCACCAACCAGGACGCGATGTGGATGCCTCCAAACCAATAGTTCATGCTGGGACCGTATGTGATTAGGAGGTGGTTTGCGAATGCGGCACCCCCGAGCAGGAGGGGCGCGACAAGGCCGCCAGCGACGGGTTCCAGGAGGATATAAAAGGTGGCATATATCAACGCGCCAATGGTTCCGACATTAGCCGGGAGGTTTTCGAAGCGAAGGACATCGGGGACATCAAAGAGGACGGGAGAGTTGGATGCCTGAAGGACCGTTCATCAATATCTCTCCGAATTGAAATTCAGCTACAATAAAGAAAAAAAATAACATACCAGTGCAATCCCCGTAAATAGGAGTATCGGCACACATGTAATGTGGATGGCAATATTTACCTGAGGGCCGTGAGCAACAACGGTCGGTTAAAGGGGTACAAAGAGGACGATTTACGGGATTATTATGGTAGGCGCCGTACTAGAAGAGTAAGCCGTTGTCCAAGGGCGATCAAGAAAGACCCTGATTATCCATCGGGTCAGATGAAAGAACTCACAAAGAGAAGCTGCCTTTCTAGGTTCAAGGCCATGTTGATTTCTGTCTGGTAGGCAGTCTCAAAGCAAAAGACAAACCTGGCCGTCTGAACGGATCGAAACAATGAAGAGGACTCGTCAAAACTCTTTCTCAGTCCACCGTTACGAATCCATACGACAGGAAGTATTGCCAGATCAGGCCAGCCAAGAAGGTGGAGTTAGCAGGCATTTTATCTGCACTAAGACGACGAGGCATTTGCTCTGGCACAGACGTCATGTGCACATGTCGCCAGGGACCGAGGATAACGTATTTTAATAACAAGTTATGCAGCCATATGCACCCCCATGTGCGCAGTGAGGGTGTACTGTATTGTAACGTAACCAACACCGCCCTCGGGCTATCCAGATCACGTGGTCAACTGCAGCTTGTGCTGATCAGACATGGCTGGTCACCATTGTCTCTCTCGAGTCAACTTTCTTGTACATACCCAGCTATTTGCGCTCGCCTCCTTGTCTAGGCAGTGACTTGATTCTCTACTAACCACACGACATTCTTTTCTTCCAAGTTGTGCGCTTTTTGTCACGGGGGTAGCTTTTTCTGTTTCTTGTTGGTTATGAGCTGCTGAAGCTCCGTTAATGGGCGTGAATTGAAACAATTCGTATTTCTTCGACATTCTCCATTTCGCATTCAATACCCTATCTCGTTGCGCCCAGTCTCGAAATTCTGAAAACTGTCCTCGTTTAGCAGTATCGAGTGCGACGCCGACCAATTGTTCAGCTTGCGACCAGAACACCCACCCCGCCTTTGACTTAATCCGAATCCGTCTCGCTGCGAAACCTTGCGCAATGTTTTTCCTCAAAGAAGAAACAAAAGTTATCACGCTGCATCCGTCTTACTTCGGGCCCAATGTGCGGGAATATTTGATCAACCGATTGAACGAGGAGGAGGAGGGACGGTGTACGGGTGATCACTTTGTGATCTGTGTCATGGATATGGTTGATATTGGTGAAGGGAGGGTGCTTCCAAGCGGCGGACAGGCTGAATACACCATAAAGTATCGTGCGATTATCTGGAAGCCTTTCCGAGGGGAGACGGTATGTCCTTCTTTCTTGGAGGTTCGGCGACAACAAGCCATCGCCGAATACTGATCATGTTACCCGTCAGGTTGATGCCATAGTTACCTCCGTCAAACCCACTGGAATTTTCACATTGGCAGGTCCTTTGTCAGTTTTCATCGCGCGGAAAGTATGTTTCATGAACTGCAGGCGACAAGTCGGTTTTCATGCTAACTGAATCCCAAAGAACGTCCCCTCCGATATCAAGTGGGAGCCAAACACAGTACCTCCCCAATATACGGATCATGCCGACCAAGTCATCGAAAAGGGAACCAGCTTGCGTCTCAAGATCCTTGGTGTCAAGCCCGATGTGGCGGCCATCAATGCCATTGGCACCATCAAGGAGGATTTCCTAGGGTGAGTCCCCAGCGATGCTTAGTCTGGCCACCGAAGAGACTACTAACTTATTTTCTTACCACAGACCACTGTAATACATCTTCGACGCGCAATCAAAATACAAAAACGAGGAGAGGACAACCAGAAGGTACCCAGCATATTTTCACGATTTATACCAATAATACCAGGAGCAAACATTTGAGAAGGGCTTTTTTTTTTTTTTTTTTTTTTTTTTTTTTGACTGGCACTCCTGCCCCATAGAGAGGATAGGATGAGAAAAGCTCCTGGTGCTTGGAAGTGAAGCGCTTTCCTTATGGGTCGGCAAGGCATCCTTGAAATGCTGGAGCCCATGAAACGAGCGTTTTTCATAGAGCCGAAAGACATTGCTATTTCTAGGCCTTCGCGGGCTGAGAGTCTTTTGAAATAGTATCTCAAGGATCTAAAAGATGCCTGAGGCAGACTCGAAAAATGAAATATAGAAATTTAATGCTCAGGTATTCTAGTTCAGGATGAAGTTCAGGTCAAGATATTTCACCCTAGTGTGAAACTTGAAGGGATATTTTGGCCACGGCTGAAATACCTTCTGGAGTTATTAATTAAGGACTGCACCATGACACCTAGGTACTTTCCTGGGGAATTGGCCCTGGCTCCTTAGCGTATCGCCTTATCGAGATAAAAGACAGGAAGCAATGGCACAGGAAGGGAAACCTCCCAGTGTAAGATCTGCTGGTGTTTCCGTTGGACGTTTTACTGGCGCTAGTGCACCGTTTCCAACGTTGGATCTGCAACTATCACCAGCATGTTTTGATCTTGTTACGAAGAATACCGGTGGGAGTTTTATCCCTAGTCCGAGATATATTAATGCTTGAACCTGGGCTCGAAGAGCAGTCCCTGAGATCGCTGCATTGAGTCGCCTTTCCCACTGGAATTAGATCATAATGGACCAATAATGACTTGCTTTCTCATGCCTCCTGTCAAAGTACCGATGGCATGGTCCCGGTAGTTGCACTAGTGACTTTGCACTGGAGGCATCCTGATGGTCATGGCACTAGTTCTCTTTGGCCCACATCGTGATTTTGAGGAGTGGTCTGGAACGATGAACTGAAAGGACTCCGCTAGCTAGAAAAATTGGAGGATGATCGTGTCACGTCGTAGTCGAATAGCCGGATTCTGCATGACATTTTGGATAGAACCGAAGATCTACAAGTTCGGAACAAAAAACAGACAGGTCAGACTGAAGACGTAACAGAGTCGAGATGCGCATCTTGGCATGTCCGATTAGGTTGAACTAATCGATATTTAGTCCGATAGTGCAGTTGACGTTGAGATCGATCATATGGGGGAAATGGGTTGATTTGGATAACAGCAGGCGAGGGCACTGAGCTGGCGGAGTCTCCGTATAGCGACAGAGTAAATCCAAGTCAGGGTCAGCGCTAGGCAATCATAAGAAGCGTACCGAAATCATGCTCGAGCCAGGGACGTCAGGATCGCCTAGGGCCGGGGGCAGAGCGCAGCACCAGCGTTTCAGCCTTCGCTTGCCGGCGTCTCTCAGGCAACTGCGGGCCATGTGATCCAGCCGGGCGTCTGCTTTCACTTTCGTCCCCTTGCGACTGCCACATCCACCTCGCATCTGCGCTTCGTGTCTTCCCTTTCCAATGAACTGATTCTCTGCTTGTCTTCCTTTTTCCACCACAGTAACCATTCCATTCATTCCCTCTCTGGTGCTCTCCTGGTCCTTACCGACTCCTTCCGTGGCCCCCCTCCTTTTCCTTTCGCTGTTCCTGTTTCCACATTCGTTTCCCATAAACATCTCCTAGTCTCCTGCGACCATGGCCATTCTGAAGGACCTGTATCAGAGATTCCTGGGTGGGCCCAGGCCTGCTGCCATGGCTCCGGATGTCTCCGTGAGCTACATCACCACCACGACCAAGTTTGAGGGTGCCGACGCCGTGCTCTCTCACCTCACCAAGCAAGATAATGTTGTCAAGCGCAAGTCGGAACAGGTCATTGCTGGCATCGAAGGTGACAACTCCGTGTGTGTGGACGTCGAGACCACTTTGGAGTTTGTCTCTGGTGGGGGTGCCTACCTCCCCTCGATGGACGATAATTTCCTGGCCGACCGCGTCGCGACTTTCCCCACGGTATGTACACAAACAGTCACCCCTCCCTTATCGCTTTTATGTACAATGGGGGTTTATTTTGGGGACTGACGCTCTGATCCTTGGCAGCTCCATATCGTTCATTTCAACTCCCAGAACCAAATCCAGCAGATCAGAATCTATTGGGACCAGGCGTCGCTACTGAAACAAGTCGAGGTGATCGGTGCCCGTGGTCGCGGCTGGCCCATTCGGGAGGCGAAAGAACAGACGCGATTCATCAAATCGGCCGCGTCGGCGGCTGCTGCCCCTAAGCGGCGCGCAAACCAGAGTAACGATGAGCCGGAAAACGGCGATGAGCGTAGCAAACGTGCCTCCCCCGGAAAGAAACACATCAAGGACCCCCACGCAGCCGGGTCCCTGTACGAATTGCTGTCGCCCGAAAAGGATCGCGCCGAACCCGTACGCGCTCCTCGAGCCCCTGCCTCCGCGAAGCCTCCGCCGCGTGAATATAGCGAACTCTTCGTGGGCGCTGACGACAATGCCGACGATGAGGATGCCCCCGACGCGACACCTTCCAAGCCAACGAAATTTGCCCCCAAAGCTGGCGCAGGTAAGAACTTCCGGGCCTCGCGCATCTTCGATGATGACGAGACTGTCGCGGCCGAAGACAGCCACCGACAGATCGCCTACCGCGCCAATCCCAAGCGATTCGATCATTTTGAGATCGGCGGAGACAACAGCCGTCGTGAGATTCAGGAAGTGCCTTCACGCCCGGGCTCTCGCCATGTGCCCCACTGGGAATTCGATGACTTTGCGACGCCTGAGAAGCCTAAGCGCCAGCCTCGTGGCGAAGAAATCCGTCATTTCGGCTGGAGCGACGACGAGCCTGAGCCTACTCCCGTGTTTCAAAAACATGTGTCCCAGCCTCGCCGTGATGCGGAAACCCACTTCAGCATGACCGACCAAGACGAGGAGACGAGCGGACCCCGCTACATCAGAGCCTACGGAAACAAAGGCATGTCTCTCTACAAGAACCATCTGTTTGACGACGCAGCCGAGGAAAAGTCCAACGAAAATGCCCCGCTTTCATCGGCGCACAACGGCCCCAACCGTCGGGAATTCGAGAGTCACTGGACCGCCGCGGATGAGTCCCCTGCCGACGGAAAGTCCAATGAAAACAAGAAGCCCGTGGGCGCTGATCGCCAGAAGGCACTCAAGAACATGGAATCGCAATGGGAAGCCTACGATGAGTCCCCTCAGCCCAGCAAGTTCGTGCGTCCGCCTCCGCAGCGTCGTGCTATACGGAAGGTCAATGAGAGAAGCTGGGGTTTGGGCGACGAATAAGAATATAACCCCATAACTGATTGGTTCTAGCTGAACATGGATCCCACATGATGTTTTACGCACCATTTAGCATTAGACGAAGCTAGCCTCATGACACCTTCAACTAACCTACCCGTGTACAGTGATATTGTGAGCGTGCAATGGCCAATACTGTATGGAGCTTTTGATTTTCGAACTGTCTATTTCCTCAGCCTTATCTATGGCTTTTATTTCGTTTCCTTGTATCATTTCCCTATCTCTTACATCTTTCTCGTTCGAAAGCTCTGATATCTGAACCGGTACTGAGTACTGGATTGTGTATGAATCCGTACAAATCAAATGATAATGAAGCACGCTTTACTGTGATGTCATATATTACTTGATAGATGTTAGGAAAGAGAAATGATTCATATATGAAGTCCACCTTGTGTTGCCAAGAGGCCGAAGGCCTCCGGAAATCCCATCGAAATAGTCCAGCTGCAGCTTAGTACATTCTTTCATCCGCCACTGACTCTAGGTCTGGTTTCATACACATTCCAGATTTAGCACCACGGCTATCGGTGCCATGCTTGCTGTGTACGAGCATAGCCCAAGATAAATCTCTGCATGCCTACACTCCGAAGGCCCGGCTTGTTCCGAAAAATTCGAAGCGCCCCCCTGTTATACCGGACAGGTCCAACTTGTCATAATCCAAATGGTGCAATGAGATCGTCCAGCTCGCAAAAGGGCTCGGTGCGGCATACGCCATTGTCACACCTCGATCACTGACAATGTCGCCGGATTCCACGACTTCGAAATTCTGGCCCTGGTATGGCGTCGATAGCAATCGGTATGACCAGCCAGGGCAGATAGGGTCATGTGCAAAGGTATGGACCCGGTCCGTGCGGTCGTAGTACGAGCTGTCTCCCTCATGGGTGATACTAATCTTGACCAGAGCGTTCTTCTTCGCAGCTTCTACCTCGGGTCGCCTTTTAATGCTGTCTAGCCAGAAGAAGACACGGTAGACGCGAACGTCCGCACAGCCCCAGAATTCGTACACATCACTGGTGGTAGGCATTCGACTTTCAAGCTCGATTCCAGTGTCTTGCAAATGGGGAAACGAATATGGGACAAGGCCGGTGCAGAGGCAACCGACCTTGTCTGGGAGGCATTCACGACCGTCCCAACCATCGACGGAAAAAAGGTCGACAATGTACTTATCGTGCGCCAGATTGAGAGCGTTGTTGGTGATCTATCCAGTGTCTTGAAGACCATGTCCCTCAGGGGAGTACAAGATCCCACAACAAGTCATTTCCAGGTGGACGGAGAACAGGACAAGTTTCTCGTCGCCAGCAAAGACCAAATAGCCAAATCCGTCAAGGACTTTGTCGGTCCCTCCAGAATTGGCGACCAGACGCAGAGGACGCAAGAGGCGCTGCTGAAGTACACGGAGCTGCTCGCAACACGCAACCATGACAAGGTCCAATACAAATTGTCTCTCAAATCTCTGGTAAAATCGGATAGTGCCCTCGCGGAACTTAAAGCTCGTGAACGGGAACTACAAGCTGGTGGGTTCAAGAAGGAAGATGTGGACCAACTCGGCCAAATGGCACGAGGAGATCTACTCGTGGGACCGCGCGCGTACTATGCGCCTCATCTACCTTTACCGTCGGGCCATCTACCTGGCCACCCTGGCCAAAGCAGAAAACAGTGAGGCAGGTGACCGCACAAGTGACGCCGTCCTGATCCAGCCAGCCATGAAGCTTGAGGCGATGTACCAACCACTGCATCGACAACTGTTTGAGCAGCGGGGAGAGCTGGGTCCGATGCCACCCGATATCCAGTCGACTTTGACCATGGCCACGGCAAGTACATGCAATTATCACAAGATGGCCTCAGCGTTCTTCTCGCCAGTCGTCAAGTCCGCGTGAGCCTGCCTGCTCCATACCGCGATTCTATTCGTTTTCGAAGGCGAGGTATTATCTCTAGTGGCGGCATTTTGAATATTCCTGGGCTCTGCTCCTGGTATAGTCTCTGCCCCTGGCCCTGGTCCTCTCCCTGTTGTTTTTCACTAGTTGTCTGTGTCAAGGCCTCTGCCCCCCGTTCCGGTGCTACTTCATGGGTTCTGGGATTGTTCTGTGTCGTACCAGTGTTGCCCCTTGTATTGCTGATTGTTTCGTTCTTCTTCGCCGCAGGCTTAGGCTTTGAAATGTCTAATCTGGCAATATCGGTTACCTTGATCTGTTCGGCAACATTCCCACAGTATTTGAGGAAACGATCAAAGCTAATCTCGAGATTCATTTCGGTCACACTCTTCAGGTACTCGAGCTCCCTCCGGGCGTCCCCTGACCTCCGATACAGTTCGGCCTTGAGGACATTACTCTCAATGCGATATCTCATATCGGTGAGTTGGTCTATGAGGCGCTTTCGCTCCTCGAGTATCTTCGCCGTCCCAGTCTGGACTTGGTCGATCGTGCTCTGCCAAAACTGGCTATTCGTGTCTGCTCTGTCCAATCGTTGAGATAGGCCGAGAAAGAGTCGCTCCGCACTTCCAAGTGTCTGTAGAGCATCTTTTGTCTCCCGTTGAAACACTCCAACTGATTGACATGGAGCCCAGTTCTCCTGATGGTTGTATATGTCCACGGACGTCCGCATCAGCCAGAAGAACATCTCGTGAACTTGCTGAGGACTCGTTCACTGATAGGATCGCTATCTTGACACTGTCGACGAGTGTCGCGGACGATACTAGCGATACGACCTGAGATCTCGTCGGACACTGGGCTCTCCTCCCTCCCCGGTGACCCTCGGCATCCTCATTATCAAAATACTTCATTGAAGTCTTTTCTTGGTGTCACTTCAAGTGACTTGGAACACAGTGCACATGCCGTTGAACTGCGCTCTGTCCGAGAGGTAAGCGGTCATCACAGAACGTATTCAGTCTTCCAGAAAGCCGTTAAACATATTCCAGTCCTTCTTTATATCCAGTACATACGACCACAGGGTGAGGAGAACAGGGCTTCCCGTCCGCTCTGCCGTACTTAAGCCTCACGCCGGCCGGTTAGTAGTTGGGTGGGTGACCACCAGCGAATCCCGGCTGTTGTATGTTTTTCTTCTTTTTTTGTTCGAATTTACTTATTATATATCTCCAGTTCCTACCTAAGTCATCGTCATCCATCCATCCATCGATTAGGTTGTAGGATGGTGGTGTCATTGATGAGGAAGGAGGGTCTTTCCAGCCGACTAGCATCTATGATATACCACGCTGTCAACAAACTGGACTCCTTCGTGTATTGCATTGAAAAAAGAGATACAAATTGGTTTTAACCAATGGAACAAGAGGCTTAAAAATATGTTATTGCATTCATTCTAATTTATACCCTTCCTGAACGAGTACCTGCGCAGGATGGCCGGGAATGACCACTTCATCTTCGTTGACGCACTTCTTGACAACAAGTTGAAAAATTGATAATATTTATTAATGACATATTAAAAAGGTTCTTCTAGCAGGCTAATTCGCTATTTTGATTCAAGCCTGGTTATAATAAAAGCATAATATATTTGAAAACCCAACTGCAATACATGATACTATACATGTAGTAGATTAATGAGGATTCTGTTGCAATAGGTCACCTGATGTCATTTGATGAGCTATGAAGTAGGCAATTTACTCTAATTAGCTGAGGTTGACCTTTTTTAGCTCAGTAGTAAAACTGCAATAGTTATAAGCCCGTCCCCCTCTAGGGTCAACGGCGAGTCTCCAAATCCACGCAACCATCCAATGATTTCCATTATTAGAACAGCTCGAAAACGAACTGAGACTTTGGATTACCCGAGATCTTTCCGTATTTATAATTATTCCAGATATATTTATGTATTTCTAGCTAAGATAGAGTAGGGTGTTGTGAAAGTAGCTTCATAACAATACATACACCTTTTGAGAATGTCTCCGTGCCAAACTAGTTCCCTCGCCGTCATGTTCCTGACACCACGAAAACAGCTTCAATTCAATGATATCAAACTCCCATGATGAAAACGAGACCCTTTTTTTGCGAATAAGGATAGGTGATTAGACTGCCGAGTGGCAATTAGAATTGAAAGAAAACAACTTATACACCGGTTGGGTTCTGGTTATTGTTATCGAACCCGGGATTCCCCGGTGAGAATATATTGGGGAAAGATGGCAGCGGCCGGGACCTGTCTGCTGGAGGGTTTTGGGGCGTTGAGAGTTGAGTGGGAGATAGTGGGTTCGGGACGTGTTGCTGGGCCTGCGGTGGTGGCTGTTGTTGCATGTCCATTGATGGCCACCATTGGTTCGAGAGGTCTATCGTCGAGCTTTGAATATAAGTGTCCCAAGCATTCTAGATGCCTTGTTAGTCATCGTGTTGGATAGGATGGAGGTGAGGAAAGGAACATACCCAGTCTAGATTGAGTTGCATGTCAGGCATCTGCCCAAACATTGAGTTGAAAGGCGAAGGGGCCCCGGTGAGGTCAGTAGTCGTTCCAAATCCTCCTGGCGTTGGTAAAGATGTTTCCATCTTGAGCCCGCCGTCGTTGAATGGAGGTGGTCCCGGGTTCATGGGGCTCATTCCACTGCTAAGGAGCCCCAGGGTCATTGCGGCATTTTGCTTCTCGTCCTGCACTTCAAATGCCGGTGCAGCCGCATTGCCATCGGTGTATCCCAGATTTAACCGAGAAAGCATGACTCCGAGTGCACCCGACGCCTTCCAGGCCTCCATCGCCTCGTCACTAAGCTCATCCCAAATTTCTTTGCACCGCTGCAACGCGGTTAACATTTCATCCCGGCGTTCTCTGCCCCATGCGTAGGTATCACCCGAAGCTCGCCCCCCCGCTTGAAGCTGGTGCCCATGGTAGAGGTCAAGGGAGACAATGGTTGCAGCGAGCAGGAAGTCGGTGGAACAGAGCGCAGTGACGCGGTTCTGCCTGCTTTGCAGACGACCTGTGGGGCTGGCTTCAACAAAAAGCATTGACTGGAACCGCAGGAGTTCCATTGCCGAGTCAATACATGACCTTCGCGAATAGGTGAACCGGGGGTTTTCACGTGCCCGGACAAGGTAGCGCCGATGAAGAACAATTTGAGCTTTGTGGTAAACGCTCATGACCTAGAGAAACGTTAGAATTCGGTTTACCTAGAGTCCTCACCAGGAGAATCATACCGTATATCGCGACATAACGATGTTCAAGGGATCTAATTGAGATTCCTCAATGGGGCGAACAAGAAGATGCTCGGGAACCAGGTCTCTGGCTCGACGAAGTTCTGCATCCACCTCCATGACCTTTTCGTAGGAGTGTGTTTGGAGCGGTGCAGATTGTTCGACTACCTGACCAAACACTAAAGCCAGGCGTGCTTTGGCAATGAGAAACGAGATCGGAGTAGGCTCATTTGGTGGACGCGATTGAGGAAGCTCTTTGCACTCCTCATCAAAATCGTCGTCGTACAAGTTGCGTGGCAGTTCGGTATCGCTGTCCAAGGGGCGGATCATGCTGGGTAGACCGACTTGGAAGGAGAACAATAGATCGGCTTGACGCACAAAAGCCCAGACCCGTCGTCGCATCTCTCCTTGGAAAGGGGTGATGTTGGGGAACATTTTGGAGTCTCGATGGTATCCCATTCGCATCGCCAACCTCGTGATCACACCCACAAGCACCCAGACGGATACATCGGCTTCCTTCGACTGGCAATAGTCTCCATGAAGATGGAATATCAGTGACTCGATCAAATAAGGATAAGGCTTAGTGTAATCGGCCAATGTCAGGCATTGCGCCATTAAGTTTCGAAAGGTGCCTGCCATATCCAAGGACTTTCCTCTAAACTCCGGAGGTTCGTCCCCTTCCCGATGATACGACAGCATAGCAAGTCGCATCATAGCAAAGAGCATTCCAACCCAGACAATACAGGTCTCCGATGGATCCTCCCAGTGTTTGTTATACTGTCTAATTGTCAATATCAGAAGCCCAAATTTATAGGGAGGCGTTAATTACCTGAGATTGGAATGTAGGACCATGAAGGATGTCTGAAACTAAAGTCAGCATCTTACTTCCAAAACCAGGAAAAGAGAGTCCACTAACGCGTTACAGGGTCATAACAACTGAAATAACGAGCGATTAAGATGTCGGTGGTGTATTTTGAGGGGAACGACGACATGATTTCTTCACGACTGGCCGCCTTATTTGTACCAAAAAGAAGGGCCGAGCCTGACACGTCGGTCGGGGGCATGGTGGTTTTCAGCTTTTCCGCTTGCTCCTCATATTGTTTCTTATGCGTGGTGAAGTAATTACGGACTTCGGCGATCTGCAGGTTCATGTGAGTTAGAGGGGGCCGGTCATTGACCAGGGCGAAGATATACTCACATCGCTGAGAACAGCCGCCCAGTGAGCCTCGCTGACATAGTACGACTTATTGTTGTTGTCGACTTTCATGATACCAAATGATTTCGTCACTTGCTCGGTATCGCTTTCTTCGGGCCCACCATGCGCATCATCATCAACATCTAGATCTGTCGCCGGTTGGGCCGAGCTGATACTGCTGCTGTTGCCTGAGATTGCGGCCATGGCGGCGGCAGGGCCCGCGGACTGCGATCCGTTGGTCATCAACGACAGAACCAAGCTTTCTAATCGGTCGATCCGGTTTTGCATATCATCCGGAGAGCTCGCGGCCGCTTGTTGTGGAGAGTTCTTCTTGCGTGTGCTTGCTTGGGCGTACGAACAGGAAGAGGCATCGCCTCGCTTGACGCAGTTCTCACATGGATTCGCACGGTTGCATTTTAGCCTGGTTACAGCGCGTCAGAACATGTATACAGGAGCATTTAACTTGGAGGGAAGAGATAATTTACTTTCTATGCCTGCAAGGGCCACAGGACAGAGGTACGCGATTTCGTTTTCGAATGACCCTGAAGTGGCCTTCCGGCGAGAATGCGCCGGCACTCGAAGACGTCGTGGACGGAGGGGTAGGCGTCATCGTGGTTGGTTCACTTGTCTTCAGTGAACGGGAATAGCGCAAGTAAGGCTAGGGAGTCGTCCACCAATATCAGTTCGATTGAACCGACTCGATTGGCGATATTAATAAGATGGCTCGTTGCAGCGAACGAACCGACTGCCAATCAAAATCTTGGCGTAGTAGAAGTGGTATGAACAACCGGTATGAATGAGAAATAATTTTTCCCACTGTGCGGAATAGCAGCAGGCGACTCGCGCGGGGTAGATAGTGCTGAGTTCGCACCAGAATCCCTCTCAGGAGTGGTGCGACTCAGGAGGCTAAAACAGCGCCCAGCTATCTACTGCTAGTACGTCGGGAGGGCGACAGCAGCTGCGCAACGCTTCGAGAACGGCGCCAACGAAACGGTTACTCAGGACTTCAAAGACCACGTCTCAGCGGTCGCCCTGGCAGTTCCAGCCAGTGCGAAAGCGATTCTCGGCGGGGGGCGATAGGAACTCGTCGCTGTTTTACCCAGCGGGGAGTCCAGGAAACGAGGACGAACGGCGGCGTCGGCGAATTCAGATACCAATAGAGCGGAAATGTGGCCGGTCGAGAATCGCAGCAGATCGCCGGGGAGGACACAAAGAGAAGACGGTTGATGAGAGGAAGTGAAAGGAGGGGCGCAATGAATCCACGGGCTGGCGGCGAACGTGTTGGAACTAGTAGAGCGATACGTATTGCTTGGGGCGAAAAAGACGAGCGGTTCAGAGGACGGGACGAAGGCTGGATGGAGCAGCGACGAGGGTATTGACAACGAAGAGAAGACTCTCTCGTCAGAGCGATGAAGCTCGTCCACCGAATTGACGCGGATAGCAAAATGAAAGCGAGAGGGAAACGTCAGGCTGGTTGACTGACTGGCTGACCTGCGTTTGCTTAGTGATGGCGTCCGGGCGCGTTATTCCCTTTTATCTCCGTTATCACCTGCCGCGTGGGCCCGTTGATTGGCCGCCGTTGCTGAGGTAATCGCTGGACGGGCGGGCGCCGGAAACGGAAAATGCGCGATCAGGAAAGGTGGGTTTTTTTGGGACTTTGGACTCATCCATCCAGATAATCATCACCTAGATCCGCACGGAGAACTAACTAGTTAGTTAGCTAACTAAATATGATATCAAGACGTCAGAGAGACTACTCCTTTCCTACCAGGCACCAGGAGGCAGAACACGCCGAAGCGCTGGCTTCCGTCTTGCACCTGCCGGCTGCCGCCCGTTGTGTGACTCAAGGCCCGATGCGACAGGCGGTCTAGACTGCGCGGGATGCTGCCTGGATGCCTGGATGCCTGAGGGCCGGGTGGAGACCAGCAATCGCCGGAACCAGCATTCCCCGTAAGGATACCCGTAAGCATACGAACATGACAGCCTTGGAGAGTGCCGCCAAACCATCCATGGATGGAATCCGGTAGACAACCGGAACCTTCCGCAGACAAACGGAAGATCGAAGGGATTCTAGAGGAACTTTCCCTTTGACTTCCTTTCCAATGACCCCCTCCGTTCAGTTTAAATGCCCCCTCCATGACCTCACTCTGAACTGGTGGCGGTTTTCCCATTCTTTTCGACCTATCAACAACCCTACGCTCCCCAAAATCATTGAGGTGCTACGAGCCACTCATTGTTCCCATTCTCTTCTTAGTTGCTTTTGCCAGCTCAGTCTGCATGCACAACCCGCCCCTTCCTTACTGGTAGGCAGGCAGCAGTTCCCTTTCACTGAGCCGTGGTGAATGAAACATTTGCTACCGCTTTCTTCCTGTGGGGAGGTTGGTCGTGCTACCTACCTACTAAAGAACTGATCCCCCCTCTCAACCTCCATCCACTCTACGACGTATTCTTCCTCAACCATCTTCAACCCCACTCATACCTTCCAAAATCCTTCTAGAACCTATCCTTATTTCTATTCTTCGTTGGTGACACGTACCAATCATGTCTGCCCCTAGAGGTGGTCCCTCGCGGGGACGTGGTCGCGGAGGCGACCGCGGCAGAGGTGGTGATGCACCCGGTGGTCGCGGCGGTCGTGGTGGACGCGGCGGTCGCGGGGGCAGCGCCGGCCCAACAACAGATGTGCCCTTCCGTCCTAGGGGCGATTTCAGGGGCGATTCCAGAGGCCGTGGTCGCGGTCAGGGCTCTCGAGGCGGCGGCGGCGGTGGATACCGTGGAGAAGGCGCTGACAAGGGTTCCAGTATTTACACGTAAGGGTTATCCTCCCCGTATACTCCCTTCCAGTTCATTTGGAAAATACTAATTACCAATCCCGTATTTAGTCCCCGGCATCCCGTGCCTGTGAATGCACAGGTTGAAAAGACTGAGAATGCTGTTGCCGCTGCTCTGAAGGGCAAGAAAAGTGAACCAACCAGTTACCCTGAGCGACCGGGATACGGCACGCGCGGTCGGCCCATCGTGGTCTATGCCAATTATTTCGAGCTTAAGTCGATTGGCTCGGAGCTGTTCAGATATCATGTCGACATCGCAGGTGACTCGTCTGGCAGAAAGCCAACCGGCAAGAAGGCTCGCCAGATAGTCAACTTGTTGATCGAAGAGCACTTCGGACAGTCGAAAAGCAACATCGTCACTGACTATAAGTCAACTCTGATTGCGAAATCGAACCTATTGGAGAACGGCCAGGCGCAGTACGATGTGCGTTATCGGGATGAACATGACGACGAGTACCCCGAAGATCCAAAGGTTTACCGCGTCACCACTCAGTTCACCGGCAGGCTCAACCCCTCCGATCTGCTGGCGTATCTGACCTCAACCAACCCTGCCGCGGCTTTTGGTGCCAAGCCTGATACACTGCAGGCTATGAACATTGTTTTGGGGCACGAGCCTAAGACTAACCCAAAGGTCGCGTCGGTTGGTGCCAACAAGCATTATGGAATCAGCGAAGATCTGAAAGAGGAGTGGGACCTCAGCGCCGGGCTCGTGGCTCTACGAGGTTATTTCGTCAGTGTACGGGCAGCCACCGCTCGTCTTCTGGTGAATGTTCAGGTCAAGTACGTGGCCTGCTATCAGCAAGGTTCATTGAAAGACGTGATCAACAAGTTTGCTGCGCGTGACATGCACAGTCTCGGGCGCTTCCTCAAACGGCTCAGGATTAGAGTGACCCATATCCGAAAGAAGAATAAGAAGGGCGAGGAAGTGCCTAGATACAAGACAATTGCTAATCTGGCAACTACGGCTGACGGTGCCTCCTTGACCAAGCCCCCCAAGGTGTCCAAGCACGGCGCAGGCCCAGCAAACGTTCTGTTTTTCCTGGATGCTCCGGGCCAGCCATCCTCGCAGCAGAGCAGCTCGGAAACTCCAAAGGCCAAGGGCAAAGGTGGTAAGAAGCCTGCTAAAGCAGGCCCGCCGCCCCCTGGTCGATATATAAGCGTGGCCGAGTTCTTTAAGCAGCGTAAGTTTTACACCGCGAGTGCGATCTACAAATATGCCAGGCTAATAGGTTTATACAGAGTACGGTATCGAAACGGATCCTAACATGCCGGTTGTGAACGTAGGCACGACAGAGAATCCCAGTTACTTGCCAGTCGAGGCGTGTGAAGTCGAGCCCGGTCAGCCTGCTAAATCGAAGCTGACTCCGAATCAAACCCGAAACATGTTGACCTTTGCTGTCCGCTCTCCGGCACTCAATGCGGGATCGATATCCAGCCGGGGCAATGAGTTGCTTGGTCTCTCTCCGCTGTGCTCCACTCTGGTAAGTCTACGGAACATCCTTGATCAAGATCCTGACATAAGGCTGACTACTCTGAAAAAGACGACCTTTGGAATTGAAACGAACCCTGAGTTGATTCAAGTTCCCGCTCGAGTTCTTCCACCCCCCAATGTTATGTACAAGGACTTCAAAAGCGCCCAGAAGCTTATTACTATCAAGCCTTCGTTCGGTAGCTGGAACATGAAGTCCATCAGATTCTCGACGCCCGGCCATTTGGCTTCCTGGTCATATGTCTATTTCACCACCTCAGGTGGCAGGCAGGCTTTTCAGAACCCGGATGATTTGATGGGCCGTCTGCGGGAATTCGCCTCCAAGCTAAACGAGATGGGTGTCCCTGCTGGCGCCCCTATTCCTGGGAAGCGGGTGGTTCTCAACCGTAGCCGATCCCTCGAAGACACAGTTAACGAGTCGATTTCTGAACTCATGGCCGGCACTCAGAAGCCTCAGTTGATCTTGACCATTTTGCCATTCTCGGACAGCAACTTATACAATGCAGTCAAGAAGGCCTGTGACATCCATTACGGCGTACGTAATGTCAACATCCTCGCCGATAAACTCCGCGGTGCCAACGATCAGTACCACGCCAATGTCGGTCTCAAGGTCAACCTTAAACTCGGTGGCATTAACCAATCCTTGAACCCGTCTGAGCTAGGTATCATCAGCCAAGGGAAGACGATGCTCGTCGGAATTGACGTCACCCATCCCTCTCCGGGATCCTCAAGCCTTGCGCCTAGTGTCGCAGGCATGGTCGCCTCTGTCGATTCTTCCCTCGGACAGTGGCCCGCCGAGCTCTGCATCCAGCGATCCCGTCAAGAAATGGTCGAAGACCTAGATACCATGTTGAAGAAGCATCTTCAGCGCTGGGCCCGAGGCCATAAGAATGCTCTCCCGGAAAACATCATCGTGTACCGTGATGGCGTGTCAGAAGGCCAATACGACACGGTCATTGAGAGGGAGCTGCCCCTTTTGCGCAAAGCCTGCAAGGAGACCTACCCAGCTTCCGACACCGCAAAGGGTCTTCCTCGGATTTCGATCCTTATTGTCGGCAAGCGCCATCACACTCGGTTCTATCCGACTGATGCCAAAGATGCAGACCGCTCGTTTAACACCCCCAATGGCACCATCGTCGACCGCGGTGTCACCGAGGCCCGGAACTGGGACTTCTTTTTGCAGGCACACACGGCCCTTAAGGGAACTGCTCGCCCTGCTCACTATTTCACCGTATGGGACGAGATCTTCTTCCGTCAGAAGCCGGGCCCTCCCCACCAGAATGCCGCAGATGTGCTCGAGGCTCTTACGCACCACATGTGCTATCTTTTCGGCCGCGCTACCAAAGCAGTCAGTATTTGCCCGCCCGCATACTACGCCGATCTCGTTTGCACTAGGGCCCGGTGCTACCTGAGCCAAGTCTTCGAGCAGACGCCCACGGGCAGTATGGTCACGGGAAGCGGACCGGTGAATATCGATAGCTCGAGTGTGAGCATTCATCCCAATGTGCGAGACACCATGTTTTACATTTAGAAGGGACCAGAATCCAGCTGTGAGACGTTTGGCTACGAAATAACGCCTTGCTTCATTGATACGCCGAGTTCCCATGTCCTTGATCCATCGTCATCCTTTGTTTTATTTTTCCTTTTTCTTGCAATCCCTTAAGCCTTATCTCATCTCACATTTCCCAATTCCCATCCTTATCAGCATCATTACCATATCAACGTACCCCAAATTGGAAACATACACCTGATTGATTGGTTTGGACGCATTGGAGGTACCATGCATGCCATGGCATCATTTGGATGGAGGAGCAAAATCTGCGTATGTACATATCTACATGCAAGAATGCTCTGGGTCTTCAACCGACGAGGTTTTAAATTTTGGAGATGGATGTCTATTACTATTGTTTCTGTTCGTTTTGTTTATCAATTCCACAAATTGGCATGTCTTTGTCTATACCTAGGTAGTTCATTGTTATTCTTTGATGGATGATTGTATTTCATTTTTCAAAACTGTTTCCATATTATAGTATCGGAATATTGTGTAGATCAATAGTAGAGCGAGTCAAACGAATCATGGAGGAGCGGAGAGAGGAAACGGTATGATCGTAACTAGAATCCCTGCGGTGGTTGTAGCGTAAGCGCTCACAAAGATGGGCTAATTTTAAGGAATGATGACGACACTGAAGAAGTTTTCATTTTCTAGGTAACGGCCAAGTTGGAAATGGCCATATTAATAGGGGGAAAGAAAAGACATTATGGAAGCAAGCTAGCCAAGCAGACTTGGGAGGATAGCGCAGAATAGTAAGTAATTTGTTCATGCGCACAGCCAAACGGCTCCGAATGAGTAGGACAAGAAGAAACTCCACCAAAACCATGCGCAACGAGATCGCTCAAAGAACAACAGCAACAAAAATGACAGTGGCAGTGGCGACGAAAGACACAACTACAGCAAGCTAGCCTGCATGGTCCCAGGCTCCGGAAGCGCGAGCTGCGGAGTATCTTGCTGCAACGGCGTCCCGTTGAATCCGGTAGCACCCATCTTCAACCGCCTCTTAACCTCGTACACATTCCTTCTTGAGATCACCGCGAAGTGATGCCGAGACTGCAGCATCAAGACGATCTGACGCGCCGGGATCCCCTTCTGCAGCAGATCCACGATCTCATGCTCAAACTGGGCCGTCATGGCGGCGCGATAGCTGGGGATGGACGACAGCAACGCGGGCTCGTGGTTGTGATAGGGATTCCGAACCCGGGCGGTCCACAGCTTGGTCCTCGTCCAGATCGAAAAGACAAGACTGAAGGGGCAGTTTGTTAGTCGACTCGAGGGCTTCTCTTTTGCTCCGTCCGGCCGGTGTGAGCGATGGGCGCCGGACCGGTCACATTGCGCGTAGACCTGTCGCAGCTCCCCGTTCCGCGAGTTGACCCGCGAGCGCTTGATGAAGAACCCGTTCTCCGAGGCCCATTTGGCGTAGAACGACCAGAGAGGGTCGATCGAAGGGGCTGGGTCGGGAGCTGGTGGAGGGAGTGGAATAGAGCTGGATGCCATTGTGCGGGTAGATCGATTAGTGATAACTATGCTTGTTTAGTTCCGGTTGAGAGATGGACTGGGCTGGGCTATTATCATTATCGGCCTAGGCTCACGTGACTGATAAGGTTTTCTCTACCAGGAAATTCATCTCAAGCATCGGGTGATCGCCTTCAATCGCAAATCGCAGATATCCCCAATCGCCTCCGACTGACTCTGAGGATGTGAGTTGATAGGCTGGCATCATTTTATGAACTATTCGGTGGATATACGCAACTAACCCACATTCTCTCCTTTACAGGCATCACTTCCACAGGGCCGCGACTCGGCTAATTTCTTCCGCAGCCTCAGCACCGGCTCGATCGTCATGGGCGTTTGCGCCTCGCTCGTCTCCTTCCGTTTTTCTCCCTCGGTTGTCGCAGCCTCTGTCTCAATATAGGTGGAACAGTAACAATGCACCAAGCCAGCCGGAGCCCCCGAAGCAGGAGGCCGTGGAGGAGCAGCACAACAGCAATGAGCAACTAATAGACGCGACTCTCCAGTACGTCGAAGGCAGCTCTGAGAAAACAGGTGAAATCGCTACCGAGGCAGAGCATTTGGCTGCTCAAAAGAAGCCTGACTTGCCGATCCCAGAGTCTAACAGGGATAGCGTCAAGGAGCATCGGCACCAGAAACTCAAGGCGCGTGCAACTGGAACCCTTGAACCGAAAGAAACAGTCTTTGTCGGCAACCTCTTCTACGATGTGACGGCAAGTGATCTGAGGAAGCAGATGGAGAAGTACGGAGTCGTGGAGCGATTGCAGATTGTTCATGATGACCGTGGATTTAGTCGCGGGTAAGTCCGAATCCATACCATGGCAAAAGGGGAGAGAGGGAGAGAGAGAAAGAGAGAGGGAGACAAGACACCCTGCAAAGAATTATTCTAACGGTGATGTTTGCAAAAAAAAACACAGATATGGTTATGTTATGTACGATACGATCGAGTCGGCCAGACGCGCCATCGACGCCATGAATTGGCGTGTTTATGAGGGGCGTTATGTCGTCGTGCAATTTGCGCAGACTAACATGCACCAATTCAGCAAGCTGAGGCCTGTCTCACGGACATTATACATTGGCAACATGGCATTTGAGATGACCGACCGGGACCTGAACGAGCTCTTTAAGGATATCGTCAATGTGATGGATATCCGCGTGTCTATTGATCGTCGGACCGGCAAACCCCGAGGCTTTGCTCATGCCGAGTTTACTGATACTCAGGCTTCCCGCAAGGCATTGGAGATCCTCAGCAAAAAGGCACCATATGGAAGAAAGCTACATGTAAACTATGCTGATGATGGACGGAGCGTAACGTCAGGTGGCCCTGGGAACAGGGAATAGACGAACGGCATGTTTAATTATTCATGCCATGTACCATACTTTACTTTGTAGCTAGCATAATCAATCAATCCATTCGACTGATGCATTAATAATCCAGCGCTGCGATTTCCGCGGAATCGCATGCGATAGGCAGGCCACGTGACGCAGGACCTCGGCATTGGCCCGTCTTCCCGATCGGCTTTAGAGTGCCTCCGAACCCCACGTTTGATGGATCAATTGATCATCTCTCCTCCTCCGTTCTCGCTTTCTCTATCGATCTCTATCTTCGATCCCGACCCTTTTAATTTTGCCTCCTCTTCACCTTGAAGGCTACTCCTTGAATGCCAAAGACCCATCACGGAGCTGTCACAACTTCCTCAAGATGTCCTTCCTCGGTGGCGCTGAGTGCTCGACGGCGGGAAACCCATTAACACAGTTCACCAAGCATGTTCAAGATGATAAGTCCCTGCAACGGGATCGTCTCGTCGGAAGAGGCCCTGGTGGCATGCAGGAGGGTATGCGGTCGACGGGGATGATGGGTGGTCAGGATCAGGTATGGCGGGAATCTCCGAACTATCAATCAAACCTTTGATAGATCCGTACGTTTCGTTCTAACAGAAGCCCCCGGGGTCAACCCTAGATGATGGATGAATTCGCTCAACAGCCCGGGCAATTGCCCGGTGCCCCTCCTCAGCCCTTTGCAATGGAACAGCTCCGACGCGAGTTAGATCACTTTCAGACTACGCCGCCTCGAACGGGCTCCCCCGGCTGGGCCGCCGAATTCGATGCCGGCGAGCACGCCCGGATGGAAGCTGCCTTTGCCGGTCCCCAAGGCCCCATGATGAACAACAACTCCGGATTCACACCGGCCGAGTTTGCCCGCTTCCAGCAGCAGAGCAGAGTCGGCATGCCTCAGACGTCGAGCCCGGTCACCGCGGGCCCGTCTCCGATGATGGGTGGCTACCAGCGGCCGATGGGAGGTATGGGATATATGGGGATGGGTGGAATGGGGATGATGAGGCCTTCGTATGGCCCGATGGGCATGCAGCAGCCGCAGCAACCGGCCGAGGCCATGACCCAAGATAAAGGAAAGGGGCGCATGGTCGAACTGGACGATGAGAACTGGGAGGCGCAGTTCGCGGAGATGGAGACGGCGGGAAACCAGAAATTGGACACCGAGGCCAACGATGCTATTGAGGCGGAGCTGAACGATCTTGACAGGTCAGTCCCCGCAGATAATGGTGATTTTGAGAGTGTATGGGAAAGAGTCCAGACTGAGATGGCAGCTTCCAGGAAACTGGCAGAGGAAGATACCGACTTCAACGTGAACGAAAACCTTCACATGGGCGATCTAGGCGAGTGGGATAGCTTTGACACGCTCAACACCCGGTTCCGAGATCCTCAGCTCGGCGATTACATGTTCGAAGAAGATAATGTGTTCCGGAGTGTGAACAACCCATTCGAGGAAGGTGTGAAGATCATGCGTGAGGGTGGCAATCTGTCGCTGGCTGCTTTGGCCTTCGAAGCAGCGGTGCAGAAGGACCCCCAGCATGTGCAGGCCTGGACGATGCTGGGATCTGCCCAAGCCCAGAACGAAAAGGAACTCCCTGCCATCCGTGCTCTGGAACAGGCACTGAAGATCGACGAGCATAATCTAGACGCGCTTATGGGATTGGCTGTCTCATACACCAACGAAGGCTACGATTCAACGGCCTACCGCACCCTCGAGCGTTGGCTTTCCGCCAAATACCCCCAAGTTATCAACCCCAAGGATGTTTCCTCCGACGCAGACCTGGGATTCACGGACCGCCAGATCCTCCATGATCGAGTCACTGATCTATTCATCCAGGCAGCTCAGCTGTCGCCTTCGGGAGAGCACATGGACCCAGACGTTCAAGTCGGGCTGGGAGTTCTCTTCTACTGTGCCGAGGAGTACGATAAGGCCGTGGATTGCTTTTCGGCTGCATTGGCATCCACCGAATCCGGAACCACAAACCAGCAGGAGCAGCTTCACCTCCTATGGAACCGCCTTGGAGCCACTCTCGCGAACTCTGGTCGGTCCGAAGAAGCCATCGAGGCCTACGAGCAAGCCCTCAACATTAACCCCAACTTCGTCCGCGCTCGGTACAACCTCGGCGTATCGTGCATCAACATCGGCTGCTACCCCGAAGCCGCACAGCACCTTCTGGGCGCCTTGTCCATGCATCGCGTTGTTGAGCAAGAGGGTCGTGAGCGTGCGCGGGAAATCGTCGGCGGCGGAGAAGGTGGAATCGATGACGAGCAACTGGAGCGCATGCTCCACGTCACCCAGAACCAGAGCACGAACCTGTACGATACGCTGCGGCGTGTCTTTAGCCAGATGGGACGTCGGGATCTGGCCGATATGGTGGTGGCTGGGATGGACGTGAACGTCTTCCGGAAAGAGTTCGAATTCTAAATGATGTAATCTTGTCTCTATTTTCTTTTTTTGCTTGTTTGTTTCCCTTCATTCATGGAGGAGTTTAGAACCGGGGTTTATACTATGGCCGCTATGTTTCGGTCGATCTTGGATACCATGATGTCCCTATAAATGAAGTTAAAATGCAGTGCATTTATGTCAGAGCCGTATCATTCTGACAGCTTGAAAACAAGCCCAACTATGACCGATCGAATATACTTGGCCGGAGTGCGTCCCATGTGTCTAGTGGAGAAGGATAGTCCGCATCGGGCAATTCCGAATGAGCCTCGGGACGAGCTTCTCCGCAATGTCTCCGCGACATCCCAACTCTCTTCCATCGGACTGCTGTGCGGCCATCCTCTTTCTTTCTAGCTCCTATGGTCCCATCTTTGAATACCAATCATTAATAGACTTGACCACACAAAGTCGACCATGGCTGTTGCAACAGGCGCCCAGCTGATTGCCCAGACGCTGCGCGATCTAGGCGTCACCGTGATCTTCGGCATCGTGGGGATCCCAGTAGTCGAGATTGCCGAAGAAGCCATCAATCTTGGGATCCGATTCGTGGCCTTCCGCAATGAACAAGCGTGCAGTTATGCTGCGAGTGTCTACGGATATATGACGGGACGGCCAGGTGTCTGTCTTGTCGTCGGAGGACCCGGAGTTCTCCATGCGTTGGCCGGGGCAAGTAGTACCCTCATGCTGGATACATTTGCCTGGGATATACTAACAGATAATGGTTTGCTTTTTGACAGATTGGTAATTCATCTGCCAACAATTTCCCGCTGTTGGTGCTCGCCGGATCGGCCGAGACAACCGCCGTCACGAAGGGCGCCTTCCAGGAGATGGATGCCGTTTCGTTCCTCACCCCTCATACTAAATTTGCCGTGCGCACGACCTCTTTAGACTTTGTGAACGGGGCTGTTAAAAACGCCTATCGAACGTGCTGGTATGGTCGCCCCGGACCGACCTTCGTCGACCTACCCGCAGACATTATCCAGGGGAAGGCCGCGCCTGGGTTTCGTCTGCCGGCGCCGGAAACCACGCTGGTCGCAGCACCGCCCAGGACGGCCGGCGATCCGGCATCCATCTCCAAAGCTGTGGAGCTGCTGCGGACTGCCCGCTCCCCGCTGTTGATAGTCGGCAAAGGTGCTGCGTATGCGAGGGCTGAATCGGTGATATGTCAACTGGTGGAGCAGACACAGATTCCGTTCTTGCCTACGCCGATGGGCAAGGGTGTGGTTCCGGACTCTCATCCCCTCAACGCATCGAGCGCCCGCAGCGCGGCACTCAAGCACGCGGATGTGGTGCTGGTTCTTGGGGCGCGGTTGAACTGGATCCTGCACTTTGGGGAGCCGCCGAAATGGTCCCCCAGGGCAAAGATCATCCAGGTAGATATCTGCGCCGAAGAGATTGGACGGAATGCCGGCACGGCGGAATTAGGTATTATCGGTGATATCGGGCTGGTTGTTGATCAGCTCCTATCCTCATTGTCGAACTGGCGCTACGCCCCTTCCCCTATAGACGGCCGGTTTCCGACTCTGCTTGCGGAATCAGCCAAGAAGAATGAAGCCAAAGCACAAAAGGCCGCGCTTCTTCCCACGTCCCCAGGCTCACCATTAACCTACCAACGAGCCTTCCAAGTCATCAAGACCACGCTCAACTCATTGACTCCCTTCGAAGAAGGAAATATTGTCTATATCTCAGAGGGCGCCAATACAATGGACATATCCCGGTCTGCGTTCCCCCTAAACCACCCCCGCCAACGACTCGACGCCGGCACATACGCCACAATGGGCGTTGGGATGGGCTACATCGTCGCCGCACACGAGGCCTACAACGCGATCCCGCAACCCGGCAAGAAGCCCAAGAAAATCGTCGCCCTGGAAGGCGACAGCGCCTTCGGGTTCAGCGCCATGGAGATCGAAACCATGGCGCGGTACCGCATCCCAGCGCTGATTTTCGTGGTCAACAACTCCGGCATCTACCACGGCGACAGCACCACGCAAGACTCCTGGAACGCCCTCCAGAACCAGACCATCTCCAACGACACCAAGTCCGACGACGGCAAGAAAGGCCTCCGCTCCACCAGTCTCCTCTACGAGATGCGCTACGAGATGCTCGCCAATATGTGTGGCGGGAAGGGCTTTTTCGTGCGCAACGAGCAAGAGCTGGAGGTTGCTACTCGGGAGGGCTTCCGCAGTGATACCGTCACCGTGGTCAATGTGATCGTGGAGCCGGGCATCGGGAAGAAGATCGGGTTTGCGTGGCAGGGAAATAATAATGCAAAGGAGGGTTCGGCGAAGTTGTAGGCTGGTTGCCTCTTCGGTGAAAAGAACTAAGACTTTGCATTGTTACTTCATTGTGTATATATATTGCCAGGTAGTAGTACTAGTACTCGGAGCTGTCCATGTTGATCGAGGTCCTGATGTAGAAAAGCATCTGAAATAGAGACTTGTTTATACTATGGTTCACTCTGATCCTGTATATTACGTGGGAGCTGCACCAGCCCCTGTACTAGCTAGACAGTGAGGTAGAGTATAAGTTGCATTATGGCCATTACCAATAAATGAGTTTATTGAATGCGGAAGGGATAATCGATCCCCTATATAAATTGTTTTCTACAAGCCAGAAAGCAGGTAGTACGGACACATTTACAACCAATTACACCGTCATCATGACACTGGCATTCTTATACCAGGACAAGAGCGGGTTCTCGCCGTTCCTCGTCTCCGTGTCTTCAATGTACGCCCAACGACGCATGAAGTCTTCGTGGCTCATGGTCTGGGTCAATTTGCCGGTGATGGCGCGGTAGAGGTCCTCGACAACGTCAAAATCCGTAGGGAAAAAGATATCGAAGAAGCCTTGTTGGACCTAATCGTTGTGTGGTTAGTTTCATGGAGTTCATAATTTTGGATGCAGGGAAGCTTACAAAGGGAGTAGACACCGGAACGGTACGTCTCTTGTAGCGGGTCTGCACCACCGGTCCATTCAGACCAGGAATGGCATTGGGAAGAGTGCTGAAATCGCTGGTCAAAAGTCGGTGTCCGGGGAAGTAGGTGTTAAGGATGTCGAAGAACTGCATGAGACGAGTGGGAATGTACTCGGGCAGAGTATGTGGGATGTCACGGTATTTCGAAATCCCTCGGTGCAGCGGCCGGGTGAGTTTGGAGCCCAGAGGGGAAGGGAACTCGCGTTGCGCGGCGGCCTGTCGGACACGTAGGAACCGAGCCGACAGCGGATCGAGCTGCGTATTGTAGTATTCGTTGAACTCGCCAGACTCGCTGATCACCACGCCGCCTTGCTGGGGCATCTCCGTCTGGTAGTTGTAGCGAATGGCATCATGAGAGAAGTTATCGAACACCTCCATGGCAAGGAAGAAGCAGGGCGAGTGCACGTAGGTGTCCCAGTCGAAAATGGATCGATTAATGATCTCGACGTGATCCAGATGACCCGCTGCATGGAGAGATTCTTTCAGATTCTGGAACTGGAGGTCGGCGAGGGCGGGCGAAATTTCGATGATTCGGAACTTCGTGCGCTGGTAGACCTCGTAGTCTGTGTCGCGGATGAAGTCCAGCATGTTGATCATTAGCGTACCGTTTCCGGCACCCATTTCGTAGATGATCAGGTCGTGGTAGGGGTATAGTGTCAGCTTGTAGTTCGACACCAAGTACCGAGCAAGCGTTTCGCCGTAGTATGGACGGAAAAGCTCCGTGGGCGTATGCCATAGCTGACGAGCTATATCGGGCTCTTGTAGATCCAGACGGTCCTCGAACTCCGTATATCGGTCCTCCAACAACTGATGAAACGATGGCCCGTCGCTGATTTGGTTGAATTGGAAGGGCTCACCGGGACTGAAGATAGTCGCGTGCTTAGTGAAGTAGCCGTAATGCGGATTGTATAAGCTATCTGAGAGTAAGGTAAAATGAATTAGTCTGCTAGCTTAGGTGACACTTCTGGGAATTCGTACCGTCAATGAACTCTCTAGTCAACATCCTGATGCGCCTTGGCCGCTCGCGATTACGTCGCAGGTCCTTGGCCGTCACTAGGGGATAGCTCATCGTCTCCTTGAAATCCAAAGGATAATCCTCTCTTCTTGTCCAGTATAACGTCTCATTTTCATCATACTTCATCTTCTTTCTCATTCGCGAGATGAAGGTACGATACTGCTGCCGAGGGGGTGTTGCGAGGCGCACAGTGCCGGGTCTGCGCGCGGGCAGAATCGAGGACGACCGAGGGCATTGACAGGCAGGATGTCGGAACAGCTGCCGAAACAGCTGGTTCAGGACCGCGGAGTCCATGATCCTGAGGGGATTGGCGCCGAGAGGGGGGAAGGGAGCAGGCAAGTCGGGGGAGGGAAAGCTGCACAAGAACGGGGAAGAAAGACGGACGGCAGAAGATTCGCGGCAGGCGGAGGTCGGGTGGCCCGTGCTTTCTCTCCGCCGGCGCCGTCGGGCATCGCTTTGATATCACCATTTTGACTTCTTCTTCCGCATCTCTTCCTCCTATTTGGAGACAGAACCCCCAGGATGAGTGATCACTCTCGAGCGTACATAGGCACGGCTTTTGTGGCCGGAGCCCTTCTTACCCTCGGAGTCAAGGATCTTTTGTATCCGAAGTTGGAGCAACATCTGCGGAATTCTCGACGTGAATCCCAGTCGACGATTACCCTCCAAGATCTTACCAAAGAGGACGATATTCCAATCTCTCGATCAGGTCCTCCAGCCATTGTGGACGGTATCGAGGGATGTATAGGAAACACACCTCTGTTTCGGATCAAGTCATTGTCCGAGGCGAGTGGATGTGAGATTCTAGGAAAGGCCGAGGTGATTTTCGCCCATTGAGGATGCTACTAAGCCATCCATTGGAATGTAACATGTTAACTGGCTGAATAGTTTCTTAATGGTGCCGGTCAAAGCTCTAAAGATCGAGTTGCGTTAAGCATGATTCAAATCGTACGCCTGAAAAACCTCTTTGATCGAAAGCTCCTCTAACTGTGCTATAGGCAGAAGAACATGGTATCCTAACTCCTCATTCGGGAGATACTGTCTATGAGGGCACTTCTGGTTCAACTGGTATCTCTTTGGCTACGCTAGCTCGTGCCAAAGGCTACTTGGCTCACATGTATGTCCATGTTCCTTCTGCTCGCAGCATGTTATTCATGTTAACACAAATCACTAGTTGTATGCCATCTGATCAAGCCGTTGAAAAGTCCGATCTACTCCTCAAGCTAGGTGCAATTGTGGACCGTGTCCCACCTGCTCCGATTGTGGAGAAGGATAACTTTGTTAACCGGGCTCGCGCACTCGCACACGCTCACACTGCGTCCTCTGCCAATGTATCCGATTCAGAATCCTCTATCCCAGGGTCGGCCGAGGTTTCTAGTCCTACCCCTGGAAGAGGTTATTTTGCGGACCAGTTCGAGAATGAGGCAAACTGGAGAGCACACTTTAATGGCACTGGTCCCGAGATCTACGCCCAATGCGGTGGTAAATTGGACGCTTTTGTGGCAGGTGCTGGGACAGGAGGCACGATCTCTGGCGTGGCATTATTCCTCAAGCCGAAAATCCCTAACTTGAGCGTGGTGCTTGCCGATCCGCAGGGAAGCGGTCTCTACAACAGAGTCCGCTACGGCGTTATGTTCGATATCAAAGAAAGAGAAGGCACAAGAAGACGGAGACAGGTGGATACCATTGTGGAGGGCATTGGCATCAACCGTGTGACTGCCAACTTTGAGGTAGGCAAGGAATTGGTGGACGATGCTGTGAGAGTCACGGATGCACAGGCACTGGCAATGGCCAGGTGGCTTGTTGAAAAGGACGGTCTCTTCTTGGGAAGCAGTAGTGCTGTGAATTGTGAGTATCATGTTGATTCGTCGATTGCGTCAAACTTGTTAACATTGATCCAGGTTTTGCCGCAGTCAAGACCGCGATGAGGCTTGGACCTGGCCATCGAATTGTGACGGTCTTATCCGACTCCGGCTCAAGACATCTCTCGAGATTTTGGGCTAAAGCAGGCAATGTCGGCGGTGCAGTGGACACCAAACTTGAGGATGTCTTGAACGCCAAAGATGAGCAATAGGAATGCCGTCCATGCAAATTGCAAATTACGACAAGAGCGAGCGCCAAAGCCAATAATCATGTTGGATATCAGCATTCACCACACCAGTCGATGCTCTGCTGATCCTATTCCCATGACGACTTTTCTCGGCGATGCTCGGTGATAAGCGAGATTGCTCTTATGAAAGCACGCTTGCGTGCTTCACTAATGTGCTACGACTGCAAATTGGCTGATACGAGTTTCGTTCTCGCATGATACGTGTATTCAAGGGATGATTTCATCTGCGATTGTGAGGTTTTCACCCAAGCCAGAGAGCTTTGCAAAATGCACAGCAAAGGCTGTCATCTGCTCCAAGGCCGGAGTGCAATTATGGGAAATAAGTGGATGATCTGGGTTGCCTTTTGGGCATTGAGAGGCCTGGTGACCACCTATGCGGGTATCTTCTTTTGCTGATTGTTCCAAACATCATCGCCCACCCAAAGATGCAGTAGTTCGAACTCCAATTCTGCCTGTGAGCGCCCGGGAAGAGCAGCACGAATAGTGGGCCAGGTGAGACCTCGTTGATCTTTGAGACGCTCCAATGTTTTTCGCTCGCTGTCCGTCCAAGGCCCGGATTGCGGAGGTGGGTTCGCACGGCGATCGTTCCAATGCATCTGATTCCACTGCATGATCTGCCTTAGAGTCCTTTGTGGGAAAAGTTCCAACACCTCTTTCCACATCTTTCCTTCGACATGTCTTGTAATTACAATCGTCCTTGCTTCGTCTGGCGTCATGGCCATTCTGACCTGCTTGTTCGTAGGCGTCGAATCCTGAGCTGTAGCTGCATTCCTAGTTGAGCTAACCTTGGTGCTGTCTGACTGTACGCAAGGGGTATCAACGTTTTTGGGGGCGTTCGGTTGCCGCCGTGCAGTCTTGTCATTAGTGATTGCGTCTAACTCCCTCCTCGCTGAAATAGGGCCATGCCGATCATCTGGAGGGCCCTTCTGAAGTTCGGTTTTCGTACCACCACCTAACGTCGGCATTTTCCCTCTAATTTTCAGGTTATCTTTCGGTGTCGGTGACGGCTGGACCTCCTCCTGCAGCGGGTCGTCGGATTCGTTTCCATCGGGGGTTTCTGCGAAAGACCAGTCGAACACGACAGGGCTGGATGCAATCTTGCGACTTCGTTGGCCAGTCTCCTGTTTCTTGGGGCTTCTCTTTTTGGCCGATACTGGCCGTCGCCGCGAGCTCCCTGGCAACGCCCAAATCGAACCTGCTTGGGGTGGAGATTCAGATCGGGCGACCTGGTTGGCAGGTTTTGGTCGCGATCGATGCCAAGTAGGCGTTGAGAAATTCGCATCGATTTCAGGAACGCGCCAGAGCGACTCCGCCGGCTCAGGGAGGTTATGGCCAGGCTCGCGCTTGGATTGGACGGATGTTTCAGCCGCAGAATTTGCTTTTTCTGCGTGCGACTTTTCTGCGCCTATCCTGGTCCTCTTGGCTAGTGACTCCCTCAGATTGTTCTGGACGTCCAGAGCTGTATCCAACAGGGAATCCACACTCGACGTATCGTCATCGGCGTCTAGATCGGCATTGGCTGCTTCGTTCGATGTTTCTTGCTCCTCTCTTGCCCCTTCCCGACCTGGCTGTAATATCGGTGAACCCTGCTGCTGTCTTGACGAGGTTATCCCCTTGTCTCCCCATCCATCATCCCCGTCTCGAGTCTCCACGTAGTCGGTGGTTCTATTCACCGTATTTCCCTCTCCATCCTGGCCATGAGACTCTGATTCCCCCGCGGACCAATCTGCACCTGGACCAAATAGCCACGATCGCTCCCCTTCCTCCTCGTCTTCCTCCCCTTTTTCGCCGGTATCGTGCTCGTCGTCCATCCCTTGGAGGTGTCCGTTGTTGATGACTATCTTCCCTGTCTGCAGATCGATCTCATCGCCCACTTCTGTAAAATCCTTTTCGTATTTCTGAAAAATACCCTCGAAAATTGATTTCAGGCGCTGGTCATTTTCAAAGCGAGCTTCCTGTAGGTCCACGTCACTTGTATCGTCCTCGTCTTGCGCTGCAAGTGACAACCGGGGCCTTTTGGAAGGTGGCTCCATGGTGCTGTTCTGGGGGGAGTCTGTGATCGAGTTTGATTGTTGGAGATGAGCGAAGGGCGGTGGTCGCGCAGATTTATCGTGGTTGAGAGGTCAAGGAGGAGGTTATTGCATTATTCTAGTGGGCTTAAGAGTCAGTTCCACTCCTTTAAACGAGACGTAAAAGCGACGCGAAACGACATACTGATTGCGGGCAATTAACGGGTAGAAAACGCGACAAAAAGATGCGACATGCGCGTTGGGGGTTTGGCGACAAACGACGTAGACTAGTAGGAGCACCCAACTATCTCTTTTCCACTCCAGAGCACGGTCGCATCTAGATATGATCCCCTCCTAGTGAATTGCGCCTGCGACAGAGTCAATCACTTGTCGGGGAGCAACAAACTCCGCCGCGGCAGGCGGACACCAAAACAAGCGCCCGGAGAGCACGGGGTCTGCATGACGTCTCCCGCAATAACGGAACATTCAGCATTCCATCCTCCTCCCATCCAATTCCATAACCCTCTGCTCGGCTTCTTCTGGTCACCATAATGAATGGGAACGACTCCCGAATAGCCAACAAAAATGTACTGCCAGAAATGCCGGACTCCTTTGAAGCTAGACAGCTCTCTAGAGTCGCTCAACCCAGCGGTCTTTGATCTGCTCACTGGTATTTCTTATCTATCACCCTTGAATCTCTCCATGGCTACACGACCTATGTCGCTAACCTTAGCTTGAAATACTTAGGCTCTACGGGTAAGACCCTGCCGGAATCATCGTCTCGACCTTCCTACCCTCAAGAAAGACATGAATACTACGACCGAGCTTCCCAGAATGCCAACTCGGCGGCATACAGGAGGACGATCCCGCCGCCGGTTAATGCCCAGAACCACAAAAGCCACAAACTAGGACGTGGGGATAGCGGCAACATGTCCTTCGTCATGCTTACGGAGTCTCAAGTCGGCCCGCCACAAGCGACACCAGATGCCCAAGGCGTTGGCTCTCCGAAAGGCAAGCAATCATTTGGCACTCAGAACCATGACGCCGAAGGGGAGGAACTGCCATTTGCGGAACAGGCCGAGCGCAATAATCGCATTTTCGAGTTCATATCGGCTCACTCCGATATTGATCATCCCATCTGCACGGAGTGTACCGACCTAGTCATGTCGGGCCTACAGAAGCGCCTGCTCAACGCTACGAAGGAACGCGATGCATACATATCATTTTTGAGGACACTCAACTCATCAAAGGTGCCTACAGCCGAAGAAATTGAGGCGGCTGAGCAATCGTTGAAGGAGACCAAGGAAGCTGAAGAGAAAGCTTTTGCCGAGCTCGTCGCCTTGGAAGAAGAGAAGGCAACGTTGGACAAGGAAATCGCCGAGCTGGAAGAGCAATCACAAAAGCTGGATTTGCAGGAAGAGGAGTTCTGGCGTGGGCGCAACGAGTTTACACTAGAGCTTAACGGATTCCAGCAAGAACGGGATGCTTTGAATATGAAGTACGACCACGATTCCCGCCAGCTTGAACGGCTTCAGAGGACCAATGTGTACAATGATGCTTTCTGCATTGGTCACGATGGCTACTTTGGGACGATAAATGGATTGCGGCTTGGCCGTTTAACCAACCCCTCCGTGGATTGGCCCGAAATTAATGCTGCTTGGGGCCAGACAGCACTGCTCCTTGCAACCATTGCCGAGAAATTGGGGTTTGCATTTCAGGGGTACCACCTTAGACCTCTGGGGGCAATGTCTAGGATTGATAAAATCGAATATCCTCGCCCCTCGCCGGCTCAGTCCGCGATAGGTGGTGGGAACCCGACTGCACTGGGACCGCCCAAAATCACCACCCTCGATTTATTCTCATCCGGAGACCTACCACTCAATCTTCCTTGGCTTCACCGCCGATTCGACGCAGGAATGGTGGCGTTCCTAGAATGTCTACGCCAACTAGGCGAATATGTGGAGATACCACAAGCACCTGGATCCTCAAATCGCCGAACTTCGAGCGGCGCTCCAAGCACGGCCTTGAAGCTCCCTTACCCAATCAAACGCGATAAGATCGGCGATGCTAGTATCAAGCTTGGATTCAACCAGAACGATGAGACCTGGACCCGTGCCTGCAAATACACCTTGACCTGTTGTAAATACTTGTTGGCACATGCCAGCAATGTCGCCAGTATTGGGTCCAATAACTCCGCGGCTGCTACGGCCGGTGAACAAGCCAGACCGACAGCGTCTAGCCCTGCTAAGAAATAAGCAAGCCACGGCACACAGGGCAACTGCGGCATGTCCACAAGACAAAGAAGAAATTCCATCTAGCCGTTCCACTTTCCCGGAAGGGGGTATCTGAAGTCCAGAGCGTTACGTCGACTTGTTTGGTCATTGGGACTCCGGCTAGTTATGCGGATGTTGAAGCCCAGACCAATCATACTGTATCACGCATGAATACCTAAACGGCTTTCAGGGGTTATGTTCCGATAAATGAGAGGCGTCGAATTCTGTGCCTCAAAAACCAAGGCCCTAGAGAATTCGGTTGCAGGCTGGTCTTCCGCATGTATCTATCCGGCCGGCTCGAGATCACGCATCACACATCTTAAAATCCTTCACCCTTGCGTTGCGTTGCGGCCCTTGTAAAGCGTCCATCCAACCGGTCACGGTGGTTTTGTTGCGCATGAAACGGCGTGGGATCACCGCTACATTGCAGTAGCTGACATCCCTCTCGCCACCCGGTCGACCTTTTCTTTTTCTTTTCTCTTTCTCCTCCCACCAGGCCATTTCGGGGTCTTGTCATTCTGGAAGCCTTTCGCAGTTAGTTATCGACAGGGATGTAATACATAATCTTGCCCTTTTTGGGATCGAACCGTGGTGATAGTGTGACATGTTCGTTTTGTACAACCACCAAGCTTATGGTCACTTGTGTCACTTTTTTAATTTCTTGTTTCATTTTTATTTTTATTTTCAATCTTCCACGAACTTCTGCCTGGCGGATTAGAAACCTGACACAGGGAGGATAAAGCGGGAGATCGTCCCTTAGTTCAACACCTTCTTCGGTCGAAAAGTGATAGGTAAACTGACACATTCCTGTTGCCAGGTGGAGGACACGACAGGCGTTTTCTTCACCCTGCCTCGTAGATCCGGCCGACGTAATCCACAGGAAAATTGACTCCACGCCGGTCTTTGTATCTTCGGGGAGGCGTTCTGGCCGTCTCCACCCTCTTCCCCCTCTTTCTTTCCTGTTTATTTTATTATTTGTTTTTTCATTTCTGCGTGTCAGCGTCCAAACAGGGAAGACCCATGAGCTCCACCACCCGCGACGGCGAGGCCAAAACCGAACGAGAAAGAGGGACAGGGGAGGACAGAGACAGGGCCTCTCGCAAATGGACGACCACGGTCTCCACCGTCGGACGAGCAAAAGAACAAAGGGAACAAAGGGAACTAGACCTGCAGCCACATCGATTCGGCCATCCGGCGGATCCATGGCGCTGGGTCTGTCAATGTCATACAGCACTGGTGGTCACTCTAGACCTAACCCCCCAACTGTATCTCGCCCAGTGAGTGCCTGCGACTGACAACTTGGCCCGTAGGACTAGGACAGCAGGGCTACGAGGAAGGTAAGATGTTGATCCTTCCAACACGTCAACGTCGACGAGCAATGGATGTTTCGGGCCACACGAGCGACCTGAATCCTCCTCTCCTTCTCCCCTTTCTTCTTCTTTCCCTCCTCAATCGTTCCCCTCTTCTTTATCCCTGCCGTTTAGTTTCCTCTAGTGGCTTTTTGGTGGATTGGACTTCTTGCGGTGCGGTGCGGTGCGGTCAGAGAGTCGAGGGGGAAATGTTTTTCGGAACGGTTGTATTAATTAAATCCGCTTGAGATTTTCGCACTGGTAAGTAACTAAACTATACGGCGTATGCGCATAGCTCGGTAGGTACTTGTGCTGCGGCGATTTCAAATTCTGGACGAACGGAGCACCTGTTTCGTCTGCGTTCAGTCGTCCGACTGGATCCTCATATTCGGGACGGTGGCAACATTCCGCAGCCTTCGTTGTTGGTGGCCGCATTAGCCCGTGGCAGGTAATTTGATGCAAAGCTGGAGATTTGGGCGCTGTCAGGTTGGATCGGATCGGATCGGTTAGGCTAGGTTGCCTTGTTGGTTTGTTTTTTATTTTCATTTTTGTTCCTGTGCTTCCGTACGGAGTACTTACAGGTAGAAAGACCATGGGCTTGGCCCTTGCTTGGGAATTGGGCCCGCCTGTTCACCTAGAGTAGGACCGGGAGGTATGGAGAAGGTGTAGTATCGATCTGTGAAATCAAGACCTGGTTGGAGGGACTTGGTCCGGTCCTGTTTGGATTTTCATTATTCAATCTACGTAGGTATTTATTTATTTCGTTCTTCTTTTTATTAATTTCTTTTTCCTCGTTACAAAAATCTCGTTTCTTTTTCCACGGCGGCGTACTTTTTTCCGTCCATACAGTGGCCACAATGTGGATGTGTGCTTTCTGATACACAGTATTACAATTTAACAATATCGTCAGAAGATTCACCGTCCAGATGAGATCTTTCCCAGTTTGATTTCTTAAGAATTGAGCATCAATTCCGCTCTACCACCTGTATATCTCAGTGGAGCCAGGGAGAAAAAAGCAGACGATTGAAATAAGCTCCAACCATAAATCGGCGTCGACCCTCAACCTTATCCCCGTAGTACGGCGTACAAATTTACATTCTTGAAAAGGTTTTTTTTCTCGTTCCACGGCACAAAGTACAATCCTCCCAAACCTGTGGATAAGCCGTCTATTAGAGCCTTACACAATTCCCGTTCCGGTTAGTCCGACAGCCGGTTTTTCGTGGGGAACTTTCTTTTCCTGATGCGGTTGTGCGGTTGTATAATCTTACATGGTCTAGGATGGTTTGTCTATGAGGCTTTCTTCGAAATTTAAAACTAGAGAATGAACAGAAATAACAACACAATAAACGAGAAAGAGGGGAGGGGAGAAGAAAAGAGGGAAAAAAAGACACCTCCCACTCTAAGCCATGTCACAACAGCAAGCCACAGCGGCTCCCCAAAAGCCACATCAGCGACCTTCCCCCCTCTCCAAGAATAAGCCGATAGGAGGCGTCCCCCATCCGTGTGCTGCGTTCACCGCATCCAGAACAAAGAGAATAAAGGCCGGCCGGCCGGACGGCTTGTCCTGTGTAACGGCAACGGGGGGCAGGAACTAGGAACTATCGCGCTATGGTTTCCGGTTCCAGTGTTGGGTACCGCACAGATGAACTATTTCGGGTCGAAGAAGTCTAGAATCCAACTTGCGTAAGTAGATACGACGCAGGGGCAAGCTTGGGTTAGTTTTTGAAGATGCGCCGTAGGTATGGGGTTGCAAGTGAAAGTGAAAGTGAGGAACCCTTGACCTTGACCTTGACAAAAGAAAAAAGTGGGTACATACTGTGTCTGGACTTCTCTAGAATCGACAGCCAGATAAGCTGTCAATACTAGGCTGCTCCATAAGTGGCATATCATGTGTGATTGATCTCCACCAAGGGTTGGGCCATTTTTTATTTTTATTTTTATTTTTCGCCTCATCTTTCTGATGGGTGGGTGGGCTTCAGATCTAAGCCTGTTTGAGCATCACGAGTCTGGTTCGGGGGGACGCTAGAGGTTGGGGCTTATCTAACGTGCGAGGTTACGGGTTATGCTTTTGAGTTTTTGGGCCTGTTTTGATGGGTTCGGGCTTTGGATATGAAGGTTCCGGGGGTTTGGTTACTGTTGAGCGATATAAGGCATATAACGGTTCTTATTAGGGGCTGGCTTCGGGGTATAAGCAGTTTGATATAACGTTGTATGTATACGGTTCCATGGGTCGTTTGTATCTAGAAGCTACCGCTAGTCCATAAGAGGAACGTCGGTGCTCTGTATGTCAGGCACAGCGCAGGCTTCAGGGGGGGAAAGAATAGATCTAGATCTGCTCAATGCAACGAATGATTTCCTAGTATCGAAAATCTGCACCTCGATGCTTTGAGAGACTGTTTCCAAGGAAATCGTTCGTCCATTACGAAACCGACCGACCATTGAACATGCCATGTCCCGGACAAAAGAAATAAAACTAAAAATAAAAAAACATCAGACCATATTGGACCCTGACATTAAGAATCCCAGTACCCGAACTCTAATGCCTACAAGCAGACGCCTGCCATATTCAGCCCAATACAACCCTGACACTATAACAAATGCTACTCTACCATTTAAGCTCGGCATTTGCTTTCACAGAACCTGTTAAACGAACTCCTAGATTAATAATACCCCCGAACTATCAAAGCCCTAACCAGGCACCTCCCGACCTACCACACCGAGAGTTATAACGCAAGCCCATATAGCATTCCCATTTCCCTTCCCCAGGAGCCGGAAATGGCTGGCCTGACCCGGCCAGGCGAACCCAGTTCGCACGGACAGCGCGATAATTACTGCTTTCAGGATCCACGCCGCGTCGGACACCCCGGATCTTGAAATCGCATTTCCAACCGGACGGGAGAGGATATATCGGAAACAACTCGATTCACCATGGCTTCTTTACGACACTGCCAATGGCGAAAGCTGCTGCCTTGGTTATCGCGCGATGGCCTGGTCCGTGGTCGCTTCTTCCTGGGAACCTGCGCCGGGGGGAAGAGAGAGAAAGCGAGAAAGTAGCGTCTCCCGGACTAACTACTTGGAAGTAGGGAGCTTGCTCATTGCGCTCCCGCTAAGGCCTAGACGAAAGCATGGACAGCGCTGGCTCGGGGCCCACAAGCTCCAGGAGGCCGACGGGATGAACCCTCGGGGGGATTGTTGCCCCGTTCGTCTGGCTTTTGTTGCTAACACGAGTCAGTCGGTGTTTGTGGTCGGGCTGTCAGGAAAGAGAAACATACCGTTTTGCCTAGTTTCAGGGAACGCAGACCTGAGGTTTGATCATAATCGAGGATGGGATTTTCTCAGAAAACCCGCCGGTTATACCAGGAGGTACTAGTATAGAAGGATTCTGTAAAGGAGGCAAGTAAGTACTATGAGCACACTGCCTATATAGTATATTGCATACCGCACTCCATAGTTATATAGTAGTTACTCTCCACTCACTAAGCCAACGGTTATTTCTTAATTAATTGACTTTTCCTCGCCCTCGTTTCTTTTTTTCTTTTTTCTTTTTTCCCCCTCCCGCGTTCTTTCCCGTCAATACAACGAGCCCGTAATGGTACGCGTAATTGTAAATAATCCCTCAGGATGGATCGCTGGCGGGTATCCCGATCCGGTCCGCCACGATGACGGGCCGAAGTTCCAGTCTTTGGCCATCGGAGGGGACCAAGGTACTAGCGTGACTGGCTTCCGGGTCTCCTTGCGAAGGAGGGTACGGCGGATGGAAAATAGAATGAGATAAATCGAACGAATAAAAAAAAAACTTGATCGAATGAGAGAAAATCAGCTGAAGTTGGCTTCACGGAAACTATAATAACAGGGCACGTTATGCTCTAGCTTAGCGCTGTCAGCCATGAGGCAATGAAGGGTTGAAACTTTGGAGGTGCTCAGGCCTCATCCTGTGGCCCGCACACCGACCATATGGTGACGTTCACCCCATGGTTAGTGTGGTCAATTAGAAAAACGGTTTAAAAAAAGGAGCTCGAGAGGGAAAGATAGAAAGAATGATAGAAAAAAGGTGAAAAACCTCTGTATGGCAGGAAACAATCTATTTATATTTGCATTCGTTTCGATTTTTGCTGTTTTCCTTTTACCCAAAACATCACTAGATACATACATTCATGGATACATCTGGGAGATCCCGGAGGCAAGAGGCGAACGGAAATCAATCGAAGACCGATTGCGTCCTGAACCAAGGAGAGAAAAAGAAGGGTCTTGACATGAATAATTATATTAATTATGCAGTGATAGAAAGTACGGTGCAGCCCTGGTAGGGGGAGATAATGTACCTCCTCCGTAGACAATGATCCCCCCAAAGTTGCACCTGCAGAAATGGCGCATGCAAGTACCCAACTAAGCTGTCAGTTAGTCTGACTGTCTGGCTAATTGTTGGTGATCTCCTTGACGGGTGTTACGCGTACAGAACGCAGATACCCAGATACTGAGGAGGTACGGTATTTTACCGGTACATCTAGCGTATGGACTATACTATACCCGTATCAGCAAGACACGCAGACGTCGTCTTCGAGGAGATTTCCTATTGTGTCTGCAACGCCCCCTTTCTCCTTCCTTCGTCTTGAATTCGGCTGCTTGGCTTCGACCGAGGAGGAGGTCCGAGAATAGAGATATAATCCTGTCTGGATTACAGGTTGGGTGGGGGGCGTTTTAGGTTGTTAACCTACTTTTGTTTCCATTCAGTGTTTGGCGCGGAGGATTTCTTGGGATTATTGTTCAGGATTAATGATTTATCATTTGCTCAAAAATAGCAATAAAAAGAAAATTAAAAGCAAAAAGGCTCACATGCAGGTTGCTGCTTAAACGGGTTTAGCTCATTGACTCAGCATCGCGTTCCCGAGATTCTTCCCGGAGCGTCAGGATCTCCCATGGCAGTATCACCCAGTGTCCTCTAGTAACCGAGAGTACGGTCTGGTCTGTCAGGTCAGATAATGATATCTGTATCACCATGGTTGAAGGAATGGCTCGTGGTGGATCTTGATCCTCCATGCATCTGCCCTCTATCTGGCCACTGATTTGCTTGAAATCTCCTGGGGCCGACTGTGGATTGGCCCTTCGCCTTGCAGTATTAAGATTGCAGAACCGACATTATCACCAAAATTGAACTTGATAGGGTGGGAGATGACCATTCGGCGGAGTTGGGCTGGTGAGAAGCCTTTTGATGTTCTCGGGCCCTGAATCCTTCAAGTGCTTTTCCACGGGAATTGCAGCGGCTCATTGTTAACGCTTCTCGATGACCGCCTAAGAGGCCACACGGTCTTGGTCGAGTCAGCCCTATCCCTTTCAGATGAATGCTCGGCTATTGTCCCCCAAGCGGTCGGCTAGACATCAAGTCTCACATGACAATGGGCGACCAGACAGGGGGAACCGTGATTTTTGGTATGTAACGATGGCTCGGTCCGTTGTGTATTGTTGTTTCAGATCGAAACACAAACATAAGCAAGAGTACATAGAAAGGTTGTGTGTCTCAATCGGCATGTCTGTGCTGGGTCATATTCTGATATTTGCTCACGTACCTAGGGTCGGGGCAAGAGTACGGTCTTCCTGATGCTGACTCCATCCAGCGGCACTGATTCTTTTCTCCGCGCCGCATACACAGCGGCAGACTTCCGGTCTAAATATATTGACGTCAGACCACAAGTCTGCTCTTGGCTTTGGGGGAAGAGCACCGGGAAAAAAGGTTTTATCTAGCCAAGTTGGGACTGCAACGCCTCTAGTTCGCTCTAGTGATTATCAAGATGGCAAGCACTGAGTCGTTTTAACGAGACCTCTGAACGGGCTTGAGCTTCTATACGCCTCTTACCCTCGGGAATTTGCCCCCCAAAACTCCTCCCTCTACGCTAATGAAACCAAGGCCCTTGTCACGGAACTCCGCTCGCACATCATGCATCGTGTGATTTGCTTTTTGGAAACCAGAAGACCCCAGTTTGTATTTCCAGATGGATGATCATGCATTGCCTCCCCGTGGGATAAGCCAATCGAAGGATTATGCGGTTGAGTTGGTTGTTGCCGTCAGTGCTTCAGGAATGCCTCAAGATAAGGGACCAGTGGAAACCTGTTGCTCTGACATGCACTACAGCCCGTGATGCGGGTGAATTCCTTTTCCGGTCTGGTCACACACCCCCAGTCCTGGTATCAGCTGGGGCCCGGGACATGTCTCCTTACAGAAAGAAGCACATCGTAGCACTTACAGATGGATGCAATTGCAAATCCCGCCTCGAGGCCCTCGCTCGACCAGGACTTCTGTCATACGGCAGGGCCCTCGGGCCACTTCACACAGCCACCGACGCCTTCTGTTGATTCTAACCCCTCTACAGCCTGATTTTCATTTTTTTGATTTCCCCCTCCCCTCGGGGAAGCTGTCCCGGGATTGGCCGCTCATGTATACTCGACTGGCAGCAACCGTTCCCCGAGTTTGCTTAAATTGATTTCAGAGGACAAGTCACCTTACGCCCAATTTGGTCAAACATGCAGCTGCTAATCGGGTATCTGTGATTGTTGCTCCAGTATCTTACCCTTCCCGGCAGTATCTTGATCCCGATTTGTTCTACACATGGCTTAAATCTCTACGGAATGGCGTATCTGAAGTTTGACAGGAATGATCTGCGACAAAACCCCTCTATTCATATCATGATCCCGTTGGAATTCCTTATCCGAGGCCTGTTCAAGTTGCTGACTCGAGATAGAAACGATGATAACCGACGTCAGTGCACCGGTCGTTTTTCGGTCATGATGTAGTGGTTCTATAAATACTGTGGAGTATCAGCCTTGGCTGGATGCGGCCGCTAACTAGTACGAATTGCTAGGAAACAGCCAGACACACCTAGACGGTACCAAAACGGCCGATTATCTTTTTGAAAGGGACGGATCTTACAATGCTTCAATACTTTCGTGAGGAATAATTTTCGTGGCAATGAGGCATTTGCTATGGCTGTTGCCTGATATTCTTGTCATCGGACTTCTCTGGAAGAAGAGAGGCACCTAGACATGACAGGGTACGCATACCTTACCTGGTCTGACTCGCAGCTTCTCTAAATGTACCTCCATGTAGTAGTCCAAGTACCTAGGTAGGTAGGAAGATATAATACTGTGAGGGTATATTTCGCTCTGCATACCGCATCGATGTAATTTGCGTAATATGAAACAGGAGCAGGCGCCCGTATCATGAAAATAGCAAAACAAGCCTGCCAATTCCTGGGAGGTTCCAAAATTTCAACGTCCCGGGCCATCGCCATCCTCCATGCTCGGACTACAAGAGCAACAGGTGGAGGATTGGATCTAGGACTTAACTAGTACTAAAGGCCGGGGAGAGTGGGTAAGTCGTAGGTACTTCGCGACCCTAGTACTAGTGCTCCTACTAAGTCGGGAGAGGCACAGACAGCAGTACTTCGTCGGTAAGGTACACGGTAATACGGTACCGACGGAACGTGACAAAAGTACACACGGACCCATGGCGGGTGGCGGTGATTGGCCCGGGGAAACAGGGATGGCAGCAGCCGCGGGCTTTTCCATCAGCACGTCGCCGCAAAGGGCAGGCGCATGTTATTGCCGGCTTTCTGCCAGTCGGCGACGTACTTTTCCTTCCGGGTTAGACTCGCTCGGCGGCGAACCACTTGGTTGCCCTGTTGCGTCCGAAGTACGAGGGAAGCTCATGTATGCCTTCCTTCCCTTGAATCTTTGCTCTTGTTTTCGCTTTTCAGTTTTCATCCTCCCTCCCCCCATGTATCGTCGGTTCCTCCGTACTAGCCTCCCCGATCAATGATTCATGAGACTCCATGTTGGTCGACTAATCCTCGGGAGTATTATTTGTCGTTGGCGCGGTAAACCGACTGCCTGCTTTTCATTACGCCCATACTTACGGAGGAGGTACTTACACACCTGCAGCCTGTCCAGACCAGACTCGGCCACTACTAATATTGTCAACTTAATGATCCATCCTGATGTCCTGGAAAACTGGAGTGACTACCGAGCTGACTTCTTCGTGACTGCTCTTCCCTAAACCCAACTACATCGTCATTCTTCCCCATCGTCCATCCCCCCCTCCTCAAAATACCTGACGCTCAACCCGACTGCTTGATCTCCATCTACGCTGTTCAACCCATTTTTGTTATTTTCGTTCCCACCCTTCTACCTTTCCTCCTCTTTGGTCTCTACATCTCTCCCCCGTGAGCGCGCTTTCTCTCGTCTTTTATTTTCTTTCCTTTCCTTCCCTTTTCTCTTCTCACACTCCTTCTCTCTTGTCTACGTACCTCATTACGTCTGCGGCTCCCCCCACACCGTGCCTTTCTATTCTTGGCTCAATTCTGCTCCCATTCTCTTCGCTTCTTCGACAGCCGAACTTCTTCCCTGGAAGACGTCAGAGTATGAGTGACGGCGAGATCTCGGTGATCTGTTCATGATGGAAGGTTCCATCCCTCCGTCGGCCGCCCTTCCTGTCTCTCCTACCACTTCCTCCTCTTCGGCCGTCTTTCGCCCCCGCAGATCCGACGACTGGCACGAGTATCGACCGGCCATTGAGCAGCTCTACCGCGATAACCAGTTGAAGCTCAAAGATGTCAAAAGAATCATGGAGCGTGATTATAACTTTGTTGCATCGTACTGTCTTCCCCTTTTCTTTTGCTCGCGGTGTTTTTTTCTTTTCTTTTTTTCTTTTTCCTCTCCCCCTGCCTTTCCCTTCGTTTGCAGAAAGATCATATATAAAGTCCGACCTTGACTTGGGCTGTCGGATTTCAGGTCATTTATACTGCAGTAATTCTATTTCCCCAACGGATGGTTTCTTCTTCCTCTTCTTATCCAATTCTCCCTCCCCCTTTCTTTCGAGCGAGGAAGAGGACAGTGCGTCGTCTCTGTTGCTTTTTCTTAATTTCTTTTTCCACCCCTTCTTTGCTTTTTCCTCGATGGACGAATCAGGATCTTGATAGACATCCCCCCTAACAATCAACACGTCCAGGGAAAAACAATATAAAGACCGCCTGGCAGCTTGGCACATCCGCAAAAACATCAAAAATAAAGAGGTCCAAGTCATGATCCGGAAACAACAGAAACGGGCAGCCCGGGGCAAGCAAACCGCATTTCGAGTCGGTGGCCAGGAAGTCGATTCCAAACGCATTGCACGTTTCGTCCGTAGATATGGCACCCAGTGGGAGAACAAACCTCGCAATAATGACCACCGCCAAGCAAGCCCAGAACCAAGTGAGTCTGACCCCTTCCGTAACATTGTCCATTTATCGGTTATTCATTCTGAATTCGCAGAAACCCCGTCTGATATGAGTTGCTATACCCCCGAGCCCGACGACAGAGGCGCAACTCTATCTCCGCTGCCTGAGCTGCAGCCAAACCATCGTGAGATAACCCGTTTTCACTACATGCACCCAGTCAAATGTTCGATTTTCATCAGGTCTCTCTTTTCCATTAACCAGTATTTCCTAGGCACCGAGACTTTCGATCCGATCCCCGAAGCCGACATTGATGACGACCAGTCCCTAACGGCTACCCTCAGCCCCAGCTTACCCAATGAAACGCCCAAAGCCTTGGAAACTCCGCTTCAAGAGGCAAATGCTTGGAATGAGCTTGTCTCATTTCAAGATCGTCTTCTGGCCCTCCATCACACACTTGAGCAGTCTATGTCTGGATTCACGTCGCCCCACGACGAATAAACACGACAGCCCGGAAAGAACACCAGGCGCTCCAAGCGCCTGAAGGCCTGGAGATGGAGGAAAGCGAGCTGTTATTCCTGTTGGGAATCGCTCAAACGGAAAAATTGTTAACAACCCCTCTTCCTTATACCTCCTATCATTGGTCAGAGTAACTATATTACTACCCGCTTCTCAGTTTACTGCTTGTTCTGTATTACTGCCGCGTTTTTGCCATCAGCATTTCTTTATATTTCTTTCTTCTATTCCCTTTCCCCCATTTTCTCTTCCATCTTTGCATCTTTTGGTTCCCTCTAGCTTTTTCGTTTTGCCATTCTCAGAGTGCCGACTATATAGAGCATCTATGGTTTGATTTTCTGGGAACGGCATAATGTAGGTTCTGGTGTACGCTCTAAATGTACAAATTGTGACGGTGTACGGGACTGGTGGCACTTATATCCAGGCCTTGACTACAGAAAACGTCGCTCTCGTGCCAGTTCTCCCCTTCAACAACCAGAACTCACGGAGCATTGCGATGATAGTTCGATGACTACACGGTATCGATTTTATCACAGACTGGAGACTATCAGATAACTTCGAACGAGTCGTCTTGCGATCAGCTTCTGGACCACCGGCCTCACGAAGACTCAACGTCCATTTTGTACGGCAGATTCCAGAGAGCATGAGACTCGATCACCATAATCAACATGCATATTCGCCGCCCCACGACTGATTTCTAAGAAAGCCCCTCGAAAATGATGCACTCGCTGGCCTGTCTCTTGAACCAGGAAATCCAGTTTCAACCAGAAGTCCGATGCCAACCTCGCATCACGATTTCAATATGACCCTCGCGCCGCCGGTATCCTGCTGATGTACCTTCCATGCAATCTATGACGAAGAAACACAAGGTGTGGCAAAGGGGATGGAGTGAGACGCCGCAGATATCCAACTGATATGAAGGTGACAACGGTAGATGATTTGTTCTGCCCATTCTCATTGTGCTCACTGTCAAGTTGAAGATCTAGTTCCGAGGTATGGAGTAGGTAGTCGATTTTCCCTGCGTTAGACGAACATGCGTATTGGACGAAACCTAGCGCACGAGCCCCATCGCGATCCTGCAAGACGACGATACTCCATAGCCCGGTCGCCACCAAGATCGGACTGGTCCTACAGGCCAACGCCAAGGCAGCCCCCGAAAATCGCTAGTGAAACGAGCAATAGCAGAACGGAAATTACCACCTCTGGAGAGCAAACACAACAAAAGCCAAACACCATAGTAAATCGCCTCATGCGGAACGAAATGAACAAAGGAGGCTGGAGGGAAGCCAAAAAAAAAACACTGGCTTTGGGTTGAGTGTGAGCGATCACAATCAACAGGGGGGGAATACATTATTATCAGGTAGATTTTGGGCAGTACGGAGTACAAGAACTAATGTTTGCACTGGTCCCCGAGATGCAGATATCAAAATCAAGTCGGTGCCAGCGAAAACTAGACTATGGAAAACAGGTCCAAGTTGTTGACGACTAAGGAGGGCGTTACGCATGCAGTGGACGAGACACCTCCCACAGGGGGAGGAAGCAAATAAAGCAACAGAGGTGGAAAAGAAATCCGCCACGAATCAAAGGCCAGACTGCCGCCAGCAGACAAACGGACCACTTGCGCCCGACCCCCAGCCCAATCTGGTAAAGCCAGCCAGTCCTACGCTGGGCGAGCAGATCCAAGGGGCAAGCGGACCAGTCGGGGGTTTCAGGTCCTGGCGTTGTTCGCGCCGGATAATGTCGATCTTTGTTGAACAAAAGTACTGGTCTTAAGATTGCGAATGCTAAGGCTGGCTCTCTCCACTGTTATCGTTGTCTCCTCTGTTAAGGATCTTCCACACTCTTGGCCAATGAATCCTTCCGTCGTATATATTGGACTACTCGTATAGCCAAGGGGGTAATAGGCAATACGCCCATACACACTAGAAGATCCACCGAACAGCGCAGCTGAAAGCTGTCTCGAGAGACCGCCGAAGTACCAACCATCATATGACTATTTGTGATGACGGAAGATCCCCGACTGCCTTGCTGCCTGAGGTATGCTGTGATTTGCAGCCCTGCTTGTACGGCGCCGTACCTAATCGATCCGACAGCGTCGCTGCTTTTAGGGCTGCCACCTGCCCCTTTCAGCTCACATGACTGCCGCTTACTGTCGGTGTCTTTTGCCATACAGGCCTGGATTTGCCTGGATCTTCCTCTCATTATACCTCATTGCTCAGCAGACCAATCTTTTACCGTCGAGCCTTCTCTCCGACCACATTCAACCTAGTCCTGACGACCAAAGACACACCCCATATCCCGCAAGCCTATCGATGCTATGGAATGAATCGAATATTACCGACCTGGAGGCTATCATTCTGTTACAATCAAAGATTCTCCACAGTCGTGACCAGATAGTCTATAAACTCGACCTGGCTCGCTAATCGATACCTTGCCATTAATATATGCACGGCTGATACAGACTCCTTGAGATCGACGTGCTGTCTAGACTTTCGAAGACCACGTTGTCACCAGCTTTAGACAGGTCTATGATATGGGATCGATTCAACATTTCCAATGGCAAGCACGTTCGTTTGGTGACTACTCCCATCAGGATCAATCTCTCCGACGCGAAGAATACGTCCTGGTCTAGTATTTTCAACTTGATCTGGTGAGAGCAAGAGCCGCAGCTGTCCAATATCTCCATTCGTAGGGATCTGTTCATGGAGATCTTGATTGCGGAAATGTTCTCCTCTCTCCTGACCTTGGGCAAGTGTCAACTCAAAGGTTATATATGAGCAATACGAAGAGCCAGTCCTCGAGCCGGTCAATCAATTCGGTAACCAAGACCTCCCAGGTGTCCCGAAATATGGCAACCGCCTATCTGGCTCGGAGGCGCAAGCGAAAACGTCACACTTCCGGAAGCCAAGATCATTCTTTCAAATTTTGGTGATACGTTCTCTCCAGTGTAAGAAGAAAAGATTCAGGTCCTATAAACTTCTTCAGACTCATCCCCGGGAGGCTCTGTTGGCTTGAACCGAGCCTCTTTCGTTCCCGTCTGATATCTGGCTCCTCGCATGCACTATCTGGAACATCGTTGCCCAGAGAACACCTTTTGACGATCCTCTCACCGATCGCATGACATATCAGTAGATCTGCACCCTCGGACCATTGCCACCTGAGTGGTGGACAACATGGGAGGTGCGTAATGACAAATTCACCGAGCAAGGGGAGCCCATCAATCAAACCGCCAAATCAGTCCTGGGAAGATTGCTTTGAAGTCGCTCGGATTCTCCGAAGGGAAGAAAGAATGACCCTCTAGAACCAACCGAGCGTGATGCCCTTCTCGCCTTGCTGCCTTTAGGACCCGGTATCGTTCTTCTGAGCGATATTTACTGGGCCAGCGTGGATGGTCAAATGCGCTCTGCCTGAGTACGCGAGACTTTACATTGCGCTGACACAATTGAAGCCGGACTTCCGTTCGACCATATATATCCCTGTTGATTATTGGTGCCAACCCCATGGCAGGCATTAGTACAACTAAGAAGCACCCCAACAAATATGGAATAAGTATACTTGAAGCCGACCTCGGCTTTCTCTCTGTCTAGTCCGATTTTCCACACTATCACTACATACAAGTTCACAACCCAGATTCGTGACATCTAGTAGCACAAGCTCCGCTCTAAGCAACAGGTCTATAGAAATTGGCTGGAGACCTAGAGATTATCATCCATCTAGGGGGAAGCACCGACACCTAAAACACATGAGCATGACAGCCCCATAATCCATACATATTCTAGAAACTACCCACGACACGCCAGATGTCGACAGTGTCATTATATTGTCACGCAGAACGGTCCAGTTCAAAGCTCCCATTCTATGATTTATAGGATCGTATCTAAGTACTTCATAGACAGTCTATGCTTAACGTCAAGACAAAGGCTGGACATTTTGTCATTGACGGAACCAAAAAGAGTAAAAGGGTGGAAATGATAGAAAATAAAAGTAATAATTTGTACAGAAAGTTAAGAAAAAGAATAAGAGAGATGTGTAGATGATAGGAAAAAGGCGGGTGGAGAAGGAAGATGACCTTTTGAAAGCGCTCAACCATTAACAAAGGAGGAAAGTCACCACAATGAACAGAAACCTGCATGAAAAAAGAAACCACAGATATCCCCATACTGACGAAAGCAGAAACAAAAAACCGAGGTTACCCAACGCTTGTAATATCCCGTAAACAAAGGGAAAAGTGAAAAAGGAAGAAAGGAAAAAAAGTAAACAGGTGGTAATCATCAATAACTCTCATCCCGAGTGCTATACAGTCATGTGCAGTGTCTCTGACTCGGTTTGGACTGAGTCAATAATAGAAATGGCGGTCATTGAGGAGGGGCGTAGCGGCGTCGTGTTGGGCCATCAATTAGATATAAGGCACCGCCTTAGGAATAGAAAGCGCTCTTTTGGAAGCTCTCGGGCGAAATGTCACCCATTTTGCCCTTCAGCTCGGGTTTCGCGTCCTGGGAAGCAACGGCAGCGATTTCCTCGGACGCCCCGGCTTGCAGGCTGTTGCTGCGACTCGCCGCTTGGCTACCGGCCGTGATGGCCTGCTGCGGTTTCCGCTGGATAGTCTCCAGATAAGGACCGGGGAGATATCCGACGCGGCCGTCTCGGGCCCGGCATCGCCACCATTCGGAGGCGTTGCCCATGGGGTCCGACTTGCTGAGAACGGCGACGATGTCGCCCTTCTTGGCGGCCAGATCGACGCCATTGCTTTCCTGCGACTCGGGGGAGTAGTCGTAAAGCACGCGGCAGAAGTCAAGCTTCGATGGGTCCAGCGGGGCTCCGCCCTGCAGCTGTTCCCCATTGGGGCCCTCCATGAGTTGGCGGCGCTGCTCTTCCTGCGAGCGGGCCAGCGTCTTGATAAGTTTGCCCATCAGGTACGGAAGACCGAACAGAGCGATCAAGAACATGAAGAACGGCTTTTTCGATGGCTTGGGAGGCGCAGGGGTTCCATCGGGAAGAGTGGCGGGCGCCGACCGTCCGTTCAGGAAGGCTGCGAAGGCCGAGGGGGTGAGAGCAGTGGCGTCGGCGGGAGGTGGCCGACCGGTGATCTTTGCAATCAACGTCCTGAACCACCTGATCAAAGTGAAGATGCCGAGGGCCGAGCCCAGAGTGTTGCGTAGATTACCAAACTGTTCGGCGACGGACACCATAGCTAATCATGCGAGTCAGCCTTACGGTCGTAATTATGATCAACAAAGAAAACATCAAACGTACCGAAGAAAGAGCTGTGAGTGGCCATATAGGTACTCTCGAGCATCTGAGCGAATCCTCCGAACGCGCCCACGATGCTCTCAATCATCTGAAACGTGGCCTGCGTGTTCTGGCCGAACGAATTCGTCAAACTGTTGGGATCATTGGGATCACCGGGCATGCCGCCTCCGTACATGCCTCCCATGCCTCCCATACCGCCATACATTCCGCCCATGCCACCGTAGCCACCGTACATCGATCCCATGGACCCCATCGTGCCGAAGCGGGAGTACGGAGAGGAGTAGGAGCTATAACCGCCGTAACCTCCGTAGGGACTGGCTCCGAACCGCGAGGCACCGTACGGCGAGTAATTCGAGGCGGTGCGATTCACAACTGAGTTCAAAGAATTAGGTCGAGAGGGCAGATCGGGGGCGGTAGCAGTTGTCGAAGCCGCGGTCGGCGCAGCCGAGGTATTTGTTGTAGTCATGGCCGTAGCGGGAGCCGTGCTAGTAGGTGTGGGTAGGGCGGTCCCTGCACGGAAAGACAAGAAAACACGTTAGTTGACACTGCAGAGGCCGTGAAAGCAGACACGACAAGTCGGTCGATCACCTACCACCAGCGGCGCCTACCCTCTCCCACGGCTTGGGTGGCGAAACTGATGCCATGGAGATCGGGGAGGAAATCTCACCAGCCTCGCATCGAGATGGACCCAATCAAGAGGCCAGCTGTCGGAACTGAGCCGAGTCTAGATGGGGGAGGTGAATGGGGGGTGAATCTGGGGGTGGATGGAAGATGGGGGAAGGGAAAAGAGGAGCGAGAGAAAGAGGAGAAAAGAGGGGAGGCGATGGAGATGGAGATCAGGAATGGGTCAGAAGGCGGTGGAGACGAAGGCGCGGAAAAGTTCTCGGCGCATGTGCGACTGCCGAGGCTCCGCGTTTTTGCCGACGGACTTCTCCGTCCGAGTCACGGGATTCGCCTTTCTCTCTGTATCTACAGAGTACGCTATACGGATCCATAAAGATATCTGCTTCATGCAAAAGCTGCGATTCTAACCCATATGCTACAAATCGCCCCAAAACTCCAAACAATGCAAAAGGCGTCTACACCGCCCAGTCTAACTATCTGTACAGTACATCCCAAGAAAACCCATATCCAAACCAGTCAACGCTCGGGAAAAGAAAAAAGCTCTCCTAGTATACTCATAGCTCGTCATGGCCGTCGGATACTGGAGTACCGGGAAGTCGAATCTTCCAGGCGCGTGGAGGCACTGGCAGACCCAACCAATAGCTCCACAGCCGATTGACTTCCAGAACACATATTTCAAAGCTGCGAAGCGGTCATTAGCAACACAATCGGATCAAGTTTTGCATGAGGGGGTGAGTCAATAGCTTACATAGTTTGAGGAGCGTTGAGCCAGGATTTCGCGACGTAGACGAATGTGTCCCATACCACGGAAAACTCGGCCTTGATGTCGTCCATGACCGTGTCCGTCTCACGGCGAACTCTCTTCCGCTCCCACGGTAGCTTTTCGGCGGCGTATGCGAAATCGTCTTCGTCGTTTTCGTAGTAGAAAGTCGAGCCACCATCCTTATAAAGACGTTTCGTTCCCTTGCCATCGGGGCTCTTTTGCCGTGACCCCGGGGCCGCCTGAATGGCGAAAACGTCGCCATCGTTCAGGTCCATGGCGCGGTGGAAACTGCGAACAGCGGCCAGACTGTGCGAGATCCGCCCCAGCGTATTGACCAGAGACACCAACTCGGTTCTCCGGAGCGGGGGGTTTTCGCCGTTTTTCGTCTCGTCATACTCAAACAAGACCTTCAAGGCGGTCCCATAGCCGTTGACTTGGAGCTTACCCCATAGTCGGCATTTGTCGCATCCAACGCAATCCATCAGCCGGCTCACGTTCCTGAACCGATTGCGGAAATCTTCTTTCAGACCAATGGCGCTGGGATCCTGGAACATGATGTTCTCGTCGAAAATCTGGGGTCTGTCGGCAAGAGCCTTGGTAAGAACAGACACCTTCGCCTTGGTTTCAGCATCCTGGAGAGGATCGCTGGTGCAGTACGTGTATCCCTCCAGATGCTTCCGCAGTTTCGCAACAGCCCGGGACACCAGCGCATAGTTGAAGTACAAGTTGGAGATCCGCTCCGGGTGGTCGTGCAGTCGTTCCTTGAAGCACTGCAAGTTCGGGTGCCATTGTCCCGTCGTCTGATTGAGATAGTCCCAGCAGAGATGCGTCGAGATGGAGGCATGCATTCCACTGATGACACGATGGAAGACGCGCTTCTCAAGACACTCATTGTCCAGAGGCAATCCCTCCGCATGTTTCAGCTCCTTCTGGATAACATTCCGAAAGTCATTTACGGCCTCCAGCCCTCCCAACTGAACGTTTGGAGACGACTCTAGCTCCGGAACCGGCTTCAGGAAACAATTCTCGCGATAGACAGCATCCCAGAGTTGCCGGGCGCCTGCTCCAGCATACCCCGTGAATCGTTCCGGGTTATCCACCAAACTGACATAGTCTCCCTTTCCGCTGGCTCCCTCGTCTTCGGGGACACAATAATCCCGCTCGTCACACTCATCGTCATACTCGACCACGCAGCTCTCCCTGACGTTGTCTCCCAGCATACCCTGGAGCGGTCGATCCTTGGGACGCTCCTTCTGGAGCTTGCGACCGGGATGACCGGCCTTGGGGCCTTCAAGTTTACTCAGCTCCTCCGCGCGCCACGTCAATGGGATGTCTTCTTCTGATTCGATCGTGTTCACGGCGCAGGCGATATTCCCGCACATGCTATTTGAGTCTTGCCAGAATGGGCAGACTTTGTTGAATAGGTTGAGACGGTAGTATGAGAAGAAATCGGTTTCTTGTGTGATGGATTGAAGGAGCGTGTAAACTTGGTCATTCATTTGATTGATGGCGGCGTAGGAAACGCAGGCGTCGGACACCATGGCACTGGGGTCAATCTACAAAAAAGGATCGGTGGTCAGCGGGCAGCATGAAAACAGGGATCACAGAATTACAAGTCAACTCACAGCGCAGGTGTCAACTTCAAGTTGGGATTGCTCATGGCCATCATGGTTGGCGGAGGTGAGGTTTAGCAAGCTAAACACAGCCAAGTAAAACAATTTGGCCGCGGAGCGCATTTTGGCGCAAATGTCTGGGATTCAGACGACCGTAGATCGAGACAAAAAGAAAAGACCGAAGATAGCTAGATAATCAATGTATGATCTTCACATGAAAATCACCAACAGTGGACCAGCAAAAAAAAAAAAGTCAATCAGATCAAGCGGCGAAGGCACATAGTCTGGTCGGACCACTCTCTATCTCTAATTCAACGGAGATAAATGATCGCGTGTATTTGGAGAAACGAACGAAGCTGAGGAAAAAAGATGCGACGCCCGCGAAAGGAGGGAGGAATGGGCGGAAGTATTGAAGGGACGCGAAGTTGACAAGCTGTCCTTGGTGGCGGGAGTTGCATGACTTATCGGCTGATTATCAATAATCAGTGAAAGGAGTCGTTTCCGCCTTCCCGCCCCGATTAATTATTTATTGGGTCTGATTAGTTCCCCCCCGTTTCGCCATTATTGATCAGGGTCCCTACTATTCCCTATTCTCGGGTTCGTCGTGAGGCCATCGTGGCTCTCTTTGTTCTGCCATCAGGCCACACCCGTCCAAGCCACTGCGTTTTTTATTCTTATTTTTAATTCTGGCAGGGATTCCTCCAACAGCTGCTCGCATCTCCCCATACTTACCTACGGGGTTACTCCCTGGCCCCGATCTAATACCGATGCGTCTAGTGCCGATCCATACAAATAGTCCTACCATAATTTCGCCGTTGACTACTTCCTACCAACGTTTCATCTCCTGAGCATAAGCTGATCCTAACTACGTTGGACCGCCTGTCTTAACCATGAGTCCCGTGCCCTCTCTTTTCTGCGTAGCGTAGCAGGCCACATTCCCCTTTCTGCCTTGCATGCTGCCTACCTACTCTTGCATCTGTGTAAGGAAATCAGCGACTCGACGCAGATAAGGAAAGTATCCGCGGACAGGTGGGCTGCATTTCCCACTCTCGCATCGCGAAGATAGGATGGGATAGGAAATGGAAATGGGAGGGATTGAGGACGAGAGGTGAGAATATAAATTAGTTAGGCTGGTGGTCCAGTACAGGCGGGACCGGTGTCGTGTTGGAAGGTCAAATACTAGTTGATGGCGACGGTTCGAACATGGATACTGTGCTTTATCTCGCCCAGAGATTGTAGACGCAGGGGCTGTCTGCATGGCAGGAATGTCCCCTCACCCCTGTGGTGGCATTGTAATTATCTTAGCGACGCCTTAATTTCCACGGGGTGGGTAGGTGTAGTTTAGGGCTATGTTGCGATAATGGTAGGTGTTGAATGTATCGTGAATAGAGAAGTGATCGCTTGATCATGATGTGGTGTCTGAAAGCCCGGGCCAATTGAAGGGACCTACGTCTGGCGAAGGCGACGAATATCACTACAAGCGTTCTAATACGAGGGAAAGGGAAGATCAACTTGTTTGATGAAATGATCTTGTCATTTTCATTGAATTTAAAAACGGATCCATTCTCTTCCTCCAAGACTTGGGAGGGAACACATTGGCCATTGCCAGGCAGTACAAAAACAATTTCCTCGGGAGCCAGCGAGGATACATGAAAAGGCCATGACAAGAAAATCAAAAGGTAGGATGGAAACCGTGGGAACCATTTACATCCTCGAAGACGGTGAGGATCATCAGGCGTGCCATTTTATGGCGGTACATGAGGCCATACATGAATTAAACAAATTCCCCAGCCGAGGATACATCAGAAAAACAGGAAAGGAAATGTCAGTGAAAAAAACCTCAAAAAAAACCTCTTCAAATGTAGAGGAAAAAGGAAGGGAAAAACTGAAAATCAGACTCCGAGCCCGCCCAGAGACGTATGGGGGCATCCTTTAGATCAATCCGAACAGAACAAGCCCGACCAACTCCAAGCTAAACCGAGAAACCGCCCATTCACATCACGCCTGCCGTAATAGGTCGATGGGGAAGATGACGAAGATCGTAGATAAATATAGTAAACCCTTTTTGGGACAGAAAATGTACATGTCAGAAGTGAAACGAAGTTGTCGGGAAGTGAACGAAAATCCGAGCTGTATGAAATCATCACTCTATATTGCCGGTTGTAGAGCGCATGTCGAACGGTATATTTTGGCGTAATTTATAAATATTCTCGGGTGCCATTCAAGTCGTACCCCGTCGACGGCGGAAGTTCAACACCTTTCGAAGCGAGGCAAATGGCTTGGGAAGAGGTTTGTTGTAAAATGGGTCGTTCTTGAAGTCCTCGTCGGTAAATTTCTATTGAAAAGAAAACATTAGTGGCTGAAACCAAGCCGACCTCAGAATGTGACAAGAGACACGTACCAATCCGGGACAGCGCATAAAATTTCCATAATCGTTCATCATGTTGGTTCCCTCTTCGTATTCATAAGTTTGGCCTTCCCTGTCGGTGTGACCGGGTGGGAAATAAGCCACTCCATCTAGTGGACGGTGGCCGTCGAGACAGTCGCGAATTTTGTCGGACGGGGTGGCCTTGAGAGCCTCTGCGTTTGATGTTTGGAGGGCCTCGACGGGACTCGCCTTGGTGTCGTGGTTTCTTTCGGGGTAGACGGCGTCATAAGGGCCTTCGTGGTGGTACTGATAAATTCCCGCGTCATCGAGACGGTCGATGATGTCGGGATTAACGAGGAGTGAGTCACGCGGGTATCGAGACTGACGTCGTCCTGAGCGCATCGTAGAGTGGCGACGGGGCTCGTGATGGTGGCTATGGTGGTTATGGTGGTTATGGTGGTGATAAGTAGGATAATCTCGCCGCCTGGGCTGCTCCATGGGGAAATGTTCGAGCATTCCGTTATAGTAGACGGACGGGACCGAGGAGGATCTTTGACGGCGGAGCGTGTGACGAGAAGGAGATGGAGAGAGGAAGCGATAATAAGGATTCTGACTGTGTCGGGTCATGTCCAGGCGTGGCGAAGAAGAGTAGTGAGGAAGAGGGGAGAGGGCCGAAGTCATATGCAGGACTTCAGTCGAGGCCATGGTGGAAGATTTGACGGTGAGCAGGATTGGGAAGAAGAGGGGGATCTCTCACGGCCTGGAAAGACCGTGAATTGGAAATACAATAAATGTATGTAGGCACTTAATAGTACCAGAGCGCTAGTGGGAATCTGCGTAAATTCCACGAACAGAAGTGGGGCCAGACGAGAAGTATAAAGATGCACGGGCGAAAAGTGGCTTTAGGCCGAAGGTGTGGACGGAGTAGCGATAGATGGAAATATCGAGGGACGATGGAGAAGAGAAGAATATAAAGAGACGACGGAGCAGGCGGCCAGCAAAAAAAGGCCTGGGTCAGTGAGCATCTACACGCCCAAGTGACGTTCACTGCCGAGAGTGACGTGACGACTTGCGTAGGATGATTTCTTATCGATAACAAATGGCACCCCTGCCTTCCTGTTGGGGTCTAGTGTCAGGGTCTGCGCGGAAGACTAGACCCGTTCGGTTGCATTGACTGCCGCTCGATGACCTCTTGAACTTCTCTCCTCCTGCACAGTCTACACTTACCAGACAACCCTGCCAACGGAGTCGAGGTCTCGGTTCGACGCTTCACGGCAGCCCGGTGCAACACTCTGCTGCGTTCCTGGGAGAACCCGCCCGTCAGATCTCGGACGCAGAACATGTTCTATTTCCAAACTCAAGTCCGAGTCACCCGAGAGGCAACACGCACCCTGCTGACAGGGTCCACAGTGGCTAACAGTAATCTGAGTTCACAAACGGAGCAGAAATTAAATCATTAGCCCACCACGATACCCGACCGAACATGTGCAACAGCCGACGATCTTTTGATATCTTCATATCAATCCCCATGGACCGACTCTTGACCGTCTCCTTGTCCCTGGAATCCAAAGCGTCAAACCCCTCGAATTTAAGCTTAACCCCTAGTATGGTCGTAGCGTTGATGGCGTTTTTCTCCTAGTCAAATTAGTACAAGACCCGGCAACTTTCCCTCGCGATTCCCAAGAACCGTTGGTGTATCCACTTTTCTTAGTCGCAGCGTCCACCATGAACGTCATGGATCAACATCCATTTGCAACATCTCTGCGATCTCGCTGCCCTCCACGAGTTTTTCTCCAGAGTGATGTCATCTGATCACCCCGCCCTCGGAGTTGAGAATAAAATCCAGGTGTAATGGACCGGAGACCGTTCAGTTGGTTCGTAAAACGCTGCTGTGAAAACCAGCACGGATAGGAAACCGTCCATCAATTTTCACGTAGGACAATATTCGCCTGTGCAGGTGCTCCCGGCTTCGACTACACCGTATCAATGTCCATCTATCAGATCCGGTATGCACTCCGCAATAGAGGACGCAAGGTCCGGAGTATGTGAGTCGGACTACTCCAGAGTGGGCTTCCGTGGCTGTCAATATTGCTGGAAATCGGCGTCCGAATTATTGAAATAGCATGTCAATACGAGCCAATGCGCCCTGGAAATCTCCGAGCGACGCTATTTACGGACTCGTCTGGAACCAGAAGCGTCGGACTGGGCGGATTGTCAACTCCGGCCGGTTGCTTGGCGCAACCCGTACGGTATCAATACCCCCGATCACTGCGCCGTCGCCCAGACGCGACCATCATCGTTTCTCGGCATCAGGCAGACTGCAAATGGCTCTGGTGCAGTATTCGGATTCCGAATCAGAAGAGGACTCTCCTCCAAGACCTATCAAGAAGCATCGTTCCGAGACCACCTCCGCCTCCGCCTCCGCCTCAGCCTCATCTCTTCCCCCACTCCCCAAATCCTTCCACGATCTCTATGCCTCCAGTACTCGTGTCAGCGTGAAAGATGACCCCAGTCTCCATGGAGGCCGGAAGCGAGTGATCCCTCATATCGAGGGGAATTGGCCCACGCACCTCTATCTCGAATGTCAGGCCGCGTCATGCTATTTTCGTTTCTCTTCGATGTCTCGCGCTGATTTGAAACAGGGTTCCCTTCCAAAGAAGAGCTCGCCATTCTGAGTGACGTTCTCAGCCAGTGCGAAGACAAGCTAGCAAACAGCAACATAGACGTCCAGAGTCTATTGAGAAGTGACCTGGGGGCCCAGCTTCCCCTTCATATCAGCCTGTCCCGACCGGTGGTGCTTCGAACGGAGCAGAAACAACCATTTCTGGAGACATTTACCGCCGCTCTCCAAGAATCCAACGTCTCAGCGTGAGTGGCGCAGCACTTTGACATGACGAGACTCAGCATGCTCATTCAGCCTCAGGTTTGACGTGGTCGCCGACAGTCTTCACTGCGTTTCTAATTATGAACAGACACGGTGGTTCTATGTCTTGCGCGCGAGGAAGCCCGAGCATGACAACCTAAATCGCCTGCTCGGGATTTCAAATCGCTGCCTAGCTCTATACGGTCAGCCACCGCTATACGAGCCTCCCCACGAACCAGGCGCGGAACGAGAGTCCAGGTCGTCAGGGAAGTCGGCGCCAAAATCCGCAGTCAAGCAGCCTCAGATGCGCGACTATTCTGAATGTTTTCACATTTCTCTCGCGTGGAGTCTGACTGGCCCTTCGCCCGAAGACCGAGACCAGGTCGCAGAGATCGATCTCCGCAGATTGAGTGGTCTTCGGATCCCTTTCGATTGCGTGAAGGCGAAGCTTGGGAATCAGATTACAAGCATCCCATTGTCGACTGGGATTCTCGGCCAGCGAAGTTAGGCGCATGACACGATAGAAATCCGTTGTAATTTTGGCTGTTCATAGAATTACCTGCTTTGTATAGTCTTCTCGATACGCATATAGCCATAGTGCAATATTATAGTTTACTAGAGTAATCTGGATATCTTCCTGCGAGAACAAGAAAGATCCCTTGCCTTGAAGGATCTTATCAAGGTTCAATTATTGAAGGTATGGACGTAATGCCCTGGTAATATTACCGACCCCTGTCGCGCTAAGCCGATCCCATCCGATACGCGCTTTTCGACTTGTGCCGCACCACAGCTCTTTCTCCTTCCTCATGGCCGGCATTCTTTGCACCCTCCCCGCAAGAAACGATTCCTCGTCGGGACTCTCAAGATGTCGGGTCTTCAAATCCCGAGCGTCACACTAGTGAGTTTCACCACCCACCCAAGTCCCTACTTTCAACGCCCCCTAACATTCTCGCGTCGTTAGGAAGACCTTGAAGCTTTCCAAGCAAAACATTTCCCTGGAAGCGCCCAAACCCCCGCGATTCAGGGCCCCTACGACGAAACAGTAGACCACCAGCTCGAAGAATACGAAGATGAAGATGATCTCGGGTACTACCCCGACGGGGTGAAGCGTACTTTGACGGACGAGCAGATCAGGATCTTCAGACATAGCGAAATCCACTCGCTGCTTCGTGAGAAGCAGCTACGCGAGGAGGCTCTTCTCGAGGCAGCTGAGGAGGAAAGAAGGGAGGAGGCAGCTGAAACGCAGAAGCCGGCTGCGTCTGACGCAGACACCGCGGTGCCTACGAATAAACACGAGCGTACTGATGGCCAAGAGGCTTCGGATTCTCTTCTAGACTACGGTGAGGATGCGCCCGTCGGCAAAGCGCAGAAACGTGCTCGGCCGGGATATGCACCTCCGTTCGTGGGGCGGAAGATCATCTCGTATGACGACTGAAGTGCATACTGAATGTCTCGATGGACCTTGGAAAAATGGACTGCGTTCATGGCTGGCGACGATGCTGCTGTGGCAGGATTTTTTCATTCTTGGTTCGGCTACAGACAAGATCCTTCGGATTCTGTAGTCGATCTCGCACATGCGGTAAGTCTTATTTTTATTTCTATCGACCCTTCTATGATGAAACTTTTCGTATCAGTCATCCTTAGTCGGAGCGCCATACCATTCCACGTGGATGTGTAAGGCTATGACGACTGAAATCTTCTCTCTGAGTTGGGCCTCTTCCCTCGAATCTAGTCATTTTTCCAGATATGGCAGTACGCTAATCTCTCTGGAACAGGGCGGCCGCATGGCCCCGTAGCGAATGAGATCTCATTGCAGCGTGATCTGCCTCTTCTTGGGAACGATGGCCCAAAGCAAGCCGATTCCAATCAGCAAGCCAACCATGATAGGTTGCAGCACCTGAACGCCAGCCTTGGAGGCTATGGCGCCCGTCATGAACGGGAAGGCAGCCGCCCCGGCTTGACCCAAGCTGGCGGTGAAACCTGCAAATTTATTAGCAGGACACAATCGGCACTCTGAGCTAGGGGTTCACAAACCGATTGCTCCGATATGAAGCTCCTGCGGAATGACCTCTGTGAGAACATATAGTCCCACCGGATAGAATGGACCAATGAAGAACCCTATATGAACGAGCAGTCAACTACCTGGGTAGATGTGATAATTCTTGGATAAGCATCCGCTCTTCGCGACCTACCTAGCAAGCAGATCGTAACGGCGTTCGCAGGGATACTGGGGATCAGCCAGAACATCAGCTGCATGATCAATGCCAGCAAGGTGTAAATGAACACCATGCGCCGTTCTCCGAACTTGTGCGTGATGTCTGCAAGAACCACCCGGCCTATCGTAAACCCCGACCAGAACCCGGAGGCAACGTAACCCATTTTCTCCAAGTCGCCATGGCGAACCGACACGAGGAACTGCACCAGCCATCCTAAACACCATTAGCCCAACACCCTCTTTCTCAAGACCCCAACTGAACCTACCTCCAGACGCCACTTCCGCCCCGGCATACAAAAAGAAAAACCCATTGAGAATCCAAACCGCCCGACTCTTCATCACCGCCTTGAACTCGCCTCCCGCCGTATCCTTCGCCGTCGCCACATTCGGCTGGAACAGGTTGCGCCGAAACGTCCACGCCAACAAGCACACATTGACGACCCCCAGCCCCATCGTCACCAGGTAGTAATGATGCCACTCGGGCGTCCGCGACGCAATCGTGCTCGCGATCAGCGGCGCAATGATGGTCCCGGCGCCATACACCGCATGCAAGATGCCCAGCCAGCGGTGCGCGTTCTTCACCGTGATCGTGAACGTGTTCGCCTGCGCATCCTGGAACGCGACGCCCATGCCCGTGAAGAAAAACGCCCCCATGAACACCGGCAGCGGCGGATGCCACCACATCAGCGCGTACCCGAGACACTGGATCGCGGCGCCCAGCACCAGTGTCCCGCCGGTGCCGATGCGCGCGCAGACGTGGATGTTCGCGAAGCAGGCGGTCACCCAGCCCGTGAAGTTCACCAGGTACACGAAGGAGACGGTCAAGAGGTCGATTTGGTAGGTCGGTTGCATGTAGGGGATGAGGACGCCGGTGGCCGCATCTGCAATTCGCACCCACATTTAGTAAGTATTGAGTATATTTTTCTTGACCCCCGGAAACGCGGACGATAGACAATGAAGATGAGGAGAAGTCACGTACCATTCAAACCAGCTTGCAGGACAGCGAAGTTCGTGCTGATGATCTTTCCCAGCACCTGGCGGGCTGTTTTCTGATCGAAGAAGGACCCTTCTTCTTCTTCTTCTTCTTCCTCTTCTTCGCGCTCGACGGGAGGGTCGGCGTCCTGCGAAATAGTGCCGTAGTTGGCTTGTCCGGTCATGGTCTATCGATCGATCGAGTGATGGTATACAAAACTAGATAGTCGAGGGAAGGTCTGATCTACAGAGCACAGAATAGAAAGAGACAAGATGAGATGAGATGAACCTCTGCTTATATTGCTTGACATCTAATGAACCGCCCCGCCGCGGGAAAAAATAAAGAAATAAGAAAGAGGAGAAAAGAAACTAAATCCAAACCGCGTGAGACATGCTCCATAGACACCACCACACCGACTCTCACCCCGTAGTGTATCCAGTCTAGCTAAGGTAGTAAGTGGAGGGGTAAAAAGTTGGAGTAAGAACGTGAGGTGAGGGCAAAAGGGAAAAAAAAAACTGGGGAGGTCCAAGCGAAGGAGTCTTGGCTCGCTTGGAGCGGCTGGGAAATGGAACCTGAATAATAATACCTACTGATCTGACCTGATCACCGTTGTAAGGTTGCATTGATCGACCTGCTGACCTCTTCTTTTTTATCGTGCAGAAGAAGAGTGTATTTTGGACCTCTGGCACTGCAGCTCTGTGTCTGGTCCTCGTGTTTATCTCCTGCTATCGTGTCCCCGTGGACGAATGCGTCTCGCACGAGCATTTTGCATGGGCGTTCAGATATGGGGGTGCCCGCATTGGCATTATGGGGTCTCCAGGATCCGGCAAAATGTCGGCTATTTAGCGGCTCGGATGCCGTCTTCTCCGGTGGTTTGTTGTGAGGGGTTGGGAAGTGGCTGGATGAGTGATGTCCTTTCTGTTCGGGTTCCTGCTTTGTTTCTGTGGACAGCTTCAATGAGCCCAATGAGCAAGAGCGAGAGAGCCGGTGAGTATTCTTGAGATCGGGTTGAAATATATAGGTAAGGGGATGGGCGGGGAACTCGGCCGTGGGCTGATCTAGGCGGTGTCAGTGGCATGATTAGCTATCGTCCATGCTCTGGGACTGCCGAGCAAGCAAGGTATTCTCTTGATGCCGGATAGCTCGAAACGAGAGTTGGTCGCGATATGTTTTCATTGTCGAGGACAATATTGTATCTTCCTGCCTGTGGTTCAGGCATGCGATTGCTGACCGCGGTTGCTCAAGGCAATGTGAACGCTCCAAGGAGGATCTTCTTGGGGAAGGCAGAGCGGTTGACCATGTCAATGATCGCTCTTATCTGCTTGTCTTGCTCTTATATGACAAGATTGTCAGCAGGCAAGACGGCTGGACCTGCGCCCGTGGAGCGGAGCAAGTTGAAAAGCAGAATCATGGGCAGCACTCCCATTTGTAGCTTGGAAACGACCGAGGAGACCCAGGTTGGCGACTGCAGGATCTACTGACACGCAACGACAGCGCCGCGAGATGACCGTCGCAGATAAGCGTGGGGTGCCACTCGACGGGCGGCAGAAACAGGGTGTTTAAAATACCCGACGAGATGATCTTTGCATCCCCGGATGGAGAAAACTGGAGCAATTCCGCCTCAGAGACTCAGACACCCGAAACCGTGACTAATGGGAATTACCCCGGACAGGAGAAGTCCTGACCATGCAGTATCCAGTATGGCACGTATGCAGCATGCGGTGACGTTCCATCCGGGCAATTGAAAATCCCGCATCGTTGAGTCGCCGTCTCGGACTCAGGGGAGCTTAGTCGGCCATCCCCATAATAATTTGGTAATGGAATCATGCACCACCCAGTCGTCTTGTTTTGGTGACTAATTTTCCACTTGGATTCTCCATTCTCTCCAGACTCCAGAGACCCAGTCGGTATTGAATCTGGGGTTGAAAATCTGGGGTTTGAATTGATGTTGTTGATGTCCTGTGGATGTGGTCAGTTCTTGAATGCGAGAATGAGGTCGAGGGATGTGCATCGTGTAACTTTCCCCTTTGATCGCACTCCTTGGCTTCTGAGGCCACCGGGGGCGCCGTCCGCCGGATTGGCAGCAGGAGGAATAATTCCGCGCAAACCCGAATAACAATGGAGGCAGCAGCCTCTGATAACCGGGCATGAGGATATAACCGCGGTCCCCGTGGATGGTGCCGTCATACCACGTAGATCGAGGTATTTCTTTCGGAGGAGCAGACAGGAATTCGTCGACACAGGAGAACGATCGCCTGTCGGATGTAACGTGATCTGACTTTATCGTGGCAACGTCAATCCATGACAAACGGCGCTCTCTATCTTGACTTTATTATCTCCGGCCATCTCCACTCGGGCTCCACCTGCTGTTAGAAAGAAATGGGTCTTGATAACTCGAGTTGTTCAACATTCACAACAATGGCTTTCCAATGTTGAGCAATTCGATGTTGTTTAAGAGCATACACCGGCAGACCGACAAGCATACTCCGGACTATGGCGGATGAAGCTAGGTCTCTTCTTCCGGGACAGCGCTCCTTCGCGCCATTGGAGCTATCTAGACCGACTGGGCAGAGTATGCGCGTAAGCAGGGACCGATCAATTAAGTTTAGCCTCATTGGATAGCGCCTTGGGTCCTAGACCAGTGGGAGATAAGAGGTTTGACCACACTCCTCGTCACTGGCAAGGCGCCATTCTGGAGCTTAACCGGCTTAAGCGGACACCACTGCTAGCCATACTGCCGATCATACTCTCAGCAAGATTGGCTGTATGAGGTCACCTCGCCATTGAAGAATGACCGTTGCTGGTATACATGCACTTCAACCTGACCACCTGTCTGTTGCAACATCACCAATTGTCAATGTCAGACAGGGCGATTGGCCTGGTCCGGGCTAGATGTTCCATCTGGCTTCTTCCCCAGATCCACCTGGGATATCGGTAGGCTGTGAAAGTCCGCTTGGGGGTTTCTGTTACGTCGCAATTTCGTGATTCGTTTAACCTGGACCCCGACTCGGGCCCATCGGCCCACTGGCACCACCCGATCATCACTAGTTATGGAGCGAGGACAAGACGTTGGCTGAGGAGCAGATGCAGTAGTAGGTAGAAGGCAGCCACAGATACTCTGGAAGCGGCAAGAGGAATTGCTCCCCTCCTGCCCGGTGCGCGGTTTTCTTTCCCCTTTCTCTCTGGTTGGCAGACCCTCAAGTGGCTCCTCTCCGGGCTTCTCCTCTTATATACGGATCGCTCGAGGTCCTTCTCTTGGGTTTTTCTCATAGGAACAAGCCTCCTTGTTCTCCTTTTTTTTTTCTTTCCCCCGGAGGTCTCAGGCCAATCGCTTGGCAAAATTTCTTCATTATGAGTCCTCCTCAGATCGTTTCGGTTCCCTCGAATACCATTGACCCCGAGAATGTGAAGGAGAAAGGTCTGCCGGCAGACCAGGCATCCATTGGTATGGACGAGAAGAAGCTGGAAACGCCTCCCTACATGCAAGATGCCTTTGGTGACGAGGAATTCGCGGAGGTCAAGTACAAGGTCTTGAAGTGGTGGTATGCAGGAAACACCGATCCAATCGAGCATCCCCAAAAGCCTTAACTGACCTTTGATCCACCCCTACAGGCAATGTGGCCTGCTCATGGTAGCCGAAACGGTTTCCCTAGGTGTTCTGTCGTTGCCTGCCGCGGTTGCCGGGCTGGGTCTAGTTCCGTACGTACAACTTGATGTTTGACAGCTTGCGTGATGGCTAACGTGGGACAGCGCCGTCATTATCCTGATTGGACTGGGTATTTTGGCAACATATACCGGATACGTGATCGGCCAATTCAAATGGAGATACCCCCATATCTCAAACATGGCCGACGCTGGGGAAGTGCTCGCTGGAAAGTTTGGACGCGAGCTGCTAGGCATTGGCCAAATGCTCTTCCTGGTGTTCATCATGGCCAGTCACCTACTTACCTTCACCATTGCCATGAACAAGATCACCAACCATGGAACGTGCTCGATTGTGTTCGGCGTGGTTGGCATGATCGTTTCATTTATTTGCTCTCTGCCTCGTACCTTGGCGAAGATGTCGTGGCTGTCATTAGTTTGTAGGCTGCCGCCCCAAAATGGCCCCAAGATGTCTGCATGGCTGTATACTAACATTGACCAGCATTCATCAGCATCCTCTCTGCCGTTTTCATTGCCATGATTGGCGTAGGCATCTTACATCCTGGAGATCGAGTTGATGCCGTCGTCGATACCAATCTCTATAACGGGTTTACCGCCGTGACTAATATTGTGTTTGCTTTCTGTAAGTTTTGTTGAAACACCCTCGCTTACCAGACATGATTAACTGACTCCATTAGCCGGTCACGCTGCCTTTTTCGGTCTCGCCGCAGAGCTGAAGGATCCCCGTGACTTCCCCAAAGCCTTGTGTCTCCTGCAGGGCGTTGATCTCTGCCTTTACCTGATCGCAGCCGTTGTCATCTATCGTTTCGGCGGTGCCGACGTTGCCTCTCCTGCCTTGGGCTCCGCCAGCCCCGTTGTGACCAAAGTGGCCTACGGCATCGCCTTGCCTACCGTGAGTTTGTCCTCATCCTCTTCCCTACATAACACTCTAACCCCCGATTAGATCATCATCGCCGGCGTCATTAACGGCCACATCGCCTTTAAATACGTCTACATCCGCATCTTCCGCGGCACCGACCGCATGCACAAGCGCGACTGGCTCGCCATCAGCTCCTGGGTCGGCATCGGGCTCTTCCTCTGGATCCTCGCCTGGATCATTGCCGAGGCGATCCCCGTCTTCAGCAACCTGCTCAGTTTGATCACGGCCCTGTTCGCCTCCTGGTTCACCTACGGCCTCAGCGGCATGTTCTGGCTCTACATGAACAAGGGGATTTGGTTCTCCTCGCCGAGGAAGATCGCCTTAACTTTTCTGAATATCTTCAATGTTGCCGTCGGTGCTTGTCTGGTATGTTTTTCCAAGCCTATTGATTAGGGCAGTCTATATGTCTGACACCAGCTAACTCGTCCCCAGTGCGGTCTCGGCCTTTATGTTTCCGGAAAAGCCATACATGATAATCCTAGTAGTGCCAGCTTTTCGTGTGCCGATAACTCCTAGCGAGTGTCCGGCATACTAGTCCCTATATATAAACCCAGTCTGAGGTGTCCACGCCCTCCAAGCCGTTCACCTTATGTATATACGAAGAATATATGAACCTGTCATCTCAGCCCCGTTACACAAACATAATACCATGCACAACTGAGCGAACTGAAAAAGTCTAGTAAGACGGTCTAGACGTGTTTGACATTCCCCCATCTCATGCCATGCTGTATAATACCAGACGGGTCTCTAGAGGACCAGACAGTACCTAGCCTCGCCGCTCGGTCCCTGCTGATCGATCTATGAATGCAACTCCATCAACTCTCGACAAGGAGCAGAACAAACCGGCTTGAGAACAGCGACTAGTAGACGAAGACAATGAAGTGACAACAATAAGAACGACAGAAGTAGAAAAGAAAAGGTTTTATAAGAACGCCATGCAATGAATATGCCATCCATGCCAGTTTAAACACCCCGATCGAATCAACCAGTCAATGGAAAAACAGATACCCGAACAAGAGAATAGAATAGAAGATATAAAGAAATAGAGAGAAAATAGACAGCGAGAGAAGTGGAATGTAAGATGGTGAAGGTACCTATGCAAGGGAATGAAACGAAGTTTTAGATTAGAAGGGAAAGAACGGAAGATATCCACGGAAAGGTGGTCTAAGACACCGTCCCCGTCCGGCTCGCCCGCTTCATGCGCCTTCGCTTCCGTCGACACGAGTCGATCGCTTCCGGGGTCAGGATGTCCGCGGGAAGTTCGAACTCCCTCTCCTCCGGTTCGGGGATCAGGTGTCCGAAAGCCAGTCGGACGCGACCCTTGCGGTGAGTCGACAGCGCTGCGTCCCGGACGTGGCGCTTCGAGAAGAAAGAGGTGAATGGTTTGTCTGGGACGAAGACGGGGGGGAGAAGTGGGATTGGGGGCTGTGCAGGTGCTGCGGCTGCGGCTGTGGATGCAACGGGTTCTGCGGCGTTGTTGTTATTGTTGGTGCTGTTGCTGCTGTGATTGGGGATGTTGCTGGGTTTGGACTTCTTGCGTCCTCCTTCGCCGGCGGGAGTGGCGGACGACGACCCTTTTGGTTTCTTTCCCGCGGTGGCGGAGCGGGCTTCTTGATGGAGTTGACGAGCTGCCCAGGCGTCGACGTCGTTGACATCCGGGGTCTCGCCGTAACTAGGGGCGTCGGAGAGCAAGGTAACGGGTGACTCATCGGGATCTTCAGAGTCCTCGACCACTACATCGGTGGAGCGGCGTTTCTGGGATGTGGACGCAGACGCGGAGGGCGGATGAGGATGGTGTTGTTGAGGAGTGGCGTCCAGGTCTTCAGCGGACTCAACGCGCAGCTTCTCCTTGTCCGCCTTGCGTCGCTTCTCCTCTTCCCTCCAGATCTTGAACTTCTGGATCAGCGCCGAGAGCTCCTTCACGCAAAAGTCGCGCTTCAATTCGTAATGCTTCTTCTCCTGGTCTGTGGCGCCGCTGATTCCCATGACTCGCAGCCAGTCTTGGCCTTGCAGCTCGTCCACTAGGCGGTCCAGTTGCTGTTTCTCATGCTGAGCGCGTTCGCGCTCGATGTTCCGAAGCTGTTTCTCCTGGCGCTCATTGCGCCGGTGAGCTCGGAAGTAGGTGGCTTCGTTGAGGGGGTCCTCGTCCTCTATTTCCTCCTTCTCAGCCTCTTCGACTTTCGTTTTGCGAGGCGTCTCCTCCGATTCCGCGGGCGCGGGAAGAGCAATGGTCTCGCAATTGTGTAGATTAACCAGCGGGTTCCCGAATGGCGATTCCGTATCATGAGCCGGCGACGCCAAGGAAGAGACAGGGGACTCGGAGAGATCGTCGATGAGCTTGATTTTGGTCTGGCCGGCAAGAAATTCTGTTCTGGTCAGCTCTCGGTCCGCCCTATGTGAGTACGATTTCTGGCCAGATCCTACCAGTCTTCGGAGGCTCGAAGCTCAGCAATTGCTCGTAGTTGGGGAAATACAGCGCCAATTCGCTCCGCGCGCGGGAACCCCCGTCATGCGAGCGCAGGCTCCGACGTTGCTGCTGTTGCTGCTGCGGTTGCGGTTGCGGTTCTGATTGGGATTCTGATTGTGATTGGGGCGGACCCGACGAAGCAGCAGGGGGCGCATCTTCAACGATGCCCGGAGAATCCTGCGCCGGCGCAGGATCGGGCAGATGCGACGAGAACGCAGCGGGGGAGTCGGAGGAACGAGCGGTCTTCTGCATGCGTCGCCGGCCGGACTCTGGGGTCGGAGCCGGACGGCGCACGGACGACGGGCGACCGGGCGAGCGAACGGGTTCGGTGGTCGGAGAGATGGTGTCGAGGGGATCGGGGCTTTCGCGACCTCCACGCAGGAAGAGGGCGGCGGTCGAGGGGGTTTCGCGCCGGTGGATTCGGAGATCTTTCGAGCGTGGGGTGGACGGAGGAGGATGGGATGAGGAGGCCGCGTTGGTGTTGAAGGAGGGCGAGGAGAGAGGCCCCGGTCGGCGCGTGGAGTGTCGCAGGGGTACGATGGGCTTGGAGGGAGAATCGTCGATGGTGGTATCGAGGAGATCGGGGGAGCTCTTGCGCCGAGCCACGGGCGCATGCAAACGAGGGCGCTTGGATGGTGGAGGAGCGACGCCTTCGTTGACGCGCAAAGTCGACCTCGATCGGATAGTCATGACGGTGGTGGAGGTCATGAGAGAGATGACGGCGAGAGAGAGAGGGAGGAGGAGGAGGAGAAGGACGAGAAGAAGAGGGAGGGAGGACAGAAGAGAAAGGGAATTCCAGAAGGGAGGCAGCGACGACGACAGCTCAATGGCAGTCAATTGGCAGCCATGGCGATTGCGGTGATGAAGCCGTTCGTCGTGCTTCTTCTCCCTGAAGACTCGCATTTGGCGGCGACGCTTGCTGGTACCGTATGCGGCCCGTATCCATACCGTCTGGGTGGCATTTTTGGCGGTGTTCTGGTGGTAACGGAGTGGTATCGTGTATTGTGTCTCTGTTCGACCATCTTCTCCCTCGCGATTCTTCTCATCGTCGATTCTTCTTCTCGTCTCCATTCACCTCCTCCTTTTCCTCCATGCTTTTCCCTTCCCCCTCGGACATTATTCCGAATCGTCGGCCAATGCAAACTACGTGGGGGTGAACCCATTCCAATCATCGTGCTCCGTCCATCATCAAGAGCCCGTTCAATGGATCGTCTCCCCTCCTTCTGTGGGGTGCGTGGGGGTGGGATGCGCCCTGCGATCATCTGCATCACGGCCAATGCTGCCTGCTTTGCGGTTTGACAATGCGCAATTGGAGACCCCTCTCTGGAGAATACTTTCCCCAGTCTCGCCTCATGTTCGTCGCCGGCCTTATTTCTGCCTTCTTCCCCTTCTTCTCTCCGTGACTTTCTCTCCTTCTCTCCTCCGACTGCGCATCGCCTCCCATCCATCTCCACTCCACTTTGGTCAGTCAACTCTCCGGACAACCTCCGTGTCTTCCGGTCGTCCTCTTGTAATTAACGTGTGCCTGATTTGCTAGATTATACACTCGTCTTATATAAACCATGGCTATCAACGGTTCGGCAGCACCACGACCCTTAACCCCCGGCGTCTACGTTCCCACTGTCGCCTTCTTCGCCGGCCCCAACGAGGACGTAGATGTCCCCACTGTCGAGAAACATGCCGCCTACCTCGCTCAATCCGGGGTGACCGGGCTGGTGGTGCAGGGGAGCAACGGCGAAGCGGTCCATTTGGACCGTGACGAGCGGAATGTCATCACGGCGGCCACTCGTCGAGCGCTAGATGCCCACGGGGCCTCGACCATGCCGCTCATTGTCGGATGCGGTGCCTCGTCGACGCGGGAGACCATTCAGTTCTGCACCGACGCCGCCGCGGCCGGGGGTGACTATGCCCTGGTGCTCCCTCCATGCTACTACAAGGGCCTAGTCGATGGCGAGAGCCTACGGGAGCATTTCCGCGCCGTGGCGACCGCCTCGCCGGTCCCTGTGCTCATTTACAACTTCCCCGGTGCCTCGTCGGGTCTGGATCTCAGCTCCGACGATATCCTGGCGCTGTCGCAGCACCCCAAAATCGTCGGGGTGAAGCTGACGTGTGGTAACACCGGAAAGCTGGCTCGTATCGCGGCCCAGGCCAAACCCGAGTTTCTGACCTTTGGCGGATCTGCCGACTTCACGCTTCAGACTCTCATTGCCGGCGGGGCGGGCATCATCGGCGGAGTCGCCAATCTAATCCCTCGCGCCTGCGTGCAGGTCATGGAGCTGTACCGGGCGGGCCGGGTGGAAGAGGCCCAGCGGCTGCAAGCAATTGTGGCTCGAGCCGACTGGCACGCGATCAAGGGAGGGTTTGTGGCTGTCAAGAGTGCGCTACAGAGCTACCGGGGATACGGAGTACAGCCGCGACGTCCTTGCGTGGTGCCGTCAGCAGAGGAGCGATTGGCGTTGCAGGAGGCCTTCAAGGAAGGGATCGAGCTTGAGCGGAAATTGGAAAAGGCGTGAGACAGTATATAGTCACAGATTGGTGTTCAAATTCCTTTTCCCCTTCGCATGAAAGTTATGACTTTGTTGGCTTCAATGATTGCGGGTGTCAAATCACCGACGTCTTTTTCATTTTTTTTTCTTTGCTTTTTTTGCCACGTTTTAAGTCCTAGCCAGGCCATATTGATATAACACGAGAGAGATCAGACCGACGTATAACTTGAATCTTTTTGGTGATCCTTCTGACCTATAGCCAAGCAAGCATGACTTATCGAATGCCGTCCCAGGACCTGTCTTTCCCCAGGTCGCACACTCCATCTGGCCCCATGCAGTGCTACACCGATACCTTCGACCGACGACGTGCAGGTTCTGGACCAAACGAGCGAGGTTGATACCCTCCGAGTGTGGGATGAGCTGCACCTTCTCTGCTCTTTGTGAATGTTCGTCGTCCCGTGGATCGGTCACATTTCCACCTCTCTATTTTCCTTTGACAACCAGAGCGCAAAGCTTAACCAAACCCAAACAGTTCCGCGGTCTCCGCCATCGCCCCGTTGTCCCACGGCCGTGACCGACTCTCCTGGCGGCAACTCTTCTATATGCCGCATGGAATGGCGTCCTGCCGGCCTGGACGATGGCGCAAACTTTCGTCGAGTAGCATCGGAGAGGTAGAGCGGTCGCTCTGGATGGGCTGGCATTCTCGATCAATCGTCCTGGCGGTGGCCATGGAATCATTGGCGATTGCGGAAGCGGGGGAGACGACACCATTGATGTATCGAAATCGGGTTCTTTCTACTTTGGTTCTATTGGCTAGGTTTTGCCGTCCGAGAGGGTGCAGATCGAAGTATGCAACGCGCGCACCGGACAAGTGGGGTGTTGAGATGTTGAGATGCGAGGTTTTCGACCGGAGCATGAGGGATTTCTGGATCCCATTTGACTGCTCCTTTGGGTGGCCTCCAAGTGCCTCTCAGTGATTCCCTCTCTAAGTGATTCCCTTGGAGCAGAGGTTACGAAGGAGAGACGGGCAAGGCTACGGCTGATTGTCCAAGTAGTGCATGAATTGTCGGTCCCTTGCAGGCCGGTCGAAGAGCGTCGTGTCGACCGCCGGGTACATGCTGGAGCAAGCAAACCGCGCGGGCCCCGAGGTACCCCGAAGTACCGCCCAAAGCGGCGATCCACCCCCGTGGATGGCCGAATCGGGACAAGCTTATCGATAGCGGCGGTCATGTGTTTGCGGCGTTCGTCTTCACTTTCGCTGCGACGGCGACTTTGGCTTTCTCTTTCAGCCTTCGCTTGTTTTTCCCTCCGATTCAGCTGGCAATTATTGCCCTCGCCCTTCCTTCGTTTATTGAATACTCGTCTGTTCCTCCCATTGCCACCCGTCCCGGCTCTACCAAGATCCCGGAGATCTTGGAAGCGGTCTAGTCCCACTGCAAGGGACGGAGGGCAATTGATGACGACTCGACATCCGACCTGTCACTCGCGGCGTCGAGGATGGAGCCCGGGACAATGAAACCCAGTCACCGTGTTGCAACCCAATCCATGCAATGCTTTTCCGCCTTGCTATACGAGGTCCATTGGGTCAAGACTTCTATGAATGGCACAGACATGCAGGATACCGCTGCATCATGTCTGCTATATTGATTTATTTTCCCTGGCCTGCATGCAGCAATAATCATGCGGCATCCAGGAACTATGCCTATCTCTCTCACCTCTTTTTTTCTTTTCTTTTTCCCGTTGTCCCTTTTGGGCTCCACCTTGGCTACTACCTCCCACGCAACCCCCAGGCTTTTAAAGACCGTCGGATCCATGGGATTCTTTGGAACAACCCAGTCAAGAATCTCCATCGTTCGGATCCCCCGGGTACGACTCCCTATTCCTCCAGTGCCGCCGCGAGACTATATTATCTCCCAAGCCGGCAGTCTCAAGAAGCGCTTCCGCACCAACCATGGCCAAAACTTTGTTCCTACTGGGCCTTTGGGTCCTTGCTGCCTGGGCAGGTGACTGCTCCTCCGACGCGAGGGCGAGCGCGAAGCGACAGGAATGGTATGTCCCATGCCTTGCAATGATGCCTTGCAAGATGGCCCCGGAAAACTCGGAAAACTATAAACTGACTTCTGCCGCAGGGGAGAGCTTCCTTCGTCTACCCGCAAAAGCTACATCAAAGCCGTCAAGTGTATGCAGGAGAAGCCGGGCCAGCTGCCTACCGAGCACTACCCTGGTGCCCGCAGCCGGTTGGATGACTTCGCTATGTATGGCATTCTCACCATATGGTACATCAGACGGGGACTGACCATATTTGCAGCACCCACATCAACAGCACTCTGGGTATTCACTTCAACGGCGTCTTCCTCTCCTGGCACCGTCATTACCTCTGGCTGTGGGAGAAGGCTCTCAAGGAGGAATGCGGATACGAAGGAAACCAGCCGTATGTCTATCTGACCTAACCGATCTTCGCGCGTTCATGTGACTAATGAATTCTCCCGCAGATACTGGAACTGGGCGCTCTCTGCCGGCGATCTTGGTTCTAGCCCGGAATTCGACGGCTCTCCGACTTCTCTGTCCGGCAATGGCGATCCCAGCGTGCCCTATCCCCTTAGCGACCCGGCCGCCAACGCAACCGGAGGCTGCGTCACGACGGGCCCCTTTGCAAACACCCAGGTGCACGTTCGGGATCTGAATGCATTCAGAACGTCGGATGTGATTCTCCCCTCGTTCTTCGACTACGAGCCGCGCTGCTTTGCTCGGCAATTCAACGACACCAGCTCCGGCCTCTACCTCAACCAGGGAGCCGTCGATCGCCTTCTCGACTCCCCCGACATTCGCGCCTTCCAGTTCAATATGGACGGCCGTGAGGCGCGAGAGTTCCCTCCGGGCGGGTTTGTCGGGCCGCATTCCGCGGGACATCAATCGCTGGGACCCATCATGGGAGACTTCTTCGGGTCGCCCCAGGACCCTTCCTTTTTCCTTCACCACGGCATGGTGGACCGCACCTGGGCGCTCTGGCAGGCCAAGGACGAGGAGAACCGGTTGACGCAGACGTATGGCACCAGCAGCATCTTCAACGACCCGACCACGCCGAATGTCACGATGGACACGCAGCTCAGCTTCGGGATTCTGAGCGAGCCCAAGACGGTGGGAGAGTTGGTGAGCACGCACGCGCATGACCTCTGCTACGAGTATGCTTAGTTGGGGTTGAATGAGGAGTGGTCAGTGTTGGTGGCAGAAGTAATGGGAGATGGGATAGCTGGCGCTTCCCCTGGCTCTCCCCTGGACTGGTCTGATAGTAGTATATTGTCTAATGTGTACAAAGAGGGATGGTGGAGGATGGATATACATAATATTTGTTTCGTTTGTGACTGACGGTGCCGCGGGACTGCATGTTGCATAATCGATCAGTTTTGTTTCTCGGGGTCTGGTTCAGATAGCAGGGTTTAATCTGAATCCGCATAGTTAATTCCGAATACTTGGCTCATCATTCGATCATTCGACCATTCGATCATACTTCATTCTGCTATTAATTAGTTTCTTTGAGCCGTGGGCGCGTCTCGGACCAGCCCGACGCCTCCCCGCAACTCCGCAAAATGAAGGACTGCAGGTCATTAAAGGTCATTCCACCAGCCAAGGCAGCCGATACGAGTCCATCTGATCAGTCGAGGCGATGGAAATGCCAGGATGAGGCTAACGGCAGAGTGAAACAGTCTCATCGCCCCGTCCAAGGCTTATCGCGATGTCACCGTCCCCTTGGCGCTAGAGATGTAACCCTGTTTGTTGTTTGTTGTTGGTCCCGGGCGGTATAGGTACCCGACGGTGGGTACAAAATGCGGCCGGGCAGGAGGTACCGGTACCTGTCGAGGCCGTATCTTCGCGTCGTCGAAGTATTTGGAGTCGTTGGGGCTTGGAGACTTCCACGATCCTCGACTGCGACGAGACTGCGGAGCCAAAGATAGAGGAAGATGCCGCAGCAAACGCCATGTGACGCTGCCGGTGGGTTCGACCCAATCTCGAAAGCCGGGGCAGGATGATGGGGAATGACGATCCAGCCCGATTGCCCATGACTATTTATTGACGATCTTCTTCCCCTTTCATCCCTCTCTTTGTGCTCGCTCTGAAACACCGCCCTGCCTGGCCCTTCATTCTGTCGCCCGGCATTCTTCTTTATTTACCTCCTTGTTCCTCGCTCCTTTCTCTCCAGGTCCATGGTTTCTGTCCCCTCGACCTGGGCTAGCTTCTGATCATGCACTTTTCTTCTCTCTGCACGGCGTTGATTGCGGCGACCGGCGTGGCCGCCGTCAAGGTCAACCCGTTGCCTGCGCCGCGCGACATCAGCTGGAGCTCGTCCGGTCCCAAACACCTGGCCCACACGCTGCACCTGCGCACGAAGTCCGACACCAAGGAGAACATCCTCTCCAATGCCTGGGACCGCACCTGGAGGTCCATCTCCGACCTGAAATGGGTCCCCGCCGCGGTCGAGGCTCCCATCTCGTCCTTTGAGCCCTTCCCTACCAGCACCCCCAGCCCCTCGGCACACAAGGGCAAACGGGCGGAGGCTGCGCTGCTGCAGTATGTCGACGTGACTGTGGAGGACAACAAGGCGGATCTCCAGCACGGCGTCAATGAGTCGTACTCGCTGGTCGTCTCCGAGAACCGGGACAGCATCGCCATCAAGGCGCACACCGTCTGGGGCGCCTTGCATGCGTTCACCACGCTGCAGCAGCTGGTTATCTCCGACGGCGGCAAGGGTCTTCTCATCGAGCAGCCCGTCGTCATTCAGGACGAGCCGCTCTACCCGTACCGTGGCATCATGATGGACACCTCCCGCAACTTCATCTCCGTGCCGAAGATCCTCGAGCAGCTGGACGGCATGTCGCTGTCCAAGCTCAACGTGCTGCACTGGCACCTGGACGACGCGCAGTCCTGGCCCGTCCAGGTCGACGCCTACCCGCAGATGACCAAGGACGCATACTCGCCGCGCGAGATCTACAGCCACGCCGACGTGCGCAAGATCGTCAAGTACGCGCGCGGCCGCGGCATCCGGGTCATCCCCGAGATCGACATGCCCAGTCACTCGGCCGCCGGCTGGCAGCAGGTCGACCCGGACATGGTGACGTGCACCGACTCCTGGTGGTCCAACGACGTGTGGGAGCTGCACACGGCCGTGGAGCCCAACCCCGGCCAGCTGGACATCATCTACCCCAAGACGTACGAGGTGGTGCGCGACGTCTACAACGAGATCTCGGATTTGTTCCCGGACCACTGGTTCCACGTTGGCGCCGACGAGATCCAGCCCAACTGCTTCAATTTCAGCCAGCACGTGACGGAGTGGTTCGCCGAGGACGCCTCGCGCACATACCACGACCTGGCGCAGTACTGGGTCGACCACGCGGTGCCCATCTTCCGCAACTACAGCGCCGACCGCCGGCTCGTCATGTGGGAGGACATCACGTTGTCCGCCGAGCACGCGCACGACGTCCCCAAGGACATCGTCATGCAGAGCTGGAACAACGGCCTCGAGTACATCTCCAACCTGACGGCGCGCGGCTACGACGTCATCGTCTCCTCCTCCGACTTCCTGTATCTCGACTGCGGCCGCGGCGGCTTCGTGACCAACGACCCGCGCTACAACGTCATGTCCAACCCGGGCACCGCCGACGTCCCCAACTTCAACTACGGCGGCGGCGGCGGCTCGTGGTGCGCGCCCTACAAGACCTGGCAGCGCATCTACGACTACGACTTCACGCTGAACCTGACCTCCGCGCAGGCCAAGCACGTTATCGGCGCCACGGCCCCGCTCTGGAGCGAGCAGGTCGACGATGTGACGGTGTCCAGCCAGTTCTGGCCGCGCGCCGCGGCGCTGGCCGAGCTGGTGTGGTCGGGCAATCGGGACGCGCACGGCAACAAGCGCACGACCGAGATGACGCAGCGCATCCTGAACTTCCGCGAGTACCTGGTTGCCAACGGGGTGATGGCCACGGCGCTGGTGCCGAAGTACTGTCTGCAGCATCCGCATGCGTGCGACCTGTACCAGAACCAGACGGCCATTCAGTAGTCGATTTCATAACTTGCATTGGGTGGTTGGATTTGGATTTGTTGATTTTGATCTTGATTTCGATCTTAGCATGGTATCTGGTTGGTTGTCGGGTTATCTGCCGTTATCCTGTCTTGACTGTACAGACCATCATTTTGAATTGATTACTTTTAGAGACCATGCATCTGCAATATCAGTAGGAAATTTCAGCACTAGTAGAGTAATCTACTCACCAAGCCGCCTCATTACACCCCCAGTCAACCCCAGCGCCCAATATACATCCATCCATCCATCCATCCATCCGTCCATCCACTGCCTCTATAAACATTAAACATCCTGCGTACATCCACACAACCCACCCCCAACCCAACCCCTTTCTCCCCATCTTACACCCCCCAGAAAGTCAAAGTAAAGATAGACCCAACCCTATAACCTAAGAAAAGAACTCCCTCACCCCAATCCCCACCTCCCACCTCCACGCCCTCATATCAACCGGCTCCCTCAAACTCTGCTCCGACACCCTCCACAGCACCCTCGCGTCCCGACACCGCCGCACGTCCCCGATCCCATCAACATGCCACATTGGCCTTCCATGCGGCGCGATATGTTTCGGACGCTCGATCGTGTCGGACACACTGCAGAGGATGGACTTGATGATGTTAGTTGGTCAGGTAGGTAGATAGCGCTAGGTAGGTAGCTACTAGGAGGTGGATGGATGGTCTGGAGGGAGGGAGGGGGGGGAACAAACCTGAAGAATATAATCGAAGCAATGCAGCATGTGCTCGGTTTCTTTCCTTCTTTCGAATTCGGGGTCTTTATCCCCAGAACTAGAGTCATGAGCTTGCCCTGAATGCTGCCGGTGCTGGTGCTGATGCGCTGAATCCTCGCCGAAAATCCTCCCCCTCAATGCCCCAAGACAATGGAGTTGATGAAACATCGCGATCCCATACGACCTGTCCAAGACGCCGCTGTGCGTTCTGTTCGGGTCGACGCCCTCCGCGATCTCCTCTGTTTTGCTGTCCAGGTGAGACGCAAAGATCCCGCCGCCGCTGGTGGGGGGGATTAAGTTGCTTTCGTTCCATGAATGGTCATTGGTTTGGTCTTGGTCGTGGTTATGGGGTGGGGGGAAGGTGGAGGTAAAAAGTTCGTTATGGGTATCCTCGCGGAACGATTTGAGGGTGTATTGTTCTGATAGGATGGGTTCTTGCGAGGTTGACGATGAGGATGAGTGTGGTTCAGGGTTAGGATGGGTAAGGCATGGACATGGACATGACGAGGTTGGGGTGCTGAAGAGGCCGATGCCGAGGCCGGTGATGGGGAGGAGGAAGACGATGGTGAGGGTGAGTAGGAGGATAATCGATAGGGTGAGGAGAAGCGGGAGATGATGGTGTAGGAAGTGGGTGTTGGAATTGGGGTGTGGTTTTGAAGATGAGGGTAAAAGTGTGTAGGACATTGAGACTGCATTGAGGTCAAGGAGCTGTTTGATAGAGGGGAGTAGAAGCAGGAAAAGGCGTGCTTAGCTTGGTAAATAAGCATTTCATGTTATTTATATATAGCCTCTACTCGGTAGGTATAGCTGGTGATCCTGGCCATAATCTACACCTGGAACCGTTAAACCTTGGGCTGTTGGCCAACTAGAAATAAACATAATACTAGAGCAACCTAATCAGTATCTCAATCAACCCTCAAAAGACGAGCTTTTCTAGCTACCCTATTGTTTCCGGATTTGGTCCCGTCGAACAAAGAACTCGCAGAGCAGGGCAGGCATTAGAGTTGGTTAGAGTTATTCGCGACCCGGAGTCTAGATGGGTTTCTTTCATCGACCTACCCGTGTAGTCCCGTGGAAAAGAGCTCTTCTCTGGTTCGAGTTCCTTGGGATTGCTTGAGTGGGCGAAGATCTGGTTCGTTGCTGGGCGCGAAAGGCTTATTTATTGACCATTTGGGTTGAATGGGATTAGCTTTTCATCCGTTCGTTGTTTTTCCATCGTGCTGATGGAAGGTGTCTTAGCACTGGTTGTCGAGAGGATATTCTGGTCTTCCTTCTAGTGGTTTCGGTCATTTCTTTGACAAGTAGGAACTGTGCAAAGGTCTGTTAGCTATAACATATAAATCAGATAGATTTGCATATAGTGCCTTGTTATGTCAATGAATTCCTCGAGTATAAGATCACCAAGCAGCCGTTTTGAAGAGTGCCATCGTAGGATAAACCACAGATATCGTTCTGTTCATCATCTATGTGATGATGGATCTTCGTCTCTGATCAGGGCATTTCTCACTCGCTCGATGATTGATGTATGAAATCAAATTCCATGGACAGGGATCATGTTTGTAGCAGATATTCCCTGTTGTTCTTTTTCTATCCATCATTCGAGAATTCATATTCAGTGATTGATTGGAGGTCTCGACGGGTCACTTTTCTGTTGATTTGGTTAATATATATCTTTCGGAGTCTAGATGTCTACTCACCATATGGCATAAAGAATACTCTGTCGGTCCCTAACCATCTCAATCATAGATATCTACAACATCATCTATTCAGATCATAAGAGAGATACCAACCACATAGTAAAGAGCACCAGTCGGGTCCACCCCAAGACGACGGAATCGTGGCTTGCTCTGGAACCAATCGCACGGCCTGAGAAGCATCGCACCAACCAACGAAGCCAAAGGTCCAACCCTTCCCACTTTCTTTTCTTTTTCGACCAAAAAGACCTCTGCAAATCAATCCTGCCTCTAAATCTGCACTTTGACGATCATCTGTCCTTGCTATCAAGCACCTTTCTCCTACTTTCTTACATAGGAACTGTCCACCCACACCTTTTCCTCCCCTTACCTGCTCCTCTGTCGAAGGACTCCCAAGAAAGTGACAGGGAATCAGAAATTTCCTTCATTCCCGAGTTTCCCGGCCGGAATTAAATGATTTGTTCTCGCTTTTCCACATCATCTTGTCCACGACTAATCCGCCAGCCACGTTCGGGGTGGCCTTTTTTTTTTTTTTTTTTCCAGGAAGAAAAAGTTATTTCTTTGCAGGGTGTCTGGGGAAATCCGTAGAAGCGTGAATAATGGAATCTGTTAGGGGAGTCAGTTGCCCTGTAGGCGCTTGGCAAGGGCGTCGGGGGTAAATTGAAGGGGTCCAGCCAGCCTCGTTTTCTAATCCCTGCTGATTTTTAATTTTTGATTTTTTTCTTCTGTACGGTCGGAGGCGAAATGGAGAACTCCTATAGAGTACATGCGCGATAGTAATAATTGCTCCATTAATTAGGGGAAGAGCCATGGAAGAGAAATTTCTGACTGACTTGCATTGACCTACGGATGGGCACCAGGGTTCTGCTGCCAGACCGGATCGGTCGTCTAGGTGCTGTTCGCATAAACCGGTCCATGCAGGATGCTCTTCCTGGTCGGTCGCTTGTCACCGAGGGTTGGTGTCTCCGATTTACGTGGTGATTTTCTTTAGCCCATGATGGTGGGAGGGGGCTTGGAGGATGTGGTGTCCGACTGTACTACCCCCTGGGGTTGGAGATGAGGTCATTTGTTACTTTTCATCCTGGGTTCTTCTATTTCTTAACCTTTGTCGACCTGTGTCGGGTGTCATGGCCTGGAGAGGGTACATGCTGTAGGAGGCATATGTCTGGCTGGAAATCCTCGACCAAACGAGATCTCCCTACAGCAAGACAGGTAGATCTGCACGTTCAAGTTCCTCAGCACATGACTCCCCCTGCAGGGATCTGGGGAGAAGACAACAAAGGCGAGCAGGAAACAAGTGAAATCCAACCGCCATGAGCCAGTCGCCTAGGCTTACATGTCCGATCCGGTGCTGTCGCCGGTCGCCTGTCGCCACCCAACACGAATGCAGGTGCTTTGTTTTTTCTCCCCCCTCCTTATGGTCATGTTCGTAATTATCTCAACCCTCAATGAGGGGCAGACCGACGAAGAAAAAAAAGGAGGAGGGGTAACTTGCAGCAACGCCCACGCCACCTTCTAGGAGAGCTCCGGAGGGGCAAAACGTGTGTGGTCTCGGGAAAAGCAAAGAAATGAGTGAGATGATTCAATGGCATATTCCGTGCCAATAGGTATCTTCTAGATGACGACCACTCCCTTTCCCATTTCCATGGCGCGGGAGGCCTGATGCTGACCGGAAATTTGGAGCCCCAGAGTGATTGGTAGACAAGAGGACAAGAAGTCTGAAGAGAGACATTCTGTAACGGCGACCAGGGAGTAGAGACCGGGGTAAGACTGAGATTTGAGCCTTCATTTGCTTGTCCCGGCAGACAGACTCCCTACTTCGTCCGTCCTGTATACCCAGTTGTCGCGAAACATACTGTAGAAGGTTCGGCGCACTCCAGAAATGGCAGTAGGCTGACCTGGATCGGGCAATTGGTACTACCCCCTGGCCTTGGGGGTCCTCGTATTCCAACAATCGGAAATATATCGAGGCAAATGCGGCAGAGCCGACATGTCTAGGCAGGGAGTGAACCACCCCTATTTTCTTTTGTTTTAGAATATGGTATTATTTTTGCCTCCCCCAAGTATCATCTGGAGACCACGTTAGCACCGTACCGCGATATACAACAGAGAGCACCGTGGAGGCTGTGGAGTAGAGTTATTAAGCTCACTCTGCAAGCTTCGTATCCAACAATCCCATACTCCACACAATGAATCCTTCCCCGACCTCCATTGTATGTATGTAGGTACCAAGAGGTCATCCGACTCCGTAGTCCGTAGTCCGTACGCCCTCCGTACAGGAGACCGTACAACATTCTCCGTGGAAAGACCCAGGGTGGCGGAACCTCGATGGCAATGCACTCGACTCGCACGATCGAGGGCGACTCTCAGCAAGGATAATCATCCTTCTGCCCTACAAAAGGAAAAACCATCCGCATCGGAGCCGACGAGCCTTGCGTTTCGTTACTGATTGCCAGATTCGTCCTGATGCAAGCCACGGGGGTCGGATTGAAGACTTGGCTCGAGGACGGACGGCCAACGCCCAACGGAAAGGCCGAGACCGAAGGCGGGTCAGGTGACTTGACGGGGTGACTTCATTTATGCGGTTTATGAGATAAAGCTTTAATTTGGTGGGTTGAGCGGGTGCAAAATTAAAGCCCGGAGAAGCCGAAACTATTGTTTTGAAACTACCACTAAGTATGCATGCCCTGGCCAGCGAGCGCCCCGTTGTTCAGGGTACTTTTGGGGCTTTGTTATTCTTATTAAAATTATGATCATATCTGGTGACACCGCTCATGTGAATTTCGAACAGAACGAAAGGGATCAAAAGATGAGTGAAAAAAGAAAAAACATTAACGGCGGATCTCGGAGGGGACCAGGGCCGCCTCTCATAGGCTCAGTGCCTGAGGAACCACGGCGACCTTCCGTCCGGAGCCACGATCTTGTCCCGATCCGGGCATCACTGGGTTACCCGGTTGGGAAAGTTGCAAGTTGGGGACGGCGTCCACGAAAGAAACCTCGGGTTCTATCCTGACGGTAATTCTCTGTTCTCCGAGGGTGCGCCCCGGCACCCACTGGTATCGGTATTGTCAGGCCACATGATGCGCCAAGAAGGCAGGACGATCGACGATCCTTTGCCCAGTGACTCCACCGCCGTCTCCCCAGAAGTGGACCGCCTGGTATCGCCCAGGTATTCTTGCGGTGCTGCCCAGGTAGCAGTGGTACTTGACTAGTACTTCCCACGCCCGACAGAGTCTTCTCTGGTCTCGGTCTCCAGGATCCATCCTGCATGTGACGCACCAATTGTGACCCTGGACCGGATGGATTCGATCAAGTCCAGCACAGGATGGAGTGCCGGAGTGGATATCCTCGCCCCAAGTCCCACGATCTTTTTCTTTCCCCCCCTTCAGAACCAACCATCGGTGGATAGCTCTCCGCTGGGAATGCGACTATTGAAAACTCCATCTGCTATCCGGCGTCCTTTGACTTTCGGAACCCCTCCTTTGTTCGGAAGCTATTTCCGATCGACAGTGCATGAGATGATAGATCTGACAAATCCCATGGGAAGGGAGCAAGCAACTATCGATGTTTGTGCCCTTTGACTGGTGGCCTTGACACGTCCGGACATGGTTCGGAATCCCTCGCTGGGATCGAACAGAGCTAAACTCGTTACTTACCCTCTCGGTACGAATTCTTCGCTGCCCAGGCCCATGGAGATCGCGATCCTCGATCCTCGATCCGTACCGAACACCGGCGTATTCCCCTCACCAACACTGTTTAGTGCTGTAGAATTGGCCACCCGGATGAACGTGCTTGATGATCGCCAGAACCCAGGTACCTAGATAGACAGGACGTGCGGTACCCCGTATACCCACCCACGCGCAAAGCGGACGCACTGTGTACCATTTGGTCCTGGACTATTGGCCACCCGCCCCGAAGGCACAGGCAGACAGGGAAAAGGAATGCTGAAGATGGGCGTGGTTACACAGAGATCGGACATGCTCCTCCACTCGGTTAGGGCTATGTGACTACCTTGCATCATGACAGGCAAAATTCTGGTTTTTTGCCTCTCTTTTACCCCGCCAATGAACCAAATTACATCGTCGAAATCCGGTTATCTTAGAGACTCTCCAGACACACACTCTTAGGTATTCATT